ACAAATTTCAAGTGTGCTTTTCAGGTTTATAACTCCTCTATTGGGCCTTTTTTTTGAAGCAAAGCTCTCTGAGAGCGGCCAGCCAACCTCCTATGTGAAGAAATGTCATCCAATTATTTTGTTTTGGGTTGCCCAGCCTGTCGAGTCAATCTCGGCTATTCACATTGTTACATTATAACATTTGCTTTGATAGAAGTGAGGAAAATGAAAAACCACAGTATCTAATCTGTGATAAACACGAAATCTATCCTTTATCCCGAGTCGATACGAATTCCTTGGAGCTCCAGAACGATGTCGAGCAAAATTAGCCACATACGATAACTAAGAAGTATTTATTTGGCAAAACTTTGCCAAATTTGGCGAAATTTCTTCTTCTATTTTGCCAGCGACTCGCCGCCGTTCAACAAAATAATTTTCCCTCAAAATGAGCCAATTCCCAAATTTCTCAAATTTGCATGAAATGTATTTGTGGAATGTATTTCCAATGTATTAGTAAATTGGTCCCTGTTCACCATCATTTCCCGGGACCAATTTCCTCTACCCTTCGCTTCCTACCCTTCGCTGAAAATGAAAATTTGAATAGATTTTTTTCTCATTTTGGGGGGATTTTCATTCTGGGGTGAGGTTGGTTGACCGCTCTCTCAGAGCTCTCGAAAACCCAAATTTTTGGTAAGAACGCATTGCGAAGAGCGGTGCACATCAACAAGGGTCAGCTATAGCTTGAAAGCTTCAAGTTTTGAATAAAATACGAAACAGATCTGAAATTTAATCTAAACTAAATAAAACTTGACCGTCAAATGGGCCGTTTAGGCCCTTCAGGGTTCGATCCGCGCTGCTTCAAAATATTTTTTTTTACTTCTCGATTAATACCTCATGGCCTGCCAGTACCTCGCATTTTTTCAGGTTTATCATGTTTATTATGCTTGTTATGGCCTCTTTGTTTTGTAATTTTTGCAATTTGGTGAAAATGAATTACTACTAGTTGCAGGAAAACGGTATTTCAAGCATTCAAAAAATATTCACATGTTTTTCCTAAATCTTGCGGGTCATAAATAGCATAACAAGCAAAAATAAATCCTAAAAACAAGTTTAACAGTTCAAGCTTATATTTTTCCAGATTAAAAGGGTTTACAATGTGTCTGGCCACGGTAATGACAATGTAATCTCAGTTGTATAAAAAATCCACTCAAAAAGAACTGCGGTACCCTCTTGTTTGACAAATATTGTAATTCATTTATTGAAAACGTCAGCGAAGCCCTCGGAGCTTGTTTATATAACTTCAAGTGAACTTTTAAGTTATGATTCCATGTATTACGACTTGTATTTCTCATGTTCGGAAAAGTTTCCGAGCTCTGAGAGAGCGGTCAACCGACCTCACCCCAGAATGAAAATCCCCCCAAAATGAGAATAAATTCTATTCAAATTTTCATTTTCAGCGAAGGGTAGGAAGCGAAGGGTAGAGGAAATTGGTCCCCGGTAACAGCGAGCGGTGACACCGCAATTCAAAAATTTTTGAAAATTAAATTTTTTTAAAAATTTACGTGAAAAAGCATGTTTGACTTTGAAGGGTCATAATTCGACGTAGGATTGATCGTTTTTAATGATCTTTTTTTTAAACAAAATGGCAACTACTAAGGAATAAAATGAGCTATTGCTCATAAAAATTGAACAATCCTATAAAAAGTTATAAGCATTTTACATCCGCGAACTTAGCTGGACCACCCTGTAATTTTTCAAAACTTTGAGAAGGCATGGAAAGGTCAATTCAAAATATATTTTCTTGAAAGTAAGTCGGTTGAAAATGGCGGGTCTCAGCTCCAGAAAAATCTAAATTTTGGAAAAATCGGCGGAGTCTCCGCGGAGAAATTCAAAGAAACAACTTGTCAGTTTCGAGTGGCCCACCCTGTATATGTATATATTGGACAGAAATTTTTTTTTGCGTTTGACACTATTTTTAATGCTCTTTCGAATGATGTATGTTTCGCTAAGACAGCAGGGTGCAACTATTTGCGGATCCCTTGTTAGAACTAAAAAATGCTCGCTAGCTAGCACGTGACAGAATCTTAGCAACTAAATAATTAAAGATGAAATTTTTAACGATCTTTCAAATGGTACATGCTTCAAGCAAGACCCAGGGACGAGGTTTTGCTCAGAGTTGATCAAAGGGTGCAAAGTATTATACTTATTATCAGATAAAACGACGTTTATACCTGTTTTCTTTGAACATCTGTCATCTATTTAAGTAATCAGTCATATTGTTGCCATTTATTCGGGAAACATGAGCTCCTCAATATCAGCAATTCTGATTACCTTGCACAGCATGTATAAAATCAAACAGGTATAATAAACGAAATGTGCTCTGCTAAGTCCATGTAAACGTCATAGATGATGCTTCAGAAAAAGTTTCTTCTTATTGAGGCATTTTTTGAGACAGTAGAAAAAATTCAGTGAGTCTGTCTTTTTGGCGCGCACTGTGTGCATGTAATAACCCCATTGTATCCGGGTACCCCATTTTCGATGTGTAAATCAGGTTACCATTTTAAAAAATATTTTACAAGGAAAGTACTTCTATGGGGTATGGAGTTACAGGTCGAGTCATATAAGAGTGAAGAAATAAGATCGCACCGGTCGTTCCGAAGCAAAACGTTAAAAACGCTTTCCTCACTTTTTTTGAAAAAATAGAATGGGAAAAATGAGGCCGACACACTGCATTCCGAATTATTTTTGCCGCCGACCGGCGTCCGAAAAAATGAAAAAATGAGATACGCCTCTTACATTTTTGCCAATATCTCGCTAGCCTCGAAGTGTAGCGTGAATCTGAAAATTGTGTTTCAAAGCTGACACATTTGTCCTTCAGAATATATTAATTTTGTGATGATACTTATTATGTACGACAAGGAAACCGTTGCTGAAAAATGGCAAATTTCAACATTCAATGCCAGAAAAATGTACTTTCTAAGTGCCAGATTGCAAAATTATGGGCCTCATTGTGTACAGAATCTTGAACACTATAAGATATAACAATTTCAGGCATTTTCTGGCCCGATTCGCAGAGTTATACCCGAAAAACTGCAATTTTGGCCTTCTTATTGAGCTATCTGCACTTTAAAAGTACATACAAGAAATCCCTCTTAAATTATTGTTGCCCAGGTTGTGATGGACCATCGCGCAAAATCTCAACCTTCTACGACCTCTACGGAAAAAGTTATAACGGTTACAATATGGGACCCTCGTATGCCCAATATTTTGTAAAATACAGTACACCATTGTAAAAAATAGCTCTATATGGCCTACGTAAACTTACTCGAAACCTGAACACTGTTTCTCAGATTTTTCCGCACGAGGGACACGATTTCAAGTTTTCGCTATACTAAAGGGAAAACAGTGAAAAGTTGGGGACATAGCTGGGAAATTTTTATATGTAGTTGACCGTGTAATTGCGATAAAATTTTTTTACCCCAACCAACGCGACAGCAGCAATAGGAATTCCATCATACAAAGCCATCTTGCACCGTAGTTTACCGTATTTTACAAAATATTGGGCATACAAGGGTCACATATTGTAACCGTTATAACTTTTTTCGGAGGAGTCCTGGAAAGCTGAGATTTTGCACAGTGGTCCATCACAACCTGGGCAACAAAAATCATAGAAATGTTTTTTTGTATGTACTTTTAAAGTGCAGATAGCTCAATAAGAAGGCCAAAATTGCAGTTTTTCGGTTATAACTCTGCGAATCGGGCCAGAAAATGCCTGAAATTGTTTTATCTTATAGTATTCAAGATGCTGTATCCAATGAAGCCCATAATTTTGTGATTTGGCACTTAGAAAGTACATTTTTCTGGCATTGAATGTTGAAATTTGTCATTTTTCAGCAATGGTTTCCTTGTCGTACATAATAAGTATCATTACAAAATTAATATATTCTGAAGGGCAAATGTGTCAGCTTGTAAACACAATTTTCAGATTCGCGTTACACTTCGAGGCTAGCGAGATATTGGCAAAAATGTAAGAGGCAAATCTCATTTTTTCATTTTTTCGGACGCCGGTCGGCGGCAAAAATAATTCGGAATGCTGTGCGACATGAGAAAAAAACTCGAGAACGCAAATTTAGCGCCTTTTTCAAAATCTGAAAACCGGTCTTATTTCTTCATTCTTATATATCAAAAAATTCGCAAAATTTTTCTGATTCAGAATATGTAAAAATTAGCTAGTTAGCAAAAAATGATTCTGGAAGTGAAACAGAATGCCAAGAATTTTTCATTGCTTCATTCAGCGCCTTTACTCTATTTCTTCTTGACGCGCGCCGTGTCCGGCGACTTTCCGGAAGGACTACAGTCTGTCGGGACAATAATAAGCGCAAAAATCGGTATCGCTGACAAGAAAATGAATTGTGCTGCGGCAAAGTCGAATTTCTTTTCACTTCAGCGACGTTATCGACGTAGACATTGCACTCATTATTTTCCCGACAAACGGATGGGAGCTCCATTATCTTCCCGACAGACGGGCATGTGGCTAAGATAAGTGTGTGCGCCAACAGATTTGTAAAAGACGGGCCACATAAATTTTCCTAGTGTCATAAAGTTTTTCTGTTAGCGGTTAATCTCCTTTCTCAGCGTTTCACTCTTGATTATCAAAACCAAAATTATTGTATGTGCCTTTTATAACATGATGTCATAAAATTTGATAGGATAGGATTCGATGCAATCAACTTTTTAGCATTACACTTTCTGCCTTTTGTGAATAAAAGGAATGTAGACTTGTGGGTCAAGTCTATCCGTCTCTCTGAAGATAAAGCAAGTTTTTGTTGGTGAGGGATTTCTACTCTCCCGTTTTACGCTTTACATCGTCGTATTTCACCTTATATTCCTTTCTCAATTATTGAGCTTAAACTCTTCTAGCAGATCATCAGACTGTTTTTATGTTTTGATTCGCGGAAGATTGCTTTATTGATTTTCTTCAAAATCTGAATCTGCGGAGGTCGTTGCTTAATTTTAGGTTAATGGCGTGCCTCCAAAAACTCAAGGATGATATCCGTTTGTTGAAAGAATTATTCCCGAGTGATCATTCCCGATTCCAAGTTAAGTCAGCTTCCGTTGATGAAATATCTGTCCGTTACATTGTAAACGATCAGAAGATCAATATTGTGGCCAATTTCCAAGAGAATTATCCACGTGCGGCCCCAATTTGGTTCAGCGAATCAGAAGAAGCTGTAGTCTCTTCGATCCTTGAAAATCTGACTAATGGCGAAGTTCAATTCGCCATTTTGTACCAAGTGCTTTATTTGGTAACTCAGTTGTGTAACTACTACAATGTGCCGTTGCCGACCGAAATTCATCAAATCTCCCCGGTATGTTGTTTGTTTCAGTATAAATTATGAGTATAGAGTGAGGACAATATCGAAGAGAAGGATGAAGGAAATGGAAGCGATATTGAGAGTACAGGCGACGAAGAAATGGAGGAAGATATCATGTGCGACATGGAGGAACAAGACCCTCGCTTAAACCGTCAGGCTGAAGAAATTGCTCCTGAGGCTCGTGACATCTTAAATCGTGTCACTAATGTGCAGCGACAGCAGCACTTACAGGGAACCGCCACTGGCTCGGTCACTGCTTCGGACCGGCTAATGAAGGAACTCAAAGAGATCTATCGCTCTGAGAATTATAAAAACGGTACGTTTCTATAGCATTCATATTATGTGGGCTTTAGGTGTATTCGGCATCGATCTTGTGAAAGACAATCTCTATGAATGGAATGTAAAGTTGTACAAAGTTGATCCTGATAGTCCGTTGGCTGCTGATATGCGCAAATTGGAGACTACTGCGAAACAAGATCATATCCTTTTTCATTTCTTGTTCAACGAGACTTTCCCGTAAGCTTTATTATTGTTTAAAAATGCTGTTTTTTTAATTTGTACTGACTGATCGTTTAGATTCGAACCTCCATTTGTTCGTTTGGTATCACCGGGTATTATGAATGGATTTGTGCTTGGTGGGGGCGCGTTATGCATGGAATTGCTAACCAAACAAGGCTGGACCAGTGCCTATGGAGTCGAATCTTTGATTATGCAAATTGCCGCCACTTTGGTTAAAGGCAAAGCCCGGGTTTCTTTCGATTCTAAGGTTGTAAGTGTCGAAGGTTGGCCATTAAACTTTTTTTAGAATTCATACAGCTTGGCAAAAGCACAGCAGTCTTTCAAATCACTTGTTCAAATTCACAACAAATCGGGTTGGTTTACTCCCCCGAAATCAGACGGCTAACTTGTGCTCCACTTCCATTGTTCGACTCGTTGTAAATTTATTAAACACGTAAAAATAAACAAAAGTGGGTTTCTTTATTTGGGAATACATGTTATAGAAGAATGTAGTTTGCTCTTTCTAGGGGGTAACGGCGGACCTTCCTTGGGATGGCAGTCTTGCCAGTGGTTGTTGATCTGCTCCTCCACATGTATTTTATAAGTCTTGAAATTGGAAGCCATGAATTTGATGAGGTCAGAATCTGGATTCCCTTCTTGAGATATCTCAAGAGATCCTTCGAGGATCGAAATATGGGAACGGACACAGTTTAAAAGTTTGCTTATATCTTCTCGATTCTCTTTACAAACTTCTGGGGACTCGAGCAATTTCTGAAACGGGGATTTATTAGCCTGCCACATGCCGGTTTCTTTTCAAGAAAAAGTAAATCAAATTTTATCGAAATCTACCATTCCTATCAGTGTCGGGAAAATAACGGCGGGTCGTCACAGCAAAATATCTCGCTTCGTCGCAGCCGCGGCTTGCCATCGCAAAGCGATGATGTGCGATTCCAAGGCGCGACGGTCCGGCGTTATTTTCCCGACAGACTGATATTTTGAAACTTTTGACGGAGTATCTGTGCCATCTCAAAGTTTTGAAGAATTAAATTTCGTAACTCGCGACCTAACTCATGAGCTTGGTGACGACCTGACCTAATGAAAGTGTCTTGACCATCATAGTCAAGCATTGAGACCATTTTCGGGTAATTTTAGGCAACCTCCTTGACCCCGGTCACGACTCTTTTTCATTTCTCGAATGGACATATTTTTCTGGTTCAGGAATTGCCATCGTCGCAGAGCCGACGATTTCAGAATAGTCACAGCACGTATCAAAAAAAATGGGATTTTTTACCATGTAGTTGTGTATTCCACCGCCCACATCTGCCTGAAGAATTCCTCGTATCTGTCCACTCAAAGCCATTTCGAATTCTTTGAATCCATGTTTGTACATCAATGAATAATACTGTAGTTTTTCGTTAGCGGCTTGCAGATTGTATAAGGCAACCTTAATTAGCAGTTCTTTGCTATAAATAATGCTCCTACCTGCAGTGGGTTTAGGGGATTCAACTTAGTAAACGTTGACAACTGGTCGAATGGTGTAAATCCGGGTAGTTCGGAGAAAATGGAGAAATTGTAACGCTTAATCCAGATGGTGTTGCTCTCTGAGACCTCATGCTTCGTGTAACTAGAGTCTGTTAATTTGAAAGGACGATGCAATTCGAATACGGATACATTATTGTGTTTGTAATACCATGACAAGAGGGGGTTCTTGGTGGATAGTTGAGAGTATTTTGGGGAAGAAATTATTTGGACCACTGGCACTATCTTAAGTTAACACTAAATGTATTAGTCACATTCTTACCGATATATGTCTTCCAGCCATCCTAGAAGGGTGAAGAATAAAGTCTCCGTCGATTTTATTCATAATATCCAGGAAACATCCTCCGATCTCATGTAAAATTCGATTCTTAAATTGGTCCCACAACTCCAGTTTCTGACCTCGGAAAACGAAATGTTTGTTTCGAATAGACTGCGGTTGTTCATCTCCATAGAATCCAACTAAAAAGAAATGATGTTCCATTCTCTGTTCAGTGCTGATACTTCTGTAGAGGTCACCCATTTTAGTCATTAAATCTGGGATCTTGTCGTATTCAAAAGAAACGTTTTCGTAAATTTGAATTAATTGTTTGCGCGTGTCGATTGCTAGTTCCCAAAGCTGATCTTTCTCAAAGTAATCAGCCGCTTTTTGATGAAGTAATTGCTTTAATTCCCTCTCGGAATGTACTGTCACATCAAGAATAGACGCAATGATCTCTCTGGCTTCGCTAAGAGGAGTGTCGGTCCAACTGAATTCATCAGCGGCCAAGATCAGCAGCTTCCCTGCTTCCACATATTTTTCTTGATTAATGTACAATTGATGTAAATGGTAGATGGACTTGAGCCAGTTTTCCCCAAGATTTGCTCTTTTGGATAGCCGTATTAATTGCACCAAAGAGATCATGCTGTAAATCTGGCACTCCTCCTTTGTTCTGCAGGACAAGAAGGTGGACAAGCCGTGGACGATGAGAGGAATACATTCCACATGGCTATCTGATCGCTCGGATATAAAATAAAGGACGTTTTGATATTCTTCCCAGAAACGAGCATGTTGAGGAGTAACAGAGGACATTTCCCAGTACTTCCTATAACAAAATCTATACACGATTATAAACTTACGTTATTATTTCGTCCATTCTCATACTAGTTTGAGCCGAGGTCATAATCCGGATCAAAAACCCTCTGAAGAAACAGTCTGATAACTTCACTAAAGATAATAAAAACTCGATGAACTCTGCAATTTGGCCATTATTGCACATCATTTTCCATAACTTCCTTATAACTTCGGCAAACCGATGGGTATATACATTAATGGTGGACTTCTTTGTCATCAAATTATGGTTTATATGCTTTAACACATTAAGAACCGAATAATCGGTGATGTGTTCCCCTTTCAAGGCCATGATTGCTAAACAAGCGTTAAGTGAAGAGATGATGACCATGTTTATCCTCAACGAAAGGGTTTCCCATGATGCCGGAATACTACTTTCGTTGCTCAGGGTGGTAAATACCTTTACCAAGTCTTCAAAAACAATACGAAAGTTATCAACGGCACTACTGTAGCTTAACCACAACTCAGCGTTGCACATATCGCACAAGGATATTAATAAAATTGAACTATTTCGGTCTATTCCAGACCTTGACATCTCCAAGAATAACCTGACCAGAGGATGAAAACATCGATGAATGAATAAACTTTGGATCGGCCGTTTACCGTCTTCACACCGTTTTATCAATTCGATCAGATCAAATAAAGCCGAGAATAACAATCTCATCAACTCCGAATTCCTGGGCTGAGAGACTGCCAGGGTGATGACATTAAACATGTAGGCGATGATCTTCTCCATTATTTCCATACGGCACTCCAAGTGAAAGAGCTTGCTTTTTAGGATATTCCCAATAAATCCAACCTTGGCGACCACCCTGGCCTCCGGCACTGTTTCCAGAATCTTTGTCACATATTCGGACATAATGCTTACGTCGAATAAACCAGCCTCGAGCAAAGGATCGATCATCTTGGCAAGTTCCGGAATATGTCTTCCAATATCTTTATCCACTTTGATTGAGGCCAAGGATAACTTCATAACAACTTCAAAGTCAGTCGCCAACGATTGAACATCGGACCCATTACAGACTCGGGCTGCAATCATAAATTCGATTAACTTGGGCAGACATCCAGTCACTTTTATTAGGTCCAACTTCACATGAGCTCCATCCGGATTGGCATTAAATGTCTGAAACTTGGTCTTGAGATAAGTCATGAGAACAGAGTCGACCGAGGGATGTCTGAACGTGGAAAGACATTCATTCACGGCATCTGTAATGTGTCTATAGAGTTCGCTGTCGTGCCAGTGGAAAATGCATGTAAGGAAATCACAGGCCATTTGTGATATTACCGGAGGGCCTCGCAGAAGAAAGAAACATTTATCCATGACCTGAGGCATAAGATATTTGAAATCGAACGGGTTCGCTCCACAAAGAGTTGGGATCACTCCGTTAAGTTCATTTTCGTCGTTGGCTCTCAGAAATTGCATTAGGACCTTGTTCTGCGACAGATACGAGGACATGGAGCAAGCACAACAACTGATATATCCATTGCTCAGAAGGTTGTAATCAGGGTATATCGTTGTCACATCCAGGTTCCTTCGCAATGATGGTATACCGAGATACGAATGTGATTTGATTTCATTCGGCGATTCAGCATTATAGACGTTCAGATCGTATCTTCCATCGGTTAATAAGACTCCATCGTTGATGATCTTTAAGTAGGAAACACCAGCAATATTGTCATGGACATCATAAAGAGTTAGGCGAAGATGCACATCCCTGGTGTCGCTAACAGGCAGTCTGATCACGATGCTTTCTTCGTATCTCACATTGGACAAAATCAGGGTCCGGAACTGTTTAGAGGTCTCAATGTATTGGTTGTGTCGTGTTATATTTCCATCCTGAAAAGATTTAAATTGAAACCAAAGGAACCTACGTCCAGAATTTCACCATGGTCATACCACAGCTCGCCTTGAATAACAATGTCATCATTTTGCAGAAACCCGTCGGATAGGCTCAAGCAAATGCAGCACTCATTCCGAACCGACTCAGAATTGTCTAGGCGATTCAAAATTAACGCAGAATTCATATCTCCATTATAGAAAAATTTTAGAATAATTCGACTAGTTTCATCGAGAGAATCCAGCCATATTACTTGTTGAACCTCGGGATTTGACAGAGTACAAGCTGGGAAGCGCTGTATGATTGACGTCTTGTACTCCTTCGGTGAATTACCATTGGAAGGTTGGAATATTTGGAATTGGAGAGATAACTCTCGCCTCGAGTAATCCTCCGCAGTGATTCCCTGATAAATACACTGGGCCATGTCTTTTGTTTCAAAAGAAAAACCCTGGAACATCGGAAATGAAGATCGTCCATCTAGTAAAAAGACCGAGATCCAATAAATCCTGTTCTTACACTCTGCTTGGAAGGATACCAATATGTTGAAGTCATCTTTCTCGTCGGTCGGCAGCACTCCATTCAACCGTTTAATCATCTGGGTTTGTGCCGTTTCACATATTTTGTGCAATTCAATTATGTCCGTCTGATGGCAATTTGTCACTGATGGTACTATCAAGGGGAGGGATAACCTGGCGCTGATTTCCAGGAGATGGAGACCAAAGCTCTTTAGTTTGAGTTGTTTTATGTCCTGCAACGCGTCAGTCATTACCAGGCCAACCTCAACGGATGGAGTAACTTGTTTGGGAAAGCAGCCTCTTAAAGCAGTATTCCAATGAAAGATCGATAATATCGTCTGCAAGCTCAGGCCACTCCCGTGGTCAATATCCAGAGAGATTACGCATGAACTTGGAAAGATCCCATTGTCCTCCTTGCTTCCAGTTATTGAACCAAAACACCAATCGCCCATCGAGGAAATAACAGTCAGCAAATCCCCGACAGAGAATGGACGAAGGGGGATCGGGCTTATATCAAACAGATCGGGAGGTGGAGCAAAACTCTGGATGGCTACATAATACTTGCAAGTTGCCATCTGAAAATACAAAGAAATTAGATAGTTCCAATATCGGTAACTGTGAGTCGTCACCTCAGGCCGGCACACTTCCTGCCCCGTTTAAACGTTTCGTCCACACTCTATCTCTTAACGAAAAGATTTTATAAGGAAAGTACTTTTATGGGGGCTCCTACTTTTTGACGGGACATATCTCAAAAAATCAGAAAAAATGTGCTGATCAAGGATATATAAATCTTAGCTGCCCATTTTAGGTTTTTAGGGGTCAAAATGCCCAAAAACTGGCTTAATTTCCCTACAAAAGGCGCAGGCATTCGAAACGATAAAAAGCGCAGTCGGTCTCTTCCTTCGGAAGAGGGCGGTGTGGCCGAGTGGTTAGTGCTGTAGTCTGGGAATCAAGAGGGAGGACGCCGCACGCGTTCGATTTCCCTTTTGGGCTGAATGAACTTTTTTTGAAGTTGAAGGTCGGAAAAATAAATTTTTGGGCCAAGGCTGACTTATTACGTCTTAGAACCTCAATAAACACCATTTTAAGCCAAAATAAAAATTGTAAACCTGTGAAAAATTAAGCGACAAGGGGTTCATATAGGACTTTAAGTCAACTTCCGATTGAGTTTTCACCCCTAAAAACCTAAAATGGGCAGCTAAGATCTATATATTCTTGATCAGCACATTTTTTCTGATTCTTTGAGGTATGTCCCGTCAAAAAGTAGGAGCCCCCAGAAAAGTACTTTCCTTGTTAGATTTTAAACACGATTTCTGAGTCATTGAATCAGACGCCAGGGGACAGGCGCATAGGAAAAAAGTCGACTTTGAGACTTTTTTCACAAGGAAAGTACTTCTATGGGGTATGGCTTTACAGGTCGAGATATATATCCAAAAATTCGCAAAAATTTTCCGATTCGGAATATATAAAAATTAGCTCCCTAATTTTGGTCTATCAACGAGTTTTATCAATAAACGTATTTCTCGAGGAAAAAAATCGGCGGCGACAAAAGCTCGCATTCTGTTTGATATAAGCCCGATCCCCCTTCGTCCATTCTCTGTCGGGGATTTGCTGACTGTTATTTCCTCGATGGGCGATTGGTGTTTTGGTTCAATAACTGGAAGCAAGGAGGACAATGGGATCTTTCCAAGTTCACGCGTAATCTCTCCTTCGGAAAGAGGGCGGTGTGGCCGAGTGGTTAGAGCGCTAGACTGACAAGGAAAGTACTTCTATGGGGTATGGAGTTACAAGTCGAGATATATATCAAAAAATTCGCAAAAGTTTTCTGATTCAGAATATATAAAAATTAGCTGCCTAATTTTGGTCTGATGACATGTTTTTGTCCTCAGAAGTTTTCTCGCGACACCATGCAAGTGTTTTTTTGACCGTGTTTTTACCAATAAAAAATTTTTTTTGTGCTAAAATAAATTCTGAGGCCTTGACAAGCGTTCTCGGAGGATAGGTTACCCCGAACAAATAGGTTACCCCAGCGGATAGGTTACCCCAAGTTTCAGATAGGTAACCTCGGAGGATAGGTTACCCCACGGATAGGTTACCTCGGAGGATAAGGTTACCCCGAAGATAGGTTACCTGAAATTTGTTTTTTTGAAATGTTTTCGCTTCGGGAGTTGGAAAAAAAGGATGTTTTGTAAAAATTGAAAAAAATTTGACATGTTTTCGCTTCGGGACTTGGAAAAAAAGGATTTTTTGTGAAAATTGAAAAAATTTTGGAATGTTTTCGCTTCGGGAGTTGGAAAAAAGGATTTTTTGTGAAATTTGAATAAAATTTGGAATGTTTTTGAGCTGACTGCGTATGAACTGACTGAATATGAAAACTGGGTTTCTGTTACTTTACTACCTTTAGGGATTCTTTTTGAAATTTTTTCGACTTATAACACTTATAGACGTTAATGGTGTTGTTTTGGTGCCTAGTACTGCTTAAAAAACACATTTTTAACACTTGGTACTAAATAGTACCAACTGGTACTGTTTAGTGAGAAGTGAAAATTTGGCCGTAAGGCAGTAATGGTGATGGTTTGGTGCTTAGTAGAGCCCAAAAACACGTGGTACTATATAGTACCAGGTGGTACCATTGGTTTTAGACAAAATTTTAGTGCTGGCGGCACCACAGTTAATAGTCAGGATTGGGCCCGGTTTTGTCCCCAAGACGGTTTTGTCCCCAGGACGTTTTTGTCCCCAGACCGGTTTTGTCCCCAGGACGGTTTTGTCCCCAAGACGGTTTTGTCCCCACTTTTTTTATTTTTTTTGTCCCCACACCGGTTTTGTCCCCAGGACGTTTTTGTCCCCAAGCTGGATAGTACGATTAAAAATTATGCATTCAGATGTTAATGCTGTTGGTTTGGTGCACAGTACTGCTCAAACAACATGTTCTTAGCACGGTACTGCATAGTACAAGGTGGTACTATGTAGCACGAGGTAAAAATTAAGCTATAACGCGTGAATGACGTTGTTTTGGCATGCAGTACTGATCAGACGTTCACTTTGTGCAAAAACAAATTCGTGCTATATAGTACCATGTGCTAAAGCACATTTTTGAGAAGTACTGGGCTTCAAACCCATAGCATTGACGGGTTACGGCTTAATTTTTACCTCGTGCTATATAGTACCACCTCGTACTATATAGTACCAAGCGCTAAGAACACGTTGTTTGAGCAGTACTGTGCACCAAACCAACTGCATTAACATCTGAATGCATAATTTTTAATCGTACTATCCAGCTTGGGGACAAAAACGTCCTGGGGACAAAACCGGTGTGGGGACAAAAAAATAAAAAAAGTGGGGACTAAAACGTCTTGGGGACAAAACCGTCCTGGGGACAAAACCGGTCTGGGGACAAAAAGGCTCGAAAAAAGTGGGGACAAAAACGTCCTGGGGACAAAACCGTCTTGGGGACAAAACCGGGGTGGGGACAAAAACGTCCACTACGTTAATAGTCAGTCAGACACCCTTTTTCTACTCCCGATCCGAAAAGATTTCAAAATTTTGTTGAATTTTCCAAAAAATTCTTTTTTTTCCCAGTCCCGAAGCGAAAACATTTCAAATTTTATTCAAATTTCACAAAAAATCCTTTTTTTTCAAGTCTCGAAGCGAAAACATTTCAAAAAAAAATTTTTCTTTTTTTGGTAAAGGGTAACCTATCCTCTAGGTAACCTATCCGGTGGGGTAACCTATCCTCCGGGTTATGTGTTTTTTGGGGTAACCTATCCGGTGGGTAACCTATTCTCGGGGTAACGTATCTTCCGCAAATCCTTGACAAGCCTTAAAATTTCAGATTGGATTACAACTACACCTTAAAAGTAGTTCCAATGTACAGGGTGTTTCAAGAAATTTGGAACAAATGATTTGCTTATATCTTTGTGTTCTTTGCAGCTATCAACGAATTTCTTTTTGCTTCTAAAAATTGACAGCGTGCGTTTTTAGAATCTCAAAAAAAATTTTTTTTCGTCGGCGGAGGGCCCATTTCTCCGCGGAGACAATTGGGGCCTTTTTTAAAAATCACACCGTATTAAATGGCGGAAACGCCGTTGCAACGGCTGAAATCAAGTTTACGTTACACCTCCGTCGATTTTACGGTATGCATTTTTTTGTTTTCGATTTTACGAGCACCGCGGAGGCGCGGCGGAGACTTCAGATTTCGGCGGACGTTGTTTTGGGCCTTCGGCTGTTGCAATTCATGTTGGAAAAGAAGTTGGGGTGATTTTTTGTTGTCATCCGTTGCGCAGATGGCAAAAATTTCGTGCTTTTTTGCCCACGCGGAGGATTCGGCGGAGGCTTTATCAAAGGGTCAAAGCAGTCTTACGAGTCCGGGAAAAATCTCAGCTACAAGAATCCATCAGAGCAGCATTGTCTTTCAAAGATTTTTGATTTTTTGGGTCCGGCGGACAAATCGGCGGAGTTTTGTTTTTACCCTTTGATAAAGCCTCCGCCGGCTCCTTCGCCGGGGATAAAAAGCACGAAATTTTTGTCATCTGTGCATCGGATGACAACAAAAAATCACCCAAACCTCCTTTTCCAACATGAATTGCAAAAGCCAAAGGCCCAAAACAACGTCCGCCGAAATCTGACAAGGAAAGTACTTTTATGGGGGCTCCTACTTTTCGACGGGACATATCTCAAAAAATCAGAAAAAATGTGCTAATCAAGGATATATAAATCTTAGCTGCCCATTTTAGGTTTTTAGGGGTCAAAATGCCCAAAAACTGGCTTAATTTCCCTACAAAAGGCGCAGGCATTCGAAATGATAAAAAGCGCAGTCGGTCTCTTCCTACGGAAGAAAGCGGTGTGGCCGAGTGGCTAGTGCCGTAGTCTGGGAATCAAAAGGGGGAATGCCGCACGGGTTCGATTTCCCTTTTGGGCTGAATCAACTTTTTTTGAAGCTGAACGTCGGAAAAATAAATTGTTGTGCCAAGACTGATTTATTACGTCTTAGAAACACAATAAACATCATTTTAAGCCAAAATAAAAAGTGTAAACCTGTGAAAAATTAAGCGAAAAGGGGTTTATATAGGACTTTAAATCAACTTGCTATGGATTTTTCACCGCTAAAAACCTAAAATGGGCAGCTAAGATTTATATATCCTTGATCAGCACATTTTTTCTGATTTTTTGAGATATGTCCCGTTAAAAAGTAGGAGCCCCCATAAAAGCACTTTCCTTGTGAGGTCGCCGCCGCGCATCCGCGGAAGTGCGTAAAATCGAAAACGCAAAAAAAAGCATACCGTAAAATCGACGGAGGTGTAACGTAAACTTGATTTCAGCCGTTGCAACGGCGTTTCCGCCATGTAATACGGTGTGATTTTTAAAAAAGGCCCTAATTTTCCCCGCCGAGAAATGGGCGCTCCGCCGACGAAAAAAAAAATTTTTCGAGATTCTAAAAATGCACGACGTCAATTTTTAGAAGCAAAAAGAAATTCATTGATAGCTGCAAAGAACACAAAGATATAAGCAAATCATTTGTTCCAAATTTCTTGAAACACCCTGTAAAAAATGGGTTTTAGTGTGGCAAAAAGAATCGAACCCCTTACGTCATAAAAAGTAGTCAGTAGTTGAAAAGAATAAAATTATTTATGTTAGGGACCCGGCAACCCCAGCATGTATTTGCCTTGACCCCGTAAGGGCCTACCCCCATACGTTTTCACCTCGTAAGGGAAGGAACCCCTTGCAGCAAGAGTAACCAGCCTTCAATCAATAGAATAATGATTGGAAGCCAACATTTAGTTTCTAGGCGTCCACTTGACATTCAAATTTCTCCGGTCCTAGATGTACCGTAGAACTTCAGCCCTGGTGCTTTTTGTAGATGCCTCTTATGGTAGTTCCAACACCACAGATGACACTCGTGCGAACAACGAACAGTTTAGAACCACTACCGTCACAGAGCTGGACTCCGCGCACAAAATACCAGCTCCAAAATTGAATTTCTTAAAAAAGATTGTTGCCTCAATTGGCATTCTCCATAGTGTAAAGATAAGGAAACCCTATTTCCGGAAAGGATTCAATGTCAAGGGGGGGGGGGCAAAGTTACATTTCGGCTCCCAATTATTGTTGCATTATGATTGTATAGCCTCTACGCAAGGCAGTGTCTTCCTGCTAACAAGGGAAGTCGTTCAGATCGCAAATGAGTTGAGCTATGGGACCGGTATATTCTGATTCTCCATATTCGAAAACGGTAAGAGCTAAAACAATTTTTCCGTCTGGGCCCTGGTTTTCGAGAAAATCGACCGTAAAGTTTGACCGGAAAAAGCCCCGCTAAATAGTCCTCGCTCCGAAAGACTTTCAGATCAAGAGCCAAATGGCGGAGGGCGAGTGAAAACGCTCTCAAAATTCTTTTGTCCGGGATGCCGGGGAAGGTTCGAGTTCCGCTAGGAGCAAACCCTAATTCATAACGGTTGCAAAGCAAACAAAATTATTTTTCCTTTTACATACTATTACTTTGGAGAAAATATTGAAATGCGTGTCAGAAAATATTGAAATGCATATTTCTGCGCTGAACTCAAAAATGAAGTGTTTATTCCTAAAAAAACTATTTGATCGGAAATTATTGGGGTACACTTCACGACAAAAAACTAAAAAATTTTTATTTTTTATCATTTTCAATATCAAAGCTCTTTGGAAATGGATTTGAGCCTAGCGGGACTCGAACCTTTCCCGGTATCACGGACAAAAGAATTTTGAGAGCGTTTTCACTCGCCCTCCGCCATTTGGCCCTTGATCCAAAGGTCTTTCGGAGCGAGGACTATATATTTAGCGGGGTCTCCGGTCAAACTTTACGGTCGATTTTCTCGAAAACCAGGGCCCAGACGGAAAAATTGTTTTAGGTCTTACCGTTTTCGAATATGGAGAATCAGAATATACCGGTCCCATAGCTCAACTCATTTGCGATCTGAACGACTTCCCTTGTAAGCCAAGAACGTGATTCTTAAACGTCATGTTGTGGGGTATCGAACTTTGTGACACCAAAAGGTCGATTAAATTTCACCACGGCGTTTGAAAGCCGCAAAATTTTTTGAAAAAATAGTTTTTTGTCCTTCCAAAAATTTTACATCGAGTTGTCACGCACTAATATGCAGAAGCGCTTCAGTGGCTATGCCATTAGATAACAGCAGTACTTCTACACAAAATGGTATTTGTTTCGTTCGAATCCATCCACGATGAGCAGAGTTACTAAAAAAACAAAAAAAATGAGTTTTTTTGGCAGCTACTGTACTCAACAATCTCCATTGCTTTAACAAAATTTAGTCAACAATTAAAATAACAACACTCAAACAACAACAGTTTCTGTGGGTGTCTCATTTTCCTCGTCTTTCACAGGCTCGTCCCCATTTTCAATGTCCTGTTGGAAACGCCCTTTGTCCGCTTTAGCTCGTCTAGAAGTAGTCACCATCTTTCTCAAAGGAGTTGTGTCCTTTCCCAGCAATGTCAGCAAATGGATCTTCTCTTCTCGGCTTATAAACGCGGATATCGTTTGAGCCCCCATCCAAGCACATATTTCTTTTCGGATCCCTCCGACTTCTACCTCCAATACAACTGTTCCTGCATCTAGTCCAGCGAATTTCTCCTTGTCCTCAATGTGTTCGAAGCCAATATAATGTTGGTCATTGACACCAAGTAAGATGCGGCACAGGTCATCCGTTCCAATTTTGATAACCCTTTTATTCAAGAATTGGGAGAGATATGGAATACCCTAAAACGGATGTATTCGTGAAAAAAAACATACATCTTGTGATAACCTGTATTCACATGGAGAGACTTTGGTCACTTTCTTCATCAACAAAACTCCGGCATTCACCAGATGAAAACGGTCGATGTTTGATTGCAAGAATTGACGAAGGCGATCATTAACATAGTAGATTCCCTTCTTTTTCTCAACATTTGCCGTTCTAATCAAGAGATTGTTATAAGGGAAGTTGTCTTCTATTCCGAAATGTTCTTTCAAGGAACCCTTCAAGTCTTCAACTTCCGAGTTCAAGAACACAAACGGATCTTCTTTGTTAAACTTTCTTTTTTTGGCAGGGGGAGGTCTAAAAGCTGTATTCTATTGCAGAATATCTCTTACCTGATGACTTTCGCCGTGGCTCTCGGAGAAATGAAAGTTTCCTTTGTCTTTCTCAAAACGGCGACGTAAAACCCTCCAGAGTTTTGCGAATGTGGCAGAATTCTGAACGAGCGATCAAGGTTGAAGTTCTGCACTTCATCTTCTTTAGGGGGAAACATGGAGGGAACGATATACTTGTCTCCGCAGGAATCCATATCCGTATACTCTTTCATGTCCACGTTAAACACCTAAACCTTCACAATCGCAAAATTTAAAATGTATGAGAGAAAATAACTTCACCAAAATAAGTACTTGCCTTCCAGGTCGACAAACCAGCAGATCTCTTAAGCCCTGGAAGTCGATCGCTGACGTCCACGAGCTCTAGACACCCGTCGAATGTTCTTAACATATGAGCTACAACAGCTTCATCCTCAATTGGGTTTAAAGAGCAAGTTGAATAAACCATGATTCCTCCAACTTTCAACAATTCGATGCATCTGCGGGCAATGTTTTGCTGTATCTTGTGCAGATTAATGCCTTTTTGAGGATTCCAAGAGTTCCATAACTCCATATTCTTCCTGAATGTTCCATCTCCACTAAAAACCAAATATCAAAATCATTTTTTCTCAAAAAATACCTGCAGATTACATCACAGAGAACTCTGTCATACAAGACTGGACTACCAGCTTCGTCAATAATAGCCGGCATTTCCGAGGCGTCTTGGTTGACGACAACACAATTAGCTGTGGGAAGACGCTTCAGGGTTTGATGAACCAGTAGATAACACCGGGAATTGTTGATGTCATTTGCGACAAGGAGCCCAGCTAAATTAAAAAGTAGTAAAAATAGTTAAAGACCTACATGGGTTTGGCTCATTTCTATGCATCATTTCAATAATCTGAGTTGTTTTACTTCCTGGTGAAGCACAAGCGTCGAGAATAAGATGCTCCGGTTTCACATCAAGGAGTAACGGAGGAACCATTGACACCTTAAATTAGGATTCCTAACAGCTAAAACAAACATACAGCTTCTTGTCTCGAGATATTCCCAATCTCCGTCTCAATTATTAAGAACTCGTGCAGACTTTTTAGAGCCTCAACGCTCCTGACTTCAGCCCTGGAGGCATTTATTTGGTAAGCATACGGAACAAAGCTCAGCTTCTGGGGTACCAATGCTTTAGTTTCAGGATTTTTGTCCATTTGATCTATGAAATTTTCATGAAGTGCTCGCTCCAGAACATCTCTCTCTCTGGAAACCCCAAAAATATTACTCATCCCAAAGTAGCAAAACGAACTTTCAAAAAATGCTTACGGTAACGAACTTTGAATCCTGAAAGCAGAAGGCAAGTCTCGTTTCAGCATCTCTTGGAAAGAATCCCATTCTTTCTCCAAAATGATTCCCTGCTTCTTGTAGTAATCGAAAAGCAGATCATTCTCTTTCACGATGGCATCCAAATGGTAATTTCCTCTCACGCCCTTTGCTTCCAGATTCGGATTCTTTTTCTTGTCGTTCCTTTTGAATTTTCGCCCCATTTTAACTAACAATAAGCAGGAAACAATACAGGGTGGGCCGATCGAAACTTCCAATCTTGTTTCAGGTATTTCTATGACAATAATGCACCTTTCTATCACACTAATATTAAATTGAAGCTGAGACACACCATTTTTTGTTTACAAAACATGACGGCTCTACGTTCACGACTCCTTTTCATCCCAAGTTTAAGCCTTTCACCAAAAATTTTTGCAATGATTTTCAATTGAGTTTCTCCGATGTGGAAAATATTCTAGTCTGTGGCTAACAGGGGAAGTACCCCAAGTGCGACGCTCAGATTTTGATGAAACTTGGCACAAATTTAGAATGATTTTTTCTAAAATATATGCGAGAATCCTAGCTCGCGCTTTGCAGAAACAACCGAGATTTTTAGATCGAAAGTGGGCGAAAATTTAAGACTTTTTACCGAATTTCGGCACAAAAAGTTTCGTGCCTATTTTCCACCATGTTTCCACAAAAAATCAATTTTTTCCGCAGGAAACAAGCAAAGTTATGGCCAAAAGATGTTTTTCCCTCTGTCCGCTCGGCGGCAAAAATCGTTCGATATCTCGGCGGCGAGATATCGAACGAAAGCGCGAGCTAAAACTTTCAGGAATTGTTATATAGTTCATGCCCGACGTGTGTTCAAAATTTAAAGAAAATCGGAGCGTCGCACTTGGGGTACTTCCCTGTTAAATGAAACTTTCATAAGTAGCAGAAAAAAGTGACGGTAGTCAACGGAATAGTCGTAATTATTCTTCAAGGCATTACTCTTACTTTTTGGGTTAACGGGCCTAATTAATCGAAATCTTTAAAAATGTGAAGAAATGAGCGAAACTGTCTACATGCGAGACGACATCTACCCCGAGGATGCATAACAAGTTGTGGGGCCTAAATTACCCGAGAAAACAGCTTTCGTTCACATTCGTCCGACTTGGTAGCTCGTCTAGATTGAAAAATAATTTGACGCACTTTTTTATGGGTTTTCGGTGGTACTGATTCCGAAAATCGGGGTCGAGAATATTCGGGTGGTGCGCACTCGGGTGGTGAAAATTCGGGTGAGCGTACTCGGGTGATCGCTTGTTCGGGTGATGCAAACTCGGGTGGTGAAAATTCGGGTGATGGATTTTTGGGGTGGGTGAATATTCGGGTGATGAAGAAAATATTGTATTGATGGTTAATAAATATACTGTAACATCATTAAAATTTTTAAGTTGAAATTTTTGGTTTTTTATTCATTTTTAGGGTTTTCGAGCATAAGGTATCCAAAAATCAAGTCCGTTTCGCTCGAATATCAATGCCCGACCTGTTGGCGAATTTGAATTCTCCATTGTCAAAAGCCCCAAAAAACTGATGACAAAGTTTTTTTTTAAATTATTTACAATTTTGCGTCATCAGTAGTATTTGATTTTACAATCCTTTACTCATATAACGATAATAATAGTGTTGGCATTGATATTCGAGCGAAACGGACTTCATTTTTGGATGCCTTATGCTCGAAAACCAAAAATTTCAACTTAAAAATTTTAATAATGTTACAGTATATTTATTAACCATCAATACAATATTTTCCTCATCACCCGAATATTCACCCACCCCAAAAATCCATCACCCGAATTTTCACCACCCGAGTTTGCATCACCCGAACAAGCGATCACCCGAGTACGCTCACCCGAATTTTCACCACCCGAGTGCGCATCACCCGAATATTCAGTTACCCCCGAAAATCAGCTAATTTTTTTCTGTAATTTACTTAGAAATTACTTTTTGATTTTTTCTAAAAATCTTACCAAGTTGCAATTAAAATTAGCTTTTAACAGTAATACAGGGTGCGCCAAAAAATTGGGACAAAAAACAGTTCCGTATAGCTTTTTTCGGGTGGCCTAGGAATTAAAACTTTTAGCCTTTTTAGCAAGGGTAACAGTCGTGCTATAGTAAGTTAACTATTTCATCCCCCCGAGGCAGCAAATTAAAAAATAATTTGTCAAAGACCACTACTCATGCTCTTTTTGTCCATATAAAAGTATCCCTGATTCCAAAGATTCTTGGAATCATACATGGAAACTTTAAAAAAGTTTTCGTTTGAAAATATTAATAATTGAGAAATTTCGGACTTTTTCGTTTAAAAATCACCGAGAAATGTCGGATTTTTTTTCTAGCCAAAAACCGATTGGCTAACCAAGTTGTCAGAATGTGGGATAGCTGAATGTTTGCAAAATTTTTCGGGCCACGAGGGCCCTACTTCAAAGGATAAATACATATTCCAAAAACGTGTTCTTTGCGTCGCCTCCTCCGGGAGTTAAAAAGCCTTCGAATTTCATTCACGTTTTTTGAAAGACCCTGTACATCGGGAAGGCAACACTACAATACAACGTGTTGCAGAATTCAAACAACGTTGGAAGTTTCAAGTGGCCTACCCTGTACTTCACCCTCGGTAATAAAGCACTGATAGATAACAGTTTAAAATTATTTCGAAACGCAAATATAAATAGTTTATGCATAACAAAACAATTCTTCGTCTCCATAATGGCAATCCAATCGGTTGCAACAAAGAGGAGGAGGATCCCATCGACACTTGCGTTCCGACATCACGCAAGTGCGACAAACATGTGACCAAAAAGTCTACATAAAAAGATCATCATCCGTCAGTTTGGCTGGAGGAATATACATCATGGTCTTGAGAGAACCCTTGAAAGGAACTGTTGTAGTGATCTTGGCTGGAGCTGGATAACACTGAAGGGATCTGTCTTCTTCTTCCAGAATTGTAATCCCAACTCGGGAGTTCCGCGTCAATTTTACCAGACCCAGGAGCTGGAGGCCAGACCAAAGGGACTAAAAGTTCAATATTTATATTCTTTGTGGAAAAGTGCTTACCATTTCGATCATAAGTTCCGAAGGCCTCTCCGTTCTCAGGATTGACACTTGAATTTCCAAACATATGAATCGGTACTGGGAGCGAAGCACCACCAAGGACAGAACTGGCATAAAGAGATCCCTGTGGATCTTCGAAAGAGCCATTAGCGTAGAAACCAGACTGCTCATCCCCGCCCCTTTTAAACGAAGCATCGGCAGTGGAGAATAAAGATAAATTCATAAACCCATGCGCTCTGATTTCTCTCTCTGAGACGGGTTTCGGTTTCGGCAGTTCCATGTTGGACTTCCTCAGATTGTTGAGGGCTCCTTCGACCAAGCAACCCTTGTTACGGAAGACAGTTAACAAGTTGTTCCACAACATTTGTCTGGCCAAAACCTTGGCATTTCCCACGATAACCAGACCATACTTGGCACGAGTTAAAGCAACATTCAAACGCCGGGGATCGTTTAAAAAGCCAATTCCGCCAGTCGAGTTTGATCTTACACACGTTACAATAATAAGATCTTTTTCTCTTCCCTAGGAAAAAATAAATAAAAATTAATAAATTACTTGAAACGCATCGACGTTGGCAACTTCAATATCCAAATATAGTTTACTGTGCAGAGTCCCCTGCGACTGCATAAATTGAACGATGTAAGCTCGCTGTCCTTCATATGGGGTAATAATCCCAATCTGCTCAGGCTTAAACCCCGCTTGCAAGAATCTGGTGGTTAGTTTTTCCACAAAAACGGCTTCAGCACGATTGAGATACGACGTTCCTGAAGGGCTGATTTCTTCCTGACCACAGCAATTCCAGAACATCATCGGTTTTTCAGGAGTCGGAAAGCTCCAACTCACATTTCTGAGAATACGCTCAGCTAAAGAAGTTACATATTCGCTACGTCAAAAAATTACCTTCGGTAACACCATTTTGCAAGGATCCCTCGTAAAAAACATTACTGGGGAAAACGGATAGCGCGGGATGCATACGATATTGTACTTGAAGTCTGACTGGACGATTTCCGAGCATCACCAATCTCTCAACCAAAGATTTAGAGAGTCCTGCCACCCCGGCTTTCTTGCAAATAACTACCGGACCCAATTGGCAATGATCTCCGACCAAAACCAACTGTCTGGCGCCTTTCAGGACTGGAACCATAACTTCCGGCTCTGTGGCTTGAGTGCTTTCATCCACCAAGACACATCGAAATTCCCGGTCTTTCATCCTAGCATCGGCCGCAGATATGCAAGTGCAACAAATCACTTCAGCCTTCGATAACAATTCCTTTTCTTTGGTCAGGGTAAGTTGCTTAAATCTTTGCTCATCTCCTTGAGAGAGTTCTCCAACCTCTTCCTAAAAAAGATATTTGTTACTTAACAAATCCCTACCTTAAGTCTCATTAATTTGTGCAATTCACCAGCCCCATGGAGAGCCTTCAATTGATTGTGTAAGGTGAGAAAAGCAACAGGGCTGTCGACAGTTTCCCTTCCCTTAGCACAGAAACGGATCACCTTCAAACCCGTCTTGTGCAATTTCTCGGCAAGTTGATCAACAGCTATATTAGAAGGCGCACAAACCAGAACCGGTTCCTTGCTTACTTTCACCATGTGATAGACCAAAGCGGCAGAAGTGACAGTTTTCCCGGTTCCCGGAGGTCCTTGAATCAAAGTCAACGGTTGGACAAGAGCTGTTCGGACAGCCTCTTCCTGTGAATGATTAAGAGGCGGAAGACCAGGAGTCTCGAGGCGACGCGGCAAATTTATCTGAAACTTGATGTCGTTCACGTCGTGCCCCATTAACTTGTGGTAAATGAACTGGGAGACACAAGACTTTCTGTTGGCCAGTCTCATCAAAGCATCCTTCATTCTAAAACAAATAGAATAAACTTGCAGTCATACCTCTTGAATGCTGTTCCTTTCCACACAAATTCACATAGGAAGTTGGTTCTCTTATTAGACGGCATTTCTGTGTTATATCCCACCTCAAGCATAAACTTGTCTCCATGGTTATCGGGAATTTTAATGATCCTTCCCTCGCATGTCCACTCACTTCCATCGACGGTTTGTTGATGTTTCAATCTAAGCTCATCTCCAATCATCAACTTCATATCTAAAGAGTTTAACCTAGACGAATAAAAACCTACTTCCATCCCTGAACTCAGGAAGATTGAAAGAGGCCACTAATTTTTTATTCAAACCAATATCCCATCGCACTTGGCTCACGGGATAGCTCATCTGTTCCTTCATTTTTCTATCATAAAGAGCTTCGAGAGATACCAATGGATTCAAAATATTGAAATATTGTACACCATCTTCGTATCGTAATCTAACGGGTTCCGGTTCATCATCGAGCCCTGGGCGGTCTAAGTCTTCGACAGTTGCATCATTGTTATCCTAAACAGTATGTAACAACCAAAAGTAAACAGACCCACCTTCCACATCTCCTCCAAACGATTTATCTGAGCTGCCGTAATTTGACGACATCTCATCTGTTGCTGCTGAGTGGGAACCTTTAGTATCCAGGAAACAATCTGCCTTTCAGAAATTAGGGGTTTCCAGTCCTCCGCCTCCCAATTACTACTCTTCTGTGCGGCCAATGAAGCACATGGAATTCGACAAAGCATAACAACGACGGAATCAGCTTTCGCAGTGATATAACCCATCATAAAAACGTTCCTAAACAAAAATATTGCACATACAAAAACATGCCTTGAACCACAATGATAGCATTCCAACTGGGTTTCGCCCAGTGGTCCATCTCTATGCAAAGACACTTCCCGGTGGTTTGAGCGGACAAGATGATTTACAATATGACTGCCAGTTGTGTTTCCTTTTCCATTGCAAAACCATTTGTCACAAACCGTGCATAGAGCCATAGAAGCCGAATTGTGATAGCCGCAATACCTAAAACCAAACAAATAATACAATACAAAAATTTCTACCTGCAAGCATGTTTTGGGAGATCGGTCAATTCATCGTCCTGATCATCGTCTAGTTCGAAATCGGGATTCTCGTTGCGATTTTCTGACAAGACGTCATCCCCATACGACGCTTGAGATAAAGTGTCCGTGAAACAGGACTGTGATCCACTCTTTAAAAATCCTTCTGAATATTGACTCAGAGAATCATAATCTGGTTCGGACATCCCAGGTTAATGATAAGCAACAAAACTGAAAGAAGAATACGTATAAATATGGTGTGACAAAAGTATTGCCAGAAATGCAAATTAAACAACTTGTACGAAATTTTACACGCAACTTTTCCTCTTAAAATAAGGAAACAAAATGATGGTTGTTCTATATTACCTTAAAGCTAAGAGGCTTCAGAATACTTATTCAAAACAATGAGCGTTCAGTTCACGCCAATTTGCCCACACGTAAAAAATGCAAAAAAATGGACCGAGTCAAGTCTTTCCCTGGTCGTGTTCGTCTTTGCAGAAATACAGTAATGAAACCGCAAAACTATATTATACTTTGAAGTGTGGGGTTAAACTATTAGAAAATTACGATATAATTAAATGCCCGACGGAGTTATTTGTGGAAAATTTGATTTTTATTCGTTTTATGGTGTCAGAAGGTGTTTGAGACATGCCAAATCACGAATATCTAGTGCAAAATCTGCATAAAAATTTAATTTTTACTCATTTGGGGGCCACTTTTTCCCATGATTCAAAATTTTGGTTATGCAAATTTCAAAAAACGTTCAAAATCTTGAGAAATTTGGATTTTCAGAGCTCTCGGAGAACGATAAAACAACCTTCAGAATAAAAATAAGCCCCAAATGAGCAAAAATTCAATTTTCATGCAGATTTTCTACTAAATCTACGAGAAGATTGGGATGCCAAATTAGTCCTGCCATGCCGAATTTGTCCCTTTTATAAATAATATTTAAAACTATGTTTAAGCTAAAATCCTAACTCATTGCCCGTGCTTTTAACAAGGAAAGTACTTTTACGGGGGCTCCTACTTTTTGACGGGACATATCTCAAAAAATCAGAAAAAATGTGCTGATCAAGGATATATAAATCTTAGCTGCCCATTTTAGGTTTCTAGGGGTGAAAACTCAATCGGAAGATGACTTAAAGCCCTATATGAACCCCTTTTCGCTTGATTTTTCACAGGTTTACAATTTTTATTTTGGCTTAAAATTATGTTTATTAAGTTTCTAAGACGTAATAAATCAGTCTTGGCACAAAAATTTATTTTTCCGACCTTCAACTTCAAAAAAAGTTGATTCACAAGGGAAGTACCCCAAGTGCGACGCTCAGATTTTCTTTAAATTTTGCACACACTTCGGGAATAGACTAAATATCAATTCCTGAAAGTTTTAGCTCGCGCTTTGCAGGCGCCGCCGAGATATCGGACGATTTTTGCCGCCGAGAGAGCACGCTAAACGTGGAGAGAGGTCAGAGAGAAAAACGCTTTTTGGCTATAACTTTGGCAGTTTCGTGCGGAAAAATTTGATTTTTTGTAGAAACATTATCCTTTACGGTAGAAATAGGCATGAAACTTTTCGTGCCGAAATTCGGCAAAACGTCCTAAATTTTGGCCGACTTTCGATCTAAAAATCTCGGTTGTTTCTGCAAAGCGCGAGCTAGGATTCTCGCATATATCTTAGAAAAAATTATTCTAAATTTGTGTGAAGTTTCATCAAAATCTGAGCGTCGCACTTGGGGTACTTCCCCTGTCAGTCCAAAAGGGAAACCGAACCCGTGCGACATTCCCCCTCTTGACTCCCAGACTACGGCACTAGCCACTCGGCCACACCGCTCTCTTCCGAAGGAAGAGACCGACTGCGCTTTTTATCGTTTCGAATGCCTGCGCCTTTTGTAGGGAAATTAAGCCAGTTTTTGGGCATTTTCACCCCTAAAAACCTAAAATGGGCAGCTAGGATTTATATATCCTTGATCAGCACATTTTTTCTGATTTTTTGAGATATGTCCCGTCAAAAAGTAGGAGCCCCCATAAAAGTACTTTCCTTGTAAGACAAAGACAGGTTTCAAATAGTTTTCGTAGAATATGGCACCAACATTTTTAGAAGTCTGGGACGCAGCTCGAATGAGTTCAGTCATAGAAGACAAGAAGTTCCAAAAACGTAACTTTGGTAAAAATTTTTTTGGCAAAGACGGAAAGCCAGGGCGCGTGTCGGGCAGCCGTAAAAGAAGGCAAGTAATTCTATAAAATTTCGTAGATAATACTTATCAGAGGGATGTAGATTCGCCGTAAGTAAATCTTGTGAAAATTAAGTTGTGTTTAGAGACTGGAAAAACATTGGTTTCATGGCGGCCAGGTGACGGTACAAACATGAGCCGCGAGTACAAGTTACAAATGAATGACGAAGCCGTCGATTACAATAATATTAGGGCTCAGCTCTTGATACGAACTCTGCAAGGACAAGATATTGACCGGGTTGTCAGTCTATGTAAAGAAGCTTTTCCCCTCGAATACGATCAGAATTGGTTTTTCGAAGTATGTTCAGGAAGATACATTAGTTATGGTGCCTTTGACGGGGAAAATCTAGCCGGTTTGATAGTCGCCGAAGTGAAAACTGTTGGTAATTGCGAAGTTGAGGTAGGAATAATTTTACTTCTACCTTTTTGCAGGACCGGGACATGTGGAATTGTCTGGACTCCCATGTCGTCTACGTAATGAGTTTAGCAGTATCGTGTTTATATAGGAGGCGAGGCATTGGTACAGTGCTGTTGGAGTATTTGCAAACGGTGATCTCGGCTTCCAGACCCTGTCCGGTTCTTATATATCTCCACGTATTGAAAGAAAACTATGGGGCTATCACATTTTACAAAAATCGCGGCTTCAAACATCACAAAACTTTGACGTAAGGAGAGCCGAATGGGCAGCAATGTTTTTCAGAAATTACTACCTGATTGATGGTATTGGTCGAGAGGGGTTGACGTTTATTCTGTTTTTAAACAACAACACCAACGCATGTTCCCTGAAAGATATGTGGAATACAACAACTGCCATGATTTCTGCCTTGTTCCGTTCACATGTTCTAAGGTCGACTTAATAAAAAATAATTAAAACCATTAATTTTTGGACCAAACTTGATCGCTCGGAGAGGGAAAAAGGGGTTGGACGCAGCTGCCCATGACCTGAGGGGCCCTTATCTTACGCCTGTTACTTGTCCTTTACTGCGATAACGCTCCACTTTTGCGTTTACGTGAATCTTGGTGGGGTAACTTAATTTGTCAGATTATCTGTACTTGACACTTTATTTTGACGACCATCATAATCGATATGATGCTTGCAAAATGAGCTCAGCTGATTTCTTAATTTTTTCTGAACTGTTAAATATAGGCGTTTTATCCTTAGGAAAACGTAGGGGTCGTTTTTTAAAATCATTTGCGACAGTCTTATTTATTAGGTTATATCATGATGAACCCCGAAATGAGTATGCCGGAAGATGATCCCAATGGGAATGTGAATACGGTAATGGGTGAAGCCAAGCCTCGATGGGGTCCAGCACATGCGGGTGCCAAGACACTGGCGTCAATGTATAGTCGAAGTGAGTGAATTTGATGATGGAGAGAGTTTTATCAGACAAAAGAATGCAAGAGGTTATCTCCATTGTTGTTTCCTTGACATTTTTTTCCACGGTCGGAATATTGTTAATATGGCGAATTGGTGACATCGCTCTACATTCACTTGTTTTTGCTGCTTTCTTCGGCATCATTGTAGCCGACTTTGCTTCAGGTGTAGTTCATTGGATTGCTGACACCTGGGGTACGGTAGACACGTTCATAGGACGGGTAAGCAATGCAATCTAAAAGAGAAATTTTCAGCATTTCATTCGGTCTTTTCGGGAACACCATGTGGATCCGACCGCTATTACACGGCATGACTTTGTAGAAGTCAATGGGGATAACTTCATGGTTTGCATTCCGAAACTGGCTCACATTCTCTACCAACACTTTACGTTGGAGGACGATGATCTGATTGCGGTCTTACCTGATCATTGGTTTTGGTTGTTTCTCGGGATTTACAGTGCGATGACAAATCAAGTAAGCAAGACGCACCTCGCCATCCACTTTCAGATACACAAATGGTCCCACACTTACTTCAATCTGCATCCTTTTATCGTGACACTACAGAGATTACACATAATACTACCTCGACACCACCACAAAATTCATCATATTTCACCTCACGCCTGTGCATACTGTATTACGACAGGGTGGCTTAACTACCCGTTGGACAAAGTAGGATTTTGGAGACATCTGGAATCGGCAGTCTCATTCCTTACTGGACAAAAACCTCGCGATGATGACCTCAAATGGGCAACAAAAACCGAATAAAGTTCCTGGCCGTTTATGATAATAAATATTAAAAAGATACATTAGTAAGCCGGCTCAGAAGCCGTGGTTTCATTCTGAAGTTGAGTTTGAATGTCAAGCAGCTTCTTCTTCAATGCCATAATTCCAGACAAAACAATTCTATCCGCTTTCAGTTGTCCGGCTGATTGAATGCCAAACCAGAACTTACTTGGTTTTCCTTTTGGATCAAAGGGTGCCTGAAACTGATCAGGAGGAAGTTCGGAGAAATCGCTTTTCGGCCATTCCTCTGGTTTTGCGTAGACAGTATGCCGCAAGGCATTGTCAGGGTCGTATTCAAACGCTACACCGCAAGTTGGATTCCATTTTGCATGTTCCTTTGCAAATCCCTAAAACAAACCAATTTTCCGCATGACAATAATATTCATACCTTCCTGGCAAAGCATTTCATTTTCAACGCTTGCCCTCGTCGTAGTTTAACAATCAAAATTTCTGCATCATTTACATCGTCGATTCCCAACCTATTCTGAATATGTTTGCCACATGAAGGAACGACACTTTGATTTGATGAGATCAAATCATCCGAAGTTACCGCTCGAGTTGATTCATGGGTACAACTGACGTCTAAGGAGAATTCAACTGTGCATTGAGGACAGAACTCGGCACACACACAATCCTAAACCTTACATAGTACAATACCAAGGTTCATTCTTACCCTGGCAAAAAGCATACGGTCAACGGCGTCATTTGAAGTCAATGGAATCAAACCCATCCGGTGGGATATGAATTCGTCATGGAGAACACTTGTATTCGTCTCTATTTGTACCCAATCAATAGCTGCAAATCTTTTTGCTTGAAACACGAGTAAACTTTATTTATTAAATTTAAATTCCTATCCCCGTCAAATTTTTCTCGTCAATTTTGTAAACCCAAGATTACAAAATATTATTTAAACAAAACCAGTAGAACGACTGCGTATTCCAAAAAACCTACAGAGGACCTGGTGCTCCACTGACAGAAAAAGAAAGCAAATCTTACCGATCGTAGGAACTTCGGCAATAAAAACCCTTCGGAGAGAATTGGCCATGCTAAGGTCAGTGTTTTCGATCGTAAATCTAATCTCTTCATCTGTGAGACTAGATACGGAAACAACTGGCTGGTTGGCAAATGGCATACTTTTAATTTACCACAGAACAAATTCACAACGTTGTGAATTTGCAACAAAAGTTTGCAAAATTTCTCAAAAAAAACAAAACATATTTTTCCCGAAAGAAAAATAATACGCCTGGCAGCGAGAACATTATGTTGGCATTATGCACCACATTGGATCGCGGTTCCAAGATTTCCACAAACCTACGAAAAATTAAAAGAATTACATCGTTTTTGGTCATCGTTACATCTTAGATGGAGTATTCCGTCAAAAATCTAGTTGTTGACTCCAATGCTCTTATTAAAAATGCTCTGACGTTGGTACGTTCTGAAATTAGCGTTAAAACCTATTTCCAGAAGACAGGGGAAAATGTATATTCAGTGTCTGGAGTTGTAAAAGAATTGCGGGACAAAGAAACGAAGGAACGATTGAGGAGTGGACTGTTCGATCTGAAATTACTGGAGCCCTCACCCGATTCCATAAAAAAAGGTGATTTTCGTGACGATCTTATGTAAAATTTTTAGTGATTGATATCTCAAAGAAAACTGGAGACTATCCTGTGCTTTCTTTAACCGACATTAACGTGCTTGCTTTGACTTTGGATCTACATATAAAACATAATGGTGAAGGTAGTGTCAATTACAATGTGGAGAATGTTAAGACTTTGATTGAACGAACGGTCGATGAAGAAGGGGAGGAGCTAAAAGAAACAAAGATTCCCGGATTTGTGAGCCCGGATTCAGATGCAGATGATGATGAAGACGAAGACGGCCATTGGCTCGACGACAGCAAATTGATTGGTGCTTTCGGCAAGCAAAGCGAACTCATGGTGGCCTGCATGACTTCTGACTTTGCGATGCAAAATGTCTTATTACACATGAGACTTGGGTTATTGGCTATTGATGGTCATAGGATAAGAGGGCTACGGACTTACGTTCTACGTTGCAGGTAAAAAATGTTTTCCATTTTATGAAGTTCAGATCGTGCTATAATTTGCTACGGAAAATGGACAAAGAATTTTGTCCTAAGTGTGGAAACAAGAATCTGCACAGAGTTAGTGTGAAGATAGATGAAGATGGGAGGACCGAAATCTATTTGAATGAACAGAAGCTTCAGATAACGCGCGGTCTCAGTCATGTTCGAAGAAATGTCAGAGGCGGGAAACACGACAACTGCGAAAGAATCTTTGAGGACCAACGGATGCCCCAAAATCGATTGGCTAAAACGCATCAGGTAAAGATAAATTGGTTGGAAAAATGGTCTCCATAACTTTGTTTTACAAGCTTACAAAAAAAATTTTACAAATTGTTACCATAATTACTATATTTTAACGAGTTTTTATGATTTTTTAGGATGGCATTTCCGATTCACCTTTCACTACACATGATGTGACGTCCAGGTCGGCGATCCTTGGCATCAGATCGCAATTTCATTCGAAAGGAGATTCTTACAATTCTACGAATCCACATGGTCGAAAGAGTGGTCGGAGGGTATGACTGTTATTATTGTTGTTGTTTTTTTGTATAAAAACTTGTTGAGACTCGGTTGGATTAATTTAAGACTGGTCTGCTTCCCTCATGTTATACTATAATTTGCGCGAAGCGTTATAAAGTTCTTTGTTCTGTTTTCAGAAATTGCAACGATGGTATGCGAAAAGTGTAAGTTCTGAATCGCTTCCAAACTGTGTTCATTCCAAAATTTTAGGCACAAATAAGTTAAACAAACTTGCTACGGTTCATAAAGGACCCTGTTCATCCAAAAAAGTAACGAATGAAAACAAATTACTTACATCAAAGTCACGATTTAAACCAGAAAAGGATTCCTTCAAGAAATGCCGGATTTGCAAAAAACTTTGCCACCATATTTCAGCCCATTACTGTCAAGATTGCGCGTATCAAAAAGGAATTTGTCCAATGTGCGGAAGAAAAGTTTTGGAAACGAATAACTACCGACAAAGTCTGGTATGATATGGTTTATCCTTTGTATATACTCGTGAAATATGAATGATGTATAAATTATCTCCTTTTTCGTTTCTTTGTGATTTTCGGACTACTGAACATATTCATTGAACGTTTCTCCGGCGACGAGCAATAATTCCAAAACATAGTTGATCCATCCCACTAAAATAATTTATTACCATCCACAGGATTCCGAGCTTCTCTACCGCCACCGATCGGTCGCATTTCGCACAAAATGGCAACCGGGCTGCGCGCCAGCTGAATACCAGGGTATACCCTGTAGGGTAGGTCTTTTTCACTCTGTCTAAAAACCAATTTTTACCCTTTTTCATTTTCAGGCTAGATAGTTATCAGCTGATGCGCGCAGGCTTGTTGTCATTTTGAGCGAAAAGCGGGACCGATCAGTCGCAGCAAAAAAGCTCGGAATTCTGTGCCATTCTGGAGAACTTACGGAGGCAGTAACTATTTCATTCTGCTCCGGATGCCACGAACAATCTCGTACAACACTTTGGTGTCCTCCAAACTTCCCTTTTATCTTTCCGTCGAGTATGTCGTACACTAAATGGCATTTAGTACTTAAATTTTCCAACTTACCTACACAGCTCCCAGTAGCGCATCCAGTGTAAACATAACGTCGTCCTGTAGATTCCGGTGAAAATTTGGCCCTGATTAACGTGTGTAAAACGGAGTGACCTCTCATTGTCAGTACTGAGCAATCCCCGTCCATAGGCTCTCGTCTCATGTCATTGGGTACTCTCTGATACCGATAATCCCATTGCTGATTTTGAACGGAGTCCAGTGTATTTTTCTGAAGGTTCATTTAAAATGGAATTAGCCGACTCACCACAGCTGCTTGCGATGCAGTATGTCGAAGATCCCACAACTTGATAGACTGGTCTTTGGAATTGGAGAGGAAATATCGCCCGTCCTCTCGAGAATCGATGTAAGTAATTCCATCGAAATGTCCGGCCATCACTCCAACTGGTTCGGCTCTGATACCCGAATCAATTGTCCGTCTGTCCCATACCTAAATTGTAAGTTCAATAACAAAAAGGTCTTACCTTTATAAGTCCATCATCAGCTCCTGTCAATATTAGATGAGAGCTGTGATCTACGAATGAAACGGCATTCACATCATCGTCATGTGCATTCACTGCCAAAACGCACTTTAACGTCTCTCTGTCATATATATACATATGACGGTCAGTGGATCCTGCGACTATTTCTGTACCGGAAGCATTGAATCTGATTGAGAAAAGGGCGAATCTAAAATTAGAAATAATACGATGAAGTCGTTATACCTCGACTCTTGTGCCTCTACTCGTAATGGCAACCAATTGTCAGCCGTTCCTTCCAACGAGCATTGATACATCGCATCGTTCCATGTCGAATACACAAGATCTCGACCATCCGGACTTACAATAACATCCAATATACTCCAACCAACATAAGGAACATCGATGGTTTTATGCAAGCTGTAACTGTCTTGCGAAGTTCTCCTATAGATTCTTATTTTATGATCTTGACTGGCGGTTACAACTTTATCACCATTTCCAATATGTGAAGCGCAGAATGTTTTGGATCGTATTGTATCGATCCGGTTACGGTAGTTCGGTGCGTACCTAAAAATAATCTTTCTGAATAATAAACGGTCTTACCGGTTGCTAAATTCGGTTTTATGACCAGGAGATATTCCGCTGACCCCCGGTTTGTAAGGCTGCCGACCACAACATGGTCTCCAACGTGCCCCCAATTCTCTCTCAACGAGCGTTGAGTACAGTTGTCGATGTCTGCGGCATTTACGTACGTCAAACGTCCCGCATCGTAACGACGTGTCCGCTATTAATTCTCCGTAACTCTAAAACAACTTTGTAGAAAAGCGCACAAACAAGTAATGCGAAGGGTCATGATATGTACCTTTCTCAAGGCATCAACTGAAGAAGCGATTACTGAGTAGCAACAAGTATCATTCACATCTTCCGACGACCCAGGGTCCATTTCATCGACCTCACCAGCTTCCTTAAAGATGATGATTAGAATGGGGAACAGCACAAACTCGAACCACTCAAACTACAAAATACAAGTTCGACAAAATAAATTTGTTCTCTCCAAAAGAGGAAGATAACAAAAAAGTTTGTCATCCGATCTCTCTCATCACTATCGTTGTTCTTACCCCTACAAGGCCGTCTTGTTGTATGGCACGATAAAAAGAGAGATCTCTAAGCTGATTTACGAGGTCTTGTTGAGCGTATTCATCCAATAAAGACGAACGGTTGGTGGATTCGGACGATTCGGCCGATCCCATTCGCTATGAGGACATTAGACATAACACAATTTAAGTATCTGAAGATTAAAACTTGTTTTATGTCCGGAAATTAGAATAAAATCTTTATTAGCTCTAGTCCAACTCGTCAACATCAGTGATAATACGAGCATCTTCCACCTCTGGCCACTTGGACGGATCGATAGGTTGACGGCAAATCGGGCAGGTTTTCTGCCTTTCTAGCCAAGGTACAAGGCAGTCCTTGTGATAAATATGTTTGCAGTCTAACTGCGCCACCTCTTGGCCTAAATCAAATGTGTCCATACAAGTCGTGCACTGGGTTCCGTTGTCTACATGGATCTGGGTAACATTGGTCATTGGCAATCTTTTTATTTCTGCCTTTGATAAGCCAACGGATTGCTCGTATCCGTTCAATAACTGCGTGATTATTTCGTCAAAATTTGCATCTCCAAACGCATAATCCCCGAGGTTCCTTGGCATTCTGAATGAAGATCAATCATCCTTAAACAGTTAATTACCCTCCGCCGTCCCCGTGACCTATTTGAATGTGAATATGGCCGCCTTGAGGCACACCAGACGATAGATTTGCCATTAGTTGATTCAAGAACTGCCCAAGAAAATCCCCTGGTTGTGCTTGCGGATTGCGACTATGATCTCCATCGTTGACTGCTCTGTTATTAGGACTTCTTCGGGCAGGTTCCTCATGACGAAGGTTGGAATTTAACGATGAGTCAGGAGTGAACACCCCTCTTGACGAGGGCCCTGCGGCAGCCCCGAGTAAGTTCCTCAGAAACTATGAATAAAATTGAAAATAGTTGTTAACTTACTGGTGGAACTCCTTGCAAATTAGTTGGCTCTTGACGGTCTGAACCTACTACAAAGGATATTGTTGGCTGCAGGTTTCCCAAGTAAGTGTTATTTGCAGGCGTAATTTCTTCAATAAACTCTCCATTGCATCGAGAACAGTGCAAGCTCTAAAACAATGTTAAATTCAAAATTATCTCATACCTGGTCGGCTTCTACCGTCTGCTCACATTGATAGCAATAAAACGGCATCTTTGCATTGGACAATATTCGAAAATTGCAGCAGAAAAAGTATTTCCGTTCACACACCTCGCTTTGATTCAATATTACGTAAAGATGGGCGCGAATTGCCGAGGAAATTTCAGCGTATGACATGTCCATTTTGCAAGGAGTCACCTATCACTAAAATATCAAAATGCGGTTACGTATATCATCAGGGGTGGTCAGCGGACCCTATTTTTCCGATTTTCGGCCCGCGGCCCGGCCCGTCTAATTGACCGGCCCGGCCCGGCCCGTCTAGTCTTTTTCCAGGCCCGGCCCGGCCCGTGACGGGCCTGGCCCGGCCCGGCCCGTGCAGGCCCGTCTATAGAGGGTTCTGCGAACTGCGCCCAGGCTCGGGATCTAAACTGAGGCAAAAAAGGCGTTGATCTAGCTAGTAAAGGATCAATGTGATAGTTTTGTGGTTCTATAATGGAACTATAGACTTGTAAACGTTTTAGAACTTGAGAAACAGCAACTATAACAACATAAATTAATTTTCCCGGCGCGAAAACAATGAATGCCAACAGTTTGGCATTGTATTTTAGACGGGCCGGGCCGGAAAAAAACCCAGGCCCGCGGCCCGGCCCGGCCCGTTTGTCAATTTCCATTTTTGAGGCCGGCCGGCCCGTTTGGGCCGGGCCGGGCCGGCCCGCTGACCACACCTGCGTATATCGACCTGAAAGATTGTGTGACGCCGCGGCGCGCCGTAGTTTGCGATGTTATTATTTTCTGATGCTCATAGGATAATTTTTTCAGAATGGTTCGAAAAAAGCTGGACAACAGACTTCGTGTCTTAATTGAGAATGGTGTTGTTCTGGGCCATCGTTCAATGTTTGTAGTGGTTGGCGAGAAGGCTCGTGATCAGGTTGTACTTCTACATCACATTTTATCAAAGGCTACGGTTTCCTCACGACCTTCGGTGTTATGGTGTTATAAGAAAGAGTTGGGATTTAGTTCCCATAGGAAGAAAAGGATTAGAGAAATCCAAAAAAAGGCTAAACATGGAAATGTTGAATTGAAGGTTAGTTCAAGTTCTTTTTTCATTGCTTAAATTTCTAGGAAGATGATCTCTTTGAGAATTTTATTTCTTCTACTGATATAAGATATTGTTATTACAACGAAACAGATCGAATTTTGGGTAATACTTATGGAATGTTGGTATTACAAGATTTTGAGGCTATTACTCCAAATCTGCTTGCCAGAACTGTTGAAACTGTGAAAGGTGGCGGTTTAGTTTTGATTCTTTTACCAGCCATCTCCAACCTGAAACAACTTTATTCGATAACTATGGTATGTTTATTTTTATTTAAACTTTACTTTCTTAGGATGTGCACAGTCGATATCGAACTCATTCCCACCAGCAAATAGTCAATAGATTTAACGAAAGGTTTCTTCTTTCGCTATCCGATTGTGCCGATTGTGCAGTTATCGACGATCAACTTAACATTTTGCCGATTTCATCGCACATCCTCAACCTGGAGCCAGTTCCGCCGACTTTAAAGATGGAGAAGTCAGAGACAGAATTGGAATTAGAAGATTTAAAGACGAAAATGAGCGATGTTAAGCCGTTGGGAACCATTCTCAAGGAGTGCAAAACACTCTGCCAGGCGAAGGTAGGCATACGTTTCTGTACGAAAAAAAACGTCGTGAAATAATCTACGTGTAATGCAATATGGTAAAACTTTTTAGGTAGTTCTTCGTTTGCTTGACATTCTGACAGAGAGGACTTCCGCGATTTGTGCGATTACAGCAGCTCGAGGGCGTGGTAAATCTGCAGCCCTTGGTTTAGCTATTGCCGGGGGTATTTCTTTCGGATTGTCTAATATATACGTCACAAGTCCAACTCCAGATAACGTTAAAACGCTTTTTCAATTTGTGATAGAAGGTTTTAAAGCTCTAAACCTAAAGGAACACGTCGATTATACCATCAATTACTCAAAGGAAGAACATCAGAAGGGATTAATTATGGGCTTTGAGATGTTTAAACGCCATAAACAGACCATCAAGGTGAGAAGAAACGAAGGAACGTCATGTTTATTTGAGGTTTCAGTATCTTGTTCCGACTGAAAATAATGTTCTAACCCAAGGAGAACTTCTAGTAATTGATGAAGCGGCCGCCATTCCATTGCCAATTGTCCAAAACTTAACCAAAGGTACCTATTTTTCTTTCTGTTTATTGTGTTTAGGGAACAACATCGTTTTCTTTTCGTCCACCACACATGGATATGAGGGAACTGGTCGATCGCTTTCGTTGAAGCTGATCCAACAGTTAAGGAAGAGGTCGACAACGAGTTCTGAGGGTAAAGATGGGCGTATTGGAAGGTTACTGCATGAAATGACATTGGAAGAAAGCATTCGATACAAGCCGGGGGATAAGATTGAGAAGTGGTTGTTTAAATTTCTATGTCTCGACTCTATGAACACCACATATAAGATATCAGGTTCTCCCCCGCCTGAAGTTTGTCAGTTGTAAGTTTATAATTTGTTAATAAGCCTTTTTTAAAGGTATCACGTAAATCTCGATGCCCTGTTCTCGTATCACAAAGCTGCCGAACTGTTTCTGTCCAAGGTGATGTCAATATTTGTCTCTGCCCATTACAAAAACAATCCTAACGATTTACAAATGTTATCTGATGCCCCTGCCCAGCTCTTGTTTGTTTTAATGAGTCCAGTTTCTAATGAAATAACGGATATCCCTGATGTAAGTTTTTTTCGCCTTATCTTTATTTTGTATTTAGATCTTAGCTGTTGCCCAAATTGTACTGGAAGGTGAGATTCCCGATCAACAAATTCGTAGTGAACAATCGAAGGGGAGACGGGCGGCTGGAGACTTGATACCTTGGACGTTATGCCAATATTATCTAGTACGTTTATTTTTCGATTTTTTTGTTGGGGAGGTTTTTGACCACAGATAAACCTGCGAGAAAAATTTACCGAAAAATTGCATTGGTTCTCTTGACCCTTTTCATTTTTTCTCCGGCCTCTTTCTGGGGGGCCCTTCCTATACTGGTCTACAAAATTTTCTTTCCACGTATCTCGGGAACCGCCGGGCCTCCAAATTCGGCATAGAAACATCCCGGGACAATCTAACACCATACCCAAAAAATCATATCATCTGATGCACTTTCCATACACTTTATGCAAAAGGCAAGAAAACCGGATGACAAAATTTGCTTTCCGCATTGGAAAACGTTTGTAACTAATAAGTCAGAGGGCGGCGCTAACAAGGGAAGTCACTTAAATCACGGATCGATTTTGAAAAACGACTGATACAGCGATGGGGAGGGTAGGACGGGGATATCAAATCTGAAAACCGCTACCTCCACCGGCCTCTGGGAGCCGAGATAATCGACCAAAAAGTTTGACCAAATTCCTCCGAACATTTCTTCCTTCCGAAAGAAGAAAACTCAGCGAACCGAATGGTCGGGTGGTCTGGAAGCGCGCTTCCGGGCCTTCACCTTTTCAGGTTCGAATCCGCGCAGTTCTCGAACTTGTGAAAAATTTATAAAACAGTTGCTATAATCCTGTAAATTTACTGGCAATTTATTTTTTGATTTTATGCCTATTTTACGGTAAATTTTCATCCTTGAAAATTCAAATCGGAACTCGCATTCAAATTATTACTCTGAAATTTTAGCGTAAAATATGCAAAAAATCAAAAAATTTTATCCTGCCGGTAAATTTACTGGATTACAGGAAAAGTTTAAAAAATTATTTGACCCATGCGGATTCGAACCTGAAAAGGTCAAGGGCCGGAAGCGCGCTTCCAGACCACCGGACCATCCGGTTCTCTTCTCTGCTTCTTTCGGAAGAGATTCGGAGCAACTTTTTTTGGTCAAACTTTTTTGGTCGATTATCTCGGCTTCCAGAGGCCGGTGGAGGTAGCGGTTTTCAGATTTGATATCTCCGTCCTACCCTCCCCATCGCTGTAACAGTCGTTTTACAAAATCGATCCGTGACTTAAGTGACTTCCCTTGTAAGGCATGATTGTGGTATCGTTGTGATGGAAAGAAAATTTTGTCGACCAGTATAAGAAAAATCAAGAAATTCCATAAATCCTAAGTAATAGTACAACTAACTGGTTGCATACATTGACTTCACCGGACCTCGTTGGTCTCCGGATGCTCATTGGCCCGGCCACGATTTCATCTCGTCTGTTTTATAGGATTATTCCTTTCCCAAGTTGGCTGGTGCCCGGATAATTCGTTTGGCTGTTCATTCCGAAGTTCAGGGTATGGGTTACGGCGGAAGAGTTGTGGAATTGCTTCAGGATTACTTTGAAGGAAACGTTGTGTGTGTTAATGAGAAGAGTGAAGACGAGTTTAAAATCCGCAACATAAAGGTAGAGTTGAACTCCTTTAGACGTTGTGTTTGTAGGATGATTTGGAGTCAGATTCTGATCTGAAGCCGCCAACTGAACTTCCTCCGCTTCTGAGAAAGCTTACTGAACGGAGAGCGGAGAAATTGGATTATTTGGGCGTGTCTTATGGACTGAACGTGCAGCTCTTAAAGTTCTGGAAGAAAGGAGGATTTGTCCCTGTCTACTTGAGGACCACTCCTAGTCCTGTTACTGGAGAATATAGCTGCATTATGTTGAAACCTTTGGCTACTGAAGGGAATAATGAAATTCAAAAAAAGAATGACTGGGTCTACACTTATAATGCAGAATTTAGAAGAAGATTCCTTTCTCTTCTCGGCTTTCAGTTCCGAAACTTCTCTCCTCATCTTGTTTTGAGCCTTCTTCAGAAGACAAACGATGTGATTCCGATTGGGAAAGGTAGGTTTATGGATTAAACTCGCGACTATGGCCCATCGTTGTAAAAGATTAGTTAATTCAAGAGGTAGAACCGCAACTCGCAGACTTTGTAGCATGTGGATCTAATAGAGAGTTGAACTGTTAACCAGAAGAGTGGGTTCACCGAAAACCCTAGCCAAAGAGGATTGGCCTTTTCCGAGCCGTTTGCATCATTTTTTTACTAATCCAATATTAGCCGTTAGTGGTTTTTTACAACACTGATTTGGGTAGCGACTATTTCCAGGGGTGGTCCGGTTATTTGAAAAAAAATTATTTGAAATAATCGCAATGCGAGGATGTGACTGTCTTTAGAAAAATTATTCGATCATAATTTATGTTTTAGAATGCTAATACATCGATAAAACGGATAATCGAAGCCAAAAAAATTATTCTTTTGCGAATTTTACCGTGATAAAAATACCAAAGCCTAGTTGGTTTCCTAACCTGTTCCAAACGTTTGTCCCGCCTATTTTAAAAAATTTTTGTTTTTACTTGCACGAGCTTTCTGATTTCTACGGCTATGTATCGGTTTAGGGTGTTAATAGATTGCTCTTCCACCATAAAAGAAGTGAAATTCCGATCTCAAGCCGCAAAGAAAATCTAGCCTGTTCCAAAGTTTAGCCCCGGGTCCAAGTTCCGAATAGTGTCTCTTCTCCAAAACGAGGTATGCCATTGGCGGGGGAAAATCGGATAAACGGGTCGGTTTTGCCACCCTGATCATAGCACTGAAACTAGCCAATCATTTAACTTGGTCTATTCTAATCGCATAATTCGATTTTTTTATTTCTTTAGTTCTGAAACGTGATGAAGTCCCGCTATTTCTTACCGATTCTGATCTCAAGAGGCTGTCGAATTACACAAGAAATATGGCCGACTATTCATTTATTGCCGATCTTCTCCCCAATATGGCCCATCTGTACTTCTCTGATTCCATGGATGGAGTAAGTGAGATATAAAAGTTAATTAGGAAAATGTACAAACTGGCGACATACGTCATTGAAGAGTCATTAAAGAAAGGTGCAAGACACCATTTCCATTTTTTTGCAGAATACCTTTCCGCCACGACGTACTGTAATTTACAGTATTTATAGGCCGTTTCGCAAAAAAATTCTTTCTCTCTCTTGGAAGAAAAAATTCGTTTACTAGGGGTTGCTTCAATGGTGCAGTGGTTGCTGTGCAGGTTGTGAAAAAAGCTCAAGCGAGTTCAGTGCCCGAGTATGGAAAACTGTTTTGAATTTTTTGAGTTAGAAACATATTTGCGTTAAGCTTTTCGAAGTTTTTTAATTTTGTTAGAAGACGACCCACTGCAGTTAAAACCTTCAAATTTACACGTTTTTTCGGATAAAAACAATGAAAATGTTCTTTTCATTGGATGAGTACACGAAAACTGGAAATATAATTAAACAAGATGGTTTTGTTTAACTACTTAAGGCACAAACGAACCGTTTATAATTTTTGCCCTGAGGAATTCTGCAAAAAATGAAAGTGGTTTCTAGTACTACTTTTCAAGCGCTTTCTAACGGTGTATAATACTTGTCATTTGGTGAGGGTAAGTTTGTCCATTTCCCTCGTACAGTGAGGGACCTGATCCAATGGCATAAAACGTCTCCTTTTGCATCCCGGAAGGGATCAAAATGACTCCAAACCATTCCCTTCTCTAAGCTAAAAAAACTCCGCTTTGAAAAGCGCGCCCCTTACTTCAAGGCGGGCTCTTCAAAGCGGGGGTTTTTAGTTTAGAGAAGGGAAGGGTTTGGAGACATTTTGGTCCCTTACGGGATGCAAAATGAGACGTTTTTTGCCATTGGATCCGGTCCCTCACTGTAAGTTATCGAATTGCAGCTATTTTTTGTCGCCCGCAAAAAGACTTCTCACTGTCCGCAAATGAGAGTCTTGTTGTGTAAAACTCAATGTTTAGCAGCAAATTTGATGTAAAAGTTTGAGACATTACTCCTAGACGTCTAGTAGTGTGTTTTTTTCTTACTTCCGAGTAATTCACGCAATAGGAAGGCACTCTGGGTAGAGAATCTAATGATATTGTACGCCATATCGGTGATTATTAAAGCAAAAATATTTACATCTTTTATACTGTTTTTCTAATATACTAGAAGAGTGCTTGTTAATTTAAACACCAATTGGGGTTTTTATTGGACACCTTTCAGCAACCTTTTTTATTTGCGGGCAGCAAAAAGTTTCTTTGTGGACACTGAAAAGCGTCGTTTCACATTTTTAGGTTGAGCTAAACGCGCTGCAATCAGCTTCACTGTTGTCGATGGGTTTACAAAGAAAGTCGGCGGAAGAGGTAGCTGGAGAGTTGAACATCGAAGTGGGTCAGTTAATGGCACTGTTCAACAAAGTTGCTCGGAAAATATCCGATTATTTCGACAATCTTTGCAAGAGTGCAATTGAAGGAAATAATAGAGTTACTGAGGTCACTATGAAGCCAACGGAAAGGTCTCTAATCGAAGACTTGAAGAATGCCGAAATGGAGATACGAATGCGGCAGGCAAAGGACAAGTTGGACCTGTCTCAATCCCTCGGATTTTCATCCGGATCGATCCCATCAGCCTTAAAGCAATTTGAGATAAAAGCAGGCGACGATGAATTCCAGAAGACCGTCGGGAACGTGCATCTCAGTCACGCTAGACATGGCGGGATTATCTCGGTCAAGACGAATAAAGGGTAAGTTTCATACGAATTATATTTCTGTTATTTAAGTGATGTTGTTCACAAATCCTTAATTGATCGTGAATTGGAGGAGATTGAAGGGAAGAAACAAAATAAACGGCCAATGAGGGAAAACAAGAGGAAAACGGTCAAAAAGTTTAAAAGAAATTAATCCCTTCTTTTTGTTGTTGTTGTTACTTTATTAATGAAGTGTTGTTAATGAGACCGTTCGAGGGATAAGGATTACGTTTTACCATTGAAATATTTTAACAAATTTGTTCCTGGGCCAGTTCCTTATCAGAAACTTGCGTCCCTCGTTGAATGCGATCAAGTAAATCCCAACAATGGGAGCGAACACCCAAACGTGGCTTGGCGGAACATGAATATCCATAATGTACTGCATGGCTGGGGTGTAAACAAACACATTTAACAAAAGTATCTCGATAATGACAGCAAAAACGCTGACCAAGTTTGTGATTCCATGTTGGAAAAAAGATACTCTTCTGGTAGTACACATGTACAGATGAAACACTTGCGACATTACTAATGTCACTTGCCAGGCTGCTGCAGCTTGGCCCCGGATGAACATCTGCTGTTTCTCATCGAACACTAAGCCGTCAGAAGTTGTGAAGTTCTCGGCATCTGGCCTCCAGTGATGCTCAGAAGTGTAAAGAAGGTCGAAGAAACTAATGTTGTGATGCCTGACTATAGACAAGGAGGATGCACGCACTTACCAGTAAATACTCAGATACGCAAAGAAACATCCCATAGTAATAACACACCCCGAGAACCCGTAAGAGTACAGCAACAACTTGTTTGTGACCAACGAAGTTGACCGTGATCTGGGAGGGATCTTCATTATATCTCGCTCTGGAGATTCATAAGCCAGTGACACGGCCGGTGGCAACTCGCTTGCCAAATCAATGCTTAATATCTGGAACGTACTTTTTCTCATCTTGTACACCTACTTGAAGAGGTTCCAATCCCAAGGGCATTCCAAGAACAAAGTTGATTATGATAGGGAATACTTCTGGCCATAAATGTGCTAGCTTTGGAGATAATATTACTTTCAATGTAATTATTTACCGTATACGCAATGGACAGCCGTAGGTTGTCGAAGAGAAGACGTCCTTCTTCAATCCCCTTTACAATGCTTGCAAAGTTGTCATCAGTCAGGATAAGATCGGCCATTTTCTGAGCAATATCACTTCCATTAACTCCCATGGCAATGCCCACATTTGCTTTTGCCAAGGCCGGGGCATCATTTACGCCCCCACCAGTCACAGCGACAGTCTCGCCGCGTTCTTGGCATTCTTTCACTATCAGGAGCTTTTGTTCCGGAGTAGTTCTACAGGCAAGGTGGCAATCAGGGTATTCAAATTACCTTGCAAATATAATGTACTTGTAAGACAGAAGCTGGTCCCATTGCGATTTATTCATGCTCGTTAGGTCCTCTCCCAGCACTACTGTCCAGTCTTCGGTGGCGTTTGCATCCACGCTTAATTTGACTTGTTGGCGCCCTCTTACCTCAATCTTAGATATATGAGTTTACGGATACTATTGACCTTACTTTGTCTGTGTGAGGGCCTATCAGCCCTATTTGGGAGGCTACTGCAGTTGCCGTTGTTGGATGGTCGCCAGTGATCATGAACACTTTTATTCCTGCCTCCTTACATTGTTGTATAGCAGCACTTGTCTCGGGTCTGAAGATTTTATTAGTACAGATCCGCGTTTACCTTGGGGGATCCATCATTGCGCACATCCCCAGGAATACAAGCCCCTCGTCCGGAAACTCGGTCTTCTTGAATTTCAAATGAGACCTGTCTCTGAAATGCCTGTGGGCAAATGCAATAACTCTCCGTCCTTCATTTCCAAAATATTCCCAAGCTTCTTGACATCGTTGTCGAAAGTCATCGGTGATTTCGACCAATTCATTATCAATCAAAGTGTAAGTGGATCGACTGAGAATAACCTCCGGTGCCCCCTTCATCATCGTAATGTAGATCCAGTTGGATTGATCTGCTTCTTCCATTTCTTTTGTGTCAGCCGATTGCGGCTTGGCCATACAGCGGCAAACAACAAGTTGCCATCGACGGACCGAGTTGAAAGGGATCTCCAAAATTGTCTAAACACATTTCAGGGGATGACTCTACTTTTGTCGAAGAACTCTTACATGAAATCGTTGTCTGACACCTTCGACACTAGCAGTTTGCTGTACGTACCGTAACAAAGCGACGTCAGAAGGGCATCCGATGATGTCGTTTCGCTTTCTTCGTGCCCTCTTGTCCTTCTTCCGCTCTTCTTCCTCAAAATTGTACACATTATCGCTGATTTTTTCAGTACTTGGTTGGCTTTGCATGTCTTTTGTAGGTTCATGAACAGATTCATTCCCTGACTGATCACTGAATTCGCACTACAGTGCCGATTACGTTCACTTACATTACAGTAAATCGTTTTGTCCTGACCGAATTTAATTTTTCTCGATGGACCTTTTCCATTTCTCTTATACTGGACACCTTTCTGACCGATCTTCTAGAGCCAACCGAGGCCGAATTGCAGACGGACATTACAGATAACAGTTCTGGAAGAGTCGGCTCTAGTTTCTGTTTAGAGGTTATCTTCAACGCCTTGATATGAGGCTGTTTAATGTCGGCATGCACTGAAATGGAAGTGATGATTTTGCGTTTTCAGAAGGTACCTGAATAATGGCGACTGTTGTACCAGAGGTCGGTCAGAATCATTAAATTCTCCGTCAAAGTGCCAGTTTTGTCAGTAGCCACTACTGTCGTAGCACCGAGTTCATCAATGACGTCCAATTTTTTTATAAAAACGTTCTTTTTTGCCATTCTCCGCGCAATGATGGCCAATTGGGACATGACCATAGCAGGGAGACCTTGAGGAACATTGGCCACGATAATGATCAAAAAGCCCGTTACAAAATGGAAAAGAATATTCTCAAACCGGGCGACAACGATCCCAATCAAAAAGAAAATGACCCCCATGCTCAGTGCAATTATCGATATCAACTGGACGAACTTAGCGATCTCTTTCTGAAGAAGACTCTCGTTGATAACCACGTTCCCCTGGATGCTGGCAATGTTTCCTAAGAGAGTATAATGCCCAGTTCTGATTACACAGGCTATCGCATCTCCTTCGATGCAGTAGGACCCTTTGAAGGCAACATTACGGGCATCGAACACACTTATGTGCCGAGCGGCAGCTTCATGGGTAAAGTCCAGGGGTTGAGGTTCTCCTGAAGTATCAGATTTTAACCAAATAAATCACACAAGGAAACTTCTCAGTAAATTCAAGTGTATTGCCAACATAGTATAAGGATGGTGACATACGCATTAAATCGGGTGTCGTTGTCTGTTAGGCCTAGACAAGAAATGCGCAATTCTTGTCTGAGCAGAGAAAAAAAGAAAAAAATCTCCAAAGGGAGAGAGCAGAAATTTACGCAATACTGCGCAACGTTCCGCAATTTGAGACAAGAATTGCGCATTTCGTGTCTAGAGGCCTAACAGACAAGAAATTGCGGGTTCTGGCCACGACACCCCGAATTATTTTTTTCTTAATTTTTTGGTTTTGGGGTTACTATAAGTAAATGTGATAACTTACAATATTTTTTGAACTAAAGGTTCTTTCGCACGGAGTTATGTTGGCAAAATGTTTGAATTAACTGAGAACTCTCTTACATTGCCTCGATTTGTACCTGTAATCGCAGACATTTCTAATTTAAGACCGAAAGATTGAAGTATTCTGGCATCGGCGGGGACTCTTTGGCCTGCCCTGATGTTGATTATATCTCCCACCACCAGTTCTTCTGCCGGCACTTGTCTTTCCTCGCAATCTCTGATCACAAATGAATTCTGGGGAAGAATAGATTTGAAGTCGCTGACAACCTGGACAAAGAGATGTAAGTATAGAGTTGTCTGACATCGTATGTTCACCTACTCTCATAGCCTTCTTCTCTTGCAAGAATGACATTATGCTCATACACACGACTATGCACATCAAAATCAATGCACAATAAAGATTTAAGGGTTCCTCATTGTTATGATAGAGATGAATGAAATAAGTTATAATGCTCAGAACGGCCGCTCCCATTAGAAGGATCCAAAATTTGTACAGGAACTGCTTGGCAAACAATTGCAGATTACTAATGTCTTTTGGGGGCTTGATCACATTTTTACCGCCATCTCTGAGTCTTTTTCTAAACCACTTGAGCGTCTAATAGAAATAAAACGTACCTGGCTTCCGTAGAGCTAAGTCCGTCACTGTTTTCAGGGCATTCCTGATCAATGTAAGAGTCTGGATAAACATCCCGGAGTTCGTCGAGAGTGAGATGATGCTCTACAAAAGTGTTGGCCACATCTTGACGACGATGTTCTGGGGATTCCACGGATTCAGAGACTTTTGGTTTCCTCAGAAGACGCCTTATCCACCGATGAAGCATAATATAAAAATTTTAACGGGTTTTACTGGATGCTCAACTTTTATTTTTAAGGTCAAAAACCGAGAGCGACCGCCATTTTTTGTGTAAACTGTGAGCGGAATTACCTGTTTTCATGCCTCCTGCGGTCTTTATTTACTTCTGATACGTATACATTACTTACAGGGTGCGCCAATAAAATCTGGACTAATATTTTTGCTTGCCCTGCGGGCTGAAACAGTACGAGAACAAAGTGGGCGATTGTGTACACGTGTAATACGTCCAAGAAGCTATCTTTAAAGTTTCAGACAAAATAATCGTCTACGGGACTTGTTTTGCCATTATAAGTGCTTACAACTAAAGCGCCTGAAACACGGACCCCAAATTGGTCAAAAAATGGTTGCGCTATCTTTACCGTTTTATGCTATGGGCTAAAATTTATTTTTTCTGATAGAGCCCTGGTCGGTTTTTATACACTGAAATTGATCTTGCCTCATTATGACAATTAGGCTTTTTACAGCTCGCCAAAGTTGGTTTAAAAACGGGCCCTTTTTCGCGAAAACTTCCGTTAAATCAATGATTTTTATGTAGAAGTTTCCCTGTGTGATTCCAAACATGTTAAGCACCAGAACTACTTTTGTAAGGATAACCAGAGTCTGCCTAGTCGCCTTTCAAAGAGGATTTTTCTATCTGGTGCCTCTGGTGATGAAATAGTGACCGTAGTGGCATAATTTACTAAATGCTCGCTATTCGAGTGACCTTGGACTAGATATTTCTAAAAGTGATTTGGCTACATTAGCATGTATCCAGTATACAACGCTATGTTGATTTTTACGCTTAAGGCCTTTCCAACTGGTTACAAACTGCCAAAACGTTTCAAGTCCCGAATGACCGTGCCTTGAATTCCCCCCACGAACTTTTATTTATGCAGAAACTGTCCCCTTGTATGTGCGGATTTTCTTTTACACTATAACAATTGTCTATGTATACACTCTGTAATCACGGAATTTTGGAGCAAGACGGGCTATAACCTGGCGTTGAGATCCTTAAAAACATAAAAATCCAAATTTTTGGGCCTTTTTTTGTTTCCGCCACCAACGCCGCCAGATCGGCCGCCAACCATGATTCCGTTTGCTGTTACGAAGCTAACAGCACGTACTTTATATACAATAAATTTGAAGAACGTCAGTCCCCCCTAGCAGAAATAATGGAGGAATTAATATCCCAGTCATCATCTGGAAAAAAAATTTCTGCACCTCCAAAAACTTTTGATTATTTTTTCGCTCTTGCAATAGGCACCGACCTGGGCATTATCGTTGCTTTACAGCACGGTTGTTACCCTTTCTAAAAGTGCTAAAAGTTTCCATTCGTAGGCCGTCTGAAAAAGGCTACATGGAATTTAGTTTAGTCCAGATTTTATTGGCGCACCCTGTATATTCTACTAAATATTTTATCCGTCTGACACAAAGGGGATGATAATTGAGTTAAATGAGAAGGGAATCGGCCAGAATGAGGCAGGCTTTCTGTCTTGATCAGTCTATTCATGTCCTCGGCTGCTTCCTTCGCTCCTTTAATTGTCCCTCACTCAGAATGCAAGAATACAGTAAGTATACCATTCTCTGAGACGATGATCAAACATTTTAGCTACCAAAAAAGGTGCCGACAAAGAAGAGTGGACTTCAATTTGTAAAGATGGCTCTCCCACACGTTGGTTTGTACTCTCTGATATTCGGATACCTAATGCTGGGAGCTTGGGCATTTAAAATGTTCGAGTTCGATGCGGAAAGAGAGCATATGCGGGAAAAATTGAAGAAAATAGAAACAGTCTACAGTACCATCGATAAAACAATGAACAAAATGTGCATTGAGATCGATTCGGCACGGCTTTATAACTCTTTGTCAAGGTAAACCGATCTCCCAATGTAATATAACAGTAAAGATTGTCATCGTATATGGAAGGGAAGCCTTTCAAACTAAACCCGCACAAAATAGCCGATGTTGACGATGTCCTCCCTTCTAAATGGGATACCCTGTCTTCCATTTTGTATGCCCTCTCAATACTGGTGAGATGAAATTTATTTCCGCGATGATTAACATTTTAATTACAATCGGACTCGATTATCGGAGTAATTATTTCGAAAATTCGATCTCTCATTTTAAGACGACCACCGGCTACGGATACGTGAATCCAACTACAGTTGTGGGGAAGATTTTCTCAATGGGATACGGATTTATTGGGATCCCATTGATGTTCTTGGCGGCCGTAGATATCGGCCGGTTTTTGTCTCACGTGGTCCTCAAAGTATACAACCAATTTCAGGTAGGAGGCGTTGTCAGGTCTTTATAGAAATTTCCAGACCAATCTTAGATTTACCTGGTGCTGTCCGAAGAAGAATGACGTCATTTCCCAAGTCGAGACTAAGGCCCGGAAGGTTTTAACTCCAATCAAACGAAAATCCTTCAGCAGGAAATCATTCAGGAAAAAGAATTCAAAAAAGGACGAGAGGAGTAACAAGAAACGACTTCCGTTGTCAGTTAACGCCTCCATCTTACTTCTTTTCTGCATGTTCGGAGGCCTCGTTTATATTGCCGCTGGCGGAAATCAGAAAACTTTCTTTGGAGCTTTTTTTGTCACCTTTAATTTGGTGGCCAATCTGACAATGGCGGAGATGCCGACGGATATCTCCAAGGCATTGACCGTCCTTTACATTACAATCTTCGTTACATTCGGTATGAGAAGGGGTTCTCTGACCCTATTTTAGGATTGGCCGTTCTATCAATGTGCGCCGAATTGGCGGCCGGTGAACTAAAATGGATATTCTTGAAGATACATTACTTCGGGCGGAAAATAAACTGGAAAAGAAAACAGAAGGACCCGAAGGAAGAGCAGATCGATATCGAAGTGACGGAATTGCTGAACATAATTAATCAGATTAAGTCCAAGTACCCCGAAAAGCGGGAAATAACATCTGTCGACCTTCTCAAATACGTCCAGGAATTAAACGGAGGGACTCAAAGTATTACATTTAACATGTTCATGAAGCAGCATCGCCGGGATACGATCGCTTTCATGCCTCAGAGTATAGAAGCTCTAAAATTTGCAGACGAAATGGACTTCGATGACCAATCGGGGAAGGAAGAGCTCGAGACTGAGGAGACTGACAACCTAACTCTCCGCTTCTCAACATAATTGTGACAGCTTTATTACGTAATCTTTGTCACAAATAAAGTACCCGAGTGTTTTTTTCAATGGAATCTGTGAGCATTTGCTGTTTTAAAACTTCCTTGACATCAGATAAAGCCAAGTCTGCGTGAAATCGGACGACATCATCCGAATCTGTTGCTCTAGTTTGTTTCAAAACTTGAATCAGCTTTGTATTTGCCTCTTTGTTACTCTATAACAAATCAAAATTAAAAAGAATACGTTACCCGAAGTAAAGAAGAGGTTTCTTGCGCACTGAGCATCGTCCTGAGCAGAAAAACACTGGCTCGTCGAAGCAGTTTGTCTCTTTTTGATAACAGTAATTCGTTACATATATAAAGTAACTACAAACCAGTGGGTCAAACAAACCAATATTACCTCAAAGAAATTCTTCCACAAAAATTTTCCTTTGGAGACTTGAATAAGATTGGAAAACGCACTCAGCGATGAAGAGACCACAATGTCACTATGATGATTTAACATGGCTGTAAACACCGTATTCAGCTGACCATAATAGACTACAGAAATCTCCCCCAACTCCAATAAAATCCTTGAAATCGCTTCGCCCAATTGGATCTGATTTCGATTACAAATGTCGCAATCTATTATAAATAAACATTGCATTTTACAAAGCGCACTCACTCTTGCTGTCATTGTCTTCACAAGAGCATTCCCAATTCAGAAATAAGAATATCATTTTACCCAGAAATTCTGAATGTTTCCAAAGAACCAGATGCGAAAGGGAGTTGATTGCTGACAGATACACATAAGAGTCCGGGTGGTGAATATTATCTGGAAACATGGAGTTTAAGAAAATGCACACCATTGCTTTAAAATTGTGAAAGCCTCACAAAATAAAACATTAAAGAGTCTGGGACAATCGTCAACTAGACAAGAGTCCCGTCTTCTGATCAGACCAGTCATCTTGATGACAGCACCACCTCTCTCCGCGATCTCCACACTCCCATCTTCTTCATCCTCAAATCCATTCTGCATAATTTGCATTAATCTATCATAATCCGAATCCGATGCAGTAAGCTTGTCGGACGAAGTTTTAATTAAATCCTTCCCAAGCAATTTCAAAAAGTTTGAAATGTTGAGTTTTAAATTTCTGTAGTCCTCGTCAATTATACTTTCATTTACAGACAAAGTGTTATGCAATTTCAAGAGGATGTCTCCACACTCCTCATACAATCCATGGACCTGTAATTATATTGTTTTCCCCAACAAATCAATCACCTTTTCCGATTCGCCTTGTCCATATAACCCACCAAGAAGACCGAGGCTGAGATGTGTTGTTCTTAGCAAATCTGGCGCATTAAAGAGCAACCTAATATCCAAGCCTTTTTGCTTCAGGCTGAATTCTATGATCTGTTGGTCAACTCTTCTAAAATTTTCCTAAAAATTGTTGTACAGCAACTAAAATAACGGTACCTTTACTACCCCGAGTAAGGCAAGGATAACGTCTTCATCTTCAAAAGAGTCGTCTTTGTCCATTAACCATTCACCGAGAAGGCCCATCAGATGTAACACTGACCATGTATAACTCTCTTCACCATTTATATCCACTTCTTGTAAGTCTCGGACAAAGCTTTCTTCATCAAATCCCTCGTTCCATAAAACCATAGTTTTCACCAACAAATTCGCCATAATTCCTCGAGACTTTTCAAGTTTTCCCATCAATTTGGCAAGAGAATTAAAGAAAATTTCGTTAATAATCTCTGGACCCGGCTTCGAATTAAGAGAAATAATTCCGAAATGGTCGACATCTTCTTCATTCGACACGTCAGGAAGATTTCTTGCTCGATGGAGCAAAGAAAAAGTCTCCAGAAGAAGTCGCGCCTGAATATTTGAGTAAACAACGATCCTATTTTACCTTTTCCTCATTCTTTTCGGAACCATCCAACAAGTGTAATATCAACGAGACTATATTTTTCTCATCACGACAACCATTTATATAGATAAGAATTGCCAAAAGCTAATAAAATAATCATAAAGCGTCCAAAACTTACCTTTTTTATCCGATGATTATACTCGCTACAGTAACCCGCCCTTGTCGGTGCGAGCCAGGACTGGGCCAGAAACAGGGAGTTAACAAAATGTTGAACCCATTCCTCGTCCCCAAACTCCCTCACCCACAAAACATCGGCAGGAAAGAATATTCGGTCCAGTATCTGCGCGGAGACCGCTTTTTGATAATTTCTGGATTTTTTCGATTTTTCAATAATCGAAGATAACAGAAATCCATAATGTTCTGGCTCATTTTGACTCTAAATAATAACAAAATATCATCCCAACCAAAGCGTCCAAATCTTACCAGAACAAGAAGCCGTAACTCAGCCATGACAGATCTAGATTGTCTGGATGTGACCTTTAAAATAAGGGCGGCCAAGGCATCACAAGGTGATTGCTGTTGCCAGAACTTCTCACCGCCTAAAAAACTAACCTCAATAATTTGATCAAATCTCACCGAAATTGTCAACACAATTCAACAAAGTTCGGAGCCCGTTCTTTTCCACTATATATCCATTTAACCTCTGTTCCAACCTTACCTAAAATACAGGTTGCGGCAATTTTTCGGCCGGATTTGGATAGGCCATACACACACGGGTTTGATCGTTTTTGTTTGGCGTATGTGAAAATAGGAAAAAATGACAGCTTTTTGCGAATTTTGGCATGAAAATTTTCATACCTGTTTTTGCCGTAACGCGTTATAACGTTTCCACAGAAAATCATCCTTTTCCGCATATAACTGGCCAGGATATAGCCACAAAGTGTTTTTTCTATGTGACCATTCTCGTACTTTCTCGGCCACAAAAAGAATATCTCGGCCGGAAATAAGCATGGCTGCAAACCGGGCCAGCCCGGCCCGGCCCGGGCCGCAGGCCCGGGCTTAAATCTCCAAGCCCGGCCCGGGCCCGGGCTTGGAAAATTTGGAAAGCCCGGCCCGGTTCGGCCCGGAAAATTTTATACTAGGTTGGAAAGAAAGAAACCGGGAAATGAAAAGAAAATTATGGCAAATTTTCGCAAGATGTAAAGAAAAATTTAGCAAAACCTAGGTACATAAGGTCACTGTACGTTCGCTATCAGCATTGTGTTCGAAAAAATGAAAAATCCTATCGTAAAAGCTTATTTTTTCCTTTTTTCCGGGCAAAACTCAAATTTCAAAAAAACCGGGCCGGCCCGGGCCTGAAAATCGAAGCCCGGAGTCGGGCCGAGAAATTAGTCGGCCCGGCCCGGGCCGGAAAATTTTGCAAAGCCCGGCCCGGAGCCATGCCTAGCCGGAAAGGCAAAACTTTCCGGAATTCAAATTAAAGAAAATCTGGGCGTCGGACTTGGGGTCCCTTGTCAATTATGGCAACTAGAGTTTTCTGTTTGTTGTTGATTTTTCGGTAGTATAATAAACAGGTATAACATGTTTGGTATCAAACAAAACGCAAGATTCTGAGGATTCGGACAAAAAATTGCCGCACCTTGTGTGCGCGCGTAATGTTAAAATATTTCACGTACAAAAAACCACTCGAACTCTGAATTTCTTTCCCGTTCTCTCAAAAGACAGATCATTGTCTCCATAACTTTGTTTTTCGGAAAGTATTTCTCCAGGAAATCTGAACCTGATTTGAAGAACTCGGCTTTCGGGTGTGTCTCCTTCAACTAAATGAATAAAAATTAACCAAAGAAATGTGAGACCTGCCGTTTCCACAGCCAATAATAATTGAGGCATCAAATAAGTCGACATCTCCACCGCTAAAACGTTTGTTTTTGCCATAAAGGCAACAGTTTCCAGATATAGCAACAACTAAAAATACTTCATAATAAGAAACAATTACCTTTTTGATCTTCACATCACGTTCATGATTTGATTGCCAAAGATTGAAAACCCATGGGAGTTTTAATTTGAACATACCTAAAATAATAGAAACCAATGGAAAAACTAACCTTGGCTCAATATTGTATTCAAACATGAAAAGGAGAAAAAAAATAAGGCCTCCTTAACAATCGCTTGCTGTTGAACTGGGATTACCTCTTCTGACGTCAAATGTAATAAATGTGAAGCATACTGAAATAAATATTGTAGTAAAATATCTACTTACATGTTTCAGTAGTATTGATAACATAATTTCAAAGTTATCAAATACAGAATCCGAACACTGGGAATTGTATTCATGCAAGGCGTCCTCATCGTGCAAGCTTGCAAGTGCATTACCTAATGCCTTCTTTACAAGTCCATCAACTGTATAAAGCTGGTCTTCTTAAAATTATTGTAAAAATTTTAAATCTTGCTTACTTTGTTCATTCTGAAATCTCAACAGAATATTTAGACAATCCAACAAGTTCTCCATCTTGAAAATCGAGATTATACAAAAAAAAAATTGGAGTAAAATAAAGAAAACGTTTTATACGATCAAACGTATTCGGGTAAAACTTTTGGCGTTGTGCAGAAGCACGCCAACTTATTTTCTATTGCAAAACGTCAAAAAAAGATGAGTACGGAAAGGTCCGCTGCGGAAAGGTCCGCTAAAAAAAAAAAAGAGGAGGGCGGGGGGGAAGGGTGGGGGGAGGTTTTCGATGGCGCTGATTTCGAAAATCATATCAGTTTTTTCTGAATTTTACAATTTTGCTTAAGCAGTAGTGTCATTTTCGCTGTAAAGACGAAAAAAGCGTCATAAGCTTTCTTACAATATCATACAAGTTTGACCAAGTTTTTACCAATTAAAACATTTCTTTTAAAGAATTGAGGAAGATAGGCAAGAATTCAGAAGAAATTGATACAATTTTCAAAATCAGCACCACCGAAAATCCCGAAATCCATTACTCAAAAAATTTTTTTTTTTTAAATTAGTAATTAACACTACTGCTTAAGCAAAATTGTAAAATTCAGAAAAAATGGATACGATATTCGAAATCAGCGCCATCGAAAACCCCACCAGAATATGCAGGGATCGGGCAAAAATCATTGCATTCTTTGGCTGGTAAACTTAAAGAATTCACTGTAATCTGATGACGCGATGTAAATGAAAGTGTTTATGCAATTTGCCATTAAATATTTTTGTCTGTATGGCTCTTGGCCCCTAATAACTTCCAATAGGATAAAAAATCCGACATGATCCCACCTTTTGGCTAGGTTGACTACCTTTAGGGCAAATACACCCCGTCCGAACCCTATTTACAACGTTCACGCTTTTGCAATCAGGAGGCTGAAACTTTCCGAAAATATTTTTTCAACGATGCTCGTCATTTTTCTTGTTGATATAATTTGGTCAGGATTACTGTAACATAAGCATTATGGCGTCGTCTTTCCGATGAAATTTGCATATTTTTGCGTTACACCCTCACCCGATTATAACATACAGCCGCTCGGACCTAATGAACGCGGTAAAAAGTATCATGCCGTGTTTAGTATTTATTATGCATAAGTATCAGTCTGTCGGGAAAATAACGGCGGATTGTCGCAGCAGAATGTCTCGCCTCGCCGCTATCGCGCACCAAATCCCCAGCCGCGGCTTTCAGTCGCAGAGCGATGATGGGCGATTCCGAGGCGCGACGATCCGCCGTTATTTTTCCGACAGACTGATACTAGTCCGTCCGTAAAGTCGCTGGAATGTTTTCGGCGACATGCACCCCGCGAAACCGAAAGTTCACTTTGCACTGTGCAATTTTTGGCTTTTTGCACAGTGCAATGAGCTTTTTGGGACGTCGCTCGCACCCTGAGTTTTCTTGCACAGTGCGCGTCGCCGAAATCATTCCAGCGACTTTACGGAAGGGCTAGTAATATTAAACCACATTTTGTGAACTGGATTCATGGTTGTTGTAACATCGATTTTATTTGTATGACGGGAATTCGGAACAAATCGATTTTTCCAAAAAAAAGTCCATGGTGGCCTGGCGTCGTGGATTCGGCAAATATCCTGTTGTCATGTCCAGCCTTGGCGACCCATTAGCTCTTTGACCGAAGGGCTACATGTGGTCGTGAGTTCTTTAATGTAATCCTAAGACTCCTATTTACTCTCAGTAATGTATATAAAATGTTTCGATTCAAAACTTTTTCCCCGTTTTTGGGGTGATTTTTGAAAATTGCCTCTGGATTTTGAAATACAACTATATGGTTTGTCCTGCTATGTTATTTCTTGTTATTAGGTCGTGAGTAGAATATATACCAAATTTGGTCCGAATTGGTACACTTTGGAACGGGTGAGATGGAAGGTGAAAACTTTGTACGCGGAATGTACAGGGTGGTCCAATCCGAAAATTTTTTTTGCATTTTGCAGAAAAACCTTGGAGTTTTTAGAATCAAAAAAAAATTTTTTGTTTTATCGGCGGAGACTTCCGTAATCCGCCTTGAATTCGGTGGAGTGCGTTTTTCACAAACGAGGCTGTAAAAATTGGTTCATTTTTTTCTCCGCTGATTTCTCCGCCGAGGTTGAACCTGAACTCTACCCCTTTTCTGAACTTTACCCCTTTTTCAACTCTACCCCTTTTTGAACTTTACCCCTTCAGAACTTTACCCCTTTTTCAACTCTACCCCTTGAATGAACTTTACCCCTTCAGAACTTTACCCCTTTTTCAACTCTACCCCTTGAATGAACTTTACCCCTTTTTGAACACTACCCCTCATTTTGAAAATTGAAAAAATGAGGTGTGACATCCGATGAAAATTTTTTCAAATTGAAAATAATAAGGTGTCCCACCTTATACGATGAAAAATTTTTTCAAATTGAAAAGAATAAGGTGTGACACCTTATACGATGAAAAATTTTTTCAAATTGAAAATAATAAGATGTCACACCTTATTATTTTCAATTTAAAAAAAAATTTCATCGTATAAGATGTCACACCTGATTTTTCTCAATTTGAAAAAATTTTTCATCGTATAAGGTGGGACACCTTATTATTTTCAATTTGAAAAATTTTTCATCGTATAAGATGTCACACCTGATTTTTCTCAATTTGACAAGGAAAGTACTTCTATGGGGTGTGGAGTTACAGGTCGAGATATATATCAAAAAATTCGCAAAAATTTTCTGATTCAGAATATATAAAAATTAGCTGCCTAATTTTGGTCTGATGACATGTTTTTGTCCTCAGAAGTTTTCTCGCGACACCATGCAAGTGTCTTTTTGACCGTGTTTTTACCAATAAAAAATTTTTGTTTTGTGCTAAAATAAATTCTGAGGCCTTGACAAGCCTTAAAATATCAAATTAGATTAGAACAACACCTTAGAAGTAGTTCCAATGTAAAAAATGGGTTCTAGTGGCAAAAGGAATCGAACCCGTCCCCTTCGGATTCCCAATCTAGCGCTCTAACCGCTCGGCCACACCGCTCTCTTCCGAAGGAAGAGACCGAGCGCGCTTTTGTTGCCGCAGATTTTTTTTCCTCGAGAAATACATTTATTGATAAAACTCGTAGGTAGACCAAAATTAGGCAGCTAATTTTTATATATTCTGAATCAGAAAATTTTTGCGAATTTTTTGATATATATCTCGACCTGTAACTCCACACCCCATAGAAGTACTTTCCTCGTGAAAAAAATTTTCATCGTATAAGATGTCACACCTTATTTTTTCAATTTTCAAAATGGGGTAGTGTTCAAAAAGGGGTAGAGTTCAGATTTTTTGGCGAAAATCAAAAAAGGGGTAGAGTTCATGAATTAGTGAATCAACTAAATTAACACCGTATCTTTAATTTCAACGTTTCCAGCGCCCTTCTACAGAAAAAAGTATCAAAGTATACAAACAGAGTAATCACTCGGGTAATAATGAACATGATATAATTTAGAAATGCTGTCGCAGCCCCGTGCTTAGATAGGGTTGACCTTATGCCAATCCGCGACTTGTTGCCCGTTCCCCTCGATCATAGCTTTCCAGTGCTCGGACCTGGGTCCAATGAAACATTGGCCAACAATCTCATTCCGAGTGACCCCGTCATGATTAAGGACCATCACCTCGAGTGACAGAGACGAAAGCATCTCCTCCGCTGACCTCAAACGATGCCCAGCTTCCCCATTGATAGATGGAATCTCGAAAGAGAAAGATTCGTTGAATACCGGCTCATTGCTTTTCTTTTTGACATGGGTCTTCTGTTTTGCGACTCTTTGGCCATCCAACAACAGGTAGATCTTTGCATACGCATCTAAAGTGCGGAAGTAATAAGCAATCATAAATAGTCGGGGCGGAGGGGGTTAAGAATAAAAAATATTCTAACTTACCAATTTGGCCCATGCCATTGAAAACGGGGAGATCCTTCATCTTTATGATTGCAACATTTAAGTTATTTGAATGGGAATTGTAAGAGATCGAAACCAGCACCTCAGCATGCAGATCGTTGTAGCATGGTCTCGGACTCAATTTCAAATCAAGATTCAATTTCTCTGAAGATTCAGAGAAGTTGGCGTCTCGTAGATTATAAAATGCTTCTCCCAATACAGTATCCCGGCTGTATGGATCCGAGCCCAGCACGGCCAGATGAAGTGTGTAACTCTCCAATTTCTCCGCATTTAAACCGTAAAGTGTAAACTGTTCGTCGTAGAAGGGGTTCTGGGTCCCTCTGAGAACACGGGTCTTTACTCGATGGTGATTGTCAGGAAGGACGCGTAGTTTCACGTAAGGATTAAGAGCGCATTGTCCACGCTCATTAGTCAAATTTGGTAGATTATGACATGCCAGAATTGACAACTGCAATTATTTATAAAAATCGTTTGTTGCTCGTGAATACACAAACCTGAAGTGTGTTCGAAGTTTGGTCAAAGTTCATGTTAAGTGAGATGGAACCACGATCATTGTAGTCTTCGGCCGTCTCGGCCTTGTTAGCCATTAGCACGTTTTGGGTGACAAACGAGGAATACGGAGTCATCGGAGTGCATTGCGGAGAAGAGGAAGACCCAGACCCAGGACTTTGGATAGGAAAAGCACTGCGATCTGGCAAACGTTCCCCTTTCAGGTAATTCGGCTTCAGGGCCGCATGACTAATCAGAGGCGAGCAATCACGAGAAAGACGACGCCCGCGTTGCCTTCTGATAGCTACGAAGATGGCGGATGCAACTATCAATGCAATGAAACCGCATGAAATGGCGAGAATTTGGGATTCTACAATTACCATTTGCAACAAACACTGATCGGCTTACCAATAGAAATTATGTGTCTAGGAGATCCATCGGCTTTATGCCGACCACTAACTCCCATGATAAAGCAAAACCACTAGTCGGAGACACACGCCTCTAAAGTGGAACCCATGGCTTCACAGAGAGTGTTATCGATTACTTTCTTTCTTTGAAACGCGTGCTCTTAGTGTTTATGGCCGAGCACAAAGCCCCGCCCCATTACTCAAAGCGTCATCGTCGGATGCCCGGGCAACCAACATTCTCTCGGATCCCATACTCTCCTCGCGTCCCCATCCTCTTTTTCAATTTAAATGTTTATTTCAGAAGAAATACCGATACAGTATCGCCGCTCCCCCAATAACAGACCCAACAAGCACGGGTGCCGAGAGAAGAAAACTTTTCCAGAGTTCCCGAGATTTCTTTTGTTCTTCGAATTCTCGCTGCCGTTTCCTCATGAGGTCGATCTTCTCTTGTCGTTCCCTAAGAATTACAGAATAATACAAACATGTAATGTACAAGAATTTATACTTGTTGCGACAAATAACCCGGCTATCTACAAAACAATAACAAGACGTGACGAATCCATTACGCGGGTGCTAGGGCTCTTCGGACTTCCTAAACCGACTAAATTTTACAATTCGCAGAGAGTGGGAAAAAGTTCCAACACGACCTCTTCGGCGTGTATCCTTATCAAACGTGCACATACAGACGAGTGCTTACCTTTTCTGAGCCGCTGCTCCTGGAGATTGTTGACCCTCCGATCTTCGTTTTCGTGGCAAAGTAGACGCTTTTCTGGTGACTTTTTCTTTCTGGCCATTGTTCGCATCCTCGATCTTGTATTCTCCATTATCGACCGATCGATCTTCGACATTCTGCACAACTTTTGATTTGATATATTCCACCACTGCCTTCCATGAGAATCGAAGTTGTGCCGGGGTCTGAACTAAGGACATCCGATACTGACGAAGAAAAACTATTAAGTCGTCTATAGAAGGCAACGGTTCTTCAAGCTGGGCACGAATTGCAGTAACAAGAACGTCGACAACAGTAAATGTTCCCGTCCGGCCGATACCGGCACTGCAATGGCATATAATCGGGGAGTCGACTTCGTCATCGTAATCCCGCACAGCTTCCACGAAGTCCAGAAACTCTTTCACATTTTCGGGCACCCCGAAGTCCGGCCAAGTTGTATATTGGAAGTGTTGAACCAGTTTGTCTTCCTTTTCTCCCTTCCTCAGCCTTAGCGTACGGACAGTGTAATGTTTGTGGCCCTTCTCTTCAATCAACTCAACTGAATATTCACCATGATTTTGGATCTTGTCACCGATATGTGGAAAGTATGGAAAACATCTGATTTTACATAAATCAACAAGTTTCTCGTCTTACTTTGGCACACCTCTTTCCATAAACGTGCATAGCATGACAACAGTTTTGCATTCCTCTTCCCAAACCATATGCCAAAAATCGGCGGACGTATTTTCCAACGGACCTTGAGTAAAAATATAACCTTTCTTTGTTAACGGGACCGTCAACTTCGAAGCATTTATATAAGTATCCTTCAATTCCACTAAATGCTGGTCATCTAAAAAATGAAATATAAACCGTCAAAAAGCATTGACGATAAACATCAAAAATAAACCCACATGGGACGACGTTACAGTATCTGTTCTTCGGCAAGTTCTTTGGAGATAAAGACACCTCATATGACAATTCCAAATCTCGTTCTTGCTTTTCAGAAATTTCGTGCAGCTCCTATAAAGAGTTCCTACATAAGTTCGCCGTCATACCATGAATAATGCATTCCAACTGTTGTTTTCCTCATGATCAATGTATTTCGCCAAAAGTTCTTCGGCACCTTTATGTACAGAATCCATTTTACAATATTATGTTATTAAAATTCAACTAGATACGAATTACAAGCATATAATTAGGTATAACTAACTACTAATAAAGACATCAACAGAAACGTAGAAATTGCAGGGACGCTTTCACCTCCTTTCACCGAATAGTACAGAATGAGTCAGGTGTTTCCCTAGGTCAACTTTTCCGAATAGAGCGAGGTCTTTTGTTCAAAAAAGATTTATGCGTTGCCGGGCCAAAACCAATCAGTGCGTATTTTATCCATTTTAAAAACTACTTAATTATTCGTTACTCAGTAAAAAATTTGTGTGATTTTTAATATTTCGTATGGACAACGGTAACGAGAATGTTGAACTGTCTAAAGAAGATGAGGAATTGTACGGGTCAGAAATTAAGAGCCTTTCTGTGAAAGAGCAACAGCTCTTTAAGCTACGGCTATATAGACGTAGACTGCGTCGTACAGATGAGCTTATACGATGGCAAAGTGATATGACAGAAGAAGAACTGGGCACCGCTGTTTATGAATTATTTGAACTCGGATATGCAGCCGGCGAACCGAGTATTACATACGTCCAAAAAATTTGGAATTCCGTTACAGCATTCTTTAAAGCAAAAGGCGTCCCTGAGTATCAGGTAATAATTTATGATTTTTTTGGGACAAGGAAAACCTAACCAAATGCATAAAGACATGCGGCAAAACCATTTGCAAATGGTTTTGTGTTGCCGTATATCTGTTTTCTGTGACACATGCAGTGTTGTTTAAATCTTTGAATTTCTAGCGCTGCACGGCAAAGTTCTTCACGAACCGGTTTCTTCCCAGTCTTAGACAAAGACTGGCATTCGACTCGGCTGGAGAAGCCTTAAGGTTTGCTGTTGTACAAAGGCAGTTTTATATCTTGCTTCGATTTATGGCACTTATTTATTCTCCTTGCGTATACCAAGAAATCGAGGTAAGTGTATGGTTGTGTGGTAACTTTACAGTTAATCCCAATCTTGAGGTTTATCTATTTGATGGATTCTCCGAAAAGTCTGAAATGTTTAATGGACGAGGTACTCTGCGATGAGTAAGTGGTTTTGTTTTTATTCTTAATCGATTAGATTTTTTTTGGTGCTTCCGCATTATCTGGCTGCAATCTACGAAGACTTGGAGATGACGGCCCCATTGGATTTAATAAAATACGGTTCATTAGAAAATTCAGTTGAAGAAACTGAAGAAATGGAGCCAAACACAAGTGGGGCATCTAACGTTTTGAATGCAGTATCCTTGATGAAAGAAGATCCCGATGAATCTGAGTGTGCGAATGATTCCTTTAACGACTCTTTTAAAGAGCGTAATGTTGTCGCAATTTCGGAATCTGGAGCATCGGACGTCTATCAAGCAATGAGATGTGTACTTGAAACGCCAGAAAAGAATGCCGAGACCTGTTTGCCGATTAGTGTGACCGTCAGTCAAACTCCGATACGAGCAATGGCAAAGACAACAAATGTTAAAGTGGGGCAACTCAGAGAGTTGTTGGTACCCAGAACAACCGTAGAATCGAGGAAACGGAAGACAGAAGACTTTTTGATGTCGTCCCAGAAGAAAAGCAATCGAATGAATCTGGTTTCCGTTTTTTCAGGATTTGTATAAATAATTGTGATCTTAAAGCTAATAAGTTTACCATAAAAGTAACAAGACTAACACGTGTATGTCGATTACTATCTAAATGCAGAAACTTTGTGTTAATTAAAAGTTTATAGGTGGTTTTTTGATCTATGAATCTGGTTTACTGGATTCTAGTAAGTGCGAGTCATGTTGTTTCCTTCCTGATTATGCAAAATGGGTTCTTGTCCAAGAAAAGTGTCATCGTTGCGAAGAGTTCTTGTGATGATGTTTTGGCTGGAGAGAATTGTTGGATTGCGCCAACGTACAAACGAGCAGTTCTTGTTTTAGTAGATGCTTTAAGGTGAGATTTAAAATCTTATTCTGTAAACCTTAGGTATGACTTCGTTAATAAAACGGGACCTGAAGACCAATTGTTTATGGAAGAGACGATGAATATTCTGAGCTCGGACAGAGAACATGCTCGTCTGTACCGGTTTATTGCTGACGCTCCTACAACTACAATGCAGCGGATCACAGCGTTAATGACCGGTTCCTTCCCTGCCTTCATTGAGGCGGGATCTAACTTTGCTGCAGTTCAAGTAGAAGAAGATAATTTGTTGTACCAGTTAAAGAGTTTAAACAAAACGATAACTTTCTACGGGGATGACACGTGGTAAGGAAGTGTTTTCTGGTTAAGAAACGATTTAGGGCTCAGTTGTTCCCAGATGCCTTTAGTCATTCTGTGGGCATGGATAGTTTTAATGTCAAGGACTTGGATACTGTAGACACTGCGGTTAGACGTAGGACTAATATTTGGGGAGTAACTTTGTGCTTTAGAACTGTTATTTAACAAATCTTCCAATTCAAACTCAACCCTGCTTATTGCACATTTCCTCGGGGTTGACCATTGTGGTCACAGATATGGTCCCGAACATGCAGAGATGAAGCGCAAACTTAAGGAAATGGACGATGTTATTCGTCGTTTGGTGGATGCAATTGATGATGACACAATTCTGTTTGTATTTGGAGATCACGGGATGAATAAAAATGGAGATCATGGTGGGGACACGACCCTGGAAACTACTGCGGGGCTCATTGTCTACTCCCCAAAAGGATTTCACGGCGAGTATACTGATACGGTCCGGCAAATTGATATGGTTCCAACACTTTCGCTTCTACTGGACGTTCCAATTCCATTTTCAAGTCTGGGAATTGTGATGAAGGAGTTCTTCGAGATGTCGGTACTTCCAAAAGTTGCTTCAATAAATGTTCGACAAGTCGTCCGTTACGTCGACCAATACATGCGGGGTAACCCGGAAGTCGAAGTAAGTCTTTTACTCCCGGTTATGACATGTCTTTCTTTCTTAGAGGGCCGCCAAGAAAACTATTATGTATCATGAACAAACTAGTGGAGCAGCTTCTGATGGTGCGGACTTTGAAACCATCGAGGAACTTCGGGATCTTGTAATCCATTCCATGAATCGTTTCGACTCCGGTTTGGTCCGCACCGGTGCTACCTCTCTTGTGGAGTCGATCCTAGTTAACCTCAGTTTGTGTTTTCCAGAAGGCGACGTTCATCTAATCGCCGCCGTCATCTTTCACAGTGCCGTTTTTCTTCTACGCCTTTCCGCGTATTTTAAAAATAAGGACGGAGATCTTCTCCTTAATCTTGCCTTATATGGTTCTATTGTATACAGACTCTTTGTTATTGGGGATGTTCTCAATCAGTTGAAGCACAAAATGGCGGGAAATTGCGATAGAATAGCAGTACCGCTAGTGCTGTTCACTCTTTTCTCAATTCTACCGTTTTCCAACAGTTTCATTATATATGGTATGGACACAGCGAGGTTTGCAACAAGCAGCGTTATAGTTTGTATGGCTTATGGTCAATTTAAATTGGACAGGCAAGTGTTGTCGTACTTGTAACCTTTCGCTTAGGAAGAAACCGAAAAGATTTATACCCCTCGTTTTAATGCTGGTTTGCCTGCGAAGCGGGACATTGAGCAGTAAGTGTCGTGAGGAGCTTCCTGAATGTGAAGATGGCGTCTTCTCCGAAGAAATCGGTCGCCTTTCCCATGGTAAGTGTAATCATGAATAATAGTTTCGTATTTACAGACGCCGATAAGGTAGTTCGTCTCTTGCTAGGTGGTCTCTTCCTATTATGGTGTGGCATGAGAATTAATAACGCGTCAAACAACTTCGTGAGTCTGACCCGAGCCGCCCTTAGGGTGATGTTATTCATAACTTTCTTTCACTGGCTCTGCGAATTCGAACACGATGAAAAGTTGAAGATATATGGACTGTATTCGGCTCAGCTCGTTCTAGCCATGTGCCTTTTGATATTCTTTGCAACCGTTTTATTCGCACCACGCGATGACTGCTTGGGCTTGTTGATGGACTTATTCATTATTTTAATGGCTGTCCTGGGCGGAGATGGAGTTCTCGTACAGCTATTGGCTGCCCGTGAATTTCTTATTCAATTCCGATATTTTTTTATAACGAATGGTAATACCAAGAAAAATATTAGTTTACTTTTTTTCAGAGCCCATTGTGTCAGCGTTGGTGATAACGATGCTGAATTGGGTGTTGTTTTACAGCACTGGACATATTCCAACATTCTCTGCCATCCCTTTTCGAGCTGCTTTTGTTTTCGTTTCCGGAGAGGTGCTGTTAAGAACATTACAGGGGCTCTTTGTGATATTACATTTATTTTGCGGACATTTCCTGACTGCACTTTATGTGGCAGGCAACCAGACGGATAACCACGATGTGGCTCCTTTCTTTTTGTTGTTGTCTACAATACAAGTAAGTTAGAAAACGTTGAAAAATGTCTTCTTAAGGTTGCCTTCTCCTGTTGGGCTACTATCTTCCACAGAAAGCATTTGATGATGTACAAAGTGTTTGCCCCATATTTTTTGTTTACGGCAGCGGGCTTAATTGTCAGTATAACAGTAATTCTGTTGTCCAGACTTGTGTTCGCTAACAAGAATAAACATGCGTAGTAGACTGAGTTTATTTGAAACAGAGAACAAAGTGTCACAAAATCCGACATTGCCAATCAGAGCCGTATAAAATAGAAATTAAACATTGAGATTGACATGTTTTACATTCCGGTATATTTAAACGGAAATATCAAGGGTTGGTTACAATTGTTGAAATATGAAAATAGAAGTCGAGAATCCATTGAGACGCGATATTACTTTTGTTGAGGAACCTTTCGTCGACGGCGTCGGAAACAGCAACATCTGCAACAGCCAGAGCTGTAGGTTATATTCGATTATTTGTATAAAATTCGGCCCGAAAGAGACTTACTTCACTTCGCTGTGATCTTCTTCCTCCTGATTCTGTGTTGTCTGTCGCCGAGAATCTTCTCCAATCTCTCCGGTATTGGAATTAATCACCTAAATTAGTGTTAAAGTGAGCTTAAGTCCATATTCTAAGGATACGAGAATAACATCAAAAATCCTTATATAGATGAAAAAAAGTTGCAGAAAGGTTCCCAAGAAGAAATCCAATTGTTGTTTAAATTCCTCTAGCATACCAGAAAAACGTATGTATAAAAGATGTACACGTTTTTACTTTTATAATCACCGATATCATGTACAATCCACCATCAGATTGTGCCTGCATATCGCGTGAATTACTCGGAAGCAAGAGCAAAATACATTACTAGATGTTTAAGAGCAATATCCGGAACTTTCACATCAAAATTTGCTGCTAAACTTCATTATACACAAAAAGATTCTCTTTTGCGGACAGTGAGAAGTTTTGTGGACAATAAAAAACAGTTCCAAAGGAAACCCTGTAAGCGTACACACTTTATAGGAACCCCTACATAACCTTCAAGTTGTCCCTGACCCGAAACGCCGTAAATTTAGCCAGTTTTGGGCATTTTCGACCCTTAAACCATTTGAGATATGTCCCGTCAAAAAGTAGGAGCCCCCATAAAAGTACTTTCCTTGTAAATTTGTTCGTAATTAAGTAATTTACCTGGGTAGATCCGAAACCGCCTTGATGAGCGCCAGAAGAGTGACCGCCTTGATTCGCCTTCAGAATTTCTTCTTCATTGTGTCGTCCAGCTCGGGCTCTTCTGCTGTTGTCTTCTGCAGCCTTCTTGTTGTACTTACTAGCATCAACTCCCGTGTGAAGAGAACCGCTTGGAGTACTCTGAACACAAATTATAATAAATAGAAGTGACATACTGCCTGATTCAGCTTGGTTACCCAATCGAATTCATAGTCGTAAGAATGGCCTTGCCTTTCCAAAACAATTTTAAAAAGATTGTGACAATAGTCGTAGTCAGGAGTCTCGAAAAAGTCCAACTTTCTTGCATATCTCAGATACAGAGCAAACTCCTCTGAAAAAAGCAAGAAGATCAAGAATTTAAAACTTGAAACAAACCTACCTGGAAAACCTTCGCACAAGACCTCAATCAGAGTGGCCCTCTTAGTGTCCCCAATCTTTTGATATCGCTCTTTCAAAGTATCGGCTTTGAGACCCTGCCACGGCAATGATCCTCTGAGAAAGTACATGAACATATGGCCCAGCGCTTCAAGGTCATCGCGTCGACTCTGCTCCTTTCCCAAATGCGTATTAATAGACATATATCTTGCAGTACCCGTAAGAGATTTGTGTTCACGATACGCAATGTGTTTGCCTAAATCCACAAAAATTTTTACTCATCAATATACAATCGTCATAAAAAGTAAAATTTTACCCGTATCACAGTCAATGTATTCTTTCGCCAAGCCAAAGTCAATAATATGAAGAATATGCTGTTTGCGCGTTGATGTTCGGCCAATCAAAAAATTCTCTGGTTTAACATCCCGGTAGATCAAATGTTTAGAGTGGACATACTCAATTCTTCTGATCAATTGCATGGCAATCATACAAACAGTTTTGATTGTGAATTTCCGATCACACAGATCAAACAAATCCTCCAATGAATGACCCAACAATTCCATCACCAAAGCATTGTATTTTCCGCATGGCCCAAAGTAAAGGATCTGGGGAAGTCCTTCTAAAATGAGGACGTAAAACTAGCATTTATTAAAGAAATTACCATTGAGGCCGAGCAATTTGTAAAATCGATACTCCAAATGCAATTGTGGCGCTTTACTCTTCATAGGTTCGAGTTTAATGGCAACATGCTCGTTATTGTAAAGATTTTTGCCTAACCGCAGCTCTCCAAAGTTACCACAACCAATTTTCTTGCCCACCTAAATCAAAGTAAACTTTAGATAAACAGCATACCTTAAAGTTGGGGCCAACCATCAGCACCCCACTCTGCCCAGACACTGTTGATGGTGTAAAGGACCCTCCACTCCGTGGATTCGCCATGGCTGACAGGAACGAATGTCCTAATAAAGCAGTAACCAAAGTTCTGAGGAATCCGCGCTATCAAACCAATTTCGGGCTCTCCACCGATGAGTGCACGGAAACCTGAAACGTCCAAAAGTAAATTATCGTTGGCAATAAACATGGAATATCGAATATCGGAAAAGAAAAATAAAATACAAGGCATAATCTAGATTAACGAATTTAAGATTAGCGATGTCCAACAAGCAGGTCTGTTGGCCCTCACCACAGCACTACAGCGGGAGTATGAAATTGCTGTAATTACATTGATGCCGCCATTGAAATAGCATCCGAACTTGACTATCCCTTTCTCTTCCGTTTAAACATTTCTTATTCTCCCTTTCCCCCTCTGGCTGTATATTTCTCCTAGCATAATCAACTCTCTCTCTCTGCCTCTCTCCTCTCACAAAAACGAAACCGCTGACCAACATGTCTCAGTGCTTCGAGACTCTGTTTAGCCTTCGAAAGAGCTTCTGGCGTTTCGTTTCATAAAGACATCTTATACTGTGAAACCTGCGAAATTTTACATATTTGCAAATTCTTGAAGCCATTCTTTTGATGTAAGAGAGACAGTGGAGAACAATTGAGACGTATGCTGAGTAATAAAATAACTAGTTCTGCTATATATTTGGCGGCGCCGCCTGGAAGCAAAAAGAGTAAAAAATCAAAGGTAATTGCGAGCAAACAAGTAGTCGTTGGATCGAAATCACTTTTCAGACAGATAATATCGAACCACTTCGATAATATTCTTAATGAGTTCGATTACCAATTAAAGCTTTGGCCGTTATTTTTGGGAGACTTTTGAATTGAAAGCAATCGGCTTTTGTTCTCTTCGCTCAGTTTGTCGCTCAAAAGACCAATTTCCATTGTATTTGCATTTAGGTGTGTTGAATGAAGGTTTGACACTATATGCTGGACCGTCCCATCCATAAACGCAAGATGTCCTTAACCACGGAGGAGCATCGTAAGAGGAAGGCTAACAGGAGGGCCCGAAGGTCAGCAAAGCTTCATGTACCATCAAATGTACCTGGATCAGATTGGAGAGAGATGTGCGACATTGCATACAGCAATGCGTCTAAAAGGACAGTTTCGGTTAGCCAAGGAAGCGTTCAAAATAATGTATGTCGACTTAAGTTTATTTAAAACAGTAGGAAATACTTCTGCATAACGCCAAGGTTACTTCTAAAGTATATTATAGAGAACAGTGAGTAAGATTTCTTTGGATTCAAAGAGCAGAACGTCGAGTATGCGTAGTTTACATGTCGTAAGTTATTATTATTTATTATTAATTTCGATTTTTAGAGCTTTGAGAATACTGTAACTTCTAAGTTCAAGCGCCGAGAATGCACTCTAATCGTACCAAGTGGTAGAAATCCTGGAAAGTGGGTTTATCATTTTTATGTATTGTAACTCCTGTTGTGTTTTTAAAGATGTATGTGTGGACTCAACATAATTGATCATGAGAGCGGCTCTGAAATCTTACACCAGGTTCCTGTGAATGGAAAAAGGCTGTGGTCCATTACGGAGAATTGTAAACTGTTTCCAACGAATGCATTTGGAACAATTGAATTTGAAGGCGGTCCTCATCCCTTGAAAGCACAGTATCTAAGATGTAGTTTTGATTCAAATCCAGCTGATATCATAAACTACATTCAAAAAGTTTGGAAGGTTGAAGCTCCTAGATTGGTGGTTACAGTTTACGGTGGAATGACCAACTTTCCGTAGGTTCATTGGGTAGATATAAGTGAATAGACTTCAGCCAAAATTGGCCCGTGTGTTTCGAAAAGGATTGATGAAAGCGGCAGGGATTTCTGGGACATGGATCTTCACTTCTGGAATTGACTCTTGTGCTGTTAATCATGTCACCGAGGCCTTGTACGGACAGTCCTACAATCTTCGAGCCAAACCTATAACCATTGGAATAGCTCCATGGGGACTTATGAAGCAAAGGGGGAATCTTATTGGAATGGTTTGTCGGAACGGGGAATGAACTTTCTTTTAAGGACAAAGTTGTGTCATATTACCGAGCAGTTCGACGGAATGATGACGGACTTGTAGAACTGAACAGGAAACACCTATTCTTCCTTTTGGTGGACAATGGAACAACAGGACGGTAATGGTTCTAATCTAAACTTGGTGACAAAACATTTTTAATCATTTTTAGATACGGAGCGGATATATTCCTTCGACGTCGTTTAGAATCATATATCACAGAGAAACAGACCTTGGACATCGGGTCTAGAAGAGTTCCGGTAGTTTGTTTGGTCCTTGAGGGTGGTCGAAGTACGGTAAGATGTGTCCTTGATTATGTGACAAGTGTCCCTAAAATCCCTGTCGTAGTTTGTGATGGAAGCGGTCGGGCTTCCGACCTGATATCTTTTGCCCACAAAAGATTAAAAGTGGATGGGTAAGAGACTACTTGACTATGCTATTGCTTTAGAGAAATACGAGAGGTGATCAGAGAACAGCTCACATCCTTGATCAAGGATGTTTTTGGTTATGATGCTAAACGAGCAAAAGCCTTAATCTCTGAGTTAATCCGGATTGTACGGCAGAAGGAGCTGGTGACTGTATTCAGACTGGGAGAGACCCCCAAGCAGGATCTTGACAATGCCATCTTGACCGCTCTATTGAAAGGACAAAACCTAACACCGATTGAGCAATTAACCTTAGCCTTGGCGTGGGACCGCGCAGATGTTGCCAGATCTGATATATTTGTAATGGGTCAGGTTTGTAAAACGTTTTCTCAAGAATATTCGTTAGGAAATACCAAAGAAAGCATTGTATGCCGCCATGATGGATGCATTAATTCACAACCGAGTTGACTTTGTCAGATTACTTCTGGAAAACGGGGTATCAATGAAGGAGTTTCTGACGATAGCCAGGCTCGAAAACCTTTACAATTCCAGTCAAGGTCCCAAAAACACTTTGCCTTACATCGTTGATGATGTTGTGAAGACACATTTCGATCGTTATGAGCTCATCCATATTGGTCTCGTTGTCGAGAAGCTGATGGGGAATGGATTCCGTTCTTCTTACACGAACAATTCGTTCCGACAAAAGTACGAAGAATACCGACAAAACGTCCTTTTGAATCCGAAGAATATTCGCCAGGAAGAGAACGTTCTCAGCACGGTGAGTACATCTCAAGGGCCGCTGACACAAGACCTGGGGATTGTGCCTCCAATCTCGGGGAACAGGGCCCTCAGTAATCATATTGTTTGGCGGTCGGTCAATCGAAATGGGTTCCTCAATCGCCCAGACCTTCCTACCCTACCTGATTCTGTTGTGATTGACATTGATGAGGACGTGGGTAAGAAATCGGTCAATTGACAATTGTCTCCAGAAAGTTCAAAGAACGGGACGCCTGACTTTGAATATCCATTCAGCGATCTTGTTGTCTGGGCTGTCTTGACCCGACGGCACAAAATGGCATTGTGCATGTGGGAACATGGAGAAGAGGCATTGGCCAAGTCTTTGGTGGCTTGTAGGTTATACAAAAGTTTGGCTAAAGAAGCATCCGAAGATTTCTTGGATTTGGATATTGTAGAAGAACTAAGGAGTAACGCCGAGTAGGTTTTATTTAAAAAAATCTAACAGAGTTTTTACCTTGAAGGATGGCCCGGACATTTCCAAAAAAGCGATCAATTCATTATCGTTTGATATTTTGCACAATTGTTGTACTATGATAACTGAAAGTCAGCACGATTTTTTAGTTTCAGAAAGTACCATCCTTTTTCCCCAGTCCCGAAGCGAAAACATTTCAAAAATTTGTTCAAATTTTTCAAAAAATGCTTTTTCCCAAGTCCCGAAGCGAAAAAATTTTAAAATTTTTTTCAAATTCACCAAAAAATTCTTTTTTCCCAGTCCCGAAGCGAAAATATTAAACGGTATCGTTGACCCGAAGTGTCGCGCGCGAACCGAGTTGTCCCTGACCCGAAATGTCGTAACGCCGACACGTTTAAATACACCAGAGTTTATTTTACACGGGAAGTACCCCAGGTTTTAGCTCGCGCTTTTCAAGCGCCACCGAGATATTGAACGATCTTTGTCGCGGAGAGAGTACGCCCAACGCGGAGAGCGGTCACAGAGAAAAACGCTTTTTGGCCATAACTTTGGCAGTTTCGTGAGGAAAAAATTTATTTTTTGTGGAAAGATTACCCTTTACGGTAGAAATCGGTATGCAACTTTTTGTGCCGAAATTCGGCAAAAAGTTCTAAATTTTCGCGGACTTTCGATCTAAAAATCTCGGTTGTTTCAAAAGCGCGAGTTAGGATTCTCGCATATATTTTAGAAAAAATTATTCTAAATCTGTGCCATGTTTCATCAAAATCTGAGCGTCGCACTTGGGGTACCTCCCCTGTTAGTTAAAAACAAGTTTGTACACTTCCCTAGTAAGGGGTTTTTCGCCCTTACAAACCAAACTTGGGTAGCTAATTTTTACCTATTCTTGACCAGCATAATTCGGCGAATTTTTTGATTTATATCTTGACCTGTAACTCCATACCCCATAGAAGTCCTTCCTCTAAAATCGGTGTGGAACAGCCGCAAATCTCACCGAAATACGTTGTCGACGGTGGGGAACATTCTTTATAATTGACGTTTTTTTCGTACAATGTAGCCTTCTACCACTTCGAAAATGACCAAGGTACCATATTTATCATAACCTTTCTGAATTTAACTTGTCTCAACTTTTGAAACCTTTAAAAACTTTTTGACATGTATGTAACAACAAAAGTAGTCCTACGGTAAACGTGTCAATTATAAAAATTTTCCTCATGGTTGAAAACATAAAACAGCGAGATTTTTTCTTTTTACTCCTTCGGGTTTTTACACACGAACACAATCTTTCTGAATATCTGCCGTACACGGTAATTTCCGAAACAAAAATTCGTGCTGATGTTTAGCTATGCTGTTACAACAATTATGCAAAACATCAAAAGATTCTGAGACAGTCATTTTTTGAAAATTTCCGGCCCTTGTTATGAGAAGCTTCAGTCTGTAGAAAACTCTCTTATAAATTTTTGTAGAGAATTTCGCGAATTGTCGGTTTCATTATTGGATCACTGTTATAAGAACGATGAAATGCGGACTCTCGAACTGCTCACGTACGAGATGTCTAATTGGGGTAGGGAGACAAGCTTGACCTTGGCCGTGATGGTTAATAACAAACAATTCATCGCACATCCTTGTTGCCAAGCATTGTTGGCAGACTTGTGGCATGGTGGTATGCGGATACGGTCAAGTACAAATCTAAAAGTGATCATGGGTCTCCTTTTCCCCCCTTTGCTCGTTTTCATTGACTTTAAATCCGCCGAAGAATTGAGAAGACAGCCTCAAACAGCAGCAGAGCATGCAGATGATTCGTCGTCGGAATCAGATTCCCGATCTGTCGGGTCAGGATCGAGGTCATCATCTTCTTCAAGTTCTTCTTCCTCTACAAGCAGCTCTGATGATGATGTTTCTGTTGAAGAGCATGGTCCTCAATTTGGCTCAATGGCACGTTTTATACCTAGATTACAGGGTGTTTCAAGAGATATCGAAAAAACTTGCGAATGTCCTCCTTGCTCTTTGCAGCTTTCAATGAAATTTATGTTGCATACTCCCGCACATATCTCTCTTACCACCGTTTAGCTCGGCTGTTAATTGCGCTACATGTTCCAAATTTTGACTGACCTATCAAAAAGAGCTGCAGAACACCTGGACTAACAGTTTTTTGGACATTTTAAAACAAGGTTCGCGAGTAAGTCGAGCAACCGCAAAATAGGGGTGCACCGGACTATGTAATTGATCACATATAGTCAATCTCCGTCCATCATACTGAGAGATGTTAGGTATTTCATCAAGCATGTGCAAATCATTGCAAAACTAAATAGCCGGCCGGACTTTAGCGGCTTTTTACCTTTTCAGAATCACCCAAACTGGCTGAAATTAAACATGGCTTAGCCCTACACAATGTAGAGTAAAGTTATGACCGGGTTCATGCAACGTCGAGGTGAAACTACACGAAAACGCAAACCTGAGGATTTTCTGGCAAACTTTGACAATTTTGTAATTAGAAAAGCGGAATAGATGCGTTTTAAAAGATTTTTGCGCTAGTGCACGCACACAATGCAAAGATAGCGGGAGATTGTTATCCTACGTTCTTCAGTGTGCAGCAAAGAGTACTGTCGGGGATTTTTAGTCTGTTTTCAATTATTTAGAGGTCGGTTATTCCCAAGCTATTTGTGTAAGGCATTAATGGCATACTAAAATCAGGTTAGTAAGATCTTGTACCGGTAACTCCAATAAGTCCCCTATTAGTTTTTCTAAAACAAAAAAGTTGTCGTTGCCTTAGGGCGTGGTCAGTATGATTTAGCGTTTTAAGATAACTGAACCATGTCGCTTACTCAAGGTAACGGAGAAAACTTTAGTTATTTTAGGTGATCAGAAAGTTCTGTCCACCAATTTTTGGAAAACTTGTATACCTCGACTAACAAGGGAAGCCACTTAAATCACAGAGCGATTTTTAAAAACGACTGTTACGGCAATGGAGGTGGCGGAATGGGGATATCGAATCTGGAAACCGCTACCTCCACCGGCCTCTAGGAGCCGAGATAATCGACCGACAAGTTTGGCCAAAAAAAAGTTGCCCCGAAAAGCTCCTCTTTTCGAAAGGTCGAACCGAATGGTCCGGTGGTCTGGAAGCGCGCTTCCGGGCCTTTACCTTTTCAGGTTCGAATCCGCATGGGTTCGGACTTGTAAATAAATTTATAAAACTTTCCCTGTGATACAGTAAATTTACTGGAAAAATAAAATTTTCTATTTTTTCCATATTTTGCGTTAAATAAGTGTCCAAATTCCGGAAATGTCTTGACGTGAATTTTTGTAGGACCTTCGGTCGATTTTTCGGCGCTACGCCTTTTCGGGTCAGGGACAGTTGGGGTCAACGATACTATGGATCGCCTCGGTTCGCCGTTGTATGCATCGGGGAGGCAATGGGAAGGCTTAGTTAGTAGAAATAATAAGACTGATCGGGTCCTGGGATAGCTCATCCCCTATTTCGAGGTATTTTACATGTACTTACATCAATAATATCTACAGGGTGTTCAGAGAATTGTGGAAAAAACTATTTAATAATAACTTTGCGCTAGGGGGTCCAATCCGAAAATTTTTTTTGCATTTTACAGAAAAACCTTAGAGTTTTTAGAATCTAAAATTTTTTTTTCTTTTATCGGCGGAGACTTCCGTAATCCGCCTTGAATTCGGCGGAGTGTTTTTTTCACAAAAAGAGGCTGTAAATCGTTGTATGGGTAAAGAAAATGGGCGGAAAAGGATCCAGAAGATACAATATGACATTTCTTTCAAATTTCTGTGCTTCGGCGGAGACATTTTTTAACCTCGGCGGACGATTTTTCTTCGACTTCGGATAGTCAAAATTGGCTAGAACCAAAGCGTATTGTATCCCGAGTGGCATGGCGTCTAAAAACGACTTATTATGTCTTCAGCCGGCTGGCAGACGAAAAAACGGCAATTCGGAGGAGAAATCGGCGAAGAAAAAATTAACCCATTTTTAAAAGAAATTATGATGAGAAAACTAAAGTTGTAGAGGGTGGGCCACTCGAAACTCCCAACCTCTTTTCAGGTATTTCTCCGCCAGTAATGCACCAATTTCTATAAAATTTATATCAAATTGAAGCTGAGACATTCCATTTCTTGTCCACCAAATATGGCCCGTCTAACTTCACGGAGGCACCCGTGAACCTTTTACATTTTCATTCTAAATTTTGGGACGCGAAATCGGTGAAACTTGGAATTTTTTTGGAATGATTTTCAATTGAGTTTCTCGGACTTGGAAAATCTTTGGATTAAGGCAAGAAAAAAGTTGCCAAAAATTAATTATCTGAACACCGGGTAAATAAAAGTTACGGATCTTCGTTTTTTGCTGCTAATGTTGGTTTATATGTTACAATAACTCAGGGCAAAGAAAACTAAGGTTATAAATAGCTAAAATTAGAAAGAATGGACATCGCAAGGCTTCGCCAAGTCTCCGCCGAGCGTCTGCCGACCATCCGACCGCTTTGCCAGGCCTCATAGGCACTTCCTACAACCTTTTTTGGTGTATCCACCTGCCATACGTCTCGTATCGATCGGTTTTGTGTTGACCCGAACTGTCGTCGACCCGAAAATTCGGGAAGCGACGCTGCGGGAAGTTTAGATGATTCCATTGTTAGATATTTCTTGAAACACCTTGTACAGTACTCTTTTTTAGCTGTTTCGAAGCAAACGAAAGAAGCCAAAGCAGCAACTCTCGATAACTAGTAATATACAGAGTGAGAGGGATGAATACGTTTTGTCACCACCAAAATGCAGTCGGACGCAAAGTAAATTAAAGTCGACGGAAAATCTTGGAGGAACCTCAGATACGGCCAGTTTTAATGGGCGGGGAAGTTTTCGACCGCTGAAGAAGGGAAAATCCATATTCTCTGGGAAGTGGAAGATAAAAGACGTAAGAATTGGTTGTTTTCGAGGTAATGAGATGAATAACAGGTAATCGTTTTATATTTTCAGGATAAAATTCGTTTCCAAAGAAGAATTTACGAATTCTTCGTTGCCCCGATTACTACATTTTGGTCGTGGACGCTAAGTTTTGCTGTATTTCTCAGCTTATACACTTATATTTTACTGGTTAAAACTCCGATTAAACCGTCCATACTTGAATGGATAGTATTCTCATATGTTGTCGGATTCGGGATGGAGATTGTTCGCAAGGTGAGTTCTAGAGAGAATCATCATTCGGGGTTTAGTTGTGTATGTCGGACCCTAAATCAATTAGAGAAAAATTTGAATATTTCTTTTTGAATTATTGGAATGCTCTAACTACGGTCGCTATCGGCACTTATCTTGTTGGATTTGGGTTACGATGCAATCCAAGTACAAGGTACGTGTCCTTTTGAGCAGGGGTATAAGTTGCAGGAGCGCGGGCCGAGTTGTGTTGGCCACGAATTCAATGTTGTGGTCCATAAAGTTGCTTGACTTCTTGAGTGTTCATCCCAGATTCGGACCTTATGTCACCATGGCGGGCAAAATGGTGAGTTTTTATTCAAAGTTTACTCATTAATTTCTAGATCATGAATATGTCTTCAATCGTGGTCATGTTGGCCATATCTCTCCTCGCGTTTGGTTTGGCCCGTCAATCGATTACGTATCCCAATGAAGAATGGAGCTGGCTTTTGCTAAGAAATGTGTTCTACAAGCCCTACTTTATGTTATATGGAGAAGTTTATGCTGATGAGATCGATACTTGTGGAGATGAAGCCTGGGATGAACACATGGAGAAGAGGATCCCCGTTGATGCGTTGACAAATACTTGTGGGTTTCCAAACTTGTGTTAAGAGGTTTTTTGTAGCTATGAGTTGCGTGCCTGGCCATTGGGTTCCACCTTTGTTGATGACAGTTTTCTTGTTAATTGCTAACATTTTACTCATCAGTATGCTGATCGCCATTTTTAAGTAAGGTCTCTTTGGGTAGTGTACAGCCATGTTTCTTATTATTTATTTAACCGTTCTTTCAGTAATATATTTGATGCCGCAAATAAAATCTCCCATCAGATCTGGCTTTTCCAGCGCTACAGACAAGTCATGGAATATCAAAATACATCGATCCTGCCACCACCTTTGACACCACTCTATCATCTTCATTTAGTTTACAAATATCTTCGCTTTCGTTATGAAATACGAAGAGAAAGGCTTGTCCAGAACGAGATAAATTCTGGAGACGATCCGAAGAAAATTCAGACAGCGGAAAAGAAGAGAAAACAAAAAGTCAGGCTACTGAGAGAACAGCTCTTCGATGCCACTCTTAGTATGTTTGTTAATCAGTAGCACTAACGTGGATTTAGAACTTTTTTTTAATCGAGAGCAAATCGAAAAGATGCACGATTTTGAAGAAGAATGCATGGAAAGTTTGGCACGGGAGAAAGAATTCCTTAGTAGCAGAACAAACGAAGAACGGCTCAGAAGAACGGTGGAACGTACTGACAATATTCTGCAGAGAGTAAACGATCTGTCACAGAAAGAAAGTTATTTTTCCGATTCCATCAATCACTTTGAAAACAGGCTAGAGCACATTGAAAACGCACAGGTAGATAAACTATGGAAGTGCAATACACTCGTTCATTCCAGGTCGAAACTCTAAAGTATCTGAAGCATTTGTCAGAAGCCCTACCAAGATTATACGATGCTTTATTATGTGGTGAAGATGATGAGAATATGGAATTAAATCTGGAGAAAAAATCATCCAAGCAGACAAGTGGAATGGTATTTCATCTACTGTTAATCTGTATTTTAATTCTCAATATTTTTAGTCTGAAGCGAAACCAGATATGGCAGAAGGAAGCAATGAAATGCGTAATCGAAGTAGAACAACTACCATTGGAGGAGAGGCATTTCAGAAACTAGGAAACAAGTCCTCCACCAGTTTTGGAAATCTTCTTTCCACTGAGGCAATCCCAATTAAAACCAGCGGAGTGTCTGTTAATGCGTTCAGAAGTAGTGTGCGAAGACCACAAAGGAACGAGTATACCTCGATAACAGACACCATTGAGATTGATCGTGCTGAGGCCAGGGCCCCTTTCACTCCAAAATTCGAAAGAGGATATATTGAAAGCACAGGTAAAGACGCTTCCAAAATAGTGACCTTGTTTAGTGGAAGATTATATAACCGATGAAGAAGAAGGCGAGGCGCATGATGACTCTAATCCACACGAAGTGAGGTCGACTTCGCAAGGTCTCGCTTACTATGACGACCCTCAGTATCAGTCGCAGAGGGAAGATAACGACGATGATTACCCCAACGAGAACCGCGACACTCCAAACACAACACTTCGAAGGGCCAAATCTTCGTTTATACGGACCCACAATCAAAGGATGAGGGAATACGAAGAGGTATGCTTAAAAGAGTGTTTTTTAAAACTTGAAGGATGGCCCGAACATTTCCAAAAAACGACTGTCTCAGAATCTTTTGATTTTTGCATAGACTAGCTAGCAAAGTAATGGCCAAAAAGTGTTTTTTTTTTCCTCTGACCGCTCTCCGCGTTTAGCGTACTCTCTCGGCCCAAAGATCGCTGAATATCTCGGCTGCGCCTTCAAAGCGCGAGCTAAAACGTTGAGGAACTGCCGTTGCAACGGCTAAAATCAAGTTTACGTTACACCTCCGTGGATTTTACAGTATGCTTTTTTGCATTTTCGATTTTACGCACATCCGCGGAGCCGCGGCGGAGACCTCAGATTTCGGCGGACGTTGTTTTGGGGGTTTGGCTTTTGCAAATTCATGTTGAAAAAGAGGTTGGGGCGATTTTTTGTTGTCATACGATGCACAGATGGCAAAAATTTCGTAAAAATTTCATACTTTCTTTCACCGGGCGGAGGCTTTATCAAAGGAAAAAACAGTCTTAGGAGTCCGGGAAAAATCTCAGCTACAAGATTTGTCCGCCGGACCAAAAAAATCGGAAATCTTTGAGAGATGATGTTGCTCTGATGGATTCTTGTAGCTGAGATTTTTCCCGGGCTCCTAAGACTATTTTGACGCTTTGATAAAGCCTCCGCCGAGTCCTCCGCCGTGGAAAAAAGTAAGAAATTTTTGCCATCTGTGCATCGGATGATAACAAAAAATCGCCCCAACCTCTTTTCCAACATGAATTTGCAAAAGCTAAACCCCCAAAACAACGTCCGCCGAAATCTGAGGTCTCCGCCGCGGCTCCGCGGATGTGCGTAAAATCGAAAATGCAAAAAATCATACCGTAAAATCCACGGAGATGTAACGTAAACTTGATTTCAGCCGTTGCAACGGCGTTTCCGCCATGTAATGCGATGTGATTTTTAAAAAAGGCCCTAATTGTCTCCGTCGAGAAGTGGTCCCTCCGCCGACGAAAGAAAAAATTTTTTTTTAGAGATTCTAAAAACGCACGACGTGAATTTTTAGAACCAAAAATAAATTCGTTGATAGCTGCAAAAAACACAAAGATATAAGAAAATTATTTGTCCAAAGTTTCTTGAAACACCCTGTATTACAACAATCATGCAAAACACCAAAAGATCCTGAGACAGTAATTTTTTGGAAATGTCCCTGGACATTTCCAAATATGAGAAGCTGTAAAAAAACTCTCTTTTAAATTGGTATTCGCCCTATAATATTATAGGAAATCGCCGGTGACAGCGATTTGCCCGGACCCAGCAAGCTAACGAACGGTTCAGATGCCGAAAAAGAAGCAGGGTCCCCGAGGTCCACGGAACGAAGTGCTAACTCATCTTCTGAATTTCTACAATTTATAGGAACCTCAAACGATCCAGAAAAGAAACACTCACGAGAGAGCATTTAAAGCTCAAATCGCGGGTAAAAACGTTGCCTCACATTGTTGTCATTTTGTTTTTAAAAACTGTATAAAGAAAAAAGTACGAAGTCACCACATTAAAAACAAGTCAAGATGAAATATTAATTTAATTCATTTTAAAATAAAGTTAATAAGGAAACAAGGAGATCTCTATAAAACGTAATCCAATTCGTATCTGGAGAAGGTGTTCCTGTCGGTGTCATTGAACCGTGGATAGCCGGCGACTAATGCATCTTGAGAGCCAAGGATAAGATTATTAAACACCTTCCACGCAGGTTCGCGGACTTTCCGCGCAGGATGCCAAAGGGCTTGAATGCAATACTGCATAACTCTTATCGGCCCCAGCGAAACACGCATTGCATCGCACGCAAATACGAATCTTTGAATAACATGAGGCGAGTTTTCTAACATATTAGGCCAGACATGGTTCATCAAATGTGTTAACGCATCTTCACAGCCAAATCCATATACGCCTAAGGTTAAATGTGCCACTGCATCGATAGCAATCTGACGATGAACAATATCACTAAAGATTAATAAAATTTTCGTATTTCCAAGTTACCTACCGCTCCATCAAGGCATCAATCAGCAACGGAGTAACTGCATAGATATAATCTTTAGCCATTTCTCCAATGTATTCAAACATGAATGACAAGGCCTTCAATACACCATTTTGAACATTGATTTCCGGCACTCTATATTCGTTCATGATGGCTGGTAACACAGTAAACGGAGCGCATGTTTCGGCGACAATGGCTATGGCAACAGTTGTGCACACACGCAATTGACGCTCCTGAACTTTCAAGTTACTCAGTAACGTCGCCAAAACATCATGAGGACCAATAGCCTTAGCGATGTACCCGAACGTATTGATGGCCACTCGACGAATTGACTTTTTATGAGCCTTCAGAAGGTCGAGTAACTCGAAGCAGATTCTCATCCATTCTCTGGCAGAAACAAATTCACTTCCTCTGTCTGCAATCTTCCCCACCAGCTCGATACAATTCTCTTGCACTTTCTCGTGCCGATTCTTCAGGATGGGAGTGAGTCGCGGGAGAAGGTCCTTGATCGGAGGATTCATTTTGGTCATTCCTATCACCGTAACAATCGCATTCAAAGCGCCCAGAATGGAACCAAGAACTTCAGGGTATTCCTCTCCCAAATATTCGTACAGGACGACACCCAAATGACACATCAGCTTCTCTTCGTCGCAAATGTGCATTACCGGAGCAATTCGAGCAATCTAATAGGCATCATACTATATGTTTCATTAATGACTTACCAAGTCAGTAGCCTGTTGACGAACCTTCGCAGATTTGTTGTTCAACCTCCACAAAATGGTACCGCAAATTTGAGGGAAATAAGGCTTCGCTCGAAGACCCAGGCCATTGCAAACGGTGCCAAATCCATTTAACATAACAGCATCCTAAAGACCAGAATATTAAACTAACAATAAGGGTTTACTTCTTGGGTTTGTTCCTGGAAAGCGTAAAGAATTCCGTCGATTAGTTGTTCCTCAAGACGCGGATCAATCTCGGAAGCTCCCATCAAGCTAATAATATTCTCAATAGTCTCCATCACCATCTTTCTATATTGCTCTGTTTCGTCCTTTAAGTCGTCAACGATTCTTCCTATGATTTCCACGGAGCCAACCTAAACATTTTAACACTACAGGGTGCGCCAATAAAACCTGGACAACCATCAATTCCATATGGCATTTTTCGGGTGGCCTAAGAACGAAAAATTTTCGCCCTTTTAGTAAGGGTAAAAGCCGTTCTACACAGCCAGGGTAATGTCAAGGTTGGGGCCTATTGCAAGAATGAAAAAATAACCAAAAGTTTTTGAAAATTTTTCCGAAGAATGAGCGGGGAATTAATTCGCACATTATTTCCGCTAACTAAGGTTCTTCAAGTTTATTGTATGTAAAGTACGTTCTACGAAAATTCGGATTTTGCGCTTTTAAGGACCTCAACGCCAGAGTATCGTTCGGGTTGCTCCGAAATTCCGTGATTACAGAGCATATGCATCACCAATTCTTACAGTTTAAAGTTTTGGCAGTTTACAACGTGTTGGAAAGCACTTGAGAGTAAAAATAAACATAGCGCTGCAAACTGGATACATGATGACACAGGCGAACAACTTTTATAGCAATCTTTAACCCAAGCTCATTAGAAGAGCGACCATGCAGTAGATAAAAAAATACTTTTCCAAAAGTAACTAGTCAGACTCTGGTTATCATTATAAAAGACCTGGTGCCTAAAGATGCTTGGAATCACACATGTAAACTTCAACATAAAAATTTTTCATTTAACGGAAATTTTCCGAAAAAGGCGTGTTTTTAAGAAAACTTTGACCGCAAGTAAAAAGTGTAATAGTTGTAATTAGGCAAAATCAATTTTAGTGTATAAAAAGCGACCGCTACTGTCATAAAATGTAGATTTCGGCCCCTAGCATCCAAAGGTAAAGCTAGTGTCACCAATTTTTAACTAACTTGGGGTCCGTGTTTCAGGGGCCTTCGTTCTGAGCACTTATAATGGCAAAACAATTATAAGTGTTCTTGTCTGAAAACCTTGGTGATGGATTCTTGGACGCATTACACGTTTGCACAAGTGCCCAGTTTATAGTGTTACACCCTGTAAAATACTTGGGATACCCACCTTCTGAGCGATCTCCACTGTAGTATCGACCAACTGCTTATAATTTCTTCTATCCAACGCCATTCGACGATTCCAGAACGCCCGGAAGAACGGTGGGAGGATCTCGTCGCGTATGTATTTCGCCTCCACTCCATCAGTGGAACAACATTGTTTCACAACCTAAAAAATATATACCCAACAAAGAGTTTTACCTTCAACACAATCTTTTTCATTTCTTCATCTGGAGAGTTGAATTCTCTGATCAAAATAATCATAACTTCGGTGGTATAATATGAAGCATATTCGGCATCCATCAGCGGAATAAGGAACCCAATCGCTTTCAAGAATGCAGCAAGTCCTTTTCCTCGATGACTTCTTATGCCCTTCCATAGAGGCTTTAGGACAGAATCAAAAGCTTCAATTCCATATGGAGCAGCGGCTTCGGCTAATGCAGATAAACATAAGGCCGTGATGGTCCTAACCTTCTGTTGTTCATCCACGAGGCCATTCTCGACAGTTTCAACCAAAGCCTTAAGATGTGGCAGAACCGCGCATCCCATTAAAATAGCGATTTGTTGTACAATTTTGATACCTAAATGTCACAGTAACTTTTAAACAACTTAACCTACCAGTGTGCCGTGCCTGCCAACTTTTTTTGCTCTTACAGACGGCTTTCAAAAATGGCAAAAGGGCCGGAATCCCCAGAGCGGAGGCAACTACCGCAAAAGCTCGAGCTGTGGTATTCCTAACATATTCATCAACATTGTCGATATCTGGCCGCATTGTTGAAATCATCGTAGCTAGACCGGCGGCCTTGGCCAAGTTGGAGATTATCTCCCTTCCTTCGACTCGAGCGTAGTAATCTTCATCAATAAGTAATGGCTCGATGACAACAAGAATCTTGTGAACATAGGGCCGTACGAGGTCATCGAGTTTGTAGAGAATACGATCAATTACCTTGACCATGAGATGTCTTTCCTGATCTTCCAATGTAGGAGACATTAAAAGCGGAAGGATCTGATTGAATAACGGCCCCGCTCCCAACTTTCGTGCATTTTCGGTGATCTTCCTAAGTCCAGTTTTTCGCTGAGGTGGAGTTCCATTCTTTATCCGAAGCAGATACCCCATTATCTCCCTTTCATTTTTTTCCGCCTTAGTCAATGTGCTTTCGTCAACATCTTCCAACAGCTTTTCGAAATATTGAATATCTTCCGGTTTCAACGCCGGAAGATCCTTGTCCTTCGGTTGTGTGTCCAATATCCCTCCAGCTCCGACCTTCTCCCCAGCACCACCTCTCTCGGGGGTATCCGGAATGCTAAATCCCCCTAGACCACCAGCACCCATAGGAGTCGGTGTGGCCAAGAGCTTGCGAGATGGAGTTCTGATTGGATTATATCCAGGAGGAGGGGCCAAAACTCTGTAACCAGGTGGGAAGAGAGCATTCAACTCTTCATCCGAGATGTGCTGATTTCGACTTTCAAGCTCGGCTTCATGCTTGTAAATGGCCATTTGTTCCGGCGTCATGGGAATCATAGGTACAGCTGGCGTTTTCATGTTCATGGCATTCATTCCAACTGGAGTCGAACCTCCGGGCGTCAGGAGTGGAGTTTGTCCAACACCTGGTGTTGCTGATGGCGTCATATCCAGACTATTCATCGGAGTTTCAGCCCCAGGAGTCTGTCCAGGTGTAAGATCCCATCTTGAACGTCGTTTAGAACCCGGAGTAGCATCAACTCGAGATTCGAGGATATCTGCCTTCGATTCGTATGGAGTCTCAGCCCCCCAACCTGGAGTCAATCCACCATCAACCTTGGGAGTTTCGTCGAATCGGTTTCTTCGAACACTCTGGGAAGGAGTCGTTCCCCAGTTTTGGCCAGCAGCTGGTGTCGCATCACCATTCCCGATCCTGACAGGAGTCTCGTCCCACTGATTGACTTGAGGAGTTTGTGCCTAAATTAGAAAACCGTCTTCTTTGCCAAATATCAACACCAAGGACATGAAAGATAGATGGACTTACGACTGCCGCAGCAGATAACGGCTGATTAATACCGAGTCGTTTCCTTGGACCCTGAGTAGGTGTCGCATCTTCTATTTTACTCTTCTTTTCCGTCGGTTCTTCAACAACTTTGAGATCGCCAGATTTGTATCTATTAAGCAACTCCCGCTGAACTTGTTGATTCTCGGCCTCGAATGCTCTCTCCTGCATGATAGCTGCATAGTCTCTGCCGTCTGGAGTCTGTTCAACTAAAAGTATAAAGTACACAAACCGCAAACAAACGCTTACTAAACATATCAGCTCTTTCAGGAGAAATAGGCCGTTTCCTGGCCCGGCTATGATAGTCGCTTTGTCTGTCAGCAATAGTCCTTTGTCGTGAAGCATCTTGGAGTTCATCACGGTCGTCCTAAAAAAAAGTAAAACAAACGACCTTTTCAAATCCATACCTGCGACGCTACTTCGTCCTTGTAATTTTGAATCTTGTTCGACATTTTGTGTTCCAATATATGCAATTACTGTTATCAACCCACAAACTTTTAATCTGACTCTGTGTTCATAAAAAGCAAAATATTAAAAATTCACGCTAAAAACTCGATCTGCACCCTTACAACAGCATTAATGAACCACTACCGCGGCAAAATTGACAAAATTTATTTTCGTCAGAAAAAAAGCGAAATAAAATTAGAGCCTGGACGCAGCTTGCCAAGGAGCCTTGAAATTCTCTGCAAGCTGCAGAAGATCCGATAAATCGAAATACGCAACGTTATTCTTTTGTTTCCTTATCATGCTATCAGTAGCATCAAGTGGATAGGTCGACGATGGCGTTAAGAGGATTTAACGTCTACTCTAGAAGGTCGGACGACGGAACCTATAATGTACTGCTGGAGAATACTCATCTTTCCAAATTTTTACTTTTGCAGAATGGGGTTTGTGCAGAATTAGGTAATTGTCTCGTCAAATATGATCCATTTATAGATAACGATGAAGGAAGTTCCCTTAAATCGACGTACAATAAGATAAACTCAGGGTATGGATTGGCTGGAGTCCTTAATTTAGATGAAGGTAATAATAAACTTCCGAATCTATTGGTGTTTAGCTGACTCCTACCTTGTGGTTATCACGGGGGCATTTTCGGAGGGGAATCTGTTGGGCAACGACATTTATAAAGTTACTCAAGTCGAATTTGTTCCTTTGAGTTTCGAACCTCCTTTAAGACTGGATGTCAAGTTGGTTGATGTAGGTTCCCCCGTTTTTAGTTGACTATTTATAGATACAACGATTGCTTTCTGCCGGCACTTTCTACTTCTCTTCCTCTCAGGAAAATGGTAGAGTTTTTGATCTCACCAGATCACGACAGGATTCTTTGAAAAATGGGCCCGACCCTATTTTTGTATGGTAGGTTAATTTGCGCAACATGACGTCTGATTTTTAGGAACCTACGACTGAAATGCTTGTTCGAAAAATTTTGTGTGAATACAAGTGAATGGTGTCAGACTCTGATTTGTGGATCGGTGCTTGTCAGAACTATTTATGTGTCTCATATAACAGCCAAGGTAGCCATAATATCCCGATTATCCCATGAAAGAGTTGGGACGCGGTTCAATACCCGGGGTGTGGATGAAAGGGGATTTGTGGCCAACTTTGTGGAATCAGAACAGGTTTGTATAATGATTAAGCAATCCAACTTGAGTAGATTGTGACATTCGCAGAAAAAGAAGTTTCCTTTCTCCAAATAAGAGGTTCGGTACCTTTGTTCTGGGAGCAACCCGGCATTAATGTGGGCTCACATAAGGTTAAATTACGATGCCTTGAAAGCTCATTGATTGCATTGAACAAGTCAGTTTGAAGTCTTTTGGCAATCCTGTTTAGGCATTATGATATGTTGACTCAGCGCTACCGAAGCATCATAACGATTAATTTATTGGGCCATAAAGAAGGAGAGAAACTGCTGTCGGAGACATACCAGGTTTGAAGAATGTCGTAGTTGGATAATTCTGTTTTCAGCATACGTATAAAAAGTCGAACTATGCAGAATTTCCTTTTAAAAATTTTGATTACCATTCGAGTATGAAGAGCAACAAGAATTCAGCCAGGGAATTTGTGAAACACATAGTCTCTTCCAGTCATTTCACGGTTCATTATTCGGAGTTTGATTCGATCAAGCAAAGGCAGAATTCGGCCGTTCGAACCAATTGTTTGGATTGTCTCGACCGCACAAACTGTGTTCAAACTCTGATTGGGATTGAGGTAATATCTCTCCCTATTTCAGGAGTTTTTTAGATGACAAAAGTTCTACTTGAAACATTGGGCATAGCGGATTTGAAAGCCGGGATTCAACAAAGATTCGAAGATGTTTTCAAGGAGATTTGGCAAAGGAATGGGGATCTTTGTTCGTTGATTTATACTGGAACCGGTGCATTAGATGGGAAGTCCAAAGTAAGATCAAGTAGGAACGATCATGTTTTTAGTTACAAGATGCTAGCAGATCGATTGCCCGCACAATACAAGGGAACGTAATGGACTCGGCCAAGCAGGACTCTTTCGATCTCTTTCTGATGGGACATACTTTTGGAAACAAATATTACGATCGCTTGTCTAATCTTTTGAACCCGTCGTTTGTCAACCAAAATCCTATAATTAACGGTATGTACTTTGCGTTATCCCAGGTTTGAAGTGGCTAGAAAATTTTTTAGTTTATCAGATAGTTTCTTTGGTGTTGGGTGGTGGAAGTTAGGGTGATTCAAATTCGGGCGGCACATATTCGGGTTATGGCTTTTTGGCGTGGGTGGATTCTCGGGTGATGAAGCAAATATTATACTGACGGCTACTAAATATGACGTAACATTGATTAAATTTCAAACGTTTCACGAAGGACGGAAAGGTCCGCTAAAAAAAAGAAAAGAAGAGGGCGGGGAGGAGGGGAGGTTTTCGATGGCGCTGATTTCGAATATCGTATCCATTTTTCCTGTATTTTACAATTTTGCTTAAGCAGCAGTGTTAACTAGTAATTTTTAAAAAAAGACGTAAGTTATATTGTACTTGGCGTTTTGATTTTTAGGTGTGACTAGTCTCGAAAAAAAATTTTTTTGAAATGTTTTCGCTTCGAGACTTGAAAAAAAGGATTTTTTGTGAAATTTGAATAAAATTTGAAATGTTTTCGCTTCGGGACTTCAAAAAACGGATTTTTTGTGAAATTTGAAAAATAATTTAAATGTTTTCTCTTCGGGATTGGGAAAAAAAAGAATTTTTTGGAAAATTCAACAAAATTTTGAAAGCAATTAAAAAAAAAATTTTTTTGAGTAATGGATTTAGGGGTTTTCGGTGGTGCTGATATTGAAAATTGTATCCATTTCTTCTGAATTTTTTCCTATCTCCTCAATTCCTTAAAATAAATGTTTTAATTGGTAAAAACTTGATCAAACTTGTATGATATTGTAAGAAAACTGATGCCGCTTTTTTCGTCATTACAGCGAAAATGACACTACTGCTTAAGCAAAATTGTAAAATTCAGAAAAAAATTGATATGATTTTCGAAATCAGCGCCATCGAAAACCTCCCCCCTCCCTCCCCTCCTGACCGCCCTCATCTTTCCTTTTTTAGCGGACCTTTCCGCAGCGGACCTTTCCGTACTCAATCCAAACATTTTTTGTAATTAGCATTCGCACAGCGTTCCGAGCTTTTTTGCCGCCACCGATTGGTCCCGGTTTTCGCTCAAAATGACAACAGGGCTGCGCGCCTCAGCTGATAACTAGCCAAAAATGAAAGAGTAAAAATTTGTTTGCAGATAGAGTAACAAAGGACCTATTCAAAGATATAAATAGTTTCGATCATCTTTCTCTCTGTAACGATTTATTTCTCCTACAAAATTTCAAAATTTTGTTTTTTATTCATGGGATAATTTTCAAAATTGCCTCTTCTATGGAATATCCAAAACTAAGAAAAATTCTGGCTCTTGGGGCTCTACGAAATACAAAAAAAAAAGTATTTTATGTTTTTGCATGTTTTCGGATTTTTTTCAACCGGATACACAAAAACGCAAGATCGGCCCTTGTAGTTCATACTCGATTACATATATCTGACAAATTTCACGTTTTCATCTCTACTCCCTGCTTTCCGAGCCCGTTTAGGTGTTAACAAGGGCTCGAAAAAACCTCGTCCCTTGGTTTTTGCTTGAAACATATACCATTTGAAAGAGCGTAAAAAACTGGTCTAGGATCACCTTTAATTAGCTGCTATTATTCATCTACGCGCTGGCTAGCGAGCGTTTTTTTAAAATTTCCAAATTTGACCTTGCAATGGGGCATCCTGGAGGGTTGAAACTTTCAAATGCGAGTGCCCGCTAATGGAAAGTACGTAATTGAGTCTGAAAACGTCTTACATGTTTGAAACATCTTTGTTTGTCTTGGGTTACGGGACCTAAAACATCGCGTAATCACTCGTTTAGTACATCAAATGTTTATACTTTTCGGAATAGGTTGAAGAGTTTAATCTCATAGTTGACTTAATATTTATATGAAAAGTGATTGTTCGATTCCGTTCGCCCCTCAGAAGCAAAGAGTTCCAAAATTCCATTTGGAAATTTTCGGGTATTTATGGGTATATTCAAATTACTTTTGCATTCAAAAAATTTTAAAAAAAGTCGAGTTTTGTTATAAAAAATCAATAAATGTTGACATTTTGTCATAATTTGTTTTTTGCCTCTCAAAACTTGGTTCTAAGGTTGAAATTTACTTGGCCGGAGTCGGAAAATGAACGGGGAAAAATTGAAAATCTGACTGCCAAAATTGTTTTTTATTGGATTGCTAAACTTTTTGATTGTTAAAGTACTAGTTTTGTTTGTAGTAGTTGGGAAAATAGAGAATATCACTCCAAACATGATTAGGTTAATGAATAACTTGCTACTTATTCATTAACGACTTCATATTGGTACTATATTGGACTAATTTTGGCTAATTTTATAAATACCCGAATATACCCGAGATTTCGGGTATATACCCGGGAATATACCCGGGTATATACCCGCGTGGTGAATATACCCGAATTTTCCGAACCCTAGCTGAGACCCGCCAGTTTTAACCGATTGAATTTTAAAAAAATATATTTTGAATTGACCTTTCTATGCCTTCCCAAAGTTTTGAAGAATTATTTTCGAGCCGAAATCACTAAAACTCAAAAAGAAGGACGAGACAAACCTAGAACTAAAAAATGCTATTGCTCGCTAGCCAGCGCGTAAGTGAATAATAGCAGCTAATTCAAGGTGATCCTAGAGACCAGTTTTTTACGCCCTTTCAAATGGTACACGTTTCAAGAAAAAAACCAAGGGACGAGGTTTTGCCGAGCCCTTTTAAGACGACGCCGCAAAGGGTATTCATTTTTTTTAAATTTTTTTCTTAACTCAACGAGGTTGAGACTAAACGCCTAAACAAGCGTGCGTTTAGGTAACAAAATGGTTTTTAGTGCCAGTTCAGAATTACTTATATTTACGTTTATTTATTTGCAAGTGTCCAAACAAACGTCGGATGCCCGCAAACTTTGAGGCGCGAAAAACAATAGGATACCTGACCTCACTCATTTTAGAAGAAATACATTTTGTTCATGAGTTGGTAAACCGACGGTGTGAATACACCCTGCCAAGCCCGATTGGCATATTTGTCGGAACTTGGAATGTAAATGGCGGCAAGAACATGTACAATGTAGCCTTCAGACACGAGCAATCTTTGACGTCCTGGATATTCCCTGAGGTCATACACCGACCGTACGATCTCGTTGCCATTGGGCTTGAGGAAATAGTCGATCTCAATGCTTCTAACATTATGAAAGCAGGGTAACCAGAATATTTAAAAGAGCGTTTTTTACAGATTAAGGCTTTTCACGACAAGTCACGTTTCCAAAAATCGAAAATCTCAGAATCTTTTGCAATTTTGCATTGTTGTTGTACTAGGGCATCTGAACGTCAGTGCTAATTTTAAGGTTCGGAAATTACCGTATACCGGGGTTACAGTAGATCCAATATTCAGAATGATTGGGTTGATGTGCAAACGCACTTGGGGATAAAGGGAAAAACCCTTTTTTTTACGTTTAAGCGATATGGAACATTTTTATAATTGACAGTTTTGTTGTAGGATGTAGCCTTCGACAACTTTGCAAAATACCAAGGTACCGTTTTGGATGAATCTGTTTTTTTAGAAGCCTTCTCTCTACTTTTGAAAGCTTTCAAAAATACTTTAACATAGATGTTACAAGGTATAAAAATCCAGGAAAATAAAAAAAAGGGGTGGGGTTTGGAGTTATAAACAAAAAACGCTCTTTTAAATTACAACGGTTTTGTAGAACTACCAATCAAAGAATTTGGCTGGAAGGAATTCTGAAAGTCCTAAAAGAAAACTGTGGCATCGATTACTCTGTTCTGGCTTGTGAGCAATTGGTTGGGGTCTGTTGTATTATTTTGGCCAGACCAGCGCTGATACATCGAATAAAACAATTGGACGTTGATGAAGTGAAGACGGGAGCCGGGGGAACCATCGGAAACAAGGGAAGCATATCTGCTAGATTAGTGGTAGATTCCACTTCTATTTGTTTTATCGTCTCTCATTTTGCTGCAGGGCAAAGCGAGGTTAAAGAGAGAAACGACGATTTTCATACAACTGTGAGAAAGATAAAATTCGAAAAGGTAATCAGTCACTGTCTGCAATAAAACCTTTCAGGGAAGACAGGTGACAATGCATGATGTCGTGTTTTGGTGTGGTGACTTCAATTATAGAATCAACCTTCCATCCGAGGAAGTAAAGTCCATGGTCAGAAATTGTGAATTCGAACGGCTACAAGAGTCAGATCAACTTCTCCAACAGTTGAATCAAGGAAACGTATTCGTCGGTTTCAAAGAAGGGCGTCTCAACTTCGCGCCCACGTATAAATACGACACTTTTAGTGATGACTATGATACATCCGAAAAATGCCGAGCCCCCGCATGGACAGATCGAGTTCTATGGTTTAATGAGAAGGATATGGATGTCCATCAAATACAGTAAATAAGTGTGAAATGAATTAAGTTTTAATTTAGCTATGGACGATCCGAACTAAAAACATCGGATCACCGACCAGTCGCCGCAATCTTCGACTTGTATACGAAGAAAATTGATTCGAAAAAGATGTCTGAAGTGGCTGAAGACATATTGCAGTAAGGTAATATGGAGGTTTAACCGTCATTTCCAGCTCCATTGGAAGCCCGGATTATGTTGTTATATGCACCGTGAGTAACACGGATCCTCTGACGATTCCTACTAAGCTGATCATGCATAAACTGAATTCAGAATTAATGCTACGGCCCGTTGCCAAAAGGTATTTTGCGATTAACCACAGTATTTTCAATATTTATAGAATATCCTCATCCGGTCTACTACTGTACTTTCAAAACAATGTAGATGCCATAACAGCACTCAGTATGGATGGAATTGAAATAAGTCCGGGTCATCGGGTGGCTGTTCAACTCAGAACCCAAGAATGGATTGCGGAGTACTCCCGCAAACTTAAGGAGAACATTTTACAACCGTACTCTGCTGCCTCAACCCCCGAGGTAGATTCAATAGAATTAATAGAGAAACTAAACTTGGTCGCCTCTCCTCTCGGCGACCCGCCAATTCCTTCAGTTCCACCTCGTCCGGTATTTCCCACAAGATTCCAGTGACCATACATTCCACTTTTCTTTCAGATCTCATGGCTTTATGTCAAACAATAAGACAAAAATAAATATGTCAGATTATAAATTTGAGAATGGCAATGGAAGCACGGGTTAAATAAAATTATTAAACAAGGCACTCCGACCGTAGGCTGAGGAACTTATCGGAGGGAAATTGTACTATGTTAGTAAAGGCGTACCGAATCCGACGAATAAGGCAGACCCCATTGAAGGGAACATGACAACATAGAATAGTTAATGCAAGAATTACAAGGCCGAATCATACAAACTGAGTAGCGCAAACAAAAGAAGCCTGAGGAGGTATTGCGCCAATTATACATACATCAACACAAAAGTTCGTATAGTATGGCCTTCTTGTCACCGGCGCCAGTTACAATGTACCTGTCGTCAAGGGAAACATCACAAGAAAGCACTGATGTCTCCTGTTTCGTCTTGATCAGCCTGGCTCCATAGGGGGCACGCCATGTAATCAAGGAACTGTCTTTACCAGTAGAGACGAACCATTTCCCCGAATGAGCAAACTTAAGTGACAGAACACAGTTCTCGTGCTCGTGTAGAACATACTTGTCGCTGTCTTTGGGATTCACTAATTCCACCTTGGAGTTTTCCATCCCTACGGCCACCCAATCATCCGCCGGTGAACAGCTAAGAGAGAACACCTAAAAAAGCAAATAAATTCATCTAGACTTGTAATACCTGTGTGTCGAAGTCGAATTTTTTAATGCATTTTCTTTCGCCAACGCTCCATGAACATACTGTGTTATCCAGACCTCCTGTCCAGAGCACTGATCCATTTGAAGCCAAATCGACGCAGCTTGCTCCGTCTTCGTGGCCTTTCATATCTCCGATGCGTTCAAAAGTATCCAGATCCCAAATCACAACTTTACCATCAGCGCAGCATGAGTAGCAATGTTTCCCATCTGGAGATACCACCAATGCATAACAAGCTTGTGCATCACAATCCAATGTCTTAACTACTTTCTCGCTCTATAAAAAGACGGTAAAGATTCCAGAAATAAGATTGTTGAAACTTACTTCGACGTCGATTATACAAATATTTTTACATTCACCGCCTACAAGTAGTCGATTGTTTTTAGATAGAAGCTTGCAAGATCTGATATATTGATCATCCAGACAAGAGAGTTTAGCCAATGGCGAATTGGTAGTTTCCTTGGGTTTTGAGATGTCCCACACTTTGATGCAGCCCTTCCCACCAGTATAAACCTTGTTTCCACCCGGGGCGATAGTCACAGCACATACAACATCACCGTGTGCGAGATCGGCTAATTTATTCATACTCCTAAAGCAGGAAAAATTAAAAAGGTGTTTATTCCTTACTTTGGGACTCCTGGACCATCGAAAGCATCGGACGGAAACTGGACTGGTTGTGCAGGATGACCATCGGATAATTTGAATGCGTAGGGAGGCTTTCCATTCCCTGCTCCAATCCCCAGAGATCCACCAAGGAGAAGATTTCGCTGCGGATTGGGACCAAAATTAAAGATATTATTAAGTTCTCCAAGGGCGGGTATCATATTATTCTGGAAAGAGGACTGAGGTTTCAACGATTTCGGAGTTGCTGATGAATCTCTAGAAGACATGGACTGCGCACTCTCGCGCCCATCTTTGATCTTTGACGAAGTTCCGTTGGTTTTGTGGCCAGTATCATCATTCTGGACGTCTATCTCCAATTCCACATCGTTGTCGTCTACTTCAGCCTTCGGTTTCTTTGGCATCGGTGTACCGATGCTCGATTGAGGACGAGAGTTATTTACAGAAGTCGTTCGGTTATGATTCTCGGAAGATGCCGCCGCTGCGTTGGACGTCGCCGCGTTTGAAGTGCTTGCAGAAATATTGGGCATCCCAGAAAGAAGTGGATGAGGCATACCCGGCATAAATGGGAACTTGTTATTCATCGCTGCCAATTGCGCAGCAAAGGCATTCATATCTTCTGGCTTCATGGGCATAAAAGGATTAAAGCCGGGAGGCATCATACCACCCATATTTCCCATCATACTCAAGGGATTCTGTTGGGAATTCACAATTTGCATCATTTCCTTTAATACAAAAGATGAAAAGACGTTATACGGACATACCTGTGGTGTAATGTTCTTGGAACGCTCGACCGCTTGCATCGCCGAAGCTTGATGCTCCATCGGCAACAAGGGAACAAAATGTTGCAATATTGTGGTTAGCCGTTTGACGATCTCGGTTTGCTTCGTAACCTCGAATTGGGCTTGGTTTATGAGCTCAACATAGGTCACCATTTGTCTTTGAAGATTTTCTAATTCCTTTTGTTTGTTCTCTACATCTACTCGGAAGGTTTGTAACTGCTGCTGCAACACAGTGTATTCCTCTCGCAATCTGTCCAGATATTCCGGTATTGCCGGGATTTTCATTTGATTGTTTGAGCCCTAAAATTTACACATAAAAACTTGGGAGTTCACATACGGGGTGCCGATTTTGGAACATCGTGTTAGCTGACCAACGAATATGCCCCGTTGATTTGGGCTCAGCGTATGTGGCACCAAAACTTATCTATAAAAATTTAATAAATCATAAGAAATATGGAAATCTGTATCAACGCTTTACGAGAACAAAAACCGGGTAGAAAGAAATTTTCGAACTAGATAAGAATAACAATAATTCTTAACAATAACTTTTATTACACGTTCGAGAAACACAACGCGTACTTGAAAATAACAATACAGACCGAAAATGGGGAGTTATCTGGCAAAACATGAAACCACAGTTTTAGGTAACAAAAATCCTAGAGAAACAGAGCGTTAAGAAAAAAAGCTGAACAAGAGTTCATTTTTATTGAGTCTCGAAGCATTTTCAATAAAAACCGAACGAAAGAGGAGGGAGGGAGCGTCCCCCACTCGTTGAAGATGATCAAATGAAAATGGATGCGCGGCCAAGTGGGCCAACAACAAGACAATGGCAAGAGATCCGGCGGCTGCTAATGGGAAGGCGAGTAGCCTTTCCTTCCTTCCTCTCTCAGCCTCCGCCTGCCACCCGTTCCGGCAAGTGAAACCACTCCAAATGCATAGACGCACTCTTCTCCTGCTTTCCCATTCCGAAGAAACGCGCCACTTCGGCCATTTATTGTCGGAACTGGCATTATTCATTTCTCTTTTTAAAACATGAGGAATTAACCCATCCTGAGCCGTTTTTTGCTAAAAAATATTGGTTTGGAGAGGGAGAAGATAACTCTTAAAAATAGACATGATGAATGTTTTTACTTTCCAAGTCAATGGTAAATTAGCAGGACATTGGATCAAAAAAATATGGACAGCTTTTAAAATAGCAATTTTTACAATCTTTTCACGGGCCTCATGGTAGACGGCAACAAAAAACCCAAAAACTATGGGGTACAGCAGAAAACTAAAGCTAAGCTCCATAATTCGATTGGACGAAAGTAAGGATTGCATGTTCCGAAAAGTTGCGATAAATTCAACAACCATTAGACAACCACCAAATTAACAGTAAGCAGATATTTTGTTGATTTCTGTCTTCTGCTTCGCCTTACTCTACTGGTTTTTACGGCAAAAACGGTTTCAAACGTCCTTCGTATAAAATGGCACCAATATTTTCGGCTTCGTGGAAAATGGACAAAAAATTGGACAGAAATAAATTGGACGGAGTGTGGAAATTGGGAAGGGGAAATTGGACAGAGCTCTGTCCAATTCTCTGCAGAGTGAAATTGGAAACACTTTTTTCGCTGCAATCGTACGAAATGTCACCACTGAATCATCAACTAATAATTTTTTGCAGTGAAAAAAATCTGTCGAGTTTCACTCTGTCCACTTTCCACGAAGCCACATAGTAACTTTCTCGATTTTTTTTGTTGAATATCTTTGGTATCTGTGACTTGACAAGTAAAATGAGATGTAATTTTGACATAAGCAAAGTGGACTGACTACCTGTAGAATATTAATCGAAAAAATTCAAAAAAATACACCTGATGACTAGGGTGCGAGAGTCACTTTGATTATACTTGGTCGTGACCTAGCTCGTGAGCTAGTTCAGGTATGTAACCCCAAAAGCATTAATGTTCGGTGAACGTGATCATTTTTTTGGGGGAAAACAAGCGAGTTCACGGCCTAGGTCGCGAGCTTGGCGATGATCGACCTATCCTCCGGTGTGAACCCAAGCTTTTTCTTCCACACCGTACTCCATTTTCGAACACTCAGAAGAGACCGAAAAAACAGCCGAAAAACGACCGAAAAAATGAACTCCAAGAATAAATCCAATAACTGTAGATGACACTTAAAATGGGGATATCTGAGGATTCAGGGAAAAAAAGAATTTTAAGGTTCGGCCAAAAACTAAAGAAGTTATAGCCTATTCAAATTCATTCACATTACAATATCCGCGAAGAATTACCATTAGACTTTTTGCAATAGTGGCTCGTTTACAATAAAATAACAATAATATTAATAATAATATATTTTAATAATATATTTTTTATGATACAATAAATTATTCCCATCTCCAAATCAACCCGAAATTTCCTCTGGATCCGTACGTGAGAGTTCCCGGCTCCCGTCATCGTCGTCCTCGTTTCCTTTCATGAATGTCAACTGTTTTTCAAATTCTTGAATTGACAAAATTGATATTCCTGCCACTACAAAAATGCCCAAATAAAATAAAAAAAAAAGAAAAATCCAAATTCGGTTATATAAATTACCTCGTCCACCTTCTTCAATCGTTTCAGCGGGGTCGAAAATTACAATGACGGTATTCAGTTCGCTTTCTGTAAGGCCACGAGCCATCTGAACTGCCGTGGTCAGTGGATTCGTTTTTTCGCAATTAATTATCAATATTTTTTTGGACGCAATCAGCTCCTCTAATACTCCACGATCTATCCGCGAGAGCCTGAAGTTGTCTGTTTCTCTTATGTACCGAATAGACGGAGCATCTAGTAAGCAAATGAGATTGGCCGTTTTGAGAAAGCTCAGAACTTTGCTCCACTGATTAATAAAACAATCTTTTGAGAAAAGAGCAACAACGGATTCCGGTTTCTGAAAAAATTAGTAAGGCACATGACATAAATATAAATACCCAGTTCGAGAGTTCCTTGGGTTCATTATGATTGGAAACATTAATCTTTGGAAACTGAAATGTGAACTCAGCCCCTAAATCCAGCGGAAAGCCATCCCTTTGGAGAGAATGCTTGAGTGAAGACACCATTACTTTAATCAGCGTCAAATCTTCAGAATCCCCGATATTCAGGACCTCAAACCCTTGAATCGCCCATTTATAGCTTATTTCTTCCTCGACCTCTGTCAACATTGGCTCTATGTAGCATCGCAGATGTGTCAGCAAACGTACGTAAGCGTTTAAGAGGGAATGCATTACCTATAAGATAAAAAACCATTTTTTTTTTGATTCTAGGGATGTTACTAAAGCATAAATACTCACTGTATACATGTTGAACTTACCATTCGAAGACCAACAGACAAAGATCGGTTATCGAAATAAGAGCACATTTCTATTATCCATTGGTTTAGTACAATAATCAATAGAGAGGATTCCTGCAATAACAAGATCCCATGGGATTTTGATTGAGGGATTCCACAGAAGGAAAAAGCAGTCGGGAGTGATTCTTTGAACGAAAAAGTCGTTGTTTTGTCCAGCTTTTCGACAATGTGGTCGGTGGAAAGTTTCAAGGAAGAACAAAAAATCCGACACCATAATCCGGTGAACAATTCCACTTTACGTTGATCTATACCGTTCTCAGTATGTCGCCAGAACTTACCTTTTAAGCAGTAGACAAACGATGATAATACTAGTAAAGCATAGTTCTCCGTCAAAAATTCGGCAACACTGTCCTTTGAGCGACTATTTAGGAATTTCTCGGTATTTAGCATCAGCTGTTTCTCATCCCTTTATAGGCAAGTAAGGAAGAACAATGTTGACATACCCAACATTACGTATCATGCAGAAGGCGAGAGCCGAAAATGTAGTATTAACATCATCCGTTTTTAACGGAAATTTGGCTGCGAGATCAGTAGGCCTCCGAAGCAAACAGTATCTCAAGTAGTAGAGAATGCAAAGCTCGGGGTCCTTCTCCTTGTAAACGATCGATAACTTCAGGTAAACGGCGCTGTTACTCGAATTCTCGTTTAAAGAAGCCAAATAATATCGGATGGATGAATCAATAGACTCAGATTTACATAATTTGAAGGCGTAACGGTGCAGATCACCCAAAAAAATACTGATCTTGTATGCAACATCTGGGTATGAAGGTTTTAATGTTTCAAAATACACCATTCCAGAGTCAAGAAAAGGTTTGAGGACGGAAGAGTCCGGCCTTTTATTGGCTTTGCAAAATATGTCTATAGGATAGTACCAACCCACTTCCCATACCAAATCGATAACTTTTGACTGGATATTTCTTTGATTAAGACAGTCCTCGCATTCTATTGTGAATCTGAAGACGACAACCATGTTGATTAAAACAAGGTTCGCGAGAGACTCGAGAATCCCTTGGCACATTTTTACCAAGTTGGTCCTACAGGGCTGAAATTCAACCCAGTTAGTACACTAACACAACAAAAATTTTTGACATTTCTATTTTTTTGAGATTGGGCTTACTGTACTTTTACCGCAAATTTTGTATCACAAAAACTAGACATGCCGGAGAGTCGGGGGTGGTTCGGATGGATTGGTATCATTATTCTGAGCTAGTTACCTGTTGACAACGTTTTTCTAAAGTTTTGCCTAAGGCAAGAAAAAGTTGATTCTTTGGATCAAAAGTTACAGTAACCTAGATTTCTCAAAATTTTTTCATAGTGCGGCAAATTTTGAAGCTTTTATTTAGAAGTGCTTTCCATTGCCGTTCGAATGAGCCTACGAACACGCCTGTAGAGTGTCTCCTGGGGCAGAACCAGCCGTGTAAAGTTTGCATTTACAGAAAATGTGTCATCATGACATAGTGCAGATTTCGTCGAACCGAATGTATTATTGCATAAAATGGAGGCTGATGGTCTTCTAGACGTAGTCCGACCGTCTTTCGTGTCGATTTACCAATCTGACTGCCATAATTCGTCGGGATGATATATTTTCTGGAATCCACCGTGGTGGCAAGCTTTAAATCTTCGTATCTTGAGCGGGAGACCCTACAGAGACATGGTTATAGGCTTGTTACAACCGCAATACACAGCAAAGAACAAAAATAAGAACTTTTTTTGATATGTAAAGTTTTGGAAAAACTAAGTTACTGTAACAATATTTTCCTAAAGCTATGCGTTTTCAAACCCAAAGGGATTTTTAAGTTTCTTTTTGCATCAGATGTGCTCAATATGATTTCTAGAATCTAATAAAAGCAGTCCCAAGTCTCAAAACATACTTACAACTGCTTTACAGAATTTGCGGTAAAATTACAGTACGACTACAGTAAGCCAAATTTCGAAAAAATAAAAGTGCCAAAAATTTTTATTTTGCTAGTATACCCAGTATGCGAAATTTGAGCCCCGTAGGAGCAACTTGGTAAAAATGTGTTTCCCTTATCCTGCGGTTGCTCGGCTTTCTCGCCTTTGTTAGGTTTCACGGCGTCCAGAAAATATGTCATCCCGACGTATTATGGCAGTCAGATAGGTAAATCGATGCGAAGGACGGCCTGATTACGTCTACAGGACCATCAGCCTCCATTTTATGCAATAATACATTCGGTTCGACGAAATGTACACTATGTCATGATGACACATTTTCTGTAAATGCAAACTTTAAACGGCTGGTTCTGCCCCAGGAGACACTCTACAGGCGTGTTCATAAACTCATTGGAACGGCAATGGAAAGCACTTCTAAATAAAAGCTTCAAAATTTGCCGCACTATGAAAAAATTTTGAGAAATCTAGGTTACTGTAACTTTTGATCCAAAGAATCAACTTTTTCTTGCCTTAGGCAAAACTTTAGAAAAACGTTGTCAACAGATAACTAGCTCAGAATAATGATACCAATCCATCCGAACCACCCCCGACTCTCCGGCATGTCTAGCTTTTGTGATACAAAATTTGCGGTAAAAGTACAGTAAGCCCAATCTCAAAAAAATAGAAGTGTCAAAAATTTTTGTTTTGTTAGTGTACTAACTGGGCTAAATTTCAGCCCTGTAGGACCAACTTGGTAAAAATGTGCCACCCCTGTTTTCCGGTTGCTCGACTTTCTCGCGAGCCCTGTTTTAAACCATTGTTACAACATTACCTCTCTCGTAGTGTCTTTATCCGCTCAGACAACAACAGGCTGTCCTTCGACTGATGAAAAAGCTTGATGATCTCATCTCTTTTAACCGTCAATTCTCCCAGCGAATTTCTGATAGAATCAGTGTGATCGATTCCCATTTCTTTTAAAAACTATAATCCAAAATTAAAGAATCGGGGATAAATATGGATCACAAGAATAAAACCTCGTAGAAATAGAGCTCAATTTAATATTATATTTAATTAAAACAATTCAACAATGATTTCTTATGGAGTACAACGTCCAACAAACCGAGGATACAAGCACACATCGCGGATATGTTCAGTGGCTGTAAGCCAGCAAACAAATCTCTCCAACCCCAGACCGTATCCACCATGGGGACAACCACCATAGCGGCGTTGGTCCACATACCAATAATAATTCTTGGGATCAATTCCGGCCTTGGCAAATGCAGATAACATTTCTTCTTCTTTCCAAATCCTCATCGATCCACCAACAATTTCACCGACTCCAGGCATCAACAAGTCAACAGATTCCGTCAACTCCCGATCATCTTCGCAACGACTCATGTAAAAGGACTTGATTCCAGCCGGGAATCGGTTCAACAAAATGGGCTAAAACCAGAAAAGCAAAGAAATTTCAGCCAGGAAGCGATAAAAACGTTGGATATCTTCGAAATGTGGTCGCAATCACTTACAAAGGAAGTGTGCAACCTGACCATCACCAAACAGTAAGTGACATACACAGTTGTAAAGCCCTTGAAAAGAAGTATTAGAAACTAGCTTCGATTTTCGCAGAATACCTAAGCGCAGAAAATTATAAACGTTTGATTTGTCCCTTAAGTACAAGGTGCGCCAATAAAATCTGGACAAATACTCTTGCTTGTCCTGCGGGCTGTAACAATACGAGGGCAAACAGCCTGCACGGCAACCACTGAACTAAACTTTTTGTAAAAGGATTTTTTTCTCCCAAGAAAAGGAAAGAAATGTTTTGCAAAACGGCCTAGAAAAAACTGTAAACTACAGTATGTCGTAGCGGAATGGCGTTCTGCAGCAATTGAAAGTGGTTTCCAGTACTACTTTTCAAGGGCTTTCTAAGGGTGCAACACGTATCGTTTGGTGATGGTCAATTTGCAAATTGAGTCCCTTCCCTAGCTATAGGATAAAATTAGGCTAACTTTCAATTCCTGCAAGCTTTAGCTCGCGCTTTACAGGCGTCGCCGAGATATTTAACGATTTTTGCCACCGAGAGAGTACACTAAACGTGGAGAGCGGTCAGAGAGAGAAACACCTTTTGGCCATAACTTCGCTAGTTTCGCGCGGAATATTTTTTTGTGGAAACATTACCCTTTACAGTAGAAATAGGTATGAAACTTTTCGTGCCGAAATGCGGTAAAAATTGTCAAATTTTCGCCGGCTTTTGATCTAACAAGGAAAGTACTTTTATGCGGCCTCCTACTTTTTGACGGGACATATCTCAAAAAATCAGAAAAAATGTGCTGATCAAGGATATATAAAACTAAGCTGCCCATTTTAGGTTTTTAGGGGTGAAAATGCCCAAAACTGGCTTAATTTCCCTACAAAAGGCGCAGGCATTCGAAACGATAAAAAGCGCCGCACGGGTTCGATTTCCCTTTTGGACCAAATTAACTTTTTTTGAAGTTGAAGGTCGGAAAAATAAATTTTTGTGCCAAGACTGATTTATTACGTCTTAGAAACTCAATAAACATCATTTTAAGCCAAAATAAAAATTGTAAACCTGTGAAAAATTAAGCGAAAGGGGGTTCATATAGGACTTTAAGTCAACTTCCGATTGAGTTTTCACCCCTAAAAACCTAAAATGGGCAGCTAAGCTTTATATATCGTTGACCAGCATATTTTTTTCTGATTTTTTGAGATGTCCCGTCAAAAAGTAGGAGGCCCAATAAAAGTACTTTCCTTGTAAAAATCTCGGTCGTTTCTGCAAAGCGCAAGCTAGGACTTTCGCATATCTCTAGATCTTCTCAAGCAACCCCTCTCCTCGGAGCGCCAAGGTGCTAATTCAAAGAAAACATACCTGATTGATCTTATCAGTCATTGCGCGTTCTGGCCCTTCAGGAATGTCTTCCCCGAACTCAAAATCTTTACCTTCTTCATTCTTGACGCCATTTTCCTTCAACCATTTGATTGCATCAGCATACGTCATCCTTAAGAACGGTCTTTTTGGTTTCTCAAAATTCTACAAAAACATAAAACCAACAGTCCACAACCTTACTGGATTCAATTCGAACACATAGGCCTTGGCTTCAGGATCATCCAGGATTCTGTCAACGGTATCACAAACAACGTCCTCAACCCTCTGAAGGAGGTCATCAAAAGTGATGTAAGGACATTCGGCCTCAACATGGCTATATTCAGCCAAATGGCGTCTTGTCCGGGACTTTTCCGCTCTGTAAGACTGAGCAATACAATAACAATCTCCGACTGCCGGCAAACAGGTTTCAAGATATAACTGTGAGGATTGCGTTAAGTACGCATCTTCACCAAAGAAACTTAAGCTGAACAATGTAGATCCACCTTCCACTTGAGTCTGAACCAGGGTGGGTGGGAACATCTCGGTATATTTGCGGCTATAAAAATGCTCTCTCATAGCTCTGGTGACAGCAGCTCGAACCCTCAATATCTTGGAAGTATTTTCTCCACGAATGACGAGATGACGATTGTCGAGCTTGACATCGACATTCGCTTCAACGTTGAGCACATGTTCGACGCCTCCAGGTGGTGAATTTCCAATCTGGGACCAATAATCCACCGCCAATTCTACTCCACCTATGGCGGTTTTTCCCTCCGGCAATTTCTTGACAGTGCCATAAACCAAGACTGACGATTCTGGCTGAACGGTCGAAACATCGTACGTGTGACATAACGCATCATTCAGAACGGCCTGTACAAATCCAGTACCATCTCTCAGCACCCAGAACATGAGGTTTCTTCCTAAAATAATAAAAACACAACTTTACACATACCTTGTCGTCTCACCCGATGCACCCATGCGGATACGACAATTCTCTTGTCAACGTGAGCCGCAACTTCCCGCAATTTAACATTTATTGGAGTTGGCAAGGTCTCATCGAGAACAATAACATTGTTCCTGGCCTCCTCAAGATGGGCTTCAGTGAGCTGATGGGAAAGATTTTGGACAACTTGCTTCTCTAAAGCTTTCTGAAGTTTCTTCTTCTCGGCTTCGACCTTCTTCGCATTCTTCTTTAGAGCTGCTTTGGAAGCTTCTTTCCATTCAATTTTCCCCTCTTCCCTTGTCGCAACCATAAACTTTTCCTCATTTGAGCCAGCTAACAACATGGCTTTGAATAAATTCTTGACAGGCTTTATCATTGAGCCATCTCCTTGTTCATCACATCCGCTGTCAGGATCGACGTAAAATACACCAGCCATCCTAAACAAAAAAATGATAAGAATCCAAACAAATGAATCATACTAAGTAAACAGCACAAACCCGATGATGCAATACACGGCATTCTGTACTTTTGGAACTCTATTTATAGGCGGAAAGCCAACTTGTTCAAAAAAATATTTCGCGTGGAGACCACGTCCGGTCCAAATAGAAGAAAAGCCACGGTTGGGATGGACTTAGAGCTGCGCCCAGGATTTGGAATTCGCCGGCGACATCCTATACGTAAGAAGACCAAACGTTATTGACGCCAAAGTTACAAGGATTCGGCCCGGTTTTTTCCCCACCCCGGTTTTGTCCCCAAGACGGTTTTGTCCCCAGGACGTTTTTGTCCCCGCTTTTTTCGAGTCTTTTTGTCCTCAGACTGGTTTTGTCCCCAGCACGGTTTTGTCCCCAAGACGTTTTTGTCCCCATTCTTTTATTTTTTTTGTCCCCACGACGGTTTTGTCCCCAGTACGTTTTTGTCCCCAAGCTAGATAGTACAATTCAAAATTACGCATTCAGATGTTAATGCTGTTGGTTTGGTGCACAGTCAAACAACATGTTTTTAGCGATTGGTACTGTATAGTACGAGGTGGTACTATATAGCATGAGGTAAAAATTAAGCCATAACACGTCAATGCTATAGGTTTGAAGCCGAGTACTTCTCAAGGATGTGTTTTAGCACTTGGTACTATATATAGTTTGTTTTTGCACAAACTGAACTTCTTATCAGTAATGCATACCGAAACAACGGCATTCACGCGTTATAGGTTAATTTTTACCTCGTGCTATATAGTACCACCTCGTACTATACAGTACCAAGCGCTAAAAACATGTTGTTTGAGCAGTACTGTGCACCAAACCAACAGCATTAACATCTGAATGCATAATTTTTAATTGTACTATCCAGCTTGGGGACAAAAACGTCCTGGGGACAAAACCGGTGTGGGGACAAAAAAATTAAAAAAGTGGGGACAAAAACGTCTTGTGGACAAAACCGTCCTGGGGGCAGAACCGGTCTGGGGACAAAAAAGCTCGAAAAAACTGGGGACAAAAACGTCCTGGGGACAAAGCCGTCTTGGGGACAAAACCGGGGGTGATATATTGTTCTAATTTATTGCCGAAACATCTCACACCTGAGTATATGTACGTTATGGGCCATGCTGAACAAGTTTGTAATTGACCCGAAGTTTTTAAGGTTACTGCAACATACCGTAACGCCCATGCTCAATCAATAAATCTCGATTTTTTTTGGAATCAGCATCAAATTCTGCATCGGATAGACTATATGCGCAGCTCCAGATAGGTGTACAAAAATGTCGTGGCGCAACCGGTAGTGGGTCGGACTACCATTCAAAAGGTCCCGGGTTCGAGTCCGGCTGGAAGCAAAAATGCTCAAACGCGCTGGAAATTGTCCCAAAACAGTTACAATCTGTTGTAACTGTGGTAAAAAAATAATAATTAATATTGTTCCCTAAAAAGGCTAAATTTTGGATTTTACGAAATTTTTGAAAATCATGATTTTTGTGGGCCCAAATCTGCCGAAGAAAGGAAAATTTTTTGTAAGCGATTTTTTTGTTTACGAGGGAATGGTCTGAACTTCCCCCAGCGTTTGGGAAAATGACTAGTACAGGTGGATAGAGCATGCCAACTTTGGTAAAAAGAGCCATTTTCCAGCTGCGGAATAAGCCCGGCCGACGAGAAAAATCGACCGAAAGTTCCACAAAAATTTCCTCTTTCTCTTCCCTCGGAAAAGAAGAGCGGTGTCCAGTGGTTCGGTTAGCCGAGTGGATAGAGCATCCGCTCGATATTCTTTTGGGGGTTGGTTCGATTCCGGGGTCTCGCGAAGGGCCATGATAAGGCTTTGACAAGCAAGATCAAGCTCTAACAAACCAAAAAAAATATTTTGCCATTTTTATACGTTTTATAGGGCATTATACCAAAAAAATAATCGTCAAAATATGAATTTTTTGGGTGCTTCCAAACCTTCAAAGCGATGGTCCATCGAAGTTATACTCGTTTGGTGATTTACTTGACTTTGAAAAAGGCAAAATAATTTTTTTGGTTGTTAGAGTTTGATCTTGCTCATCAAAGCCTTATCACGGTCCTTCGCGAGACCCGGGAATCGAACCAACCCCCAAAAGAATATCGAGCGGATGCCCTATCCACTCGGCTAACCGAGCCACTGGACACCGCTCTTCTTTTCCGAGGGAAGAGAAAGAGGAAATTTTTGTGGAACTTTCGGTCGATTTTTCTCGTCGGCCGGGCTTATTCCGCAGCTGGAAAATGGCTCTTTTTACCAAAGTTGACATGCTCTATCCACCTGTACTAGTCATTTTCCCAAACGCTGGGGGAAGTTCAGACCATTCCCTCGTTAGAAACAACGCATGGCACATAGAAAGACTATTCCTCAAAGGATTTCGTTCAATTTTGCCCAAAACACCAAAAAGTTGAACTTTTTCGTTTTAATCGGGGAGCACCGCCAGAACCCAGTAAACCGAAGTAACACAAATTATAAGTCTTAGCTGCCCATTTTAGGTTTTTAGGGGTGAAAACTCAATCGGAAGTTGACTTAAAGTCCTATATAAACCCCTTTTCGCTTATTTTTTCACAGGTTGACAATTTTTATTTTGGCTTAAAATGATGTTTATTGAGTTTCTAAGACGTAATAAATCAGTCTTGGCACAACAATTTATTTTTCCGACGTTCAGCTTCAAAAAAAGTTGATTCAGCCCAAAAGGGAAATCGAACCCGTGCGGCATTCCCCCTTTTGATTCCCAGACTACGGCACTAACCACTCGGCCACACCGCTCTCTTCCGAAGGAAGAGATCGAGTGCTCTTTTTATCGTTTCGAATGTCTGCCTTTTGTAGGGAAATTAAACCAGTTTTTGGGCATTTTCACCCTTAAAAACCTAAAATGGGCAGCTAAGATTTATATATCCTTGATCAGCGCATTTTTTCTGATTTTTTGAGATATGTCCCGTCAAAAAGTAGGAGCCCCCATAAAAGTACTTTCCTTGTGAGATATTTCCCGTCAAAAAGTAGGAGCCCCCATAAAAGTACTTTCCTTGTGAGAAAATTATTGAAAAAAAATCGATTTATTGATTGAGCATGGGCGTTACGGTATGTTACAGTAACCTGACAAACTTGGGGTCAATTACAAAGTTTTTCAGCATGGCCTATGACGTATATATACTCAGTTCTGAGATGTTTCGGCAATAAATTAGGACAATATATCACACTAAACGAAATTCAATAAATGCGTCATATCTCGATCATGATGACGAATTTTAAAAAAAAAAATTCACCATGTTGTATATGTCATCAGTTGAGACAGAAAAAAGTGGGGGGGGGGGGTCAAATTCTAGGGCAGACCCCCATTCGAGCCTGCTTCAGCAAAACGGCGCAAGGCACCTTCATTAACCTGTAACTTTTTACTGCGACACGATGACCTGGTCTTCATGGTGGGACCCTTCTAAAATTTGTCTCCGTTATTTTGGGTCACCCTGTAGTTGGGCAGCTAATTTTTTTTGCGTTATACACTATTTTTAATGCTCTTTCAAAGATATGTTTCGTTGAGAAAGCACCAAAGAAAATTTATATTTTCTTGAAGCTGTGGATCTTCTCTGTTCATGGTTTTTCAAATCATGTAAATCGGACGTCATTGAAAGGAGTTACGGCAAAAAAAGTAAAAAATTGGTGAAAACGATTGATATTTATTACTTTAATAACCCGAAATTTGTGAAATAGAATGATATTAACAGATTTTTTTAAATTGGGAATTACATAAAAAATTCAAACACGATTTCTGAGTCACTGAATCAACTGCCAGTTAGATGTCATTACAACGGATGTCGAATTTTGGCGGTTGGGTAACATAGAGAAAGCTTGGTTCGGCCGCACAAAATCGGCCTTAAAAATTGGGTTATGAAAACCCATGGCACACGTTAAATCCAAAATATACAGGGTGTTTCAAGAAATTCCCCGGAAAGCAATCGTCGATTTCTCGGCGCTCAGCCGCGATATCCAAAAAATTTTTTTTGCAGTAGAAAGAAGGTTATGGGCGGTTTTTTGCCTAAAAAGATTTTTTTTCTTTGCCGACGCGGAATGCAGTGTATTCGGCGAAGACTTTTGACCGCTTTTTTGACCATCACACTTATCTAAAACGCTTTACTGTGACACTGCAGCATCCGGAAAGTCTTCAGATTTTTTGCACAATGGATCAGGAGGCAGGATATAACGCTATGCGATCCCATTTAGCGACTGCACAGTGCAATGCAGTCGCTGCAATATCGACAAAGTCGAGCCCACCGCGCGAATGTTTGAAACAGCAGGGAAAAGAGAAATTTAAACAAATTTTTTTTGTTGTTTTCTGGTGCACCAAGTGGTTCCGTGATGGCTAGACATCTGCCAAGGCTTGACCACAAAATTTTGGAGGGTATACGATACCCGCAGAAAATAGTTGCTAGACAATAAAAATTGTGTTGGGCCATTTCTGGTCCGTATCTGAGTTAAGATATGGCGAGCGGCTGCCATACCTTTGCCGAACGCTTGATAAGCACAAAAATCAGTAAATTATCCGCATTTCAGCCATCAGAAACCACAAAAAAGCGTTTAAGATGTATGTGATGACCAAAAAAGCGATCTAAAGTCTTCACCGAATACACCGCATTCCGCGTCGGCGTAGAAAAAAATCTTTTTAGGCAAAAAACCGCCCATAACCTTCTTTCTACTGCAAAAAAAAATTTTTGGGTATCATGGCTGAGCGCCGAGAAATCGACGATTGCTTTCCGGGGAATTTCTTGAAACACCCTTTATATAAGCAAAAATTTCCCGCCCCTTTTTGGTGATTCGTTTACAATGAAGTGTCACTATCGATCAGAAAGATTTTGTTATCTTTCTTCTTACCTCTCTATAGAGAAAACATTTATTTCGGGCGCAAAAAGGCGCCGATAATTTCGTGACATTTCGCCACACTTGATCAATGAAAACGATACAAAGTTTCGGAATGGCTCAGGAAATGCGCTGGATTGACGTGCAGGCTGATCAGAAACCGTGTTTCAAGCAGTTACATTATTGATTACAAAAAAGGAAAATAGTCGTGTGGAAGTTGCAGAATTCGTAAGCTTTCAATAGGATTTAAAAGAACTTTTTTTACAGATTGAAGCTTCTCATAACAAAAAAATATGTCAATTAAAAGAGAGTTTTTTACAACTCGAAGGATGGGCCCGGACATTTCGAAAAAACGACCGACCCAGAATCTTTCGATATTTTGCATAGTTGTTGTACCATGATAGCTGAACGTCAGCACGAATTTTCAGTTTCAGAAATTACCGTATACGGGGGTTACGGTAGGTACAATTTTTGGAAAGATTAGGTTCGTATGTAAAAACCACGAAGAGTAAAGGGGCGAAACTTTGCTGGTTTACGTTTTCGACCCTGGGGAACATTTTCATAATTGACAACTTTGCCGTAGGATGTTGCCTTCGACTACTTTGAAAAATACCAAGGTACCATATTGAATGTAACTTTTTTGCAGAGAACTTGTCTCAACTTTTGAAATCCCCCCCCCCGCCTTTTTATTTTTCTAAATTTTTGATATGCTGTTCCGTACATGTCAACGTATTTTTCTGAGGTTTCAAAAGTTGAGACAAGTAGAATGCCGAAAAGTTATATTACACATGGTACCTTGCCAATTTTCGAAGTAGGCGAAGACTACATCCTACAAAAAAATTGTCAATTACAAAAATGTTCGCCATGGTCGAAAACGTATTTTGGCAATGTTTGCGGGTCTTCTACACCCATTTCGAAAAAAATGATTTTTTGATATACCGTACCGGCAACATTCAAAGTACCGTAACTCCAAACCCCCCCCTTTTATTTTCGCGCATTTTTGATATGTTGTTACATACATGTCAAAGTGTTTTTAAGAGATTTCAAAAGTTGAGACAAGTTCTCTGCAAAAAAGTTACATTCAATATGGTACCTTGGTATTTTTCAAAGTAGTCGAAGGCAACATCCTACGGCAAAGTTGTTAATTATGAAAATGTTCCCCAGGGTCGAAAACGTAAACCAGCAAAGTTTCGCCCCTTTACTCTTCGTGGTTTTTACATACGAACCCAATCTTTCCAAAAATTGTACCTACCGTAACCCCCGTATACGGTAATTTCTGAAACTAAAAATTCGTGCTGACGTTCAGCTATCATAGTACAACAACTATGCAAAATATCAAAAGATTCTGAGTCGGTCGTTTTTTCGAAATGTCCGGCCCTTGTTATGAGAAGCTTCAATCTGTAAAAAACTCTCTTTTATTAGGTTGATGCAAAAGGAATTGCGGATTTTTTTAATTTATTCGTATTTTTTTATAGGATAGCTCACAAGGGAATGGACTTTATGTGTAAATCGATTTTGGCTTGGGACCTAGTCAGATCGAAAGGTGTGTGGTAGTCGATTATTCACTTGGGGGGAAATCTCTGCGCGGGGCTTCAAAGCCGAGAAAATCGGCTTCAAAGTTTGGACGAAAGTCAAAGGATAAGGATCCCGGAAAAGGAGCGATAAAAAGTGTGAAGCAGTGGCCGAGTGGTCAGTGCGCTCGCTTTTTGCGCAAAAGGTCGCAAGTTCGAATCTGCTTCCATTCATAACTTTTTTAGACAAAAACTTCTATTAATTTTTTCCCCTGAACTCGATTATCGATACAAGAAGTATATTTTAAACGGAACTTTTCCATTTTCAACGGCTTCGCAGCTTCCCTTTACAGTTTTAGAGCGCAGGGCACACCATCAACCTGATGTATTCAAAAACAACTTTCCATTATGTTAACTTTTTTATCTATACCCCGTTTTTAAATGTACAGCCGGATTAGCACGAAGAAAGCAAAAGTAAAAACGATAAATGATGACTTGGGCTTGGAAAGATTCGAACCTGCAACCTTTTGCGCAAAAGGCGAGCGCACTGACCACTCGGCCACTGCTTCACACTTTTTATAGCTCCTTTTCTGGGATCCCTATCCTTTGATTTTCGTCCAAACTTTGAAGCCGATTTTCTCGGCTTTGAAGCCCCGCGCAGAGATTTCCTCCCAAGTGAATAACCGACTACCACACACCTTTCGATCTGACTAGGTCCGAAGCCAAAATCGATTTACACATAAAGTCCATTCCCTTGTCAATTCAAAAATGGAAAAAGGTATATAGTAGTAAATTTTTAGAGGATTTTTTCTGTATATGTGCTATTCTTATAAAAGTTATCAAACGTTACCGTAAGTTACCACGAAAGTACCCTAAACATGTTAGTATATTTTAAACCAATTTTTTTACATATTGTTTTGCGGCTTTATCCATATTTTGAAAATATTTTGATAAAATACGTTATATTCTATCAAAAAACAAAAAAAAACCCCATTTTTGGCAAAGCGTTAAAACGCTATCCCAAAAATTCAAATTTCAGCAAATTTGATTGGGCCCGGTTTTGTCCCCACCCCGGTTTTGTCCCCAAGACGGTTTTGTCCCCAGGACGTTTTTGTCCCCACACCGGTTTTGTCCCCAGGACGGTTTTGTCCCCAAGACGCTTTTGTCCCCACTTTTTTTCTTTTTTTGTCCCCACACCGGTTTTGTCCCCAGGACGTTTTTGTCCCCAAGCTGGATAGTACGATTAAAAATTATGCATTCAGATGTTAATGCTGTTGGTTTGGTGCACAGTACTGATCAATCAACATGTTCTTAGCACTTGGTACTATATAGTACAAGGTGGTACTATATAGCACGAGGTAAAAATTAAGCTATAACGCGTGAATGACGTTGTTTTGGTATGCAGTACTGACCAGACGTTCATTTTGTGCAAAAACAAATTCGTGCTATATAGTACCATGTGCTAAAACACATTTTTTGAGAAGTACTGGGCTTCAAACCCATAGCATTGACGTGTTATGGCTTAATTTTTACCTCGTGCTATATAGTACCACATCGTACTATACAGTACCAAGCGCTAAGAACAAGTTGTTTGAGCAGTACTGTGCACCAAACCAACAGCATTAACATCCGAATGCATAATTTTTAATCGTACTATCCACCTTGGGGACAAAAACGTCCTGGGGACAAAACCGGTGTGGGGACAAAAAAAGAAAAAAAGTGGGGACAAAAGCGTCTTGGGGACAAAACCGTCCTGGGGACAAAACCGGTCTGGGGACAAAAAGGCTCGAAAAAGGTGGGGACAAAAACGGCCTGGGGACAAAACCGTCTTGGAGACAAAACCGGGGTGGGGACAAAAACGTCCACTACGAGCAAATTTTACAAATTGTGTCATATCTTTTTTTTAATAAGTCCAAAATAAAAAATTCTTTTTGCTTTCGATTAGTAACAACATTTTTAAGATTTTTGTGACAAAAAACATCAAAATCAAAAAAATTTATTTTTTTGACATTTTTTGACCAAAAAATAAAATTCAAGATTTTGATGTCTTTTTTCACGAAAGCCTTAAAAATGTTGTTACTAATCGAAAGCAAAAAGAATTTTTTATTTTGGACTTATTAAAAAAAGATATGACATGATTTGTAAAATTTGCTGAAATTTGAATTTTTGGGATAGCGTTTTAACGCTTTGCCAAAAATGGGGGTTTTTTTGTTTTTTGATAGAATATAACGTATTTTATCAAAATATTTTCAAAAATGGATAAAGCCGGAAAAAATATGTAAAAAAATTGGTTTAAAATGTACTAACATGTTTAGGGTACCTTCGTGATAACTTATGGTAACGTTTGATAACTTTTATAAGAATAGCACATACACAGAAAAAATCCTCTTAAAATTTACTACTATATACCTTTTTCCATTTTTGAATTGAGCTATCCTATAAAAAAATACGAATAAATTAAAAAATCCGCAATTCCTTTTGCATCAACCTAATAAATAAAAATGAGAATTTTTGATTCAGGAAACAATTAATTGTAGCTACCCAGGTGTACAGTAATTTTCAAAAATTCGTGCTGATGTTCCGCTAGCCTAGTATAAAACCTATGAAAGATTCTGAGATGGTGGTTTTTTTGAAATGTCCGGCTATTGTTATGAGAAGCTTCAATCTGTAAAAAACTCTATGCGTACAGATATTCAGAAATGGCTTATGTCGAGCCATTTTACTGCTTCAGGCGCTGTACAGACAAATGTTCAATAAGTTTGACGTAGTTAAAAATGATACCCGAAGTAAACAACCGCATTTAGTTCTTCCTATCGTACGGCGGAGGAAGTTGCATAGGGCGACCCCCCTTTGGACGCAGCGAATTAGAAAAAGGTCCGCGAACAAAACGAGCGAAACCTCGGGGGTAACGTGGAGGAGGAAAAGGTGGCGGCGGCCGAGAGGTGTCGATTGGTATTGGAAATCGGATATTCTAAAACGATGAAACTTTTATAAGTGGAATTACATCTTTTCTACGTTTGAGGCAGATCGAGTTTTCATAGCCAATGTTAGCAAAATTGCCTGGCTATCTAGCCAGTGAGTTGGGCTGTGAAATCTCACAAACAGCTATCAAAACGTTGGAATGGCCAAAGCGTTGAAGCCGCTGTAAAAAGCTTCTTATAGGTGGCCTATACAACTCACATTGGATAGGCTAGTCAGACATCCTTTGCAAACAATGGCTATGGAAACTGAATCCAGGCGATTATGACCAATGAGCATTTTCAGGATTTTTTTCATTTTTTTATGATTTTCACTTACAAGGGATCGGCAAATAGTTGCACCCTGCTTTCTTAACGAAACATGTATCATTTGAAAGAGCATTAAAAATAGTGCACAGCGCAAAAAAAATTAGCTGCCTAAATTACCTTAGGGCATAGATACGACCGCTTTTTGAAAGGGGTTATATGCGGCCAAAACGCCGGTTCCTTATATTACAGTAATCCTGGCGGTTTGAAATTGTCTTTATTAATTTTCTGGTATCCAAAAACGTCTATCACGGTCGTTTTATGGCTTTACCAATCCCCGGTTGTATGTTATTAGACATTACTGCTGGTTACAGTAAATTGTAAATAAAACTAGGTTAAAGGGAAAATTGGAGCAAAAAGCTTTGGAAATAGATTTATATGATCGTCGTGGTCATTCACAAACAAAAATTTCAAAATCGAAAATTTCTTATGTCCTAGCCTTACCAATGGTTGGTCCACTGTGCCAGCAATAGTGTCTTTGGCCGATTTTACAATTTTATCTTCGTATTTTTTCAAAAAAAGTATATTTATAGGCCCTTGTAAATTGAATTATCCTCCAACAATCATAATCGGTCAGGCTACTGGCATAACACCCTTGGAATTATACGATAGTGACATACCCACTCTCATCACCATCAAATTTGTGGTCGTTTCAAAAAAATTCAAAAACTCAGAAAAATTGCGTAACCATGGATTTTGTCTGCGAGGAACAACCAGGACTCGCTGCGCCGGAAGTGGGCTCACTACCACTCGGCCAACTGGACACAACTCTGTTGCCATTCCAAGAGCTTATAAAGCGAGGCGGAAATTAGGCTAAAATCAGAGATTGCCACGGTCAAAATTTTGGCTCCGGCTCCGGCTCTTTGCTCCCAGAGCCGGAGCCGAGGCCAAATTTGCAGCTCCGGCTCCGGCTCTTGGCTCCGTGCAAAATTTAAAAGGCCTCCGGCTCCGAATCCCGGCTCCTATGCAAAATGTTTTTTTAAAAATTTTTTCCGAAAATAAAAGTTATTAGTGCCAGAGATCATACAGCCAACGTTTCTGCAGTCAAGTCACATCCTCCGCAGTGTTTTTTGAAGCAATTTGGTTTAACAAGATCACGAAATTTTTACTTTTCTGACCGCTGGGAAGCCTGGCTCCGACTTTGGGCTCGGGAGCCGGAGCCGCTCAGAGCCGGAGCCAAGAGCCGGCTCCGGAGCCGTGGCAATCTCTGGCTAAAATCTGTATTTTGGCCATAACTTTGTCCAAAGTGAATTTAGGCAGCTAATTCTTTTTGCGCTGTGAACTATTTTTAATGCTCTTTCAAATGATATAGGTTTCGTTAAGAAAGCAGGTTACAACTATTTGCCGATCCCTTGTTAAGGAAAATAGTAAAAAAGGCTAGCCATTTTCGGTTGAATGGGGCGACATGTCCTTCATAGGATTTCTTAGCGAAATGTAAAAGGAATTATCGGGTAAGTTTTTGCTAGGATCAACACTTTTTCGTGTGGGGGTGTAAAAAATGTATGTAATAGGTAAATTATTTTGGCTTTCTCAAATTGACGTGCGGCGGGTCATAATCGCTTTCATTCACGAAAACTCAATCAGTCCCAAACGAATCGCTGCGAAAATTACATTTCTTGCCCGTTCTATTGGTGGCAAAAGTGGAGGTCCAAAGTTAGTAGGCGGCTTTTCTCGCTGCAGAACAGATCTTTCGTTTAATTCTGTAGTTTCAGAATGCACAGAAGGATCAGGATTTGGTGTTACCAAAGGATGACGTATACCTGGAGGCATCGGTGAAATTCTCACTGCCGGAATTCTTGGTGGAGGGACATTTGAAGGAATAAATGGAGGCGGAGCGACCATGTTAAAGTGGGGTGGTGGTTTCGAAAGGTCTATTGGTAAAAGATTCGTTGGTGGAGGAACGCATAAATTGACTGGTACTCTATGTCCTTCTTGAGGCGGTTTCTGTAGTTTTGGAGTTGATGGCTTGTCAATCATTGGTGGAGGAGGCGGTGGTGGTAGGACAAAAGAACATTCACCGTCTTCTGTTTTATTAGAACTGGAGGAATTATCCATAGGGGGAGTTCTGGGTTGATTCTGTTTCTTAACTTCGTCTTCTTCATCACCGTAGGATCCTTTTGTGCGATCAACATCCGATAAGTGCGAGGCCTTTCCTCGCCTCCAATCACCTTCATGACTCACTTCGGATTCAATGTCTGGTGAACCCGGCGGAGTCTGCGGGCCCTTGCCAGGTGGAGTTCGAGGACCCCGCGATTTCTTGAACTCTCCATCAAACTGCGGTACTCCGTAATCGACTCCTTCGTCCTGAAACGGGATTTACGATACATGAGGGAAAGGGTATCTAAATTTCCGACCGACTCCCCGTCAAATTTGCGAAAATCAGTTGAACAACGCGTATGAACTCAAATCGGGAAATTCAGCTCAAACAAAACATTGCACGACAAATCTAGCCCAAAGTTAACTTCTTCTGCACTAGCCACTCGGCCATACTGTTCGCGAAGTTGAGGGGAAGCTGGTCGGAAATTTAGATACCCTCTCCTTTATACAACAGCGTAAACAATTTCCCATACTCACATCAGGCATCCGACATTCGTCCAGCTTCCCATGTATTCTCATATTTCTATAGGTTTCCATTTTCGAATACTTTATTTTGTATGCGAGTATTCTTTCCATTAATCCCATCTTGCACATTAACCTCTTCAGCACAGTATCGTCCTTCGGAGCGCTAAGTAGCTCGTACTTCGTGAACTTTGCTTGCGATGTACTTGGAGTAGGCGTTGATGTATGTTGATAAGCCGGACTTCCAGGCGACGTAAAGCATTCTGAAAGAAAGTAGTGATTACGAATGTTTTACTCTACCTTCGCCGGTGTCCTTTACTCGTTTTCTTTTGTCATCTTCTTCCATTTCCTTCCAAATACTGTCCAACAGCTCTATGGGATCTCTATTGACACTGGTCCTGGTTTGTCTAAGCATTAGTCAAACCTATATTTTTAAATATTTACCTGTTTAAGCTCTGGGACTGCTTCCGTTTGACCACATCCAACTTCTCCGACTTCTCATTTTTTAGTTTCCTTTTCTCTGGAGCTTTTGAAACTATAATGCACTATGCATATAGCGTGCTTTCACACCTACCTCTGACTTTTGTCGGTGTTGTAACTCCACACCCCGTAACTCCAGATTTTAGAAGCGGTGAAGATGTCAAGAGCTCAATCGCCGTGCCTTGCTTGCTGTTATTCTTCTTCGGAATTCTGTACAATTTTGGAAAAGCATCCTTCTGAGACATTCACCTCTAAAGAATTAAATAAAACCCATGAAAATTGGATATACAAGATATTAATGGTCCGAACCACATATACGACCAAAAGCACGCTCAAGGTTCTCATTTTATCGGCACCGTTATTTAAAATAGAAGGCAGAGGTAAATAGAGCCTGAGTAGAATTCGATGAAAGCATTTAGCAACCCGACAATGACATAAAGAAACGTATTTCATACAAAAAGAGACCAAAAAATTCAAATTTTCAACTTTCACTGCAAAGAAAATGGGAAAGCCCGTGGAAGCAGGGGCAATTTAGAAAACATCGGCAGGATCTAAAAACAACATAGAAGTGCATAAAAAAAAACTATTTTTATAAACATGGCAGAGAGACATAATAAGGATTTAAACAAGAAAGACAGTTTATGCACTATTCTGTCCAAACCGTTTAGGAGAGGTAACCTCATCATGGACTCCATCAGTTGGACGTTTTGTCAGGACTCTTTGATCCACCTTTAAACAGACAAATTATGCATATATTCACACAACTTACTCTTTTGTTTGGATCATTTGGATTAACATAACTCTGGGTATCGTGAGGCAGCAAAGATTCTCGGGAATCCGGAATAGATGAGTAATGGGTAAAATTATCAAAAGATCCTTGAGGTACGCCTGAACCACCAGTCACATTCCTGAGCGCAAGAAGAACATTTGAAGATGGAAATGAGAGGGGATTTGTATTCGCCAGAAGGCTGTAGATCATCTGATTTCTTTGGCTTATGTCGGTCACCATTTGGCTCAATTCCGCAGGAGAAGCCGACGAAATATGGTTTAAAACATTGAGATCGATTGGAGGGGTATCTCCCAAAGTTGGATGGATTAGAGAAGTCAAGGTGTTTATTAGACCAACTTCATTGCTTGCCGATGATAAACTTATCTGACCGTTTATGTTGGTTCCAAGCTTAACCGAGCAGTTGCTAACTCTCTCCCCATCAGAACTAACAGACCTAAAAATCAAAAAGAATTAAAGCCCTGAGGCACATACGTGTTAGCGAGTTTTCCCACTTGAGATCCGCTGGTAGAGGGAGTTGAACGCAACTCCCCGTTTAACGTTGATGATACCGAATTGGGCATATCAGCATTCGAAAATTTTGAAACCAGAGTAATCACATCGTCCCGTAAAGAATCCACCTCCGTTCCCAGCTCTATATACTTCGCTCTGATCTTATCCATTCTGTGGGTAATATCAACAAGGTAATGACCAAGTTTATTGTTCGATACCTTTGGAACAGTTAAAGTCTAAAAAATTAAATTCGAACGAATGCAACTTACTTTGTTTGAGTTTAAATCATTCGGTTTCACGTTGTCAAGAAAGCTTTCGTAAACTCTTCGGAGCTCGGCTAAAAAATATTAAATCATAATCAAGCGCACAAAAACAACAAAGCAGAACCTTACTTACACAAAAATACTTCAAGATTCGGATATTTGTATTCTCCGGTGTTTGAAATTTTCGAAGATTTTTTCGATGGATTGTTAACCGTGGGGAAAGGAAGTGTAATTTCAGGCCTCAATTTGCCAGTCTCCATTTTCTTAGCAATCTTGAATTTCTTTGATGCTTTTGCATCATTCGCGTTGTGGCCGGCCTGTGATCTTCGCCCTCCAGCGGCCTCGCAGATCATTCGATGCATCAACTCCATGCCCTCTTCAGCATCATTCGAGAATGGGTTATGTTCTTTCTTTTCATTCAATTTTCTGGGCCTTCCTTTGGGCTTTCCGGAAGCAGTTCTTTTCTTCTTTTTCTCCTCAAAATCGCTGTCCGAATCGTTAGAATTGGAGATCTTCTCATCGCTCGGAGTGTCTCCATTCTTGTGGGGAGATTCATCTTTTTCATTCGGAGCTCCTTCAGAGACATACGCCTGCCACTTTCTTCTGGTTGTAGGACCGTAACTAAAGTAAGAGACTTCATAAAAATAATGCGTTAAACAAGATATAACTTCACTTCGGCTAACTTACATATCACCATCCTTAATTTTCTTCTTCAAAATTCTTCGTGGAACACTAGACTCTCTAGAATCCGAATTTTTTGATGAAGGAGTAGCGGACCGGCGAAGGTCAGACTTCAAACTACTGTTCCTTAGACCGAGAAAATACTTTTCCAGCTGAAATAACGCATATATAAAAGATGAGAAGCCCTACTTTTTCATGATTTACAACATGAAGATAGTAAGGAACATCGTTGGAAGTCCATGAACAAGGATTGGGGCACCGTTTTAATTCAACGACATCCAATATTGATGAAATATCTGTAAAAGATTTAGACGATGATGCGGGAGAACCAACCCTACCATTTAACTGACGTTCGGTAATGTTCTTGTTCAACGCTCCATAAGGCTTCGTCGAAATAATCTTGGTTCCATTCTTTAACTCACTCAATAGATTTTGCTTAATTTTTGCTTCTAAGTCAGACTGAAACGCATAATTGTTGATAAAAATGATGGTTGCATCCTGAGTGATCAGTTCCCGGTAATTTTCATCCAAGAAATTTCCTCTTTCCAAACTGAAGGGCCGCACTTTTTTGCCGAAAAACTTCATCAATCTATAAACATCTCAAATTTGAAGATTCCTACTTACTTTCTGAATTCTTCCTCCAATCTTGCAGCAAATTTCGCTGGTAACTGCGCGATTTCAATTCCAAATGCTTTCTTAACTCTAGATCCCCCAGCCATATGAGCCACTAGTTGGCCCACACCACTGCCCAAGTCCACAAAAACATCTTGATTTGTGGGCTTCAGTTCGTCAATAATCATTTGCATCCTGTTGAAAGACGTCTCGCCATAAGTTTCTGATGAAAACGCTTCGTAATGCTTATTCAAGGCCTTCTCATTATCGACTGCTTTGTTATAAGAATGAGTCAAAATCCTGCTCAAAAGTTTTGTAGAGGCAAACTCCGAATTTGATCCGGGTTTTGTGGCTCCTTTCCATAAATTACTAATAGTAGACGCGGCTCGATTAAATCTTGAACAAACGTCGTCCAGAGCTTCGTAACTAAAAGGCACAATAATTAAATTACACCAATACTAGTCGCGCCATAAAGTTCCGACACATTTGCGTTTTTTTCTTTCCTCGCACCCGTCGCCGCAATTCCCCGTTTTTGCACTTACGAAATGCATTTTCGCGCGACCTCCAATTTTATCGCGCGGCACCCGCGACAAATGTGTCAGTACTTTATGGCGCGATTAGTACTTACTCAGCTGTGTAAAGATTGTCCAAACTACCAACGCACATTGTCACGACTTGTTTGAGACCTTCAAACTCATCAATTGACAATCTAAACATAAATACATATATTCAACATAATTGAACCGACTTTAATATGTCCACAAATTCCGCATTGGGTGGTTTGAACTGGAATATGAGCGGATCTCCGGCTGCTGGACTGTTTATCGTCAGGGTGCGGCATTTCTCCGAACTTTCTGAGGAAGCGTAAGACGCGGCAGAGTTAGACGACGACTCAGATTTGCTTTTACTGTCACTGGGACTACTGTCCCTTGTGTCGTCGCTGCTCATACCACCTAAAGCTAACCTTACTCCACAATATGCACCAAAAATCCAATAAAAAGCTTTCTTGGAAAATTTTCGACGATTTGTTGAGACGGGTTGCAACTATCGAATAATATTTTTGAACGCGACGCCCTGCAAAAACGGTCTGCTTGGAATGACTCTTCTATAAAACTCGGATTGGGCCCGGTTTTGTTCCCACCCCGGTTTTGTCCCCAAGACGGTTTTGTCCCCAGGACGTTTTTGTCCCCACTTTTTTCGAGCCTTTTTGTCCCCAGACCGGTTTTGTCCCCAGGACGGTTTTGTCCCCAAGACGTTTTTGTCCCCACTTTTTTTATTTTTTTTCCCCACTCCGGTTTTGTCCCCAGGACGTTTTTGTCCCCAAGCTAGATAGTACGATTAAAAAGCATGCATTCAGATGTTAATGCTGTTGGTTTGGTGCACAGTACTGTTCAAACAACATGTTCTTAGCACTTGGTACTGTTTAGTACAAGGTGGTACTATATAGCACGAGGTAAAAATTAAGCCATAGCGCGTGAATGACGTTGTTTTGGTATGCAGTACTGATCAGACGTTCATTTTGTACAAAAACAAATTCGTGCTATATAGTACCATGTGCTAAAACACATTTTTGAGAAGTACTGGGCTTCAAACCCATAGCATTGACGTGTTATGGCATAATTTTTACCTCGTGCTATATAGTACCACCTCGTACTGTACAGTACCAAGCGCTAAGAACAAGTTGTTCGAGCAGTACTGTGCACCAAACCAACAGCATTAACATCTGAATGCATAATTTTTAATCGTACTATCCAGCTTGGGGACAAAAACGTCCTGGGGACAAAACCGGTGTGGGGACAAAAAAATAAAAAAAGTGGGGACAAAAACGTCTTGGGGACAAAACCGTCCTGGGGACAAAACCGGTCTGGGGACAAAAAGGCTCGAAAAAAGTGGGGACAAAAACGTCCTGGGGACAAAACCGGTGTGGGGACAAAAAAATAAAAAAAGTGGGGACAAAAACGTCTTGGGGACAAAACCGTCCTGGGGACAAAACCGGTCTGGGGACAAAAACGTCCACTACGAAAACTCGGACTTACTTTATATTTACGTTTATATTTCACTTATATTTACTAGTGTTGCTAAGTCGTCAACTTGACGCGTCAGTCGCGTTGTCAAATTGTTCCGTCATTTTGATGTCAAATTGAACTTTTTTTGAAGTTTTTTGTAGATTTTTACTAAAAGATCGTAGGAATTTAAATTTTTTTAGGAACTAAATTGTTCCTTCTTGTCAAAACGACCCATGAAATAAGCATTAAAACCAGTTACGACAAACATTAACGGTATTCATCATAGTCTGTGTTAATTAAGTTGCGTTTGAAAGCTTCGTATTTCAATCCAGCCAAAATGACAAAAATCACGATAACTTGACGTCAACTTGACGTTATTTTGAAAAATTCTGTCAAATTAACAACCCTAATATGTATTTACCAATAGCGACCAAAAATTTACTTACTATAAGTGATTTCAGAACCCGTATTGGTAATATTTAGTTATTTACTTATAAACATCTAGAGACATTGCGCGGAAAGTTTTTGTCGATTTGTTGGCGCTCAGCCAAGATACACGTCAAACTGAGACAAGCTAAAGCAGAAAAATTCTTTTTGCAGTACACAGGGAACTCGAAAACACTTATAAGATCCGAGTTCCCTGTGCTTGCTTACGTTTTCTTTGTATGAAATAGCAAAAGCGCCGAAAAATGTGAACACAAATTTACTTGTTTGAAAAAATACTTTTCAACACAATGTCATAACAAAACTCATAATTGATAACAACAGATTTCTATTATAATGAGACGAATTACTTGGACTGCAAGCTTGTAGTCGACTGCGTGAAGCTAGTTGCCAACAAACTTTGAGCCATGCTCCTAGGAGAAATGCTGATGGGGTGGGAAGCATCACTGTCTGGTTGAACGGTGTCCAATGGTCTACTTGGTTCAGCTTCTTCTGCACCAATCATCTGTCGCTGTACAAGAGTCTTGTAGGTTCCCTCAATGCTGGTAAGTTGTTCATGACTGCCAACTTGTTCGACTATGCCCTTATTGATAACAATGATCTTGTCCGCCTTTTCCACCGTGCTTAATCTGTGGGCGATGAGGATAACTGAGCGGCCTTTCAGATTCTTATATATGGCCTCTTGCACAAGATGTTCACTCTCCGTGTCCAATGCTGAAGTGGCTTCGTCAAGGAGAAGGATCGATGGCTTTCGGACCAACGCTCTGGCGATAGCGATTCTTTGTTTTTGCCCTCCCGACATCTGACTGCCCTTTTCGCCCACATTGGTCTCATATTGACTTTGTGTATTAATTATGAACTGATGAGCGTTGGCAAGTTTTGCAGCCTCGATGACCTCCGCTTTCGTGCAAGCATCAAGACCATAGGCAACGTTTTCAGCAACCGACCTTGCAAAGAGTATGGGTTCTTGGCCGACCAGTGCAATCTGCGGTGGTATGATGACTAAGACATTTGACTTACAGTGTTATGAATAAATCGGTGTTCAAATTCCTTTAGTGGAGTTCCATCCACCAAGATCTGGCCTGCATTTGGTTGGTAGAAGTGTTCAAGCAGAGCAATGCACGAACTTTTCCCACTGCCACTTGGACCAACCAAAGCCACAACCTCTCCGGGCTCCACTGTGAAACTTAAATTCTGGAAATAGATTGGTATAATTGATGGAAGCGATTCTAATAAATACCTTTAGAATGGGTAAATGCGGCCTTGTAGGATAAGAGAATTGAACATCTTTGAACTCGATTCTTCCCACTATTTTTTCTGGGATATATGTTCCGGAAGTGTCAATATCGGGCTTTCTGTCAATGTATTCAAACACTTTTCTGGAGGCACCAACGCTTTGCATTAATCCAGTCCACACTTCTCCTAATTGCTAGATTTGTGATGAGTTATTTCTTTTTTCCCTACCCTAATGTTATCTGCCAGTTGCATTTGATACAGCAAGAATGAGACGAGAAGATCCTTTTGTAGTTGATTGGTCAACACTAAATGGCCACCGTACCAAAGAACCGCGATGTTGATGATAGCTTGAAATAACTGCAAACAAAATTACCCGTTGTGTGTTGTATCACATACTTCACTAGTCAGTAAAAATCCGACGTAAGCGAAGGCCTTCTTCCGGGTCACGGAAAGGGTGGTGGTTAACTTCTGATAGAACCTATCGGCCTCAATATCTTCACATGCAAAAGACCTAACCGTCCTCATTGTGCTGAGGACCTCCTCGGCAACATCATTTGAATGGGCCACAGCTTCTTGAGTCTTTTCACTGAGGAACTAAAACATTAATTTTAGTTGTTTCGGATGACATAATGAGTATGTAGATCCTGCTAACCCACATCATAGTAGACGCCAAAGATCTTGGATGCCACCAGAATAACAGGAACTACAATAAACGGTACCAAGGACAATTTCCAGCATAAAGTAAGCATAAAAATCATGGATCCGCCCATTTGAACAATATTTCTGCAAAAAAGATATAAATGTCGCGCCATAAAGTCCGTAGAATTTGCACAGTGTTTTTTTTTTTGTCCCCATCGCTGCGACTTCCCGTTTTTTCGCTAGCGACATGCACTTTTCCACGATCGCACCCCGCGACGTCGCCAAAAACTTTATGGCGCGACAGTATGACCTGTGCTGAAAAAAAGTACCTGAGGAACACATTGATATTCAATGCAACAGTATCCGACATGGTCTGAGTATCGGCCGTCAATCGAGAAGTTATTTCTCCAGTCTTATGCCAGTCAAAGAAGGCTACGTCCTGTTTTATCAAGGATGAGAACAGGTTGTAACGAACGGCCCGGTTGATCCTCGCATAAGCGTACTCAAAGCTCCCTCCTCTTAAACCGCCTGAGATGGCCCTGGAATAATCGTAAGATAAGGATTTTCGGTGGCTTACGAGACAATCGAAATAACGACCATAAGTTTCACGGCACTAATAAGGGCGGCATATTTATCGGTTTCCGCCGAAACAACACTAGCGATAACTTGTCCTGTATAGTAAGGAACAAATATACGAGCTGAAATGGGAAATGTAAAAAGAAGTTTGACTTACTTAGCGAGTAGATAAATAACCACGTAAATCCAGAGATATGCCATAACCATTCGTCGCGACAGTATTGCAGTAATCGGAAGATGACTTTAACAGTTTCGGTACCTCCTTTGCCCTCTTTACGGCTCGCTGAGGCATCTTCTGTATCATCTTCTGACTCCTCTTCTTCTTGCAACAATTCGTAGGCTTCAGATGAAGCGGTTACTTGTACAAAACTCTTCCAGACCAGATGATTAAAGATCGACAGAAAAAAGTTTTGTATCAAAATAAAATAATCAGCAATTTTAGGGACGTTTTGGTTTTCAGTCAAAGCTAATAATTTCGTGGGAGAGTACGAGCAAAACAGAATACACAATGCAAATGAGATATGGGACAATTTCGACAGTACATTATTTGGAGATGAATGGAACAAAAGAAGACTTAGACCAGTTAACGTTAAGATTACCCTGATGATACTGATGTAAAAGAAGTCAGAGATTGAAAGCAAGAAATTGTAAGGCTCAGAAATTTGGTTAATGAAGTTGATCCAAGCGAAAGTTGGCCCATGTGCGCACAAAATAGCAATCGTGGATCCGATATCGGCCGCCACAAGTAAGCCAGCAGTCAAGGCTGGCGGCATGTTCCCAGCTTTTGAATTATTTAAGAATAATAATTGAAAAAGAGAGGCGAATCTTCTTCCGATAAGAAGCACCGAGTCTCCTCAAGTTCCTGATAAGCTTGAAATGAACTCTGATATCGACATCGAAAGACATCCAAACACAATTCATTTTATTATGGACAATTAAGAAAGCAGATAAAAAATGTTTACGTGGGTAAAGTTATGAATTCTGACAGTACGTCATAATCAAAGTCATCGGCATTATTAACGCCGATCGCTTGATGGACTTGGGGGGTCGTCACGATATCTCTTGGAGTTGCACCGTGCTTGACAACTTCCGTGAAATGCTGCCCGAGTTTTATAGCCAAATCGCTTTCGGTATGACCCGGTGTCCTGACGTCGACCATAGAAACACCTGGGAGTTGGTTCAAGCGATTAGTTTGCAGTTGATTGAGATCTTGCAACATTTGTCCGGCGACATTCAAGAGTTGCTCACAGGATCCTCCTTCTGGCTCAACCAGTCCTAACTCTTTTTTTAATTCGTCAATGTACGACACATCAAGACCCAAATTCCGCAACGAGTCCACGTTTTCCAAGACACTTTCAATCTGTGCTTTTGAATCCTGCAGAAGTTGTAAAATTAGATCTCTCAAATCAATACTACCTAACCTACCGGTTTTTCTTCAACAACATTTTGGGCGAACTCCAGCGCCTTTAGTGTTCTTGAGTGTTCACCATCAGTCAATGTGTCCAAGATCCCATCTACGACCTTAACCAAGTTTCCACCACTATCTAACGCCATTTGTCGCAGAGCCATTGCATCCACAACATTGTTTTTGTCCCCATAACATGACAGTAACAAATCTGAGTCTTTTTTGTTTAAACTGGACCATGTCGAATCGAATTGGGGTGCAAATGATGAGAAGGGACCGTAATTCGTGTAATTAATACAACCCTCAGCAGACTCGAGAGGAGAGTATTCGGGAAGAAACGAAGCCACCCCTTTGTCCAATTTCCCAATCAGATCTCCCATTGATACTTTTGACTTTTCGCCGCCACAGACGAAGTTGAGAATGGTCGTTCCGTCTTCCTTCTTGTCCAAATATCCCATTGGCCATGGCGGTCTTTTATCTGACAACTTTCCCTAAAAATAATAAACTTTTTAAGACAACAACCCCCTTACCTTAACTGATCCATTCTTCATTAACTCCTTTGGAGTCTCGTTGTCTACCACAGCATCTCTAATAATATTACTGCGGTCATTCCTTTTGGTGGCTGGCTTGGTGGCAACTTTTGGAGTGAGCCCTAACTTCTCATGTGGGATAGAAGCCCCGAAAGGCACAGAGTACTTTACATATTCAAGGTAATGTGGAGAGAAATAGTACCTGATCAACGTTTGCAACTTTACCGCCGCCAAGTAGTAGACTGTGTTAGGATTGTTGTAGGTCATTGCATTTGCGGCGACAAGATTCAAATCGTTCTTTAGCTCGTTGATGTTCTTGTAAACGTCAGAATGTACCTTGCTTTCAATTGTTGAATAGTCCATTGGTGTAGAGATAACGCTGTAGTACTCCGGTGCATCTGAAGCCTTGACTGGAGTTGAAAAAAACCCGTCGACATCTTTCTGCATGAACCGTTTGAGAATGAGATCACAAAACAATTGAAACGGGCTATAGCTTCGTATGTCAAACTTTCTAATTTGCTCCGGCTCGTCTTTGTCTTTTTTTGGAGAATTTGGGGCGTCCGGAGACTAAATATAATTCTTTAAAATAAAAGAGTTCATCTACCTCTTTTTTCTCGGCTTTCCTTCTTTTACTGGACACTTCTGATTTCTTGCCTTTTCGTCGCTTACGACCATCGGTGTCAACAGTGTCATTCTCTGATTCGGAATTTGAAGACTCCATCGACACTTCCTCTTCGAGGGCTCGTTTTTTTCCTTTTGTTGACCGGCGTTTGTCGTCACTCATCTGAAAGAAATAAGGGCTCTCTAAAAATACCAAACATCAGAAGAATAAACAAAATAAATTGAGGTTTAATCAACCCAGATTCCACTAATACAACCCCAAACAATTGGAGGTTGTGTAGCCTCCGAACGCACAAAAAAAAATGCGGGAAGACTTGGCACATAGGTCAACTTTTTTTTACATGCACAATTTTGCAAAATTCTTGTATTTGTGCTTCCATAACGTTTTTTGTGGAAGAACATTAAACAATTTTGCAAAACATTGTGTTAGGTAATTATAAGAAACTGTATTTTTTCGTGTTTTCTTTTGCGACCATTGTCAGCACAAATTTCGTTGTCTTCTATTGAAGAATTTTGTGTAGAAAAGAAGTCGTATAAAATGTCTCTCATGTTCTGCACCAAGTGTGGCCGCAAGTGAATTAGGCCTAAAACTAATTTTTCCAAAATATATTTTGTAAACTTTTCCGGCGATCGCGATGTCGCGTTGCGCTAATGGAAATCTTCAGCATTATAGAGACAGTTAGGCGCATAAATTAGAAGACTACATCCAAACATATTTTTTTGCATAAAATAGATCGGGTTAGCCGTAAAACTCATGTCTGGCAGAAATTTCCCGTCTTGAAAACAAATTTCTTTACAATTTACATTATTTTGTATTCCTGAATTATACGCTTATCTTTGCCTTGAGTCTTTTATTTTGTGATTAATTGTCAATTTTTTAGCTTACCTGAAAATAATATTAAATGAAGAAAAGGAACAAGGTGAAAGGATTTGAATCCCGTCTGGCTGAGGCCGTGTTGTTGTTGAAGAAGAACCGCTTATTATTATTCTCTGTAGGTGTAGCTATAATATTATAAAGCAGTTTTAGGGTCCGCTATTTTCTGGTCGCTCGAGTTTGGCTAAAGCAATTGCCAAATGTTCTGAGCCTTCATTAAATCCTGTTTTTGTTTCCTTTGATGACCAAATAGATTCGAAAGTAAGTCTACTTTATTTAATTGAAGATATTAAATTTTAGACTCTGTTCGGCTCCTACCAATCGTCAGGAATTCCCGGCGATTTTTCCTGGGAAGCATCAAGCTTTATGGATGCTTTGGCTTCAGAATCAACCCTTATAGTTATAAAATCATGGGAGACGGCTAATGCGGATACTCAAAATGCAGTGATTCAGTTGGCGACCGATGGAGTCGTCATCTTACCGGGAAACAGACGTGTTGAAATAAATCCGACGTCGAGAATGATTGGCATCACTTCGGACTACGGTGTGAACCGAAACATCCCATTTCCGTTAACTCTGAACTTTCATCCTTTGAGTAAGAGCGAGATGCTCTCCCGGTTGTCCTCATGCCGGGTATCTGGGGTGAAACTGGATGAACTGTATGAGCTGTTTATTAAAATTAGGCGTCACATAGAGACACTGCCACATTCAGAGAGGAGATTAATGACGCGGTATGTTATATTGGTGAATCCACAATATTTTTAGGGATTTTTTTGTTTTGTGCAACCGACTAGATGGTGAATCGGCTTCTGTAACCGATATTTTTTTGGACTTAGTCGATGTCTTTGTCAGTCATTTGTCGAAGCGGTCTTATCAAGAAGCACCGTTGCAAGAAATCGCATCATTCTTGTCGATTGCGAGTAACAGCGTGGAATTCATTGAAAAAGAACGTGATGTTACAATATCAGTTACAAAGGACTTGCTCACCGTGGGAAGGAAGAGTCTTAAAGTTGAGAGACGATGTTTGACGTAAACATATCTCAAGATAACCCTAGTTGTTTTAGAGCTTCTTCTCTTCTTCCCTTTGCGCCTACTCGCTCATATCGTGTTCTGATGGAGAAGATTGCTGCATGTGTTGCCAATAAAGAAAGTGTTTTACTGAATGGGGAGACGGGTATCGGAAAAACAAGACTAGTTCAGGAGCTCGCTCATCGCCTAAATATTCCGTTGGATACTATTAATTTGAGTCTGGATTCTGAAGCTGCGGATATTGTTGGGGGATTCAAGCCGGTCAACATAGGGGTTCTGGTGAAGCAACTTCTTGGATCCCTTTTCTTATTTTTTGGTGGAAACCCTAAACTGAAGGAAATGTTAATGGTTTGTAAACTAATGAATTTTGCGACGCTTGATTTTAGCACTTACTGGTAACCAAGAAGTACTGCACACTTCTGAACTCCGTGTCAAGGATTGTTCAAATTTCCATGCAAAATTCAACAGGCGACAGCTTTGTCATCCTGTCTAGACTGCTAACCAAGGTGGAACAACTTCTTAACTTTGCTTCAAATGGAACTTGCAACACACCATTCACATTTGTTGTCGGAATTCTTATCAAGGCTATGAACGAAGGACACTGGCTATTACTGGATGAAATTAATATGGGGACTTCAGAATGTTTGAATGGCTTGTCATCAATTATTTCGGAACAACTTCCATCGGCTCATCCCAACTTTAGATTGTTTGCTTGTATGAATCCAGCCACAGATTCAGGGAAAAAGATGTTATCACAAAATGTCAGAGCACTGTTCACTGAATTCTTCGTTCATCCTCCCAGAGATTTTTCTGAGATCAGTGAGATTATTAGGCAGTATATCGTAACCAGTAAGACGTCTGACTTGGCCAATTTCTACTTGAATATGAGTTCATCTAATCCCCGGCGGTTCAGGTAAGTGGGCGGGCGAAAGATACCATGGATATACTTTTTGGATACACTCTTTTCTTTTAGCTTACGGAACCTTTGCCGATCACTTCTTCTTATCAAGGACGATGTATTCAGAAATGTGGAAAAGAGTACAAGAATGGCTTTGACGTTGGGATTTAATGATGGGAATGCAACAAACCTAAGTTTAATTCAAGTGCCGTTTAAACCCCTGTCTGACGAATTGCGGAACAAATTCATGTAAGGCTTGTTTTTTAAATTTATTTATTTGTTTTAGCCTGGTTGAGGGTGTCTTTTTTCCAAGAGGGCCTAATAATATTCAAGAAGATCCCGATTACATTCGAACTGCCTCAGTTCAAACGAATGTCCAAGCTATTGCCGCGGCTGCTGCATCGGGCCGTTTCCCGGTATTACTTGAAGGAGAAACATCAACAGGGAAAACCACAGTTATCACACATTTAGCTAAAGTGGCAGGATATACCGTTTACAGGATCAATAATCATGAACAGACCGACATCCAAGAATACGTTGGAAGTTATGTACCCAATAAGGATAACAAACTGGAGTTTCAAGAAGGAGTGTTGTTGAAAGCTGTTCGGAATGGTGATTGGGTAATTCTGGATGAGTTAAATTTGGCCCCCACTGAAGTGCTGGAAGCGCTGAATAGGGTAAGGGTGTTGTTGTGATAGATGTTATTTGTTTTTTTTTGCAGTTATTGGACGACAATCGAGAATTGGTGGTCCCCGAAAGGGACATTTGTGTCAAAGCTCATCCAAATTTCCGGTTATTTGCGACGCAGAATCCAGCAGGTTTATATGGGGGTAGGAAGAAGTTGTCCCGTGCATTTCTAAATCGGTTCGTTGTGATCAAGTTCGATCAACCTCCAAAAGAAGAACTTGTTAAAATCGTCAGCATACGCTGTGAAGTTTCTGAGTCAGCCGCCAAGCTGATGATCCAGGTGATGTTGGAGATGAAGGTTAGGAGATCCAACACTCGGCTTTTTAATAGCACTGGCCTAATGACCCTGCGGTGAGTTGTATTTCCGTTCTGTTATTCGTTTAGGGACTTATTTCGATGGGGAAATAGAGTTCGCCTTTCGGAAGACGGAACGGATTGGAGGCAGGAGTTGTGCAATCAAGGGTTCTTCTTGTTGGCGTCGAAAAACAGAACGGAGGAGGATTCATTCAGAGTGAAGAGTATTCTGGAGGGAGTTTTGAAACGAACCATTGATGTGGATAAGTTGTATTCGGTCGAGTCTCCTTATTTTCCCCAGAATTTACGGGAGAATTGCTCTCTTAGAGATGGATTTATGGTTCTGAATGGTTCCATGGTCCTCACTTCGTCCCTGATCAGAATGATTGTTCTGTTCAACGAAGCGGCCAAAGTCAACGAACCGATTCTTCTTGTGGGAGAAACTGGGTGCGGAAAAACTGCGGTGACATATCTAATGAGTTCTGTGAGTGATTCAATATTATTTTATGCATTTTTGTTGTCTAATAAAATGTTAATTTTAAATCTTTTTTCAGGGGTCATTGGAGTTTATTAATTGTCATGAAAGAACCGATGTTTCCGATCTTCTTGGAAGCATTCGGCCGGCTTCAGATGGACTATTCCATTGGCAAGATGGTGTTGTCATAAGGGCCATGAAGAATGGAAGCGTTCTTTTGATCGACGAGATTTCCTTGGCGAATGATTCTGTTCTTGAAAGATTGAATTCGATGCTTGAGCCATCCAGGATGATTCTGCTGGCGGATTCTGGAGCTTCTTCAGAACTTGTAACCGCGGTTGATGGATTTAAATGTGTTGCAACGATGAATCCCGGAGGAGATTACGGGAAAAAGGAGGTGGGTTGCAGTTTCATTGTTGCTTTAATTGAAACAAATTTTTTCTAACAAGGGAATGGTCTGAACTTCTCCCAGCGTTTGGGAAAATGGCTAGTACAGGGTGGGCCACTCGAAACTAACAAGTTGTTTCTTTGAATTTCTCCGCGGAGACTCCGCCGATTTTCCTAACAAGGAAAGTACTTCTATGAGGTATGGAGTTACAGGTCGAGTCATATATCAAAAAATTTGCAAAATTTTTCTGATTCAGAATATGTAAAAATTAGCTGCCTAATTTTGGTTTGTATGGGTGAAAAAATCCTCTGAACTTTTCTCGCAACAACACGCAAATGCCTTTTTGACCAAGTTTTTACCAAATCAAATGCTTGTTTTTGAGCTAAGGCAAACTCTGGTATCTTGACAAGCCTTAAAATATCAAATTTAATTTGTACTACACCTTAATTAGTAGTTGCAATGTAAAAAAGGCGCATTTCCATGGTATTGCGAGAAAAGTTCAGAGGATTTTTTCACCCTTACAAACCAAAATTAGGCAGCTATTTTTTACATATTCTGAATCAGAAAAATTTTGCGATTTTTTTGATATATTCTCGACCTGTAACTCCATACTACATAGAAGTACTTTCCTCGTAAAACTTTTATTTTTCTGGAGCTGAGACCGGCCATTTTTAACTGATTGAATTTCAAAAAATATTTTTGAATTGACCTTTCTATGTCTTCCAAAAGTTTTGAAAAATAATTTTCGGAGCGAAACCGCTAAACTTGAAAATTTTTTGAATGATTTTCAATTGGCTTTCTCGGACTTGAAAGCCACAAGAGGATTGCTTGTATTACCATTAGGGCACAAATTTTCAAAAAAAAATACTGAAAAATTCGACGATAACGGCTTGGTTCGATTCCGGGGCAGCGCGAAGGACCGTAATAAGACTTTGATATGGTCGATTTTTCTCTTCGGCTGGGTTTATTCCGCAGCTGGAAAATGACTCTTTCTACCAATGTTGGCCTACTCTATCCACCCGTTATAGTCATTTTCCCAAACGCTGGGAGAAGTTCAGACCATTCCCTTGTAATGAGCGTCTTAGCTACACGAAAATTTAAACCGCTTCAAAATGTACGAAATTTTTAAATCGGTGCCTTTTCCCACAAAAGAGCGAAGAAATAAGTGGAATACTTTTCGCCATTTAAGGAAATTTTTGGCCAAAGGGCCATACTTGCGGTGGTGTTGGGCTGATATACTGCTGGAATGGGATCTTCAGGATTTTTAGAACATGTATGATAATTTCTCTTCTTTTTTTTAAAAACATTTTTAATTTGCGGACATTGAAAAAGGACATTGGAAATGGCTTTTGATTTGTGGCCTATAAAATCAATTCAGTTTAAAATTTTGTAAAGCTCGTTGTACCATATTTATGGTACAAGTTACGGTGTAACAAGATATGATGAGTATTCAAATTCAAAAAAAAAAAAAAATGCTAATGGAAGTTTGTTGTTGTGGTTACGGAGCACCGATTTGAAGGTATCGTAGAATTTGAAGCGGTTTGAATGGCGTCGCGACACTTGCGGGCAACCACTTTGCGGGCAAAATTTGGGGGGTCACATTTGCGGGCAACCGGCACCTGAGGGTAACAGGGTGGAGATGGAAATATTACTGCGATATTTTGGAAATTTGCCGACATTTGCGGGCAGCCGACACTTGCGAGCAGCCGACATTTGCGGGCAACAGAAAAAAACAATCACACAGATTGTATTGGAACTGTTGCCCGCAAATGTCGGCCTCCCGCAAGTATTTCCTGCCCGCAAATGTCGGAAAACTTCCAAAATATCGCAGTAGTTTTTCCACCTTCACCTTGTTATCCTCAAGTGCCGGTTGCCTGCAAATGTCGGCTGCCAGCAAATGTCGGCAAATTTCCAAAATATCATAGTAATTTTTCCACCTCCACCCTGTTACCCTCACAATCAGGTGTCGGTTGCCCGCAAATGTCGGCTGCCCGCAAATGTCCCAGACTGCCCGCAAAGTGGTTGCCCGCAAGTGTGCGCCCGCCGTTTGAATTTTTGTGTAGCCAGCAGCAGCGCTCGATTCTTAGAGAAAACATGTTGAATTTTTTTAGCTTTCGAAAGCCTTGCGCAATCGTTTTACTGAAATCTGGTGCTCTTTTGACGCTGACGAAAAGGATGTTCTGGCAATAATTAAAGCTAGGTTCGACCAATCTGGCTCACTTCCAGAAGAAGTCGCCAAACTTTGTGGAAAGTTTTTATCGAAATATCTTGTGGAATTTTACAGTAAATTTGGAAAATATCTCAGGTAGGTTTGTCGTGTCATGGATGACAGTTTTAGGCATAAATTATGTGTCCGGGACGTAGTGGTAGTTGCTGAAATGCTCTCAAATTTTGTAAAAACTGCAGCGATAGAGCCTGCTGAAGCGTTGTATCATACAATATCAAGTCACGTTTTGGATTCATTGCCTATTATTTGTAATGGATATCACATTCGGATGGTCGACGAATTGACTCACTTAGGGAAAGAACTCTTTTTATCAATTTATGAGGGCATGACAGCCACTCGGCTTGAAATCTCAACTTTGGAAACGATGAGCATCTTGGAAGATTCGGGGAATTTCAAAGTTGGACCTTTCTCCGTTCCCAAAGGGCCTTTTCCACCGAGTTCTTTGAATGAGTTCAATATCAACGCTAAGTCGACGGCATTGAACGCCTTACGTGTAGCCAGAGGCTTCGCCGCCGGTAAGCCCATTATGTTGGAAGGGATGCCGGGAAGTGGAAAGTCTAGTTTGATTGGAGCCTTGGCACAAGTCAGTGGAAACCACCTCATAAGATTGAATCTGTCAGATCAAACAGTAAGTAAATATTTATTTCACTTGCACCGATTAGAGAGAGTTCTTTTCATTAATTTTGTGACGCCCTTGCAGGAAGTGACAGATCTTTTCGGCTCCGACGTCCCAATCACACTGCCAGATGGAACGGTGTCATTCACCTGGAAGGATGGTCCAATATTAAAAGCGTTAAAAGAAGGAAGCTGGGTTCTGCTGGATGAAATGAATCTCGCACCTCAGGCCATTTTGGAAGCCTTGAATTCCTGTTTTGATTTCCGAAAGACCTTATACATCTCGGAACTCGGCCGTTCATTTGTTGTCGATTCCGAAAAGCCGGCTCTATTTTTTGCTTGTCAGAATCCTGAACGAATGGGAGGGAATCGGCATTCACTTCCAAAGTCATTCCTGAACAGATTTGTTACCATCTTCACCAAGGATATGGATGACGAAGATTTTAAGTCCATCGTTAATTTTGTTGTTAAAAAAGCCGGCTTAAAACAGGATGCTGAGGTTTTCATTAGGATCCACAGTTTTTGCAACGAAAGGATTAGTGTACGGAAAGGAAGCGGAGTGCCTGGAGCACCTCTGGAATACAATTTGCGAGATCTAATGAGGTTTATTGATTGTTCCAAAAAGGTGGGCGGTTGTGATCATATTTGTTAATTTTCAGTGTGATATTTTGAGTTCTTTGGACTTGGTCTATTTGGCCAGATTGTGGAACGTGCGTGATAGAATCAATGTGAGTTACAAAGGATGTTATTGAACGTTTATTTTTCTGTTTTAGTATCGCAATGAAATTTCCCAGAGTGTGTTGAATCTGAAGACCACGCCTTGTCCCGTTGTGTTAGCTTTGAAGGATGAGAATTTAAAGATATTGGAATGGGATTTTAAGGCAGATTTCTCCACGGACTTTAAGCCTTTGTCTTGCCAATTGAAGATACTACAGAACCTGGTCATTTGTGTGGAAGGTGGTTTATTGGCACTGTTGGTTGGCCCGGCGTCTTGTGGGAAAGAGAAATTGGTCACGTTTACATCACAACTTTTCCGGACTCGCCTTAACGTGATTAAATTAAACAGTGAAACGGACGCTCAAGATCTTTTGGGATCTTATGAACATGTAAGTTGCTCTGTAAAAACGTAAACAATTTTCAAGATCGTCGATGCGGACGCCGTGAAGGAATGTGTGGAACGTGTAGTTCATTTGTCGAATACAAAGAAGCTGCCGGATCATGTTAATTATTTGATTGAAGCTTTGAAAACAGTGAAAAGCAACTCCGAAAGTAGAACTCTGATTAATTTGTTAGTAAAGGAAACGGAGGGATCGGGTAAGAAATACACGACACAACTAATGCCAAACCCATTTTTTATAGATATCGGCCAAACGCTGTTGCAGATTTCTCATGAGATCTCCCGTGCTACGCTTTCTTTTGATTGGATTGACAGTGATTTTGTTAGGGCTTACAGTGAAGGGCACTGGGTGTTGATAAAGGATGTAAATTGTTGCAGGTAGGCCCTTGAATGGGTATTCATGAGGTTGTTTAGTGCCGCTGTTCTTGATCGGTTAAACAATTGTCTGGAAAGGGATGGGGAACTGGTATTGTCGGAAAAGGTGGATGGAGAATTCAGGGTATTGAAACGACATCCAAACTTCAGGTATGGCCGGCTATAATAAAAACACGGACGGCTGCTTTCAGAGTATTCTTGACTATGAGGCCTGAAAACGGAAACATTTCAAGTGCGATGAGGAACAGAACGGCCGAGATTCGTTTCGATCGACAGGAATGTTGGGTGTCTTCATGGGTCGATACACTTCGATTATTGCCTACGAACATGGGGCATTTGGTGACCCAATTGCAGTCTTTAGAAGGAGGAATATCTGGACTACACTCGGACATGGCTGGGTTTATGAAGACAATGAATCTTCCGTTGTCTTCCAGGCTTTCTATGTTCGGATTGACTTCAGAAGATGATGACTGTCCAAATTCTCTTATTACAGATGCCGTGTCTTCGTTCTACCATGTTTCTTGGTTTCTGGAGACGTTTGCATTTGATCGTAACATGATTTGTTTGATATCAAGGATTGTAGGAGGTCTGAGCCTAACCTATTCCCACGTTTTATTGTCATCAGACCCCCAACAAATTTTTCCTGCGGACTTTTGGGAGGAGTCTTTTTTGATGGATCCAATCTCTGACTTGACGGTATTTGGTGCCATGGACGCATCCATCGACACTGGTAGAAAACAGTGAGCTTTTGTTTGTGAATAAAATATTTAATTCAGGTACGTCATTTCTCATCTTGTTTCTTTCATTCTGTCGGAAAACCTGAAGCCGAATCATCCGTCATCTTTGGTTTTGACTTCTGTCGATCTTGAGCCAAAAACCATTCCCAGTGTCCTCATTGAGGTCTATCGCCCTTTTTTGGATTATCTGCAAACTCACACAGAGACTTTGAATGTGAAGGTAGCGTCGTATTGGGGATAAATTTATTTGTGTTTTAGTTTTTGTTTTTTGGATATGTTTTTATCAAATTTATAAAATCGGAATGGAATCGGGATATCGGCGATGTGATTGGACTGGAAATTATCCAAATATTACACCAATTTAATCATTCGGAGAAAGTGTAAGTTTTCTTGAGTAGTATTTTCTCTGTATGTGCGGTGTATGTAATATTGTTTTAGCGAGTCGGCGTTTCTGAAGTCGCTGAATGATGTTCTGGTCATGGTTAAGGTTGATGTTGACAAGCCACCATGCAATTCTTTGCCGGACGTAATGCCATTTACCACGTCTGCGCAAGTTAATGCGGCCAAGGCCAGGTTAGACTCAGTTATGGTCAGATTGGATGTACCGGATAAGATAATGGACGTCTTGAAGTTCCAAATGAAAATACTTATCGAATCATTGAAATCTGTCCTAATATTGAATGCAAGTGTATAATTTATAACTAATGTAAGGCAATTTAGTTTGAACATGGGTTCCTGGATACATACACTCGGATGTTGTCCTATTTCCCAATCCAAGACAGGCAACTGTTGTTAAAAATGCAACTGATCGCACTTCTACGAACCAGAGTGAATTTGGGTGGGACCAACTTCTTTATTTCGGACGTTATTCAGTCGGATGCACTGAATCCGCTAATCAACTTGTTTTGGAAGCGTCTTGGATTCAGAACTAATGTTAATGAACTGAAAGTGCTTGAATTGGTAAACTTCGACGGCCTTCTTAAGGAGTTGATTGACGATGTCTCAATTTTTACGTGTTTGATTTATCAGGTTAAGGCGAAAGTGACGTAAGTGATATAGGTAAACGGCGTTGAGATTTTATTTGCTTTAGTGATTTCGTCAACGAATTTTACCCGGAAGAAGACACTCCATCTGAATTGGAGCGGGTGAAGAAGATGATGCCAGTGGACTTGATCGACCCAGTTCTGAAGCAATATGCTTCTAAAGAAATTAACAATCAACTCAAACAGGTGCTCGATACTTTGAGTCAAATACTCAGAACCTACGGAAGAAATGTGTTTGGATCAACAGAGGACTTTGAAATGTGCTTTACCAGCCTCTCAGAAAGGAGCAGTAGATTGAGTTGTGATCTTCACTGTTTAGCTCAGGAGAATAAGAAGGCTCTCGTCGAGTTGGAGAAGTTGGGAGAACGGGTTAGGCCTCCAAACACTAAAGTAATTATGTTTGTAATACGGAGTGGGGCATCTTTGTGGCCCGATTTGAATTGGTTATAACCTTTTAAATTTTTGGCCGAGTCTTAAAATTCTTTTTTTTTCCTGAATCCTCAGACGTCCCCATTTTGTTTAATACCAAATTTGTAACATATACGTAGGCTTAGTTCATAGTTGTTGGTCTTAGCGTTGCACTTGGGGTCCTTCCCTTGTCAATTACGGAAATCAGAGCTTTTTGTTTGTAGTTAATGTTTGATCTACGAAGGGAGACTGAATATGAACTGACTGAATATGAAGGACCGAATATGAAGGACTGAATATGAACTGACTGAATATGAACCGGGGTGCTGACTGAATATGAAGGACCGAATATGAACTGACTGAATATGAAAACCGGGTTTCTGTTACTGTTACTACCTAGGTTCCGATTAAGGACTCTTTTTAAAATTTTTTCGACTTATGACACCTTTAGACGTTAATGGTATTGTTTTGGTGCCTAGTACTGCTTAAAAAAACTTTTTTAACACTTGGTGCTAAGTAGTACTACCTGGTACTATTTAGTACGGGGTGAAAATTTGGCTGGTAATGGCGTTGGTTTGGTGCTTAGTACAGCCCAAAAACACATTTTTAGCACTTGGTACTATATAGTACCAATTGGTACTATTTAGTACGAGGTGAAAATTTGGGCGTAAGGCGGTAATGGTGTTGGTTTGGTGCTTAGTACAGCCCAAAAACACATTTATAGCACTTGGTACTATATAGTCCTTGAAATAGACCAAATTTGCCAAATTTCATATTCAGTCAGCACCACAGTTCATATTCAGTCAGTTCGTATTCAGTCAGTTCATATTCAGTCCTTTTCATATTCAGTCCTTCATATTTAGTCCTTCATATTCAGTCAGTTCATATTCAGTCAGGCACCCTTTGATCTACGCTGATAAATGGGTATGGCTTATTTGATATTAAACAAAATGGGGACGTCTGAGGATTCAGGGAAAAGAAGAATTTTAAGATTTGGCCAAAAACTAAAAAAGTTATAGCCAATTTAAATCAGGCCACAAAGATGCCCCACCCTGTAGTTTGTACAGTGAGGGACCTGATCCAACGGCAAAAAACGTCTAGTTTTGCATCCCGGAAGGGACCAAAATGACTCCAAACCCTTCCCTTCTCTAAGCTAAAAAAATCCGCTTTGAAAAGCGCGCCCTTTCCTTCAAGGCGGGTTCTTCAAATCAGGGTTTTTTAGCTTAGAGAAGGGAAGGGTTTGGAGACATTTTGGTCCCTTGCGGGATGCAAAATGAGTCGTTTTTTGCCATTGGATCCCGTCCCTCACTGTAGTGACTGTTTCGTTTCAGTTTTTCCAGTTATGCCGGTTAATTGAGATGTTTATGGGCCAAATGGAGAAGTTCTTCGAATTAGGTGAAGACAAGATTAAACTTGCTGTTTTCCACAATGCAGTGAACAGACACGTTGATCAGCTGACATCTTCATTCTGGGAATATCCAGATATCATTACCCCATACGTCTCCGCAATCTTCGAACTTGAACTTTCTCTTCTTCTGAAGTATTCCAGCGTTGATGATTCAACAATGACCAGCCTATTGGATGGATTTGATTGGATCGAATCGACGAATGTGAATGCTCGAATCGAGTGGTTGTCCCGGGAAATAAGTTCTTTCCCCTTAAGACTTCAAACACAAATGATCCGAGAAGCACTCTTCATCGAGAGAATACGACCTGGATCGACGATATTTATGGCATTGGATTGGTTAAAAGTTCAATGGCAAAGATGGTATCAAAGTGTTCAGAAGAAAAAGGCTGCTCTGTTTGAATATAAGACTACTCAAATGAAGAAACGAGAAACGGAGGGCAAGCTTGGGGAAGATGGCACTCAATATGTCGACGAGGAAATGATAGAGGTATTGCAAAGTTGAGTTAATTTTTTTTTTAGATTGAACAAATGTTGCCAGATTTTTCTGCGAAGGCAGAAGTAAAGTTTACTGAACAGATGAATGAATTGAATGTTTTGTCCGAGGATGAAATGCTTGGTCTTATTAAATCCGTTTTGCAATTGGAATACCCTTTGGATGAGATTAATCTGTATGGCCCCATGCTAAACAAGTCCGACCGTTCATTAATCACATTGAAGTCTGCCAATCTTGGTAATTGTTTTTTAAGTGGTTATATTCCTGTTTAGATGTTCATTTGGCAGCCTTATTACAACTCAAAAGTAATGTTGCGGAGAAAAGAACGGACATTCTGAATGTTTACAAATACAACAGCCCTCCTTTGCTGATTGACTGTGTCACCAAGCTGCAAAAATTGATAGATAGGGTGAATACACTGATTAAATCATTCCCCGAAAGCAACATTTTGAAGAACATTATTGTTGCTGTGAATTCTTTCTTCGACACTTCCTCATGTCATCCACAGATGATGTACACGTCGTTGCTGGAAGCCGTTTTAGGTGAGCTAATTATGTTATGGTTTATCATGTATGCTTTTTAAAGAAAAGGCCGAGTTTTGGGAGGCAAATACATGCCGAGAATACTCGCTCTCCGATCTGTTGCTGCCACTGAAGGAAGTTATCCTGGATTGGAGGAAGATGGAGGTCGTATGTTGGAGTGACATTATCCGTCAAGCTCAGACAACATCTCACAACAATGCAGTTTTATCATCTTGGCCAATGTTTGAAGCGTTTACGAACTTCGAGGACGTCTCAGAGGATTACGAAAAGAAACTGTTGGTGATGCTGATTCAATGGTTAAACGACTCTTCTCTCAATGATTTTATAGCCCGAATTGAAACGGGCGAGATGGCAGTGGCCTGGATGGAGAGGGCGGGGAAGAGAAACAATATTCTGTCAAAACTTCGAAGTATAATCTATTATCACAGACAGTTTGTTGATGCAACAAAAGAAAGGGCCCGACCAGCATTGGATGAAGCTGAAGAGAAACTTCAGAACTTGGTTAAGGTCGCAAAATACACCGACCTGAATTTGTGGAGCGTTAAGGACAGTTCCCAACGAGTTCACAACCAGATCTGTCGTTTGATCCATGCATATAAGGTAGGAGATTGTCTTTCCCAAAAAACTTTCAGGTCGAATTGAACAAACCCGCAAATTCAATCTTCTTGGATTCAATATTGCCCATTCCAAAGAGTCTGAGTACTTGGATATCAAATATGGAGTGGGACTTATTGAAAGGACGTAGCTCTGGCCCATTTACTGATTTTATCGAGAACCTTCAACGCATATTATCGCGATCTTATGCGTGCGAAGAAGGGCACCAGTTGATCGATACAGCGAAGGCCTTGTTTGAACAAATCCAGCATGATGTGGACTACTCCGTTGCTAAAAATACTTGTAACTCCGACGACAAAGAAGAGATTGAAAAAGTTAAACAGAAAATGTTCTCCAAAGAAATGCTGAAACGTCGTCGAACATTTGCGGATTTGAGAAAAAAGACGATTAACTTCGGGTTCAATTATCGGAAAGGACTGACAATTGAAACTGATCGTCTGACCGAGGTAACAATGACCTCATTTGATCAAACCTCGGATGAGACTGTGAGTTTTCAAGATATTTGGTTAGGAACTGTTTTTTGTTGTTAGCAAAAAGCTCGCTGTCCGCAGACGAGGATCTTTTTGTAAACTTTCGGATATCACTTTGAAACGACTAGTTTCTATACATCCTTTTTCTAGTGTAATAGAAGAGTGCTTGCCATGTAAGAGTGGTGCTTTATATTGGTTGAGCCTGAACTCTACCCCTTTTCTGAACTTCCATCGTATAAGACGTCACACCTTATTTTTCTCAATTTGAAAAAAAATTCCATCGTATAACGTGTCACACCTCGTTTTTTCAATTTGAAAAAAAAATCATCGTATAAGATGTCACACCTTATTCGTTTCAATTTTCAAAATGAGGGGTAGTGTTCAAAAAGGGGGAGGGTTCATTCAAGGGGTAGAGTTGAAAAAGGGGTAGAGTTCTGCCGCAACGCTTTATATTATTCCAAAATTGCTTCATTTTTAGCGTACATGAAAATTTTCGTTTTTCTAACCTAGGTAAAAAAATATTTTTTTTGGCATAGCTGGGTTTTTTTCATGTATCAGTCTGTCGGGAAAATAACTGCGGATCGTCGCGCCTCGGAATCGCCCATCATCGCTTTGCGACGGCGGCCACAGCTGGAGATTTGGTGCGCGATTGCGGTGAGGCGAGTCGTTTTGATGCGACGACCCGCCGTTATTTTCCCGACAGACTTATCTGCAAAAAGAAAAAAATTTCGCCCACATGAAATTTTTTCATGTAGACAGACGACATTTTGAAGTACGCCACAAAATTTCGTGTAGGCTAAAACTGAAGTAAGTTTGAAACTTTTTGGAATAATATAAAGCACCACTCTTATATACCAATTGGGTTCAATCTTGGATAGCTTTCTCCAACTTACTTTGAAATTTGTTCTCTGAAGAAAACTAAATCTAAATTTTCTAAAAATCTGCCAGTCAAATTTTGAAAAGTTTGACTGATATTTCAAAGTTTTACGTACGTATCCTAAAATGGAGAGGATCCAACGAAAAAACAAGTCGATTTTGGCGAAAAACGGTTTTTGATAATTTTTCCATTTTTGTGTGTAGACAATTTGTGTATTTCAGCTGCAACAGCAAAAAGTTTCTTCGTAGACACACAGCATTCCGAGGTTTTTTGCCGCCACCGATCGGTGCCGATTTTCGCTCAAAATGACAACAGGGCTGCGCGCCTCGGCTGATAACTAGCTAGCCCAAAAACGAAAAAGAGTAAAAATTGATTTCCAGATAGAGGGAAAAAAGACCTATCCAATGATATAAATAGGTCCTATTGACCTTCTCCCCACAACGACCTTTTTCGCCTACAAAATTACAAAATTTTTTTGTTTATTCATGGATAAATGCACTTTATGAGGGCATAATTAAAAAAAAATGGTACCACTCGATAGCAAATAGCCTCTTCTATGACATATCCAAAAAAAAGGGAAATTCTGGCCCTTAGGGCACTACAAAATCCAAAAAATAGCGTATTTTACGTGTTTTTCCACATTTTTCGGGATTTTTTGCACCGGATGCACAAAAATGAAAAATCGGCTGTTACAGCGTTGTAGTGCACACTCGATTACATATATCTGCCAAATTTCACATTTTCATCTTTACTCCACTTTGTGTTCTGAGCCGGTTTAGGTGTTAAGGCAACATCGCTGCATAGGGCAATGCCGGATGCCGATTTAAAAAAAATTTTTTTCATTTTTGAGACATATTACGCTCATATCAATATTAGATACTGATTTTTGCTCCAGATGACAAAATGTCCTTTCATAAATTCACGTAATGACACCAACGTGTTTGAGTTCAACATGACGGAAATAAGGGAATTTTTGTTTCAGGACTAGTATTTAGGTGACAGGAGACCTGCCAGAACATGCTCCGACGTTTATTTGGCTAGAAAAGCTATGGAATCCGGATGCAGCGACGTCCCGTAACACGTTGCACATATGCGATTTTACATAAATTTACGTTATATACATGACGTTCAAAGTCAATACGACTGAGAAGACAGAAAAATTTTTTAAAATCGGCATCCGGCATTGCCCTATGCAGCGATGTTGCCTTAACACCTAAACCGGCTCAGAACACAAAGTGGAGTAAAGATGAAAATGTGAAATTTGGCAGATATATGTAATCGAGTGTGCACTACAACGCTATAACAGCCGATTTTTCATTTTTGTGCATCCGGTGCAAAAAATCCCGAAAAATGTGCAAAAACACGTAAAATACGCTATTTTTTGGATTTTGTAGTGCCCTAAGGGCCAGAATTTCCCTTATTTTTGGATATGTCATAGAAGAGGCTATTTGCTATCGAGTGGTACCATTTTTTTTAAATTATGCCCTCATAAAGTGCATTTATCCATGAATAAACAAAAAAATTTTGTAATTTTGTAGGCGAAAAAGATCGTTGTGGGGAGAAGGTCAATAGGACCTATTTATATCATTGGATAGGTCTTTTTTCCCTCTATCTGGAAATCAATTTTTACTCTTTTTCGTTTTTGGGCTAGCTAGTTATCAGCCGAGGCGCGCAGCCCTGTTGTCATTTTGAGCGAAAATCGGCACCGATCGGTGGCGGCAAAAAACCTCGGAATGCTGTGAGACAGTGAAAAGCGCGTCCATTTAGTTATCCCTTTTTAGCTGAACGCCTCGTTTTTGCTGTGCTCATCTGCTCGAAATGTAATAGTGAAACTGTTGGCCGAGTTTAATCATCATCAACATCATCATGTTGCTTCTCAACTTCCTGTGGAGAACTTTAACTTTGTCAAGGGAGTTGTTGAATTCGGAGAGGAAGGGTTGTTGTCTTTGAATCGCTCTGTCTGTGATATCGAGAAACTTCAAAAGGAACTAACGTTAACTATACATTCTCTGGAAAGTTTGGAAATGGTATGCATCTTTTCTAATTTGTTGAAAATGTGTTGCAGATCGAAGGCGGAGGATTTGATTACGAAGAAATAATGGCAGCTTTCGATGAACTTTCGGCGAGTTTTGTAATTTTTAAACGAAAATTTGCCACATTCTCTCAACGCCTGACCACAAAGGATATTAATATCCCCGATCACTTTACTCAGTTTGTTCCGAGGTTTTTGAAAAATGGGGAGGATTACGACAAACTTCAAGAGGTGATGCTGGAAGTCTCCTCCATTTTAAATGAGATCAGATTCGACAAAGAGTCGCTGCAACGTTTCCATGTGAGGTGAGATGCCCTTCAACGGGAATATGATTTTGTGAAATTATTTTAACAAATATGTCGTTCTTTTAGCCATCTGGTCAAACATTTTACTTTAATGTACGCTAAATTTTATTCTGTGGTTAACCTTCTGAACACTGTCAAAGAATTATGCGGAGACTGTGGCCACCAGCTGTTTAAATCTCTGGTCAAATTCTGGTCGAGGCTTGAGAAACTATTGAAAATTGTGAAGCAAAACCAGCCAGGACCAATGGAACTAACTTTCGACATAGGGAATTTAATGCTCAAATCACAATCAATTTATCGTTACTTTGAAAAGGCTATGGATAAGCCATATTTCACAAAACTTGCGTCGTTCCCTGAATATTTGGAAGGCATTGGAATCAAAGACGTAAGTGCCGATTGAACTCCGTAAGCACTCTTTTTTAGCAAATTGCGGCGATTTCCAAAATACGGAATCAGTTAAACAATGGATGTCTGCCGCGTGACAAGACCGGCTTACTCAACCATCTAAGGGGCTTTTCAGATGTTGTGAACAGAGTTCTTGATTACTCTAAAAAAGGAAGCATCCTTTCTTCCACTTTCTTTTACGAATTCTGCATTTCGGCCGAACGGATTCTAAAGAAAGGGTTCTTAAATCCTATTCCTAATCAAGAAAAGGATGCTGGAGAAGGTGCAGGTGAGATTTCTGGAGAACCATCTGGAATGGGAGAAGGGACCGGGCAGACAGATGTCGGCAAAGATATCGAGGAAACGGGGCAGGTAGAGGGACTCCAAGATGACCCGGCAACCGACGAGAACGATACCTCAGAGCCTAATAAAGACGAAGCCGAGTCACCACTCGACATGGACCAGGAATTTGCTGCTGATCTGGAAGATCTTGATGACGAAGAGGGTGGAGGAGGCAAGTAAATTTCAGGAACCTTATCTTTATGCACTCCGTTACGAAAGTGTACCTATTTTTGGGGTGGGCGAATTCTCTAGTCACGAAGAAAGTATTATGGAGGATATAACACAAAAAATTTTGCAATTTTATTCATTTTTAGGGGTTTCAATAATGAGGGATCCAAAAATGAAATTCGTTTTGCGCGTCACTGTAAATTTTGAGAGTAATTCGAATTTTTTATTCACATCATATTTAACAACCAGCGTTACAACATTGTCCGTACCACCCAAGAAATTTTGCGTACTCGGTTAATTTATGCTCTAAACGAAACTTTGTACTTTAAGCAAGCTTAAGATACCATTATGGTGTCCGCTATTCTGGTTCCTGGAAGAGGAGCTAACATAAAATTTAACTTTTGTGGGAAGCAAGGATATGTAGCCACTCCTTTCCTACTATTAAACGATACGTTATGAGGTCTATGTGGCGACACAAAAGTTTATAAACTGTCGGTGTTATTTGAAAAATTACCATTCTGATCACAAATAGTGTCGAACAAAACAGTACAGACACCATCACTTTTAATCGGACATGGCTACCCGGCCGGGCCTTGTGCACCTCGGGGCCCGGCCCGTGTTCAAAATTTCCGAAGCCCGGCCGGGTTGCCACGTCTGCTTTTATCAGTCTGTCGGGAAAATAACGGCGGATCGTCGCGCCTCGGAATCGCCCATCATCGCTCTGCGACTGCAAGCCGCGGCTTGGGATTTGGTGCGCGATAGCGGCGAGGCGAGACATTTTGCTGCGACGATCCGCCGTTATTTTCCCGACAGACTGATAATTGTCGCGCAAAAAAAATTTAAACATTTTGCATCGTGCATTGAAGGTTCAGTGTTGTGAAAATTGGAACTTTGTATCTTCCTTGGGTACCAAAGAGACCTGACAAGGGAAGTCGCTTTTTTCGCAGAACACGAAGCGTCTGCGATCATAAAACTGATTTCCAAAAGTGTTTACGGGGCTTCTCGGCCGAGAAAATCGACCGCAAAGTCTGGCCGAAATGAGCGAATAGCTTCCTCAAAAGAAGCAGCTTATTTCATCTGCAGTGGTGGCCGAGAGGTCAGTGCGCTCGCTTTTTGCGCCAGAAGACGTGAGTTCGACTTCGGCCGCCTGCGGACGCATTTCTTTTGGCCATTGAAATGAATAGCGAAATGCCGTTAATGTCGCAAATGCTAACTATTAGCAATTTTTAATAAAACACGAATTTAGAAACTATATCTTCATTAACCCAATCCTGTTTTGACTTTACAGTATTCATGAACATTCAGCTTTGAATTTATGTTTAAATTATTGTAAAAAAGTGAATACATTTTATGTTTACTTACTAAATCAATATTTACGAACCAAAAAAGAAAATAAACTGCGCAGAGTGTCGAACCCGCCCCTTCTGGCGCAAAAAGCGAGCGCACTGACCACTCGGCCACCACTGCAGATGAAATAAGCTGCTTTTTTTTGAGGGGGCTATTCGCTCATTTCGGCTAAACTTTGCGGTCGATTTTCTCGGCCGAGAAGCCCCGTAAACACTTTTGGAAATCAGTTTTATGATCGCAGACACTTCACGTTTGAAACCTACTAGGTCCCGTTCCAAAGTCCGTCTGCGAAAAAAGTGACTTCCCTTGTGAAAGGAGACCATTTGCCTCAGGGCAACAACGCATCGATACTTCATTTTTTTATTGTCGCGGACTAAATATTTATTATATTAAAGATGTGAATAATAAATGTATAATTTTAGATGATGACAAGGATGATAATGGAGGCGAAGATGATAAGGAACCTGATTGGGATATGGGAGATGTCATGGAAGAGGAAGAGAAACAGATTGACCCTAGGCTCTGGGACCAGGAGAAGAAAAATCCGGATAATATGGATGACGAAGAACAAGGAGCCCAAGAAGAGACTGGGGAAACTGTTGCACAAGCCGAGGAAGCTTCCGGGAAGGGATTGGAGCAAGATGAGACGGTAGAGGAGGATAATGAGAACAGAGAGGAGAACCACGACGAAACAGAGATGGAAAACGTCGACGCTGTAGATTTGGATGACGACGAAGACCCTCAGAATGAAGGCGACGAAGAAAATATGGAGCTAGATTCCACTGGTAATGAGGAAGAGGCCCAAAAAGACGAAATGGACATAACTGAAACAGAGGACATCGATGAAACAGAAGAAGCGGAAAGTAAAGGTAAAGATGACCAAAAGGAAAAGGATGACAAAACTAATAAAGACGGCGAACAGGCTCAGTCAATTGAAACTGATGGAAAAGGAACCGGACAGGCTGAAAAAAATGTCCAAGAAACAAATGAATCTCTAGAGAATCAAGGCGAAGAGGAGGGATTAAACGAAGAAGAAGGAGAATCTGGAGTTGAAGGATACGAAAAACAAAAGAAGTAAGAAAGTAATCGCGAAAATACAAAGTTATAGGGAGAATGCGGGACCTAATGATGCAATAAAAGATAGCCAAGATGTGGAGATAAGCAAAGTACATGAAGACGAGGAGGCCGAGCAAGTACATCAAAGCCAGGTAGTCCAGGGGGAGGAGAACGATGCGATTGATGAGACCCAGAAAACATTTGCCGAGAAATCAGATGTTGATCTCAGTTCTGCAGCGCACTATGTAGGCGGTGTTAATAATCCTCGGTATATGTATTTTTAGGTACAAAAATCGACTACCGTAGAAAAATCAAAAGAAATGGCATCCGAAAAGATTAACAACGAGATCCGCGAAGAAAATCAAAATATGGGAGAAAGAACGAAGGAATTCAATGCCCAGTTAGAGCAACGACATATATTGGATACCTTTTATTTGAATACTACGGTTGATGTGGGAACTGTAGGTCCCAAGAATACTTCTTTTATTCGTTGTTATAGGTAATCCGCGCTCAAGATGCCATTGATTCCCTAAAAGAATTCATGGCTTGCCTTGACGGGGGAGATGAAAAACATCAGCTGGAAAAGAAATGGCAGTTTATTAGCCAAAGTGTTACTACCGACGCTTTCGAACTGGCTGAGGCTCTCAGAATTTTGATCGAACCAACAAAAGCCTCCAAATTTCAGTTAGTTTTAAAAAATTTTTATAAGACGTTTTTAGGGGGGATTATCGATCAGGAAAACGTCTTAATATGCGCCGATTGATCCCCTATATTGCCAGTAATTATCAAAAGAACAAAATTTGGATGAGAAGAACAAAGCCCGCCAAGCGAACGGTTCATGTCTGCTTGGCAATCGACGATTCTTACAGTATGAGAGAGAATATGATGACTGAGGTAGGTATCGCAAGCCGAATATTGCATTTTCAGATCACCTGTCAAACGGTATGCCTTTTGGAAAAGTCATTCAAACAACTGGAAATCGGACAAGTCAGTATTTGCAAGTTCGGAATGGATGTGGAAATGTTGTGTGGAAGTGCCGAACTAAGTGATATGGATGTGGTGGGACCCTCCCTCCTCAAGAACCTTCAATTCTCTCAAACCAAAACTGATTTACAAGCTTTACTGGTTAAGATGGGGGAGTTCTTTGGATCCTCACGACAAGTCTCAGAGGCCTCTCATCAGTTGTTAATCATCATCGGCGATGGGCGAGGAGCTATGGTGAATGGAGCTGAACCCATAAAGAATCAAGTCCAACATCTTGTGAACAATGGAGTCACCACTTTGTACTTGATTGTGGACAATCCCACTTCTTCGGTGTTCTCGATGAAGGTGGCCAACAGAGTTTCCGAGAAGATGCAGCTCTCCAATTACATGGATTTGTTTCCCTTTTCTTTCTACAGTGTTGTTCAGAATGCGGCAGTGATCCCTTTGGCCGTATCCGAAGCTCTTAAGCAGTGGATGGATGCCCTGATGTTGTAGATGTTTTTGTTGTTACTTGTTGTTCTATTTGTTGAATTTATTTGTTAATGAAATTATTGTTGAGCAAATAAGAAGTGTGGGAATTGAGAAATGCAATTGGGCGTGACTGTTGGAGACCAATTTAACTCTGTTTTTGGTCGAGTGTTCTAAACGAGCAATTGTTTGGGTTGAAAGACTCACGTTGGTTTAGGAATTGATAGTAAACATAGAAGCCGGTCGCATCGAAGATATCATTCGTCTTGAATTGCATTCGAAAATAGCTGGATTCGCTTTGGATTGGGTCCTTTGGAGGTCTATTGGAGCCACAAAACCTTCGATTTGTTCGATCTACCGTTTTGTAATTACTGAACAAAACAAAGTCACTGTGAGTGGTATCCTCGCATCTAAATGAATGCAATATTTTTTTAGACACTTACTGTCCATATCCTTCAACATCAAAATATTGAAAATGGATCACAACAATCTGGCCAGGCTGTCCGTTGAAAGTATATTCACAATCCAAGTTCCGGGGATAAAACCCTGGATGATTTGGACTCCAAACTTGGCCTGCGGTCGCGTTGTCTCCGTAAAATGCAAACGAACAATCTAAGACGAGAGTCTTTAACGTAAGATTTTGGTTACCCCCGGTACTCTTAACTGAAGCCCCGTCGTTGTATTGTCTACCGTAACCCTTCATGAAAGAATACTTCAGTTTAAAACCCATTGAAGCTGGGATTGGAAGGGGAATGTCCCTCACATTCAACTCCATCGTCAACAGATTCTGTGTCGATATTAAAGGTGCCGGCAATTCCTTTCCACAGAAGTCTTGAACTTTTGACATCCTTGATCCCACTAGAACATGAATCGAGAGATGGGTCCCTTCTTCGCATCTACAATCTCAATTTCGTTTACTTTATTAATACCTCTTGGATGTGTTGGCATCAGAAAGATGGAAATCAATGAAACTGATCTGAACATGTTCGTCTGGAGCCCCGAGAAATAGAAATTGGCATCTGTAACTGGCCATAGATGTCGAATAATAGTGACTGCTGATTATCAGGCCAAAATTCCCTCCTTCTGGATTTACCCTAGAACCTTCATTTTCATGCAGATCCTCCACCAATTGTCCTTGTACGTATTGGCCTTGGACATTTTTGGAAAGAATTCTTACTGGACATTGTGTCTCGCTAAATGCAACAAGCAAATATAAGAAGATACCGATGACGGAGATGAACATGAAAGGAAACGGCCTCCTCCTTCGCTTTTGACTTCCACTTTAGGCCCGTTTCCGAAGGCCCTCGCTTACTCAATTTGGTTTCGGCCAAGGCCATTTCCGCTTCCAGACGGCCAAAAAGAATTTTATCATACTCCAAATAAAGTTTATTTATCACTTTTTATCTTTGGGGAGGTTCAAGGACTTGTCGAAGTCGCTGGTCGGCATCCCTCCCTTCATAGTCTTGTAGTCGTCGCGTTCTCGAGCTACAGCGCCCTTGGCCATGATCTCATCGGTTCGGTTCGCTTCCATTACTTTCGGTCTTCTTTTGTTGAAGGAATCATCATTCTCTTCCTTCTTCTGCAAAAATATTTAATAGAAACAGCAAACTTCAAAAAGGCCCCAGGAGCTCGTAATATAATTCGTATCTCGCATTGCCATGGCCGAAAAGCGTGGCCGAGCATCATTGCCGAAAAAATTTGAATTTACCCGGAACCCCTCTTATATTATGTACTATTACGTGTTACGTACACTGCCCTCCTTTCCATCGGAAACACAGGAATCCGTATTCTCTTTCCGGGATTTGGACTTGTGTTTCCCACTCTTCCCAGACTTCTGACTCTTCATTGACGATGGTTGGGTTTTCATGCTCTTTATTGAACCCTCTTTCTCATCTTTCTTGTTCTGGTTATTTGGGTTGGCCTCTGCTTTCTTGACCAAAGATCCATTTACTACGCCCAAAGGGTCGCCGGGGCTATTCATAGCTGGAGAAGTCGGACATTTGGGGCGCTTGTTTGGGCCTAAATACGTATAACTAAACTAACAGGGGAAGCACTCCAAGTGCGACGCTCAGATTTTGATGAAACCTGGCACAAATTTAGAATAATTTTTTCTAAGGTATATGCGATAATCCTAGCTCGCGCTTTGCAGAAACAAAAAGGATAATGTTTCTACAAAAAATCAAATTTTTCCGCACGAAACTGCCAAAGTTATGGCCAAAAAGCGCTTTTCTCTCTGACCGCTCTCCACGTTTAGCGTGCTCTTTCGGCGGCAAAGATCGTTTGATATCTCGGCGGCGCCCGCAAAGCGCGAGCTAAAACTTTCAGGAATTGATATTTAGTTAATGCCCGACGTGTGTGCAAAATTTAAAGAAAATCTGAACGTCGCACTTGGAGTACTCCCCGTGTAAGCAAAGCGTTACCTGCTTTCTTTCTACAACATTGAACCGTGAATTGGACATAAATCAAACAGACCACCAGCAATATGACACTCAAGGAGTCCTTCCAAAGAGACCTGGCTGAGAGCAGACTCAAGAATGGTGCACAATCCATGGAAGTCCGCGTCCAACCGATCACCAGAAACGATACATTCGAATAAGAAACAACTACCATCAAATCATTTTTTGAAAATTTATCTACGCCGAATCAAAGTCAGTCTTCACAAAGTCCTCACCATGATTTGGTCGGTATTTATGCTTATTCTTTCTCCAATTATCGTTTCCATTTATACGATCATGTTCTGCACAAAACCAGCAAGCATGTCGGATAAAAATTTTGAGGATACAGGTAATGCGATATAAATAAATATGTACATACAATACAAATTAGAGATTCAAAGTGCCGTCTTCAAAGCAAGTAGAGAGCAAAGAAAGAAACAAAAAAAGAAGAGGACCACCAGACAAATCAGGGAAGAAATGACCAATGTGAGTATGAGTGAAAAGTAGGGAGCCGTCAACTTGACGCGTCAACCACGTTATCAAATGGTCGTTACTATATATTGCTGATTTCGAAAATCTTACTCATTTCTTCTGTTGGGGAAAGGGACGGTTGGGAAAAAAGACGATTGGGGAAAAGTCCGATTGGGCGCGTCTCCACATTTCGGAGGACAACTCGGGTCGCGACACTTCGGGTCAACGACATTTCGGGTCAACGATACCGTTTAATATTTTCGCTTCGGGACTGGGAAAAAAGAATTTTTTGGTGAATTTGAACAAAATTTTTAAATGTTTTCGCGTCGGGACTTGGAAAAAATGATTTTTTGGAGAATTGAGGTTTATTTTTTAATTTTTTTAGGAAAATAGTGTATATAAACGACGAGCAAATAAGAAAATCGTATCCATTGTTTGTTTTTAACTGGATGCACGGGATTCTTAAAAATCAAATTCTCCAAAAAAAATCCTTTTTCCCAAGTCCTGAAGCGAAAACATTTCAAAAACTTTTCAAATTCTCAAAAAAATTCTTTTCCCCAAGTCCCGAAGCGAAAACATTTCAAAAACTTTTCAAATTCACCAAAGAATTCTTTTTTTCCAGTCCCGAAGCGAAAATATTAAACGGTATCGTTGACCCGAAGTGTCGCGCGCGACCCGAGTTGTCCCTGACCCGAAATGTCCTTACGCGTAACGCCCGATTGGGGAAACCGAAAAGTATTATTTTTCTTCCATGAAAATGTCGAAGTTAGGATGATCGAGGGTGCTGATTTCGAAAATGACACTCATTTCTTGATTCTTACTTTTTTCCTTAAGTAGTACTGTAAAGTAGTAATTTTTGATTTTTTCATAAATACTGGATTTAGGGGTTTTCGAGGGTGCTGATTTCGAAAATCATGTTCATTTTTTCTGGTTGTTTTTTTTCTTAAGCAGTACTGTTAAGTAGTATTTTTTTTAGTTTCCAAAAATACTGGATTTGGGGGTTTTGGAAGGTGCTGGTCTCGAAAATTATATTAACTTTTCCTCTAGTACTAAATAGTGCTATCTGACACTATGTAGTACGAGGTGTAAATTTGGCCTTTCGTTGTTAGTGGTGTTGTTCTGGTCCTTAGTACTCCTATTTTCACCTCGTACTACATAATTACTATGCCTGCCCGCAATCGTGGGACACAGAACGGACTCGCAGAAGTCGGATCGATGTGTTCCCGCAAACGGTTGCTCGCAAGCTTGGTCCCGCCGTAAAAAGTGAACGCAAACTTCTTTTCAGGACACATTTGAAGAACATCAGCCAGTAGTAAGAGTTGCCAAGAGATCGGCAGAAATCAGGAACAAACACAAGGTACCTAGAGACCGAACCGAATACAAAACCTTCCAATCAGAGAGCAGCTTTACCGATTAAATAACATTATATTATTCGGAACCGTTTTCTGATCAAACAACTGAATGATTCCTTGAAGAATTCCTACTTCGACTTCGTTTGAGCAAAGAAGACCTCACGAATTGTTTGGAACAGAGAACTTTGAAGGTGACCTCGGTGTCATAATTATCCTTTACCCGTGAGTCCGTTGTCAACGTAGATCGTTTCCTGCGATGAGTCCAAGGTAATCCGAATCCGAATAGGCTTTGGCATGGGCAGAGGAATGTGCAGATGGCTTGAAAGAAAATGAAGATGTAGAGTCGTAGCTGAAACCGAGGCTTTCTTTTTATTTAAACGGGTTTTATGGATAATCAATACACGAGATTATGCAATGCGCTATTATTTTCTTCTTGAAAAATCTATTCCAAACAGTTGTCAGTTCACCTAGAATTTTTCCGAACGTACCCGAGATTTCGGATATATACCCGCGTGTTGAATATATCCGAATTTTCCGAACCCTACGCATAGCGCCATGTCGCATCACCGCCGAGAAAATGAATTGTGGGCACCACGACACTTCCGGAATGGCGGAATAGTGACATTTCCGGAATAGCGGAAAAGTGACACTTCCGGAACCGGGAAAGAATCAAAGATAAGGCTTAGACCTATCATCTGAACCATCTGAATGGATTTATTGTTATTAATGAAAAAAATTTTGTTATTTTTTCTGGTTGTTACTTTTTTCTTATGTAGTAATGTTAAAAAGTAATTTTTTGAAAATTTTCCAAAAACATTCGATTTGGGGTTTTCGAGGTTGCTTATTTTGAAAATCATGTTCATTTTTTCTGCACTTTACTAGCTCGCGACCTAGGTCGTGACTGACTAGGGAAGCGTACAAACGAACCCTCACCAAATGGCAAGTGTTATACACCATTGGAAAGCCCTTGAAAAATGGTGAAAGGTACCATTTTCATTTTTTGCAGAATGCCTCAGGGCAAAAAATTATAAACGGTTGATTTGTCCCTTAAGTAGTTACAATATCTGCTGTGGGGCAAAATAAATCTTATTTCAAAACGCTAAATGGTAAATATTGCTACTAGGTTGGCCTAAGAATCATTATGAAGTTTGGCGCTTGCCAGTAAAACCATTTTACTTTATGATATTTACTGGTTTTAAACACCCATAATGTGAAAAAACACTTTTCACTTTTTTTAATTTTGAAAAACATGTAAGTTTGGTGGTTTTAATCGTAATCGAGCGTTTTCTAGAAAAATTAAAACGTTTGTAAAAGTTTAACTCAAATATTATCCGAACTGTAAGAACGCAAAACTTTTTTGCCCAGCTGGGAATCGAACCTGGCTTGGTTTGGCTTATCAGCCTGCTCAGCAACCACTGCACTATTGAATCAACCCTCTTCGAGGATTTTTATCCGCTCAAGACAAAGAAAGATTTTTGTTGCGAAATGACCTAAAAATAATAAAATCTACAGTATGTCGTCGCGGAAAGGCATTCTGCAAAAAATGAAAATGGTACCTTTCATCATTTTTCAAGGGCTTTCCAATGGTGTATATCACTTGCCATTTGGTGAGGGTTCGTTTGTACACTTCCCTAGTGAGGTCAAGAAGGTTGCCTAAAATTACCCGAAAATGGTCTCAATGATCCAGTATTTTTAGAAAAGTTTCAAAAAATTACTTTTTCACACTACTACATAAGAAGAAAGTAACAATCAGAAAAAATGAACATGATTTTCGAACTCATTTTGTACAGGGGGGTCACATTTGCGGGCAGCTGAGACATTTGCGGGCAACCGGAAAAAACAATCACACAGATTGTATTGGAACTGTTGCCCGCAAATGTCGGCTGCCCGCAAATGTCGGCAAATTTCCAAAATATCATAGTAATTTTTCCACCTCCACCCTGTTACCCTCACAATCAGGTGTCGGTTGCCCGCAAATGTCGACCCTGCCCGCAAATGTCCCAGGCTGCCCGCAAATGCCGGTGCTGGCCGCAAATGTCGGCTGCCCGCAAAGTGGCTGCCCGCAAAGTGGTTGCCCGCAAGTGTGCGCCCGCCCCTCCGCCGAATGCTTGATAACCATAAAAATATGTACATAAGTATCCTCTTTTCCATCATCAAGATTCATAATAAAGCGTTTAAGATTGGTGTGATGACCTTTAACCCGAATAAACGATTTGACTTCAGAAGTAACGACTGTTCTTACCTTCCGTCTGATTGTGGGAGTTCTAACAGCCACTAATATCGGATTGAACAAAGGATCAACGAAAGAGGCCATCCTTGTCCACTGATACAGCGTGGCCATGTTGGCAATCCCAGCTCTGTCGTCCACCCAGAACACCGCGATCTCGATGAAACTCTGCCCGGAAACGGAGACGAAGAAAGCGCCGATGGACAACAACAAGGTGTTGAAGAGGGTCTCTCTCCTTCGATGGGGACTTTGTTCTCTCAATCCACTACTTAGAAAGTCGTGTTGGGAACTGACTACTCTCCAATGATATACCACAGTCAGGGTAAATACAATAATCGAAGCCAGCAGAAAGGTCAACGTGAATAAAGTGTGGCCTCTCAGAAGGTAGACTCCAAATGTGTGGAAGATTGCCACTCGATCACAACGCTCTCCGATCTCGATGTAATCGGATTTTGGTTGACTAAAGGAGGTCCTGATTACTTTCTTTTCTCCTTACTTTTCCGAGCACTTCAAGGATCCCGTGTGTTTCTTTAATTGGGAGAAAAGATGATCCAAATTAATGATTGCTGAGAATTGTAGTGCAGAAAAGATGACATGAGTGACAATCAAGAAGATCCAGACACACGAGAAGACCGAGATCACGCACTTCTTCGATAATTTGATCGCTTTTCCGGACATGGATCTGTTGATTACAACTAAAACAAGGACAAGGAGGTGAGTTAGACCGAGAAGGGATCCGTTCTGGGCCAGGGAGAATAAAGTCTCCTGCACTAAGTGTTTCAAAAATTCTATCGGGGCAAAGAGTTGAGCCTGGAGAGTCTCGGCGACATCAAGAGGAACATCGGTCGAGTATTGGATCTGAAAGTAACTTTGGAGTTCCCTCAATTGATAACTCACCTCGTCGATTCCAAGGAATGGAAGATCCGTGAAGAAATCGGCAAAGAGGCAAATAAAAGAGGCCACGAATAAGACATTGGAGAAGAGGATGTTGAAGATGAACAGGATCGTCGCCGTCGAGAGGTGTTTCCGGGTTTGTACTAGTAATATGGAGAGAACGAAGGTGTTTATAGAAACTCCTGTGAGAAGACCTAGCTCGATCTTTAATCCCAGCCAGGCCATGTATCCAAGGTTTTGGAATCCGCTGTAATTTGTACTAATTACTACCATTAAGACCTACTTTTGTGTCTCAATGTCCAAACTATCATAGACTCCAGCATCCACGGGGTTGCAGCTCTCCGCATTTACCACTGGAATCTCGTCCAGCTGTATTTGCGTGCTCACGGAGCTGTTCGATTCATCAAAACTAAAGTTTCCGTTCTCGGCCACTTTACATTTGGCTGCCATGTCCAGTTTATTTGACATTTTAACAGCCGCCATCGCAAAATGTTGCAGCAGTAATCTTGTTTTTAGTACTAGATACGGTAACTGGCTGTAACTGTTTACGGCTCTCTTCACAAGAACACTGAATTCATATACAATTTAGAAGAATCTAAGGAGCAAACCTCATGATGTTCATAAATATGGTATCATTGGCCAAAGCCTGGCCAATTGTGAGTGAATGTTTGGAATATTCATCCACGAATGCGGAATATGGCTGACACAATCGCGAAAATCGAGCGAAGAAAGCTCTAGGTCTGAGCAAATACACTTGCTGTTGTAATGTGCATTTCTAGAGGGATATAATAATAACCAGTGCTGCTTACATTTCTGATCAAATCTAGACTGTAAGAGCTACTTTCCACTGAATATTCCACGTGACATCTTTTGTAAACGTCTTGATAATGCAATATGGCACTGTTACATATTACACTGTAAATATTTTTATATTTAGTAATCAGAAAAAAGAACGTACGAGCGATGCTCGTTTTCCTTTTCGTATATTATCCTGAATAGATCAGCATGACCGGACAGATGAAAGCGGCCGATGTCATCAGTCCTGTGACAAACCACGGCAAAGGCAGCTCTCAGGAGATCCAACTGGAAATCCCTTTTAAACTCAATGTTCTGATGACTCTGGGTGTACCGATTGATGTCACAAAAGCCCAGAGATCTCATAAACCAGATCAGACCCTCATATCTTCGGCTCTGCATGGCTGCATCGTGCTTACGGTTGCATAAGATGGGATGTCGGATCAGATTATTCAACTGAAAGCATCCAAAATAAGGAGTATGGAAACACACCAATGGAGATTCCCTTCCTCTCATCACATCAAAATGGTTGTTGTCAGTACACAAAGTACCCAATCTCTCTTTGTCATCAAATGGAGAGACCCATTGATCCACTGGGAGGGCAGTCGAGATTAGAATAACATGTGAAAAGAGTAAACACAACTTAAATCGAGACATAACCCAAGACTGGGATGTGGAGCCGAGCGGAACATTGGACCGGAAAAGAGTCCGGTCACGGAAAGGGAAGATACGAAGGCAATTAGGGATCAAAGTGGCCACGATCTCTGCTCGGGAGATATTGTCCTTGCGAGATATAAATGGCAGCGTATTACGAGATCGCTGGGCGGTCAGGTTTCTCGATTACGAAAACCTCTTTTTATTTTATCTTTCAACTTTTGAAATGCGCATTGCGCGACATGGTAACACGATGTCAAAAAAAATTCTCTGGCAAAAGCCGACGGCGAACAACATCAGTCTGTCGGGAAAATAGTGAGTACAATGTCGCTGCGCCAATCGCGTCGGTGAATTGAAAAGCAATTTGATTTGGTCGCGACACAATTCATTTTCTCGGCGGCGATGCGATTTTGGATGCGACAGAGTGCTCACTATTTTCCCGACAGACGATAGTGATCACAAGGGCATATTATATATCCTATTTTAATATTTACAACTTTGCAGCATCTGCTTTCATGACAAAGTATAACGGGGCCATCAAATGAACCAGTTGTCGGCATATAGCATTGTGAGTTAGTTGTAGCGTAGTATTGCTGTACTAGTATATTTAAGTTGACGGTCCATTAATTCCGACTTGAGATCCTCCTCCGCCTAGAGGTGGCAATCGGGCCGGCCCGGGGCTTTTTCAAATTTGCTCAGGCCCAGCCTGTTTGGCCCGATAATACAAAAGGTTGGATAAAAGTCTTTGCACTTTCTACTGGAAGTTTGTATGCTTTCCAGAAGTATTTTACGTGTGTATGAGTGAAACTAAAACGTCTAATCGGACGTCTGGAACAGCCGTAAAGGTATAATAGCTATTTAAAACCTAGCCAAAAAGGTGGATTGTGTCGACTTTTTTATCCCATAGGAAGTTAGCTATTTAAAATTATGGACGGTATAAGACCACATGTTTAATAACAAACTGCTTTAACACTTTCGTTTACATCGAGTCATCAAATTACAGTGAAATGTTTAAGTTTATCCTAAAAAATTTAAAGATTTTTGCCCGACTCTTGCATATTTGGGTGGGATTACATGTATATATAGTAAGGGATTTTAAAGAGTTTTAAAAACTGGTAAAAAAGCATATAAGTCAAAAAGGTTTAATTTAATATCCATCCATCAATTTTGCAGCTTTATTTTGCAGGTTTAATATTAAAATTTTTTTACTTGTCCACCTTCCGGCCCGCGGGCCGAAGCGGTCAGGCCGGCCCGAGGCTTTTTCAAATCTGCTCAAGCCCGGCGAGATTGCCACCTCTACCTCCGCCAGCTCCCCATCGCGTCGTTCTCCGTCAGGTCTCATTCGAGTCTCCGTATAGTGCACGATAATACTGCATTTATATATCGGTGGGTACTAAAACGTGTACTGCTACCGTATTAACTTTGCCGGGCATTTTACATTTTTATTTCACAGAGTAAAGTATAAATGTAAGAATTTTAAATTTTTTCGCAAAAAAGTTACAAAAATCATTTTCATTTTTTTAATTTTTACACGAACGCATTACGAATTTTGCATACAGTTCAAACTAAAAGCTACAACAAAATCAATTTTTATTAATTATAAATCAATATTTCAGAACATGTGGGAATTAGAATTCGTGCTGAAGTTTCAGATTGTTTTTTTTTTTACAATGTTCTAATTTTCTTTTGAAATTTTCCATGATGATTTTGTCTCGACTAGGATGAATTTGGCGGTGACAAAAGTATTGACGTGATAGAAATATAGCAGCAATCTGACCGCGTACTCAACGCCAGATTGAGTATGCGAAGCAATTTTTATGCCTATTTTGTAGTACATACGAGGCCTCGTATCCTCGCGAGGCTACGACGCGGTCTTGATTTTTAATCGCACCGTCCTTATATTCAGTCCTTCATATGTATTCAGCCAAGCACCCAAAATGGCACATCTCAATTTTAATCATCCAAAATTTCGGAAACCTTGGTTCAGTATCAAGGAGGTGCTATATTGGCGAAAACAGCAAGGGAGTTTGAGTGGACACCTTTTCGTCAAGTGGCTCAAAATTTCACGAACGAATTTGGATAAAAAATCTCCTAAGATTTATGTCACGAGTGAAATTGAGAGATATATCTTTATTGTTTGAATTACGAATCGCTCAGTCATATCGTGCTCGTTTCGATGCCAAAAAGGCACTAATCCCATATAAAACGGCGAGAACGAACAGCAGAAACTGAAAAGATTACGGTCACAGGTCCTCAAACCACTGTTCATTTAAACTTACAGCAGCAAATGCCCATTCGATGATGGTTCTACAACCGTTGTGGATGACCCCATCTCCACCAATGTCATTACAATTATTGGCCCAGGCCCCGGTAGAATAGTAGGCCTCCAGGAAACAAAGGACCAAGAAAATAATCGCAGCGATCGCCGAAAACAGAAAATCCTGAAAAAGTCGTCTCGTCGAATAAAATAAACTTACGGAAGTCTTCCAAGGCCAGAAATTGAGATGAGTGACATGCATATTGAGGAAGTACCCGACCAAGAAGATAAAGGATACGCAGAGAGCGATCGATGTGAAGATGATCACAAAGGTCTGGCCAAATAAAATACCCTTGAAGGGACCTGGGCCGAATACGGACGAGATCAGACAGATCACCACCAGGCAAATTATCTGTCACGATATTATCTATGGGCCACGCCTTACCAATTCTACGATTCGAAGAATGCCCTGAGGGGAACAGCAGTATCTCTTATCCACAGACCCCGGCCCACAGCCATACTCCACGTCTTCTTCGTACTTGGTTCTTGTCGTAGTCGTAACTACAGTCCCATCCGGCCGCTGGGAAGTATACACCTCCCGGTGAACATCCATAGCCTGAAGAGCGGTAAATGGCGAGAAAACAACTTTACGACCTTCACGCAAATAAAAGAAAAAGGAAATCCCGCAATTGGAGAGGAATTTATTGATTAAACAAGGGGAGATAGACGGAGATGGTAAGGCCATCGCTTCGCAGAGACCAACTTCTTCTCCTTGTCTTCATTTCTGTGAATTTTCGGAAGCAAAAAGAGTAAATACGAGTAAACAGGAAGGAGAACCTGTCGAGAAAACAAATCTAATTCTCAAATAGGTCATGAAGACATGAGACGCAACGCCTTTTTCGAGAGTATTCCTTTATTACAACCGAAGGAAACTCGAGATTGAAAACTTTCTCTAACCATTCCGTCGATTTAGAATCACTGTTTGCAAAGGAGATGTCTCCATTCCACTTTTAAAGGATTTCTGAGGGCCTTGAGAATGGAGATGGACAACGCGACCAAACTGTGCTTCGAAACAAATGGCTTGATGCATCTGGGTCGCCTTCATCTCTGCTGAAATCATAAAACACATAAAAGATTCTGACTCAGCACTTACTGAGGAGGGTCGAACTCGGAAAAACCATGTTTCTGGAAGTGGAGACAGCTTCAGAAGATGAATCTGAGCCCCGATTTGAAGACGGGCTCTCGTTTTGAAGCAACGGTTGGGAGAAGTAGTCATTACAATCTTCAAAGTCATCTTTTGCTTCCACAATTGTCACATCCGCTGGGGCATTCACTTTTCTCCAGCTGGTTGAGAATATCTTGGTGTCAGTCGAAAAGTCCGAGAATTCAACAGTCGCCAGATCACTGAAAGAATCGTTTTTAGTCAAAATTCCTGAGTCATCAGAATTGCGAAAGAAGAACTGCACCTTTTGGTAATTTCTCCAAAGGATTCCAATGATTCAGATGCCAGAGAAGGATTCCCAAAGGTATTCAGAGAACCAGTTAGCTGCTGTAGGGAGTTCTTGGATCCTTCATTTCTTCTCAGAATTCTAATCATTTCGATGGCGGATTCTGAGATGTATTTTAGGTCTCTCGTCATGCCTCCATCCATCTCCAGACAACCACATTCTGAACACAAATCAGTTTGTTCCACACACTGGTGGCCAAATGGAGAGAAATCCAAGTCCTCCGGGCACTTCTCTTCACATAGACCGTCAGATCCGAGACTACTACGGTTAAAAGAGCATAAATGGAGCTCTTCTTCAGACAAAGTGTCACTGTTCTCATCGATGAACGCACTTTCAGAGTCTGTTAAAACCTTTCTCCTTCCATAAATCCCAACGTCGGATCCCTCATTTAAGTCCTGACCTCCTCCATTTCTCATCACGACCGATTCCTGATTCAAACAATCCAGCGCAGTGATTCACGGATTCGTATTTTTATCGGATACGGATATACGGATACGTGCATTTGGATACGGATATTATCAGGATATTTTGGCCAAAAATTCGGATACGGATACAGGATACTCTTGACTGCATAAGAAAATATTAAATATATTACGAATTTCTTTTATGAAATTTTTGAACAGCTTTTTGACGAAAGTGCAAATGTGTCAGGACTTTATGGCGCTTATAACATGTCACCCCTAATTTTTTCAATTTTCAAAATGGGGGAGTGTTCAAAAAAGGGGGAGAGTTCAGGAAAGGGGAAGAGTTCGCCTGCAACGCATATATCCGATGATGTTTTATCGGATACGGATTGTTTTAGGCTAAAAATACGGTCGGATGAGTATCCGTATCCGAAAAAATCGTGAATCACTGATCCAGCAAAAACTCGGTTTCTTGTTCGATTTGGTCCGAAGAGTACGCCTGACACTCAGTGCACCTAACGAGGGGTGCACCTGGCTGGGTTCGTTCACTTTGCTCTCCTCGAACAAGTCTGGTCCGCTCTTCACCAGGTGCACTGTTGGTGTGAAGTACTCTTCGGATCCAACCTCTTCATCACATTCTAATCCTCCTCGTCGTCGGGATACCTCAGATTTTGTGCCACTAACACCATTACGAGAACCTTCTGGAGTCACAGTTTTGGATTTGAAGAGTTGGATTCTGGATGCAAGATCAGCCGTGAGTCTGTGGACTGCTTCCCTCTGGAAGGAAATTTTATTTAACTAGAGCCTCACCTCGAGACAGCTTTCTTGAACCTTGGGATCCTTTTCCTCAGCATAAAAGAGAAATCGGATCTCGTATCTGTTCATATCAACATCCTCAAGATGACTTTTCCTCATCTGAAGCACATTTTCTCGATTCAATCTTAATTTAACGTTACAGAATCCATTATGAATGCCAAACTGTAATAAAAAATGCTTACTTCGCGCGGGATGACATCGTGGAATCGACCATCACCACAAGAAGCGTTGAATAAATGATCTTGCTTGCAAAAACGAGTAGATCTATTTTTGAAAATAAAACTTAAAAATTTGTCCAAATTGAATAAATTTAGATAATCTGAATTGGATTTGATATTGGAATTTGCGTGGAATAATAACATGACTGTTATTAAAGGAGTGACTCACCCCGAGGGACAAATCGGTACTTGAAGGGTAGAGAGGGTGATAAGCCTGCTCTTGATATGATAGTCCGCTCATTTGGAATTCCAAAATATTTACGTTTTGATGTAAAAAGGGAACAAACCCTCCCTAAAACTTATGCTAAAATACGCGACGGGTCCTCTGGGTGGATCTCTAAGTTCATTGCCTCCGGTAATTACAAGGAAGACCTCTTTTCTGTAAGTCTCTAATCAAACAGAAGCTCCGAGCTTTTATTTTTTACGTCTCCTGATAACAAAAATGATATACGATTCATAAAATCAAACGATCATCAATAGAAATAAACCGCTTTAGGAATTCAGAATGTGGATTTAGTAAAGGGACAGTGATCTTCAAACATCTCTCTCTTCCTTTGGTGTGGCCATCCTCGGAATATTATGATACTCGAAGGGGTAAGTAGTGTCCTCTGAGAACAATAAATAGTATTCCAGAACCTAGGACATTCACTGTTCAATTACTTTTCAAGACTTCCGATGGACGAGAATTATATTCGAAACCATTGGAAGAAGTGGAACGATCTCAAATCGACATTTTCTTTGAACAAATATTTTACATGTACAGGGTGCGGCAAAAAAATGGAAACTTTTTTTCATTGGGTCCTTACGCGAAAATTTTTAAGTGCAGCAAAATTATTTTCATACCGTTAAATTCTGCGTAGTTTTCTCTCCTAGACCTTTTAATATCATGTCCATATCGGTTTATTAACATTCTTTTTTTGAATGTCAAATAAAGGGATCTCGATTTTGGACCTGTTTTTTAAGCTGTTCTAAGTGCTAATTTGCCCGGTATAGAAACGACTTTGTGTCCAAAGTAATCGCGCAATGCAAGGAGCTTGTTAGCAATTTTAAGCATCCGTTAAGTGAAAGAAAACGCACCGCCAACACTTTTGCCAGCCACGAGGTCATCAACAGCGAAATCCGTCGATTTCCAGAAAAAATTGCCCGTGAGACCGGCATCAGCAACCGACCAGTCGGCCAAATAGCTAAAAATCAACTAATGGTGTCCCCATACAAGGTCTAAAATGCCTAACTCCTCATCGGCAAGATCAAGCCCGTACGCCTGAAAAAATGCCGAAAATTCAGACGTCGGGCCGCAGGTCCGCGATGGGAGCGTATTCCCTTCGCGGTGCAAAGTTTGGCGGGTGCATAACCAACATAGCGCCAGAATCCGATCCGGTGAGGCCCTCTGCACGTGGGCTAACGATGAACACCGTCAAAATCCGGGCCGTCATCGCCTAAGGCGGAATTTGTGCCAGCGGCAAGAATTCCGAGATTTTCGTGGATCAAGAGGGCAAAATTCTAGTGCCGGGTTAACCTCGATTTCCTCATGCTTCTGTTGACTCAGTAGAACCTTGGCAGCTCAAATTTGGCATTCCAACTAGACTCAGCGCCGCCTCATAGGGAAAAAGCGAGTCAAGAGCAGTTATGGGGCCGATTTTCCCGATTTCACCCCGTCTGCGAAAAGTGAGCCTGCTCGCCGGGTATGGATCCAATATGCTATATTTTTTTTTTATTTGGAGGCCAGTATTTTTACTACACGCCACAAAAGTTTGGAGTCGCAAAGTAAATGTTGCGCCAAGAACGGGACCGATTTCCCCGGAAAAACCTGCGGCCAAAAGCCTAAAATTTTAAGTCACGTTTGGAGCTCCATATCGCCACCAAAAGCATCTACGGTGAAACGGGTTGAATATGTTATAAATAATGCTCTATGTTATTGATGATGACCGTTACTTTTGCGGCATTTTGATTGCTAGGAAAAATATAGCTATAAAAATAAGTTTCCATTTTTTTGCCGCACCCTGTAAGTGTCTCAATGACAAAAAACTGCTTCAGAGAAAATCAGACGCCGGATTTCGAGATCGAGATCATAGTTTTGTGCCGTCGAAGTGATCGCTACGCCGAAACCATCTTCCACACGATGTCTAGGTCCATCAGCAGAAGTCTTGGCCATTCTTTTGTATGTTTTATTCGAATTGCACAAAATAACTCATCCCGGTTATTAAGAAGAAGTACATGCTCTCCAACAGCTCCAATACATTGGCCCATGCAGATCGCGAAAAGATCTTAAATTATCGCAATCCGGAGAGCATGATTACGGTAGCCAGTGCCAGTTTCAAGTTGCGTAACTGTTCTTTGTCCGGGCAGACACACAACTACACCCTGCACTTGCATCAACAACCCCCTCATATCCCCCAATCGCATGTTCTTCCCTTATTTGGCCGCATTGTGTGTCAATGCCTAGTGCAGCCACTCTCTTTGGCCCAGCCGTTGGGACAAGGGACGCTGAATGTCTTCTACGAAGACGGTGGAATCATTCTTCAGCAGCTATTTTGTGTTCTTCAGGGGACTTTCTTAAAGTGTTTTAACTGCGAGCCAAGTAAAATCAAGCCAACTACCAAACCGGACATGATATTGCCTATAGACAAGGTTCGCAAACGAAAATATTACAGGACTTATAAACAATTCAGAACACATTAATTGAGCCCACGGCTTTCCCAACCTCAGTTCGTCTTAAATTATTGGACCCCTATTCTCAGAAGTATCAGAACTTTATTTGCATCGCATCAACTCGGAACTCCCACTTGGGATGGAAAAACGCTTTTAAACTTCAAATTAAGGACTCCGGTATGCTTTTAACAGGTAAATAATATTCTTTAGAAGTGTGGGAGAGCTTCGCCAATTCGAAAACAAACATCCCCGGATCCCTGCTGCCAGTGCTCCTCCCGAAAACTGTAACTTTCGGAAATACCGTGGTTAGTACGAGCGCTGATACTGCACCTCCGCGGTACGGATTCGAATTGCAATCAATTCGAAAAAGACCACAACTACAAACAAACACTTACAAAAATGAAGACAGGATAGAGATCGACAAAAACAGGCCTCAAACGCCACGCCCCTTCACCAACTCACCTGAACGGAAGCGGACCGATGCCCTAAAACCCCCCATCCCTCCGCCAATCCCTAAACCAAGACCAAATGTCGCTAAGCATCTCCAGAATGGAACAGATCCGGCTCCTTACGTACTCACACTCAAGATTGGTGAAGGTGAGTTCGTCTTACTCTCGTTTTACAATATTCAGAAGCTCAAGCACGTCGACTTCGGACGCAAACTCTCCCGCCCTTTACTGCAAATTCTACAGTAAACCACGAAAGCACCCGCCTTTGATTACTTGCAAAATAATGATCGCCGTATATTTATTGTTCTTTATGTTCGTTTGTACAAGACACGATGGCTTTGTTAGTAGAAAGACGCGTGGCGGAAGCGGCCAAGAATTCGTACTTCTGTTCTTGGTCATTGCTTTTGGCTTTGGGAATAAATATCATATCAGAACCGAGAGTCTGATTCCATTCCCCAGCGAAGACGGCCTGCCCCACTTGTACTAAGGGCTTGTCGGTATTGGCAAAGCGAAGAGAAATATTGCGATTGGTAAAGGCTTTGGACACACTCTCAACGTCAAGGACACCGTTCAGATCGGCCACCACGATTGTTTCTTCGTATTCATCATCAGATGTTTCCCTAGCAGCGGCTTCGTGAGCGCTTTCTGCTTTTATTTTCTTTGGCATCTAAACAAAACGTCATCTAAATTATTGGGCAAATACAAAGTTGATATTAGGTTTACAACTACACATATAACTTCCCATTACGATCAAATAATTTATCTTAGTAATCTATTTAACTTAAAAATCTGCTTAGACAGCATGCTTCTTGACACGTTCCAAGGCCAGCAACACTTGTCGTTCGGTCTCCTCATACTCCCACTGAGAACACAAAACAACATGGCTTCTTTTGACTCGATCTTCAGTTTTCATTTGACTTTTGATTCTGTCCTCGGCCTAAAGCAACATGTATTTTAACACCATCCTACCAATTCCTTGGTCAGTTTGTCTCGATTCATTACTCTCTCAATCACAAGTTCCATGGGCACCATCGCAGTCCAGATCTCATGAACAAACCTATCCCATTTCGCTTCAAACAAAACGGCGGCATCGACGACAACAACTTTTTTTGTAGCTGTCCTAATTCCTTTCACCACACGTTCAGCCATAACGGGCCACATAATTTCCTGCAGTTTTTCTAAACGGCTCTAAAAAAACAAATGGAGAAATTTAGGTTGTCTACCTTATCCTTGAAGACGTACGCTCCGAGCGCTCTGCGGTCTACAGCGTCCCCCTTAACCATCTCTTCTCCAAACGCTGCCTTTATCCCATTTCTGACATCCTCACTATCATTCATTACTTCATGCCCAACTTTATCGCAATCGATCACCTGGAGAAAGATTACATAAAACACGTTTTTTCTAACAACCGACATCCGCGGCTACAAAGTTTCGTACTGCGCAGTCGCTTGAGAAATGCCATTTTCGGAACCTCCATAATATTACAATTTCTTTGGCTCTGTCCATTACTACCATGATGCCTAATGCCTTACACAAAGACAAAAATCCGCTAAAATAGTTGCAAATTTTTGAGATAAAGGTTTTTAATGATTACCCAAAAATATCCCAATTTTGAAGAATCGTTCTCTGTGAATATAGACAAATTTTATGTAGACTGCTCATATACTACGCCTTCAATTTCATAAACTGACGTCGCTTGGTTCACATAAAAATAGAAACTGTGGTTATTTCAGGGTCGGTCACATTCAAGTACAGGGCCCTGCAGGTGTTTTTAAAATTCTGTAGAATTTGAATTTTCGTGTAGCTAGTGAAATGGTGGTCGAGTCTTAGAAAAACCGTGTTTTAAATCTATACTTAAAACTCACAAAACATCCATTCTTTTGTAAGAAGGCGGAGATGTGGGTTTTCCCAGAACATATTCCTCCGGTCAGGCCAATCACAAACTTATCTCCAACATCAATCTCAGGCTTCAGAGGAGGTCTCAGAAGATGGCCAAGGATCTGACGGCGTCTCGCGGACGAACTTAACTTTATTTCATTCATTAGTTTATCTTCACCGTCGATTAATGAGATCTCATAGACGTCCAACTCGGAAAGTCCTTTCTCGATTCTCCGTTTGTTAACAGCATCTCCGCCCTTTCTCGTCTCCTTGCTTACCACAATACACTCCAGATCTTTTTCTACAATTGAGGGGCCGAAAGGATCCAAAATTGGGACAACGTTTAATTCCAAGCCAGTGCTAACTTCAGAAATAAATTCCTTGACATTCTCAATTCGCTGTTGCACAGGTTCTATCAATTCCCACAGTTTTTTGCCTAGAAGGAAAACCTCAAATATTTAAAACAACCTACTTTTGATCATGTCACCATTAGTAACACCGCATGTAATCCTCCCACTGGCCAACAAAATCGCCGACGATAACAGGACTTTATGACCGTTGTGAATCCGATCAAACGTTCCACCCAGAACAACATTTTTATACCTGTTGACAAGCGGAGTGAAACCAAGATCCTCTTCCGTCAACCCATCATGAAGAATATATGATCCATTCCATTCCTTTTTCCCCAACAATAGTCGAACATCAATCGAAGGACAATATTGGGAGGCAACTGCGTAAAATGTAGGCACAATGTGGAGGTACTCTTCTGAGCTTGGTTGCGGGTTAAACAGGACGTAAAGTTTGTCTCGGACTTGGGGGGAAACCGATTTCAAGGCATCAATAATCTTGTCGCGTATCGGATGCCGCAGCACTAATGTCAACCGCTCCTTCATTTTAGAATCATTTGACTGGGACATTCGAATATAAATCAACGAAATTGAAAGTCCGCGGAAAGAAACGGGTAAAAAAGAAAGACAGAACCACCAAAGAAAGATCAATCTCCTGATAAAATCTAAAAATTACAGCGAAAAAATATCGACACCAGTCTTAAAATGTTTAACGGTACCTTTAGAATGCATACAAATTATCGGAAATTAAACTATTTTTGAAACTTTTTGCAAGAAATTTGTTGAAATGTGTGCCGTTCTCTATTGGAATTTAATTTGTGACATTTTGTAGTTTTTAGGACTCCCGAAACTCTAGGGCCAGGGGGTAAGTGGGACGGGCCGGCCGGGCTCAAAAATGGAACTTTGACAAACGGGCCGGGCCGCGGGCCTGCGGTTTTTTCCGGCCCGGTCCGTCTATTTTACAATGCCAAACCGTTGGCATTCATTGTTTTCGCGCCGGTAAAATTAATTATGTTGTTATAATTGCTGTTTCTGAAGTTCTAAAACGTTTACAAGTCTATAGTTCCCTTAGGTCAGAAAATAACGTTCTAAATTTTTCGTGATTTTTTAAGACCAACTTTATCTTCCAAAAATTCTTCCGAAAGAATTTTGATATCTAAAATCTTTTGGTCAGTCGATAGTGTGTAGACGAAACGTCTAAACGGTGCAGGAAATGTACACTGGATTGAGGCTCAGGGGTCTTCAGCGGGCCGGCCGGGTTCAAAAATGGAAATTTGACAAACGGACAGGGGCCCCTAGGGGTGGCGAACGGGCCTCCTTTTTCAGATTTCAGGCCCGGATTTACAAATTTCCATTTGTGATCTGAAGAAGTCCAGGAAAAAGTTCCTTATTTTGGCCACAACAAAGGTACCCCGCGAACTGCGCCCAAGCTTGGGCACTAAAGTTAGGAAAAAACGCTTCGATCTAGCTGGCACTGAATTACTATAATAGCTCTATAGTTTTAAGGGTACCTACGAAGGCTGTGACGACTCATTTAGTTCCATACGGAGGCAATAAGTTTAGTTCCGGACATGTTTCATCGTATAAAGTGTAAAATCACAGGCTGCAGCCGTTTTTGAAGGGTAAGGTGGTACGTAAAAAGAAGGTACCTCACTAACTAAATCCACTGTCCGGGCATTCACAACGATGAATTGAGCGTGCACGCTAAATTTGGGCTAATTCCGACCAGTTTCCGCAAAGTTATAAGTTGTGGCCAAAATAAGGAACTTTTACCGAAGTCCATATTGAAAGACGTGTCCAGAGGTCCATCCCTTTATTTTACTTTGAATTTCCAGGATCAACTTATCATGGACTGCTTTGAAGATGTGTTATCTTCTCGGTACTGCAGTAAAAGTAAACTGATGGAATTTTTCTCTGAGAAAGCGAAGACCCAAACTTGGAGACAGTTATGGATTTGGTTGGCGGAATCTGAGAAAGAGTTAGGACTTCCACAAATAACGGAGGAAATGATCCAAGAAATGAAAGACCAGAGGGATAACATAAATTGGGATATGGTTCGTTCGGAGGAGAAGCGATTAAAACACGATGTGATGGCTCATAATCACACTTTTGGAGCCGTAAGTGCATTCTAATGTTACATTGCCTTAGTTTAGGTTTGCCCCAAAGCTGCTGGGATTATACACTTGGGAGCCACTTCATGCTATGTACAAGATAATGCAAATCTGATTGAACAACGTCTCGCTTTCGATTATATCATTACGAAGTAAGAGAGGTTTAATTCTGTGATGGTTGTTTTAGATATGCTATTGTTATGAGTCGTTTGGCAGACTTTGCTGAAAAATGGAAGTTTACAGTAACTGTTGGGCGAACTCACTGGCAGACCGCATCCCTTGTTACAGTCGGAAAAAGGGCGATTCTTTGGCTCCAAGAACTAAAGATGGCATTTGACACGGTATGTCACTAAAGTTTACACTCCGTTACGAAAGTGTCCCCGGATGCTTCCGTTGGAAAGAGCGTGTGACAAAACCTAGTAGAGTGGGCAATCCGAAAGTCCAACCTTAGTCGACCGGTCGGTATAGACCAAGGAAAAATTTTTGCCGTTTCAAAAGTGTTCCTTCCCCCTGACGTTTTTTGGGTAATTTGGCTCTGATTTTGAATTGGCCTTCCCCCGTTTCATTCCATAGTGCTCCCTTTTGTACTAGAAAGTGTATTACACCCATTCCTGTCGCATCTTATCCATGTAGTGCTTTTACGAGCCATTTCAGACCTTGTATCTAAGTGCCTCTTATGAAAGATAATATGCCAAACTTCACTTTCTAGTAGAACAGGGAGCACTATGGAATGAAACGGGGGTAGGCTAATTCAAAATCCGAGCCAAATTGGCCAAAAAACTTCAGGGGTCGTGACAATTTTGAAAATGGCAAAAATTCTTCTTTGGCCTATACCGACCGGTCGACTAAGATTGAACTTTCTGATTGCCCACTCTAATAGGTTTTGTCACACGCTCTATCAAACGATAGCATCCGCTTTTACGTACCGCTCGCCAAAATCTAGAAATCGTGGGGGGTAGGGACACTTTCGCAACGGATTGTGTCATTTTATTACTAGATTGTGGAAACCCGAAACAAAGCCAGATTCCGAGGAATCAAGGGAGCTACTGGAACACAAGATTCATTTTTAACGTTATTCAAGGGAGATCATCAGAAAGTCCTCCAACTCGATGAATTAGTTACCAAAAAAGCTGGTTTTGGCAAAAAGTTTTCAATATCTGGTCAAACCTATAGCAGACAGCAAGATATTGATCTGCTCTTCTGTTTGTCCAAATTCGGAGCAGCCGCAGAGAAGGTGGCCAAAGACATCAGATTCCTTCAAAGTCATGGCGAAATACAGGAGCCTTTTGAGGAGAATCAGATTGGAAGTTCGGCGATGCCTTACAAGAAGAATCCAATGAAATGTGAAAGAGTATGTTCACTGGCTCGACATCTACGTAATATGGTTCTCGTAAGTTTTATCTTTTGTTACTTTATCCTTGTAGGATGGATTAAGCACATTGGCCGATCAGGGAATCGAAAGGACATTGGATGACTCGGCTAATCGAAGAATTGTGATTCCACGGGCGTTCCTCTTATCCGACGCCATTTTGAGCATATTGCAGGTATAAAAATATTGTCGTCGTATAAAAATAGTTTAGAATGTGTTCGAAGGATTGCACGTTCCAGTAGAAAGTGTAAAAAGAAACGTGGAACAAGAACTTCCATTCTTAGCCTTAGAGAAGGCCCTAATGCTCCTGACAGAGCACGGAGTCAGCCGACAAGAGGCTCACGAACACATCAGGTCAACTGCCCTGGAGTGTAAACAACGTCAGGCTCATGGTCCAGTCACTTTAAATGATACTCTGGCTAGCGACTTCTTCTCTCCTGTTAGAGAAGCTGTCCTCAAGTTGGGTTCCGATCCATTGAATTTTGTGGGAAGATGCCAGGAACAACAAGAACAGTATTTAAAGGAGGAGTTCTATCCTTCTGTTAATTATTATCTACAGGAGATCAAAATTGAACCTTCTCACTTAGACGTTTAATCTCCAACAATTAACAATTAGTAACAATAAACAAAAACAGGGTCATCCCACACGGGTCTTCACTTGTGTATAATGTTTCATCAATAAGGCGAAGAGTTGTTTCTCATGTGCTGGAAGGTTGGTGGATAACAGAGCAATTTGGAATGGATTCGAATGTTTCAGTCCAGTAAGTAACGGCAACACTGGCTTCCTGTTTGCTCTTAGGTTGTTGGACATTATAAATGGCAAGTCCTAATAAAAATATTAAGTTTGTAAACCCAAATTAATGTCTCTACCATATTAATCTTCTTCGATCCTCCAAGCGCCTCCATTAAAAATTTTAGTGAGTGTTCCAAAAGAACGATTCTTTCTCCATCATAATCAGACTTCTTAGCCAAGAACAAAAAAGAAATAAGGTCCGACACATATCCGCTTAAAATCCCATATTGATGTAAATAATTGTCATAACGACGAATTATAGAAGTCAACAGATTGCATTTGGCCATAGCAAAGGTAACCTTCTCTTCTGTTACCGGCTGCTTCAAGAGACTAGGACAATGAATAATCTGGACACAAAAATTGAGAAACGAAGAATCGGCCATTATATTCGATGATTTGTCCTAGGAACTCAATTTACAGCTTACTAAGACTTACCTCTGTGATAACATACAAAAGTTTCATTGATTCGGTCCGCAAATCTTCCATTTCCATTAGATGACATAACTTGCCCGTAATCGGAAATTTAAAGCCAGGTCGATATAAAACCCATGCTCTTATAACGCCCAAAATATAAGAATATTTGTCGGATGAGAAGTCCTCCGGATTCAAGCTTGAAATCATATCGTTCAACTAAACTAAAGGTAAATAAAATCAACTGTTACTTGCCTTAATATTAGAAACGTTCCCTGAAGCTGCAATAACTGCCTTCACCCGTCCTCTTGCATACAAATTCGTTAGATGTCTCCAATTCAATGACTCCGCACTCTCATTTTCCAAGGATTTATTTACATCCGCATTGATTTCAGGTTCAGGTTCCAGGGAAAGCACGTAAGAGATAAGCGAAACGCCGAAGGTTTCGAGGAAAATGTCTTTGTGGGCAGAAACAAAAGACTTCACAACATGAACATACGCGTTTTCCATTGATTCAAAATATTTTAGTAATTCCAGAGTTTGTTTAACGTGACTTTTTAAGACGTGTTCCTCATTTCGATGTAGCAGACAACAAGCCAGTTGGAAGATCAGACAATTTTTCGCATCCTAAAATGAAAAACTAATGGTATGTAAACACTTACAGGGATACTCTCCAGCTGTCTCCACTGGGATAAACTGTCGTCAACCTCATAAAAGTATTCAAATGCGACAACTTGAAATAATGAGTGGCACAACAACGCTGAAGTGTATGACGACGGCTCTTTTACCACAAATCTCTCAAACAAAGCGACAAATCTGAATTTCACTAGCTCTCTGACCTTTCCTGAGGTAAACAAATTCACTTCGGATATGACTTCGTTAACTAACTCAGCATTTTCCCTAAGAAACAATAACCGAGCCTGTTCTTTAGCACTTACTTCACATTTTCACCTTTCTCAATATGATCCAGATGCTTTCTTATCTCAGAAAATGCGGCTAAAGGGCTCATCTCCGTAAAAACCGGTCGAGATATCGAGTGAGGACGGTCGTACGATCAACACGCCGATTTATTCTTGGAAAAAATATTTTTGTCAAAATCTCGAGCTGCGCCCGGGACTTTTGAAAATCTTGGTGGTATATTATACGGAAAAAAATTAAAATTAAATCGAAATTTTCTCAAAAACTAAATGTCTGATTTTCGAAATTTTTGCGGATTATGAAGGCCCATACTTGAAAGCATAAATCATCCTAAAATGAAGAAAATCCCACGTTAAAATTTGGCGTGCGATCAACAAGTTCAAGGAAAGTTGGCGCGCGAAACATTGTGTTGTGACATTTCGTCTGACTTCAATCGATACTAGGTGGGCGAATCGCCGCAAAGAACTCGTTGGGACCACGCGTGCAACTTTCATATAAATTTATTGGAAATTGTAGTTGACTACAATAGCTATGAACAGAGATTTATACCAAACGCTTAGTTTTGGTACAGCTAAAAGTAGGAAAAGAAAGCAGTTGGTATCTGAGGACTTGGTTGGCCCGCTTTCTGCAATTGCTTATAAGGAATGCGATAAACCTGTTTCCAAGAAGAAGAAGAAGAATATTTTTGAGGACGAGTTGACCGCTACTGAGCTCTTTCTGAAAACGAGGAGGGTTGATGATGCACGGGAAATTACTGTGACTGCGAAGTACGATGGAGTATGGTCGATTTTGTTTAACTCGTATATTCAATTTTTAGGCCCAAAAGATCCGAAAGGCGAACAAAATTTTTGTATGGGGAGAAGATATACCTCACCCAATGATAGATTTTAACGAGTTGCGCCTACCAAAGGAAATTATGGAGAACTTAAAGGCTTTTAATATTAATGTTCCAACCCCAGCCCAAATGCAGGTGATTCCTTTGCTTTTTGAGAAACGAGATTTGCTTGTCAGCGCCCCAACCGGATCCGGAAAGACGATGGCCTTTCTGTTACCTATTGCCAAGCAAGCCTTGGATGTTGGAGTAAAGAAAGACGAATTGTTTTCCATTTTTGTTGCTCCCACTGCAGTGTTGGCGGAACAGGTAAGTTTTTCTAAACTTGGTTAACACCGTACTTCAGATTTTTGAAAATGTAACGCAGCTTATAAAGGGCCTTCCCTTGAAGGCTGTTCTCGTCACTTCAGAAAAAAAACCTGGCTTGGGTAAGACGTTAGTTTCAGAAAGAGCTGAAACATATTGATTCAGGTAATTTTGTTGTTTGCACCCCAAGCAAGTTTATTAACTGTGTTAAACATGGACTAATCAAAAAGGATGCTCTCGAGAATACTGAATGGCTTGTGGTTGACGAAGCGGATCGACTTTTTGACACGACCGAGGGGAAGAGGAATTTCAGAATTCAGGTAGCTAATCTTAGTATTTATTCTAATAGTAGAAGTTTGCAGTTGGGTGAAATTTTTAAAATGACCGATTCTCCGCAGACAAGACGTGCCTTCTTCAGTGCGACTTTCTCGGCTGTGGTCGAACGATGGTGTAAAGATAACTTAATGGATGTCGCCACAGTTTGTGTCGGCCCTAGGTATGTATTGTTACATGGCCTTTGCTGAATTTTTCAGAAACACTTCCAATTCCGATGTTGTCCAGGAGCTGAAGTTCTCGGGCGATGAGCATGGAAAGATGTTTTTGGTGGAGGATATTCTTCGCGAAGGCTTTGATCCACCGGCCCTGATCTTTGTCCAGAGTAAAGAAAGAGCTGGGGAACTATTTGTTCAACTCCAGAAAGGTTTTCCACATATTCCGATGAGATTGATGTCAAGTGAATTGACAACAGAGGCCGTAAGTATACTCCGCGCATAAAGTTTTGACCCCAAATACTGACAACTTACAGGGGAAGTACTCCAAGTGCGACGCTCAGATTTTGATGAAACTTGGCACAATATTTAGAATAATTTTTTCTAAGATATATGCGAGAATCTCAGCTCACGCTTTGCAGAAACAATCGAGATTTTTAGGTCGAAAGTCGGCGAAAATTTAGGACTTTTTGCCGAATTTCGGCACGAAAAGTTTCATGCCCATTTCTACCGTAAAGAATAATGTTTCTGCAAAAAATCAAATTTTTCCGCACGAAACTGCCAAAGTTATGGACAAAAGGCCTTTTTCTCTCTGACCGCTCTCCACGTTTAGCGTGCTCTCTCCGCGGCAAAAATCGTTCGATATCTCGGCGGCGCCCGCAAAGCGCGAGCTAAAACTTTCAGGAATTGATTTTTAATCCATACCGGACGTGTGTGAAAAATTTAAAGAAAATCTGAGCGTCGCAGTTGGAGTACTTCCTCTGTTAGTAACAAAAAATAGCATAGCAAAACATACGAAATCCAGGGGCAATTTTCAAAAATCGCCTTAAAAAATCAGGAAAATTTTTCGAAAGCCATCGAAAGAGATTCCGAGTAGAAAGAGACCGCCAACGTGGAAATAGTGGGTAACCAATTACGAGGATTTCGAATGACATCCATTTTTTCTGAAGTGGTTTCGAAGGTGTTGATTTCGAAAATATAAGAGTGAAGAAATAAGATCGCACCGGTCGTTCCGAAGCGAAACGTTAAAAACGCTTTCCTCACTTTTTTTTTTTTAAAATAGAATGGAAAAAATGAGGCCGACATGAGAAAAAAAGCTCGGGAAAGCAAATTTAGCGTCTTTTTCAAAATCTGAAAACCGGTCTTATTTCTTCATTTTTATATGTTACTTTTTTCTGATTTTTAGTTTTTTTTCTTAAGTAGTACTGGTAAATTAAGAATAGTTTTTTTTTTGTTTTCCAAAAGGCTACGTGACTGATCAGTGTTTCCGCACAGAGAATTATCAGATGTATGGATTTGCTTCTCATCCAGACTGATTGGATTATTAACGCCCTTTAGGGACAGCATATTACGAAATATAATTTAAATATGTAAATAGTAGCAAGTGTTAAAAAATGCGTTTTTTGAGAGTACTAGGCACCACCATTAACGCCTAAAGTCCAAATTTTCACCTTGTATTAGGTCGTGACCAGAGATTGCCAACGCCAAATTTGCAGCTCCGGCTCCCGGCTCCGTGCAAACTTTAAAAAAATGTCTTCGGCTCCGAATCCCGGCTCCTATGCAAAAATTTTTTTTAAAATATTTTTTCGAAAATAAAATTTATTAGTGCCGTCTGGTCAAACAGCCAACGTTTTTGCAGCCAAGCTAAAAAAAAGGACTCTCGCACACTAGTCATCAAGTTTGGCCATTTTGAGAATCTTTTACAACCGCCTTGACCCTACTTACGACCTAGGTTGTAGGCTTGGTCAATCGAGCGGATAGGGTGACCTATCCGCTCGGAACTATCCAGGTTGCCCTACTGAAACTCCGACGAGACCAGCACCTTCGAAAACTCCAAAATAAATATTTCAAAAAATTTTTTTTTTAACACTACTGTTTAAAAGACGATTTTTGGCTCGCTGCGTCAGCCCGGGACATTCAAAAAAAATTTTTTTGAGTTTTTTGGCCTAAAATGTTGGTATGGGTCACTAAAACACATTCCCAAAATTTTTTTGCCCAGTGATGCCCGGAAGGTAGAAATTTGCATATGGTTATAACCGTTCTTCTGAGCTCTGCTGTTGCCGTCGCAATAAAGACGACTTGACGAAACCGACACCATATAGGTTTTGGTGGATGGCGAATTCAAAAATCGCAATTTCAAGTTAGTAGGATTACTGTAACATAAAGTTTTTGACCTTCGGTCGATAAAAATCGACCGTATCTCCTTCAAATCAAAAATCCCACAAGATTTTATTGCAGATTTGGAATCAGCATAAAATTCTGGTCTAGGAACATGTAATTTGCATCCTTGATTCCGTGGCAGATAAATCATGGCGCAGTGGGTTTTGACGAAAACTAGTAATCTGACGACCCTGGTTCGATCCCCGCTGGAGACAAATATTGTAAAAAATGTGGAAATGACATTTAATGTAATTATGAGGGTTATATAAGCAACGCTAAGTATTTTTAGACATCAATGGAACATGGATTTGAGGTTAGAACAGGGTTTACATTATTTTAGTCTCGGAATCCGTGAAAAATAAAACTGCTTCAAACGGGCTGAAATTGATAACACCTATTCTAGGCCTAATTCTTAGAAACTTTTACGTTAACTTTTTTTTGTTAGATTACTGTATCGTGGATTACGGTAACATAAAACCCAATTTTGTTTTTTCATACCATAAGGCGCAGAGCCATCGGAATATCACGAAGATTGTAGGAATGGTTAAGAACGAGTGGGTTTGCGCATTAACCCTTTCCGGACGAGTCGGCACGTACTGGTAAAAATGAAAGAGGGTACCCTACTGAGTAACGGCATAATAGTGGTTCAGCCCATCGAAGCGTTATTTGGGACTTATGACAAAAAATGTCCTAAAAAGTACCCCCACTTGACATATGACTTTTAAAATTTTTGCGACAAGCTGTAAATTAGAAACTACCCCTAAATTAAAGTCGACGAGTCCTAGTATTGTTACATCCAAGAACCGTCCAAATCGGAGCTCTATAGGATTTGTTATCGATTTTTGGAAATTGAATTTTTAATTTCGGTCAATTTTGGACCTAAAATCAAGTATATCTTCCGCCGGTATCAACCATTTCGGTCCAAATGTGGTTTTTCCGAATCTATTATGATGCTAGCTTCTTCCTAGAATGATTTCAGAAAAAACCTATGAGGCATATTTCTGTAAAACGCGAAAATGTTGAAAGTGTAAAGGTTTGATCGTATAAAATGTCGCCGCGAAGGGACGGGCGCACGGCAACCCGAAGTGTTTCCTGGCTCCTTTCGACATTTCGCCCATTTTGTATCGGTTAAAATCAAACGAAATGTCACAAAAGAATTTTTCGTGGGTTTTCCGACCGAAAAATATTTTTCTCGGAATTATTTTATTTCTTTTTTCAATTTTGACACTTCGTTTGGACGAAACTCAAAAGTGGGCGGGAAACATTTTTCTTCTATTTCGGGTTGCCGTGCGGGCGCAGCTCGAAACGAAAAAATAACAATTTTTTCTTCGAGAAATATTATTTTAGTGTCAAAAAGCTGATTTCAACACAAAATACCGGCAGAAATAGCACGCAAACATTACCTAAATGTCATTTTTATATTTTTACTCTGTTTTCAGGCAATTTCAATCGAGTTTAATTTGGTTTCACGCTAAAATCAAACTTCTCAAAAAATTTTAAAATATTTTCTAGTTTCGAGCTGCGCCCATCCCTTCTCGGCTCGCGGCGACATTTTATACGATCAAACCTTTACACTTTCAACATTTCCGCGTTTTACAGAATTATGCCTCATAGGGTTTTTCTGGAAATATTCTAGTAAGAAGCTAGCATCACAATAGATTCGGAAAAACCACATTTGGACCGAAATGGTTGATACCGGCGGAAGATACACCTGATTTTAGGTCCAAAATTGACCAAAATTAAAAATTCAATTTCCAAAAATCGATAACAAATCCTATAGTGCTCCGATTTGGACGGTTCTTGGATGTAACAATACTAGGACTCGTCGACTTTAATTTAGGGGTAGTTTCTAATTTACAGCTTGTCGCAAAAATTTTAAAAGTCATATGTCAAGTGGGGGTACTTTTTAGGACATTTTTTGTCATAAGTCCCAAATAACGCTTCGATGGGCTGAACCACTATTATGCCGTTACTCAGTAGGGTACCCTCTTTCATTTTTACCAGTACGTGCCGACTCGTCCGGAAAGGGTTAATAGTTCGTTTATGGCCGTATGTTTTGAAATACCTGAATTATCTAACACAATATCACCAATGGATGATGAGATTAATTCAGACTGAAAATGAGTTCGAATTGCATTTTAAATATGAGGCATGCCGGCTTTCTGCCGTTTGAATAATATAGCCAAAAAAAATTTAATTTTATGCGGAAATTTTGAAGAAATCGCCTTTAAGGAGGCCGAGCTTTTTGTTACCGTAATCCACGATACAGTAATCCAACAAAAAAAAGTTAACGTAAAAGTTTCTTAGAATTAGGCCTAGAATAGGTGTTATCAATTTCAGCCCGTTTGAAGCAGTTTTATTTTTCACGGATTCCGAGACTAAAATAATATAAACCCTGTTCTAACCTCAAATCCATGTTCCATTGATGTCTAAAAATACTTAGCGTTGCTTATATAACCCTCATAATTCCATTAAATGTCATTTCCACATTTTTTACAATATTTGTCTCCAGCGGGTATCGAACCAGGGTCGTCAGATTACTAGTTTTCGTCAAAACCCACTGCGCCATGATTTATCTGCCACGGAATCAAGGATGCAAATTACATGTTCCTAGACCAGAATTTTACGCTGATTCCAAATCTGCAATAAAATCTTGTGGGATTTTTGATTTGAAGGAGATACGGTCGATTTTTATCGACCGAAGGTCAAAAACGTTATGTTACAGTAATCCTACTAACTTGAAATTGCGATTTTTGAATTCGCCATCCACCAAAACCTATATGGTGTCGGTTTCGTCAAGTCGTCTTTATTGCGACGGCAACAGCAGAGCTCAGAAGAACGGTTATAACCATATGCAAATTTCTACCTTCCGGGCATCACTGGGCAAAAAAATTTTGGGAATGTGTTTTAGTGACACATACCAACATTTTAGGCCAAAAAACTCAAAAAAAATTTTTTTGAATGTCCGGCCCCTCGTATTGGCTGACGCAGCGAGCCAAAAATCGTCTTTTAAGAAAAAAAGTAAAAGTCATACAAAATGAACATGATTTTTGAAATCTACGCCATCGATTACCCAACTTTTGACATCTACGGGCAAACTTCGAAAGAGGCCTCCGAATCGGGGGTCTCTTTTCGACTCGGGGTCTCCTTTATGCGCGGAGTATAAATCATTTTAATTTTCTTGATTTTTTTAGCGGACTAAAATATTGGAACAGCTAAAGTCAGGAGAGGTTTTTGTGTTAATATGCACCGAGATGATGGGCAGAGGTATTGACATCCCTGAGATCTCTCTTGTCATCAACTTTGACCTGCCCACCTCAGTTGCCAGCTATATTCACAGAATCGGCCGAACCGGCCGTGCCGGAAGAAATGGCAAGGCGATCACTTTCTTTTCTTATGGCGACATAAAAGTGTTGCCTCCCATCGCTTCGATTGTAAAACAAGCTGGCTACGACGTCCCCGAGTATATTTTTGAGATGAAAGTGAATAGGTAGGTTGGAGATGTTTATTTTGGACTGAAATTAGGGATCTGAGAAAATCACTGAAATCGAAAGCCCCTAACAGAGAGGTCTTGGGATCGGTAAAGAAATGGAAGAAAGTGAAGAAAGATGCAATCAAGAAGAAGATCATGACTGGCAAACCCAAATTTATCATGAAAAAAGGTCAAAAGACGAAAGCGAAATCGGGAGATCAAAAGCCTAAGGCCAAGAATCAGAAGAAAGATTAACTTAAGCCACAGATGTTGCAGCATTGAGAGAATTTTGTTGTTGTTGTGTTTGATCCAATGAATTGTTAACCTATCCGATTGCCCTCGACTTTTTTCTAATCGCTAGAGCAATCACTTCGTACATGGCGATATACTGTTCTCCGTTCTGAACCATATTACCTCGCTGGTTACGCAATTCCACGACAGTTTTAGCTACGTCGATAACTGTTTCCTCAGCCAAACAATCCAATAAAAATTCCAGCCCAATATAAACGCCAGTACGTCCTACACCAGCGCTAAAAACAAGTTCGTGTGATTAAGCGGCAAACTAACCTGCAATGAACAAGAACAGGGAACTTCCGATTTGAAGCTCGCACAGCCTCCAGGAAGGCGAGCAGATTTTCAGCCTCGGCCGGGACCGTAGCGTCTCGCCATTCCTTGAATTGCCATTGTATTACCTAAAACATTACACGAAGTATATCAATTTGTTTTTGGAAAAAAATATATTTCTGTCAAAAGCTGAGGAAAACCTGGAGCGGCTAGCCAAACTGTTAGAATGCTTCACAGACAACAGTAACGGTAGCCATTACATCAGTCTGAAATAACGGCGGCGGATCATCGCGCCATGGAATCGCCCCTCATCGCTTTGCGACGGCGGCCTGCAAAAATTTTCCAAGTTTCACCGAGCTCCAAAATTTGGAATGAAAATGTCAAAGGTCAGCACGGCGGCCTCCGGGAACGTAGACCCGCCATATTTGGTGGTCAAAAGATGGTGTGTCTGAGCTTCGTTGTAAAATTTTAGATGACAAGGAATGGCAAAGAAAATTGCACAATGTTGCGTCGAACTGCGCGGCTACAGTAGCCAGAAACTAGCATTGCTTGTCTGGCCGATTCGTGGAAGCGCTGTTATGCACACATCTTACATATTATAGATAGTCCCACCTTTCTCGTTCCTTGTCCTTTCTTCTCCAGCCAGATCTCCCTTTGGAATGATATCTCGTCCTCCGTGTAGCAATACAAGTTCATACTCATCTGGTCGTCTATCTGAATATCTTCTCCGGCATACTCGGGCCAATACATTCCACATTTAGGCTAAAAACAAGTAATGATATAAAACGTCACTTACTCTTAAATTCTCGACACATTGTGTTAAACAGACAATGCAATCAACCTTTTGCTCCCAAATCAGCTTCCAGAAGTCGTATATAGTCGCGTCACGACGTCCTCCAATGGTCTCATTCTCGCCGATGGGGCCTTGGCAGGCAATGAATCTGAGCCTACCTTTGTTATCTTTTATGTAGGAGGCGTTAATGTAATCCTCGGGTCCTTTCAGAATCACTCGATTGTAATCATCTGAACGGTAAGCCTACTGTAACCGAACTTACAAGGCAAAACGTCATAGAATCTATTCTTCCTCATGTTCTTGTGCAATTGAGAGACCTCCATAGAAAACGTAGTGTTGTTCCGCGCCACTTTCTAACAATATTTTAAAGCTTTCCTGTTAACCGTACCTCGTACTCATCATAAAGCCGTTCATTTTCGTTCTCTTGCACCTTCTCCATCCGGTCCGAGCTCCTGTTCATGTTGAGGTTTTTGAGGTGAGGTCGAGGAGGTTTGGGTTTCTCTTCAACTCTATAAAACATGCAAACTTGTCATATGAAATTATATTTACTGTATTGATAGCGTCTCCGCTGGAGATTGTGGTCTTTGTGGGGGAGAGGGGGAAGTCGGAGAATGTTCAGAAACTTCTTGGACTACCACAATACTGCACAATGCTCCGTCAGACTCCGTTTTAGGTGCGTGTGGAGACTCAGGGGATCTCAAGGCTTCTTTCGGAGACAAAGGGATTGGTGATGGCAGGTAATAACTCGGGTTCTTCTCCTTGTGAAACACCGATTCGATGTCAAATTTCTCGGGTATTGAGGTCTGAAAGATATCATCCATATACACAACCTTAGTTTCAACTGTCATTGGACAAACTTACTTTATTAATATGGACTCGTTTCCTTTGTCGCTGCCATGAATAAAGTAAGATGCCGACTGTGACCAGGACCACCAGGACCAGTCCTAATCCCACTAACAAAAATATGAGTGCCAATTCTGAAAGGAAGTCATCATATTTTCGAAGTGGAAATACCTGCATTTTCTGGCATGACAATTATATTGAGAGAGATCTGCAGCCCTAATCTAAATCAACAAGCCCATCTGAGAGTCTCTGAGGAAGAATGAGGTCAAGAACTTGATTAGACGGCAGATTATACTCACCTTCCATCTTTTCTCGCCTCTCACCATTTACCCGGCGAATCTGACGCCTGGAATTGGGTTATGTAGCAGGACAATCAAATAAATACAAGCCGCGTCATATTGCGCTTCGCCATTGTTTGTAAATGCTGACAGAAGTGAAAATGGTTTGGTATCAATCTATTGAACCCGGGTCCGTGTCTGTCCTTTCAAAATGTATAGTAGTAGTATATATCCACACCCAAAGGAGTATTAAAGGAAAATGATCCACATCCGGTCAAGGGAATACTTCTTTTTCTAGTTTCTCAACGTAAATGACCCCAGGCATAAAAGGTTACACAATTGGGCTGCGTTTTTCCAACGAGCCACCACGGTTTAAGCCATCTGAAAGGGGATTTTACAGTCAAATCCTGCCCCAAAGAGCTTTTAAAACAGTTTTTACGGGCTTTATGATTGTTTTTGTGAGATTGTACAGCTATCTCCAAAGGCGGTGATGGGTATCAGGGAACCATTCGGCGGGTGCGTCTTTCGGCTGTCAAGAGGCACAGCTAGATCGAGATAATCAGACCAGCCAACTTCGAGGGCCGCCACTTGAACTCACGCGATTTGAAGATGAACAATATTTATTTTGGAAGTAATTAAAGCTCTGGGACCTGATTTAAAAATTAAAAAGGCACAATCTGAACCTCGTTTCCGAACAACAAAGGCGTCAGCTAGGATATGGCAAGATCAATCACCTTATGACATTTTCTATAACATAATATTAGACTTTATGTTTGGCTGCGGAGATGGGAATGGCAACGAGAGAGTCGGAACGACTCGATTTCTCCAACGAGTATTTACGTAGCACCGAGAAACATCTTAACACAACTCTGAAGCACCATGACTGAGCGAGAATGGCCAAAGTCATCACCGCCAACAAAGAGACCAAAAATAAGTTCAAACTTCTGTAGTCGGTCGTAGATTTGAAAGTATTGTATTTACTTAGTTTTTGTAGCCCTAAATTCACGATTAGATTTACGAATTAATTGTCATGGTAAAAAATTCTGGGAATCAAAATCTCACCTTGTTCTCCTTTTTTGGAATCTTCATAAATTACCAAATCAAACCTCACGGAGGTGCCCCCGATCAAAAGAAACATAACATAACCCACAAGGAAAGTCCATGACGCAATTACCGTGAACTAAAACACAGAATATGATTAGAAGTTTATAATGCTTTGATCAAATCACTTACTTGCATCAGAAGATGGGGGATCAAGAAGAAAGCGGACCATCGTTTAATCCCAATTAGAAGAAGAATTATCGCTAAGGTGGCCAGAGAAAGACTGAATATCGACAAAGTGAACGCGAATGAGTAATCATCTCCAACTTTATCGAATTTAAAAAACGCCACTGTTACCTAAAATCTGCTCATTGAAGCAAAAATTCGAAAAGTGTCACAAAATTTTGAAAAAACATACGTGATAGAGGATTACAACAACTTCGAATATGGCAATCAGGCAAGCAGCAGTCTTTACATGCATCAAACTGAAGCAGCACCGCTCTAGAGGAATATTGGACTGATCATCTGAAGCGGCTTTGTCTGGCTCCACACCCATAGAATACTAAAAAATGTCTCCTTCAAAGTTATAACGTTGCAGAAAACGATCAAAAGACGGACGGCCAGCTGTCTAATAAAAGCAAACAGGTCCCGCTTCTATAACGACATCATAAGTGAGAGCCCACTTATAGAATAAGGACTTTATTCCTAAAGAAAGGCCCCAAAAAGAGATACTCTAAAGCCCTTGGATAATCAGATAATTCCGAGGTTATTTGGGATAATTCCTTGATGAATGGGATGAAGAAGGCGACGTGTGATGGAAGGGGAGAAGACGATACCTCTGCGCGGACCTCGTTTTTGGTTCTTTCTCTCTTACCATGAAGATGACCTTAGATTCCCTCGCATTTCGGACCCCCTGCAGAAAAGTTGAAACGAATCGGCGAGAGATTGAATAACGTCGACGGCACGAGGTATCGAGAGGCTGATCACGTGTCAAAAAGACAGCGGTTTTTGTTTCCAGATGTGCGTCGTATCGCCGTTTTCAGTCACGTCTTTGTATTGAACCCTATGTCGAAACCGCTAAGAAAAGAGGACAACAAATCAATAAGGTCGGAAAATAATCAAAAGAAACTAATATTCGAAAAGTTAGAAAAAACGAAAAATTTATCTACTCCGATCCCGACAGAATACTCTTTACTCTTTCCGTTCCGTTATCTAGAGCGTCGAGTAACCGAGATCGTTCGGCATAAAGTAATCAAGAATGAAGAACACATAACTGATAGTCATCAGCCCTCGATCTCTCATTTACCAACTGATGACATTAGATGAATCTGTGAAAAAATATTCGAAATCAGTTTGTAAAAACACTTGATTCATGTTTCTTCATTTCCAGAGTTTTTACCGAATATTTGGGGTGTTTTCGGAAACCTGCAGTATTTTGGTTGTTTTACTCACACATGGGCCCATGTGTGAGTAAAACAAGAAAAAAGATGCATGGGGGGTAGCTACCCGGAGATATATTTCTGACCACCCTTTAGCCCGGTTGCAACTTTCCCAACCGGCCGGTTGAGAAAGGCTACATGTTCCAAATTTTAACTGCACTATCGAAGAGAGCTACAAAACATTAGGTAAAACGATATCCTATATATTTGAAATAACTGCACTTTAAAGTGCAGTTTTTTGGAAATTTTCCAGAAAATAGTGGACAAAACTTTCTGATCATTTACTAGGGAAGTGGAGAAACTGACCCTCGCCAAATGATAAGTGACATACATCATTATTGAAGAACCCTTGAAAAATGTTACCATTTTAATCTTTTGTAGGATACCTTTGCGACGACATACTGTAAATTTGATTATTTTTAGGTCATTTTGCAAAAAACAATTTTTTATGTTCTTACAGTTAGGAAAATATATATGCGTTAAACGTTTACAAACGTTTTAAAATGATTCTTACGATTAGGCCAACGTAGTAGCAATACGTACCATTTAGCGTTTTGAAATGACATTTTTTTTGCCCCATATCAGATTTTGTAACTACTAAACTTACAAATCAACCGCTCATAATTTCTGTCTTGGGGCATTCTGCAAAAACTGAAAGTAGTTTCTAACACTACTTTTCAATGTTATTTGGTGAGGGTCAGTTTGTACACTTTCCTAGTTAGATAAATTATTCGCAACTGTCGATAAATGTTTGCCAGGGGGCTAAAACTACTGTATAGCACATACATAGACACGTATATTTATGGCAAAAAATCGGGGAATAGTAACAAAGGTCGCAAAGAATTGTGTATTCTGCGTATTACGCGATTTTGTTAGTATACGTCCAAACTGGCCGAAATTAAACATGGTTTAGCACTACCCAATGTAGACTAAAGTTATGTTAGTGCCGAGCCTGAGACCTTGAAACGATACCCAAAACTTTAGGATTTTTTTTGGCAAATTTCTAATTTGAAAATCGGAATAACTGCGTGGTCCAAAAAAAGTATGACGGCAAAAACCTTTAAACAAGATAAGAACTTACCTTTGCGTAACGCCATCCCTCCCTTAGGCAGAAACGGACAGTAAAACTGTCAGTCATGGTAACTCCTACAACCTTACTCAAATAAACCCAGAGTGACCAGAAGACTATCGAAACCTCAAGCACAGCTAATTTGCAAGACAATTATCCCAGAGTAAAAAAATCGCTAGAGACCGCTCCATACCGCCTTAGTTATTTTTACAAGGATCTTACATTATGCTCCTTTTTATTTCCATATTCATCACCAATTCTGATTAGGGGCTTGCTTTGCTCGGATTCAGATGTGGAAATGCCGCTTCGGAACTCTGATGAGGACGTGGACTCCATCTTCAACCACAGGATAATTAAAACCAGCAATAGTCCGTACAATAATTCTTTCGAGAACTCGTTGATGGAAACACGCCGTAAAAGCGATGCCCGACTTATTTTCGGGTCGAGATTCCACGAGATCCCCAATTGATTAGAACAATTTCTCCGCTTTCCATTTAACCGTTTTATGCTGTTACCGCGAGAGAGAAGCGACTCTTTTTATTATCGTCATTTATGTACAAATAGTTCCACAAAAAGTTTTATGCCCTTAACCGGTAGTGATCTGGGAGACGCATGATCCCAGGCTGTAAGTTGACCATCCGTTACTCAAACAAGTCGAGGTCGTGCTCCCGAGAGAATAGAACCCCATATTACATTGGAGACTGGCGGTGGTACCGATTGGGTAGGTTCCGGTTAAGGACGGGAGGTTTGTATAAGAAACAATACCATTTACACTGTTTGGAAGACTGTAACAACTACCTAGAAAGAACGAGATAGTCATCCCAAGTTCTTCCAGACACTCACTTACTAATACCGGAGCCTGCGAGACTAGAGGTCGATCCGGTCTGGGAAGATAAACAAGCTCCTAAACTTGACGGACTGAACACTCCGTTCTGACAATAAGATGTTGTCTGACCATAAGGAGTATACCCGATATCACATGAAAGCGTGGCACTGGTTCCCGAGGGGAACGGACCCACCGAACTGCCTTGTGAATACGTAATTCGGCCATTAATTGGGGCAACAAGACCAATAATACATTGGCTGAAACCTCCATTTGTAAAGCCATTGAGTCCAGTGAAGCCATTCACCCCCGTCTGAGTCTGTCCTAATCCCTGGCACGGCCCTAAACTCGATGGAGACCACACTCCGGCAGAGCACATCGCTGTCGACTGTCCACTTAACGGTTGACCAGATGCGCAAAGTAGAGTGGCGGTAGTGCCGGACGGGAAGGGACCGATGTTACCTCCCTGAGAGTACTGTACACTGCCACCGAGAGCAATCGGTCCCGAGATACATTCGTTCCCGCCAATTCCGTTTGTCGTTCCTATCCCACCATTCGTATTTTCACACCCTTGGAAGGTTGGAGGGAGCCATTGGCCATAGGAACAAGTGGCACTTGCTGGACCTGGAAACCTTTTTCATAGTTATATTACATTTCCATTGACCACAAAAATAGAAACTTGCCAATGGAGACCCCTTGTGTGCACGTTAATGTGGCAACGGTTCCTTGTGGGAACGGTCCCACGCCCAGGCCGGTCGAGTACGTGACTTGGCCATTCAGAGGTGGTGTAATTCCAAGAGGACAAACCGAAGCCGTAGTTCCGAATCCGTTAATAAGATTGCTGGTCAGTCCGTTTTGATAGATACACTGTCCGAGCGGGGGATACCACTGTCCGGATCGGCAATAAGTGGTGCTTGCCCCGCTTACCATAGATCCTAAATACAGTATTAATGTATATTCTTGCAGTTATAATAGTTTCCGCTTAAAGATGGCGAGCTGGAAAAAACATCGAATTGGAAACCCATTAAAAGACTCACCTGACTGACAGATGAGAGTAGCCGAAGAACCCTCCGGATAGGAACCGATCGTGTTCGTGGAACTGTATTGAATTTGTCCATTGATGGGAGTAGGCTCGGCCATACAAGACATACCACCCAGAGCAGTCCCAAATCCTCCAAGGGATCCAATGCCTGGGGTTGTCCCTATTCCTGCAGTACAAGGTCCCAGACTGGATGGATACCAGACTCCATTTTGACAAAGCGATGTAATTGTACTCGTTTGAGATGAGTACCCAATATTACACAATAAAGTAGCGGTTGTGCCAGTAGGGAAAGGACCGGCGGTCGAGCCGGATGAGTAAACAATATTCGAATTAAGGGTTGCGATCATTGGCAGACAAGTACTTCCACCGAAACCTGTCAATCCCGTTACTCCTTGGGGGTTCATCCCATTTACTGTACTCTGACATTGCCCTGATATCAGGTTCTTCACACGTTAGTCACCTTACCTAAAGGCGGTGTCCAAGCAGTGCCACTACAATATGAACTTGAACTTCCAATGGGAGTAAAGTCACTGTTGCATGTTAGAATTGCAGTAGTACCAGAAGAATAAAGAGAAGTGGGGTTGGATTGGATGTAATTTATTTGACCATTGATAACCGACAGAGGCAAACAAGACCCTGATCCAATTCCCTGAATATGCGTGAAAATAAGAAAACGCAAAAGGAAGAGCAAGAAAGGAATATCCACAGAGCCTAACATAACATTTGAGGCAACGCTTAAAATGAAACTTTTTAGCAAATAAACCAGTTTTTACAGCCGTTTCAGTTTTAATAAAAGTAGCTCAATTGATAGGATTCCGACACGCCCAGAAACAGATTTCCTAACTCTGTTTTCACAGCACATAGGTTCCCATGAGTCACGTCTGATATAATACGATTAGCCACTACCCTAAAGTTTTGCAAATAACTTCAGCAAAAACAATGCCAAAGATGAAAGAGCAAGCTAATTCTTACACATACCAAGATTTGTTTCTTTATACGACTCATAGCCTCATCCTGAATGAAATAGATAAAGATGAGAACAATTTCATGAGGACAAAGTATGACTTACCTCCTCGCAAGACCCGAATTTTTCTGGCTTCCAGCCCTCGTCGTTGCACGTGATTCGACTAACGCCGTTCATCATATATCCAATGTTACATGTTAATTCAGCAATGGCTCCTACTCCAAAGGGACCATTTAAATCACTGACATATGAGATCTAAAACTTTACGTCCATTCCCGGTTGTTGGTACCATTGCCTGATAACAACAAAATTTCTTACCTGAGCATTCGGAACTTCCGCTAATGGTTGACACTTCTGCCCTGAGGCTGAAATACAACCCCCGAATTCAGTCCAGTTCCCATTATTTTGGCATTTTGTTACCAGATTTCCGGAGGGTACAAATCCAAGATTACACAAGACAGTTGCCTCGGTATCCGGGCGAAATGGGGCCAACCCAAGAGGGGAATAAACAACGAACCCATTAGAGACATTGGTCAACGAAGGACAACCACTGACAGGGGTGGTCCTACTCTCAACGCCTGAGGCATCTGAGGGAAAGAAAGGCAATTTTAAAAGAGTCAGAAATTAAACCGAACAGAAGTAAAATGCAATGCTAGAAATAATACCTCGCGCTAACAACTCGCATGGAATGAACTCCTGAGGTCTCCATCCCGCAGATGTACATCGTATCCTTCGAATATTCCCGTTATGGCATTGTAATGTGGCCAGGGCTCCTGGAAGAATCCCTCCGTTTTCATTCCTGTCATCTGAATAAATAATCTGAATGGGTATCCTCTTTAATAATAAATTTACTTGGCCATCAGTCCTCTCGGAGAAGTAATCGCATACAATCTTTTCGTCTTCATCCACAGCATCGGCCCCATAAATGGTAATAATGAGAACAACAATTAGTTTATTCATGTCAACGGTACAACGGCAGCGATTGTTTTAAGCGCTCGAGAGAGCAGAACGAGTAATTTTTGTGGAAAGAGAACCGGATCCAGCTTTAGCCTGAGGTAAGTAAGCGAGCAGGTTGGGATACGGGAAATCCCCAGATTTCAAAATTTGGAGATTTAATTGTTTGAGAAGGCGAGTAGCTGGTTAGTCAGTGAGATCTGTCTGTCCTCCCAATTGAATGCAAACGGTTTGCCATCTCCATCAAACTCGAACCGATGGAAAAGTTCTTCAGCTATGGATGAACGGACCAATCCAAAGTCATCAAAAGGGGCGGGGTGATATAATCGACCATTCGGGAACATACAAAGTTTATCCGGCTAAAAAATAAAGAATACTAGTAGCAATAGAAACAAAACAAAATGAAGCGACTTTACCTCAAAAAGAACCTTCCTATTCGAATTGTTAACAATCCAATTACCACCTGACTTGTCCAATTTGGTGAAAACGTAGGGTCTATCATCACATCGGAGAAAACTAAGTTCGCCCATGCACTTGCTGAGATATGGAAACGCTTCATAAGACCCGGTTTTGTTAAATTCCAGTCTACGCAAAAAGAACGTGAGAAAAGTTTTATCTGAAGATACGGTAACCAGTTCATAGTAAACTATGAAATCGGCTTAATCCAAATCCGGCTGGTTCCTATCGAGTACTCATGTAGATTACCCACCTTTGAAGCATGATGTAAAGTTTTTGATCCTCGCATCGTCTAAAAAAAGCTGTCCCTCATGATCAACGAAATAGAAATAATGTCTGACACCGCTAACAACCTCTCCTTGTGTGTAACCACGGAAAAAATCGAGATTGACTTTGTTTCCAAACTTTTTCAAAATCATCCTCGGCACTGCAATTTGTCCAAAATAGCGGAACCAGGAAAACACGGCTGCTCTACATTTTGCAGATTGAATATTCAGGGATACCATTACATGGCTAGCTAGTCGATGAGTTGGAATGGGAGCCAAATTTCCCAAAGAATTTGCTTTGTCTAACCGTTTGCGAGAAATTGGGTGCGATTACATATGATCGGTTAGCTAGTCATGTAATTTTGGTTATGAGTATTCGATCTGCTCAATGTGAGCTTGCCGCATTTGCCCGGTTCCGGAATTGTCGAGTGCGTCAATCGAAATTTGGGATAAAACACACCAATAGACCTACAGTATTTAACAATAACAAAACGAATAACTTAATGGTGCAGGACCTTCCCCAATTACACAGTGATCACCACTGCCAAAAAGTGATAACAAAGAGATAGAAAGCACACGTCTGGATGCTCATCATGATTGACTAAATTCAATTGAAAAAAAAACTTATCCAAGATTGGACTTGTGAAATTGTTCGGAATATAATCAGAAGGGCCCTTACAATTACTTAGACCAGGCCTAGGTGATTTCTTCAATTACTAAAACGAAAGGAAATATTATCAAAAGAAATAGAAGGTTAAAAAAGAGTACTCATGATAGTGAAAAAAAAAACTATTTTTACTGCGAATATAAGTGGATTACGTGTCTGTATACATAATCAACAATCATCAACAAGTATAGCGTGGAAAAATGATCGGACATAATTCGGAGTATAAGATGTCTTCCTGAAAAGAAATCAAAAAAAATCGAACTTTTCGATGGTTTACACATCGAACATGTAAGCTATATCTTCTTGCTCTTTGATTTTATAGAAAACCTTGTTTTTCATTTATCGTAATGAAAATGCTTATTTTTTATTAGTATTGTAAATTTATTCTGTATCGTCTTTTGTGTTCGTCTTGGTTTCTAAAGGGAGTGTGCCCGAACAGAAAGAGACGGGAACAGAGGGCAAAGTGAGTCGATAGCTGCCGAAAAGGCCAAAAGAGGCCGGGGTCCAATATTGGACTTGCCGCTGGGGGCCGACGTTTAGAGTTGAGAGCCGCGTAGGACACTTTTTGTTCGCCGTGCTTCTGCTTTGTGGTTTTCGTGATTCTCTTCAAGCAAACTGGAGCGATTCCTTGCAGCCGCACCTGCAACTATGCAGACCCTAGAGAAGGCTCTCCATCAGCCGATGCCGTTTACAACCGGCGGCCAGACGATAACTGATCGATTGATTGCTGCCAAACATTCGTTGGCCGGTTCACAATTGGGTAAAACTATCTGTAAGGCCACAACTGAAGAGCTGATGGCTCCAAAGAAGAAACATCTTGACTGTAAGTGCTAGTGAAGGTGTTAATAAATATTATTTTTACGCTTTAGTACTATACTAGTTCATTAAATTCCAGACTTGCTCCATTGCACGAATGAACCGAATGTTTCGATTCCATCAATGGCAAACCTCCTCATTGAACGGACCCAGAATCCAAACTGGATTGTCGTATATAAAGCATTGATTACAATTCATAATCTAATGTGTTATGGAAATGAACGGTTCTCTCAATACCTCGCCTCATGTAATACATCCTTTAACTTAACCTCCTTCTTGGATAAAGTGGCTGCACAAGGTGGGAACTTGGCATCTGGTAAGTCTTGCTATTGTTTTATGTTTATTGTATTTAGGATATGATATGTCAAGTCATGTGCGGCGGTACGGGAAGTATATCTCGGAGAAGATTGCCACTTATCGTTTATGTGCCTTTGATTTCTGTAAGGTGAAGAGAGGACGAGAGGATGGTCTGTTGAGAACTCTTCATACGGATAAGGTGAGTAATGTAATTACTAATTAAAATCCTTGTCTTAATTTAGCTTCTAAAGACGTTTCCCATTCTACAAAATCAGATTGACGCTTTACTTGAGTTCCAAGTAAGCCCATCTGACCTGACGAATAGTGTAATTAACTGTTCGTTTATTCTCCTCTTCCGTGATTTGATCCGGCTTTTCGCTTGTTATAATGATGGGGTGATCAACCTCCTGGAGAAGTACTTTGACATGAACAAGAAGCAATGTCGAGAAGCACTCGACTTCTATAAATCTTTTTTGGTATGTTATTTTTTCTAGGTAACATGTTATATTTAGCTACGTTTGGACAAGGTCTCTGAGTTCTTGAAGGTCGCTGAGTCAGTTGGAATTGATAAAGGAGAGATTCCCGATCTGACTCGGGCTCCAGCCTCACTATTGGAAGCCTTGGAGGCCCACCTTTATCACTTGGAAGGCGGAAGAGGACCACCACCATCTTCTCATCAACAGGTATTTGTATTAATATGATTTGATTGTAGCCTTATGTAGATCGTTACTCAACAACTGGGAGCACAACAAGCTCAGCCTTTCCATTCTTCGAATATGTCAGCAGGAATTGATGAAACAACAAGGCAAAAGTATTTGGAAGAGGAAAAGGAAAGGCTAAGGCAGTATGAAGAACAACGAAAGAAACAATTGGGTGATGGATCCGGTAATTTCTAATTGAAGTGTGTAAAATATTTATACAGAACAAAGTAACCCATTTGGAGGCTCATCAGCTTCGAATGTGCCATCGGGCCAGTCGGATCTTCTCAATCTTTTTGATCCGCCTCGGGCGTCGCATCAGCCCCCTCAAGATGTCAATAATCCCTTTGCATCTTTTTTGGCTGGTCCACCAACTCCACAACAACAAGTTCAAGCCCCGGCTTCCGCCAATCCCTTTGGTCAATTCCAACCATTTAATCAGCCACCCCAAACCCAGTCTGTCGCTCCTCCCCCCATGCCACCCCCACCCACCACTGCCTTCAATCCATTTAGTAATCCAGCTCCGAATCCTCAAGCTCAATCCGGTTACGGTATCTACAATCAGACTCCATACTCCGGACAAGACGGAAGTTACAATCCTCCGTCATTCTTTGACGCACAAATGGCAAACAAGAATGATCAACAGAATGTCGACCAGGCCCTTTCTTCGTTAGTCAATAACTTTTCCATCAGCCATCAGGCCCAAAAGTGAGTTAGAATGACTTCTCTCAATTAGATTTTAGTCCAAATGGGGGTGTTAACTGGGCGGGTGGTCCACCTCCCCAGAGCTTCGGAGCTCCGGGAACCTTCCCCCAGCAACCTCACAACCAACCCGGATTCAATCCATATGCAAACCAGCAATGGCCATCCAATAATCCTTATGGCCAAGCCTTCCAGAATCCTTATCCCGCGTCCTCAGCCCCCTACTCCCAGGTTCCACAAGCGCCTTTTAACGCGCCTAATCAGGCAGGAACTAAAGATCCTTTCTCCTTCTCCTAACTTCCAGCCCCCAGAATGCAAATAATTCGTTCCTATATTGCGTAATTCTTTTATTTAACATAGATTATAATAGCCTTGAATCACTTTACTTAGTGTGTCCTGTATTTTGTAGCAGTAAATTTTACAGTATTACCTGGACGAGTTCGGAATTACTTTTCGTGTAATTTATCGAGTAAGGAACAGATCATTCCTGGGCATTTTTCTAGCTCTTCAATAGGAATAAATTCGTGCTTTGAGTGTGCCGTTGTGATAGAGCCAGCTCCGATAAGATAAACTCCGTCTAGTTTTTTATAGTTGTTGAAGTAAGGGATGTCAGTGTTGAACGCCACGGATTGGCTTTTAAATGGCTCCGGGGGTTCTGTAAAATTTCTTGCTAGTCAATATTCGCTCACTAGTCAAATGAACAGGCTCATTCAGTCCGAGGACGTCGATTTCAACTCTTCCTTTGACAATTGTTTCCACTTCTTGTAACAAACCCGCTGCTGAATCTACCACCCGAAACATGAGGGAGGCTTCAGCATGTCCAGCCAGAGCATTCAACGCCTGTCCTCCTTGAATTAATCCAACATTCAGAGTCGTCTCTCCTAGATCATCATTTCGTGGCCATTCATGTGACCTCAGGTCTTGCAATACATCAAGAAGATTATGAATGGCACTCCGGCCTTTTTCGGGATATCCAGAATGGGCCGGACGCCCTTTTGAAATGAGTCGAATCTACAGATGATTTGATGCGATAAATGAGCCGGACTCACTTTGAGGGCTCCTTTCTGTGCATGGGCAAAGATCAGTTCCGTTGGCTCTCCAACAATAAGATAAGATGGACAGAGATTCAAGTCATTCGCCCGAATCATTCCAACATGATCCGTCTCCTCTCCAACCACAAGTAATAAAGCCACTTGTTTGCTTAATTCAGGAGACTCCTTTTTTAAAGTTCGAAGTGCAAAAATCATCGAAGCAATTTGGCCTGCAAAGAGATACTGTAACGACGAGATAAATGAATTCTTTTTTTCTTTTAATTGTTTTTACCTTTAGCATCGTTGGAACCTCGGCCATAAATACATTCATCTCCTATTCGGTGATGCGTGTACGGGGGGACGGTATCCATATGAGTGTTTAGTAAGAATTTCACATCCGAAATCTCAGCTTTAGTATGCTTAATTAGCAGATTATACCTGTTTTTATGGATCTCAACATCCTGTAAAATCACTTCGAAGCCTTCAAACTCACAAAATTCTTTGATAAAATTTGCTAGCGGTCCTAAAATACTAATAATTCAATATGTACCGTACCTTCACCACCAGTGGTGGACTCAATATTCATTAATTTAATCAGGAAGTCAGTAATCGAAAGTTTTGACATGGTATCCATTGGCTACGCGCTTGAAGTCTAGGTTGCCGGCTTCCAAGTGATCAATAAACACGTGCGGAAGAAAAACTTTTATCAACTATCGGCGCCGAAGCAGAAACGCGGCTATAAATATAAATTTTCTTTACGTTCTTACGATGGACAAAGAAAGGCAAAAATGATAAAATTGTTTAACAAGGGAATGGTCCCAACGATCCGTGGGATCCACAAATGAAACCTAGATATTCTGAAAGAGCAGGTAAAATTTAGTAGGAATCCGTTTTTTCTACTTGCCGAATAAGTCTGTGCGACGAGAAATGTCGTCGAAAAGATCCGACCAAAAAATCGAAAGAGAGAAAAGACGAACCGAAAGGCCTTCGAAGGCGTCACCAAATAGTCTAGTGGAAAAAGTTCCACCCACAAATCTTTTGGGGGAGGGAGTCTTTGGAGGTTCGAGTCCACCCGGAGCGGATATCTCCGGCTTGAACCTACGTGTTCATTACTGTATTCTACAGTTACTAGAAAAATTTTTTTTGTTTGTTGACCTGTTTTGCAAGGTTTGTTGCAAAATTTTAAGAAAAGTTGACACTTCGGCAATATTTTTGATAAGCCCGATGTCGACATAGTGGTATTTTCAAGACACTTCTACTCGATTCTGGAAGGTTGTATAGGATCTTGCAGATCTTTTTCGGTTTCCCAAAAAGGATGTTGCCAAAATCTCACCTTTTCATAAAATTTTGCAAGAACAGTTGAAAAGAGAATTTTTGGGTCCTTGCATCAGCGTGTAGTAGACCCCGTGAATATTTACGAAAAAATCTATTTTGAGTTTTTTGGTTTAAAATGGCCGTGGACATGTGTTTAACAAATGCCCAAATTATTTTTGTCAAATTCTGCCCGGAAGGTATAAATTTGCATAAATTTGTCTTCTTTGGAACTTCGGACCTGGCGGCATCATAAAAAGAGGTAATGACCAGTGATTGCCAAGCCTTCGGATGAAAAAAATCTTGTAAAACGGGTTAAACAAAAAAATTTTTTTTGTATAACTGTAGAATACAGTAATGAACACGTAGGTTCAAATCCGGAGATGTCCGGCTCCGGGTGGACTCGAACCTCCAAGGCCTCCCTTCCCCAAAAGATTTGCGCGTGGAACTTTTTCCACTAGACTACTTGGTGACGCCCTCGAAGGCCTTTCGGTTCGTCTTTTCTCTCTTTCGATTTTTTGGTCGGATCTTTTCGACGATATTTCTCGTCGCACAGACTTATTCGGCAAGTAGAAAAAACGGATTCCTACTAAATTTTACCTGCTCTTTCAGAATATCTAGGTTTCATTTGCGGATCCCACGGATCGTTGGGACCATTCCCTTGTAAGTAAGATTCCAGTTAGATCAAGGTTTGATCAACCATTATACAAAAACATATGGCTATGATATTAGCCTTAAAATGCAAGTGTGCCTAAATCGTTAATGGTTATAATATTACCCCAAATGCGACGCTTAGATTTTCTTTAAATTTTGCACACACGTCGGGTATCAACTAAATATCAATTCCTGAAAGTTTTAGCTCGCGCTTTTCAAGCGCCACCGCGATATTGAACGATCTTTCCCGCCGAGAGAGAACGCCCAACGGGGAGAGCGGTCAGAGAGAAAAACGCTTTATGGCCATAACTTTGGCAGTTTTTTCCTTTCGTGAGGAAAAAATTGATTTTTTGTGAAAACATTACCCTTTACGGTAGAAATCGGTATGCAACTTTTTGTGCTGAAATTCGGCAAAAAGTCCTAAATTTTCGCCGACTTTCGATCTAAAAATCTCGGTTGTTTCTGCAAAGCGCGCGCTAGGATTTTCGCATATATTTTAGAAAAAATTACTCTAAATCTGTGCCAAGTTTCATCAAAATCTGAGCGTCGCACTTGGGGTACTTCCCCTGTAAGTTCCGATGACTAATTTATGCTAAAAAGACAATTTCTGAGTCAGCGAAGCAAGTCGTTACATAGAAATATTTCGATGTTTGGGTTTTTACGTAAATATGATCCACAGTACAGGGTGTAAAAGAAATGAAATTCCGCGGAAAGTTTTTATCGATTTCTTGGCGCTCAATCAAGACATCCGAAGAATTCTTTTTACAGGGCGAAGAAGATGGGTGGTTTTTTGTCCAACAAAATTATTTTCTCCGCCAACGCCGAAGGTAATGTATAATATTTGACGGAGACTTTTGGGCACTTTTTGGGTCATCACACCAATCTTTTATTATAATACCGAAACTTCCGGAAGGTCTTCAGATTATTGGCACAATTGATCAGAAGGCCAGCGACAGGTCTATGCGATCGCATTTAGCGAGTGCACGGTGCGATGCAGTCGCCGCAATACTGATGAAGTACGAGCGCACCGTGCGGAGGTTTGAAACGACAGGGCAAAGATAAATTTAAAAGAAAATTTTTTTTCTTCCAAAGCTTGGCGACGAAATTTTGGAGGGCATACGGTACCAGCAGGGAATGTTAGCCAGACCACAGGAATTGTGCTGGGCTGTTTCTTATCCGAATCTGGGCTATGGCCTTCGCCGAATTGGCAAGCATCCGCCATGCTTTCGCCGAACGTTTAGTAAGCATAAAATTATGCAAATATCTTCTTTTCAACCACCAGAAATCACAATAAAGCTTTTAAGATTGGTTTGATGGCCAAGAAAGCGATCAAAAGTCTCCGCCGAATACACCACTTTCCGCGCCGGCGGAGAGAAAACTTTTTCTGGTCAAAAAAAGTCTCTCTACTGCGAAAAGAATTTTTGGACATCTTTGCTGAGCGCCAAGAAATCGACAAAAACTTTCCGCGGGACATCTTCAATCACCTAGTAGAAGTGGAGAAATAGCAATCCATAATATTTTTCCTCAATTCTTCCATTAAGTTTTCTAGTTACGACGACGTGTGTACAGCGAATAACATTTGACCGGTCGATAGTTTCGAGGTGGTGTAATGGAGAATTTTGAAAATCTGCGAAGGAAGAGCCACCCACATAGACGAAACACCAGAATGTCGGGGGTCCTTGCGGCCTCTCCATTCTGGCAGATTCACAAAACTTTTAATCAAAAATCTTTTTCAAAAAGGCTTTTAGCTGATGAAAGGATCGGTTGACTCGTTAATGGTTATATTCATGCATAAAATACTTTTTAAGCAAATGTCTGCTTTAACGGCAGTCGGTCATAACACTCTAAAAAGGTGTACCCAATGCGTCAAAAATAAGGCTACTATGGTTTCTGGGTATGGCGAGCTGAACAAAACAAAAAAATTGATCCAATTACGGATATATGGCTCGGGATCTAAATCTCTCCGCAAGAGTCCATCCGAACCCTGCAAATTTATGTTAGTACAAAGTTAAAAGTTGCGCAATCTGACATAACATTGCGCAATTTCTCTCTTTGTAAGAATTTCTGCCTTTCTCTGTCGCCTCCTCCTTTTTTGCCAACTTTCCACTTCGCCAACCGTGGAGGTGCCACACGTCAAAACAATTCTTTCAGAAAACACAGGGGACTCGGATTTACTTATAAGTAAAATTTTTTACTTATATTTACCAATAACTTACATATAAGTTAAAAAAGGCGGGGCTTATTTATTTTTACTTATATTTACGTTTATTTACTTATATTTACAAATAGCGGTACTTATATGTAAAAAACGGCGGAGCTCGTTTATTTTTACTTATATGTACATATATGAGCCTCGAAAAGAAAACTTTTGAGCGTCAAAGACGCTTTTTGGTTTCTGCACGCGTTGGCCGGACTTGGAAAAATTCTAAGTTTTTGGAGCGTCAAAGAACGTATCTCAACCTTGGATCGAATAAAGTAAGTTGTTTGTAGTCAGTTTTTTTCTTTTACAGGGTAACAGAGTGCTCAGATCAAAAGTTGCGAACGCGAGAACCTTCCCGAGCATGGAGCATGTCAACGTCAAACTTCACGCAGTTCGCAAAAATCTATGAACAAGCACTATGAGGAAAGAATTTGGATGAACAACTGTGTGCTCAAATGGTAGGTGTTTTTTAACTGTTTTCACATTTCATAAAACCAAAGATTTTTCCAGACATAGTTTTGCTATGTTGTACTAGGTCCAGGTGAAGCCTCTAGGTTTCAGATTATCGAAAAATTGGCCGTGGAGGGTAGTAAATGGACAATGTACACACGATCCCGGAAAAATGGCACTCGGATGATTCAGGTATGTTGAGAATATTCACCTGGACCTAGTGCAACATGACAAACTTGGTGTCTCGAAATTTCATTGGCAAACTTGGTGAACCTAAAACTAATTTTTTCGGGGTGCAGAAGCACAAACAATTGAGAAGGGCTTATAGTAAATATCGTCAAACGACCTTATCTTCTTTATTTTTGCTATTTTCAGTGAATCCAGACGCAGAAATCGCCATAGAAGATCCCGAAAATAAGCAATTGATGCCTCATGAGGACAACAACAGATGAGAAACCTATCCGGAGCACACAAGATGCGTTACCGACTTGTATTTGTCGTTTTTGAGAATCGAAATAAACGTTTATAATATAATCTGCACTGTGCGTAATTCTGGGTTACAAATAAGTAAAATATCCTTATTGGTAAATATAAGTAAAATATCCTTATTTGTAAATATAAGTAAATTCGGAGCGCGCCGAAAATAAAGTTTACATATAAGTAATTTCAGAATTACTTATATGTACAATTATTTACTTATATGTACGTTTATTTACTTATATGAACTTCAATTTCAGATAAGTAAAAAAGACGTACATATAAGTAAATCCGAGTCCCCTGTGAATTGAAAAAACAAGGAATCTCGGATCATTGATTTTTTGCGAAGTGCCACAGAATTATCGAGCTTGAAAAATTATTTTCCTCTTCGAAAAAACATTTTTCTCGAAATTCTCTGGGAAAGTTTTCTTTTGTGACTCGATAATTCAGCGACATTTCGTAAAAAAATCAATGATCCGAGGTTCCTTGTTTTTTCACTTTTTCTTTGACGTGTGCCATAGAATTTGGTCCCCGGCTAAAGCTTTCCGCATATTTTCATCATCATGGGATACTGTAATTTCCTCGTTTTCTTCCTGGATAAAGCCGTGGCCCTGTAGTAAAATTTTCTTTGGAGATTGCAGATGATGTTTCCGAACGTCCTAGCTAGCACGTAAGAGAATCTTAGCAGCTATTATAACTAAAGGTGATCTTAGGCCAGTTTTTTGCACTCTTTCAAATGGTATATGTTTCAAGAAGGAGACAAGGGCTCGTTTTGCCGAGCCCTACCAATATTTTTAAAATCTTTGCACTTTAAGGGCATTATTACAAAAGCCTATTGAAGCTTGCATGCTAACTGAGCTTACTGTTTAATTTTACCCTGTCATCTTTCTCCATCAAGAACAACGGAGCTAAAGTTTGGCTTATATGTACGAATCTCTTTTTGTAGTCATGCCCTTCAAGTGCAAATATTTGAAAAATATGGCAAAGTTAATATAAAAATTGCATTTTTTACCGTACAAGTCGATGGAAAAGCAGTGAAATTTCTTCATTTTCGGATTTTTTGTAGAGAATTAAATTCCGCAGAAGGTGGTATGTCCCACATGTTCCAAACGATCCGCCTAAGGGCGCTTTTTGGCGTCGAAAATCCAAAGTGGGTCATTTTTCAGCGTTTATTACAAGTTCAGTTCTGTATAAAAGTTCTTAATAGTAATGTGCCTGGAAAGATTTCTCTTTGCTCTATACACGGCTTGCCCAAATGGAGAAAAAAACGTCCAAAGAAGAATTAGCGACATTTTATACGATGAAACATTTCTAATCTTATTTTATGTCAGAATGAAAGCAGAACTGTCAATATTGATAGGAATTGGTAGAAAACCCATTTTACATCAACGCGCACATACCACAAAAAATCATTACCACAAAAATATCATTTTTGGACATTAAATTTAATGAATTTTGGTAAACATGGATAATACGTGGATGTTGCCTTAAAAGGATGCTTCAGAATAGGCTTTGTTTGATAATAATAGTACACAAACTTTATTCGTCAATATCGGCCACTCTGACTTACCTATGCGCGAATACTATACTTGCCACGAGCCAAGGGGTTACATTTCATGACTTTGCCTGTGAAATCTCACAAAATCTATCAAAAAGCTTAAAAATTGCAACGAGTATATCTGTCATTATTAGTACTTATCGTAATCTTCTATTTCGAAGCAAACCGAGCCTTGTCCCCCATCAAATATTTTCGATATTGATGTATGCCTCAACTGTATTAATTATCGGGGGTAACTCAATATTTTTGAATGATGCAATGTTGAAAGTTGTCTTAAATTGAAAAGACTAGCTAAAAATGTCATATACACCCTGCATTACCTTACACTAAGGCTTATTTTATATAATTTACGAAATTTGTAATTTCCAGATATTGATCTTGCCTAGTGGGAAACGTTGAACATGGTCAAAACCTCGGTTTAGAAAGCTGAAATTTAGACCATATATGCATCAGGCGGTTTTCTGTGGAATTGTAGATGCATTTTTCAAAAATCAGACATCTTAGCTTTTTGTGGCAAGTCACATTACATACCTATTATCATCCATATTTACTTTTGATAAAATTGGATTAAGACGAGTCCAATAAGCACCCATAAGCATGTTTTGATGTTTTTAGAACTAGAAAATTGTTAATCGACCTTCTTCCCCACACGGGGGATCGCTAACCGATGGAATTCAAAAATACGAAATATCATCTTAAATCAATGGGAAACGTTGAAGTGTGTCAAAAAATTGACTCAGAAGTCTGAAAACTTGTGTACATTTCCTTCGATAGGTTTATTGTGGAATTGTAGATGTTTTTTAACGAAGTCCATTATTTGACTGTGTTATGGGATATTGTACATGGGGACCTGTTTGTCACTTTTTTACAAATTTCGACATAACTTTTGTTTTCTCATTCCTGAAGCTGTAAAGAGTATCTAGCCTATTAATAGACTAACAACTGTGTTAACTAACACAAAGAAACCAACAAATTTGTGGTTTTTCAAAGAGAACTGGAGCTCCACAAGTAGGCAATGCTCCATTTGCAGTGGGAAACGTTGAAGTACCCCAAAAAATTGTCCAATTTGGACGAAAATTTTTTTGGAGCATCATCTGCAACGTCTCCATGGAATTGTAGATGGAATTTTGTTCACTTCGCTTCTTCGAATATATACATGTTGTACAAGATACATCAAAATTGCTGATATTGAGGGGCCCATATTTCCCGATTCAGAAATGGCAACGATATGAATAATAGCTTAAATAGATGACAGACATTCAAAGAAAATAGTTATCAAGATTGTTTTATGTGATAATAAGCGCTTTGTACTTTTTGAGCATCAACTCTAAGGGGCACTTCCCAGCAATTTTTCAAGGATAGGGCGCGAGCTGCGAAGGCCGTGTCCGTTTTTTTCTCCGATTTTAGTCTATTTGGGCAAGCCGTGTATATGCACTGAAACTTTCACGCGTCAAGCTTATAGCATGCGCTCGCTAGACCGACATAAATGTCAACCACGAAAAAAAAAATCGAAAAAATCGGTGTCCGATTCATTTCAAAAAAGTACAGAACGCTGTGCGCCGTTTCACACATAATTTGTTGTTTTATTCGAATTTTGGAATAATTTTTCTTTTTTTATTTGTAGAGGTTTCAGCGTATAAAATGTCGAAAACATTTTTGTTCGAAAATTCTCTATTTCCACTTATTTGGTGGCCATGAATCCAAAAGAACAACAAGAACAGGAGGTTGAAATTCTGGAGGCGGCATATCCAGACGAGCTGGAGATTTTGAACAGAGAATATCCGAATATCAAGGTGAAAGTGACGATTCCATCCGTTCCGGTGAGTTAAAGCTAGGAAGAATACTGAAGAGCTGTAGAAATGGGAAAATCCTGATCCTGATTTTTATTTGGAATTGGAAATCCGCCTTCCAGCACAGTATCCCGATGTAGCGCCCGAATTTGAAATTTCCGGATTTCCAATGGACTTTCCTCTTAAATGCATAGAGGAAGTTTATCAGAATATGAGAACCGCAGCCTACGGGATGCTGGGGTTTCAAGTAATGATAACGTTGATATCAGAAATACAGGTATGGTTTTGTTAGTTGTTTGATTTATCCATAGAATTCTATTCCTACGACATTGAAGCGACTGGAAAAGGAGAAGAGTTTAGAGGAACGGAGGATTCAAGATGAAAAAGAAGAAGCAGAACAGCGAAAGTTTGAAGGTAGGGTATGCCTGACGATGTTGTAATCTACGTATGTTCAGGTAACAGAGTAACTGTGGAGTCTTTTAACGAGTGGAGAGTTAAGTTCGAGAAGGAGTTCTTGGCTGCTGAGCTTGATGCCAAGAGGCAGCGGGAAGCAGAATTGGCTGGAAAACTGACTGGAAAGCAGCAATTCTTGAGAGATGCTACTTTGAGTATATCTGATCTTGGAATGTTGGAGGAGGAGAAGACCATTGAAAGCGTGGAGATAGATCAGTCCTTATTCGAGGAAGAGCTCAGTGATCTCGATATCAGCGGTGATGGGGATGACGAATCCGACTGAAACGTTGTTTCCATTGTTTGTTGTGTTTGAATACTTGAATATAAGTTCTATTGATTATTAAGGGAGTACTAACAGCACGTTTATTTCGTTTATATTTCTCTGTTGTTGATTGTCTCATTTCCAGCTGGAATTTCAGATGTCTTTGAAGAATGGGGAGAGATCTGACTTGAATAAGGTATGGTTCTATACAGTGTAACTGAAAGCTAAGAGAGACGCGTTGAGTTGAGAACGCTGTATGTATAGATCGCCCTGGCTTGACGATCTTGTGTAAAATTTTTGTCACTTTTCAGAGTCGAAGTTCTTCTTCATTACCTTTTAATTATGGATTCAAAATCCCTTCCGTCCTCCATGTCAAGTCCAAGTTTGATTCTGAGTTCCGCAGATTCTGTGTTCCTATTGGCGCAGAAGGTTTAATGTCTTATAATGAGTTCAGGGAACTGATCGAGAAGAAGCATGTGCTTAAGAATACGGCGTTTACATTATGTTATACAAGTGCTTTGGGTGACTTGCTTCCAATTACTAACGACGAGGTAGGTTTCCTCATCACTCAAAAACGATTTTAGAATTTCCACAAAGCCTTTGAATCAGCCCAGCCCACTTTAAGGGTGCTGGTTCAACGAAAAGGCGAATCTTGGGAAGAAAAGTATGGCTATGGTGTCAGCACGCTGGACAGGAAGAAGAAGGGGTTGTCTTCCTGGATTTCAAATCCGTCAAAGACTCCAGTTCGACATTACAACATCTCCAATCCAGAGGATTTCCGACAGGTATCTTCTATAATTGACGTCGATGTTGTTCCGGAGACGCATCGGAGAGTACGGTTATGTAAATATACATCTGATAGGCCCCTTGGCTTCTATATTAGACCCAGTTCTATTGTCCGGCAGACTGCACAAGGGCCTGTAAAAATGGATGGAATTGTGATAAGCAAGCTGGTCGAAGGTGGATTGGCTGAGTCAACGGGACTTCTAAGTGCCAATGATGAAATTGTCGAAGTCAATGGGATCGATGTAGGTTATCACCACACCTTATGTGTAAAGTTTAGGTGCATGGTAAAACCATAGACCAAGTAACCGACATGATGATTGCCAATGCCCACAATCTAATCATTACAATTAAACCTGCCAACCAGCGGAACACCCTGCACAAATCTTTCAAAGATGGTGAGTAGTCTTGTTTTTAATAAGGAATTTCAGTCCCTGAAATTAACCGATATAATGGAAATCATAATGTTAACGAAGACAGCGAAGAGGAAGATATCCACGACGAGGTCATTGATCATATTAACCAAACAAACATGCGCTAACATCAATTGGCTTTGTAACTGTAAACTAATATTATATTTATTTAAATTTGCTTTTTGCTCTTTAAAGCATCATCTATAAAAAAGAAAACAGCTTACTATTATTTATACATATCATACACTTCTTACGCAATAATCGTGTTATAATAAATTTTGCGACTTCGATATATCTGAGCCGGTTGTTATCCACGGAATACTTTTTGTTCTTCTTACCATATGTTTAAGCTTTATGTTGATAACGAATTCAATTGTATGGCCATACAGAAACCTCGTTAATCGACACTACCTCAATAGGCCACTGGCTTCGACTGTAATATCAGCTTATATAAGACAGCGAGGTCACCCAAGCTGGACCTCTTTCTTTCTGCCATACAAGTAAGCATATAAAGCCCTCTAAAAGTAGTGGTAGATTTGTTCAAGACAACTTTTACGGAGAGAAACACTTCAATTTCGAGGTTGACAGCACGAATTACCATATACTGAGAATTGGCTGTTATCCCTACGTGAAGTATCATTGCACTCAAAGACCGTATCAGGATTTGACTGCTGAGAATAGTCTCTACAAAATTCTGACCGCTCTGAACTTAGGTAGGTAAATCTGCGACATTGGCTTCAAATTTAGGTGTCCCGTGTTTATTATATGGGATAGCGGCAACATTTTTAATCAAACATACTGACTACGTAACGCTAGAAGATCAAAAGTCCATCCCAATTCACTTCCTCATCTTAGAAACCCATAATTGAAAGAGATGGGTCCCGACTCCGGCTACGAATACGCTCTAACTGTGCATTCTGTGCTTCTACTTGTCTTTGTATTAGGACCTGTCTTGTATCTGTCAGGAAAGGGTATTGTTTTTTGTCTGAGAGTCTTTTTCAGATTCTTGCACAAGTTGTTAGGTGGGGTGTTTTATGAATTGGAGAGAGGCGACTCAAATCAGAACCAAAGGCCCGACTGATATTCCATTTTTATTCAAATAAAATAAATACATTTCCTGTGGAGGGCAACAGATTCAGTCTCATTCAGTTTTAATCGTTTCGACACGACATTGAAAACAATGGTCAGAAAGTCGTGATTCTGGCCTTCTCTGATCTTGGCCAGTTTCTTTTCAAATTTCGCTGACCTTTTGAAGGCGCCGGGCCCTTCGCTTTGAACGCCTTAATCAGTCCTATCCCTATGGAAGCAGGAAAAAGGTTGCGATCAAACACCCGGAGCCAGCCTTCTGGTCTTGATCGAGTACGATCAATTCAGCGGAGATTCTCTTCCAAGTACAAGTAAGTTTCTGGTGTTTCAATAAGCCGTTATTATATATAATAGTTACAGCAGCAGCCAAAAAAACTGCCATTTTTGTGTGTAACTCTGCGCAATCTGGATGGATTTGCACCCCGGGACTAAAATTTGGAACAGTCTAGATTTTCTTTGCGGCTTGAGATCGGAGTTTCATTTCTTTTCTAATAGAAGCGCAATCGGGGCTGAGGTAGTACAACCCCCCAGTCCAGTTCAGCCCCCTGGCTTAAATCCGTCGATGAGCAGAGTTACGCAAAAACAAGTAATGACAGTGTTATGGCAGTTACTGTATACTAGTCGCACCATAAAGTCCCGATACATTTGTCGCATGCAAAAATTAGAGCGAGCTCGCGCGAACGTGTATGTCGCTAGTGCAAAAACGGGGAATTGCCGCGACGGGCGCGAAAGAAAAACAAAAACGCACTGTGCAATGTGTCAGGGCTTTATAGCGCGACTAGTATGTATAAGGAAATGTTTACAAATTCCTTAGAGTAGAAAATTTATTTCTACGTATCCGATTAAAGATTTATGCAAGCATATATATGTCTCACCAGCAGCACCTTATTTCGATCACGTGCCTCTCTCTTCCCCTGCGCTGTTTTTTTGAGTCAAGTCTTACTCAAAGTCAGAGTCGACCCATCTGGTCACGTTTGCCATTTTTCTCGGGTTTTATCTGTGTAGCCATGTTCTGAATCCGGAATTTGTAGGAAGATGACGTCTACAGAGCTGTCAAAGGCTGATCGGGAGTTGAAAGCTCAAATAAAGATCGGCCATTATGTTCTTAAAGAAACTCTCGGAACCGGAACATTCGGAAAAGTGAAAGGTAAGATTGAGTGTCGCAGCAGAAATAAACAAAGTCGGTTTCAGTGGGCATCCATGAAGCCACTGGATACAAAGTGGCGGTAAAGGTCCTTAATCGACAAAAGATCAAAATTCTTGATGTTGTGGGGAAGATCCGCCGTGAGATTCAAAACCTTTCCCTCTTTCGCCATCCGCATATAATAAAATTGTAAGATAAGCCTCATTTTCTAGAAGCGTTCATTTAGGTATCAGGTGATAAGTACTCCAACTGATATATTTATGATTATGGAGTACGTATCTGGCGGAGAACTCTTCGAATACATCGTCAAACACGGTCGGGTAAGTCTTGTCTGTTTCTACAATACATTCATATTTTTAGCTGAAGCCTAGTGAAGCTCGTCGGTTTTTCCAACAAATTATATCCGGTGTAGACTACTGCCATCGCCATATGGTCGTTCATCGAGATCTAAAACCGGAGAATCTTCTTTTGGACGAACGAAACAACGTCAAGATTGCTGATTTCGGTATGCCTTAGTAAACCTTTCTAACACATTTTTAGGTTTGTCAAACATAATGACCGATGGAGATTTCCTCAGAACTAGTTGCGGAAGTCCAAATTATGCGGCTCCTGAAGTAATTTCTGGGAAGTAAGAAAATAAACCTGTTTATTTTATTTTTAGATTGTATGCTGGGCCAGAAGTGGATGTATGGTCTTGTGGTGTCATCCTTTACGCTTTATTATGCGGTACTCTCCCTTTCGACGATGAGCATGTCCCATCGTTGTTTAGGAAGATCAAATGTAAGAAATTAGTCACTTTTTAATTATTCGATTTGAAGCGGGTATCTTTCCCATCCCTGATTATTTGGAAAAATCCGTTGTGAATTTGCTTCTTCATATGTTACAAGTGGATCCAATGAAACGGGCTACAATCAAGGATGTTGTGTATGTTTAAAGATTGATACTCATTTCTTTTCAGAAATCACGAATGGTTTCGAGTGGATTTGCCCGCTTATTTATTCCCTCCGATTAACGAAAGCGAAGCTTCGATTGTGGATATTGACGCTGTTAAAGAAGTCTGTTATGTAAGTTGTCTCTTTCAGACTTACTTTTCTAGAGATATAATGTAAGTGAGGATGAAGTGACAGCTGCATTACTGAGTGACGATGCTCATCATCAGTTAAGTATTGCATACAATCTCATTGTCGACAACAAGAGGATCGCCGATGAAAGTAAGTGGTTTAGGGCGGGAAGCTTGGCCACTTTAAAAGTACGAGTTAGTAAGATTAGTTTAAATTAAACTATAGTGCTTTTTACTTCTTCTTTCCCATATTAGTTGTAATTTGATTGGTCTGCAGTTGAACATGGCTTCCAATTGCATCCCCTGGCTATCCTACAAAAACAAGGGACTGGGCCGGTTGCTGATCAGCCCGGAACCGTTTTCATCCATACTCTGCGGCATGCAAATCAACCCAAGACCGCGCCAGTGGGACTTTGCGGGGCTATGGGCCAGGTGCCGCGGGGCCAATTCTGCTCGCCTGACTGTGACAAGTGCCCTAAGTGGGGCGCCAAGGAATGCCTGTTCAGTCTGCCACGACGAGAATTAAATGCGTGTGATATGTGTCCCAAACTGGGGGAAGAGGGGTGCCCGTTTCACAAATCTCCATCGCAGGCCAGCTGTAACGCCAATCGATGTTAGTGTAGCCTCTTTTACGCACGTTTTGTTTCCCAATTTGTCTAACCTCCAACCCATTAATAAGCTTGCCTTCGCTTTAAATTCAACTCTCTACCGCAGTCTAACCCTGAGATTGTGTTGTGATTTTGCTTTATCTGACTAAATGTTGTTTTTTAGCTGCAAAGCTTTCGATAGAAGAGTTTTATCACATAACCCCAGCGAGCAAACTTCATCATGCTGACCAAGCTAGTCGACATCCGGAGCGAATGAATCGTAAGTGAAGTGAAAACAAGCCAATGAGTTGATTTAGAAAGTTCCAAGATAACATCCACACTTGAATATAAAGAAAATAGTAATCAAATCCAAACTAATCACAAATCTCCTCACGTGAAACGGGCTAAATGGCATCTGGGTATTCGGTCGCAAAGTCGTCCTGAAGATATCATGTACGAGGTCTTCCGCGCAATGAAGTACCTTGACTTTGAGTGGAAGTTGTTGAATGCGTATCATGTGGTAGTGCGGAAGAAGCCAGAGGATCCGAACACTGAAGTGGTAAGTCTACCGTCATATGATTGTCACTGTTTTCAGCCAAAGATGAGCCTTCAATTGTATCAAGTGGACCAAAGAAGTTATTTGTTAGATTTCAAAAACCTTGTGGACGACGAGCCAGGAACGGTAATATCGGAGAATCCGTCGTTTGCTTCTCGGCATGCGTCAGTCTCAATGCCAGTAAAGCCATCTTTACGGAATCATCGAGCACAATCCCTGCCTATGCCGATTGAAGTAAGTGATCAAGTCGAGTAACATTTATTGCTCCCATAGGTCCAAAAAGCAGCAGCCGCACAAGCACTTGAAGCTTCTAATGCAACCAAACAATCACAGACCATGCAATTCTTTGAGATGTGCGCTGCCTTGATTGGAGCTCTCGCACGATAAATTTAATCACCGTACTATTTAGTTATGGTTGGATTAAAATGTGTACAGTTTCTTCAATTTTACATAGTCATGGAGGAAGGAGAGTAATAACCAAGACTTTATGAACTTCTCGGAATGTATTACGTTTTGTTTCGCTGTTTAGGAGAGCCGGTATGGAATAAAGATAATGTTACATTTTTAACAAGTGAAAGTGACCAGACATCACATAGATCCTCGGCACAACTGCGAACCCCGAACGAGCAAGAGTGACGTCGATGTCCCTCACTCTTCACTCGTTGAGATTGGCAACGATGTCAGTTAGGTGAAGGAATAAAGGACGGAGACTCTACGAATTTCATAAATGCAGAGAAAGGGAAAAGATGGAGTTTTAGAGTATATTTTTGAGCAAATACGGTCTCATCATTGAAGCCGCTTATCTTGAGCCCACCTTGTTTAGAAAGTGTTTGTCCTTCTTCCAAAGCCTTTCCTGCGTGATTCATTTTCTCGCCTTTTTGTGGATTCAATCCGCTTTTCCATACTGTATCACCCTAAACACACCTTTTTTGTCAGGAAAAAAAACGTTGCGAGTGTGTACTTAGGTGTGAAAGGAAAGGATGACATGTAAATTGATAATTACAATGAAAATAAATAAAACGTTACTAGAGTACCAGCAAGCCTCCGTTATTAAAAACTCTTGTATCAAATAGCTAGCGTCAACTCCTGCATGAGCTAGCTGTGAGCGAATGGGATTTGCGGCAGACGTCTCCAGCCGCGGGGCCCCATCCAAAATGTTGAGATGCGTCTATCGGTTATTGACATTTCGTCAAATTCTGAGTTTTCCGAAGAATAATATTTTAAAAAATTTCTGCTGTTCTTGAATCTAGATATCTGTCTATGTATTTATTATTCCGCGTTAGTAACCTTTAAAGTTTGTGTTTTTATTTTTTCAATGGTTCAGAGTGCCACCGGACGGCCTCGAGGGCGCCCGCGCAAGGCAACTGTCATTAAACCTAAACGTAAGGCTACTCTGCATGTTGTACAGTTTTAGGTGCTCTAAAAAGACCAGCAGTTGTTGATGTTGAAACTACAACTAAGCGTGCTAAACTTATCTCGTTACGAGTTGATGATCCAGTAATTTGTCGGAGATGCAAAACGATTGGCAAGGATACTCAAGGATTAGTCGATGCATTAAGAACAAAGTATTCCTTACCGAACATTGGTAAGAAGTCTTTGGTTATCAATGCCGAAGGCGTTTACATTGTTCCACCAAACGGGAAAGAGGATGATGTCGAAACAAAGATTTGCATTGCCATAAATGAAGAAGAAGTACCCAAAATCGGTGGAAAAGTGATAGAATTCAACTTAGATAAGATTACAGAGGAAGATGAAGATTCGGATTCCTTTGAAAGGGATGAGGAACATGATGAATTCCTTTTGAAAGAACTCGTCAAGGTTGAAGGAAGAGATGACGAAATTGAAAGTACAACGCTATTGAATGATAGTGGTGTAGAAAGTAACGAAGTAGCTAGCGAAACCTGGGACGAAGAGTCCGACAACAGTACGTAACACGTAATTGCTTTATGATTCTATAACTAATTATTTATTTAGGACTTTCACCATCTCCGGTAGATTCTGTTCCGGAAACAGCACTGCCTCCAACCCAACATCTGCCTGACTTTAAGCCCATAAGTGACTGTAAATTGAGATGCGACGCAGATTACGTTCTGAATAATGATCGGCCTGACAAATGCATGTGCAATTATACGGATGATGAGAAGAAGCAAGGAAAGGCTTGCTCCTCTGGCCAATGTCTGAACAGGGCAATGAGATACGAATGCCCTACAAGATGTCCTTCAGGGGAATACTGTCGAAATAGAAGATTTCAAAACGTAAGTTTTTGCGTATTTGCCACTTGTGTAACTTTGATTTCGGTGGTTCTCAAGGAAATGATGTCCTTTTCCTTCTGTTTCGATTATTGAAATGTTTCATTACAGAAGGAGTATGCAAAGATTGAACCTTTTTTTGCGGGGGCAAAAGGATGGGGAATACGATGTTTGGAGAATGTGCCCAGGTCGGTTTTTTTTATTTTTAAATATTAGAATTTTAGTGGCTCATTCATCATTGAATATGTTGGCGAGATTATTGATTCATTCCAATGCCGTAAACGGTCTAGAAAGTATGCAAAGGATCAGAATCACAAACATCATTATCTGATGTCCCTGACATCTGAAACTTTCATCGACGCAACGAGAAAAGGAAACATTTCACGCTTTGTGAATCATAGTTGTGATCCCAATGCAGCGACAGAGAAATGGACCATTAATAGGAGGACGAGGATTGGATTCTTTGCGATCAAAGATATTTCCGCAGGCGAAGAAATTGTTTTCGATTATAATTTTGAACGGTTTGGGTAAGTTCTTTTCCGACTCAAATTATTTTTTTAGAAAAACTGCGCAGAAATGTTACTGCGGATCCTCGAACTGTCGTGGCTACATATCTGGCAAGCAAGAAACATCTGAGGATATAGTTGAAGAGGCGGAAGACGACGAGTTGAGCGAGTCGGATGAGGAAGACGACGAGCTCTCTGATACTTCTGAGGATGAAGATGATGACGATTTTGTTCAACCTGCACCTCCGCCACCCTCATTGCCCAACAAGATATCCACTGTTGTAACCAAGGCTCGATTGGCCGAGCAAAAGGCCATTGCTCTCGAGAAGAGAATACTGACTCAATTCGCTCAATGGGTCGAGAACGGAGAGATATCACAGAACTTGGAGCACTTCAAGAGGTATGTTTGGGAGCTCTGATGGAAATTTATATCTCAAAGCTTTGAATTATCATATTCTTTTAGGCGCTTGACAGAATTGAATTGGCCGGGGTCTGCAAAGCAGTGCATAAAATATATAAACGACTTCGACGAAGCAACGATGAAGCGGTTTAGTGAGAGAAGCGCCATGGATGCTATTTGGTATCTCAGTACGACATATTTTGAAAGTCGGATTAATGCGACCCAATTTCCCGTTGTACATATGGTAGTGAATATTCTACTCAAAGTTACTCTGAGGAGTCAACATCAGGTGAAGGAATGCACGAAGAAACTTCTGAATGATTTTATGAGAGCTGTAGATGTAAGTCGGGTCGGCGCGTTTCTATCGGTTTGGTTTAGAAATTTTGTTCAGTTGTCAAGGAAGACGATGTTGGAGATGAGGATATCGAAGACGCAGTAAATATAATGGTGCGGACAGTGGAGGAAGTAGATCCGGAGACATTAAGATTGGCCGCTGAGATTAAAGGGACCATATACAAGTTGTACGAGAACTGGGCCGTACTACCAGAACACGAATATCGGATACCGAAAAAAATGTAAGTAATGGACAATTTGGGCACACAACGTTTAGACTGTACTAGAAAAGAGGAATTCGAGCTAAAATTGCGCCATTATCGATCGAACTTTTGTGACACTTTGCACCAAACTGGTGGTCTTAAAAATACGATATTTGTTTGTGTTATTCAATCTTTGAGATATTCCACTTCAAAGTTCCAAAAATCGAGAACTTTGCAGTCATCTAGCGGGCGACGTTTAGTCACGAATCCTACAAAACTGGTCAATCTGCACTACAACACCATTTTCAATCACCATGCAAAGTTTCAGAACTTTTTCCAACTCGTAACTCGACTTATTGAGTCATCTTTCCTGCTATTAGAATGATTGAAATCGTTGCCCGGGCTTTTGGCAAAATGAAAAAATCCTTGGCATTCCGCAACTAGAGAGATTTTAATTATCAAACTCATCAAACATGGTGTTTTTGAAAGACAAAACAGACCTGCCGTAACAATAAAAAATCTGATAGGTTCTAAAGCCTTTTCCTGTCAAGATTTTTTTTCAATACCGCACAGCATTCCGAACTTTTTTCGCCGCCGATCGGTGTCCAAAAAAATGAAAAATTAAAAAGTGCACATTACATTTTCATGTGTGTAAGGGTAGCCAGAAGAGATACCGGCAAAAACAAAAACTCTTTATGTAGAGTAATCAATTTCCTTTCAGAGTATGTAAGTATTGTCTTCAGGTTGTCCGCTACCTTTGAGAAAATCGTCACTAAAAAAATGGAAATTTCGATTTTGAATGCCAAAAAAATGTACTTTCTTGGGGCCGCCAAAAAAGATGTTGGAGTCTATCGTAAAGAGAATTTCAAGGGCTACAACATATTAAAATTTCAAGATTTTTGTGGGGGTTTGAGTCAAGTTAGAGTGAAAAAACACTTGATTTTGCACTTTTTCTTGATTTATTTGCACTTTTAGTGCAAAAATAAAAAACCATCCGTGGGCGATGGAATCTGTGTGTCATGTCGGATATGCATGCCAAACATGAAGCTTCGCCGACGCTCCGGAGTCGCTGAATATCCGTTTAAATACGAAACCTTAGAGTACTATTTCTGTCGTTTGAAATCGCTTTATGTGCTCCAAGATCCCTTCTATCAAAAATATATTGTGTGTATACAGTGTATAACAACTGCATAACGACTTAGTTGCAAAAGTCTAACTCAGATTGGCGGTTAATTTAATTGGTGTTGCAACATCAAAAATTGGCTCTGGGAAGGATTTTCTGCCAAATTCAATTTTCGAAATGAAAAAAATATATCGTGAGTAAATGATAAGAAGTTGTTATACACTGTATATAGACAATATACTTTTGATCAAAAGGTATCTTGGAGCAGATAAAGCGACTTCAAACAATAGAAATAGTACTCTAAGGTTTCGTATTTAAACGGATATTCAGCGACTCCGGAGCGTCGGCGAAGCTTCATGTTTGGCATGCATATCCGACATGACACACAGATTCCATCGCCCACGGATGGTTTTTTATTTTTGCACTAAAAGTGCAAATAAATCAAGAAAAAGTGCAAAATCAAGTGTTTTTTCACTCTAACTTGACTCAAACCCCCACAAAAATCTTGAAATTTTAATATGTTGTAGCCCTTGAAATTCTCTTTACGATAGACTCCAACATCTTTTTTGGCGGCCCCAAGAAAGTACATTTTTTTGGCATTCAAAATCGAAATTTCCATTTTTTTAGTGACGATTTTCTCAAAGGTAGCGGACAACCTGAAGACAATACTTACATACTCTGAAAGGAAATTGATTACTCTACATAAAGAGTTTTTGTTTTTGCCGGTATCTCTTCTGGCTACCCTTACACACATGAAAATGTAATGTGCACTTTTTAATTTTTCATTTTTTTGGACACCGATCGGCGGCGAAAAAAGTTCGGAATGCTGTGTACCGGGCTAAATTACAGTTATTCTAATTTCTCGAAGAAGCCAAAAAAATTATTTAACAGTACGCCAAACATTTGTTTTCGTGGCGTGACGCGACCAGAGTTCCGTGAAAAAACGTTGTGGCACCTAGATTTGCAGGAAGTTAATCCGGTGATTTTTAAGCATTTGAAGACAAATTATTTGTGGATATTCTTCCAGGTTGCAAGTCATTAAACAAGAACGGGTATCCAAGTGGGAGCCAGCACCACAACTACCCCCAGAACAGCCCCAACATGATCCCATCATACTTGCAAATTCCAATGCTGAAGGATTAATCAAGAAAGAGCCAGAAGAACGAAAGACGACTGTCAACATAACAGTACCCTCCACTTCAGGAATGACCACAGTTGTGCATTTAGGAACGACAGATCAAAGTTTGTGTAGCGATACGTATAATTAAAAAACAAATTTTAGTGTACAACATGAGCCAGATGCCAATGTATGGGATGTATCCGCCTTTTTCCTTCATGCCGCCACCCCTGCAGGGGATGTCCGTTCCCCCGTTTATGACTCCCTTGCCTCCCCCAGGGCTTCCTTCAGTTCCCCCGTTTATGCCTCCTCTACCCCCGACTCCGAGGCAGTCCTTGCCTCCGCCAAATCAACCTTTGGTGGACCAGAAACCACCCCCTCCTCCTCCCCCTCCACCCCAACTCATCATTCCGCAGCTTTCGAAGATAACTGACAATAGTACTGAAAAACAATTCAAAGTAGCCCAAATGCAACCAGAACTATACCAGAACACAGTAGAAGATGATATCCCCGAATCCTTGATCAGCGTGCTGGCTAGGGATATGGCTCCAGAAAAGGCCCAATCAGTGTGTTTCGAGCTCATGAAAAGGTTTGAGATTAAAGCCAGGAAGAGCACGACTGAAAATTCGGTTGAACAAAGCGCCAGTGGCAGTAAAGCTTGGATCGTTCCTTCGTTTGAGGAAAACGATGAATTTACGTTACAGAAGTCTCAACTGAACAAGTTAACGTTGTCAGAAGAGTCAGCTTCCTTGAATAAGAAGCCTCACCGGGTCCGAATTGCGGTTCCGCCTTTGCCCCCAGCAACCATGGATGCTACAAGTGTTCTTGCTCACACCAACAGTTTGAAACAATATCGGAATTTGTTGGATAGAGTAAGTTCCAACTTCTTTATTAATCTCATTTTCAGCACATAGAGTCGGTTTCCAAGTCACTGATGTAAATTGTGTAATTTAAATCCACTTTTATGTCTCTAGTTAGTATGTTAGAATATTGTGTAATATAAGTAATTATAGTTGCGTAATAAACAGTCTTAAGAACGTTTAAGTTAATATTTAATGGTTTTTTATGTTCCGTCGTTACCGTTTCCCTTTCTTCTGAAAATTAAAAACTTGAATTAACCAGTTTTTATTCTCCAAAAAGATGCCACCGAAAGCGGTGAAGGTGAATCTGATTTATCCGGAGAATTATTTTTACGAGAAAGTACTGAACGATTGGAAGAACAACGCCAGCGATGCTAACGGGCGGTTTGTGGTCAGCAAAGCCTTGGAGAACTTGAGGAAATACCCTCTGCGGATTAACGGGTACTCTGATCTGAAAACAATTAAAGGTAAGGAATCATTTTATTCTAATATTTTTTTTCCAGGTGTTGGTGAAGACTTCGCAACTCGCTTGGACTCCGCTCTCAAATTTTACAAAGAGTTAAGTAAATCGGATTCACTGAGTTTAAAAGAGATTAGAGCAATAAAAAATGGGGATGCACTTCAGTTTTTATGCGAATCTACCGTATCTCGTGGGAAGAAAACCATTCCATTTCTCTCAGTGGAGGCCCGGACGAATGTCAGATTGATGGCCAAGTTCACTGGAGTGGGATATGAACTGAAGACTAAGTCTTCTGAACAGAAACCGAAGCCCTGCTGCTCCAACGTTGGGACAGGGATAGTACAAGGATCGATAGATACGGTAAGACCCTGCCGTCATTTACATTTCTCCTTTTCAGGAATCAACTATCAGCTTTTTGGCGCCAACTTCGTCAACGCTTCGAATCTCCACGCCCAGGAAAGATATATTTTCGGATATTGTAAACGAAGAACAGTCATTGTTAGAATTTCATCCGAATCACGGAAGCAATGCTCAAGTACTACTGGTGGTAGATAATAGGGAAAACAGAAATGATGGAAGATCTAAGGGGCTTTGTGATCATCTTCAGAGGAAAAATGTCCAATATGATCTCCGTCCTCTTTCAGTAGGAGACTTCCTATGGACTTTAAGTGTGGGATCAGGTCATGAGAATGAAATGGTTTTGGATTTTATTGTCGAAAGGAAGACGTGGGATGATTTGAAGGTGCAAAAAAATGATTCATGTAGCAACCTTTATTGCCTTTTTTAGACCAGTATTAGGCAGTCTCGGTACCACGAACAAAAACAACGTCTAAAGCAGTCAGGAGTTAAAAATATAATTTTATTGGTGGAGGGACCGAACAGTCGTGTCGACCCTTCGTTGGAACAAGCAATTGTCTCTACTTGCATTCAGGATGGCTTCATGGTTCAGAGAGTTCAGAACCTAGCTGAAACCGCACATTTCCTGCGTGACCTGACCAACTACTTGACTAAACGTATAAACAGTGAATCGGTAAGGAAACTGAAAGATTAAAACTTTTTCTAGGTTTCTGGCCAGTCGTTCTCTACTTTCCAAGACGAAAGCAAAAAGACGAAGGAGGTCACCGTTTCCGATTGTTTCTTGAAACAATTAACCGTGTGTCCGAGAGTCAGCACCAACAAGGCAAAAGAAATTGTCGCCCGATTTCCTTCACTTAGAGCTTTAAGATCTCTATATAGTCGAGGATTTTCACAAGTTTCCCATGAGGATAAGCTTCAAAATGCTATGCCTACGATCCCAGCCAGTGTCAGCAGACAGGTGTCGCTTTTTTTCTCATAAAACTAAAATATACTGTAATTTATTTGAAGTGCAGCAATAACGGGGAATAAAAATAAATTAGAATTTCAGTCAAAATATAAGGAGGTTAGGATGTTTTGAGATTCAGTAGACAACACCGATTTTTTCCATGAGCATTTCATCCGAGATTCCGTTCTGGACATCCAGTTTGAGAGATTTCAACTTTTCAACCGTCAAAGCTTCGTTTAATATAGCTTTGCTGGCGTGGTCGGCTTTCTTGATAAGGTCGGGCTTCAGTCCAGCCATTTTGGCAGTAAAGAAGCCATACGACTTGGAGCTTGATCCCTCGGTTAACTGGTATAAGAAGGTGATGTTATCCATACAAGGGTCATCGCAGTTTGCATCTTTTTCGACCAGACAAGCCTAGAAGGTATGATTTATTACAACATACAGTAGCTGCCAAAAAAACTGTCATTTTTTTGTGTAACTCTGCTCAAATTAGGATGGATTTAAACCAAGCAAATACCATTGTGTAGGGAATTATTGCTGTTATCCAATGGTGTAGTGATTGGAGCGATTTTACATCTTAGTGTGTAACAACCGTCGATGTATTAGGTCTAGAAGTATGACTCCGCCGTTTTTTTGTTTTGCGTTTTTTTACAGGTTGCAGCAAGGTTTAAAAATTTCTGTTAAGATCCTCTAAAAGAACTTTGAAAACGCTATCTATTGATATATTTTTTGTATAGTAGGGCTTGACATAGCGGTTTTTATGAAGCTTCAAAGATGACCAACTTCGTCCCTGGAAAATCGTCATTTGCGGGAAATTTTACCCTGCACGTGTAACGCGAGGGAAAACGTTTTTAATGCGTCAATTGCTTAGAGAAGCTTACGTTAGTTGTGCTTAGTGAGAAAAAATCCGTGGGGAACGGGTTTAACGGTTCTAGCCCCGTGATTTTCAAACCCATCTAAAAAAATTGAAGATGGAGATTACTGGATACAAAGCGATGCCCATACACAAAAAAAGTTGGCCGTGGTGCTCAAAGTGCCACAGAAAGGAGTTTCACTCAGTTTGCAATGAATTGAAAGGATCCAGAGAGAACGGACTTGAGTGTCTCATGGAATGACCTACAACAATATAGAGAACTTGCGAAATTTTGATAGGCAGACCAAAGGGAAGCTATTTTTGCATCGTTTTATGGCCACAGACGAAAAACCCAGCGACTTTGAGAACCCGAAGCGCATGCGACCGCATAGTCTAACATTACCGGTAAGAAAGCATTGCGCTGTATAATATGATGACATAAACAAGTTGTTCTTCACTGTAAGCTCTTGAAACTCGGTAAAACGGTTATTGACCTCCGTTGACAACAGTGGCCGATGCAAATGAACGGAGAGCTATGACTAAAGCGGGCGGAATGACCAATTTTTATTTTGCTGCATGATCACGCTAGAACCCATGTTGAAAAACTGGTCAAGGACACCCCAGAACAGCTAGGATGGGAGGCCTTACCTCACCCGCTATACTCTACGGACAACGAGCTTTCAGATAAGCACTTATTTCCACCGATAGCACACGACCTGAGGCAGCAGCGCTTCGCTAAACACAATGATGCCAAAAATTAGGTTGATATTTGGATGGCTTCAAAACAGCCAAAAAATGTTTTTGGTGGATTGAAAAGTTGACCAAATTACGGAAACACCTCGTAATTAATAGTAGAATATAAAACTGGATGAGGTTTAGGGTAAAAATTTTTTGCTATGATCAAAACAATCAGCAGAAAAAAACGGCGGAGTCATACTTTTAAACCTAATAAAAATGTTGGAACGAAAAAAAACTGCCAATTTTTCCAAAAACAATTACCGCTTGCATACACAAATCATATATATTCTGATTACGAAATAATGTGCCACTGCACATAAAGGGAGCCAAGAAAAATTAGTTTAATAGACTTTTTTGGTGGTCCCTAGTACGATACCCCAAAACATGACGGAAAATTCGAAGAACAACGACAATGCCTTGCAGTAGCGGCTAGATAACCTACTATTAAAATTGAACAATGATTGGGAGCCGAAATTTAAGTCTACGGCCTCCTCTTGATATTCAAGCTTCTCCGGCAACAAGTTGCTGTAGAAAGACTTAGTTTTCAGTTCAACATATACTGCCGGAAAAACTTGAATGTCAAGTGGAGGCCGTAGACTTAATTTCAGCTCCCAATCATTGTTCTATTGCAATAGTAGGTAGTAATGATTTGCCACGGCGTATCAAGGGGCAAATTCTTTTGGAAAAATTTAGTTTTTTGCCTTTCCAAAAATTGTAAATCGGCAGTTGTTACACACTAAGATGTAAGATCGCTCCAATCGCTACACCATTAGACAACATCAATAATGCTCTACAGAATGGTTGAGCAGAGTTACAAAAAGAAACAAAAAAAAATGGAAATTTTTTTGGCAGCTACTGTAGGTTACCTACCATGTGACCTTCTGCAATTCTTGGATTCTCCGCAGCAATTTGGCAAAGACTGTGATAATGGGTTGAAAAGATGGAGCGACATCCTACGTGATCTGCCATGTAACGAAGAACGGCACCCGCAATTGCTGTTCCGTCATGAGTACTGAACGAAACATTAAGTTGTGTTAAATTTTCCGCCATTGGTTGGTGTTTTTTTTTATGGGGCTCCTACTTTTAAACAGGAAACCCTCTTTTTCCATAATAATCTATTGTCACAAAGAACATGTTTAAGCCTCAGAAAATCACTTTTTACTCTAGTCTAAACTTTTAAACTGAGCTTCAAGATTCAAGTGCGCAGGAAAAATTCTGAGTTACCAAGGAATACGGGAAGAAACAATGTCCGAAAACTGCTTATTATCGCACATTGGCCTTGTCTCGGCTTAAATTTCATAAAGAAATGGCGGGCAACTTTTGACACTACCTAATAATAAGAAACAATAAATGCAACATACCTGGTTCCTCTTCCCAATTCGTCAACAATGGCCAAAGAATGTGGAGACGCAGAGCGAAGAATAATATTGGTCTCATTCAGTTCCATGTAGAAGGTAGATTGACCTAGTATTATTATTTAGAAAAAAATTAGAGCCATTTACCTGCAGTCAAACAATCGCTCGCCCCAATCCGACAGAATATTCTGTCGACTGGGCTGATTCTCATCTTTCTCGCCGGAACCATGGATCCCTAAAATGGGGTAAAGCCGGATAAAAGAAGATTACCAATTGAGCCAAGACCGAGAGGACTGCGATCTGTCTCATCAGGGTCGATTTGCCGCCCATATTGGCTCCTGTAAGCAGCAAGAGAGCTGGGTTATCTCCACCAAGGGCAACGTCGTTTGGAATGAATTCAGATACATTCTGCCCAAGTTGGAACAAACCGGTGGCCAATGTGGGATGATAACCCCCATGAATCTCGATGACGGGCTAAAGCGAAACAATCTCTGCAAATTATTAGTTACCTTTTCAGCATCATATATAAACTCCGGGAAACACATCTGGATCGGAGACTGCGACGCATACTTTGCCAGTGATAACAAACAGTCAAATGTCGCGATCTTTCTGATTATGGACACCCAGCGGTCCTTCCTTAAACGCAATCTTACTGAGATCATTGTCAAGCCTACCTCAAATCAAAGCTCTCGAAAACACGTCTAGTGTAATCGTTGTTAAATTCTTGCGTAATCTTCAATGCGGCGTCTAAATCCGAAATTAAACCGTCTAATTCCGGGGTTGAGAATCTTCTCCATCCCTTAAACAGAATAAAAATATTTTCTTGTCTTACCTGTCTCTTCGATTTCAGTTCATAATTGTGATCGAGGGATCTTGACAGTTCGTCCGGGACCTCCAGGAGATATGGAGTCTTTGACGCACCTTGGAACCTTAACTGCTGAAATTAAAAATTTCTAATTACAGTGTGTTTGCGTGTTACTTACACTGCATTTCAACTTTTTCTTCTCGTTCTTCAAGAACTCCTCCAAAGCACTCTTTGCATCGTCGATCGCCTTCAAGGAATTGTCATAATCGCTGTCTACTCCAGGCTTCGGGATAATCTTTCCCTCTTCAAGGGCCTTTTCTCTGTTCCCAATGAGTGCGTTGAAATGCTGCAGATCGACAGCCAGCGTCTCTGGACGTTCATCTAAGCATTCGGCGATCAATGGAGCGCTAGAAACATAAAGATGAGGGGATGTTGTCACGCCCCTGAGGGTATATATAAACCATCTTGAACTTACATGCCAACATCACCGTCAACTTGATTGGCATAATAAGTGAGTAACTTCAAGATGAGTTCCATTCCATCTAAGGCCAAGATCAAGTTTTTCACCTTTCTGGCTCCATATCTCTTGGCTTCGAACATATGAGCACGGCCGTCAGGATGTTCCGTGGATCTGTATTTTAAACCCAGACTGTGAATACTCTGAAACAACTTCTCCAGATCTGCGACTTTTTTCAGCAGCTCTCCGCCTTTGATTTCTAACTCCATTCCTTGCGGAGAAGCCAAGAACTTTATGGCCTCCTGTCTACTCTGTATAACACATGGATCACAGGAAGGAATACAAATCCAGCGACGCAATTCTCTTTTGCCGAATGGAGTAACGCAACGATTGATAGTATGGAAAAGCGAAAAGTCTCTACCAGCAGCCTCCTTCTTCTCATGAGCCCGTTTCTTACTCAAGGGATCGCTTGGTGGAAGTAGATGAAGTGCATTCAGAGAATAGCTATCCAAAACCATTTTCACATTTTTCCATTTTTCAATTCCATTAGTCTAGAAAATACATGTAACCTGAAGATTCACCAACCTTATCCTTCTTGAAGTTCAGAGTGGATGGACTGTAGAACGAAAACTTTTTCATTGTAACCATATCAACATCAATCAGGCATCGTTTTAGATACCACAAGACAGCTCCGAGAGCAGAAACGGCCAACCCGTAATCGGGATGAGGAGTGGGGATAACTTCTTCCACATCATTTACCACCTTCTTCAACACCTCAGGCCATTCATTCACATCTCTCCCCAAATATTTTTCGGAGAAGAGCTATATTAATTATACCAGCAATAACCTTCTAACTTACCTGTTTCAACGTCTCGTCACTTGTGAAGAATTCTTTCTTCGAGCTGAGACCATGGCCATTTGTTTTGCGAAGAACGGCACTCAGAATTGCGGCGGTTGTGGAGCCGATATGACCTTTCTCAAATAGATATTCAGAAGGCTGATTATGCGCCAAGAAGGTACGCAATGAAGAAAAACTCTCATCATCCGTGAATTCGGACAACTGAAAGTATGATGACATTAATGAAACTAGCGAAGCACATCAATCAAATCATTCATATCAAAATAATTTACAATAAACTCTCCAATTTGACAGTCAATCAGACAAATCCCAAATCGGCTCTTCAATCCGTTTTCCTCACGTATCTTCTGAAAAAAACCAAATTATAAGATGCTACAGTGCGTCTCAGGATTTTGGTTCCACCCAGTTTTTTGATCATAACTCGTGGGGTTTTTTCGAAATGTCATGAAATTTTACGCAAGTGTTAACCAGCCTTTAATAATAAGCTATGGAAAATTTCATCCCATTTGGCTTCAATACTCGGACGTTATGGCTATTTTTCTAAATTCCGCATGTCCCACATTTTTGGTTCCACTTATAAATTTGTGATTTTTGGCCCAATTTTTGCTGCATATTCCATAGCTTATTAGTCAAGGCCGGTTAAAACTTGCGTAAAATTAAATAACATTTGAAAAAACCCCCGCGAGTTATGATCAAAAAAATGGTGTGGAACCAAAAACCTGAGACTGCACTGTATTTACTGTTTCAAAAGTTTCGTCTTTATAAATAAAAAAAAGCCTGTAGAAAATAAAGTAGCACAAATCAAAAATTTTGTGAAGGGTTGCCCCATGCATATATGCTTTCATTCAATCAAGCTCTGGAAATGTTTTGAAGTGTCACCAAAAAATGGCGAATTTTTTTTGAATCACCTTACAGGAAGTATCCCATGTGCGACGCTCAGGTTTTGATGAAACTTGGCACAAATTTCGAATATTTTTTCTAAGACATATGCGAGAATCCTAGCTCGCGCTTTGCAGAAACAACCGACATTTTTAGATTTTTTTGATTGACAATTTTTCCCGAACTTCGGCACGAAAAGTTTCATACCTATTTCTACCGTAAAGTATAATGTTTCCACAAAAAATAAATTTTTTCCGCGCGAAACTAGCGAAGTTATGGCCAAAAAGTGTTTTTCTCTCTGATCGCTCTCCGCGTTTGGCATGCCTCGGCGGCAAAGATCGTTCAATATCCCGGCTGCACTTGCAAAGCGCGAGCTAAAACTTTCAGGAATTGATATCTAATATATTCCCGATGTGTGTGCCGAATTTAAAGAAGATCTGAACGTCGCACTTGGGTACTTCCCTTGTTAATAAATTAAATCCATACCTCCTCCTTTAAGGCCATCAAGAAAGTCGAGTCAGCAGAAGAAGTTTCGAGGGATTCGGTGTCCAAAACGCTGACACCCCTTGTTGCCACGGATGTGATGCGACACAACTCTCTGAGCAATCGTATCAATTTTAAGCCACATAACCCTACCTCATCACGACTTTGTCCTTCAACTTCTCTTTTTTGGCTCTTTCGGCCAGCTGATCAGGAGTCTCAGTCTGCTCAACTCTGGCTACATTGTAGCCTTTGGCAATCAATCCTTCTGCAAACTTGGCGTATCCAATTTCTGGGAACCCACTGTGCGCAAATTTTCCCTGGATAATTTTGTAATATAAATATAAAAATATCCTACCCTCATGTAACTGATTCCCAATTTCTCTACAGCAATTACGGCATCCATATGGTACAGTTCGTAGAATTTTCCGACTTTGAAGAAGAGAACAGTATCAAAGTTGGCAGCCTTTAGTCTCCACCATTGCCGATGTCCTAAATCATGACATAACAAACAATAAATCTAAAAGAACCTTACCCGGAGACTGCTCTTTTATGAAGTCTTCGGGAACAAACAGAGTCTTAGGATCGTAATCTGGGTGATCTGGACGTCTTTTGTTGGCATCTCTGATGTTCTCAGGCTTCAGAAACGGGAAACTCAAATGAACAAAATCAACGTCGTTCTCTTTGTCGTTCAGATTCCCACGAATCTCCTTGACCCGAGCAGGGGACTGTATGCATATAGATTGATACTAAAAATAACTTACCTTAGCCGTTTTGGCAGTGGTAACCCGAACAGATTTAGGGGTTGTGAAGCCTCTAGATGAGGCTGATGATTTCAGAGGCGCTTTTTTGGTTGGGGTTTGGGGACGAGAAGACATTTCTTCATGATCATCAATGTTGAAGTCTTCGTCCTCGTCATCTGAGGTAATAACTCTGCGTTTCTTAACAGATTTCGGAGTCTTGGGGGTGACATCCCTAACGTCATCATCATCACTTGGAACCCGAGCCCGCTTCAATGAACTGCTACCCAGGTTTTCTTTCTTCTCGTCCGTTGTGGGAACTTTAGGAGTCACCTTGAAATACGAAAAAAGACTGGGTTGATTTGGCCCAACCGGAATTGGCTTTTTACCCTTAGGTGTTCTCGACATCGTACTGTAACAACATATTACAAAAAACAAAAACAGACATAAAATAAGAACGTGACAAAACGTATAGACACAACACAGTTAATACATTTTACTTATTTATTCACAAAATTATATCTGTGACTGAAGTTGAAGGATCTGAGAATTCAGGTGAACGGGGAAACGACAATTCACCTCAGCAACAAATAACAAGACGACTTTCGAAATCTGCTTCAAATCACTTCGGGAGTATTCAGAGCCATTACGAGAAAGCTGGACCAAGACTTTGAACAACGTGATGATGACATGGTGCATCACTTCCTTTACCTAAATCGAATTTTTAAACAATTGACTTTGCTTACCCGATCTGAAACCAAAGTATAGTCGGAAACCCGGATTGACATCTCGTCGTTGGAAAAGGGGATTAGTTTCATTTCCTGGAGCGTCCTCAAAGCCTTAAAGGGATCGGTTAATGAAGCTGCGCTGAATATATTCAGCTGGATCAAACGTTCCAATTCTCTCTTCAGAGTAACATCTAAGTCAACATTCTTGAGTCCCAGAAGCCAATAAGCCAACTTCAACGTTTCCTCTGAGCCCTCCTTTTTTCTATTTTCGGACGTTCCTTGAGAAATCAGTGACACCAAGTGTTTTGAACACAGCTTGAAAGCATCACTCGCCCTCTAAAAATGATTGGTTAATTTATTAGGGTGTCCAACAAGTCCTGCCTATTTTCGAACTTGATAATTAAGAAGAGACCATTACGGTGCACCGCGGTAGCCTGAATGACTGCACTCCTTAATGCTTTTTACTGTTAAAACCGTCATTCCTTACACTTATATAAATAGCATAAAACTTGAACAAACTACATTCCCTCCAAGCAAATAGTTGAAATTCTTTAATATCATCCGCTCTCGGGAAAAAAATGCGTTCTATGGCAAGTGAGGCTAATCTTTTGCTATTGCACTTTAATATAATACATCTACTGAGCACCCTGTTTCTAAAGAAGCCTTACTTCCGCTGAATTAATGCTTATGACGCTTTCCTGCAGGCTTCTTGTATCACTCGCCAGTATTATGATGCACATAACATAAACAAAAAATTGTAGCGCAAATTGTCCGTAAATTTAAATAATTGGGAAATTTTTAAATTATGCATATCTCAAGACACAAACTGGCATAGGCGGTGATTATTATGTCATTATGTTCACCCACAAGCCTAGATTACCTATGACACACAGCTACAGCCAAAATTTCTACCATTGACAAATCGAGTCAGAAAAGCATGAACTTTTTAAATGTCTAGTACAATATCAGGGTAGTGTGGGTAGCAAGTGGGTTGTGTCGCCTCGTCATATAGGGATAAGAAGGTCAATTGCTAAGCTCCAAAACCGCATCTCACAACATAATGTCAGACATATCCCATAAAGCGTTTCAAAGCTCACAAGTATCTGAACCACTCGATGACCCAAAAATTAGAAAGACTAATAACAAAAACGGTAATTTTAAAAGACGATTTTTGACTCGGTGAATTAGCCGAGGACATAGAAAAAAATACGACCGCTGTAGGCAATTACTTCAAAAGCGTGAATTGTAAAATATGGTACCTTAACGCAACACTTGGAAAAAATATTGTTCGCTTTTTCTTAGCCAACAGTTATTTAACCCCCTTTTTTTTCGTATGTTTCACTGATGGCTGATGCATTGTCAGAAATCGTCTTCTAAGTAAAAAATCACTGACCTTAATCATCAAAAACAGTCGACACGCTGTCAAAGTCTCCCCAGATATGTCACTGTCTCTTGCCACCCTGTTGATGATGTCAGAAGTGTTCACGGCCGCTTTAAAACGTTCAATGAGCCCGGGTTGAACATCCCCGCTCTCAGTCAGCCGTCCCAAAATGACGTCTGTCTGATGACTGATAAAACAAAGTCGACTCACACATCCCTCGAAAATGTTACCACCTAAATTAGTAACTATATTATATCCTCGTTCTGAATATACCTCCGGCAGTCTCCTTATCAAAGTACAAATCCTTGAGGAAGAAACAATAATTCAACGCGTATTCGACATTTTCCAATTCAAAATTCTTGACGTACAACAACAATAATTTGGCAAAGTTTAGTCGACAGAAAATCGGATCTTTCTCATCTTGGGTGACTAAAATATAGCTATAAAAGCCGCAAAAAAAAAACATACGGATAAATTCCGAAACCCTTCTTCCAAGGATCAGTAAACCTTTTTGTTGCGCCAGAATAGATATATGTACCGCGTGATGCGCCATCCCAGATCTGTATAGAAGTTCTATACTTCTTTCAATCTGTCCTAAAAACGATGAATATACATTTACAGAAAATAACTTGCCAGTCAACCACAGCGCCGTAAAGTATAATGAATAACTTCCTCCATTTTTTACAAAGTAATCTTCGCCACAATCAACACACACAGTAGTCTGAGTCTTTCGGAACTGAGTCTTGCCATTAGTGGCATCTAATTTGCATTGCATTAGCTTGACCCATAGCCAATTCTCAATCGAGTCCGTAACCTCAGGGCATTCAATACCCAAGAAGATAGCATAAACTGCCCTTTTGAAAGGATCCGAGCAATGGGCACCTTCATGTTTCCATTCTGCGTTAAGTTTAAGTCTCTTATCAGCATCCAAACTAAAAATAGTACAAACATAGAGTATTAAATTACCCGGAATCGCAACAATTCAATATACAGCCAACCAAGACGGCGCAGTTTGGGATACTGGACAGAGTTTTCACCACTTTAGCCGCCAGTTGCGATTCACCACAACGAAGGAGGTTGTACAGGACAGGCCAGACGGGATGCTTTCCATACACACCATCCTGAAAAACTCTGTAAAAACCTTGAAATGCGAAACACACCTGAAACTCAAAGTCTGGCAGTGTCACATTCAGGTAGGCCTCAATTAACGGAAGAACCCCAGGCACTCCTCCTCTCTGGGCCAATTCCATGTTACTTTCGACGATCGTTTCCATGAATTCCTTATACCTAGAAAAGTAAATATCATCCGCTCTGGAATCACAGTCATACATCTGTTGAAGATAGAAGGTGGACCTTTGGAGGACAAAATTGATCCATTTCTCTGAGCTTCGATACAATTCAGCGTCACCAATGTCCGCAGAGTCCAGACTTAAAAGAGGCAGAACACTTCCCCAAAGTTGCGTTACTTCCTTGTCATTCATACTCTCCACTGCTTCTACGACAGCACCATGATTACTGGCCAAACAGTCGCTTTCTAGGCTATTCGAAATCTAAATCACGATTCGAAAAGAATTAACAAACCAACATTTTTTGCATACAATTCCATTTGCTTTTCGAATACTTTGTTAGAAACTTTGCTCTTCACGGAAACTCCGGCAACGCCCTTGACGGTATACCGATTTACATTGTCGGTTAAATTGGTTTGATCCAAAATATATTGGTTAATAAACGCTCTTTCAGCTTCTACATCTGCACGCTCCCAGCTATTCTGAACAACTTCTTCGACGTACCCATCGTTTGAGCCAATATTGTCCCCAGAATCAATCAAAAAACCAGGCTTCTTGCCTTCATCACTCTTGAAGCTCTTTTCTTTCCATTCTGAATCGGGTCTCAATTGCCTTCTTTTGCAAATGCTGTCACTAGCACTAAAGATGGACCTTAGATCCCCAATGGGATGAGAGTTTCCGGTCTAAAAAAGGTTAACATATGCCAATTCCATACCTCCTTTGTTCTGATGTTAAGCCGGAAACTCGTAACTCTTTGCTGAAGATCAACAAATTCTGTCATTTCTGGAGTTTCGATTTAGGAAACTGGTTGAAATCGCACCGGTGCTTGAATTCCAGTTTACCTGGGTGCACCCAGGTAAACTGGAATTCAACGAAATTTTGGCGGGCTGGATTAGAACAGAACGCCAAACGTTCTCACCGTGAGAATCAGAAAATAAAAATGAATATTTTTGGAAATAATTTTTTACAAGTTTTTGCTATTTTAGTCTGTTATGGAAGTATTTTCCACTCGAACTTCGTGGGCAGACCTGCGACAACATTCTGCTTTTTGGAGGAAGCAAGTAAAGAAATCCTTTGGCGATTGCTTGAACCATTTTAAATATTTATCTGAATTGAAAGTAAATGATGAAAGGAAACACAATGTTATGTTGGCGATGGGTACCGTCAATACGAGTGGTACGCCCTTTCAGACGATTGTCTATTGTGAACTCACGACGGAAGCCGATGTTCTAATGAAGCCGTTACTGATTAGCGAGGACTTTGGACCAACTAATGACGGTAAACCATCGGCCGAACTACAGTTACATTACGAGAGAATGCGAGGACAGATAGGAAACGGTGTTACTAACTTTGATGTTGATGTGAAGGCAAAAAAGATTTTCGTTTCCACCGCTAACCGACTTTACAAATATTATGTAAGTGTTCTCTGTTACAAAGCTTTCAGGTATCTAAAAAATTAAACCTTATCAGCAGTATGCTTTACTTGTATTTTTATATCTCTTAGGATGGACGGCTGACTCGTCTTTGTGGGTGGACTGAGTTGGAACCCTTGAATTGTCAACATTCACCCGTAGATTCTCGATACGTTGCATTTACATCGCATGGACGGCTGTATATTGATAGGTACGTATGCTAATTTTGTTTAAAGAATTGTCGTTTTAGAGACGGTGAATTTTCGTTTGCCACTCCCGTCGATAGGGATTCCGCTATAACAAGGGGGACACCATCATTTGTAGTTCAGGAAGAGCTGGAAAGAGATAAAGGATTTTGGTGGAGTCCGGCTAGTGTTGAACTTGTTTACGAGAAAGTCGATGAAACCAATGTAGCCCAACTGAATTTTGCAACACCCGGGAAAGCACCGGCAAGTCCTATGAGATATCCACGCGTTGGCCAAAGCAATCCGCTGTCCGATCTTCATTTATTGACTTTTAACGAGAAAACGAAGGAATTTGAAGACCGGCCATTGCTACAGACCTTGGATGAGATTGTTCCGAATTCAGAATACATTTCTCGTGTCAATTGGGACCCAAATGGGAAGCTGTGAGTCCTCTTCCGTCCATTCCAGTCTTCAGGTTGTACTTGAGCTTATTTGATCGGTTCCAAAAGAAGTTATCAGTGGTTGTGTTAGATAAAGAGAACTTTATATCTCCACAAAGGATACCAATAGTTGTCGTCAGGGAGGAAGAGAGCATATCTTGGGTTAATGTGAGTATTTGTTAAGGTAAATAGTTTTTCAGCATAATAATTTGACCTATATATTGCCTTCTTGTAATGAGTATAAAACTGGTGCTTTGATTTACGGGTCGGAGAAGGATGATAAATGCCATTTGTATTACTCGGAAAGGATTATGCACGGTAGGAAGCTTACGACTGAAATTAATTGTAATGCTTTTACAGAAGGTAAACCTTTCACTTGTGATGTGAGAATAACAAGCGGGAAGTGGACGGTGTTAAAAGACGCTCCGGTGGTAGTTGATATACATAGGATGCACATATATTTTTTAGCTTCATATTCTTCTGCTTTCCGTAACCAATTGTAAGTTTATAAATTTTATTTTTTACTGCTCCAGATGTGTGTGTAAGGTTGAAAAGAATTCGCAGCCTCAGCCATTGACTCCGTCGGATTTATGTTTCAAGTAAGTTGTTTCTTATTTTCATTTCAAATCATAGGTATGACAGATGTGATTCTGAACTGAGTCTATGGCCTGAAGTTGGATTCGTTTGCTGGCTAAGTAATGTAAAACAAACTCCGGAATGCCGTTTCTATCAACTTATCCAGAACAACGATGGCAGTCTTCCTGAAGCAAAATTTGCCCATCGGTTTACAATTGATCATGGATCAACTCTTCCAGTCGAGAATACCATAAACGGAGATGTGTTCAGTCCCCTTTCGCCATCGGCAATGTCCGTAGACCAGCCATTGGCCCCGCCTCTAACAGAAATTTTTAATCACGAGTTCTCAGAAACCCTGCTTCCGTGTGGAGAAACTGTTTTTAGCATTGTCTTCACTCCAAATGGCGCCACAAAGCCACTGCCAGTCCTTCATTATGTTTACGGGGGACCTGGACTGCAAATTGTAAAAGACAGTTGGCTAACGTACGTGTAAAATATTGCACACTCATTGGTTCCTTTTTAGAATTTCGCAGTTCTTGAAATTTATAGCCGCAGGGTATGCAATTGTGCTTGTCGATGGAAGGGGGTCGGCAAATCGAGGAATAAAATTTGAAAGTCATATAAAAGGTCGTCTTGTGAGTCTCACAACAAGTTCCCTTTATTTTATTTACTCAGACAGCCCTGTAATATCATGGTTTTAGGGGCAAGTTGAAGTGGAAGATCAAGTCTACGTATTAAAAACATTGGCGTCGAAAAACATGTTGTTGGATATGGACAGAGTTCTTGTAACCGGCTGGTCGTATGGAGGTTATATGTCACTTCGTATGCTAGCTCTTTATCCACAGATATATAAAGGGGCATGCGCAGGCGGAGCTGTTGTTGATTGGAAGCTTTATGACACCTGTTATACCGAAAGGTATATGGAATTTGATTACGATACAAAATATTGGAATTCAAACATCCTCTCAGTTGCAGACAAGCTGCCTGACGAGTAAGTGGATGCGGAGAATATTTACATGAGTTTAGGCCCAACAAACTTCTGATAGTTCATGGATTGATCGACGAAAACGTCCACTTTGCGCATACTGAAAAGCTGGTTCAACAGCTAATTTCGTTAGGAAAGCCGCATCAGTTACTGGTGAGCCGAAGGAAAACTGAATAACTTTTCTTTAGGTTTTCCCAAACGAACGCCATGGTGTCCGCAAGGCCGAAGCAGTAGAATATCTTCATGCGAATATGCTTAATTTCTTTCAAAATGCTATTAATCGATAAAATGTGCCTTGATAAAAAAAATAGTAATACTAATCGGCGCCAATCCAGTGCATTTCATGAACCGTTTAGACTTTTCGTCCACAGACTATCTATTGACCAAAAGAGTGGGACAAACCATAATTGGCAGAAAAAAACGACGTGCCATGAGCAGGGGTGGTCAGTGGGCCGGCCGGGCTCAAAAATGGAAAATTACAAACGGGCCGGGCCGCGGGCCTGGGGTTTTTTCCGGCCCGGCCCGTCTAAATTACAATGCCAAACCGTTGGCATTCATTGTTTTCGCGCCGGGAAAATTAATTGATGTTGTTATAGTTGCTGTTTCTCAAGTTCTAAAACGTTTACAAGTCTATAGTTCCATTATAAAACCACAAAACTATCACATTGATCCTTTACTAGCTATATCAACGCCTTTTTTGCCTAACAGGGGAAGTACCCCAAGTGCGACGCTCAGATTTTGACGAAACTTGGCACAAATTTAGAATAGATTTTTCTAAGACACATGCGAGAATCCTAGCTCGCGCTTTGCAGAAACAACCGAGATTTTTAGATCGATAGTCGGCAAAAAATTTACACTTTTTGCCGAATTTCGGCACGAAAAGTTTCATACCTATTTCTACCGTAAAGGATAATTTTTCTACAAAAAATAAAATTTTTCCGAACGAAACTGCCAAAGTTATGGCCAAAAAACGTTTTTTTCTCTGACCGCTCTCCACGTTTCGCGTACTCTCTCGGCGACAAAAACAGTTCCATATCTCGGTGGCGCTTGCAAAGCGCGAGCTAAAACTTTCAGGAATCGATATTCAGTTCATGCCCGACGCGTGTGCAAAATTTAAAGAAAATCTGAGCGTCGCACTTGGGGTACTTCCCTTGTAAGTTTAGATCCCAAGCTTGGGCGCAGTTCGCAGAACCCTCTATAAACGGGCCTGCACGGGCCGGGCCTGGAAAAAGACTAGACGGGCCGGGCCGGTAATTAGACGGGCCGGGCCGGTAATTAGACGGGCCGGGCCGCGGGCCGAAAATCGGAAAAATAGGGTCCGCTGACCACCCCTGGCCATGAGAAAATAAAAACATGTTGGGAAACACTTGACACAAGCGGGGATAAATTTGGCTCATCCTGCAGCTCAATGTCTTCGTGGCAAGACTAAATAAAAAATACGTTGGGTCCATTTTTTGGCGTTCGGAATCAGAAAATTCCGACTGCTTTCGTAATTCCCTTTGTTGAGGCCAACTTCCTTTAAAATGGTAAGTTAAAACAATATGATCGTATGTTTAGACTATTGGAAAGAACAATAAGATGATGGCCCATTTGGGTTGGCGGATGAAGGTAATCGTTCAGGACAGTAGAACTTTCGTTGGCTATTTTAAAGGTAATTCTTGTTTCAAGTGCGAATCTAATTAATATTCTTTTAGCGTTTGACAAACACATGAATGTGATTCTTTCCGATTGCGAGGAGATCAGAAAAATTAAGCCAAAACCTGGAAAGAAACTTGTAAACGAGGAAGAAAAGCGCACTCTTGGACTGGTCTTGTTGCGTGGGGATAAGATCATTTCAATTAGTGTGGATGGACCTGCCCAGAAGGACGATGATTCGCGAGTTCCTAAGGCCGGTGGAAGTGGCGGACCAGGCCAAGCCAAACCAGCCACCCGAAGCGTTCCACAACTGCCCACTGGTGCCCCAGCGGGCCTGCAGGGACCTCTTGGAGGTCATGGAATTCCAGGGATGCAACCTCCATACGGTGTTCCTCCGATGGGACAGCCACCTCGTCCTTTTTAATCAACACGATCTGATCTCTCATTGTTATTTATCTTTTATAAAATGTTTCTACAGATATCATTGTTTCGTTTTGGTGCTGTCCACAGAAGTATTTGGTTGACGGAAAAACGATGATTTAACGTTTCAGGAGTAGCAAAAGATGCCACCAAAAAAGAAGGGAGATGAAGAGAAACCGCCGCTGCTTCTTGGCCGTATGGGAACAAACTTAAAGGTGTATTAATTGTGTTGTATTAATTTTCTGTTTTAGATGGGTATCCTAGGATTGCCAAACGTCGGAAAAAGCACGTTTTTCAACGTGCTTACTAAGAGTGAAGCTCAAGCGGAAAACTTTCCTTTCTGCACCATCGACCCGAATGAGGCGCGTGTAGCTGTTGCAGATGAACGTTTCGACTGGTTATTAGCCAACTGGAAGCCGCTGAGTCGAGTTCCCGCGTTTTTGAACGTGACTGACATCGCCGGGTTAGTGAAAGGTGCATCCGAAGGACAAGGTCTTGGGAATGCCTTCCTTTCCCATGTTAGTGCTTGCGACGCTCTCTTTCACGTCTGCCGTGGATTTGACGACACCGACGTGACTCATGTTGAGGGAGAAGTTGATCCTGTTCGGGATTTAGAAATAATCAACAATGAACTCATTTTAAAGGACCTCTCTTATCTTGAGTCGGCTCTGGAGAAGTCCGAGAAACTTGCCATTCGTGGAGGAGACAAAACTAAAAAGCCCGAATATGAATGTCTGCAGAAAGTGAAGGAGTTATTAGACGGCCAGAAATTCGTTCGTCATCAAGTATGGAACGAGAAAGAAATTGAAATTTTAAACAAGCATTTGTTCTTGACTGCTAAACCAATCGTCTACTTAGTTAACTTGAGTGAACAAGACTATATTCGCAAGGTAAGCATATAGGCTTTAATCGAATTTTTTCGTTTTAGAAGAATAAGTACTTGGCAAAGATCAAGGCTTGGATTGACGAAAACGATCCTGGGGCTACTTTGATTCCATTCAGTGGAGCCTTCGAATTGAAGTTGGTGGAGATGGATGAAGACCAAAGGGCTGACTATGAAAAACTCGTCGGGGCCACTAGTGCTTTGGATAAAATTGTCAAGACTGGGTACAAAGCTCTTCAACTAGAATACTTCTTTACTTGTGGGAAGGATGAAGTCAGAGCCTGGACAATTCAGGTATTGTTGTGTTAGCGGATATAACATATATTAGAAAGGAACGAAGGCCCCACAGGCTGCTGGTCGTATCCATACTGACTTTGAGAAAGGATTTATTATGGCAGAAGTGATGAAATTCGATGATTTGAAAGAAGCTGGAAGTGAACAAGCCGTCAAGAGTGCTGGAAAGTACAGACAGCAAGGTCGTAACTACACCGTCGAGGATGGAGACATTATTTTCTTCAAATTCAACGCTGGCGCTGGCCTTACAGGAAAGAAAAAGTAGACTCCAACACATAATGTACTGGTCGTCGTTGTTATTTTTAAGTTTGATAAATGTTTAAAATTTTCATACTGGGATGAAAGATTATGGTGTTAACCTTAATACGTTACTGCTTGCTGAAGTTCATAACAAAAACTAAAAAAAAATTGGATTTCTGTTCTTTAGCAAAATTATCGTTGATGAAATTTATTTGGAGTTCTCCCAACAAGAACATCTTCTCTTTTTCCAAAAGTTTTGATCATTTAGGGAGAGAGAAGTAAGGAGGCAGGGTCTTCTTGATCTGTCTTTAGCTATCAAATTCCTTGAGGGGTGGAGTATGACTTCTTTGATTTGCCTCTCAATGTCTTCGAACTCTCTGTCCGAGCCGCTCTTCTTCTATTACCGCCTTCGGGGTGCGAACAGCAAATCAGCGTCTCTCGTTGAATGGTGCGTTCGACCAGGAGGCGGGAATTTTATTTTTCTCTGGTTAGTGGGCCTTGCGTAGCGCCGCGTTATGCCTCCAAAGTATTCTCCTTTCTCTTGCTACTCTCATGAGCGCTCTACGCGAGCAGATGGAGCAAAATGCGCGTTTGGAAAGTCTTTAGCACCTCCTTCAGCCCTATGTCGACCGCCCCTGTCTGTGCATTTCGCGTTGTCGAGGGGGACGGGCTTTGGGTCGTCTCTCTGTTTTCCATCCTCGGCCCAACCCTCCTTTATAATTTTGCATAATGGGGGTGGGCCTTAACGCTTATTTTTTCAATTCGATTAAAGTTTGGATTCGATCGTGCCAGGAAAAGAACTTATGTTATAACTCGCTAATAACACTTAAAGCACGTATTTCGACATATGCCACTATGAGTAATTGCATTAAGTTACAGTAAACATTTTAGAGGTTGATCACTGCTTAGAATAAAAATAAAACTGGCGCCCAATAGATCAACTCAAGGAAACGCACAGGCCAATGGCCAGAAGCCGAATACTGTGATATCGAATTCTGGTCAGACCCTTTATCAACTGGGTAATTCTCAGAACATGGTTGGTTTTTCATTAACTTGAAAATACTATTGTTTTCTGAAGTCGGATTTTTCAACTTTTAGGTCTTGCTGCAAAACCCGCAAGTTGCGACGCCTGTAAATCAAGTTGTAAGTGCAAGTGCCGCTCCCAATACGAACCAACAGAGGATCATTTTTATTCCAAATAGACCTCAAACGTCCATGCCGCAGCCAATGAGCAGCACACAGCCGCAACAAGTTTACCTGTTGCAGAATGGTTCGCAGTCAAATCAACCAGTAAGTAACTAAGAGGATTCACTTTAATCTGGTTCTTCAGATTCTAATACCGTTTATTCCTGGCAACTCACAATCCAATAAACCCCAAATTATACAAGTCGCTACATCGATGTCCACCCCGTCATCGGCCGGTATGAGTCAGGTGGTTTTAGCCCCCAGTTCGCAGTCAGTGCAACAACAGCCACAACAAACTCAGCAACCCCGCTTCGTAAACATCACAAAGGCCGAAGCAAAGCCAGAGGTTCAGAACCAATTTGTACATATTATGCAGCCAACTCAGATGCAGAAACCCCCTCAAGTTATAAATGCCAGTCCTCAAAGACCTCCGGCAACATCTCCTTCAAAACAAAGCACACCAGGACAACAACAGACGCGGATTACTCTTGGTGAGGCTCTATTTTGTATGATTGAAATTTGTTTAGGCAACCTTCATTTCAAACAAGATCCAAATGACCCACTAAAATGGATTATCACAAATGATTCTGATCAGCCGGCAAGTGGAGCGCCGGCAACTCCTATTCAAAATAACACACCAAGTCGGGGGAGCACGGCCGGAAGCTCTGGCATGTTTTTATCACCTCTAGATTCTGGAAATGGGACGAAGAAACAAGCCAAACGAATCGCTTGTAACTGTCCAAACTGTCAGAGTAACCAAAACAAACCGTAAGAATCCCTTTTGATTCGCTGTATTTTTGAACTTGAATTATTTGTAGAAATGGGGAACGTCAACGCCTTCATGTCTGTCACATCTGTAATAAGACTTACGGCAAGACGTCGCATCTCCGTGCTCATCTACGGGGACATGCAGGAAACAAACCATTTGCATGCGATTGGAATATGTGCACGAAGAAATTCACAAGATCTGATGAACTACAACGACATCGAAGAACGCATACCGGGGAGAAAAGATTTGTGTGTACGCAATGTAGCAAGAAGTTCATGAGATCAGACCACTTGTCCAAGCACATTCGAACACACAGCAACCCAAGAGCTTCAGCACCAGTTAGGCCCGAAGTAATCGGCCATGTCGTGGCCGCGGCAGCGAATCAAGTACGGGTCGACTCGCAGATGATGGAATAACTGTCTTATATCACTCAAATTTTTTTTGCTAAACGGGTCGTTTCGTAAAGTAAACCATTTATCAATATTTTAAATTCAAGAAACGTGATTAAAGATTAGATACATTCTCTTAATCAACCTTAATAGAGGCATCCTGGGATTGATCAATGGTTTGATTGGGCAAATGGAGAGATCCCGAGAAATCATCGAGATCGCCAGGATCTGGCTTTTTACTTTTTGGTGATATTCTCCTCATGTCATACCTATAAGATACCTTCCGAAAAAAAAGGCTTACATTACTGTTTTCATTGCTTGGTTTGCAAAATCCGCAAAGTGGGCACGGTCAATACGTGCAGTATTCGACAATTTGTTAACGTCATAAAGTCCCAATAGATCTAGAACAGCGCCGGTTATTTGCTCTTTCACATCTATTCCGATGTCGTTAACCTTTCCTTTTGACATGGGGCGATCTCTGACTGTGAATTGATGTATCAGTTCTTTCGGAATCATCTAAAAACGAAGTTAAAACTTCATCGTGAAAAGTCGGTGCTACTTGCAAGTCAATGATGCACTAACCTCATCAAATATGCATCGTATATAACGTGTTATAACGTCCCGATTTCGCAAATTCTTCCGGCCAATCTTTACCCCCAGCGCTCTAGCTACACCAACCAAATCAACAGATCTGAGAGGAGCTTGGGCAACCAGCACCCATTCCTGTGTGACCTCAGCATTCAAATCAAACACTCTCCCAGTGAGTCCGTTATTCTGTCGATGTAGACTTGCACTTCTTGTATCAATAATATCAGCATGCAGTTTCTGAACCTCCTTCTTCAAGGAATTAACCTGCATTGCCAGCCCAGCAATCATTCTCGCGTTTTGTTCCACAGTAGCGCTCTTCACTCCTTGAACGAGCATATTAACGTTTAGTGGATACTGAATTGAAGGATCGTTGACGAAAAGTTCATTCAGATGCTCCACGGAGTTCTGTGGCTCATGTTTTGAAATCTCGTCAAAGAGTTCGGAAACGTTGATAGAATATCTATCGCTGATCGTTCTTCTGGATATGCTGTTAGTTGATGAAGGGAAGTATTCACTCGAAGGTGCGTCAACCACCTCTATTTCTTCTTGAACAACTTCGTCTTCATCTAGAAAAGAAATGAGCTTCATGATAATAACTTACAATAGTCCCTCGGAGCTTTTCGCCGACGTGATTCCTTCAGAATCCTCGCTTTGTTCACATTCCGAGGAGTAGTGTCGTGTACAGGGCTTACGGCCTCGTTTTTCATACTGAACTTGGCTCTCTTGGCAGATCCGCCCTCCCCTGAGGAATCATGAAAACCGCTAGCTTCTGTTTCTTCCAGCGCACAAACATCAACTTGACGGTCACTTTCGTCAATTTCATCAACGTCGCAAGAATAAATAAACTCATCTGGCGCCACCAGATGAATTTCAGGAGCTAATTGTGGTACGACAGTACTCTCAGGTTGTAGTTTAAAACCATGTCTAGACCATCGTGGAAGGGCAATTGGTGCCTTCAGCCGGGTGAGCTCGACTTGTCTGAACATTCTATACGGTTGCCCCTAAATACACCCATATAAATATGTCTTAACGCATACCGCTTGCTGCTGATATTGTTCGCGAGAAGAAGCGACGAGCTGTTCGTCATAATCGCCTAAAATTTTAAAAAGACAACGACATTGAGATAAAAATAGCAAAAACAATGCAAAAAATTTAAAATTACGATTTGTCGCAAAGTTCTGAGACCGTCTTACGCGCTTCATCATGCAGGCTGCCGCCAAAGCTTCAGACACTACTGCAGTTTGCGCTTGTCCAGCTTCGATTCGCCTCGTTACAGCGGCAAGCGTTTCATCGTTTCGAGACCCAGGATCTGGATCCATTTTATACGATGAAACGTTTACATTCGTTTTTTTATTTTTATGCGCAGCAAACGAAGCAAAAATCCCTGCCTTCAAGACAATTTTTCGAAAGAAAAAGTTGTCTTGAAGGCGGTGAATACCAAATCTGTTTAATAATCGCAACATCCTCATCGTTTTAGAAAGTTTAGACAAGCGAGAATAGCAAAAACCAGCGTATATTCGACAACTTGGCAAAAAAAGACGTGGGAAGCGATTTGGGGTTTTCGTGATCTCCGGGAGAGTAGCGAATAGGATTTTTCGCTACCGACATAGATTGGGGTAAACACTTTCCCTGATGAAAAGGTTTTTCGTCTTGAACAGAGGTAGAAAACCAGCTTCTTTTTTCGATAACCTTTATATGTAAAGCTTTGAAAAAGTACTGTAAAGAAGTAAACTGTTATTGAATTTGAGATACTGCAAATGCAATCTGTTATAAAACTTAATGCTACAAATACCCATAAAAAATTGCCGGGCCTGGAAAAAAGTCAGGCCCGGCGGTCGGACCGTTTTAAAATTTGTCAGACACGATCCAATCGGGCCTCATCCACTGTTGTTTTTCTTGCCGGTTGTGGACATCCAGGACCATGTATAACATCCAATCTCGCAATATTTTGGCAGGTTCTCATGCAAAAGCTTATTTTTTGGGGTGCAGACGAAAGATTACGTTTTGGCCCTGCTGAAAGCTCGTAACGATTATGTTCATCTTCATCTCCTCCCTAAAAAAAAGTTTCTTACAGGGGAACCTGCCAGATTTTGCGACTGCAGGTTATACATGGTCCTAAATGTCGACAAGCTCTCCAGCAAGAAAAGCAACAGCTGTCTTATCAATCGAAAGAGATCTAATCAGGCTAGCTGAAAGTATCTAATTTAGTCAGTTTTCGAATCGTCCATCCAGAACTGAACCATATGCTTTATAATAATCCAGATCACTTCTGATACAATAAAAACAGGTAAAAACGTAAAACTAAAACTATAATGTCTTGTTTAAAGCTACATAAAGCCCAAAAAAAATCTTTTTCAAGAGGGGGGGGGGACTTCCCATCAGGGAAAGAGTTGACCCAAATCTATCTCGGTAGTGGAAACCCCGATTCGCTACCCCCTTATTCGCGAGGAGCGAAAATGCCGAGCCGCGGCCGTAGGTGGTAAAAACAAAGATTTACCCCCAAACGGAGGTAGCTAATCGGGGTTTCTGCTACTTCCCCAAATTAGTAGCGAATTCAGCAAAAAATTTCGGTCACAGGAGCGAATTCATTTTTATGTTTTGTTTCAAAATTGGGGTGCAGAAACGTGTACGCTAAAAATTTTGTTGTCGTTTTGAAAGGACTTATTTAAAAGCTGTTTTCAGGTGTCATTTTTAGTATTTGAAAGAATAACAGTTGTATGAACCCGTCGTCAGCGGAGTTGCACACTCCACTCATTCGTGTGAGGCAAATGTAAGTTCAGAGGTAATCTTGAGGGATTTTTAGGACTCTTCAATATTAAACTAAAAATTTGTTTAGAGCAGAATGTAATTACCAACCACAACCTTCAACTCGGCTTCTGTCTGCTTGCGGTAATCTCGGAGACTATATAGTTGTTGAGAAAGATGGAAGGCTCAGTTCGATTAAAGACGATTATTCCATCAAGAAGATCATTGACTTCCAGAAGCCTGTAAAGGTAAACTCTACATTATGATATATTCTTTTATTTAGGTCGCATTTGCTAATGGATGTCTAATTCTTGTAACGGCGGATGGGTTTTGCTTCCGTTCGGTACTTGTTGCGAACAGTTCGCTAAACGAACTTGTTTTTGGTCAACACAACGACACTATCTATATCGAATTTTCAAAGGAACAGGTTTGTTTTGACTTAGATTCTTTTGATTTCTCTTACAGGCCGAGGCATTATTGCATTTGGAGGACAGCGTCCAAGGAGGGTCGTTTCTAATCTCCAGTTTCTTGGAAGATGTTCGACGGTTTGTTGATTCTGGAGATGAATCCTCAGTTGTGCCCATAGCGTTGACAAAACAGTTGTTTAATGAGTTGGAAATTGCTTTAACCTCAAATGAAGCAACACATTCGTATGCCTTCCATCTCTTGGAAAAAATGAGAGTATGTCATTATAAAACAGGTAATATTTTTTCAGTTCTTCCTTGATCCGTTCAAGCCATATAATGTCGACATTCCTGCGGATACATTCCCATATTCAACCCAACAAGATGTTTGCCGTGTTTCAAATATGACTTCTGAAGCCGCCCGGAGATTATCGTTCTATAGATGGCCTAAGGGTGAATGTCTGTTTGCACAACCGAAAAACCTTGCTAATGCTGGATTTTTTTTGCGTCCTTCGGCTGGAAATCTGGATCGAGTTTGTTGTTTTTCATGCGAAGTTTGTCTTGTAAACTGGGAGCCTCAGGACGATCCTATTCGAGAGCATGTAGAGCATAATTCCAAGTGCAATTTTATGAATGGAATGGAGAAACGAAATATCACATTTGAAGAGACCAAGGCCATGTTGCCGTTTCTGTCATGGGCCCAAATTGAGCAAAGCGATGTAAAAATATCCCCTGAAGAAATTTTGGTAGGAAGTTGTGACACGAGTTGTTCATGGATAGCAACTGCCGTCTCCCCGCTGCCCGGTCATAACAAACCGAGCATCTTTCTTTTTGATTTAAACAAAGTTTCTCAGAGACCTGTTGAGATTTTGTTGGACTTATATGCGACTTGTATGGCTGGTTCTCTACAGTCGCGACCGGAAGAGCCGAGAAAATCGACTGGGGCATTTGATTGGTTAAACAGTGTCAACGACATTGCGAATATTATCGATGGAAATCAGAAGTCAGAATCCCCACTATGCACAATTACCTCGTTATGCACAACGAGTTCCCTAGATGAAAATGTGCAGATTACTAGTAGTGATAAGATTATCGCTCTCCTTTGTACATCGGTTTTGGTAGACGAAACGAGGCTTAAAAAATGTATGTGTCTGGTTGATTTTGTAATGTTTTGAGGTTAGCTCTTAGCAATGAGGCCTCAGTTGAAGAAGTTTTGACTTTGAACACGATTAATACTTTCTGCGAAACAACCAGGATTGACGAGTTTGACTATGGCGTGGAGGTTCCTCGAAGACCATTTATTTTGGTGCATCATGTTGTTGAATTTCCTGGGGACGCAGTTACAGAGCCATTGACTTTTGTATATCAAGCCGCGGGAAAAAGTATGTCCATTTTTATTATTTTAGTGTTTAATTTTAGGTTCTGATGATATGATCACTGATCAAGTTGAAAAGTCAGGTAAGTTCGTAATGATATGTTGACACACTCTGTTTCAAAATTATAGACACGCCTGTAAAATCTGCAATTACGGTGTCGGGGTTTAATTGACGGATGCGGACCCTTAAACCCGAAATTGGGCAGCTAATTTTTATACATATTCTTAATCAGCATGATTTTTCGGTGAGGTATGTCCTGTCTAAAAGTCGGAGCCCCCGTAAAAGTATTTAGTTTGTTAGCTAACCACTTGTGATTGTGGGCCCCATAATGCCTGAAATTATTCATATGACTGCACAGTACAAATGTCTGGGCTTTATCGACTTTAAAATGCCTAGATTTTCTTGCAATTTTCCCGGAAATCCTCTATTTTGTGTAATCAGGTCAGGTTGTGTAATCTGTCAGAAGTTCTAGATGCGACCTACGGTATTTAAGGACTAGATGCAGTCAGTTTTTAAAAAACACGTGGGCCTAAACGTTTTTACAAGAACCTAAAAATTCCAGTGTTGAAGTTTTTGTATATAGCTTGTTCTTGTTTCACAAGTTTTGAGTTAAAATTGCCGCCGCCTCTGTAATTTTGAAACACCCAAATTTGGAAAATCTTTTGTTTAAAGTAAAATTATAGTGCAATAGGAAAAATTATTTTTTGGTGAATGTGTTCAAACCTCTATCAATCTGTAAAGGTTTCAAGTGAACCCCGACACCGCAATTGCAGATTTTACAGTCTGTCTGTCATTTTGAAACAGTCTGTAAGAATGTTTTAGCTGATAGCGCAAGACCAAAAGAAACCGAATACATCCCTTTGTATTACAATGCTAAGGAGACCGTTGCGGTTGGTATCCAGTGCATTCGCTTACCTCCGGAGTTCGACAACACAGACTTCAAGGTACAGTGTGGATTATGAACAAATATTTCTTAGGTCTCCACGATGCATTTTGGTAATGATGGTTCTAAGCTTTTGGTTATTATCGACCCGTCTTCCTCCGCTTTGACCGATTTCTCATCATCGATTCTGGTTTACACTCGAATACCTTCATTGTACATGTTCCGCCTGGAGCCAGCTTTGAAGTTCACTGTGAAGAAAAAAGTAAAAAATGCGTATTTTTTGGGCAACGACTACTTTGGCGCATCAACAACTCATCGCGACAGTGCCAGGTCGACCGAGCCGTTAAACGAAACCATCATCATCCATTATGCAGACGGAACTCTGGAGATAATGGATTTGGACTTTTGTCAAACTTGCAAGATTGAGGCCGATTCAATCCTTGATGTAACCACCAAGTCTTCGAACGCGTTAATGGCCGTGACCACATCGGGAAAGTTTGTCAATATTGATATTCATACATCTATTCCTACGTGCCATAGTGATTTCCTGGATGAATTAATTGTGGCATTGATTGAATCATCGGACAACGGACACATCGACGAACACTTGTTTAACCGAGTTCTAACCTCCGGTGGCCTAAGATTGAAATACGACGATGTCATCGGTTCTATTAATGAATCGCCCGCGAGTGCCGTGAATTCTTTTGGCGACTTGAGGAAATTGTTTAGGATGATAAAAAGCCAACCTTTATGCCAACAAAGTATTCCGATTTCAGACCGAAATCTATCGGCAGGGACAGCGGCAAATCTGTAAGGGTTTTTAAATGGTTGCGTACTAAGACCAGGAATTTTAGACAGAATGCTGTGGGCGTCAGTATTCAAACATCCTCCGAGTTCGTGGAATATATGCCATCCAGAAATCGTGGTAGCCCCCAAAATCTTGCTGTTTTGGCGGCCACGAATTGTCAGGAATTCTCTGCCATCAACAAGTATGTATATAACGAGTTGTTCTCATCTAATCATGATGCAACAAGAGTATGGCAAAGTAAGGTACAAAAGGACCAACAGAATCGGACACTCATTATGGAAATGACAATTTCGGTAATGTTATGAAGTGGTTAATTTAACCTCATTTCTATTTATAGTTTGGGTTCAATCTGAGCCATCTGAATATAAATGTTGGATTTTGCGGCTTTGTTCGAGGATCTCCAGACATTAAGATGACCATTTACATAGCCAAGTCTGGCAATTCTACAATTGTCGAGGATCTTGGAGACGTTTTGCCCTCATTACAAACTTTACCTGGTCCCAGCTCTGGTTTTTCAATTGAACATTATTTGGATTTCTTATGTTCCACGAAAGGAATATTGGAATCAAATGTACGTGATCTTTAAACACTTATATTTTTCTTTTAGTATACAAAAGTTATTGGTCCAATTGATGTTGCGGACTTTGTGGATGGAGAGGGGAAACAATCTGTAATCCAAGTGTCGGTTGTACCATTACTTCTGGCTGCTGCAGCAATAAATAAGAAGAACGGGTCTATCAAAGAAGGCTGGCTGGCAGATACCTATCGTTTCTACATTGTGTTTGAAGTGAATGAAGCTTTGACGGAGGCGCAAATGGAATTCTCTGACATGCAAACAAATATGTCGCAATTTAAGGATAGCGTAGTTACAGCTGGGGCCAAGCGCAGTCGAAACACTGAAGTTCCGTCGGGCGGAATCATTCCGTTGCCTCAGGGAAGACTCTCGATTTCTGGAGAAAAGAAGAAGCAGTACACAAAAACTAAGTTTACCACTAGAAAAAGAAATCAGGCGATGAGCATGGTTGCGGACATTGTGACCACAAACGTGTTAGATCCGTTTTACAATGGTAAGGCCTGAGTGGTTGGTAAAATCTTGTTTTTAGTCTTGCAGAAGAAGGAGTTTGTTTCGGCCCTAGAATATGTTAGCGTATCTGCCTTCCAATACACCAATTCATTACAAAGGCCAAACTACCAAAGGTGTCTTTTGTTTACGAATTCAGACCTTCATGACAGACTGATTCGAATCTTGGCTGGAGTTTCTGATATCCTTGATAGCGAACCTTATTACAAGACGGTCTCATCTCAACTTTACGCAGTCGATTTACTGCAGTTTGCCGTCTCTAACTTCCGTACGACCGGAAATGCGTATGTGGTCGATTTAATTAGCATGATTTTTTAGTTCCGCAATGAGCAGACTGTTTAAAAGCGTGGTCGACGTGATGCCATTTATTGTATTCAACTGTTTTGTTGCAAGCCCAAGGGCTGTCGCACACAAAACCGCTGTGTTTATTCTCGATATAGCGGATCTGACCGCGAAATTAGATTTTAATTTGGTCGAAGATGCATTCAAGGTCTTTACAACGTCAGTTAGGGAGATTCTTGGCAACAAGAGGCGATTCCGTTGTGCTGGGTCGATGCATTATTTATGTGTGCTTATATATTCATTGTGCAAGGTAAGTCGGAATTGTTGGTGTGTAATATTTGTCCAGCTGATCATCTCCAAGTCCATGTCTCCGGACACTCTGAAATCCGTTCAAAAATTGCAACAAGCTTCTTCTTCAATCGTGCTAGAAGTTTCCAGGATGTGGCATTCCAAGCGGGCTGGATGTATTGGTCAGCCCTCCCGGGTTCTGTCACTGGATGAGCTTTATCTTTACGATTACCCGTCTCAGGTTGCAGTGTGGGCTTTCCAACCAGATAAGTTGGAATCTGCATGTGCCTCTGGCAAGGGCACTTATGGCGCTGTATTCAATAAGAACGAAAGCGATCGGTCTTTGGTGGATGTCAGGAAACGGATTCCTTCATCTGCTTACAAATCATCGTTTGCTTTTGGAGACACTGCGGCCAAAACGAATGAAGCCATCAAGATAGACAAAAGCAACAAGTACGAAATAAATACTGCCTTGGCTACAATGTTAATCTTCGACGAGAGCAAAGACGTGGGTTTCCTGACATTTTTATTTAATCTAAGCTTAGGTTGAAATGAAATGGTATGAACATGCCGGAATTTCCGCACTCATTGCGAATCAGGGTGTTCCAAAGACGAGTGAAAAGAAGCAAATATCAAGTTTGGGCGCTACTCGTAGGGCTATGTATGCTGCCGGCGGCAACGTTGAAGAGGGCTTCAAACAAGTTACTTCAGGGCAAAGTTTAGCCAAAAGCTGCAACGAACAACCAGAAGAAAAGGGGTTGGCGGATGTTTTATCATCAGCATCATCTCGGTCTCTGTTTGAAACACTCCAGAATCACTTTGGAAAGGAGAACACGTCTCGCCTGGAAATGGGCTCCGAGTTCTTCTCAGGGCTTTTGGAAGCCGAACCGTTATTCTTTGAAGTTGTTAATTCGAACCAACACGTACGTGTGGTAGATCTGAATGCAAACAGAGATGTTAAAATGAATGCCGACATAAAGGTTGAGTCCTCGACTCCGCTGCCCATGGACGAGTTCAGTGTCGATCCCGAATTGGATGATATTACAAAAGGGATCCAGACGAGATTCGACTTCGAAAGAAAACGTGCGTTTATGCCGTCGCAGAGTAAGAACCTGAAAATCTTGTATGGCAATGCGAGGTCGAACGATAAAAAGGTAATTAATTATTATTTTTCATGCTTCTACGTATCAAATCTTAGGCCGAAATGTTCAAAGGATTGGCTGAAATGTATGTGTTAGGATGCCACAACAAATTTGTGCAAAATATACAAAGTTCCCCGAATGTTTTGAAAAATGATCAGGGTCATAATAAGAGCGACGTCCCGGAATCTGTCTTCTATGATGACATGAACGTCGACGTGGATGCTGAGGTTATTCCGGAACTTGACGCCGAAGATGAGGCTTTCTCCACCAAGGGTCTCGAGATGACTTATGACGCCAAGAAACCGTCGTCACGAGGCAACAGATCAGTGGTGTTTAGAAGGCCTCCAATGTTGTTGGTCGAATTTGAGAATTGCCACGCCGGACAGGTCTTTCAAATGGTATTGGATCTTCATTTACCCACCTTGATCACCGATTTTATTATTCCGGCTAATGAAATAATGTCAGCCGTTTCTGTGGATGGATGGCTCGATGATGAACGCAGGAAGTCCAGAATAGCCTACAGCACCGAGATTGAGCGAAGGTCGTTGGTTTTGAAGAATATGAATTCTCCCGATTTGGTTAGATACATCAGATTATCATTTACCATCCGAGATTCTCGAAAGAACAGAACGGCCTTTATGGTGGGCAATTTTTATGGAATTCGGTTCGTTTCTCCGTGGAATATCTACAATCATGAATGTGAAGATGAACTCCTGGATGCAGCACTGAAAATGGTAAGAATTGCAAAAAAAATGAATCTTTTTTTTAGAATTGCATTGGCTTAAAGGATGTAGAGAAAGCTACTGTACGTCTCAGGCGCCGTTACGAAACGCTGGCTTCACAAGCGAAAAAGTTGCTGACACAAGGAACACCCGACGCTATGAAGACTTACAACGTTGCCATGGCGGATCGCGTGTTGTTTAATACCTTCAACAATATCTTGCAACGCTCGAGAATTGACATGCATCCGGCAAACGAGGTGTTGAGACAAAAGAAAGATGAGGCCAGAACCTCCACGGATCAGAGAATGCGAGATTGGTATGGATGTGAAACAAACTTTCTCGAATTTTCGTGGAGTAAGCACAGCACGTGGGATGAAGCCTCAAGTGATGAACTGAAGTGCATTCTTCACGAATGGATGCTGCTTTCCAATGACATTCATTTCTTGTTGCAGACTTTTAAGAAAGATGATTTATCCGAGGTAGGTTTCTGCAATCGTTATGTTTATTGTTTTCAGTTCGTTTCTTCTGCGAATGTGCCATTAGATTTGAACAGCGCTGTACTACTATTTGGTTGTTTAACATGCGACGTGGACCCAAGCATACAAGCTCAGTCCTGTGCCTATCTTTTCCATCAAGGTAATCGTATGATTTGGTGGCCAGACTTCTTCCCTGCCGTCATCAAGAGGTACTTTGTCAATGGAATGTCAGAACAGATAGAAGACGCATTTGTTCGTTTGGTCTTTTTGTGCCACCATTCAGTTCAGCATAACGATTTGAGAATTCCAATAATGGATCGGCTGTTAAATTATGTCATAGAACTGACAACGATATCAGATTGGACAGCCAGCATAGATACAAACCAGCTATCTTGGGCTCTATTGCTTATGTCCAATGCTTTCGATGTAATCGTTCCGAATACTCGACACCTTGACCGATGGGCTTTCTTATCCGGTCATTCTTGTATAAACTACCTTCCCAACGTGCAGAATTGTGAGATCACTACAAACAGAAGGTATACGCGAAAGGTGGGCACAGTAAAGGATCACAACTATTGGGGGAGCCCCGATATGCCCCAGTCGTTTTTGCAAGGAATAACAAGCGCTCCAATGCAATATACTGATAAATACGGCCAAATCCCAGTCATTGAACAACCAACATGGGTGGAACTTCGAAGGCTAGCGACTGATATCAAGAATCTTGGGAAGGACTTGGATACCAAACTTCACAATAATAACATTTCACCGGACACATATCACATGCTGAAGAAGGAACAAAAGCAACTCAGTCAACTGTATCACACATCCCAGACATGTCTGACTAAGGGATCTATGAACTTCGAGGGCCTTTTTGAGAAAGTTTTTCAGTCTGGGTTAGACAAAACGACAGAGTCTACATCACAAGCACCGTTGGCGGCCCAAGAAGACACCGAAGATGATAAAATAAAGACGGATCAGGGGCAACACACCAATGATTTGAAACAGAGACTTCTGAAGATGAGAAAGAACCTCCAAATATTGTTGAAACAGATTAGTAAGTCAAAATGAAAATGAAAACTTTTTGTAGAATACAGCCAATACTCCCGAAAGAAGATCAATGAATCTGGAATATCAAGATCAAGACGGTTTGCAGTCAGAATCAAATTGAGGAATGATACTGTGGTGAAAAGCATTAAGCTTCTAATCAACTTGTTCTGTCGGAAAAGCAACATTTTGTCGCAGGGAACTCAACTTCTTCTTTTCAAGATATGTTCCAAGCTGAGTGTACATGGATGTGCAATTCCGGTTTCGTTCAGAGAAATTATGGAATCGATGGACGCGACCAAAGAGTTACTGGCATCAGGTTTGAATCGTCATATTCTTTCACATTTTATTCATTCATCTTTAGTGTTTGAAAACGCGGATAGAAATGATTGGCTCCGGTATGCTTTTATGAGTTTTGTGCTGGATGTCGTGGAATCTGAGAATGCCATTCAATCTGTAGTTTCCATTGAGACAACCCCGTCGACAAGTGCGCGGAATGCGAATGTTAGCGATACTGAAGAACCAATTTATTCACCGCATTTTGAAGGTGAGATATTATTATAAAATACAACTTATATGTTTGAGGCCCTATTTGAATTGGCTATAACTTCTTTATTTTTCGGCCACATTTGAAGACTCTTTTTTTCCATGACTCCTCATAATCCCCCATTTTGTTTAATATCAAATAGGTGGCAGGAACACTGAAATCTTGCCATCTTCGTCGTGAACAACAAAAGATTTTTAAAAAATGCCGTAAAATCAGTCGTACATCGTGAACGGTGGAGGATATTAATGGAAAACCTAAGGCCTGTTTCATAAACGAAAAATATTAAATAAAATAGATGAAAGGGAAATAGAGAGAACACCTAAAACGCATTTCGAAGTGAGAGAGTTGCGACAGATTGGTAGAACCCATCTCTAGAGCGGCGAATTTATCAGAGCGATCGGAGTCATTTTTTACGTCCAAAACGGGGGGTTCTCTACAATAATCAGTGGATAACTCGGCTCCCGGTGGGCGTAGAATCGCCCTTCCAAAAACCAAATAAAGCTAGTTCCAACAGCTGGGAGACTGACTTTACGGTCCCCCCTCTTTCGGGTGGCGCCTTTTCGGGCCCGCCTTTTGGGGTGGAAGACTTTTCGGTCCCCGTCCTTTCGGCTGGCGCCTTTTCGGTCCCTGGGCTTTTCGGGCGGGGACTTTTCGGGTGATGAGTAAAAAATTGTAAAATAAGATACTACTGATGATGCAATATTGTAAATAATTTAAAAAAAAAACTTTTTCATCCGTTTTTTTTGGGAGTTTCGAGTTAGAATCACCCACCCACCCTGCGACATTTTCAATACAAAACTTCAAAATAACATTAGAAGAAGTGATAAAAGTTTAACATTATCAAATCGTCCATGAAGAAGCTGAATTTCTAATTGAAATTGGCATAAAATCCTGCATTAAATCGGAAAATTCATTACTAGTAATCTTATCACTTACGAATTGTGTTATTACTGTTATTTTCCGTTTTTTCTTTTGTAATTCGTTAATTAATAATTATTAATAATTAATTTTTCAAATACTTTTTGGCAAATGTAAACTTCTTTTTCGGATTCTTCTCGGACGCTTATCTAAAAGAATCTGTTTTTTGGTCGAAAACCCCAAAACCGGATGAAAAAGTTTTTTTAAAAATTATTTACAATATTGCATCATCAGTAGTATCTTGTTGTACAATTTTTTACTCATCACCCGAAAAGTCCCCGCCCGAAAAGCCCAGGGACCGAAAAGGCGCCAGCCGAAAGGACGGGGACCGAAAAGTCTCCCACCCCAAAAGGCGGGCCCGAAAAGGCGGGGACCGAAAGTGGGGGGACCGAAAAGTCCTGACTCCCCAACAGCTACATGCTATGCAAATTTCATATTTTAAGTGACAAAAGTAGTTAAAATAATGAATGAGTACAAACGACTTCATATTGATGCTATATTAGGCTTATTGTATAAATACCCCACCTGGGAATGTACCCGGGGATATACCCACGATGTGAAAATACCCGAATTTTCCGGACCTTACTTTGAAACAGTTCAACTTTTTTTGTCCAACACAACATCCCATCTTCAGGCACACAATTTAACAAACATTGAAATAAAATTTTGGTTTTTTTTTTGTCTTTTTCTCCTTTTTACTGTAGTTTTATAAAAAGGTATATCATATTTGGTGTTAAAAATGGGAGATTCTGAGGATTCAGGGAAAAAAGAATCTTCTAATTTGGCCGAAAGATAAAGAAGTTATAGCCCATTCAAATTGGGCCACAAAGGCGCCCACGTTGTAGTTATATGAAAAATAAATTTAGGTCACATCAAACGGCGCAAAGGAGATCCTTTGGATAAGGACGGCGTGATGGAAGAGGGGGGTCCAGCTTTGTCGGCAAATTCTAGCTTTTCTATTGACAAAATTGACGACGGCATTCTCATTTCAAAAACACTGGTCACATCAGGTCTCCTTGATCCATCGTCCACTTGTGGAATCGCGAACGAAGACCGTGATTTTCATCCAGGACTCTGTGACACGAGAACAACCATCGGTTTGAATCCCAATTTCCCATTCGCTTTCAATTTGTTGGACAATCCAAATGTAGAAGAAGTCGATTTGCTGATATTTATGGCCATGATTGCCTTGAAGCCGCTAGACCTTAAATCAACTCCGATTTGGAATAATTACAGGACCTGGTTTTTGAGGGTTGTCGCGTATAACGTGGCGCGTGCTCATTATGACCGAGGTGAACCACTATCAGATATATTCAGGTGGTTCGATTATGTTGTGGGTGCTGAGATGGAAGCAGCAAGTGCATCGTCAAACGTAAGAAAACCCCCTTTTCTTGTTTTTAATCTTTAAAAATATATTTGGCTCTTTCTGTTTTAGGAAGCAACTTACATGAAATGGGCTTTGCTGTCCATAATGAATCCCAAAGATTTTATTGAAAGAGAGTTTAACTTATCAACGAACAAGAATGTTATCCCCGATCAGAGAACACCGTCGCATACCGCTCTAGCCTGTGCTATCTTCTATTCCGACTTCTATTCGATGTATGAAACATCGAACCATCCGATGGATGTGGATGATGAACAGATGTTTTTGCCTTTGGATGATCGGTTTGAAGGTATCTACAATGAGGTGGTGCAACTTATGAAAGGATCCTCGTCTTTGGGAAGTTTTAACAAAGACCTTGAGGACATCGTTCGAGTAAAGACATCCAAAGAAACCCAATCGTCAATCAAAAAAGAATTGATCCAATTTTATGACGATTGTGAGACAACCTATCTTCCCATCGACTGCAGCGAAGATGTGCTCCAATACGTTGCCTCCCGGCGAGTGATACCTTTAAATCATGCCATTTTCTCATTCAGTAAACTACGATTTTTACAGTCTGTTCTTCAAGTGGTAAGTAGTTGTTTCTTAAAATAAAGCTGTTCAGCGACGATGTCTCAAAGGGACTTCGTTGCAAGCCCCTAATATTGGTGACCTCCTTAAGAATGTGAGTTTGGATTCTCCCTACGTTAAACCAGTACATGACGTCGTCGTGAACTCAGAGTCTGGCAAGGCTGTGTCCATAACTCAAGACATGTCCCGGACTCTGGAGAAGTATGAAATCGAGACAGGTCTTCATTTCTTAAATGTCCACTTGGCCCCTTTCCAATTGGGTGTTTCTTTGCTGTCCTATTCCAATGTTGAACACCATCCTTACACACAATTTTGGAGAATGGAAGCCGAAAGGAAAGTTCATTTGGGCTTGTCCTACAAACGGATGAGTCCGTCGATGTCGAGAACTGTGAAGTCGTCCACTTTATACGATTTGTCGGCTCCACTCAGCTCAGGAGGAACATGTTGTGGGTGGATTTGTCAAGCAATTGGCGAACTTCTTTGTGGAATGGATGTGCAGCGAGCCAATGAATTTGAAGGGAAAACAACTCGACTTGGTGGAGGACAGTTCTTAAAGTATTTGGTCATGTTTTACTCCGATCTGCAGGGAAATGTTTTTTCTCAAAAGGGGGCTGGTTCTGAGTTGACCTCAACGCAACGTTTGTTTGTCCTTTCCGAGCATGCTATCTCCTCCCTGATGAAATTTGTTGTTGATTTCAACTATGTCAGCATCGATATTTGGTTGAATTTATTCAAAATTCTGATATCTGTCGACGCCCCTCCGGAAGGAAAAGATGTCGCCATTGAGGGGAAGAACTACAAATTCACGCATTGGATTGAGAACTCGGTCCATTTCGAGAGACTTATCTACGAGTTTTTTACCTCTTCTTTGGATCGCTTTTCTATGGTTACTCGAACAGTAAGTTTCTAATTCCTTATAAAGTATTCGCAATTTAAGCTGCCAACCTATGGCCCTGCTGCTTGTACAGTATTCCGCCGGTTTATCCAGATTGTCTTCACAAAGCAACCCTCGCAGGTTATAATGGATTCAGTGCTCAAAGCGCTTTCTTCTCTGTTCAAGAAATCTCGTGAATTTGGGTATATAACAATGCCTGTGGACGTTTTAATGGAATTGACCAACGCAATAGACACGATGGAAAAGGTTTGTCCCTGCGATCCGACTGTGTTCGCCGAGTTCTTCACTGCCTTTGTCGACTTCACCGAGGACTTCTTTGATGAAATCGAGAAAACCAAGGCTCATTTCCCCAGTACAGATCCAGGCATTTCGTCTCTTCAAAGCCTTCCTTCGGCTTTGCTGAACACCGTTTTGGAATCAACACCAATTCCCAGCAATATGTGTTTTAGTATGACTTTGAACGCAAAAATGCAACGGGAAAGAAATTCCAATTTGATGGAACGACTTCGGTCTTCTGGAAATAATTCCACAAGCTCTGGAAAAAGCTCGAAGAACATCACGTTCGTGAAACGAGCTGATATATTGGAAAACACTGTTCGGGATGGAGAAGTTAATGTTGGTGATCAATTCATGCAATGTGCTTACTCTTTGATGAGAATGGTCGGTCGTTATGTATCTCAATATAGACCACAGATCTTGAAAACGTTGCTGCATTCGCAAAGTTTAGCCATCAAGAGATTGATTGACACAATGTTCATGTTCGTTTCCTGTACTACAAATGTCGACGAAATCGCAAAGGATAGGTATGAAAATTTTTGTGTACTACCACGCTTTCCTGGCCCAGACTGATAATCTTATTTTAGTTTCAAAATTGTGACATTAGCTGATGCGGTTGTTCATCTTCTATTGGTCGTATCAGAGACGTCGATGGAAGATCCGGAATGTTGTCGCCAATTCATCAGACTTGTGATCCAAACTCTCAGGTCACGTGTTGAGCGAAGAACGGGCTTTGAGAACTCAAGTTCGATGTTGCTAATGGACTTGCCTGTGCCTGTGCTGACGTTGTTGAAATCATTATTGCTTGGGGTATCTCGATGTCAGATCTTCGTCGATGAAGGAGGTCACACATTTGTTGCTGAACAACTCCAACTTGCGCTGGAATCATGTTGTCACGACTGGCCTCAGGTAAAGAAGTTCAGTACAATGACGAAGCAGTTGAATATGCTTTCCACTCACTTCACTGGAGTTGAACCGCTCAGCTCAAACTTGCCTTACAATCACACCCCGGCTCCCGTAGATGAGAAGATCTTGCGACCAACAATAAACAGCCAGCAAGCAAAATGTTCAGACGGTTTCGGCAGCGGCCCAGTAAGCGTTATCTTGCATTATTTAGGAACTGTTTAGATGACTGAAAGCGTTAAAGAACCCGTTAAATACAGTCTGGCTTACCCATCGGTAAATGTGATAAACCCGAACAATCAATACTCCTCTCAGTTATTTGGGAATCGCCTTTCGATCTCAGTGAAGGCTTCCAACAACCACAATGCCCAACCTTTACCTCAGAATGTGGTCAACTTTGCTCCAACTTGTTTGCTCAAATCAGAAACCGCGGCCGTGGCTCAGCTCTCAGCATTGACCTTGATGTCGGACAAAAGGGGACGAGTTCAAAACTTTCAGCACAAATTCCCTCCAAAAAAGCACTGGCTAGATATTACTTTCGTGTTGCCTTATAAAGTAGTGCTCTATGAGGTGGCTATCAAAATCCCCGACAATATGATTCATTCGATTCCGTCAGCCATCCAGGTGGAGTTGTGCTCCGATCCCGCTCAATGTAATTGGCAACCGTTGTCAGCTCCAGTAATCCCAAATCCTGTAAATTACATCAGGATACCGACTTACGCTTACAAATTTCCGGTCTCAGGTAAATATTATTTGTCGAATATTACGGTGCTTTTTACACATACGAGGCATGACTAATTTAGCTGTCCGTCTTCATCTAAAAGCCCCTACCACATCAAGTTTGATTGCCATATCTCAGATATTCCTTTTGGGATCAATTTCGAATTCAGCTATGAAAACTTTGAGTGAATCCGACATGTTCGAGTCTACTGTAATGAACCACTGGATATCTCTTTTCTCCCGACTTTGTGCCAGAATCGACGTTCCAGTGAGACAGTACGCTCCAACGTTATCCGAGGCGCTGATACGAGTATATTTATGCGGAGAACATTCCGCGGACATTGTTCGGCAGATTCAAGATCTGCTTCTGAAGTTGGATAGCAAGAACAAACCAGGTCAAAGCAACCTCATTTCGTCGATTGTGATTCATTTGAGTACGTAATTAATAAGGAAATGCTTCCAAATGCGACGGTCAGATTTTCTTTAAAATAGGGGTACGCGGAGAGCGGTCAGAGAAAAAAGCCTTTTTTCCTACTTTTAGACGGGACATACCTCAAAAAATCCGGAAAATTGTGCCGTTCAAAGATATGTAAAAATTTGCTGCCTAATATCGGGTTTATTGGTTGAAAATGCCCAAAAACGCGCTAATTTTTCCTACAACTAGGCACAGGCATTGCAAGCGATAAAAAACATGGTCAGTCTCTTCCTCCGAAGAGAGCGATGTGGCCGAGTAGCTATTGCGGAAGTCTGTGAATCAAGGGGGTGGACACCTCACGGGTTCGATTTCCCTTTTGGCTTTGAATCAAGGTCTGGAAAATAAATTTATGTGCCAAGATCTTTTTATTAAGTCTTAAAAACTGAAGACAAATCATTTTAAGCGAAAATAAAATTTGTAAACCTGTGAAAAATTGAGCTGAAGGGAGTTATGTAGAGGTTTAAATCAAATTGCAATTGATTTTTCACTCGTAAAGTCTGCGATTGGGCAACTAATTTTTACATATTCTTAGTCAGCATGGTTTTACGTATTTTTTGAGATACGTCCCGTCCAAGTAGGAGCTCCAATAAAAGTACTTTCCTTGTAAATTTGCGCCAAGTTTCACCAAAATCTGAGCGTCACACTTTTAGCACTTTCCTTATAAGCATATTTTTTTCATTTATTTCTTTTTTCAGCGAACGGGGGAAGAATATCACAAAAAACATATCCCAGTGTATCTGAGCTGCTGTTTACCAGTTGCTCAATTTCTTCTCAAATCGCACCATCCAGAAGTCAAAACGCTGACATCAATCGTCCTGTTCATATTATTCATGGACTTGTTATCGCAAGACAGCGTCAACTTCTTCAAGGTGTGGAAACGTTATTAAAAGACACACTGAACGGATGCTCGGATGCGGAAGGAAGCAGATGGATTCGAGCAGAGGTCCTGAATGAAGTCGCCGTCTTCATATGGGCGTCTGCGTGTGCCGTCTGGCATAATATTAGCGAGGAGAGTGTCAGATATGATACGATTGCGATTTGCCTTGAGATGGCGCCTAATCTGTTGAAGTATGTAAAGCAGTAGCTAAATGCAGCGGGCTATAATCTTTTTTTTTCTTGGAACTATTTTTTGTTGTCCGCAAGGAAAAAAGAAGCCACCGAGATATTGAAGTATCTTTTCCGCAGAGAGAGCATGCTAAACGCGGAGAGCGGTCAGAGAGAAAACACTTTTTCATCGTAACTTTGCTAGTATCGTGCGGAAAAAATTGATTTTTTTGTAGAAACCTTTATGGTAGAAATAGAAATTCGGTAAAAAGTCAAAAATTTTCGCCGACTTTTTAATCTAAAAATCTCGGTTGTTTCTGCAAAGCGCGAGCTAGGATTCACGCATGTATTTTAGAAAAAGTCAGTCTAAATTTGTGCCAAGCTTCATCAAAATCTTAGCGTCACACTTGGGCACCACGACATTTCCGGAATTTGGACACTTCCGGAATGGCGGAATAGTGACACTTCCGGAATGGCGGAACAGTGACACTTCCGGAACCGGGGAAAAATCAAAGATGAGGCTTAGAACTGCCATCTGAACCATCTGACTGGATTTATTGTTATTAATCTCAAAAATTTTGTTATTTTTTTTTCTGATTGTTACTTTTTTCTTAAGTAGTAGTGTTAAAAAGTAATTTTTCGAATTTTTTCTAAAAATACTCGATTTAGGGGTTTTCAAGGTTGCTGATTTCGAATATCGGGTTCATTTTTTCTGAACTTTACTAGTTTTCCTTAAGCAGTAGTGTTATAAAGTAATTTTTTGAAAATTTTCTAAAAATACTCGATTTAGGGGTTTTCGAAGGTGCTGATTTCGAAAATCATGTTAGCTTTTCTCTTTATATACTATCTGGTACTATACAGTACGAGGTGAAAATGTGACTTTTGGCGTTAATGGTGTTGTTTTGATGCTTGGTACTCCTCAAAAACACGTTTTAAATAATTGGTACTGTTTAGTACTGTCTGGTACTATGTAGTACAAGGTAAAAATTTGGCCTTTAGGCGTTAGTGGTGTTGTTCTGTTGCTTAGTACTCCTATTTTCACCATGTACTACATAGTACCAGACAGTACTAAACAGTACCAGTTATTTAAAACGTGTTTTTGAGGAGTACTAAACATCAAAACAACACCATTAACGCCAAAAGCCATATTTTCACCTCGTACTGTATAGTATCAGATAGTACTATAAAGAGGAAACCTAACATGATTTTCGAAATCAGCACCCTCGAAAACCCCTAAATCCAGTATTTTTGGAAAAATTCCAAAAAAATAACTTTATAACACTACTGCTTAAGGAAAACTAGTAAAGTTCAGAAAAAATGAACCCGATATTCGAAATCAGCAACCTTGAAAACCCCTAAATCGAGTATTTTTAGAAAAAATTCGAAAAATTACTTTTTAACACTACTACTTAAGAAAAAAGTAACAATCAGAAAAAAAAATAACAAAATTTTTGAGATTAATAACAATAAATCCAGTCAGATGGTTCAGATGGCAGGTCTAAGCCTCTTCTTTGATTTTTCCCCGGTTCCGGAAGTGTCACTGTTCCGCCATTCCGGAAGTGTCACTATTCCGCCATTCCGGAAGTGTCCAAATTCCGGAAATGTCCTGATGCGCACACTTGGGGTACTTCCCCTGTTAGCCGGAAACCCAAAAATTTTCCGAGTTTTACCGATTTCGGGCTCCAAAATTTGGAATGAAAATGGAAAAGGTCAGTACGAGGGCCTCCGTGAACATAGACCCGTCATACTTAGTGGACAAACAATGGGGTGTCTCAGCTTCAGTTTGATGTAATTTTTTTAGAATTTGGTGCATTATTGGCGGAAAAATACCCAAACAAGGGCGCTTGTGGATTTTTTAAACCAATTCCTTGTCTTTCAACTACTTTTTTCATTTGCGGGCAGTGAAAAGTTTTTTGTGGATAGCGAAAAGCATGTCCTTGTTTATATATATTTTTTAATTTCAGGTATTTATGTAATGCCATCCTCAATTTTACGGAGAAAATATTCTTCGAAGCTTCGTGCTGGTTACTGTGTACTTTGGTTCGAGCATCACCAGTATTACTGTATACCATTTTGGAATTACTTGGTGCGAACTCATCCTCTGAACATTCCCCTCGTCTTCTGAAGTCCTTATCTTTGGTATGTCAATCTCAGTCTGCGGTCAAATGCTTGTTGGAAAAGAAGTTTATCCAGAAATGGGCTGATTCCATCTACGCAATCTGTCACAACGAAGCCCATCAAAAGATGAAACAACTTATGGCATTAGTAGATTGTCTCAGCCAACTTATGTCCGTGGATCTGGTCATCGAATACTTTGATTCCAACGAAGGGGGGTCAATGTTTCGAGCACTTATCGAATATCTGGTTAAATTCTGCTCAAGTAATGGCAGAACATCAGAACAGAATGGAAATGCCCCGGGGAAGAAGCTGATTGAGTCGGCGATTAAACTGTTCCGGAAATGCCTTGCATATGGAGGAGATCATCGCGAAAGAATTGCTTTAATTATATCCGACCTGATCAACCAGAACTCATCCCCGGTTCGGAAGGGACTCCCATTGCCAGAGACCCTTGAAACATTGATAGCCAGACTGATTATCACAGATGAATCTATTCTTGTAAGGTTGACTGGAGTTGTTCAGAACAAGAATGGAGGAAATAAGCAGGATCTGAGTCGTAAGTTTACTGTAGGTTTGTGTCTGACAAGGGCTCGGCAAAACGCCGTCCCTTGGTTTTTTCTGGAAACAATTTGAAAGAACTTAAGAAACTGGTCTAGAAGCGACTTTTATTATCTGCTATTAACGTGCTGGCTAGCGAGCATTTTTTAGTTCTAGGCTAGTCTTACCCTTGTTTTGAGAAAAGAAACGCGATCACTTTCAAAAGTAAAGCGAAGCGGTGCTTCGGTAGCCGAGTGGGGTAAGGCGCTCCTCCTTAAAGTAGCCTACGGACCGCGTTCGAATCCTCTTTTGAATTTTTTGGATATTATGCAACGAATAAGCCTGGCTAGTTGTCTTTAATTTTTGAATAGACTTTTGTGTATACTCGGATCCGTTTTTAAAGATTCGATTTTTTTTGATTTTGTCGTCTTTGACCTTGTGGGGGCGTCCTGGATGGTTGTAACGAAAAGTACGTAAAAATTGAGTCTGATATTTGAAACATCTTTGCTTGTCTTGGGTTACAGGACCTAAAAGAATGCGTAATCACTTATTGAGTGCATCGACCTGAGTGTCTCAAGCTCGGAAAAAATTTCGTATTTTTTGATCTGGTTGAAGGGTTCGATCCCATGGGTGACTAATATTTATATGAAAAGTGATTATTCGATCTCATCAGCCTGTCAGAAGCAAAGTGAAAAAATGTGATTGGCAATTAAAAAAAAACGCCCGCTGGCCTGCGCGTAAGTGCATAATAGCAGCTAATTAAAGGTGATCCTAGACCAGTTTTTTACGCTCTTTCATATGGTACAGGGTGTTTCAAGAAATTTGGAACAAATGATTTGCTTATATTTTTGTGTTCTTTGCGGCTATCAACGAATTTCTTTTTGCTTCTAAAAATTGACAGCGTGCGTTTTTAGAATCTCAAAAAGAATTTTTTTTCGTCGGCGGAGGGTCCATTTCTTGGCGGAGAAAATTATGGCCTTTTTTAAAAATCACATCGTATTACGTGGCGGAAACGCCGTTGCAACGGCTGAAATCAAGTTTACGTAACACCTCCATGGATTTTACGATATGCTTTTTTTGCGTTTTCGATTTTACGCACTTCCGCGGATGCGCGGCGGAGACCTCAGATTTCGGTGGACGTTGTTTTGGGCCTTCGGCTTTTGCAAATTCATGTTGGAGAAGAGGTTGGGGCGATTTTTTGTTTTCATCAGATGCACAGATGGCAAAAATTTCGTGCTTTTTATCCCCGGCGGAGGAGTCGGCGGAGGCTTTATCAAAGGGTCAAAACAAAACTCCGCCGATTTGTCCGCCGGACCAAAAAAATCAAAAATCTTTGAAAGACAATGCTGCTCTGATGGATTCTTGTAGCTGAGATTTTTCCCGGACTCGTAAGACTGCTTTGACCCTTTGATAAAGCCTCCGCCGAATCCTCCTCCAGGGAAAAAAGCACGAAATTTTTGCCATCTGTGCATCTGATGACAACAAAAAATCACCCCAACCTCTTTTTCAACATGAATTGCAACAGCCGAAGGCCCAAAACAACGTCCGCCGAAATCTGAAGTCTCCGCCGCGCCTCCGCGGTGCGCGTAAAATCGAAAACAAAAAAATGCATACCGTAAAATCGACGGAGGTGTAACGTAAACTTGATTTCAGCCGTTGCAACGGCGTTTCCGCCATGTAATACGATGTGATTTTTAAAAAAGGCCCCAATTGTCTCCGCCGAGAAATGGGCCCTCCGCCGACGAAAAAAAATTTTTTTTGAGATTCTAAACGCACGCTGTCAATTTTTAGAAGCAAAAAGAAATTCGTTGATAGCTGCAAAGAACACAAAGATATAAGCAAATCATTTGTTCCAAATTTCTTGAAACACCCTGTATATGTTTCAAGAAAAAACCAGGGGAAGAGTTTTGCCACGAATACAATCTGGACTCGTTTTCAGAAAGGATGATGCACCCCTTATTTGGCTGTAATCAAGATGACAAAATCATCGAAGTGTCCTTGGGTACATTATGCGAGGAATTTCTTCCTTGCAAGAAAGTTTTAGCGCCGACTTCCGTGCCCATGGGGAAATCCCCAAAGACAATGGACAACGTGAGTTAAGAGAAATCCACACGGTTACATCTTTACAGTATATTGAAGACTTGTTCTTGGGAACCCAACTTAATCTTGTGGACGAGTTTGCAGACGAAAAAGAGTCGATCTCTCAAGTCGATAATAAGCAAAAATCGAACATTGAGCCCTCCAATGAGTACCCATATACCTACAAACAGTTTGCCATACAGGTTTCCTGTGGGGCTTACTCGACGAAACATGCACTCAACAATAAGTGGTCATTGTCTAAGGTTGTGGATGGATTGAGAGCGATCAAAAGATTCAATCCCAAGAATATTGACAGAGTCTCTTCGCTGGAACAATGTTTGAGAGACGATTCCGATGTGATGGAAGTTGAACTCGTTCAACCATCCACGTCAAGGATAAGTCCTTCGGACTCACATTCCTTGGATACGGCGAGAACCCAAAGCCGAACTCCTTCGACCTCCGGTGATCTTCATGATGCTTTGAACGAAGGAGACCTAGCTGATGGCTATTTTATGCTTAATCTTAAAATCAGATCTTCCCTTCAGAACAACATGTTGAATGTAGTGGAAGAAGAGCCTTTGTTGACAGATCTTTTGAGTGACATTCCCCCTCGAGCATGCACTCTTCTTCGGTTTGCACGTACAGGTGGTTTAAAGGCGTTGTCAAACTCCGTGGACGTTGTTGGCCGGGTTGATTCAAAACTGAAGTCGTAAGTAAAGATTAGTTATTTTTTAATTAGTTCATTTTATAGTGTATCTTCTATGCTCAGCAAGCTCGCAAATCCTCAGCTTGTGCCAATTAAGGAAGAGGTTGTCAAAGTGCGGAAGTTGTTGGGAAGGTTCTACGGTTATACTGGGAACCAATGCCAAGACCAATCTGGCTTTTCTGCGCTCAACGGAGCTTTGCAGAGGCCTATTTTTACAGTGTTGAGTAAGTTTTCTTTTATTATAGCTGCAATTTTAGATGTTTTACGTATTTTGAATGCGTGTGAAGCCGAATTGAAGAGCACCGACCCTGTTTCGAAGGGTACCCATGCCAGTCAGAGTGTTCAACTTGATGATTTTGGTTCTTTTGCTGCTTCACAAATGATGTTTGATGAAGATTTCGAGGAAGACAATATTTTTACAAATATCGACGACTTCGATGATCCCATTATGGAGCCCTCAACATCCGCTGGTTTCCAAAATTCGTCGAATAAAATAGTTTCTTCAGTTCCCATCCTATCGACCGTGTATGACATTGACGACTTTGAGCAAGCGACCAACGATATCTTCATCTCCCCGGGCGCTTTTAATGGACAAAAGGTTGTTTCGGTTCCGTTTGATGAATGGCCACCTGAAATGTTTTCGCTTGAAAAGGTAGTGTTGCTGAAACCAAAATTAACTAAAAGATTTTCAGAAGATGAGAGGAAATGGATTAAACGCATACACAGAGAACTTTGACATGATTGTTGTTGCTTTGAGTGTTTTCCTTGAAATAGATGTCTACGGACCCGCTTTGGTTGAGTATAACAGATCTGCGGCCAAGAAATTGATTTATATTATGTTGGGAATGACACCACAAGGTTTGTCAAAAAAAGACCGTTTTAACGAATTGCTTTAGAATCAGAGTACAATATAACGGAGGGTCTGAGCCCCAGTCTCTCTCAATCTGCTTTTGGGCAGAGTGAGTTATCAACGACTGCAGCATACACAGCCCAGAAAGAGCATCTGCAGAAATGGGCGTCCAAGTTGTCGGACCATTTCTTTGCTGGATTCTCTCCCAAAGATAGAACAAAAAAGACAGATACAGTGATGGATCAGCTCGCCCTGATCCCGTTCTTTGTCTTATCCAAGTGTTTCGAAGATAATTATCCTCCAAATTGCACAGTCCGCGAAGCAGAGACGGTCAGAATACAAGCCATGAGCAACGGAACCATTGATGTTTTGATGACTTTGTTGTCCTATTATTCACATCAATCAGCAAAAAAGAAGCCGATTCGTGGTGACGGAGACATTTCAGCGACAAAACTGTTGGAGCAACTGATCTCATTCAATGAAGAATATCTGCAGATTGTAGAATTGTGCTCCAAAGTCTCGAAGCCGAATCCTCCGACTGCAGGTTTCGGATCTTCCGGCTCTTCATTGGCACAAATGGCATCCAGTTTACCAATGGTTGGGCCTGCCACTTCACAACTGCTCCAACAATTTGGAGCCGAACTCCAGAATTCATCGGCTACATCCAATTTACTGAAGCCAGTTGCAATTCCAGTTTCATCGGTCATTTTTCCGTCGTATATGGGGGTCGTACCTGGTTCCAAATCAACTGCTGACAACAACTTTTGGGCCAAGGGAACTGGATTTGGAAGCGGGAACACCAACACTCACTGGAATTTAAACCAACATGTGGCAAAGCAAAGACAACATGAAGTCACCGTCACCTGTCTGTTTAACGTAGGCTTGGTTTGGAATTGTTATTACTTGGTTTTAGATTCTAACGAACATTATTAGACCGATGCCAACCTCTGATGTGTCCAGACTTCAGAATTACGTGAATCAAAACAACAAGTTAAATGCTGGTGAGGAGGTCGCAACGCCCATTTCGAGTGCTGTGGACGTTGATTCAACTTCGGTGCATGCGGAATCCCCCCAACCTCTCCGCGCCTTTACCAAAGAATTCTGTGAGATTATGAGGAATAGTTGTTTAACAAATACCCTTTCGGGATACATGCTGAATGACTCGGGTAAGTGTTATCGATCAAACACCTTACCCTTCAGTCCTTGACATTTCTTGCCATGCCGTCGTCTATGAAGCGGTTGTGGCATTGCTGTTGGCTATTTGCAAAGAACCTGTCTTAAGTTCGGTAGATGGTAAAGAGTCATTTAAATTGGCGGAGCTGATCACTGATCCAGAAGTCAGTGGAATATACGAGGGATTGAAAAGAATATGTCAAGTTGTTGGGATATATATGAACCGCTTGAATAGCACTTCTGTAGCCAACCAAGAGAAGTCTCTGACAGTCGATGAGGAGGAAACGTTACCTGAATTTCTTCACGTATCTGAAGCGGCCTTAAAATGCATGGAGAATATCGTAAAGGAGAATCAGAGGATGCAGCGCCCGGCAGAAATGGAAGTTTCAGTAAGTCGTTATATTCAGTTACAGTCGCGCGTTACAGTTACAGCCCGACGACCAACGTCATGGAATTCAAATGATGGAAGAGGTCTATTTAGCTGCTTTAAGAGAACACCAATTCAAGACCATTCCTTTTTTCCGGGGGGATTCAAACATGTTGTTTGGGTTCCATTATCAGGCTAACCTTTCATCTGGAAACACGGCTAATGGAAAGAGAATGAGACGCCTGGCCCAAGAAGTTGTTAGTCTTTCTAATTCCCTTCCATTGTCCTTGAGTTCTTCGGTGTTTGTACGAGCTGCCGATGAAAGATTAGATGTTATGAAGGTGATGATCACAGGACCTTCAGATACCCCTTACTCCTCTGGATGTTTCGAATTTGATGTCTTCTTTCCCCAAGACTACCCATCAACACCCATGATGATGAATCTCCAGACAACCGGGAATCGGTCCGTTCGTTTCAATCCTAACTTGTATGAAGAAGGAAAGGTAAATATTCATTTTTCTTGGAAAGCTTGTTGCATTCCGGGTCAATTATGTATATTTGCAGGTTTGTCTGTCCATTTTGAATACTTGGAGTGGAAGGCCCGAAGAAAGATGGAACCCAGCGGCATCCTCCTTCTTGCAAGTGCTGGTTAGTATTCAATCCTTGATTTTGGTATCGGAGCCATATTTCAACGAGCCCGGCTTCGAAAGATCTCGGGGCACAGTGACCGGAGATCAAGCAAACAGAGAATACACAGCCAATATCAGACATCAATGTGTCAGATGGGCCATGATCGAAATGCTAAGGAATCCTCCCAAAGCGTTTGAAGATGTGATCAAAAGACATTTCTGGATTAAAAGAGATGAAGTTTGCGAACAAATAACCGAATGGATCAAGGAGACCAAAGAGCTCATCGAAAAGAACCAGAGTGTAAAAGTTCTACCACAACATTTAACTCTACTTGAGGTAATAACGCTTTTATTATAAATTAGGGATATAAAAACTGCTGCCTATATTCAATATTACTTACTTTTTATCAACTTATTTTTAGAAGAATTTTGATGCCCTTTTGATTGAACTCAACAAACTGGAATGCCCCGACCCTACCCTTTCTCATCTTTCCTCGATATACCTCAATGAATATCGAGAAAAAGTTAAAAAAACGAGTACGTAAATCTTTATCTAACGATCATATCTTTTATACCTTAATTGTCTGTTTATGTCTGATCTCGTATTAATAACAGATAAGGCGCGTGCGGTCTACCTTTTTTCGGACATCGTCGCAGAAACCCCCCACATTTCTTATACGTGGGCCAACTGGGCAAAGTCTGCGTAGACTCTGCACATACTTCGTTGAGTTCAGACAAAAATCGAAATTTTTCCAAAGCCAGACAAGACGTAAGCAAGTCGCCTGGGATACAGACAATTCGGTTTGTCTGATCCAAGTCTAAAAATCGGATTCCTGGGTTTTCAATCATTCATAGCTTTCACTGCCCTATCTGGTGGTCGGAAGATTATTTTGAATGATCAGACAAGAGGTTTCGTCTGTAACCAGACAACACTGCAGGAGTTTTTGTATGATTTTTAGCCAGAAAACACGCAAACCTCTGGCAGCGGGCCCACAGACAGGCGATCCGGGGTTTCTGCGACGAGGTCCGAAAAAAATTTTATTTAGAACGCAGGCACGCGCCTCAGTTCTATAATATTTTCATCGAATAAATTATTTCCATTTATCAACTGCTTTACTTTGTAATTTTTTTATTTTAGTTCGCATTATCATGCTTCCATTGTTGTTTTTTCCTTACTCCCGAAGCGAAAACATTTCAAATTTTGATCAATTTTCACGAAAAATTTTTGGTAAAGGGTAATGGTAACCTCCTATCCGGTGGATAACTTATTCTCGGGGTAACCCATCCTCCCCAAATCCTTTTTTCATGGGTCCTGATCGCAAAAATGGTTAGGTGCAGCCAAAGAATTTTATTACTAAAAAATTCTCCGTGTTTCTTGTGTTCTATATAGTGGTTTGATTTTCATGCCCATATCGATTGATCAACCTGTTTTTTTTGACAAGGAAAGTACTTTTATGGGGGCTCCTACTTTTTGACGGGACATATCTCAAAAAATCAGAAAAAATGTGCTGATCAAGGATATATAAATCTTAGCTGCCCATTTTAGGTTTTTAGGGGTGAAAACTCAATCGGAAATTGACTTTAGGTCCTATATGAACGAACCCCTTTTCGCTTAATTTTTCACAGGTTTACAATTTTTATTTTGGCTTAAAATGATCTTTATTGAGTTTCTGAGCCGTAATAAATCAGTCTTGGCCCAAAAATTTATTTTTCCGACCTTCAACTTCAAAAAAAGTTGATTCGGCCAAAAAGGAAAATCGAACCCGCGCGGCGTCCTCCCTCTTGATTCCCAGACTACAGCACTAACCACTCGGCCACACCGCTCTCTTCCGAAGGAAGAGACCGACTGCGCTTTTTATCGTTTCGAATGCCTGCGCACGTCAAGATTTTGCGCTCAAAGGGTTATCTACAGGGGTGGTCAGCGGACCCTATTTTTCCGATTTTCGGCCCGCGGCCCGGCCCGTCTAATTACCGGCCCGGCCCGTCTAGTCTTTTTCCAGGCCCGGCCCGTGACGGGCCTGGCCCGGCCCGGCCCGTGCAGGCCCGTTTATAGAGGGTTCTGCGAACTGCGCCCAAGCTTGGGATCTAAACTTAGGCAAAAAAGGCGTTGATATAGCTAGTAAAGGATCAATGTGATAGTCTTGTGGTTTTATGATGGAACTATAGACTTGTAAACGTTTTAGAACTTGAGAAACAGCAACTATAACAACATCAATTAATTTCCCGGCGCGAAAACAATGAATGCCAACGGTTTGGCATTGTAATTTAGACGGGCCGGGCCGGAAAAAACCCCAGGCCCGCGGCCCGGCCCGTGACGGGCCCGGCCCGTTTGTAATTTTCCATTTTTGAGCCCGGCCGGCCCGTCACGGGCCGGCCCGGCCCACTGACCACCCCTGGTTATCTATCAACACGAAAGTTGGCATTCTGTTTCCGCTTATGGAAGTGTCCAAAAAATCCGTCTCAATGAGTTTTTTTGGACGAGGTCAGAGGAAAGGCGAAATATTGCGCAAAATGAAGAGATTTTCTATCTCGAAACTGGCTCATTTGATTTTTTTCGTTTTAGGCTCAAAAAATCCGCCTTGTTCCAGACTATGTTTCCACGAAACTTCAAATAGGGGCGAGGGAAAATCTTAGAGAAATCCTCGAAATCGCAAAATTTTTTAGGCGTTGTTAGTTTAGGCTTCAAACAGATAGAAGACGACCGATTTTTTATATGAAATATATATATTCAGGTTAAGCAGGAGCCCAGCTTCAAATTTATGTATGCAATAACCCCATTCTACCCCATCTTCATCGTGTAATCAGGCTATCTTTGGAGCAAAAAATTATTCTTTCGCCGAAACAGAATGCCAAGAATTTTTCATTGCTTGAGCGCTTTTGTTTTATTTTTTCTTGACGTGCTGCGCCTTTTGTAGGGAAATTAACAAGGGAAGTACCCCAAGTGCGACGCTCAGATTTTCTTTAAATTTTGCACACACGTCGCACGTCAAACTGAGATAAGCTAAAACAGTCCGGTGAATAAATTGGCACTTTGCCAAAAAAAGACGCGAAAAAACGTTTTGTCGGGGAAGAAATGGGGATTTTTTGGGGCGAGAGAATACGCTTTTATATGTCCTTTTTCTCTCTTTCTCTGGAAATCAAGACGAAATGTAAAAAACCGATAGCGAAGGGTCCATTCCGGTCACCGGACTCCTCAGTTTGACGTGCGTCGGTCATGAACTAGATATCAATTCCTGAAAGTTTTAGCTCGCGCTTTGCAGGCGCCGCCGAGTTATTGAACGATTTATGCCGCCGAGAGAGTACACTAAGCGTGGAGAGCGGTCAGGGAGAAAAACACTTTTTGGCCATAACTTTGATAGCTTTGTGCGGAAAAAATTTATTTTTTGTGAAAACATTACCCTCTATGATAGAAACCGGCATGAAATTTTTCGTGCCGAAATTCGGCAAAAAGTGTCAAATTTTCGCCAACTTTCGATCTAAAAATCTCGGTTGTTTCTGCAAAGCGCGAACTAGGATTCCCGCATATATCCTTAGAAAAAAATATTCTAAATTTGTGCCAAGTTTCATCAAAATCTGAGCGTCGCACTTGGGTCAGAAACTCAATAAAGATCATTTTAAGCCAAAATAAAAATTGTAAACCTGTGAAAAATTAAGCGAAAAGGGGTTCGTTCATATAGGACCTAAAGTCAATTTCCGATTGAGTTTTCACCCCTAAAAACCTAAAATGGGCAGCTAAGATTTATATATCCTTGATCAGCACATTTTTTCTGATTTTTTGAGATATGTCCCGTCAAAAAGTAGGAGCCCCCATAAAAGTACTTTCCTTGTGAATTCAAACGAAGGGACCTCGATTTTGGACTTGTTTTTGGAGCTGTTCGAACGGACCGCATTCAACCCACGGACGCTTGCGGATATTGTTTACATACATCACCCATCTCTCGGCCCCAGTAAGCTATTTTATATAGTTTATTGACAAGCTAATAACAAAAAGTAACATAGTAGGACAAACCATATAGCTATATTTCGAAATCTACGGACAATGCATATAAAAAGATCACCTCAAAAAATTGGGAAAAAGTCTTAACCCCACCCTCTACCCCAATTCTTGAATACATTCCTGAAATTTCGATTTTCAGAGCTCTCGGAGAGCGGTCATCCAACCTTTCTTCCGAATGAAAATGCCGCCGAATAAGCGAAAATTCGATTTTCATGCAAAATTTGCACTAAACGTATGAGAAGACCGGGATGTCAAATTGGTCCCAGTTCTGTCCCTAACAAGGGCTCGTCAAAACCTCGTCCCCTGGATTTATCTTGAAATATATACCATTCGAAAGGGCGTAAAAAACTGGTCTAGGATCACCTTGAATTAGCTGCTGTTATTCACTTACTATAAACAATATAATGATTGATTAGCCATCTAAATTACGAGAAATCAACACAATTTCGATTTTTTGGAGAGCGCTAGAGGTCAAAACTTTTTCGCGGAGTATATATGTACAATGACTAGACATGTAATGATCACATCATTACTATTAAGTCGTTTCAAAAGTGCGTAGGCTCTTTCGTGGCGCGCAGAGCATTTTGCCACTTTTTGCACTGCGAAATCTCTGTCGTGAGCTCAAAATTCACGGCGACACTGTTGAAAATGCGTGGTGCAAAAGGTCAATTGCACAGCGCGGAAAACTTGCGACAAAAAGTCTACGCACTTTTGAAACGGCGTAGTACACTATAAAACAACCTGTTTGAAGTAACACTACAGTGGGGAACCTGATCCAGTCGCCACAAATGTGCAATTTTGTTTCCAGGGAATAAAAAATCCCGCAAAATAGGAAGCGCTTTTCACTGAAAACAAGCCCGCAAAGAAACTTTTCGCCGTCCGCAAATAAAAACTTCTCACTGTCCTCGATTGAAAAAGGTTGCAGAATGGTGCCCAAGAAGAAATCCAATCGGTGTTTAAAGTAACAAGTACTCCTCTAGTATACTAGAAAAACAGATTTATAAAGGATGTATGTTTTTTTCTTTAATAATCACCGATATCATGTACAATATCGTCATATTTTCTGTCCAGGGTGCCTGCCTATCGCGTGAATTACACATCCGAAACTCTCACATCAAACTTGCTGCTAAACATTGAGTTATACACAAAAAGATTCTCATTTGCGGACAGCGAGAAGTTGTCAAAGGGAGGTATTTTGCCGGATTTTTTTATTCCCTCCTGGACGCAAAACTCCATATTTTTGACCACTGGATCAGGTCCTACACTGTAGAGAAAGACTTTCGTGCAAGTTGCTGACTTAAAACAGAAATTGCCGCACATCCCTGACAACATGGCACGCTTCCAAGATCATAATTTCATATGAAGCGGTTGCAAAGAAAGGTGAAAATAACACAATCACTAAACCCTCAATATAACGGCGCCTCCTCAGTGCGTTCTATTGTCGTATTCGACCGCCCTTCAAGTGAGCACGACCTTCTTAAATGCCGGCAAAAAATGTCTTCTGAAGAACCGCGTTCGGAGAATCTATCCATAAGTCGAACGTCATCAATGAAAGAGTCATTCCCTAGTGGATGTTCAAGTATAGGATGCAGGTTGACTCTCTTTTGACAGACATCCTCCCCAGATCCAGGTCCCTGTGAGTCACTGCTCTTCGGTGCTTCACTCGGTTGTTTTCCCTCGGATTTCGCGTGTGTCAACTGGGGTCTCCAATCAGGACCATGGCCCGGGGGATCGTCATCGTAGCTAGGATCTTCAGAATTTCTTTTACAGTACTTCATGGCTATCAGATTCATCTTGCGTTCATTGGAATCATCATCGGAAGTATCACTCGACGAACAACTAAAATTACAATCCATATCCACACATGTTCTAACCAACCTTGTTGACCTTCGACCTCTTCCCGCAAACCGGAAATGGTTATCCAATCGGCCTAACGTCATGTCGGGGGACTGTAGTTGTTTGTTTCGTATCACGCGAAGCGATGCATAGCTCAGCGACTTTCTGTTCAGCTCTCCAGAAGAACTTGAATCCTTTGAGGCTAAATCGAAATTCCATCGATGACCAGCATATCCAGTAGAAGCCGATCTTACTCCTCTCCCCTTCTCTGACACCTTCACATTTTCTCCATCCAAAGAAAAGGCAGGAACGCTTGTTTCAAATTTAGATGTAGAACAAATTTCGTCAGAATCTTCTAATTCCTACAAAACAACATGTAAGCGTAGCCCTGTGTAAATTGAAATTGTTTCGCCAACGAAGTTCAACGTCGGCTTCCGCCAATTTTTTGAGCCACCGGGGGAAAAATTTTTGATGGAAGATTTGAGCAAGAAGTTTTTCACAAAATAAACTGCGGCCATGGCCTTAATTCGGATTTTGTTACAGTATCCTCATTAAAGAGTTTTACAGAAATATGCCTCATAGCTACTTTCTGGAAACATTCCGGAAAGAAGCTAGCATCACAGTAGATTCAAAAAAAAACATTTGGACCGGAATGGTTGACTACGGCGGAAGACACACAGAACTTTTTTGGTTCAGCCGAAGTTTCGAAAAGAAGTAACAAGCAGAAATAATGATTTGCGAAATCCACGCGTAGCCACGGAATAGACTACCCTATACGTTTCAAGAAAAATTTTTCCGGAGGTCATTTTTGATGTTCAGCGGTCATTATCGAGGCGCGGTCATCTTCGATGCGCGGTCATTATCGAAGAAATTCGATTTACTCGGGATCTATCTTACAAGGAAATGGTCTGAACATCCCCCAGGGTTCGGGAAAGTTACTAGAACAGGTGGATAGAGGAGGTCGACTTTGCAAAAAAAAAGGCATTTATCAGCTGCATATTAAGCCCGGCCGACGAGAAAAATCGACCGAGAAAGTCCACAAAAAAATTCCTCTTTCTCTTCCCTCATAAAGGCTCGGCAAAACATCGTCCCCTGGTATTTTCTTAAAACGACGCTCTCATTGAGTGATTACGCGATTTTTAAGGACATATAACCCAAGATAAACTAGGTGGTCATTCCTAGTAAAAATATTAAAGCCATTGCTTTCAACGGCTTTACTTATTACGGTCCCCGCGCTGCCATGGAGTCGAACCAACCTCCAAAAGAATAACGTGCGGAGACTTTGTCCACTGCGCCAACCGAACCGTTGGACGCTCCTCTTCTTTTCCGAGGGAAGAAAAAGAGGAAATTGTTGTGGACTTTCGGTAGGGCTTATTTTGCAGCTGGAAAATGCCGTTTTAGCAAAGCCGACCTGCCCTATCCACCTGTACTAGATCAGTCCCTTGTTAGATACGAAAGAGAATCTAACTTGCCTCACAAATACCCAACAAATGCGGCGAAGAACTAAGCTTCCTCATTCCAGTCGACGCAACCAAATTAGAGGCTTTCAATCTTGCCGAGATTCCACTACTGGAGACCGATGGTGAGGTCCGTCCACTAGAAGTTGGGCTCGAGTTCCGACTGATGGGAGAATCTAAAAAAATTATAAATTTCAATTGTTCGCTCACCCAGTCGTTCGGGGGATGCAGCTCTTCTCATACTTGAATATCGTGATAACTCCAACAACTCTTGGATTGCCTGAGGGCTGATCCTATCTCTGGAACTATGGAAGCCACATTTAGCAAACATGGAGACCGACGGCGAAGAATTCCTGAAAAAATACCAGTAAAACAACAAATATTAACACTCAAACGGCTATGCGTGACATTTTATGGCAATCGATAGTTCACCATTTCAGACTTTCACTGTAGTCCGTCCTGCACGCCAATTTGTCTACACATAAAAAATGGAAAAAATTGATCGAAGTCTTATTTGGACATTTTTTCCATTAGGCACAAAATTTCACTAAAAAGATATCGAATTCAGTGTAAACGAAACTTTTGACTGAATTTGCCGCTTTTAGCTGGATTGAGAAACAAAATGTATGGAAAAACAAAAAAGCTTTTTATTTCGGAAACAGCCCGGAACAGTTTCTATTTCACTGAAGCCTAACAGAGGGCCACATTGTTAAAATCGGTATCTCAGAATTATGCCAAAATTAGTCAACCAGGTCACCAATCGGTATGGAGCATCCGCTTGAGCTTTTTTTGCCCATAGTCGTTATATGGAAGATTACTATAACCTTCACCCCGACGCTTCAAAAAGCAATTTTGTTGAAAATGTCTAGTTTCTTGAAACAAAATCCTTCGAAATTTTAAATCCGGAAATTATTCCGCCATAAAGTCATTGTTAGGTGTACTATCAACCACCATAAAATAAAATGGCACGCATGGCTTTTTGAGTGTTAAAGGAATAGAAATTTGCACAGATAGGCGACAAGAAATACCTCCGGCAAAGCAGATTCTTCGGCTGTCTTTTATTACGCTGAGCCAAAGAACTAATAGGAATAGGCGCCGAAGGCGTTCGGCTTAGAGTCAAATCATCATTCTGACTCCCACAGAGAAATGGTTTAGACGTAGACTCCAAAGTCTCCCTTATCGGACTTAATTCCTCGAATGTATAACTATTAGGAGCCAGGTGGAATTCATTGGGAGACAAAGCATCATCGTCTCTATTCCTATCAAGCTTATCATCCAAACTGGCCACATGATTGGGCGCTCGGGAGGAGTCAACACTAGAGCCTCTACTGGGGAAACTTCGTCTTATAGAGCTCTCTTTCTTGGGGTTGTAGTATCTAAGAAAAGCAAAAAAAGGTAAAGAAAGCACACATGCAATATCTACACCAAAAAGCCGAGTTTCAAACTGAAATACCTGGACGACTGTCTTGAAGCTGATCTGAGATAGGAGGACAACTCTTCTTCGCTTTCTTCTTTCAGAATCGTGCACGCTCTTCTATTGTTTAGACCTCTGAAAGAATTACTTCTGCTCCGAGCAGCTGTGCTTGAAGTAACGGGACCAGAGTTATATTCGACATCCTCGTTTGTACTCGAGGATATTTTTCTCAATTTTAGGGCCTGCTCTTCTCGATAGCTCGCCAGAATCCTCTCAGCAAGTAAGTAGTACGTGGCCGTAACATAACTGTATTCCCCTCGTTCAATGCAACTAAAAGTAAATACAAAATGCCAAATCGTAATTACCTTAAAATTGAGTCCTCGGTTCCAATACCACCTGCAACCATTTGCTCAATTATCGTCGCATGAGCGGTTTCCGGAAGATGGTCACGATAAACCAAAGGCAAAGCCTCAGCATGTCCCCTGTCTCCAGCCATTACCCATGGGGACTTTAGAATCTCTGTTAATGATGACCGTTTTGTGGGATCTCTGACCAACATCCTCTGAATTAGCCTAAATCTCAAATTGCAAAAATTTCTGTGGAAACATACTCTTTACAACTGGGAGATACGTGATCAGGGATTGTATACCTACAATCCAATATTCTCGTCAATGTTTCTGAATCATTGGCTTCTTGAAATGGCAATCTTCCACAGACCAACATGTACAGGATAACTCCCAACGACCAGACATCTGTAACGATAACTTTGCAATAAATACAAGTTACCTATCGCCGGAGCTTCATACGCATCACCTAAAAGGATTTCAGGCGCAGAATAAGCCAAGCTCCCACAAGATGTGTTTAACATTTGACCGGGAATATACAAATTGGAGAATCCAAAGTCTGTTAACTTCACCATACCCAATTTCTCAAAAAAGACGACGTTTTCAGGCTAAAATCGAGTTTTGATTAAATTTTTATAAGAGAAGTACTCCAAGTGCGACGCTCACATTTTGATGAAACTTGTCAGAAACTCAGAAAACTTTCTAACGATGAACGTCACTTTTTTTCGCAGATGGATCCATAATGGTGACCTAGTGGATGTTAAACGCGCCTCATGTAGTGGAAGGAGCATCTGGCTTTCAAAAGTGTTTACGGGCCCTGACTAGGGAAGTGTACAAACTGACCCTCACCAATAGCAAATGTTATATACCGTTCGAAAGCCCTTGACAAATAGTGTTAGAAACCGCTTAAAGTTTTTGCAGAATGCCTCAGGACGAAAGATTATAAGCGGTTGACTTGCAACTTTAGTACTTACAAAATCTGATATGGGGCAAAATAAATGTCATTTCAAAATGTTACGTATTGCTGCTAGATTGGCCTAAGAATCATTTTGAAGTTTGGTGCTTGCTTATGACCCAGTACAAACCCCCGCCGTTCTGGTTCCTATCATCCAATAGCACATTCTTCCTGGAAGCACCATCTGAACGGCGCGCCTACTCGGGATTGGGTTCTCTCGGCTACGATCGTCGTTGCCCAAAGCACAATAAAGAATTTGGACGGTAAGTTTTGACCGTTTGAAACGGGCAAAACAGTGGGGGTTTGAATTCCTGAGGGGCTGAACTGGAAAGCCCCGCGTTAACTTTGATCAGCCATAACTTTGCCACAGCGTAAACACTGCTGGAAGACAGACGCTCCTTACACTGTCTGGGTCTTCAATATCCGCTAGGTCACAAGTATGGATCAATATGCGAGAAAAGCGACTTCCCTTGTAAGAGAAACTTCCAGCTCGCGCTCTGCAGAAACGAACGAGATTATTAGCTTAAAAATGGAAACAATATAACCTCTTTGCAAACTTTTTGCACGAATTTCTATCGCATTAAACAAATCTGAGCGTCGCACTTAAGATACATCCCTGGTTAGTTACCTTAAGATCTCGATGTACAACGTGCAGGGCATGACAATAATCGATCGCTTTCGTTATCTGACTAAAATATTGCTGCGCATCAGACTCCCTTATCCCTTTTTCTGATGTCTTCATTATGTAATCATACATATCATAATCACCCAATTCTAATATTAAGAATAATTTAGTCTTGGTATCAATAACTTCGTATAAGCGAACAATGTTAGGATGTTGAACCAGTTTCATACATCGAACCTGAAAAATCTCTGGCCGAAGTATTAAGCCTACCTCCTGCATCAAGTCAGCAGCTGACTCTGGATCTAATTTCGTCTTATCGATAACTTTGACGGCCACCTAAACAATAATATCAACCAAAGTGAAGAAACTCACTTTTTCCCCCGTAAACACATGTCGGGCCAGCTTTACCACAGCAAAGTGCCCCTTGCCAATAGTGTGCTCAAGATCATATAACCCAGCTATGCGTGCATCTGATATACTCACCGAGGAATTCCGACGAAGAAAATTTTGCTTTTTATCTTTTCCATTTGGCATAACTACAAAATATTTTATTTAGGGTTCGGACGTATAGTATACCGAATTCCCGCGACGTGGGAATTTCAGTATGTAAAATTTCCACGGCGTAATGTTATGTGTCGCGAAAAATTTCGGATTTTTACCATAAGTAAGGCCTGTGGGGCCCGGTCCGACTGCGCACGCGCCTAGTCCAAGGTCTACAAAATTGCCGACTCATTACCCAGAGCCAGTGCAGAACGTGAAAGAAACTGGAATATTTATATATTTTTTCATGGTTAAAGTACTTTTGCTTGTTTAGTTGAAAAAATTAGAATCACGTTACAAAAGTAGTTAAAGAGTAATGTATGAGTTACAAACGACTTCGTATTGGTACTACATTGGACCGATTTTATAAATACCCCAATATCTATACATATGCCAAAAATTTAGGGTGTATGAACGAGATGAAAATTCCCGAGTTTTCCGAACCCTAATTTTACTTTCTTTCTGTCATTATGCAAGTTCTGAAAAAACACAAGTCATTGTGTGGAAGAAATAAAATATTATCGAACAGAATTGAGTAAATAATTATACCCTCTGTTAGAAGACAATCCTAAAATAATAAGAAACAGGCAAAACAACGATATAAAGATCTTCTCGGTAAAAGTTACATACAAACATCCTACTTGGCACAACTATCCTTCGCTCAAATCAACGAATGCATTAATGCGTATGAAGGAAACTATTTTTCCAAAAATAAATCTTCAATGGAGAGTTTACGTGCCGGGACTCACAAAATAAATCGAGAAAATTTGCTGATGGGAAGGAATTTTCTTCTCGGGAAGAAATGTAACGTAAATTGCAATTAGTTATAAATTGAGCCGTTGCAACGCGTTGCGAGTTTGCGAAAACGGCAGCACCTGCTGCGGCAGCTGCGCGCATCGTTCCCTTTTGATGTTTTGTGTGCCCACCACGACCAAATTCCGTGCCAGAAGTTTTGGCGTTGTGTAAAAATCACAAAATTCACTTTTTTATTTCTCGTGAAAACAAAAATCGATCATTTAAAGCCGGAACAAGAAGATAAAAGCGCGAAAGTTGGTATAGAACCTTGGAGCAAGTAAGTCGTTATGTTTGCTTTTTGTTCGATTTTTAGGAAGCTACTGAAAAGGTCTGCCTAATACAATGTAAACTCCAATTTTTCTCTAAAAGTAGCCTTGAAAAAGTCTTGGTTTTCCGTATAGGCAGGGGTGGCCATCGGGCCGGGCCTGACAAGTTTTGAAACGGGCCGGACCTGCTTTTTACCGGGCCGCGGGCCTGAGCCATTTTCAGGTCCGGCCCGGTTTTGTCGAGTATCTCAAGTTCTACAATAGTTTACTACTTTATAGTACTTTTTTGCATATATAATATAAGGTCCAAATTAGAACATATAATATAGTTCATAGAAGATTTTAGCACCACAGAGGCGGTACACAACGTTTTTTCACGGAATTCTGGTCGCGTCACGCCACGAAAACAAATGTTTGGCGTACTGTTAAATAATGTTTTTTGGCTTCTTCGAGAAATTACAAAAATTGTAATTTAGCCCAGTATTGAACAAAATCTTGACAGAAAAAAGCTATAGACCCTATCAGTGAATTTTTCTTGTTATAGTAGGTCTGGTTTGTCTTTCAAAAACACCATGTTTGATGAGTTTGATAATTAAAATATCTCTAGTTGCGGAATGCCACGGATTTTGTCATTTTGCGAAAAGCCCGGGCAACGATTTCAATCATTATAATAGCAGGAAAGATGGTTCAATAAGTCGAGTTTCGAGCCAGAAAACGTTCTGAAACTTTGCATGATGATTGAGAATGATGTTGTAGTGCTGATCGCCCATTTTTGTAGGATTCGTGACTAAACGTCGCCCGCTAGGCGATTGCAAAGTTCTCAATTTTGGGAAGTTTGAAGTCGAATATCTCAAAGACTGAATAACACATACAAATTTCTGAACCTCTAACAGAGAGATAACTGTCTACTCTTTCCAATTCACCATTTATCAAGTCGCTCAATTTTGGATGATCGGGTGAAAAGATCGTGTCTTTAAGACCACCTTTTTGGAGCGAAGTGTCACAAAAATTCGATCGATAATGGCGCAGTTAGAGCTCGACTTCCGCTTTTCTAGTTGTTTCTAAACGTTGTGGTAAGATCAAAGAAAATTTTTCAGTTCGCGCCCTGAAAATGGTAGGGCGCAGCTCGGAAAATAACGTTTCGCAGCTCGCCGGAGCTAAGTTTCAGCTTGTTTTTCGAGCTGCGTCCGCGTAAGTGTTCAGCTAACTTTCTGCAAACTTTCAGTTAGCGCATTGGCCATTGACTGCGTTATTCATATCTTTCGTTTATTTGGTGCTGTGTGAATGAATACTTTAATATTTTAATTTTACGATTTCAGAAATGGTGTTGAAAGGCCGAGAAAAGGAGTATAAACTCATTAGCGACTTGATATCAACTTCGTTTGAAGAACGCCATCCACAGTCTATTATGGTCCGTGGTGTTCCAGGCAGCGGGAAAACTGCAACTATTAGATTAGTTGTAAATGATCTGAAAGAAAAATTGAACGTAGGTTTATTTTCATCATTCAGCTTTATGTTCTGTGGTCGAAAACGCGAAGTTTTTGTCATTTTTGTTAAAATACTTGAGTTAATTTTCTATTCATTCTTATGCTTACAAAAATATTTGTTAAAGTTTGTACCCGCATACATAAATTGTGCCTCAATAACAACAAAATCGGATTTCTTTCGAAGGATTTATTACGTTATCACTAAAAATGATACTGTTTTAACTGCTTCAGAAGCTGCAAAGAAGACGGAAAAGGTGCTTTTCTCACAAAGAACGTAAGGGTTTTTATTTAAAGTTCAACATTCTGTTTTTAGTGTTCTCGTATTGGATGAGATCGACTTTCTCACGAAACTCGATTCGTCCCGAACTAGCCTGGCCAATAGTATAATTAAGAAGATCTTTGATTGGCCATTGAATAGTGGAGGCAAAGTTGTCGTTGTCGGAATTTCGAATGAACTCGATTTTTCGGAAAAGGTGTTACCTAAAAAACGGGTAATGCTGCCCGACGTCGTATTGTTTAATGCATATAGTGTTGAGCAGTTGATTGATATTTTGATGGAATACGTCCGTAAAGACGAGGTAAGTAACTATAAGTTTTTCTGCTAAAGTCTTTCTTCGTATTCAGAATCTAGCAACTGCCGAAGCAGTCAAGTTATGTGCCCGTAAGATCTCTGCAATGAATGGGGATGTCCGAAGAGCCTTCAGTTTGCTCTCGTAAGATTACCGATTGTCCTTTTGCAAATTAAAGTTTATTTGCAGGTCTCAAACCGAATTCATAGAAGAAGAAATGGAGGAAGAACCTGCGTTAAAACGACCGAAGACGGTCGGACTCTCGACTCCCTGCAAATCCCGGCCTTCCACATCCACCCAATCTTCTCCTACTCGCACTCCCAAGACCCACAAGGATATTTTGTTGTCATTACAAAACATTTATTCTTCTCCTGCTGTCTCAGCGAAGATCCCGCTTCATCCTAGAATCGTTTTGGCATCTATTATCAAATTAATGGAGTCCGAAAACTCGAGCAAGAAAGTTCAAACAGTTAGCTTTGCAAAGCTCCATGAATTGTATGACAAAGTGTGCAAGAAGATGAGGATTGAGCCATTAAACCACGAGGCTCTAAGAGACGCCGTTTCAACCTTGGTCAACACTTCGATACTTTCTTTGAAGAAAGATAAGATCTGCATGGAAGTTGACGTTGATTGTGCCAGGAAGAAGATTCAAGACGATGAACTCATAAACTCAGTCGGATCTATTGGAAATTAATCTATTTTAATTATGTATATAAATATTAACGTGATTACATTTTTGGAAGTTTTCATTTCTGGTTATGGCCGTTTGAATATTTAATAATTCTAAAGCTGACCTTCACGTTTAAGATGAGACCACTTACAGAAGAAGAAACTGTTAAGCTGTTTGAGAAGTTGGCAAAGTACATTGGAGGCAATATCAAGCTATTATTGGAGAGAGATGATGGCAATTATTGCTTTAGATTACACCGGGACCGCGTCTTTTATTGTAGTGAAAAACTCATGAAGACTGCCGCTGTTGTCGGGCGGAAGGAACTGATTAGCTTCGGAACAAGTCTCGGCAAATTCACAAAAGGAGGGAAGTTCTTCTTACACATTACTGCTCTCGATTATCTTGCTCCTTATGCAAAAGTAAGTCTGACTTTGAAAATAAATATGAATGGTTTTAGTGGAAGGTATGGCTCAAACCATCAGCCGAACAGCAATTCTTGTACGGAAACAACATTTTGAAGTCTGGGGTTGGAAGAATGACCGAGGGAACCGAAGCCCGTCAAGGAGTGGTGGTCTACAGTATGGACGACAAGCCGCTCGGCTTCGGCGTTACTGCCAAGGGAACGGCCGAATGTCGGCGGGCTGATCCCACCACACTAGTGGTCCTTCATCAAGCGGATCTTGGAGAATACATCCGTTCGGAAGACACTTTGTTGTAATCTTTGTTGCTTTGCTTAAATTGTTTTTTGTTAATTGTTATACCAACACAAAATAAAAACAACGAAATTTGTTTGAAATGGCTTTGGTTCAGATGGAAGCGAAATCCTACGCCCATGGGAAATCCGAGTTCAAGGTTGCTGCTGGAAATTCTTCTTTTACAGCAAGAGCCTTCGGTATTTATATTGCAATACCGATGGGTTGTATCCTTTTATTTATGACTTTACTCCAATATTCATTACTCTTAACGGCCGTTTGTTTAAGTTAACAAAATCAGGAAATAAAAATTGAGAGTTACTTCGGTCAAATTAAGTTAACACTGCCTGAACCACGATGACTGTAGTTTCATCATGATCGAACCGCTTACAATTAGCCGTTTGTCAGCCCATCAACACAAGGCTGGCTGGAGAACAGTGGACGCGAGGACATGGTGTGGGGGCGAGGAAATGCATTTACTGAACGAAGGAAGGCGCCTCTCTTCTTTTTTCTTTATGTTGTTGTTCATGGTGTGCGCACGAAAAGTGCCGACAAAGTTAAAAAAAAGGAGACGAAGACATCTTCATTCCATAGTCCCTTCCACGTCGCTTCAAGAAAGAAAAAGATTTCTTATTCTTGTGGCCGTGGTCGGGCGGGCTTGGCCGGTTTCTGCGGATCCACCGACACGAATCCTCTTGGATCTGTTCCGAAATCGAATTATCCTTTTTTCAGATCCACTCCCAACTACTTTCGGCCCCAATCTGCTGCGCCTCGGACGGACAAACGAACTCCCAGAACTTCTTTCTAACGTTTCTTTCTCATCGGATTATTATGCACTGCACTTGGAAGCTGTAGAATTTTTAACAACCTTCGTTATTTTATTGCCAGAAGGACCTGGCCTCATTTCATGTTAAGGTCAGGAATCATGTCTTCAAGGTGTTTAATGTATGAGTGCTTAAAATTTTAGGCCTTGCACATGCCTTAAGAACTCAAAGTAAACAAATATGTAAAAGTTTTAAGTCTCGACTCCGATATTTGGACAGGCGCCTTCAATCCCCGAAGTCAACCCTGATTTATATAAATTTGGTTCACAAGTCTAAAGCATTGTGTGCAAGGCGTCGGATATCCCAGAATCAGGCTTCTTGGTGCGTCCCCATGCCTTGGCCGAAAAAGGCCTGGGGCGGCCAGGAAGGGGGGGCGCGACCATCTGTTGAGGCAACAGCGAGCCCTGAGAGAGGCCTCATGCTCGATTAGGCCTGCAGCGTTGAGAGAGTGGGACAGGCAGCGAGGCAGGAGGGAGTTGACGCTTTAACGGACGGCGCCACCAGATTCTCTTCTTTGTATGTCGATTCTCGACGTTTTCGTTTTCCGATTTTTCTCTGCTTCCTCTTTCGATCGTTTCGTCGACCGATCAATGTTTTTTGTCCCTTCCTTCTTCCAAATTAATTCCGATTCCATTGGAAGGATTCAGAATGTCATGAGTGTTTTCAGAAATTCAGCGGGTGATTCAAGGCCTCTTGACCTCCTTGTCACTGTTACTTTGCTTTCCTTTAAATTTGTTGTTTTATTTCGTTGGTTATCATCTTCTCCACCCGACTCCCTTCTTCTCATGTTTCCGTGTGAATCTTTATTTTAAACTCAATTTATTATTCTTCTTGCGAGCTTTGTCCCCTGTATTATTGTAGAAAACCGTTTTGTTTTTAGTTTCGACAACAAATCGGGATTACCTGCAATTCCCGAGCTTTTATTCTCTGCAAATCATGCGATACGAATTACGATCGAAGATGTTTCACACACTATCTATTATTCTTCATTACTTGTGACGCACTACGCCCATTCTGGATAACATTTAGATGTAGATGGGAGTGCCTTTACAGAGTTGATGCATTTAGTTCGCATTGTTTTCGATCTAAATCAGTTTTAATTGCCGTATCAGTTAGCCCTCACCCCTTAATTTGCCGATAATTTTTTCGTCCCGTGATTCCATGTCCTGCGGGCTTTTAGAAATTTCGTTTCGGAAATTATCTTTTTAGAACCGAATCCTCTTTGTTTGCCCTTCCGACTATTATATTATTAGTATTTGAATGGCTTAAAACGCATTCGAAAAGTGTTGTCTGACGTGCTCGTCGTAACGTCCTTCTTCTGAACCCGAAACTACAGAAACGCGGAGAGGACGGACCTCAGGGCATTCGTAGGATGGCTTTCTTTTTCTTAGAATTCGACTTTTTTTTGTTAGTTCAAAATTCATACCGGGCGAAATTCATAGCGCGTGATGGGTGCATGGGACGCGGTTTGTGGACATGATTAAGCTAGTCCAGCCACTGATCCAGGCCACTTAATGCCGTCGTTCGTTCCCCTTTCATTTTCGCGTTTCCCCTCTCGAAATAGTCTATTTTTGCCTTAAGGCAATTGCCGAATGAAGCAAAAACGGCCGAGAGATGAGGGCAGGGCCGAGGCCACGGCTCGGGGACCAGATCCAGAGAGATGAAGAACACGAAAAAAAGAGTGCGTCGTTCGAACTTGCCGGCCACCCCAATTTTTCTCCGTTTGGCCAGGACTGGACCTTCTCAAGAGCCCCACACTCGACCCGATTATGAATGCCGGATTCGGGTACTTGAGCTGGGCCGGCTCCAATATGATGGGACCGGCTTCGATGTCGTTTCCATCGAAGAAGAACGGCCTTTCGAATTGGAATTCGGAAAATAGGACCCACCATTTGCAATCGCTTTTCCACATAACATGTAAAATAAGTACCGGGAAATTAGCGCTTGAAAGGCCCGGTCTGACCCTTGAGTAATCGCGTCGTTCTAAACGGCTTGTGCCCGCCTTCCACTCGATTCACCGGATTAGCTACACGGTCTCGTATGAAAATATTGCTTTTTTTTTGTAATTGTTTCCAGTCGTATGTGAGGTGTTAATTTTAAGTGATTTTATTAGAAGAATGGAGAAGATGTGTTCTTATTTACACTCTCGACTTCATTCTGAACGACTTTCGGATGATGAAATAATTCGGGGAGGTTCCTTTCAAATTCATGTGTCCAACTCCAATCCTATAACCTTTTTCTTCCCGTCCGCGCCGTACTTGTCCCGCTCGAGACAGAGAATAACGCGAAAATTGCTTTTCCTCCTACTTTCCGTCTTCCGCTTATACACAATCGGTGCGTGTGTGCGTGACCTGAGGGCCGACCAGTCTTGCGTACTACCCGTACTAAGTCGGGGTTGTTTGGTGTTCTGATTACGCGCAAATTATCGAAATTTGGTTGGGACTCATTATTTTTAGCATTTTTTCTTTGCATAAGAGAAGCCCTTTTCTCATGCTTGTCCGCGATTTACAAATGTGTCATCTCATCCCTGACTTCCCGCACTTACAGTACCAACATACTGATGACATTAATTTTTATTAACATAATAAAAGATTGGCTGGAGAAAGCTTCTCTTTTCATTTAATATTTTGTGTTAATGCCTTTGGAGCGATAAGAGCCTTCCCTCAGGAAATAGTAAGAATTAAGTTCTCGGGTTTTATGGCCTTTCCCTGCAGGCCCTTACGCTCATTACGCGAATTACCCCCGTTAACTTCTAGGTTAAATGTATTGTGATACGAGGGCCTTGATGTTCTTCGTGGTTTTGTTCTTCTGCAGACCTTATCCAATTTTAAATCATCCTTTTTCAGAGCCTCCAGATATCCTCTAAAAAAGGCTTGGATTTGCTTTAATATTTGAAGCTTGACTGGTCGACCCCGGTCATAACTCCAAGTCCTCTGTAGAATCGACTTTCGCACAGACAGGAGACTGGAGGCCGTTGACAAATCCAGGTGAACATCTTATCATGGGCATCAAAGGCTCCAAGCCCAAGCTCTCCAAAGAGGATCTGGAGTTCTTGAAGAAGAATACCAACTTCACGGAGGAGCAGATTAAAGAATGGTACAAGGGCTTCGTGGTAAGTAAACCTTTAATTTTTAATTTCTTTATAATATTCACGGATCCCCTTGTACCAAATTAAATGCATTTGTTTCAGCAAGACTGTCCAAAAGGCCATCTAACAAAAGAGCAATTCATCAAGGTCTACAAAGACTTCTTTCCTTCAGGGAGTGCAGAAGGATTCTGCGAACACGTCTTTCGCACATTTGACACCGATAACAGCGGTTTTATTGATTTCAAAGAATTTCTTTTGGCTATTAATGTAACCTCATCGGGAACCCCCGAACAGAAATTGGAGTGGGCTTTCCGAATGTACGATATTGATGGAAACGGGACAATAGATGAAAAGGAGATGATCAAGATTATAGAAGTACGTTTTATGAGAGATGCAACGATTCCCCGAGGAGTGAATGCATTATAAATACGATTATAGGCGATCTATGAGATGCTCGGACCAGAAGTGACCAAGTCGGCAGACGACTCACCTCGCAAACGAGCTAAGATGATCTTCGAGAAGATGGATGTGAATAATGATAAGGAACTCACCCTCAAAGAGTTTGTGGACGGCTGTCTGGCCGACAAGGAGTTGTTCCAGATCTTGACCAACGAGGTCAAGAAATAAACGCCTGAAGGTAGACAGGGTGCGTGTGGCTCAGCAATATCATAATCTCGACCAATCTCCCTCCTCCTTCTATCGAATTGTATGATACGATGTCTTGATTGTAATAATTTCTTTTTTGGATTTGATGTCGATGAGCTTCTCCCCACTCATAGATTATATACGTCAGCAGTCCTAGTGTCAATAATAATGTTGTGAGCGTGACGTCGGGATCTGTTGTGGTCTGATATCCAGGACACCCGTCGTACCGCAAATCAAAAGATATTCTTGTGAATGCGGGTCTGACTTTGAGTCCTGTTCTTCACTCAATGTTCCTTTATCTCTATTCTGCACATCTAAACTATCTATCCCGCATTTTCGACCTTCTGTGCACTCACTCTGTGGTCTAGATATATTACACTTCCCTTCAGTGGAGATTCCTCGAGTCTTCGATTTCCATTCCTTCGGCCATGGCTCGGCTTTCTGTGCCGTGGTTTCTCTTTTCTTTGTCGCTCCATATATATTTTTAATAACGGAGTGTTTTGTATTTTTCAAATCTTTATGAAAATGAATTGAATGACAATACGTACTTAAATTGAGAATCAATGACAACGATCATGCCGTAATAACATTATTAACAGAGATCCCACAGGAATAAATCACTTCTTCTGCCTGGGCTTCATCTCATCGGCAACCGCGTGTAGGTATATCTTGGCATTAGTGGGGCCGATGTTTCCCTCATGACCCTGGAGAAAATCGTGAAAATAAAATTAAAGACCTACTTTGCTCCAATCGTAACCTGTTGCGTAGGCCATCACATTCCCACCGTGATGGACGTGACATTTGGTGATCTGCTTGGGCATCTGTTCGGAGTTCTTCAGCTTGGTGCGGGCGTCCTTATCCCATAACATAAATCGTCCATCCCCACCGACAGTAGCCAGTGTGTAATGGATAGGGTGGAAGCAGACATCGTTTATCTAAATTAAACGTTTTTAACACGCTGTGTACCTACAACATTAAAAATTTCAAAACCTACAGGATAAATCTCTTGAAAACCGTTTACAAGATCTGGAGAGCGATGACACTTAAAAGTGAAGTTGTCTTTAGCATTGCTGCTCTCAATGGTTTGGATTGCAACACGGCCTAAACAATTGTCAGTTATTAAGGAAGACCAACCTTCAATAGATCCCAGTGCGAATCCGGCAGGCTGGTTATTCATCTTATTCTTGAAGATGGAGACACATCGGCTTTGATGTTTGAGAGGAGACTCGATGTCGCTAAACTCCTGAGGTTGCCCTTCTAGTTTATATTGCTTAATTCTTCTATTCCCGAGTCCAACAACAGCAAATGGATATAGAAGATCGGTGCAGAACACTTTATCTGGCAAGTTGATGGTGGCCAAAGATGATTGAGTCGGGAGCTGTCTCATGTCCCAGAAACGAAGAGTCTTGTCCCATCCGCCGGTCATGAGGCAGTTGTAGCTGGGAGAGGTGATCCAATGACAAGACTTTACCGGAGAATCGTGAGTTCCAACTATAGCAACCTGATTTGATGCCAAGTCCCACACCCGCGCTTGTTTGTCTGCACATGCCATGAATACCTTGCTACTATCCTGAAAGATTAATAAGTTATAAAAATCACTGCAAACACACGTCAAACCAATCCAATCCTAGAACGGGTGCTCCAACATTTTGCATGGCCTTCGGTTCGACTTGGCCACTTTCGCTGATCTGCCAGATCCGACAAGTGAAATCCCAGGATCCAGCGGCCAATAACATTGGGGCACCATTGCTCGCTGGGTTAAATTTCAAGGCCTGAACCGCGTCATCTGGAGTCTGCGGCACCTCCACATCGTTGTTAGGATTCTGATTCTGTTGAGTGGAGTTCGTAGCCCCAAAAATGGAAGAAGGCTGAGCTTGGGTGCTGTTAGAATTGAAAGTTGATGTCCCCAAATTTGTAGATGGTGAATTGAAAGATCCAAAAAGCCCCGAGGGTTTCGATCCGAAAGCCGAGCCAGATCCAAACATCTAAACAAGATTGAAAAGCACAAAACCAAATTTAAAGTATGAGCTTTGCTTATAACAGAAGCCTTTGCGAGGACTCTTCCAACAATAACAATTTATCAAATAAAAACAAATAACACAAAAAATCAACAATAAATGAATCTCCACTCCTCGTTAAGCCTTTTGTTTTTGAATCTGTTTCTTAACCTTCCTGAATTTCTTTTTATCCTTTTTAATTTTACTCTCTAAGGAATGGAGTTGATCCACTGCTCTACTGATCATATCGTTGTCCAGAGGATCCTTTCTATCAGGTTCAATGATATCCTTGAATGGACTTTCTCCTTTGGCTGCCAACTCAAACCTAAAAATAAATAATCCAAGGAACTTCAAATAAAACTTACTGAGATATCAAGGGTTTCAGTTTCTTCTTCTTCTTTGAATTCATCTCGCCAGATTCTACAGATGCTTTCAGCAATTCACAGATAGCATTGTAGTCGAATTCAATTGGTTTTCCAACTCCTTTTAGGTCTCCTGAGACCTTTTTGTTACCTTTCTCCCTTTCCAATTCGGCTGCAAAGCCCTCCAATATAGTCATAAAGACTTCGGTGTAAATAGATTTCAACAATGTATCACTAAAAATTCCGGTTTGCAGTTGTGAAAAGTTACCTGCAGGTTCTTTTAATTACATCAACATATGGCTCAATAAATTCGACAACTTGACAAGTACTCAGATCTCCAGCATAGTCCAACTCTTCAATATAAATTGTGGTGAAGTGCATTTTCAGTGTTTCATTCACCCCAGAATCTTCTCCCGTAATAACTGTCTGTCGCATGAATAATATGCTGGATTCTACCAGATCTTTCTGCCACTTTTTGTTTCGCAAATAGACAAAGAACGCTCGAAAAATACGTCTCATCATCTGAAATTACAAAGACAGAACATACGTCGACCTTGTCAAATTTATTATCCCCCAGAAGCCTACCCTCCAAGCTTTTCAAAAGGTGGGCGAGGAGATACCATGCCGCCGACTTACCAATAAGAACTTATCCATTCTCCATTTATCAATATTCAGCCAGTGTTTTGAGAGGGTGAGGATCATCGCTCTCATATAATTAATCACCTCCTGATGGGTGTTGAACAAATTTACCAAAGAGCCGAACTCATCACACATTTCCTCCTGGAGTAGCATCTTATCTTGCATCCATAAGGCGTAATGTAATCCACGGCAAAGTCTGTCAAACGACTCTGGAGTAAATCCTAAACACATAAATACGCTAATAAACTACCAACCCTTCACTTTTGATTGATTCCTGATGTATTCACGAAGTCTAATCAACGCCCGACGTCTGAGTTTCGGTGAACAAGAGCCAAGATTCTCGGAGAATCGTATCTCAGACACTTCCATATCAACATCCATACTGGATTACGAAAGTAACACAACGTTTGGAGAAAATTTTGCGGAAAATATATTTTAGGAAATTTCGAGAACGCGAGCTGCGCCCCATTGTTCGCATTAAAGCGTCTTTTTACGAAAGGACCACCGCATGTGCACCACACACGGCACCTGGTTTTTACGTAAACGTTTCTTTGTAAGCTTCTGCGGTGCAAATGAATAGTCAAGATATGGCAAATTTGCTGTTGCCGTTGATCCTGGAGAAGCGACACTTTCAACGATTTTGGATTGAGGAAACGGCTGAAATACTCAACTTTGAGCGTACGATGAAGAATCAGCATAACCTTGTCAAGCCACCAGTAAACGACTCAAAAAAAGCACTAGTCCGGAAAGAGGCCCAGTTGGCTTTAGATTTGATGAGTGAAGATTGCGAGAGTGCGATAAAATTCTATCAGCGTAACTGTAAGGAGTAGTACTGTAAAAAATCATGTTGTTTTATTTTTTCAGTAAACCTAGCCGAAAAAAAGTGTGCATCAACGAACTACGATCCGAATACTTCGGCTTTATTTGAACTATCCCTTCAGTTCGACCGTTTGATTGGAAGTAAACAGTTAAACTTGGAGCGATGGAATTTCCTAGGAAATCGGCTTCGACGGCTTATCGGAAATTTCTCGCGAACGGTGTCCAAGTAAGCTTCTCCACTCATGGATATTATGTTGTAGCTCGTACTGTATCGCCACTGTTCAGTCATATGCAATTACTTTGTGTGAATTAATGTATAAATACGAAGAATACATCACTTTATACGATAGTGAGGCGGACACTAGAATCCTGACAACTTCGATAGACCGATTTTACAAAATTGTGATTTTGAACTTGAACGTATGTATTTCTTTTACAACAAGTCATACAATTTTATTTCAGGAAACAAATAAAAATAAAAAGAAGACTCCTTGCACTCGGGTCTTTAGATCACCCGGATTTAAACTCTGTTTCGCGAAGACACCAACACGGCCTAGAGGCTTCTTGCTTCCACCAAACTTAGAGGCTTCAAGGAATCAGATATGGAGATCGATAACAGAAAACAAAACGTAACACGGAATCTGTTGGAGGCTCTGATTGCCTCTAACCTACGTGGTGTTTAGTCTTGGTATCAGGTTAATGACTACCAAATTAAACGGCAATGAGTTTAAAAAATCGTGATAAAGTCTTTATTTGAAAGCGCGTCCCTATTCGAAATATTTTTTGTTTGAGACGTAAATATCCTTTGGTCATCAAAATTAAGCTTATTTTTTTGATCGGGGAGGTCTCTTGAGAAGTAAGAAAAGGAGATCGATTAAACCTGAGGAAAGACAGAATTAAAAATGCCATTGGAATAAACGGGTTGACAGAAAAATTAGGGTTGTTGACGCCTCAGTCATATTGTCGGACTGGATTCCTTCTTGTTAAAGCGACAGATTAGATAAGAAGTAATACCAGTCGCAGCTAATATTAACAGTATCACCATAGTCTATGTTAAGCTCGCGTTTGAAAACTTCGTGTACAGAATTTTCAATTTAAAAGAAGATGACGCCAATTTGACGTCAGATTGAAAAAAAATCCGTCAAATTAACAACCCTATAAAATTAACTCCAAATAAAAAAAAAAAACAAATCAGAAAATGTACAATGAAAGTGGGCAGTCATACGAAAGGAACTAAATTTGGCACGTTAATTAAACAGTTTCAAATCTTATTGAGCTTTCTTAGAAGACAGACAATGTGAAGGCAGAACTTTCGACTCGTTTCATCTTCCATTCCAAAGGTATTCAAAAAGGCCGCTATGTGAATGTCGTCGAACTTCCGATTTATAGTGTTGACGAACTGCAAAGACGTATATGGATAGCCCTCTCTCTTACCATTTCTTGAGGCATGAGGCTTAGTATTTGTTTTTGGAAAACATTTGGGGGGCAAGACGTGATCTCCTTGATGAAGCAACTGGCATACGTCTTCTTGTGGTCGAGGATGGTCTTCTTGAGGACCACATCGAACTCCTCGATGACATTTTTCACGAGCCCATCAATGGCTTGACCCAATGCCTCAGCATCCGGGGTCGATGGAATGCGGCGGTAGTTGTTAGATCGTCTTTTCCTTCGTAAACGTCTCCTTTCATTGAATTTAGCAGCCTCGTCAATGTTCTGTTGTTTCACCCAGGGCAACACAAACAGAACCCGGACTAGCATTCGAGCCAAGGCCCAAATATGGTTATAGCCTGAGGGATACGACGCGGAGAGGGCCGAGAAATTGTTGTCTTCGGTTAAAAGAGTGGCCAAACGCAGAAAACATTCGGCGGGGAGTGACAGAGCAGCGGCAAAGCAGAGCTCAGCTTCGGCTTCAAGTTCATCAACGGACTCATGCTTGTACACCTGTTGAAGCCAGCACTGCAAAAAATTTATATTGCTAATTGTAAACTGATTTCACGAAAACACTGCTTTAAAGTCCTCAAAGATTTTTTTTTGAGTTTCCGGCGAATTTGTATTTACAGATACTACAAACATCGTCGTCGTTAACTACGGGTTTTTATATAAAAATTGATTTTTAAAACGAAAGAAAATCCTACTAGACATCAGAACAAACAAACCTTAATCCAGCGTTCATAGCGTTTCTTTCTGTTCAAATCGACCACATAATTTAGTACACTCTGACAAATGTAACCCTTCTGTGATGCAATGAAGAATGCATTTTTCAACATGGTCATGTTCGGCGTCTACAATAGGATAAAAACATGTTGCAGGAACATACTTCTTTTACTCTTAGAGGTCTGACGTCACCAATGGCACAGGTAATCAACACTGGATAAGTTGTTTCATGAGGCTGCGGCCCCTCAGCGATGTTTATTACCAAGTCCGACAAACTTTCCTCAGTCAAACGCCATCTAAAAATACTTCTCGATTTTTTTCTTACTTACTTTTTGCAAGTGTTATCATCCTTCAAAGAGTGTGCTTTCTTCAAATGTTTTTTCATATTATCCCTAACAACAGACGCAATATCATATTTCTCGGGGCTCTTGTTCATATGCAGCCATTGGACGTAGACAACATAAGCACTGCTCACATCGCCAAATGATTCCAGCAGTTTCTCAACTATAACAGGCTTCTCATACTCAGTAGCCTTGGAGAAATCGTTGACAACAATTTCCCCAAGAACCGGAATTGCTTCTAGAAGAGAGCCAAAGTTGTCTGAAAGACCCCAGAAACTGGTCCCTTGTTTCACACATTGATAAGCTACAGTGGCCAGATCCTTAATCTGCTGGTTCGGTTCAACATGTCTGTCTGAGAAAAGGGCGTTGTTGTAGTTGTTGAGCCATTGAAAAATAAAGGAATCTTCAATTCCCCCGCAGAGATCCTCCAGCTTTATATCCGGAATAAGATACCGTATTCGAAAAAGCAAGAGGACAGTCAAGTCATAGAAATGAAGACCGGCTTTGTCCTCGTTTGCAACACTTTGACAACTTCTGTTTATTCTAAAAAAAAAATATGCGACAAGCACGATTCAACTTACTCTGCAACAACATTTAAAAAGTCGTATAAATCTCCACGGGAACACAAGACTCCAATTAAAAAATCGATTAGATCCACCGACATCTTGACCAACAATTCATTCAGGACAACTTTGAATTGGGAATCATCTTCTCTGTGGAATAGAGGTTTGAAATGATTGGATAAGGCGACAGCACTCTGCAGTTTCATATACCTTGGTTCATTCGTAGAGACTTCCATGGAGAGGTTTGAAAAATCTGGGAAGAGATCACTGTCTCCTTTCGAAGTATGTCTGAAAAACTGAGTCTTTTTTCGGAGACCTACCGTTCACCCAGAAGCCTCTCAACATGGTCCATTTCTAGGAGTCTATGTCCTTGCAAACATTCTAAGAAATTGGCGAAAGTGTCATCGCGTCGATAATGATCGACACCGTTAAAGAGTGGTTTGTTTGCAGCCAACTCGGACAGACAATTAAACAATTGTTTCGAATCCAAAAACTCGTTCTTGTAGGCCGCTATAATCTCTGGAAGTCTGCAAAAAACAAATACATCAGCCATTGCGGGCCGACATTTGTTTCTGTAGGCATCCAGTTGGGCTACAAAAGATCCGCGTAACAGATCTCTGACCAACTTCAAGTTGTCATACTGTAGTATCTGCCCCATATTTCTGAATGATTGAGCCATCTCAGATGTGGTTGTCAAAACACGGAAGGTCGAAAAAATGGAGCACATGGACAAGATAACTGGCTCTGACTAAAAATTCTTGATATAAAACAACAAAAACAGACCTTGTTCGCACCGAATCGGTAGGTTTCCAAATAATCGACATAGAACTCCGGCTTTCTCGAAAAACTAAGAAATATTTGCACTTCTGAACCAAACAACTTACTCTTCCACCATGTGCTTCAATCTCTCTATGCGGGTAGAACATTCGATGTCATAACTTCCGTCACCTGTTTCGTCTATACTTAGCATCCCTTCAATGGAGCTTAGGTTTTCCAACATGTCAATCAAAGCTTCTAAACAAAAAATCAAGATTCTTTGCAATAAATACCGTTGTCATCCATACAAACAAAATACATAATCGTTCGAGCAAACTCGTTGGTGGAGATGAATGTCAGAGAATAGATAACTTCATCCAGTAATACTAACTGTTTCGGAATCCTCTCCTTGACAGCCAGACATGCCAATTCAACCAACCATTTGACTACCGTAATGTACACATAGCACAACTCCAGCCTTTCCTTTTCGTCATCAAAATCGCATCTAAAATAACCTTTCTTTCTTTTAACCTTACTTTATAACGCGCAAATCATCGGTGACCTTCCTGATAAATGAGACAGTTACATCCAGAACATGAATGTTATTGAATTTTGTTAACAGTTGAATGAAATTCATCATTGTGAACACCCCGTTCTGAATCATTACGTCCACATATTCGTAGAGAATATGGTGTACTTTGTGATCCTTCCGAGCGACCTCAACCAGTTGTTCGCACACTCTATCGATGATGAGATTGGAATGTAAGTGCATGGCTACTTCATTAAACTGCTGATAAAACGCGAATGGTGGCGTTCCATTCTGAATCGAATCGTAAACGAAAGCTCGGAATTGTTGAACTACCATATTCTCATCCATCTTAAAAACAGGTCACCTTATTAACACGAAAAAATTATATAATCAACTCGTTTTCAAACGATTTAGGCAATAAATAAGGCACGATATTGATAATATTTTATTTATATCATTAGTTGTCTTCTGGCTATTTCATATACCATGCGTTGTCTGTAATAAGGCATTATCCGTTGGTCGAACTGGAAATCACACTGCCTCGATGCGAATTCGGCGAACACGGAACTAAAGACTCCGCAGTCAGAGCCGTTCATCTGCATTGGGACCGCAGGACAATCGAAAATCCAATCGGCAACACTGTAACTCGACTTTTTTTTATCCAGATGTTCCTCAACCAAATAGTTTCTAAAGACAAGTGAGAGTGATATTACAAACTTGAACAAACCCTAACAGCCGTAAACAGGAGTTATTCCGTCCTCCAAGCGAATCGAAATATAATACACTCTTCTTCGTGAAGTCTATTGCTGACATACACCAATGATTACCCATATGTACAGGCACCAAGATCACGTCAAAAGAAAATATATCGATCTTACGAGTCCACCGTCTTACTCCAGCATATCCACGGTCGCTTAATGTACCGAAGAAAAATGTGTTAAAAGCGTAAACCTAAAACAATAACAGTCTAGGTTCTACCGGGCTCACCTTTGGAAACGAGTCGTTTTGTTCCGACCTCCTCATAATCAAATTCAAATAAAAGTTAATGATCTCATCGTTCAACCAATTTAATCCCTTCAGAGTTTTAAGGTCTTTTCGAACGATCTTCACACCAAAATCTTCCGAAAACACTTCAGTATCACTCCCACCATTCCAAGCGTTTTGTACTATCCGAACTGCTTCCTCTGGTAATTCTGAAGTAAAAAATCATCAGCAATTTGAGCAACTCCATACCTGGAAAGAAATTTTCATCCACCGATAAGAATATTGGAAGTCTATTGGGCAGCCTCAACCGCTGTCGAAATTGCTTTTCGGCTTCGATTTGTGAGTTTAATCGACCAATCCATCGGTATACTCCTTCTTTGCGATTCAACTAAGATCAAAATTTTATAGCGTCATCGCAGACCCGTACCTGAACAGGAATAATCCCTCTGAAAACATTCGCATCAAATTCTGTGCATCTTTCCTTATGTCTTAATTTGTCGTATTGCATTCCTCGTTTCTTATCCCTTAAGGTCCTCTCAATGTTCTTCTTGGTGACTTGAGTCTTCAAATATTCGAAATTCTCACGTAGTATTCTAAACAAAGACATGCAAAACGGCTTAGGAATACTTACCTTGATTGGGCTGCTACCATCCCGATCAAAGACGATGAACCTGATGGAAGCATTTCCTTATCCGCCACATCGTCTTCCCCTTCCTTAGATGGTAACTCATATGTTGTGGAATTAAAAGAAAAAACGGCATTTCGGTAGTTCTCCAAAGCATCCAGGTCAAAAGACTAGAAAATTCAAAATCATGACACGAACTTGCCTCGTTTAAATCAAACTGAAGAACTGAATTGTTAACCGATTTGAAGTGCGGAATATTTTGGATATCTATAAATGCCATCGTCGATTCTTCCGTCGAGTCGTAATTTACGTAAATTTACCGACTTTTAAATAAACCGAGGAAAAACATATTTTTGCAAAAAATATTTTCAGCAGCAAAATGCCAACAAAATTTCGTTGTGGAACCATGTTCCAAAAAATGGCCCCGGAAGTTTCCAAAATTTACAAAAAAACGTTGATTTCCAGTGTAATTTACACGTGGGTGTTGTAATTCTATTGATCGTTCTCGATAATCGTAAATAGGATCTGTAACTTTTAAAAGAGAGTTTTTTACAGATTGAAGCTTCTCATAACAAGGGCCGGACATTTCGAAAAAACGACCGACTCAGAATCTTTTGATATTTTGCATAGTTGTTGTACTATGATAGCTGAACGTCAGCACGAATTTTTAGTTTCAGAAATTACCGTATACGGGGGTTACGGTAGGTACAATTTTTAGAAAGAATGGGTTCGTATGTAAAAACCCCAAGGAGTAAAGGCACAAAAATTCGCTGTTGTACGTTTTTGACCATGGGGCACATTTTCATAATTGACGAGTTTGCCGTAGGATGTTACTTTCGACTACTTTGAAAAATACCAAGGTGCCATAATGAATGTAACTTTTTTGCAGAGAACTTGTCTCAACTTTTGAAACCTCTTTAAAATACTTTGACATGTATGTAACAACATATCAAAAATGCGCGAAAATAAAAGGGGGGGGGGTTTGGAGTTATGGTACTTTGAATGTTGTCGGTACGGTATATCAAAAAATCATTTTTTTCAAAATCGGTGTAGAAGACCCGCAAACATTGCCAAGATACTTTTTCGACCATGGCGAACATTTTTGTAATTGACACTTTTTCTGTAGGATGTAGTCTTCGCCTACTTCGAAACTGACCCAGATACCATGTGTAATGTAACTCTTCGGCATTCTACTTGTCTCAACTTTTGAAACCTCTCAAAAATACGTTGACATGTATGGAACAACATATCAAAAATTTAGAAAAATAAAAGGGGAGGTTTTGGAGTTATGGCACTTTTAACGTTGCCCGTATGGTATATCAAAATTTCATTTTTTCTAAAATTGGAGTAGGACAACCGCAAACCTTGCCAATATACGTTTTCAACCATGGGGAACATTTTTGTAATTGACAGTTTTGTTCTAGGATGCAGCCTTCGACCGGTTTGAGAAATGTCAAGATTCCATGTTCAATATAACTTTCCGGCATTCAACTTGTCTCAACTTTTGAAACCTTTCAAAAACACCTTGACATGTATGGAACAACATATCAAAAATTAGGAAAAATAAAAGGGGGGGGGTTTTGGAGTTATGGCACTTTGAATGTTGGATGGCACACACGGCTCTAAACAGTGGCAATTGTTACAAAAAAATGAAGAAATCACTGATCTTGCTGTTACAGTAACCAATTATCTGCACACGATATGTTACAGTATGCTTAGGTCTAGTTTTTTTGAATTTTTTAGTGAAAATAGTTTGTGAGGGTCGTACAACATAGATAAAACATTACATTTTGTTTTTAAAATAATCTACGTAAAGTTTAGCCGAGAATAAATCGAGGTGTACTGTATGTCCAACATTCAAAGTGCCATAACTCCAAACCCCCACCCCCCCTTTTTATTTTTCCTAATTTTTGATTGTTCCATACATGTCAAGGTGTTTTTGAAAGGTTTAAAGTTGAGACAAGTTGAATGCCGGAAAGTTATATTGAACATGGTATCTTGACATTTCTCAAACTGGTCGAAGGCTGCATCCTAGAACAAAACTGTCAATTACAAAAATGTTCCCCATGGTTGAAAACGTATATTGGCAAGGTTTGCGGTTGTCCTACTCCAATTTTAGAAAAAATGAAATTTTGATATACCATACGGGCAACGTTAAAAGTGCCATAACTCCAAATCCTCCCCTTTTATTTTTCTAAATTTTTGATATGTTGTTCCATACATGTCAACGTATTTTTGAGAGGTTTCAAAAGTTGAGACAAGTAGAATGCCGAAGAGTTACATTACACATGGTATCTGGGTCAGTTTCGAAGTAGGCGAAGACTACATCCTACAGAAAAAGTGTCAATTACAAAAATGTTCGCCATGGTCGAAAAAGTATCTTGGCAATGTTTGCGGGTCTTCTACACCGATTTTGAAAAAAATGATTTTTTGATATACCGTACCGACAACATTCAAAGTACCATAACTCCAAACCCCCCCCCTTTTATTTTCGCGCATTTTTGATATGTTGTTACATACATGTCAAAGTATTTTAAAGAGGTTTCAAAAGTTGAGACAAGTTCTCTGCAAAAAAGTTACATTCATTATGGCACCTTGGTATTTTTCAAAGTAGTCGAAAGTAACATCCTACGGCAAACTCGTCAATTATGAAAATGTGCCCCATGGTCAAAAACGTACAACAGCGAATTTTTGTGCCTTTACTCCTTGGGGTTTTTACATACGAACCCATTCTTTCTAAAAATTGTACCTACCGTAACCCCCGTATACGGTAATTTCTGAAACTAAAAATTCGTGCTGACGTTCAGCTATCATAGTACAACAACTATGCAAAATATCAAAAGATTCTGAGTCGGTCGTTTTTTCGAAATGTCCGGCCCTTGTTATGAGAAGCTTCAATCTGTAAAAAACTCTCTTTTAAGGCCTATTACTAGTCGCGACATAAAGTCCTGACACATTTGCACAGTGCATTTTGTTTTTCTTTCGTACCCGTCGCGACAATTCCCCGTTTTTGCACTAGCGACATGCACTTTCGCGCGAACTTGCCACTTTTCTCGCGCGACATCCGCGACAAAATGTGTCAGGACTTTATGTCGCGACTAGTATTTATTTTTTCAGCATACATTATGACAGCAGAATATCAGACAAAAATTAAATGGGATGACGAAGTGTTTTCAGCAGAGTCAGTCTTGCCTTCAGAAGCTTTCCTTGGCTTCATAACAGCCTTCAGCGAAGGGGAACTCTACAGCATCATCGAAGTTCAGCTCATTCCTGGTAACTTAATCTTGATCTCGGTGGAAGTTCAGCTATTAAAACGGCATAAATTTAAACAGTTTAAACTAAAGGAAGCGCCTCAGTGGTACCACAAGCCGTATCCGTTCTGTGAAATTTTGGATCCACCAGAATCCTCGGAAGATCACTTTGATTGGAGACGGATGGGAGTCAAGAGAGAGGGGGTCTACTGTGATGTAAGTTTTCATATAAATTATGAATGGGAATCCCGAAACTTCAGCTCCTTGTTCCTGTTGTTTTCTTTAACAAGAAATGTGTTCCTAAGCCAACATCCAACCTCACCGTGTACCGTAATTTCAATGCCGAGATATCCTACGATTTTTGTTTCGAGAACAACGTCGGATTTAGTCCTATTGTTGGACCTGTGGTTTTCTTTGGGGATACAGCCAAGTTTAACAGACACACGTTTTATTACGTCTGGGTTAGCAGGTAATTACAATTTTTGATTGTTTCGTTGTGATCCTATTTTCGAAGCAGGCCCGTACGGGGAGAGCCTTACGGGACGGTGAAAGGGAACACGGGAAAACAAAGCCCCGGGGAAGTCCGTACGGGGAAAACAACTAGCGCGGCTTGAAACGTCGGTTGTGACTTCTGTGATTTCTTGCAGTTTTGCGAACTTACAATTTGTCATCGTAGAGACTTTCCCGGGCTTTGCGTTCCCCGCATGCCCTTTGCTATGGCCTTCCCGGGACCTCCTCCCCCTTCAGGCAGTAACCAATAACTTTATAGACCGAGAAATGAACTTTTGGCTGTGATAAAGGAGTTTAATGCCAACTGGATTGTCAAGAATTCGGAGACCAAGATGAAAAGGGTTGTCACTTCGTTGGACATCTCTTTTGTGAGTCTTTATTTACTCAACTCGCAAGTTTAGCACGGCAATTTACCATGTCCGTCCATGACGGGCAGATTTCAAGAACCACGTATTCTTGATAACCTCATGTCGTTATAAAAATTTCTAGTATCAGAATTTAAATTTTACAAGTAATTTACGCTAACAGTATTACAATCACAGTTTAAATTTTTTCTATAATGCTCGGGGAAAGTTGTAAATTTTTTAAAAGTGCATTATGAATCACTGCCCAACTTGCATCTTTTGTGTAAAGAATGATCAGAAATTGTTTGTTGGATTTGTTTTGTTGTATTAATAGAACCGAGACCGGCTCTTGTCAAGTAAATTCCGTTTAGTTATCCTAGAAGAATTTCAGTGGCATCTTAATTCAATAAGATCGTATGATTATGGACTTGTTGTTGGAAAAAATGAGGAGGAGTGCACCGTCGAGATATTTGTCTCAGAACATATTCCATTGATTACTGGATACGTTAAACAGTGTTTTCCACCAGCAAGAACAATTAGAATCAGTTCCTGGGTTCGCTTTTCAACCTGTAAGTATGTGAATGATCACGAATTTGCTATCAATCTGGTCCGAGTTCCATTTCCAAAATGTATCAAGCGATGCGCTTACGCAGAAGAGTTGGGACTTGTAAAAGTAAGTTTAAGGATCATGTGGTATAAAGGAAGAGTAGTCCACCACAACGTAGTACCAACAACCGGAAAAGTACACCGATAACGCTTTACACTTTGTTTGTGAAGGGACTTATATACAGTAATTGTCGGCGAGTTGTCATTTTTTTTGTTTCGAGTGTAACTTCACTCAGTCTCAACAAAAATTCGGATTTTTGTGCTTTTAAGGATCTCAACGCGACACTATCGCTTGTGGTGCTCCAAAATTTCGCGGTTACAGAGCGTCTACATAGCCAATTGTTATAGTGTAAAACGAAATGCGAACGTACAATGGGAATGTTTCTGCATAAATCAAAGTTCATGGCGGGAATTCAAGGCACGGTCCTTGGAGACTTGAAATCAACATATCGCTGTTTCATATAGGAATCTTTCTGTAATTGCGCCAAGCCTAATTATGACCTTTTTCAGATCGAACTTTACCAATATTGGATTAATGAGGACGAAGATTGGACACTTGGATGTGAAATTGGCGACGAAGAACATATAATTTATAATCCTGAACAAATTAAACTGCAGAGATACAACAATCCTCTGATTACATACAGCCGGAACAAACACAAATTTTACCTTCGAAGTATGATTCTGGGAGGACAATCTGCGCTACTTTATACTAAAGAGCAGTATTTGTTTAAAAAGCAGTGCGAGTATAATGGATATGGTTGTAATATGAATCTTGATCAGCTTCAAAGTTTCGAATATCCAAAATAAATCATCGACTTCGATTCTCACCGTCTTTATTTTTTTCAGTCTTATACAAAGCACGTGCTCCTGCTGGTTTGAGCAACCATCTTTGTACAGGGTGCGGCAATTTTTCGGCCGGATTTTAATTGGCCATAACTTTTTTAGTTTTTGGACAAATGTTAAAATTCTTTTTTTCCCTGAATCCATAGACAACCCCATTTTGTTTAATACCAAATATGTTATACCCGTTCAATTAGACTACAGTAAAAATTTGAGACAAAGAAAAAGCTCTAATTTTCATAGCTGACAATGGAATTACCCCTAGTGCGACTCTCAGATTTTCTTTAAATTTTGCACATGGGCCGGACATAGGCCACACATCAATTCCTGAAAGTTTCAGCCCGCACCTTTCAGGGGCAACCAAGATATTCAACGATTCTTTGCGGTCAGGAGGGCACATGAGTGGTCACACAGAAAAACTTTTTGGCTATATTCTCGCTAGTTTTGTGCGGAGATAGCTGATTTTTTGTGGAAACAGTAATCTCCATGGCATGAACAGGCATGAAACTTTTTACGACAAAATTCGTAAAAGAAGTCATTTTTTCTGGCGATTTCACACACGCCGAAAAAGCAGAGAAAACGACCGAAATGCCAATAACTATGAACTAGGTCCCTGTATATATAACATATTTGGTATTAAACAAAATGGGGTTGTCTGAGGATTCAGGGAAAAAAAGAATTTTAACATTCGGATAAAAACTAAAAAAGTTATAGCCAATTCAAATCCGGCCGAAAAATTGCCGCACCCTGTATTATTTCTTCGGAATGCGTAGGTTGTTTTGGCCTGCAACGCAAAATACTTTTGCAAGTTAACCTTCGTTTATTTTTTATTCAATGTGACGATATAAGGATGGTGGTATCAAATCGGGTATCGTGGCCAGAAACCGCGTTTTCTTGTCTTTTAGGTCTCTAGACAAGAAATGCGCAATTCTTGTCTCAAATTGCGTAAAATTACGCAAATTTATGCTCTCTCCACGTGAAGATTTTTTTCTCTGTTCGGACAAGAATTGCGCATTTCTTGTCTAGAGGATTAACAGACAAAAAATTTCAGTTTCTGGCCACGACACCCGATTTGATGCGTATGTCACCATCCTTATATTTAGAAGCAAAATTGACTGTCTTTCAGTCTATGATTTTTGATTGCTTAACGCCCTAAAACAGATCAAACTTGGTCTCAGCCCTTGGTTCTATTCTAGGTTATAAGGAAAGTACTTATAAGCTAGAATAGAACTAACGTAAATGTCTTCCCCGATTCCTCCGCCGATTCGTATGCCGAGCGGTTTACCGAAAGAAAATGTCAAGCGTGTTTAACAAATCCGATAGCTAAAGCTAAGATTTTTTTCGCGCTCCCAAACTCCTTTTCCTTCTTAATATAAGGATGGTGACATACAAATCAAATCGGGTTTCGTGGCCAGAAACCGCAAACTGCCGCACTACTATAAATTTGACGGTGCCGTAGTTCGTCAAACATCGTAAAAAGTTATGTCATTGTAAACCGCGCGATAAATTCTACACAAATTTTTTTAAATGGTGTCGATCCGACAATTTTGGGCAATGTTATGAGGAAATGAATATAGAATTGCACAAATTTTGTAGAAAATAGGAATATGCGCAATAATAGAGCTATTTTCGAACGGGTTTTTACAACAATGCAACAAAACTTGTGCACATGACGGTCCAAACGGTTAGAAAAATTTTGGAGGGTGATTCTACGCCCATGGAGGGAGACGTTATGACCGAAATACTGCCGCTAACCTCGATTTTGGACGTAAAAAGTTTGATATTTTATTCATTTCGCGTTCTTGAAACAGGCCCCAGGTAGCAAGTATTTGCCGATCCCTTGTAAATCCCAAAATTGGGCAGCTAATTTTTACATATTCTTAATCAGAATGATTTTACGTATTTTTTGATATATACCATAATTATATAAGAGTACTTTTCTCGTTAGGAAGACCTTTTCAACAAGGTTTCTTTTTTTGTTGGGAAGCCAAGCCTAAAATTTTCATCGTATAAAATGTCACCTTTGAAAAATAAGAAGGAAAATAATTCTCAATTCATTCAAGTCAAAAAATCGGAGAGTTATCCGGCTCCTTTTGCTTTGAGTAAAGGTTTTGCATAGTTTTTTGCTTGTGGATTGGATTGCGTTGATCACGTTTTGTCCTCGTGTCACCTTTGTTTTCATCATTTTCGAGAAAAAAAACTTATATATTCAGAGGAACAATGGCTGTTAACGAATCGGGGCCTATCAGCTCTGATTCCTCCTCGGATGAGTTCGAAGATGCCCATGTGTTTGAAGATCTCGGATTTGGCGGTAAGTCCATACATGTTATTTTAATGTATTCATGAACCTTCAGATTTTACAAAACGGTTGAATTCAATGAGGATAAATGGAACGGGGGTGAGTTGTTTACGTTTCAACTATTTAAAATTTAGCCGAACAGCCAAGTTACCTTGGGTTCCTTAAATTTATCAAAAAAAGGGCTGCGGAGTGGAGAAAATCAAATTCAAATGCATCTGGACCAGGGATTAACGTATTTGAATTTTACATGGAATACGTCTATTCGAATATTTCACTATTTTCTTATAAGAATACGAATATGGCAAATATTCGTATTAGAAAATCCGACTATTCGAATACGAATACGTGGAGCTAATTTCTATCAGAGCCTGCCACTCGAAACTTCCTTCCTGTTTTGGTCAATATTCCGTTGATACTGAATCAATTTTTACAAAACATTGGATTATTAACCTCAGAGATTTTGACTTTGATTTTTTTGAAAGTTTCGTCTTTTGATGAAACTTGGCAAAAGTTTAGATTAATTTATTTAACAAGGAAAGTACTTTTATGGGGGCTCCTACTTTTTGACGGTACATATCTCAAAAAATCTGAAAAAATGTGCTGATCAAGGATATGTAAATCATAGCTGCCCATTTTAGATTTTTAGGGGTGAAAACTCGATCGGAAGTTGACTTAAAGTCCTATATGAACCCCTTTTCGCTTAATTTTTCACAGGTTTAAAATTTTTATTTTGGCTTAAAATGATGTTTAATGAGTTTCTAAGACGTAATAAATCAGTCTTGGCACAAAAATTTATTTTTCCGACCTTCATCTTCAAAAAAGTTGATTCGGCCCAAAAGGGAAATCGAACCCGTGCGGCGTCCTCCCTCTTGATTCCCAGACTACGGCACTAACCACTCGGCCACACCACTCTCTTCCGAAGGAAGGGACCGACTGCGCTTTTTATCGTTTCGCATGCCTGCGCCTTTTGTAGGGAAATTAAGCCAGTTTTTGGGCATTTTCACCCTTAAAAACCCAAAATGGGCAGCTAAGATTTACATATCCTTGATCAGCACATTTTTTCTGATTTTTTGAGGTATGTCCCGTCAAGAAGTAGGAGCCCCCATAAAAGTACTTTCCTTGTAAGAAATATGTGAAACTCCTAGCTCGCTCTTTGAAAAAACGACGGAAGGTCAAAATCTGGAAAAAATAAACCACTTTTTTGCGAATTTTGGCATGAAAAGGTTTATGTATATTTCGACAGTGAGGTTCCACAAAAAATCAATTTTTTCGATGAGAAACTGGCAAAGATACAGCCAAAAATTGTTTTAACACTGAGCGCACTCCACCTTTAATATCTCGGCGAGTTAAGATTTCCAGGAATTGATATGTATGTGGCCTATAGGCGAAGTGTGTGTAATATTTAAGGAAAATCTGAGCGTAGCACTTCAAGTGCGAATACGCCTGTATACCAATTTTTTGAAGGAGTACGAATACAAGCAGCGTAAAACTGGTCGTATTCGAAATCGTATTTAAATTTATTCGAATACGTTAATCCCTGATCTTGACTACAGTGGTGACCGGAAGGGAAAGAGAAACAAAGACAGGGCTGATAGGGCAACTGTGGAACAAGTTCTCGATCCAAGAACCCGGCTTATTCTCTTTCGTTTGGTCCAGCGAGGTTTTTTTGAATGCATTGAAGGTTGTGTGAGCACTGGAAAGGAGGCCAATGTATATCATGCTTTGGACAAAGAAGGAGAATCACTCGCCGTTAAGATTTATAAAACGAGCATCTTAACATTCAAAGACCGTGATCGTTACGTAACTGGAGAGTTTCGATATAGGAATGGTTACAGTAGGCACAATCCGAGAAAGATGGTGGCAACGTGGGCTGAAAAAGAAATGCGAAATTTACAAAGGATGCACCAAGCAAGACTCCCTGTTCCGAAGTCACGACTTCTGAAGGTATTTTTTTTTATTTTATTTTTCTGTTTAGTAAGGTTGTTAAGTCGTCAGCTCGACGCGTCAGTCACGTTGTCAAATTGCCGTCATTTTCGTCATGTCAAATTGTTCTGTCGTTTTCATTGTTAAACTCGCTTTTGAAAGCTTCGTATATGAGCCAAAATGACGCCAATTTGACATCAAGTTGACGTCAGATTTATAAAATTGCCGCCAAGTTTACAACCCTACTGTTTAGAGTCATGTCTTGGTTATGGATTTTATTGGATCTGACGGATGGCCAGCCCCTCTACTGAAACATGCAAACATTGATGTAAAGCTGGCGAACAAACTTTATATGGATTGTGTTCGTTACATGAAAATTCTCTACAATCAATGTAAATTGGTCCATGCTGGTAAGACTGACTTAGTAAGCGTTAAACACAAAGTTAAATTTCAGATTTGAGTGAGTACAACATATTATTCCATGAAAACTCTTTGGTCATTATTGATGTCTCTCAATCGGTGGAACACGACCATCCTCATTCCTTGCAATTCTTGCGGTCTGATATAACTAATATAACGCGCTTCTTCCATGAGAAGGGAGCCGCCGTTCTCACTCCTCAGAAACTGTTCGAGCTGATCGTTGATCCATCTTATGAATCCGACAAAGCTACAGAAAAGATGTTGGAGACAGAAAGGGTGGAGTTCCTGGAGGATAGCCAATATCTTTTCTTAAATGCCTTCATTCCTCACAAACTGGATAGTATCGTTGATTTTGAGAGAGATCATGAAATGGAGAAGGATGGAACAGAACTAAATAATCCCTTCCAAAAGATCATTGCAAAAACAGTACAATTAAATGACGGGGATGATTCTAATACGGAAACGGAGCATGAAGTTGTAGGGAAGGAAGGATACATAGAAGACGATGAAGAAAAGGTTGACTTTGCCCACAAACATCAAAAGTATGTACGAATCAAGGGAGAAACCACGGAGGAGAAGAGAATCAGAAAGAAGGCTGTTCAGGAGGAAAAGAAGGAGAAAAGAGCGGTGAAGATACCCAAACATGTGAAGAAACGGAAGGAGAAGATGCGCATTCATCGTTAATTTTTTTGTTGAATAAATGTTGTTATTTTTGCCACTTGAAATTTCACAGCCGTTTGCATCGGTTAACGCTACCTTTATAATCATTGTTTTACACACTAATTTGATATCAAGAAATGCATCCGTCAGTGATGACACGGTCACTCTATGTCAGTTCTAAGGACCGACAGGCTGAGGTTGCACAGAGAAGAAAGGAACGGGAGGATAGGATGAACAAAGAGTAAGGATCAGTATTATTTTGAAAATGAAAAAATTGTAGGCGGGAAGAACGGATTCGTTTGGCAAGGGAAAGGGCTCAGCGAGCATTGGAACGTAAAGAAGAAGGTCTAAAAGTAAAAGCAACGAAGAACAAGCAACAAGAACAGGAGAGGTTAAAAGAAATTCAGCGAAAAAGAGCTGAGAATGAGAGGAAACAGTTGGAAAAGAAGAAATTAAGTATTTTTTTCTTGAATTAATGTTTGTTTTTAGGTGATTGAGCTGAAGGCAAGTAGTAGCCGAATCTCGCCTCAACGGCATTCCAAGAATCCAATTGCTTTTGGATCTGGAGTTCCAAGGAAGTTAGATTTTGGGCCTTCAGCAAAACTTGGGACAACATCGTCAACGGGATCAACTCCACTAAAGCAACCAGACAAGAGGTTGCCTCCTCGAGTCTTACTCACCTCATCAGTGTATTCTCCCAGCGCCAAAACCCGGCCCAAGCCGGAACCGCGAAAACCGGACGTTTTGATGACTAGGTCGATGTATGTTACACCAGTTTCATCCTCAGGCACACGCAGGAGAAATACTGCAAGGAATGAACGAGTAAGTCAAAATAAAAGCAGCCGATATTTTTTTGAATAAGCTCAACTTTACAATTTTAGCCAGTTCCTGCCATAAGAAGGAAGTCAGTCGATGCCTCGCGTACAAAGGTTCAAGTTAGCAAACCTGCGGTTGTCATTGAGAATTCTTCCAAACTGGATAACAATGACTCTGGAGCTGGAACTTCCGCGAATGCTTCGATTGAATCAATTATATTAGCATCAAGTGCTAATGTACCACATGTGGATAACAGGGATAGTGACAATGAAAGCAGTGGAACTGTAAACTTGGCAATGCCCTCTGTGAATTTAGAAAAGCTTGTAACTGTGACCCCTGCAATCGAACAGTCATTGGCGGAGACAGTGGACGATAAGCACTTTTCAGACGAGTCAGATGCTATTCCATTGGTGTCTTCTAGAGAAGCAATTGAAAAAAAATTAGTGGACTGTGGCATACCCCAAAACGTGGACAGTGAAATTTATTCCGAAGTTGTCGTTGTAGTGGAAGGTATACAATTGTTGCTCGAAGACAATAACGGCTTATTGGGGTCAGTGACGGTTGAGAAAAAATCGGAAATTGAAGGAGATATGGTAACAACCGAGGATACTCTGCCTCCAGAAGACCCAATTAATAGAGGTGACAAACATGACGATAAGGAGGCTGGTTATCCTCAGCTTGATAAAGGAAAGGTGGGCGAGGCCTTTGACAAGGAGATGGTCGTTGAGAAACCAGTGAACGGAATAGCGAAGGATGCGAATGATTCTGTACAGGTCCAGGATCAAAGACCATATAGAAATCAGTTAAAACAACAGATCGAATCCGCGTCGTCTGGAATTTTGGAAAATGTGGAAATATGCGATCAGCCAGAAATTCAAGAAGAGAGACCACTGAATGCTTTTATAAGTCGTCTGGGAAACAATTCTTCTCCGAATCTTGAGAAGATCACCGAACCTACGTCTGGGAAACCTGCAAGCCCTGAATTACTGCACCATTCAGACGTAAGTTCCATGAAGCGATGCTAAACCCCGTTAAATTTTAGTCCACTCCAACATTGAAGCCTCTTAAAGGTGGCGCTGTGCTTGGCCTCACAGAAAAATTGGAGCAGGAAAGACTGAGCCGTCGGCAGCGACTTGCGGAGATAATGATGAAAAACCGAGATTCCAATGCTCACACAACTCCAGTGCTGGCTGCCCCCGTGAACCCGATGGAAGGGATGGATCGTATTCGAGAATTGCTCGATCGCCGGGCCAAAAGTAATGCGTCCATGAACAATAGCCAACAAAATACACCTCTGAATGAAGGCCCTGCAACGCCGAGTCTTTCAATAGAACTACAAGCGACTTCTTTAGCCGAAGAACTAGCTAATCTACAGGTCAACAGTCCCGCTCAGGTTCTTCTTCCCGGACAAGTGCCGGAGTCTTGAGATTATTTTCTATGTCTATACTTTACTGAATCCACAGATCCTCTACCTATAAAGCATTTTTATAACACTCTTACATACGCATTTGCTTTAACTATTTTGTTTCATCGGTCGTAAATTTCTTAAAGTAGGCTCAAAAAGTTTAAGTTCCCCTTGTTACTTAACTCTTTCTAGTCCGTACATTGACAAGCGTTGCCTTCTCCTATATACGTGTTCGTGCAATCAAGTCTATTACAATACGCCTTATATATTGCAGCTTTTCAGATTTCTAATTTTGTGTACGAAGTTTTAAACTTTAATAAACTGTACTACTTGTGGCCAATTCCGTCAGGACATTCAAAAAAAGTTTTTTTTGAGTTTTTTGGCCCTTTGTGTCCGAAAAGTGCACCTGAAACACACAGTGCACCTGGGCGAACCGTGCACCTGAGCGAACGGTGCACCTGACACATTTTGAACAGTGCACCTGGGCGAACAGTGCACCTTGAAAAAAAGATTTTTTATGAACAATTGAACAAAATTTGAAATGTTTTCGCTTCGAGACAGGGAAAAAAGAACTTTTTGTGAATAATTGAAAAAAATTTGAAATGTTTTCGCTTCAGGAAAGGGAAAAAAACATTTTTTGTATGTGAAAAGATAAATATGGGGGATCAAGGTAAGCCGTTTTTACCAATGGGGGGATCAAGGTAAGCCGTTTTTACCAATTTTTTGCTTGTGAAGAACTAAATATGACAAGGAGGATCAAGGTAAGCTGTTTTTTCTGACAAGGAAACAACTTCTGTGGGGTATGGAGTTACAGGTCGAGATATATATCAAAAAATTTGCAATAATTTTCTGATTCAGGATACATAAAAATTAGCTGCCTAATTTTGGTTTAATGACATGTTTTTGTCCTCAGAAGTTTTCTCGCGACACCATGCAAGTGTCTTTTGACCATGTTTTTACCAATAAGAAATTTTGTTTTGTGCTAAAATAAACTCCGAGGCCTTGACAAGCCTTACAATATCAAAAAAATTCCTTTTTTCTAGTCCCACAGCGAAAACATTTCAAAATTTTGTTCAATTTTCACGAAAATCTTCTTTTTTTCTATTCCCGAAACGAAAACCTTTCAAATTTTTTAAAAATATTTGCAAAAAACTATTTTTCTTTGTCGCGATGCAAAAACCTTTCAAAATTTGTTCAAATATTCGAAAAAATTCTTTTTTTTCCTGTCTCGAAGCGAAAACTTTTCAAATTTTGTTCCGTAATTCACAAAAAACCCTTTTTTCCTGTTCCCGAAACGAAAACATTTCAAATTTTTTAAAAATTTTCCAAAAAATCCTTTTTCCCTGTCCCGAAGCGAAAACCTTTCAAATTTTGTTAAAATTTTCCAAAAAATTCCTTTTTCCTTGTCCCGAAACGAAAACTTTTCAAATTTTCTTCAATTATACACTTCAATTAGAAACTTATTTCAAGGTGCACTGTTGCAACGGCTGAAATCAAGTTTACGTTAAACCTCCGTGGATTTTACGGTATGCTTTTTTGCGTTTTCGATTTTACGAAACGCAAAAATTTCGGCGGACGTTGTTTTGGGCCTTCGGCTGTTGCAATTCATGTTGGAAAAGAGGTTGGGGTGATTTTTCGTTGTCATCCGATGCACAGAAGGCAAAAATTTCGTGCTTTTTTTCCCCGGCGGAGGATTCGGCGGAGGCTTTATCAAAGGGTCAAAGCTGTCTTACGAGTCCGGGAAAAATCTCAGCTACAAGAATCCATCAGAGCAACATTATCTTTCAAAGATTTTTGATTTTTTTTGGTCCGGCGGACAAATCGGCGGAGTTTTGTTTTGACCCTTTGATAAAGCCTCCGCCGAATCCTCCTCCAGGGAAAAAAGCACGAAATTTTTGCCATCTGTGCATCGGATGAAAACAAAAAATCGCCCCAACCTCTTCTCCAACATGAATTTGCAAAAGCCGAAGGCCCAAAACAACGTCCACCGAAATCTGAGGTCTCCGCCGCGCATCCGCGGAAGTGCGTAAAATCGAAAACGCAAAAAATGCATACCGTAAAATCCATGGAGGTGTTACGTAAACTTGATTTCAGCCGTTGCAACGGCGTTTCCGCCACGTAATACGATGTGATTTTTAAAAAAGGCCCTAATTTTCTCCGCCGAGAAATGGGCCCTCCGCCGACGAAAAAAAATTTTTTAGAGATTCTGAAAACGCACGACGTCAATTTTTAGAAGCAAAAAGGATTTCGTTGATAGCGGCAAAGACAACAAAGATATAAGCAAATAATTTGTTCCAAATTCCTTGAAACACCCTGTACTAACGTTAGTTTTCTTTACCCTGAGTTACTGTAACATATAAAAGAAAGATCCGTAATTTTTATCCTGATATTACTCATGTGAGTACATGTAAAATACCTCAAAATTGGTGATAAGCTATCCAAGGATCCGATCAATCTTATTATCTCTTTTAACTAAGCCTTCTCCTATCCTCCCCCATGCATACAACGACGAACCGACACGATCTATAGTATCGTTGTTCGGGTCAGCGACGAACTGTCGCGCTGACCCGAAAAAACGTAACGCCAAAAATTTTTGGGAACCTGTTTTAATAACCCATACCAACATTCCAGGCCAGAGAATGTATGTCCGACCCCTAATAGAGGCTGACGCAGCGAGCCAAAAATCGTCTATTTTAATAGACGATTAATTTAAAAATTTTCATTATCGTGAGCAGTAAGACATATACACCACTTTTTGACAAACTTTTGAGACGACTTTTTAAGATTGATCCTAGATTTCTAAATATAACTATATGGGTTGTCCTGCTATGTGATTTATTGTTACTGGGTTGTTAATAAACTGTATAAGAAAGTTTGGACCTGATTGATATACTATCAAAATAACATTGCGCGGAGTATATTTGAGGAATGTATTAGTAGTCTGCCATCTGGTCGTCAAAATAGTCGATCCTGGCTCCATTCTCGAATTTGTTTGTTTTGAGGATGAAGATTAATTTGCTTACGGTTTCCTTTGTTGTGAGAACGCTTCGACTTACATCTGTCTTCTCGGTGGAAGAGAACGCCTTCCGAATCTCTAGTGAATAACTCCTAAAATATGATCTTTAACTAATTCCATCATGCAAATCGAGAAGGGAACCAACTCTTCAACTTGGCTTTTCGTCCTAACAAGGGATCAGAGATTGCCACGGCTCCGGAGCCGGTAATTTTAGGAGCGGCTCCGGCTCCTGAGCCCAAAGTCGGAGCCAGGCTTCTCAGCCTTCAGAAAAGTAAAAAAATGTTAAACCAAATAGCTTGAAAAATACTCAGAAGGATGTTTTGCATATGACTTGGCTGCAAAAACGTTTACGTTAAACCTCCGCTGGCTGTATGATCTCTGGCACTAATAACTTTTTATTTGGAAAAATATATTTTTAAATTTTTTTGCACGGGAACCGGGATTCGGAGCCGGAGACCTTTTTACAAGGAAAGTACTTTTATGGGGGCTCCTACTTTTTGACGGGACATATCTCAAAAGATCAGAAAAAATGTGCTGATCAAGGATATATAAATCTTAGCTGCCCATTTTAGGTTTTTAGGGGTGAAAATTCCAAAAAACTGGCTTAATTTCCCTACAAAAGGGCAGGCATTCGAAACAATAAAACGCGCACTCGGTCTCTTCCTTCGGAAGAGCGGTGTGGCCGAGTGGTTAGCGTCGTAGTCTGGGAATCAAGAGGGGAACGCCGCACGGGTTCGATTTCCCTTTTGGGCTGAATCAACTTTTTTTGAAGTTGAAGGTCGGAAAAATTAATTTTTGGGACCAGACTGTCTTATTACGTCTAAGAAACTGAATAAACATCATTTTAAGCCAAAATAAAAATTGTAAACCTGTGAAAAATGAAGCGAAAAGGGGTTCATATAGGACTTTAAGTCAACTTCCGATTGAGTTTTCACCCCTAAAAACCTAAAATGGGCAGCTGAGATTTATATATCCTTGATCAGCACATTTTTTCTGATTTTTTGAGATATGTCCCGTCAAAAAGTAGGAGCCCCCATAAAAGTACTTTCCTTGTTAAATTTTTCATGGGAGCCGGAGCTGCAAATTTGGCCTCGGCTCCGGCTCTGGGAGCTAAGAGCCGGAGCCGAAATTTTGACCGTGGCAATCTCTGCAAGGGACTAAGAAACTCAATTTATTGCACTGTGCGACGTCCTTTCGCACTGTGCCCCCAATTCCGTCGCGCTCACCCTATAATTTGCATTGTGCGGGCCGATAACTGCACAGTGCACGCGCGAACAGCGTAGTGCATCCATTCCGTGGACTTTTTTCCTGCACTAGTACACTATTTGCAACGATTTCAGAAATCTTCCCATAAAGGACCAAATTGGGGATCAGTCAAAAAAGGCCTGACTTTTCCAAATTGGCAAAAAAATCCTCGGACCCCTTACCTATGACGAAAAGTCAGCGTGAAGAGTTCCCTCTCTCGCAATTTCGATTTTACGTGCCGTGTCCGTCCATAATGGGCACATTTCGAAAACTCGTCCGAATCGTAATGGATGTTTTTATCCCCTAGACAGTTTCGTCCACAGGACGATTTTGTCCCCAGATCAATATTTTATATTTGAAAATTGTTTGACCAGCTAGCCATAAACCTGGATTGGCCAGCCAATGTGTCATACTTGCTTTGAAGTCACAAAAATAGCTAGCTAAAAGGTTGGAATGGGTATCAAAGCGCAGGAGTTATGGTCGATATTTTAGAATGGCTAGTCAAAAACCTGGATCGGCCCGCCAAAGTGTCAGAATAGCTGAATAGCTGTGAGGCCACGACAAAAGATAGCCGAATGGAATATCCCATCCAGTTTATTGGCTAGCCATTAGAAAAATCTGGCTGTGGTTTTGCTGGTCAAACAATTATCAAAAATAAAATATCGGGGAAAAAACCGTCCTGGGGACAAAACCGGTCTGGGGATATTCCGTTCGAAAATCATCCCCTTATATCTTTGCAAAAAAGTGTAATTCGGAAAAAGGTGTGAATTGCGTGTAAATTTTTCAATGTACTGTGACTTTGAAAAAGTGTTAATTTTGATGTACACTGTTAGGAGTGTCGCTATATTCACAAACTTGTGTAAAAATGTAAGTGTAAAATTTTTAAAAGTGTAATGTCGAAGGAATAGTTTTGAACACATTTCTAACAGTATTACATCGGAATGATCTTGGCACATAAATTTATTTTCCAGACCTTGATTCAAAGCCAAAAGGGAAATCGAACCCGTGAGGTGTCCACCCCCTTGATTCACAGACTTCCGCAATAGCCACTCGGCCACATCGCTCTCTTCGGAGGAAGAGACCGACCATGTTTTTTATCGCTTGCAATGCCTGTGCCTAGTTGTAGGGAAAATTAGCGCGTTTTTGGGCATTTTCAACCAATAAACCCGATATTAGGCAGCAAATTTTTACATATCTTTGAACGGCACAATTTTCCGGATTTTTTGAGGTATGTCCCGTCTAAAAGTAGGAAAAAAGGCCAAAGTGCTTTTTTCTCTGGGGTCGAGAATATTCGGGTGGTGCGCACTCGGGTGGTGAAAATTCGGGTGAGCGTACTCGGGTGATCGCTTGTTCGGGTGATGCAAACTCGGGTGGTGAAAATTCGGGTGATGGATTTTTGGGGTGGGTGAATATTCGGGTGATGAAGAAAATATTGTATTGATGGTTAATAAATATACTGTAACATTATTAAAAATTTTTAAGTGGAAATTTCCGATTTTTTATTCATTTTTAGGGTTTTCGAGCATAAGGTATCCAAAAATCAAGTCCGTTTCGCTCGAATATTAATGCCCGACCTTTTGGCGAATTTTTAATTCTCCATTGTCAAAAGCCCCAAAAAACCGATGAAAAAGTTTTTTTTAAAATTATTTACAATTTTGCGTCATCAGTAGTATTTGATTTTACAATCCTTTACTACGATAATAATAGTGTTGGCATTGCTATTCGAGCGAAACGGACTTCATTTTTGGATGCCTTATGCTCGAAAACCAAAAATTTCAACTTAAAAATTTTTAATAATGTTACAGTATATTTATTAACCATCAATACAATATTTTCTTCATCACCCGAATATTCACCCACCCCAAAAATCCATCACCCGAATTTTCACCACCCGAGTTTGCATCACCCGAATAAGCGATCACCCGAGTGCGCTCACCCGAATTTTCACCACCCGAGTGCGCATCACCCGAATATTCAGTTACCCTTTTTCTCTGACCGCTCTCCGCGTACCCCTATTTTAAAGAAAATCTGACCGTCGCATTTTGAAATAAAAAAATAATACTTTTGACTCTTTTACAAAAAAATGCCGCGTCCCGACATTTCGGGTCAAGGACAACTCGGGTCGCGACAACTCGGGTCAACGACAACTCAGGTCAACGACACTTCGGGTCAACGACACCTCGGGTCAACGACATTTCGGGTCAACGATGCCGTTTAATATTTTCGCTTCGGGACTTGGAAAAAAGAATTTTTTGGTAAATTTGAGAAATTTTTGAAATGTTTTCGCTTCGGGACTTGGAAAAAAGAACTTTTTGGAGAGTTTGAACAAATTTTTGAAATGTTTTCGCTTCCGGACGTGGGAAAAGGATTTTTTTGTTCTGAATGTTACAATTTTATTTTTTATAAGGTACGAATGTTATTTCTTTAATTTTTTAGATAAATAGTTATTTTAGGGGTAACTGAGGTTATTTTAAATTTTTTTGGGAAAATGGTGTTTATAAGCGACGAGCAAATAAAAAAATCGTTATGTGCATACAATCATTACGACTATCTTCTTATTCCACTCTCTGGCACTGTCTGCGTTTAAATCCCGTGCTTTCAGTTAAAAACATAGACAATGGATACGATTTTCTTATTTGCTCGTCGCTTATACACTATTTCCCTAAAAAATTTAAAAAATAAACCTCAATTCTCCAAAAAATTCTTTTTCCCAAGTTCCAAAGCGAAAACATTTAAAAATTTTGTTCAAATTCTTCAAAAAATTCTTTTTTTCAAGTCCCGAAGCGAAAACATTTCAAAAATTTTTCAAATTCACCAAAAAATTCTTTTTTTCCAGTCCCGAAGCGAAAATATTAAACGGCATCGTTGACCCGAAATGTCGTTGACCCGAGGTGTCGTTGACCCGAAGTGTCGTTGACCCGAGTTGTCGTTGACCCGAGTTGTCGCGACCCGAGTTGTCCCTGACCCGAAATGTCGTAGCGCCAAAAATGCCAATATTACAGCACTTCAAGCAGTGTCACATCAAAATTAACAGTTTTTCAACAATAAACTGTTTTTCAAAGTTTACACTTACAATTCATGCTTTTTTTCCGAATTACACTTTTCTTACAAAGTATTTATCAATGATATTTGAACGGTTTCTCGAAACCTGCCCATTATTGGCCAAGACTTCATACCTGGACGCAATCTCGTTTCTCATATCTGTCTCAACCGGACCGGGTGAGTAATTCAGCACTCTTATTTCGGGTCTTTCCAAAACCAAGGCTCTGAAGTAGGCTTCACGTGCTGCCTTTGAGACGGAATATTGTGTGAAGGATGGAAACGATTGAACTGCCAAAAGCGATGTGATATTCACCAACAAAACGTCCTTCCCTTTACAAGAACTCAAAATCCTATTATTGAACACAATCATCCCTGTGACGTTTATCCGCAAATGTTCATCCCACGCCTTGACATCCATGAGCTCGTCCGCCTTCCTGCTCACATCTCCCACACATCCCGCATTATGGATGAGAATGACAGGCCGTTCATCCTCCAATTCTTGGAGAATAGTTTTAAGGTCCAGTTCTTCATCCCATGCAAAATCAAATTGGATTAAGACAATTTTGAGATCCTTGTCTCTAAAAAGGTTTTGATATTGGAGTATTAATACCTGTTAATAAAAGCTTTAGTTTCTTTCAATCCATCCAAGTTTCGAGCAATTAACAAAAAAGTGGAACCATCGGCCACATTTTCTGCCAATTGAATAGCAATCTCCCGACCAATTCCTCTACTGGCCCCTAAATTCTTTTGAAAAATGTTAATGTTATCAGAAGATGAACCTGCCTGTTACAATTACAACAGATTTTCCGTCAATCAGATTTCCCATACCTGCAAAAAATCTGACAATGAAAGTACTTCTATGGGGTATGGAGTTACAGGTCGAGTTATATATCAAAAAATTCGCAAAATTTTTCTGATTCAGAATACATAAAAATTAGCTGCCTAATTTTGGTTTGTAAGGGTGAAAAACCCCTCAGAACTTTTCTCGCAACACCATGTAAATACCCCTTTTTTTAAATTTTTTTATGTTGAAACTACTAATTAAGGTGTAGTATTAATCAAATTTGTTATTCTAAGGCTTGTCAAGCTGCCAGAGTTTACTTTAGCCCCAAACAAAGGTTTTCAATTGGTAAAAACTTGGTCAAAAGGCATTTTGAGTGGTGTTGCGAGAAAAGTTCTGAGGATTTTTTCACCCTTACAGACCAAAATTAGGCAGCTAATTTTTATATATTCTGAATCAGAAAATTTTTGCGAATTTTTTGATATATATCTCGACCGGTAACTCCATACCCCATAGAAGTACTTTCCTTGTGAAAAAAACCTCTTTACGCTTAGCCTTCCCGTTTTCAAATACTTCCGAAAAAACGTCAGACATTTCCCATTCTTCTCAAATGTAAGTAAAAACGATTTATTTCCAATTCCGCCGCTACACATAGATCCACAATACTCATTTAATTTTTCTGATGCAGGTTTCCAGATCGTCATCAATAGTTTGCACTTCAGCGTTTGGAAACTTGATCGGTCTTACTCGAAGTTCATGAGGGATCAAGTTTTCGTTGGTTAAGGTAACATCTGTGTCCGTAGAGACTTCCATTTCATCGATCAGCCGAACATACGTTACAGTAAGTTCAGACATCAAAACGCGTTTGTCGTCGCTACTCAGCAATTGAGCTTCCGTCTCAGACAGTCGACTTTCGTTTATTTTCAGTGAAATTAAGTCGACATAATCCATTACACATTCCGAAGTGACATTTTTTTGTTTTGCATACCTAAATAATAAATCAGGAAAAAAGTGGCCTTCACCTTTTACATCTTAAACGTTGTTTTTCCTCGCCCCAATATATAGCCAGTTTTACATCTTGCGCATGGGAATGCAAACAAATGGAAACCGTCTGAAAGAAACCAAATAAATATTAATAAAAATAAATACCGTCTGAGAAGAATTCCCATCAAGAAGAAATTGATCCGGCTTTATGAAGACATCCGAACTTCTAGAAGGTTTGTTCATCTCATCCACAACTATAACCCTTACAAACGCTGCTCTATTTCCGACGTTTTGAAGAGAGAACTGAGCACGTCTTTTGCTAACGCAAGCTTCCCAAGTGTTGTTCTGGGCAACTTGCAAACCTCTGGGCACAACCTCAGCTTTCCCGGAAAATCCGAGTAATGTTACCTAAAAACCGCGATTAGTAAAGATTAAAAGGTACATGTAACAATTGCACATACCCTAAATTGCACAGCTCTCTTTGTCATATCGTCCGTTTTGACGCTCAATACAAGAGTACCTGTATCAAAGCTCTTCTGTCTTTTCGGTTTATATATCAGCTTTATTAAGTGACTCTGCCTGGGCGATAAATACAATCCTTCAGAGTTCTCAGCCTACAAATTTATAAAACATAATAAAACAACCGTTCCTCACGTTGAAAAGAGGGTTGTCAATTGATTTTACGTCAATCCATAGGGATTGCTGTGCTGTACTAGTAATTGAAAGATCTTGGTAACGTTCCGCTCCTTGGCGAACAAATCCAAAATGAAGTTTGGACTGAATTAAGACATACTCGTTCACAACTCGAGTACTATTCGATCCATTTGGTGCAAACCTAGACAATAACTCAAGTACAGTATGAAGCAACTTACAAATCAGAAACTGTGCGGCCTATTGGAGAGAAATTCAGGGTATCACTTGGTTGATGGTCACCTAAAAAGTGCAATAAACCTATATATCTTTTAGCTTACTGTTCACAGGAGTTGATACTATGAAATTTCGGTTATTCCCGAACATGGTAAGAACTTGCGCAGCTTAGAGCAAGCCAATGCCAGAAATCCTAATTCGACCGGTCAGAGAAACGAACTGCACGGAGCTTGGGCTCAAGCAGGGGCCAATGCTGGTCACAACAAAAAGAAAAGTTGAAAAATGCACAATGCCACCTTTTGGCAAAAAAATATTTTTGTGGTGGAACCCGGAAAAAAAGTTGGCGAAAACCTTTTTGTCAACTTTAGTTCCCAAGCTTGGGCGCAGTACTTTGGATTTTTCAAAAATAATTTACAGAGTGGCTCAAGATCCTCATTGTATTGTTTTAACTCAAGAAATGGCATAGAAAAATGCTACCGCACGTCACTGTTCCCGGCTGATTCAACTTCTCGCGAAGTCTTTTTTAACAAGCAAAAAATGGATAGATTTTCGAAATCAGCGCCATCGACAACTCCTAAATCCGCTATTTATCAGAAAAATTCAAAAAGTTACTACTTAGCATTGTCCCAACCTTTTATTTGGGGCAGCCCGGGTATCGTGCGAGTATTTATATCCAATGTTGCGAAATTGGTTGACTAGCTGGCCAAGGGGTTACTCCATGTTCATTCACACCACAGTGCACCGTAGAAGTTTTGCCGTTATTGCTTTTGGTTTCATAATGAAGCAAAGCAGTGTTCCCTTTTGTATCCAATAGGAAAATTTTTTATTTTCTTTTATTTCAGAAAACAGTTGGAGATAATGACTATCAAGCTGTTTTAGCTCTATTGCACCCTGAATCAAACTTTTATATTTTGTTCTACAACATTTTACTATAAATTACAGTTTACTGCTTACTATAAAGTAGTAATATGTTGTAGAACTTGAGCTTTACTAATACAATCCCATCAAACAATGTTCCCGGCCCGTTTTAAAGACCGACCTGGTGCCACCTATGCTGTCCAGACAAATTGGCGTGCGCCGTGAGCCTCAAATATTTGTATTTGCCCGTTAGATTTCCGAACTGTGAAAGTGCTATTAAGAAACCTTATTTTTATTACGCAAACTTGAAGAATTCTGATTTATATTTATTATTTTTTAGAAAGATGGATTCCGAGCTTGGGATTCTGGAGAAGCGGATCGAAGAATGCGAATTGATAATTGGTAATACCGCAAAGCCAAAAGTGTGTGATCTTGTGTCCGAGCTGAGACAAGCGCTGAAGAATTATTGTCTTCAACCTGACAATGCTGACGAAGTTGTCAAAAGGCCTATTGATCAATTGAACAACATTATCAACTTTGTTGAGAAGGTAAATGGACACGTAAATATTGGAATTTTATCTGGTGTAGGCTTCAGATGATAATATTCAAGAGAAGATTCTTTCGATCAATTCTCAAACAGCATTGGTTAGCCATCGCTTGGATCTGATGAAAGATATAGAAGAATTGAAGAGCTCCCTAAATATCCACAGCCTGGCCAAGCTGATACAGCATGAGTGCGATATTGATGCAAACATTGACCAGTATTCAGCATTAAGTGAAAGAATTAGCGGGTATGTACAGCAGTTATATTTAACAAATTAGGTTGAATTCTTTCTCCGCCAGACAACAAGCACTCTTGGACTCGTTGTTTGAGTATGTTGAATCAACATTGAGTACTCTCGAAACGCAGAAGATTTCCCAGTGATGTATGACCGTCGAAACACGAAACGAGAAAGATTATCAGATCTGGCCGATCGGTCTTTTCTTCAATAGTTTAATCTTCTTAAATTCTGTTTGGAAGAAGGCCGAAATTCTAAAAAGGGGAGTATTTTTGAATTTATGGGGCTATAGTGTGGGTAGTAGGCATGGTTCCGGGCCGGGCTTTGCAAAATTTTCCGGCCCGGGCCGGGCCGACTAATTCCTCGGCCCGATCCCGGGCTTCGATTTTTAGGCCCGAGCCGGCCCGGCTTTTTTGAAATGTGAGTTTTGCCCGCAAAAAAGAAAAAAATAAGCTTTTTTGACAGAATTTTTCATTTTTTTCTAACACTAGGCTGATAGCGAAAATAAAGTAACCTTATTTACCACTCGCCCAAATAAAAAAATTTCAAGTCAATTTGAAAAAATTTTCGGAAATTCTGACCTCAATACGCTGACAAAAAAACTGGAAAAATTTTCAAAAAAATAGCCTTTTTCAGATCCTATATAACCTATGTATAGGTTTTGCCAAATCCTCTTTTCTTTTTGTGAAAATTTGCCCAAATTTCCTTCCCATTTTCCACTTTCTTTCTTTCCAACCTAGTATAAAAATTTTCCGGGCCTAACCGGGCCGGGCTTTCAAAATTTTCCAGGCCCGGGCTCGGGCCGGGCTGCAGCCATGCTTAGTGGGTAAGTTATTATACTCTTTATTCGTACAAGTTGGTCGTTTTACTTTTATGTTGGATTTTTTAAATCGCTTTAATTTTATTGGTTCGTCTTTCTCGTGTTTGAATATTGGTATTGTTTTTATTAACTCAAGTTTGAGGTGCCAATAAAATCATTTGATTACTGTGTGGTTTCAACGGGTAAAACACATTTCCCCTGCAACGAGCAGTGACACAACCGATTATAATGAAATGATTCCAAAGCGCAAATTCAGCTTTTTATTCTTTTAACAAAATACGTTATGTATAATATAATATAACAGTGAACGATGATGAGTTACGCAATGTTTAGACCGTACATAAATTTATAGATTCTGATTGTAAATGCCGCTACAATTATATATTTTTAATCGAACTACGGACCAGAAAGAGGTGTCTACAGCCAATAGTACTTGTGATCACTTTTATTGACATGTAACCCTGCACTAGTCATAGACTATTGTATACGAGGTCATGCTATAACGTAAATTGACTGTAAATAGCTGAGGCAATCTCAGGAATATGGAAACGAAATAGCGGGCATAGATATGGAAACATAAATAACCAGTTTAGACGACCCCCACCGCAATGAGATTATATGTATGAGTAACAAGAGGGACGCCTAAAAACATACGGGGCGGATCACCGGGGAAGGACGGTAGCGATAAAACTGTACAGATAAGAGCTGTGAAGGATGATTGATTATCCATTTAACCCTTACGGGAGTAAAACGGATATATCGGTTGGCTGTTTAGTAACGAACCAGTGGCCGGTATAATTAAATGTCAAAATGTAATTGTAACTGTGGACTATCACTTTGCGACATCTCATGCCGCAGAACCGCTTCGACATCGCAGTCCATGATCCTAGAATCCAGGTTGGCCAAGTTCTCGAGGTCCATTGGAAGATCATTCATTGGCCGCCCGGGCTGCATCCCCATGCCCATCATCATTGGTCGTTGTTGATAAGAGTTAGTTTGAATGGGTTGGGGAGGCATTCTGTATGGAGTCCATTGACTGGTCGATGGGTTCTGGGTCGGGACGTTGGAGTGCACGTATCCGTTATTGGTGTAGTAGGGACTAGCGTTACTGAAAACATGATACGTTTGATGTGTTTAAACGAGCTTAGGTTTTGGATGTCAAGAACCAACCTTGAAGCTGGCTTTGGATGCTGAGAGATCATGTTATGGGGGGTCGGCGCACAATGTTGCATCATATTCTGACGCATTTGTTGCTGTGGAATTTCATGAAACATGGGTGAATGAGATTGCACACATTCCTGAATTTTAGAGTAATAAGGTCAGTTTTAATTACCTTTGGCTCTTCCTTTATTTGAGGCATGAACTGAGGAGAATGTTGAGCTGACAATGAAAGTCCGTTATTCAGTCTTCTAGCCGCTTCATTCTCTGAATCTAATCTCATCTGATCAGTTCGATCCAATAGCTCGTTGACTGCTTGATTGTTTTGAGGAGTCACTTGGGGTGGTGGCCCCATATCCATGGGTCCGTTGCTTGCTGCCCAAGGGGGAAATTCAAAGTCTTCAAATGAGTTTTGTTGAGGTGAGAGCCCTCCAGGCATGGAGACATTTGATTGAGTTCTTCCACGGAATGTTTCGAACTGGGATCCAAAACCGTCATCAGTGTCATTGAATGTGTCATGAGAATTGATTGAAAGTTGAGAGCTAGTTTCATTAATGCTTTGCATAGATCCACGGATGCCCATCTCAACTCGTTTTCTGGCTCCTCTCCTCTTCTTTTCCAACGCAGCCTGAAAGACGGTCTGCAGTTAGTATTAACTGTCCTCTCGAATGGGGTTATGTAATTTGTATGTAAAGCCACTTACTTTGGTTGATGATTCCATGGTTGCTGCACGTCTTCTAGGATTTCTGCCTGGTTTTGCATCTGGGTTAATAACCCACCATGACGACTTTCCTGCGCCTTCATTCTGCACTCTCATAAACCGACTGTGTAATGATAGGTTGTGACGGATGGAATTCTACAAAATTTTATATAATTGATGGTAAAGAAGCACTAATTTTTCTGCCCATTTTATTTACCTTCCAACCCGCAGCCTCTTCCGGTCCCGAGCGTTCTCTAAAGTAGTCTAAGTTTTCCACGAACCACTGATAGATTTCATTCAGTCTTAACCTCCCGTCAGGAGTACTCTCAAGAGCGCGTGCAATAAGATCAGCATAACTCTCATCGCCCCAAGGGTTACTCTTTTTCTGCGACAAGTTTTCGGGATGCCGTCTTCTGACCCGTCGACGTTTATCTTGAGAATGGGCTGCTTCAATATCATCGTACGAATTCCCGCTTATAGTGTATGTATCCGTGAAATCCAAACTACTGGTTAACTGACTCCATGAGCTTTGGGAAGCAACACATTGGGTACTTGGGTATCTTGAGGATACTAGGGAAGAGCTGGACTGATTATTAGAACCATAACTCAGTCCACCGTACTGTTCCGGCTTAGCGAGAACAGGGTTCGTCGGCCAGGTTCGGCATCGACCCCGGAACTCGGTAGGCTGATCAAGAAAATTATTCATCTATAAGGACACTAATGAAATTAACTTCTCTGGTTAAGGTACAAGTCTAGGCGCACGGAGCTTAAAAAATTTTAAACTCAATTAAGAGAACGATAAAAACAAAAAGGAAAATAAACGGGAAAGGGAAAAGGCCTCGAGAAATACACCTCCAACTCTGCGTAAGCCTACCGCGACCCCCACTACTTTTCCCTTTTGGGCAGCACTTCTCAATCTCGCGGGAAGAGCAGGCAGAAAGGCAGGGAACAAGGGGCTGAGCGGCTCTCTCGGACAGCAGTCACCCTCCGTCTCTTTTCTTCCAGCGGACGTCGCATTCCCGATGGATGGGTGGCAGAAGAAAAAATGAACGGGTCAGAGAGTGCACATAAAGAAGAGATTCGTAGGCATTGCACCGCCGCTAGTCGCTCCGAACGGCCGCGATGGTGCAGCGAACCCGTTCGAGGAGACGGGAAACAGTCGCGATTAACCTAAAATCCATGCCCTCCCAAGGCCGAAGGCTGACCTCAAGTCCCCCGGCTGGATGTCCTAATTGCCCTTAACGCATCTCCTATCAAGCTCTTAATTAGGAAACAAACAAAAAATAAATTGTAAAAGAAACTCCTTTCGATCTTTTTAAGGTTAACCACTGATCCCACATCAATATTACTTTTATCCGGTTTGATTATGAGCAAGACATACCTTCCATCCTGCCGAGCTGTTGGAGTCTCCTTTGTCGCGAAAATACGGAACGTTTTGGACCATCCATTCGTAGACTTGAGACAAGGTTAGTCGCTTTTCGGGAGAGCTTAGAATTGCCTGAGTTATCAAGTCGGCGTAGGACATATTACCCCATGCGTTTCTTCTCGTGGTTACTTTTTTTCCTCCATTTGCGTCGGATTCTAGTAAGCTATCACCCGGGGAACTTCTGCAGAAATTATTAAGATTATTGGAGGTTTTAATTGTCAGATTTTGTGAAAGAAAAAACGACAGCGCAACATGATGACATAACAACACCTACCGTCCAAAAGGAAGAGGAGAATTATCACGTGGAGAATCGTTGCCAGGGGCACTGTCCACACCAATTTCGCTACTTAACAACTCATCGTTACCGAACGGTCTAAATTATGGTATTGATAAGGCATTAACACTTCAACTTACGACTCTTCCTCCGGAATGCGTTCTTGGATCATTGTTTTGTTTTGAATTCCAGTCTCAAGATTAGGCCGTCGTAATGGCCAGGTATTGCATCGATCTCTCGACATTGGCTCAGGTTCTTCTGCCTCTTGCGCCGCAGTATTGTAATCGTTACTCTGATTGACGTAGCTGGTTGTGCACACAGTTCCTTGGCCTGAATTAATCAGAAGGACCTGCTCGGTCATCGAATTGTTAGACAATGTGGATGTGCTGGAATCTGTAGATGCGGGTATGAGATTGTGGCGGAGTCCGAGATTTGGCGGGGTTTCACTCAAACTGGAAGAGCTATTCGATGATCCGTTGAGATATTGCATCGCCAGACCAAGATTCTGTTGTCCGTACGGCTGAGTGGCGAACATATTATTGTTCATATTAGGGGAAAAGTTGAGGGGACAGTTGTTGGACAGCTGATTTGAGGGATTCATTGCGCCCGACGTGCTGGGCGACGCCGAAACGACCACAGGATGATGGGCGTCGAAGGCGGCGGAGCTCATCCAAGAAGAGTAAACGTGAATGCCTTAAACGACAGTTGAATGAAGGGTGCGGGATTAGATTGGTATATGCAGGATTACATTCGCAAAGCGATTACATTTAAGAGCAAATGTAACGAAAGTTGAATTCAAATTGAGCACGAGAGGCTAATCCCACGTTCTGGTCCGTCCCAAATGTCATGGCAAAGAAAACGCGGAAGAAATGATAAAGGAGGAGAGGAACTTTTTTCCGATTTACATCGAAGCCTTGGGGTTCGCAAAGGAGAGTGGGAGGAAAGAGTTTCATTGATCGCCGCTGATAAAAACCGTTTGATGTAGAGTGGGTAGGAAGTACAGTCGTTAAAGGACTACGTCGACCGGCAGAGACCGCGTGATTAGGACGGATTCGTGGCCATAAAGTCCGGCTGATATCCGAAGGGGCTAAGGGATTATCTGCTCGCCGTGTGGGAAACAATCACACCATGTTTATATAGTCGGAAAAGTCAACTAAGGAGACGAAAAGGTAAGGGGAGACGGGAGGGGCAGCAGCGAAAGTGCAACCGTCCTTCACTCCGTCTCCGTAGTTTAAAATCAGGGCTTCCACATGCCTCTACACAGACCAATCGAAGCCGCCAACCACGGCATGATAATCTTTAAGATACATTTAATACAATTACAACTCAGCTTAACCCCTTTTACCTGGCACTGCATGGGACGTATCTAGATATTATATACTTGTGTTGTAGTTCTCAAAAAAATGTAAAAATGGAAGAAAACTACAAATGCGCTTATTACAACGTAACTACAAGCTTTGCGAAACAGCTGAGTTGTAAAGGGACGGTAACCTCGGGATTAATTTCAAGTTTCCTCCATGAGAGTAAGAGTCCGATCTTCAGAGACGGCCTACAGTCTAGAATCGCTTTAATCCCACTGATTCTCTTATTACATGGATTAGGGCCAAGTCTCCCGATGCGAAATGTACGTCCACCGTCAGTTGCACTAAAAAAACAGAGTAAACTCATTAAAACATGTAATTGTACAAGCCTGTTTCATTGCTATAGACGTGGACTCTCCTTTAGCGACGGTTGCGAAGGAAACTGACTAACTCCGTTAAGAACTTAAATCTCATACTACAAAATCTTGCAAATTTCTCATAAAGTGAAAAAAATTTCAAACAAGCCAGACTTCGAATGCTAAGAACAATATTAAAAGGAATACACAGCAGAATAGTGATCGCCGAACTGAAAGTGCCCTAAAAGAACGGCCAGAATACGCCGCACTTTTAGGAAAAGAAAACCGAGTGCGGGAAGGGGAGTGGGGCGGAGAATCAATCTATGTTATGGATAGGTCAGAGAAAAAAAGGAAGAAAGGTTTGGCGGCCTTTATTCCGTCGAAAACGTGAACGGAGAAAAGGAACGGGAGCTGTTAAGACTGCTGAGAGGGGTCTGGCAAAACCCGGCCGGGGCAGACGCCCTATTCCTCTTGTCGGCCCGCCATCAGACAAGCACAGTTGCTGGTCCAGCCTCTGAATGGGGGAAAAATGAAACGCCGTCCACGTTCTCCGTCGGTCCCCTCCCTCAGCTGGCGTGTCCTCTAAGCGTGCGGCCGGGGGCCGAATGGGGGTCGACAAGGCCGTTTCTCTGCACTCTCCGCGTTTCCAACGTTTCAGGTCGCTCGATCGCGTCCCCCAACCTATTCCTTCTTCAAAGTGCATAGCTGTAGCCGTTGATTTAATGGAGAAGAAAAGGGAATTTTGAAGAATATAACACTCAAATGAAGACTTCATTACTGCGAAACGCCCTACCACCCCCAGTCGTCAAATACCACTTCTGCCGGAACGTCTCATTATAGGTTAACATTTATTACGTTCAATAAAATTTTGTACAATACAACATAACATATGATGAAAATTGAAACCGGATACATCAATTTAGCTTAACATAATGCACGTGCAGGACAGGAACCAACCCTTTTGAGGGCAAAATGAGGGAAGAGGTAGGGGAATAATAAAAAAGGTAACAATTGTCATCCTAAAAGCCTAATATATCCAAAATGTGTTTAAATATATTTACAAATCAAAACTGAGGCCATTAGCCGAGTTGAGTTCATGACGTAAAACCGCTTCCATATCGTAGTCGAGGTTGCTTGATTCAAACGTATTTACATTTTCCAAATCGATTGGCAGACCGTTGGAGTTGAGCGCCATAGAATTCACGGGATTAGTGCTATTCCAGAGGCGATTCTGAGAGTTGTGGACTCCATAAGGATAGAACGACGCATTGCTTGCGCTAAAAATAACATAAATAATCGATCCCCTGGAAATGGAAGATAAAACGGTAAATTAAGCATTAGCCATGTGCTTTTTCAAAACAAATCGCAGCTTCAAAGATTTAAGAGTGAAGAAATAAGACCTATTTTGAGATTTTGAAAAAGACGCTAAATTTGCGAGTTTTTTTCTCATGTCGGCCTCATTTTTTCCATTCTATTTTTTCAAAAAAAGTGAGGAAAGCGTTTTAACGTTTTGCCTCGGAACTACCGGTACGATCTTATTTCTTCACTCTTATTTGAGAAAATATCTTCGACAAAGAAAAAACACATACCATTGCATTGAAGCCGGCTTTGGAGCGCTGGAGGCGGACATCGAGAATTGATTGCATAATAATGGATTCTGTAGATTGTCCGGGCCCCTCACAACGCACAATTCCTGGTAGAAAGGTTGCTGATTGGATGGCGGCTCATTCTGCAAAGGAATAATGTAGGAAAGATAAGTTTTCTGATGCTAAAAAAATTTAACAAGATTTTTAATCCAGAAGCGGACACCTGCAAGCCCGTCTACTTACCTTTTGCTCTGTCTTTACGGGATGCACCAACTGACCGCTTGCCCTCATCTGCCTGAATTCTTCGGTATCCAAGCGAATCTGGTCAGTTCTATCCAAAAGATCATTAATCGTGGCACCACTTGCTGGTTGGGAGATCTGCTGGCCGGACCACGGCGGAAATTTATAATCTTCGAACCCCTCCATAGGAGGGGTCATTCTCTGGCCTGGCATGGATACATTTGATTGGGTTCTTGAACGGAAGGGCTCGTAATCAGAAGCACCCAATCCCTCATCGCGGTCCAAAAAGTCTCGTTGAGATTGGGCCGATTCATTCAGCGACGAGAGCGACGACTCGTTAACCATGTCCATACGCTTTCTTACGCCTCTGCGTTTCTTGTCCAGAATCGTCTGCAATTAGAACATAAGACATGTTTCAAAAGAACCATACTTTCGATCGCGCACTTAGGCAACCATATAATTTTATAAACCCGTTATATTAGGTCATCACGCTAACAAGTATTCCAAGTGCGACGCTCAAAATTTCTTTAAGTTTTGCGCACACGTCTGGCATGGACTAAGTATCAATTCCCGAAAGTTTTAGCAAGCACCTCCGAGATATTGAACGATCTTTGTCGCAGAGAGTACGCTAAACGCGGACAGCGGTCAGAGAAAAAACTTTTTGGCCATAACTTTGCTATTTTCGTGCGGTAAAAATTGTTTTTTTTTTGTGGAAACATTACCCTCTATAGTATTAGGTTGTCCCACAAATAATGTCGTTTTCGAGAGGGGCAGTTTCCACAGTCTATAAAAAAGGTAAACGACTATAAAATTTCGCAATATTGCACAGTTTTGTAGTCGAGAACACAAGCTTTCGTTCGATATATTATTTGCCATATTTGGATCAAATTAAAGTAATTTAGCCCTAATCCAAAATTATGGGAAAAAAGTCGATTCGTGTCGCCGTGTTGTACCTGCAAAAACAGGGTATGAAAGTTACAGGAGTTACACAAAATATCAACGGCGTGTTCGGCGAGTCTGATGTGAGTCTGAACACGGTGAAACGATGGTTCAAAAAATTTCGATCTGACGGTGAGGGACTCAAAGATAAAGTCCAGCTTCTGAACTTTATGAATTTACCCTGGGGCCATTAGTTGTCAGATATCCTAGAATCAACATCCGACGCGTCTCTGACATCGTCTGGGTGTTAAAATAATCGTCGGCTAACCGTTGGAAGTCGATGGAATTCAACAAAATGCTCGGCAGCTTTTTCCCATATTAATGGACCGAACCACAGAATGGAGGTGTCACGTTTGTTGCTTTTACAATCCGAAGAGCCGGGTTTTCTAGATCGGATCGTGAGCCGTGATGAAGAGCAGATCCTGTACGACAACCAGATGTGCCCAATCGAGTCCCCTGAGGGTACCAACACGGAACTTGGCAAAGCGACCCCCCCATAAACAAGGTGATGGGCACTGCTGGATGGTGCAGCATGGGTATCTCACCATACAGCTCGTCAAAAATTGGCCAAAATGTAAATGCTGGGTACCGTTGTATTCAGATAGACAGCTTATGGCAGAATATGCCTTTAAAAACACGCCGCGGAATTCCAAAAGTTCTAGGCGGCGATGCGCAACCCCACGTTGTAAAGACGACGCTCCAGAAGTTGAGTTAATGGAGATACGGGACTCTCCTTCGTCCGGAGTACTCGCTAGACATGTCTTAAACAGATTGCTACCTTACCAAGAGTCTAATGGGTTTCATCCGTGGTAGGGAATTTATCAATCAAGACCCTGTTGAATGGGCCTTCAAAAGTTTCATCGGCTCCAGAAGCCGGGGTTTCAAAGCCACTGGCAAAAAAAATGCTTTCAACACGTTGCAATAGCGTGGTATAACACATGGGGACTATTTTGATCAAAAATATCTTCGTTATTACGGTAAATTTCTTTGTACAAAAAATCTTTTGAAAAACGACATTATTTGTGGGACAACCTAATAGAAATAGGCATGAAACTTCTCGTGCTGAAATTCGGCAAAAGTGTCAAACTTTCGCCAACTTTGGATCTAAAAATCTCGGTTGTTTCTGCAAAACGTGACCCAGGATTCTCGCATATATTTTAGAAAAAAATTATTCTAAATTTTTGCAAAGTTTTCATCAAAAACTGAGCGTCGGACTTGGGTACTTCCCTAAGTAATATTTTAAATATTACATACAGCGCAAAATTAAAGAACATCACAAACCTTCGTTGTTGTCTCCATTGTCGCCGATCGCCTTCTCGGATTTCTACCGGGCTTGGCATCCGGATTGATAACCCACCAAGATGACTTTCCAGCCCCTTCATTCTGAATTCGCATAAAGCGGCTGTGAAGAGAGAGATTGTGCCGAATCGAGTTCTAAAATACGCGAATTAATTAAAAAAGACAGATTTAAAAGCTTCCTCCTAACCTAACCCCAGGTAATTTAAAAATAGATCTATACCTTCCAGCCAGCAGCATGTTCCTGACTAGACCGTTCCTTGAAGTATGGAACATTGTCAGAAAACCATTGGTAGATCTCGTTCAGCTTCATTCTTCCTCCAGGTGCACTCTCTAAGGCCTTGGCTATCAAATCAGAATACGAATCCTCCCCCCAAGGATTTGGTTTTTTTTGTGGAATTGAATCAGGGTTCCTTCTCCGAATCCGTTTCTTCCGAAGTGGAGGAACTAAATCATGGATCTGTAACATTGAACCAGACGTTGAAGGCTGGGGGTGTGGATAACCGTAAGGGAATAGCTGGGATTCTGATGTGGATACCCAAGGGTCTAACGAAGCCACGGACGGAAGACCATGGGAAAGAGAGCCCGTGCACATCGAGCTCGAAATGGAGGTCATCGACTGGTAAGAACTGCTTGGAGCATCTTGAACCGAGAGTCCATGACTGGGGCAAGGGACCAGTGCCTGAGACATGCTGTATTGTTGCATGGGCCACGTATAACAACGCCCACGCATTTCTGTACTAAGATCGTCCAATTCATCCATCACAATTTATGCTGTACAAGCAAGGAATGAAGAATTTTTAGTCAGTAAACTAATACTCGGAACAACGAATAAACTCGAATCTCAAAGAGCTTTGAAAAGAAGTCGCCGGAAGTAAAAGAATGAAAATTGGGTGAGGTGTTCGGAAAAGCGGTAAAAGGAGGAGGTAAAGATCTCGCCTATATGGAACAAAAGGCGGGACTGAATGCGAACGGAAAGAAAGCGCCGGGAGCGAATACGAACGAAAGACCGGCCACAGACTGGCTCCGAATGGCAGGAGTGGACAGCGCCCAAAAAAACGAAGAGGGAGACCAACGAGCAGACAGCCCCGTGCTCACCACGTCCACGCACGGGTCCTCCGTTCCTTCTTCCTTTCCGTCTGATCCCTCTTCCTCACCCCGTTCCTCATTTTGCTCCCTTTCTTCTCTCTCCTAATTCTCGACGAAAAAAAACAGATGCGGTGTTCCCTTCCCTCTCATACAAATTTCTCCAGGGCAAAACCGCGGCCTTTTTACTCGGACTGACATGAAAAGGAATTCAGAAACCGCTCGTGACAAATCCAAGAATGCCGAATTGCAATGGCGACTTTGCCTCGATGGCACTGATGACCACCAAGACCCGGCTTCTTTGACCACGGAAAGGAAAAAACTCGCTGTCGATTAGGAGACGAATTAAAGAAAACCCCCACGTTTCCCTAATAAAAAAAGTCTGCCAAGAATAGACATGGCTCCAGGGCTGGGCCGGCCCGGAATAGTTACAATCCTGAATCTCGAAGCGAGAATTGCGTTTGCTAATGAAAATAAAACGCAATGCCAAGACACAATTGCAATTGTGTCTAAAAAACCAATTGCACAATTGGTTTTTTAAAGGTATTTTTGTTTTTAGACAGCTACGGAACACAGTATTTATCCATTTACATGATGATAGAAAAAATATGGTCATAAGGAGTTAGACTTGGGGAGACACTTGTTTCAACGGGCCGGGCCGACGGAAAATTTGAAACGGGCTGGGCCGGCCGGAACCCTTCCGGCCCATGGGACGGGCGAGATTTTCGGCCTGGGGCGGCCGACGAGCCATGTCTAGTCAAGAAAAACAGAACAAACGTTTACTTATCGACCCCAACGTATTAACAGCATCTTCTACTAGCCTCACAAACCTCTCCACAAAAAACCCTTCGATAGAATCTACCGTTCCACACATTTCTTTGAACTAACGTATAACTCTCAGTCACAAATAATTAACTTAATACGTAACAAAAAAAAACTCACCTTCCAACCCGCTGAACTGTTGGAATCGCCCTTATCACGGAAATATGGGACATTCTGAACCATCCATTCATAAACCTGGGACAAGGTCAGTCTCTTTTCTGGAGAACTCAAGATAGCTTGAGTAATCAAATCGGCGTATGACATATTTCCCCAAGCATTTCGACGACTGTTCGACTTCTTGCAAGCAGGATCGTCGATTTCTGATTCCGGACTTCCTTGACTGTAGAGACTTTGTCGACGAACCCTGTGCCTAAAAGAGTTCATTCATCAATTGCATAGAAAACTACAAAAAAAAATAATTGCACCCTATTTACAAAAAAGAAACCTGAAAACAAACAACTTTTAAACAACAATTTATAAAGCTTCTGATAGATACAACCTCAACACTTTAAAAAACTTTTTTCCTTGTAAATAAATGAGGACCGTTTTCGTTTATTTTTTGTTTTGACTTACTGAGGCATATATTCATCAAGAGATCCGTCATCCTTTTGCAAAGACGAGTTCGACGAACTTCTACAAAAATATTTTATAAAACTCATTGTGTCCTACATTTCCTCGTCGATCTTATCTTGAGACATTGGTAGAGTTTGGTTCATCTCGGCGGGCCTTCTCATCGGCCAAGTATTGCAGCGATCTCTGGCCATAGGCTCGATGTTGACAAATTCATCCTTTGAAGACGTTACTAAATTGTTGTTCGTGGAAAGAACCATACCATCATTCAAAATGATCGAACTCAGATTTGGATCGTCCGTGAGGTTTAGACGACCATTCAGATTCGAATTCATCTGTTCGATCTCATTTGACATAAAACTTGGATCTAAAAAACAGGAGAGTGAAACCGAAATTAAAACATTTCTTCTCAATTCGAATCCTACTTACTGGAAAAAACAACATCATCAGTAACCACAGGCAGATTTTGATAAGTCGGCAGGTCAAAGTCTGAAGCTGTGTAAGTGGACACTTGTTCCCCTGATGAATTGGGCATGTAGGCCCCTCGTTCAAACTCAGCGCACATCATTAGGTCAGCGGCGAGCCACGCTTGCTCACGAAATGTTTCGCAGATTCAGCCAATCGTAATTGCTTTAACAATATACTAAAGGTGAGCAGATTGCTAACCTTTCACGTATTTCCGTTCCTTCGAATTATTTTGCTGTCTAAAATTAGATTTTCAATTACGAAACGTGATTGCGGCATGACCCCGTAACATAACATGACCAAAGGTAGCGACACGCACAATTAATGATCATAGTCCATAAATGTAGGAAGATCTTTTGTTCCAAACTCCCTCTTTTTTGCCGTATAATTTATTTTAGACCGGATATTCCAAAAAACCATTTTTCCAACTGTTTTCAACTGCCAATCGATCTGCCCTGCCTGGCCTTCCACCCTTTCTCCTTCGAAACCCTGCGTTCCGCCCAAAAAACATCACACAACACATCTACAAAGCAATAAGAAGAAAGAGCGCCCAAAAACACGTGAAAACTCTGGTGAAAAGACTTTAAAAGAACGGAGAACGACGGCCGCACATTCAAGGCCAAACATCAGCCAGAGAAAAAACCGCTGAGAGAAGGGCTGCAGAGCCGCAGCATGCACACGGGTCAGCCGACCAGAGATCGGCCGTTTTGGAAGCCCAAACGTTGGGAAACATTGGGTGGTAAACAATTTCGAAACGCCCCCGAAAATCAAATGTTTCGCCGATTTACTGTACTCAATAAGAAAGCACCGCGGCCGCGCGGATTTCAACATCGGCCGCAATTTGACGCTTTATTTAATCCGTCATTTCTCCATAAAATATGTCATCGTGTTTACCATCTTGTTTATAAATTCTGTCGTTTATTACAAATTTACAAAAATGTTATCCGTTCGAAAGACGGTATCTAATAAAATCGTTGAAATGAAAATGTTTTTGACTGTTTGTTCGTTTAGATTGAGAGATAAGAATAGGACTGTTATATCAGCAATTATTTCGAAAGTTTAACCGAAGGCATAGATTATGAAGAGCTCGAATAATTCCAAACATAGCTCTCAAGATGTCTTATTAGTGCAATAACATATGGCGACAGGAGTCCCAAAGTTTTATTTGAAAAGTCTTCTGTTAAATACGGCCTATGGGATGGGGGGTCACGAGTGTTCTGCTATGAGAAAACAGAACGACTTTCTCTTTTTATGCACTTTTTGTTTTTCATCTCTGAATTCGGGGAAGGCCCTGAAACTGGAATTCCGAAGCGCCTAGATGAATTATTCATGAAACATTAATTTGGCTTATATTGCATGAGATTCCTTAACGCAAAGCCATAAGATCCTTGAAACTCGAATCACATAAATAAGTTATCAATTACTGAAACCACGCATGTCATCAACAGAGTTTATAAAATTATCAAAAACAATTTGCCTACAGTTTTGTATCGCCAGAAGTCCCTCTTCCTCAGAATATTAAATGCTCTCGAAACTAAACAAACGAAACACCAGAGATCACCGAACGGAAACACATCTGTCTAAGGAAATGAAACGCAACGATCACTGATTTTCGAATAGCCAGTGGGAAATTCGGTTTAAAATCTGACGCTGCCTTTGCCGTCCTTAAAGCTCTTCTTTATCTCCTTTTTTACTTCATCCAAGAGTATTATTATGCACTGGGGAAAGGTTCCATGAATGTACTCCACTGAGGAATGGGGAGGATTTCCATCCGTGATCGTCCAACAACTTTCTTGAAGGGGTCTTGCCATCTGGTGCGAGGTCGTCCAAGGGGGCGAGAGCGTCCATGCCCGAAGCTTCTTTCCCATTGATCGTGTGGCTTGACTGTAATCATAAAAAAATCAGACATCCAAAGAACGAAGAATAATAAGTAAATCTGTTATCAACATATAAAACAAACGTGCGATCTTCTGAAGAACTCAAATTCTTTGTTTATTTGTTTGTTGTTTATGTACTACCTTTTAAAACACTTCGAGTGAAAAGTTTGAGTCATGACGCTGTTCTTTTTCACGACGGCTAGCATACATAATTGTTGACCCTTGACTCTTGAGTAAAAACCACCGGCATTTCTTCACAAACGGATCTCAATGTATTGAAAAGTGGTGGCTATCTTCATACACCGCATCCGGACTTTTGGGCAAACAGAAGATTGGGGAATAATTCGAACCGTTACTTTTACTATGCCAGTCCGTTCGCAAAATCGCTGGAGTGATTTCGGCGGCATGCACTGTGCAAGGAAAGCCAGGTTGCAAACGGCAGCCCTAAAAATCACACCAGAAACTTTGCTAACGGGCTATCAGTCTGTCGGGAAAATAACGGTGGATCGCATCAAATCCCCAGCATGGCTTGGCGTCGCAAAGCGGTCATGTTCGAGTTGACCATGTCCCGAAAGTGTGTCCTTTGGAAAGTAAGGCATAAATATTTTTTGGATATAAGTCCTCCAATTCGTTGAGAGCAGTATTATCACATATGTAAAGAAATAGTAATAGTAACTTTCCATTTCAAGCCGCGGACATCCAAACTTGAGTTGCAGAGGCAATAAAATAAAACCCAAAAATTATAAAACCGGAAAAATTTTTGTAGTGAACAACTAATAAGGCTTTGGCCAACGCTTTGTGTTTTTCCCCGACCGAGAATACACTGAACACACGGCACCGGAATTTCTCCAATTACAAGTTGATAGTTGCACATGTTTGAGTTTATCCCCGTTTTCTTTTGGAATTTAGAAAGTGAAACAATTCGGAAGTCGTTAACGGCCGGAATTGACACCATTTGTGTCGATTTAGGTGTGAAACCAGATTCTTTTTGGTTAATGAAACTTTGATAATTATAAGGATGGTGACATACGCATCAAATCGGGTGTCGTGGCCAGAAACCGACTTCTTGCCTGTTAGGCCTCTAGACAAGAAATGCGCAATTCTTGTAGAAAGAAATCTCCACATGGAGCTGAAATTTACGCAATGTTACGCAATTTAAGATTTCTTGTCTAGAGGCCTAACAGAAAAGAAATTGGTTTATGGCCACGATACCCGATTTGATGCGAATGTCACCATCCTTATATCTTATTATTTTCTGCACCGCCTCGATGAACTTAAAAACGGCTTCCAAAGAGGTCAAAGGATTGGAAGTAAGATGCCGAAGAAGATTGGCTACTCGCATCAGACAGCAGCTTAAATTTTTTTACAAAAGCACTATTTTTCCGTGATCTACCTTGAAAACTTCTTCCAGAACTTCACACCGACAGAAGTGTTGCGGAAGATCAGAAGACTCTTAGGGCTGGCTGATATGGAATCAAGGGTTCGGGGATTTCACCTGGAAGAAGACCTTAGGGGCGTCATCTTCTTCCTTCTTCCCGATATCCCCCGCCGGTCGCGCTCTTGTGCCCCCATTCCAAGCGCGGCGAGGTTCTGCCGTCCGTCCTTCCTGCAGCTTCTGCCTGAGGGCGTCACTTCAAGGACTTTCAACGCGCTTGAGTCGCGCAATCCTAATTTTTTCATTAATTTTTGAACAAAAGACCACTGGGCGTTAAACTGACAGGATACGCGCGCAGGCGCTTCTTTATATCAAAATCTAGTCGACGTGTTAATTGTAACATCGATACATTATAATATTTTTACATTAACAGCTCTACCACTTCTGGCATCCGTCAGTGGAAATTATCATCTTGGAGATTGCCTTTGGCAAATCGAGGCAAATGAAATCTGGGAAATTTTTTTCGCGCCCGGATTTTTTTTTACCTTCCTTCGTGTCGGATTTGTGAATTTGTTTCTGGCTTCGTGGATGAAGCCGTTATCGTTCATCCTAGTCGTCTCGACCCTGATCTCGGTCACTTTCGCTTCTGGAGATTGCCCCAGTCATTGTTCATGTGCTGAGAAGTCGATACAGTGTGAAAATGTGGACCCAACAGCTCTATCCGTCCTTGTCGATGAGGTTATTTCCATCCTGGATGGCAGCACGCTTGACAAGCTCACGATCAAGCGATGCACGGGTTCAATCAAAGAGTTCAACTTGAAATTCCCAGCTGCGATGAAGGTGAAGTCATTGGAAATCTCGAGCTGTGGAATTGAGAAGATTGGAAATGGAGTGTTCGACAAGTTGAGTGGATTGGAGGAACTTCATCTGCCTAACAATGCCTTCCGGGTTATCCCCTTGTTGGGAAAGCTGAATAAGCTCAAAGCCTTGAATCTGAACAAGAATAGGGTAAGAGTTTTACGCTCAATTTTTCTTATAAAGGTTGTTATTTTTGGCTGATTCCCGTAATTGTAGTCGTTACCTAGTTTTGTTTCAGTTGACTTCGCTTGCCGATGGATCTCTTTCTGGTTTGGATGAACTGACTCACTTGAGATTGAGGCACAATAATATTTCGACTATCCGGACGTAAGTGCCATTCTTGCTTTTAGGGTCAATGGAATTAGCGGGGATCTTTTCGTATCTTTGTTTAACGGGCAGTATTTGATGTCGATCCGTTTTCTCTCCGCCATCGACTTGAGAAGCAGTCAAGGGCGGCTGACCTCGATCTCAGTTTTACCGCAGGAAACGCGGAGAGGGCGATTTCGGGGGGAGAAAATCCACAATAATCACCGAAAAGGCATTCATGCATGGTGAAGAAAAAAATGAATCCCCCGCGGACTGAAAATTGGAAGGTGAAATTGAAATCCTTTACGGGAAAATATGAAGCAGGGATAGCAAAAATTGGGGAAATAAATAAATAAAATTCAGTAGAGTGGGCCCGTTTTGTCTCCTTTTATTTTTTTGTCCCCAGAAAAATTTTGTCCCCTAGCCGGTTGTAGCTGGGCGCATCGTGTTTAGATCACAGTTGGTTACTGTACAAACTACAATGTAATTGAGGTAGTATTAGCACCTGATACTATATAGTACGAGGTAAAAATTGGGTCAGAAGGTGTTCATGCTGTTGGTTTGATAACCAATACTGCGAAAAACTATGTACAAAGCCGTCCTGGGGACAAAAAAGTCCCAAAAAATGGGGCAAAAACGCCCAGTGGAAAAACCGGACGAAAACGTTCAATACAATTCATCAATAAGCAATGGATTTCAGAACATCTCTGGCAGAAGTGAAGTCCCATCTTGTCCTTCTTGATCTCTCTCACAACTCGCTAACAAATGTTCCTGCCCAAAACATTCGTGGTGCCATGAAATTGACCTACCTGGACCTGTCTTACAACAAGATAAATTTAATTCAGCAATTGGAATTTGTCAATCTGATAAAGTTGAAAGAATTGCGGCTGAACAACAACAAATTAGGAAGTTTGAATCCTAGATCTTTCATGAACGTTCCCAGCATCACACATATCAGTCTTCAAGAGAACCAACTGAAGGAAGTTTTGATGTTGAATACCTTCGAGCAGCTTGAATTTGTCAATATTAGCTTTAATGCTTTAACAAGGGTAAGTGGTATGGTGTCAATGATTACTTTTTAGTGTCCGCTCTTCAAAGATTTCTCAAGTCTCCGTCAAGTCATCCTAAACGGCAACAAGATACAGAAGATCGAAACAATGACTTTTAGTTCGTGTCCCAAACTTGAAGTCATCGACCTTAGGGTAAGGTGTGTCATAAGAACATTTAATAATTTTTAGGATAATGACATTGCGGTAATTGCTCGAAATTCGTTCGACTCATTGCCGGAGGTCAAGAATGTTCTGCTTTCTGAGAATGATCTGACATCCATTCCAAAAGGATCTCTTGATGGTCTGAATGCTGTGCAAAGTCTCTCATTGGCCAATAATACCATTTCTGAGATTACAAAGGATTCCTTCACGTCTGTTCCCAATGTGACAGTATTGTCCTTGGCCAATAATAGTATTCATGAAATTCCGAGGGACACCTTTACGAGCAATACCAAGTTGTATTGGTTGGATCTTTCGAACAATGGTCTGGAGACGATTGAAGACGGCTCGCTGCCTCCAAAGGTTGGAAATATCCTATTAAATGGTGTGTTTTCAAATGTTATTTTTAGATTAGATTTGACTTTCTTTTAATGGCAAAGTTTTTAGGTAACAATTTGAATTGTGATAACAAATTCGACTGGTTCGTCAAATACTTGGTCTCCAATAACGTGAGGACCTTCCTCCCTGAGCAGCCTGAAGTCACCTGTAACTCTCCTGAAGAATTCTACGGAACTCGTCTAAAAGATCTGATGATTAAGAAGGCAAACCACACTCTAACACAGTCTATGAGGCAACTGGGTTTAGATCAGAACACTCAAGCGAGGAACGAACTTATGAATCGCATTCTTCCCGCATTGGGAAATTTTGGTGGTGGAACTGGTGGCGGGGGCGCCTCTCCTGTCCTGAATAGCCTCAGTCAAGCACTTCCGGCATTGCGGAATATTCCTGGCCTGAGTATGCTGCCATCCCCTCAGCCAGGAAGTGATCCAGCCTCTAGAAATCTTGATTCGGCCGTCGAACAATTTGCCGAGCCATTGGTCAGATTGGCTTCTGGGGGTCAGGCTGTTCCATCTGACATCAACAATTTCATTAAGTCCATCCCCAATCTTGTAGTAAATATTCCTGGAGTTGGAGATGTCGACATCAGCAAGGTATGTGAAGTTTTTGACATTTTTCTGGACATTGTCGTTTTACGTATTCTGTGATTTTAGCTTCCTCCAAGTCTGATCGAACATGTTCTGAAGGGTGGTCAGATTCCAGGTGTACCCAAGGAGACTCTTCAAGGTGTTGTGAAGCAGTACATGCAGCGAGTGTACGCAGCTGCCGCTCAGGCCCAGGGAAAACAAATGGATTCAGATATTCTACAGGATGTCCCCAACGCTTTAAATCTTGATCCAAAGAAGTATCTCAAACCGCTGACCGAGTTGCCTTCCCAATTCGTTACAAATGTTATGAAGGGAGAGCCTCTCCCATTCTTGACCTCGAATCAGACTGACGTCATAAAGGTAGGCATAAGGGGAGCTTTGTTATGGAGCATTTTTAGACCTTTTACACCCAAGGGATTCCCATTGAAGGTAAAACTGGAGAAGAGGGAACTTTAGCGTTCACTCCCAATATGCTGAATATGCTCAAGTTGTTACCTCCGGGATATGACTGGAGCAAACTACCGGAGAACGTAACCAAGGCAGTGATGCGAGGAGAGCTTCCGAATCTAGCGGACTTGCCGCAAGAGCTGCAGAACCATATAAGGGACAATTTGGATTCGCTGATTAAATCTCTCGGAAATACGGTAGGGTGTACCGTTTCAGTCATTAATTCGTTCTAGCCCGACCTTTCTATTGACGAAATCATGAAGAAGTTGCCCAACTTTACGAGGCCCGAAGATGTGGAGACATTTGCGCCTTATGACATCAACAAAATCGATGCGGACCTTGTTGTAAAAGGAACTGGCGACGTGGAGACTATGCGATTTTATATTGCAATTGCTTTGGGAATGGTTTCAGCGATCACGATCGTCGTATTGGCAGTGTTCTGCTGGTACTCTCGTAAACAACAAGAGGAAGGGCAATCGATCCATCCGGCCGCCGGCCCTTTGTGTTCCAGCACGCCCAGAAGGCCTAAGTTGTCGTGTAATGAGGAGGAGCATCTGGAGAGAGGGAACCCGGCCTTCACCGAACCTCTCACAAGTCCACGAAACAGTCGACTCAATGATTCGTCCGTTTACCACCGACATAACATTTCAAGCTCACATCAGTACGTGTAATTTAATTACCGGTGTATTATTTCTTAGTCTTTCTTGTAACCCTTGATAATTAGCTCGAATTTAACAAAACTCGCCATCCTTATAACTATTTCTTAACATTGTCAATTGATTTTAATTTGTATGTACATTTCTTGTTTTATACATAAACACGCTATTTCGTTTTGAAACTGAGGTTTTATTAATAATAACGACAAAACAAACTTCAAGGCTTCCAAAGCTTTAGAAGGCAATCTTCTGCGTAAGTTGCCAACAAGTTTTGATGGGGGTGGTGACTAACTCCAATTATTTGCTTTTCATGCACTTTTATGGTTGATTCCAGACTTCCTGAGAGGGTCGAAAAACAGTACAGTACCATGTCTTCTCCAACACAGTAAATCCATTCTGCCTTGGGAGATAGACAAGCACTCAGAAGATTGCTTTGCTCTCGTTTTCCAGTAGTAAAGGAACGTACCAGCTGACCACAACATATATAAACGTAGTAATTATACTTACTTGACCCTGCAGGTTGACAATAAATATCGTATTTGATCGATTGCAGACCACAAATTGGTCAGGTGATTTTGGAATTGGCAAGATGCAGTTAATCGGAACATCCGATGCTATTCTAAACGTGTTTAGGCACTCCAAGGTCTTCAGGCTCCATATCTTCAGGGCCCCATCGACAGCTCCAGATACACATTGTTTTCCATCATCCGTATATGTGGCGTCCATCACAAAACTGTTGTGACCACGCAATTCCTTTAAGCATTTTCCGCTCTTCATTCCATGTACTCTATGAAAAACAACATTATTCTCTACACAAACGCTTACCGGATTAAGGAATCAAATGAAGAAGACAAGACATAACTGTGGTCTCTGGAGAAGGATACGCTTGTCACCCCTTGAGTATGGGCAGTCTCGAATCTGCGAAGACATTGCCCTGTCAAAACTTTCCAGACTTTGATCTTCCCTTCTTTATCTCCCGTAATCAACATCTCTGAATCTCGACTGAATGCCATACAGAGAACACTCGTGTCCATCAACATAAAATCATCTTCTGCCTAAAATAAAAAATCTTCTAAGAATCTCGCTTACTTGATACTTGAGATCCTTTCGAAGCTTTCCATTCATATAATTCCACACTTCAATAAATCCGTCCGCGGATCCGGTTACCAGGTATTGACCATCAGGACTAAAAATACTGCTTTCGGGATAACTCTTGGCCCCAAATTTAATAGCCCTGGCTTCTATCGTTGGATAACGTTCCTCTTCTTGTTCTTTGACTGCTGCTTTGCCCCTAAAAAGATCGATCTGGGTGCCTGGTGGAAGAAGACCTTGATGTTGTTGCCATTTCAAAGATTGAGAAAGAAGAGCTAACAATCTGGATGGTGGAACTACATTCACTTCAGCGGACAAAGACTAAAACAACAAGTTAAAGAAATCGAATTTAGACATACCTGGGCGATATTGCTTCTTTTCTTTTCCTTGTTGCTGTTTTCTGGATAAATTTCCCGGGGATCGTAGTACGTCTTCGCCAGCAATGCTTCTAACTTCGTATATCTTTCCACATCCGAAGTTTTCAAAAGTAATAGTGGATCAGCTTGCCTCAGCATTAACCTCGCTGAGCCGATCTCTCTCATCTCCGCTAGTTCAATTACAATCTAAAATATATGTTAAATTAAAATATCAAGGCTAACCTGCTCGTATAAATCAATTAACTTCTTCGCCGGTAGTTTTAACGGTTGTATGACTTTGAGGACTTTGTCCCAATGACCATTTAAAATGTCCGATTGGAATGTATCAATGCTGTCGACTGTATTCAAAGTTATGTTAGTTTCTTCCTGGATTGCCGACAAGCTACGATGAAGGTTGTTTTCCTTCAGATATTGCTCAATCAACCTGATTACACTAAACGCAGATTTTCTTCGAAACAAATTTTACTTACTCTGCAGCTTCGATCTCGACTGAAGACATTTAGAAAATGGTGTAATAAATATACTACGATCAATTATGCAGAAATATCGATGATTAGAGTGTAGAAAAATTAGCAACAGTAATTTATACACGGCTTGCCCAAAAAAAACTTGTTTTCTAAATAACGTTTTAATTTTTTCTTGTTTTGAGTCCGATTTCGTCTTCCAAAAATCTTCCGAAAGAATTTTGAGATCTAACGTCTTTTTGTCAATCAATAGTGTGTGGACGAAACGTCAACAAGGGGTCAGGAAATGCGCGCCAATTTGCTCTATTTTTATACGTCAGGGCAAAAAAGAGTATACTTTTATCTGTCTGTTAGAGGTCAGCACTACAACACCGTTTTCAATCGCCATGCAAAGTTTCACAACTTTTTCCTACTTCTATACTCGTAACTCGATTTATTGAGCGATCTTTCCTGCTATTCAAATGGTTGCAGTAGTTTCCCGGGTTTTTGGCAAAACGGAGAAATCCTTGGCATTCCGCAACTAGAAAGATTTTTTTAAATTTTAAAAAAGACGAATTTTGGCTCGCTGCAGCGACAGCGCTGCGTCAGGCGAGGATATTCAGAAAAATATTCTACAGTACCCTAAAGTGTTGGTATAGGTCACTAAACCTTTCTAAACCCGGCCGGGGGCATTCAAAAAATTTTGAGTTTTTTTTTGGCCTGAAATGTTGTTATAGGTCATTAAAACACGTTCCCAAAATTTTTTTGCCCAGTGACGCCCGGAAGGTGAAAATTTGCATACGGTTATTACCGTTCTTCTGAGCTCTGCTGTTGAATTTGAAAATCGCAATTTCAAATTGGTAGGGTTATGAGTCTTTCAATCTTCTTCTTTATTTAGGATGGGAGAGGAGATGAAGGATATAAATACGAAAATGTACCAGTTCAAAATACAAACGTTTAAAACAAAAAAACTAAATAAATTGATCCTACCTACATTCAAACAAACATGCGCAAACTAATATTTGATCTATCACACAACTTTACTGATATCTGCCTTTCTATATCCCGGTAGAGCATTCTGTTTTCTCCCTAATTGAAGCTCAGTATTTGGTCTTCACTGCGTACAAGCGTTGAAATACAGCCAAAAAATATGATCTATGGGTTCATATTACCGCAAGTACTCATTTTTTTGAAAGAATATAAGAATGAAGAAATAAGGCTGATTTTGAGATTTTGAAAAGGACGCTAAATTTGCTTTCTCGAGCTTTTTTTCTCATGTCGGCCTCATTTTTTCCATTCTATTTTTTCAAAAAAAATTTAGGAAAGCGTTTTTAACGTTTTGCTTCGGAACGACCGGTGCGATCTTATTTCTTCACTCTTATACAGGGTGGGCCACTCGAAACTCCCAACCTCTTTTCGAGTATTTCTCCGCTAATAATGCACCAATTTCTATAAAATTTATATCAAATTGAAGCTGAGACACCCCATTTCTTGTCCACCAAATATGGCCCGTCTAACTTCAGGGAGGCACCCGTACTGACCTTTTACATTTTCATTCCAAATTTTGGAGCTCGAAATCGGTGAAACTTAGAAATTTTTTGGAATGATTTTCAATTGGGTTTCTCGGACTTAAAAAATTTTTGAATTTCCGGCAAGAAAAAGGTTGCCAAATTCGCGGAAAAAATTGTAAAACATTAAAGTTTACGTCCGTACCAAGTGCATCAAACCGATATTTCAATCAGGCAAGATACCAATTTGGGCGAACGAGAACGAAAGCTGTTTTCTTGGGCAATCTAAGGATGGAAAGTTTCTATGCATCTTCGGGATGGATGTCGTCATGCATGTAGACAGTTTCGCCTTTTTTTTCACATTTTGAAAAATTTCGAATAATTAAGCCTATTGCCCCAGAACACAAACGCAACGCCTTGAAGAATAATTTTGACTATTCCGTTGATTGCCATAATTTTTTCTGCTGCTTATACCAGTTTTATTTAGTCAAAGAAACGAACATTTTCCAATTCCGAGAAACTGAACTGGAAATCATTCCAAAAATTTTCTAAGTTTCACCGATTTCGGGTTCCAAAATTTGGAATGAAAATGTGAAAGGTCAGTACGGGTGCCTCCGTGAAGTTAGACGGGCCATATTTGGTGGACAAGAAATGGGGTGTCTCAGCTTCAATCTGATATAAATTTTGTAGAAATTGGTGCATTTATTAGCGGAGAAATACTCGAAAAGAGGTTGGGAGTTTCGAGTGGCCCACCCTGTGTGATGGATTTGACGATCTTTTAAAATTTTTTATAATTATTTTTCGTTATTGGCAGAATGCCAAAGTTTTTTTCGTTCTCCCAAAAACCCGGGAAACTGGATGTGTTCTACAGAAAGATTGATGTATAACTCTAAAACAAGCAGGGATCGGTCTTTGTTTTTTGCATGTTTATTAATAGTGGCGTGATAAAATTTTTCACTGCAAAGGATTGTAATATTTGCTTTCTTTTAAGACCTGTGTCTCAAAATAGAATCCGGCTAGAAGCACGACTATACCCTTGGAAGACAGACAACCTTTTGCCGAGTCCTTATATCAGTATGTCGGGAAAATAACGGACGGTCGTCGCAGCAAAATTTCTCGCCTCGCCGCTATCGCGCACCAAATCCCAAGCCGCGGCTTGCAATCGCAAAGCGATGACGGGCGATTCCGAGGCGCGACGATCCGCCGTTATTTTCCCGACAGACTGATAAGTAGAAACAAATTGGCGTGGTTTTGGTTCTATCAGCCAGTCGAGAAGATTATTCCGAATCGTCGCGTCTTGGAATCGCCCACCATTTGGTGCGCGACTGCACCTTGTAATTGTTACAAGTTTGAGGTCCCTCAGTTTACATATTAACCTTTATATAACATAAGAAATAATAAATATCTTTATAAACTCCGGCGCTCAGAAATGTGGCCTCTGGTTTGGGTCTGACTGAGTGAACTGTCCCATTGGTGGCACCAAATTATTTATACCCAGGGACGAAAGCGGAGGCATTGGGAAATTCAGATTCGGTGGTTGAGGAAGCGATGTCTGTGGTAGTAGCCCAGATGCAGGAGGCTGATAGTAAGGTTGAGCAGGTGGGGGAACTGATTGATGGCCTACAAATACACGTGTTTGCCTGTAAACGTTACCTTGCACTCCGTAACCTTCTTGCGCAAATGTAGGAGGCGGCGCGGGAGCTCCATAAGCCAGATACGGTTGATAACTACTGGTATTAATAGGAATATCCGCTGTTAATGACATTTGATTGAAATTCTGGGCAAGACTAGATGGTGAGGATTGTGGAGGGAACTGTTGGTGGATTCCGTGACCATTGTAAGAATTGACTTGTGGGACTGCCGGAGAACTTGATGGAGGAAGAGTTGGAGGGAAAGCAGGCTGTGGAACGGCGGAAATATGTGACGGAGGCAGCGACGGAGGAGGGGCTGCTGTTTGGGAGTACTGATATGAGTCGTTATAGTAGTTGGGATAACTAGACGCTTCGAAGTTCCCTACAGACGAAGGAGGAAGCGACGTTACAGGTTCCTGAGACTCATAATTAGAAAATGTATGCGACTCTCTGACTCCTGATGTCGCTGGAGTCTGTGGTACACTAAAAGTATTGTGTTGAACCGCTGAGGTGGTATTAGCTTCAGAGAATCCGACAGGACTTTCCACATGAGTGTCAACGGGGGTAGGCGCCTGGGGTACAACTTGAGGAACAACATTTGGAGCCGATGCGGGGACAGAAAATTCACTAGGGTCGGGAAATTGACGGACGGCAGGTGTTGTTGTTGGAACATTTGATTGAATCTGATCTAATTGTGGAATTCCAGTGAACCCTGGTTGCGGAATGTTGGTTTTTTGAGCGGTTACAACATCAGGATTCACGTGAACATTGGACCTGTCAACAGAAGAAGGAATTCGATGAAGATAACCATATCCAATATCACAGCCAAGGCATCCTTCGCCTCCCCATCCATCGTTTGGAGTTAGAGTAACCTATAAATAAAGACATAATTACTAGCTAAACATACTTCTCGAACAGCATCCGTTTCGACATTGTAAACGTATAGTTTAACGGGCTTTCCTATGTTCGCCTGTACTAGTGCAATAAGATCGTCGGCTTGTTGAAGCACTGATTCGGCGCCTAGGACATAGTCGGAATCAGCTTGGAGACCAGCTTGATAAGCCGGAGAATTTGGCTGCACTGATATTATATGCCATACGTTCTGGTTGGCTCCGTCGAAGGAACAGAAGCGGATAGAGATTCCAAGAATCCCTTGTCCGCCCCAGGAATTGGAGGGGATGATTTGAGTTTGGCGGACGGTCTGTGACTTACTGATAAAACATATACTAAAGCATTGAACAAAAATTACCTGTTGTACACAGTCAGTTCAAGCGGTTTATCAACGCTTTGATTCAGAATTTGTTTAAAACTTTCATCATCCCGATCCTATAATAAAATATTGTTAGTCTTTGTGAACAATTAATAACCTACCAGACGCTTATTCCCAACAGCAACAATGAAATCAAAGAAAGCTTCCAGGCCAGCCAACTGTCCAGGTGAATTCTCTTGGACCTAAATACAGAAAAAAAAAATGAAAATGAAATAATACAAAAAACCTACCCGTAGGACATGATATCCTTCAGACCCTCCTCCGGGCAACGGTGTACTTTCTGAATTTCCCATGTCAGATTACCAAAGTCTATGAAAAGAACACGGTGGATCAGATACAGGAGAAACCAATCAAACCGACGTGGAATCTCCGCAAAAATATTCCGTTTTAATCAATTTTTGCACTCCGTTACACTTAAATTGATTTTTACTGCGATAATATTTTTCTGAAATGGGGTTATAAAAATTTCGGATAAAGTTGTTCAATCAGTTCTAAAACAATGGATGTCTTAACCGCGTACGGCTCCTCGGCATCGGATGAAGATGGAGAGATTGTGGATGTTGCCCAACGACAGCCAAAAATAGCTCTTCCTTCCGTTGATCTTACTCCTGTTGTTTTTGCTCCAACACCAAAATCTGCAACTATTGCCATTTATAATGAGAAGAGCCGCGAATTGTCCTGCAACCCAAAGTACGAGGAGTTATTTCAGCCTGAGGTCAGTGCTAGTTTATTTTTGTTTATTTTTTAGGAAAGTAGTTAACAGTTTCTTTAGGCAGGGCCAAGTAACCCCTTCGAAAGTCAAGCTCAGTTGGCGAAAAAGAACATGTTAACGGGGTTTGTGGAGAAGGCTCACGTCGATCAATTCCATTTCGATCGGGCAATCAGGTCTTTTGATACCTTGGGATATGCACAAGATCCTTCTGCTGATGCCGGAATCAAATTTACAGGGGATGTGAACAAAGCTAAGGAAGAGGGAGGAGTAAGTTTGTTCGAATCGAAGAAAACCGGAGGACAAAAGAGGAAAAGAATAACGAATTACGACGCTTCTGACCTTGACGGATATACCGGGCCATGGGCCATATATAAGGATGAAGAAACAATTGCTAAGCCGAATCCAGAGTTGCAAAAAGAGATGGACGAGATTGTGCGTAAAAGAAAACTGAGATCTAAAGCCGGAAGAAAGGCAGCTCAAGATCAGGAACAAATGGTTGAGGAGATGACTACATTACATGGTGAGTGGTAAACGTGTTATTTACTTCTGGTTTTAGTCAAAGACGATGAGGAGTTTAAGAACAGATCATTCATGGAAGTTCCCAAGTTCACGGGCGCTAATCTTCGGCCTGACTTTGTACCTTCTAAATGCTACCCACCAACCAAACAAGCACACACGTACAAAAGTCATACTAAGGCGGTCAATGCGCTACGATGGTTCCCCAAGAGTGGGCATATGTTTTTGTCTGCAGCTATGGACTCCAAAGTAATTTTTAACTCGATTTCCTCGCGATCATTGGTTAAATATTATATAAAAATAATTTAGGTCAAACTTTGGGAGGTCTACGGCAATCGGAAGTTGATACGAACATACGCTGGTCACAAGTTGCCAGTCAAAGATATTTGCTTCAACAATGACGGAACCGAGTTTGTTTCTGCTTCTTTTGACAATTATATGAAACTTTGGGACACCGAAACAGGCCAAGTCAAACAAAGATTCCACACTGGACACAGACCCTTTTGTGTTAAATTTAATCCCGATGATGACAAACAACATAACTTCTTGTCGGGAATGCAGAATAAGAAGATCCTTCAATGGGATACCCGGACAGGGGAGATCGAGCAGGAATACGATAGACATCTGGGACCAGTCAACTCTATCACTTTCTTTGACCAAAATCGGCGATTCTGTACGACTTCTGATGACAAATCTATAAGAATTTGGGAATGGTGCGTATTTCTATAATTTTAAATATGATTCTTTAGGGGAATTCCTGTTGACACAAAACTTATCCAGAATTCTGGACTTCACTCCATTCCAGTGATGACTAAAGCTCCTTCAGGTAAGCTGAATAGTTTTTTTCAATAATATTTGTTTAGACAAGTGGATCGTTGGACAATGTATGGATAATCGAGTCGTTTTATTTCAATTAACTGACGACAAGTTACGATTTGCCAGGAAAAAGGCCTTCAAAGGACACAACGTCGCCGGGTATGCTTGCTCTCCGGACTTCTCTCCAGACATGAGGTAGGGTTGGTGTTGTGCAATTTTACAAATTCCTTTTAATTTAGCTTTCTTGCATCTGGGGATTCCCAAGGGAAAGTTTTCATTTGGGATTGGAGAACACACAAGATTGTTTCCCGATGGACGGCTCACGAGAATGTTTGCATTTCAGTCCTCTGGCATCCTCACGAACCATCAAGAATGCTGTCTGCAGGCTGGGATGGCCTCATCAAAATGTGGTGTTAACCATTTATTATTAATAAACGCATCTTTACAATCTAGGGGCTTTATTTTAATCGGATATCCGGATATTTGCTTTTTTATGTAAGCGTTTTATCACAAAATTCTTAGATGCTCCAAAAAACGGTAGGTATGAGAGTACACGCACTCTCGAAATGTTCGTATTCGCGGAAGTCAGATCTTCAGAAGTTTAAAGGTCGTTTTCAATGGTGGAAGGATCCGTATGTGCCCGTTCATCCCGGTTGTAATGTATATATTGTTTACAGAGTTTACGTCGCCCCGGTTTCACATCCTCTGCACATTGGGCCTGACTTCTCAGTATTAGGTGGTCGGGAACCCAGAATTACAAATTATCCCGCATTAAAACGACAGCAAGAACAGGAGGAGCTAGGAAAAAGGATAGTCACCTTGTTGAAGCAGGTGAATGATGCTCAAGAAATTCACAATCAATTTCAAAAATCGGAAACGAATTTGGCGAATGAAATCAAGAAATGGACACCCTCATCCAAGGGGAATCAGCAGTTTAATTAGGTTTATTCAATAAAGTTATTATTAATAATTATTAGGTGTTATTAGGATGTTAATTTAATAATATTTCGTGAAATGAATTTAGAAGACCCGTTGTTTTAGAATGATGAAGTGACATCAAAAAGAAAGACATGCCTTTCAGATTTTTCCTCGTTTCCGCAATTGCATAGTAAAGACGACAAAAGAAGTGATGCCAACGAATAGAAGGAAGGCCAGCAATCCCCCGAACAGAGCCATTGCAGGCTGACTGAAGCACACCTTTTTATGTTGGTACAACAAGTTGAGTTGGCGAACATTCTCCTCGATTCGCTGGCCATTCAGAGCAGATGGTTTTACGACAACATCAAGTTCGCTCCCTTCTTCTCGAGGCTGGATGTCTTCCAAATCGAGGACTACGATCTTCTCGGCCGAGATGTCCATGGTCATTCTCTCATCTCTGGTCGCGTTTTCTCCCACAGTTCTTCTTTTCCGAGCCGCGGCACCACATCGAGGAGGCTGCAAAGAAGTTGTATTTGATCTCACCCCTTACAGTAATCCCTTTGCACATTCCCTCAGATATCATACATGTTGTGATTGAGCATTGGAAGTATGTGGTCACTTTGTCCGCAAACTTGAACACATTCACCTCCGAATAGGCAAGGTTGGCGCCATTGTTGTAAGTGAGGTCTGACACAATAATGGGGTCAATCGAACATCTGAATTATTCCTTGTTAGAAGATGCTTATGAACTCGTCCTTGTGATTTAATTTACACAGGGTGTTCAGCCGGAGCTCCCAAAAGTATTTCTCAGCTAATAATGAACCACTTTCTATAAAATTTATATCAAATTGAAGCTGAGACCATTTTTTGGCCGCCAAATATGGCGGGTCTACGCTCCCGAAGGCCTCCGAACTGACCTTTCACATTTTCATTCCAAATTTTGGAACTCGAATTCGGTCGATCTTATTAGTCTGTCGGGAAAATAGTGGGCGCTCTGTTTTTTTGCGGGCCGTTTCGTACCCAACTGACAAAGAATAACTTTACAAAATTTTTTAAGGCTGACCAAAATGTGAATCGGCAAGCCAAAGCGTCAAAATGGCTGTTGAAAGTGTTTACCATCGTTACCAAGTATTGTCTGTGAAGATATTCTAACACTATGGCTATCCAATCAAACTTTTTTGCTAGCCAGGTTTTTGGCCAACTATTAAATTTTTTTGTTCTGCCTACTTTTGACAACTATTCCAACCTTTTCGCTGGCTTTCTTGAGGCGTAAAAGTCATTCTCACATTTTGGCTACCCATTTTAATAATTTTGATGAACTAGGCACCAAAACAGATTCTTTGATATAAATTTTATAGAAATTGGTGAATCATTGGCGGAGAAATACCTGAAACCAGGTTGGAAGCTCCGGCTGAACCACCCTGTATAAATTAAATACTCTGTCATCAAATGGCTTACCCATTTTCGTCCAGGATTGGTTTCCGCTCTCTGCCAGCTCCATCATCGACAAAACAATTATGGACGAGCATGGAGAAAGTATCTGAAAATGTTGCTTCTTTGCAGAATCCCATCAAACTTACCGCTATCACATTGCCAGACATGGAATACAGGCTCTCCGATAGTGGCATAGGCCACAACCGGGCCATTCACCGAGCCCCTTCTCACCGAATATGTGCACTGTGGCATCTTGGCTGTATCAACCAACTCTGTGGTCGGAAGAGCACTGTAATTGTATAAGGTTTGTGCATTGACATACGACGTTACCTGACATCGAATCGGTTGGTAACTACTTTGTCTGCCTCCATGTAGAAGCAAGTGCATCTGTAAGCTCGATCGACCTTGGTGATAAAGGTATCGTGGAAAGATACGATCACCACAATGGATTGCTCTACTCCCCGTTGTTCGGGGCCTAACTGGAATACCGTTTTTTATTATGTTTCTTTTGAAAGGAAACTGGAGCGAGACCTCTTCCTATTATTCGGGAATGGAAGTCGGAGTAATTAGTAGTTACAAAGAGTTCAAATACTCATCTCGAATAAAACTGCCGTAATCTTAAAAAAGAAATCCAAATAAAGGACGAGGTCTTATATGAGTGGTCGTTTGTTCCAAATATTAACAAGGCGCGAGCATTTTTGTTGTACATAATCTCACCTTTCTCGATCTCCTCATGTTGCATTCACCATTCTGAAGTTGAAATTGGACAGAACTGTTCTTATTAGAGGGATATTTGGTGACGCAATTGGGATTGTCGATCATTCCCTTTACAAATATTCGGCCACTGAAAGGTTTTTCTGTCTGGAAAGTCAATTTCACCCGATCCTCCATACAATCGACCAAAGGTTCTCCTATAATAACCAATTGTCAAAAGCTTTAAATTTATTTAGCGATTTTAATTCACAAGAAAATTGAAAAACCAAACCGCCCAAGGGTGACTTGCCTGATAATCCGTTGTCCAAGAGATTGATGGGTTCTGCATTTACCGTAATAACCACGAATCCCATCAGAAAGTAAGGGAATCGCATTCTGAAGAGGTAATAAAATGAAAAACAGTGAATCTGGTGACCCGTGCCCACTCCAGAGTTGTTTGTTTAGGAGAAATCCGTCGATGGAGCACCAGTACAGTCCCCCGTCCAACTCGATCTTGGGTTTCGTGAGCAGGGATCCCTTTATATAGAGGAGTGCACGATCTGAAGAGGGATCGGGCGGGATGGCTCCGCCCCGCCGAGTTTCAGATGGTTTCAGCGACCCCATCAAGGATGTTTGTAATGCTCTTTAATAGTTATTGTAAGGTCCGTTTTATGCCGATCATCGGTGGAATAATGGCGAGGGATGGGGCAGGGTCAAGAACCCGCCCCATCGTGACACCTAACCCATTTCCAGAAACTTGTTGACCGCCCAGTCAAGGGCACGGCTTGTTGAGGACGTCGGTGCCCTTTCCAAACCCATAAAACGCCGCGATTAGAGCCGATTCCCATGCTTAATGTTTTTTAATAATACGATCTCCTGTAACAAATAGCAGATATGGACGAAGAAAAGGGAAACCCGTGCAATTACGCATCCGATATGACGTCAGTAGAAGGTTTTCCAGAGGGTACACGCCTGAAAGATTCGGGTCAGAGGGAAATGAGTCGTGTTCAACATCTACAAAGCAAGCTCCGTTCGGATCTAATTGGCCTGGATTACAAAACAAATATGGGAGAAGAAAAAATGATGAACATATAATTACAATGTTTTATTTTAATGATGACTTACGAGATTATGACCGAGATTTGTGAAGGAATTGGGCCTCGCAGGCCTGGCTTCGGAGTTCTCGTTTGTGGGGGATCTTGTCCTTGACCGTCGCTCACTTTGTCGTTGTTTCCTGACCCTAAAACACAATGTTGAAAGTTTGCAAACAGTAAATCTTGTTTGTAAAAATCTCACGTATTCAATCCCACATCGAGTTGCGAGCCCTGCTCCAGAGAGACCGAGTGCATGTATCCTTCCAACCAAGACTTCCTCCTGACCTCTGTCCCTGTGGGCATTACTTGGCTTTCGTCGGACACATCACTTCCGTTCCCTATCTTCAACGATACATCTGATTCGATTGATCCCCGAGAGTCTTTCGACTCTCGTCGTCTCGGATCTTCCAATCGTCCATCAGCAGAGAGAAAGGACATCTTCCGACCGTCTCCACTAAAAGAAGGCCGGGCCGCAGTAATCAGCAGCCGGGGGAGATGATTGCTGCTCATACTCACTCTTCGACTGCATAATCTTCTAAACACAAATCACTACCCTCCAGGGCCACCTACCCTCCGTCTGAAGGTCTCATTTTGTGATCATCAGATTCGTATCTTATCTGTTCGATTATGTCCAACAAGATCCTCACTGAACTCATGACGTCATCAAAATGGGCGGAACTCAATTCGGGAAGAGCCAATCCGGAGACAAGAGGAGCCAAGAGATGACTGGTCACTATGCTTGTGTCCTTGAGCCTCCCCACATCACAGGTGATAATCCTTTGCACCAGGCGGGATTTGCTGTGAACGATGGCTGGATGATGTTTTGTGCACAAAGAGGCGACACTCAAGAGGTTATACAAGGTCAGAGAGTCGCAACGGTCGCTCAGATGCGCGATGGCGACAAGGAGGTCAATTTGGCGCTACAGAAAGTTATGTAATCAAGTATGTATATATACTAGACGAATTTTTTCTATACAAAAAAAAAGAAAAAATTGTCAAACTTAGAGCTTTTCAATATTGTTGTAACACCACGGCCACTATAGGCTTGTTTTTTCAAAAAAACAAGGTTAATCTGCCTAAATCTTTAACAGCCCAAATCACTTGATGTTAACATAATTTAGAATTTTTGTCAAGAGCTACAGTGCGTTGAATCCGGAAATGCAGCGAAAGATTCAACGAAAAGTGGCTTTCTTCGCGGAGTAGAAACACCTTTTTGAATTAAGACTCACAGGCACGTGATTGTCGAAGAATGAAGACATTTCGTTGAAAATAGGGATCAGTTTCTTGTTGATATACCAAAGTGGAACATACTCCGCAATATGAGGAATTGCCCTGAGGGCGGCTTGTTTAAGATGATTTTCATTACACGTCAGTAGATGAAGAATGCTCTCCAGGCATTTATCTTCCACCATCTCGTCGTTGAGACGACGAAAAATGGTTGATATGTTATCGAATATAGCTTGGGTTAACTAAAAATCTTGAAATACACTTCAGAATTACCGTAATATCCCCAGGGATCTTTTCAAGAATATGACGAAACCATGGCCTCAATTTGTGAATGTTATGACTCTCACAATGACTTAACATATATGCCAGAGGACGCAGTAATGCGGTGAAAGTCTCGGCCGAATCATACAGATTCTCATTGAACCTGGCCATGACTCTGGTGAACCATATTTTCTAAAATGATTACTCGTAAATGGTTTGCAATACATACTTCAGGGATTTCTGGAAGTGCGGCAACTAGTGTCTGTGACAGGAAATGTGATTTGTGGGCAGGGTCAAACTCCTGTGCAATGTCGTCCAACTGGCGAATGGCGGTCAGACCAGTGTCATCGAAGTGTTTTGTCTGCAATTCCCCGTTCAGCGTTCACTTTATATTAGCTTACCAAAGCCAACATTTGAACTGCTGGTCGTTGCTCTACTTCTTTACTGAGCACTTTCAACAGCGATTCCTTCAAATTGTTCCCGAGTTTATCCGAAATCACCTCCAAAGCGGCATCTAACTGATCCACCACAATGGAGTAACTGTCCAGATTATTGCGGGCATCGATTATCTTCGTTCCTTCCGCATAAATCCAACAGATCAGAACTCCAAGAGAGAAAACATCGGCCGAGGTTGACACGTGATTGTTATTGGGAGCGAGGTATTCGGGGGCCAGGAAATCGAGATCTGGCTGCAGCTCGGGAGGAAGTTTCTTGCTCCAGGAGTAACAAGGGAACATGTTTTCCTTCTTGGCGGGGACGGAGAACGAAAATCCCCCAATCTTCCATTGCTGGGAACAACTCACGTAAACGGATTGGGGATTCAGATTCCCATGTAGAATCTTGGCACTGTTGTGGAGATAAGAGAGACCATCGATCAACTAAAGTGTAATCATGTTGTCACAAAATACTGACTTTAACCTTACCTGAAGGATTCCCAATTTGATTTCGAGTCTTTCCAGGGTATAAATTTCAAGGAAAGTGTCGAGGGTGCCGAGGATCGGCTCAACGGGAAGGCAAATAACTTCTCTAAAAATACACTTTCTAGTCCTCATATTTTATGGATGGTCATCATTTCAAAAAACAGGTGGATTAATGGCTTTTGAGAAAAAAGTAGGCCTAATTCTTAATAGTGCAAGGCTGTGTATCCATAGAAAAATCAAAATTTAATGAGGAACTCGTAATTCAGCAGGAACATTAATATTTGAGTAAACCTGATTTCAGAACACCTTCCATCTACATTAACATACTTGGATTCTGTCAACGGTCCTAGACATTTGAGAAGCCGAGGATGGGAAAGCGAGGACAGCTGGCTGGCCCCATACTTAAGCAGATCCACTAAAGCCAGACGGTTTATTCGACCAATTCTGGCTGGGGCCTTTACATTCGACTTCTTGTTGAACATCATCAAGGAAGCGGGCTGAAAAAAAAATATATAAATTACATATCTAATGAATACCTTGGATGTTTGTATCGTCTGGGCAGTATAATGATGCCAATGAGATCCACATTTCCCTCCAAATGCTAGCAAATGGAAAGCCCGTTCGAGTCCAGTACCGGCTAAGGAAGGGAGCACATGGTTCGGGGGAGAAACCATGGCCGGAGTGGAACCCGAAGTCCCGGCACTTGATGGGGTCGACGCCCCTTGAGGTAGAGAGCGTAGAGAGTTGGTGGAACCATCAGTAGAGGTGGGTGCGGGTTGAGGACGAGGCCCGGGCGACTTCATGATCATAAAAGGGACGGACTCAGGGTGCGCGGAGTCGCGGAATGCCGCCACATTGGCCATGAAATGTATGTGAATGCCCTTCTCAAAAGTCAGATGGCCTCCTTTTCCTCCTCCTCTCCTGGGCGCCGCACACCGGAAATTTACTCCGGGGCCACGTCTAAATTACTCGATGAAGTCACAAAAATAAACCGACAGATGAGTGAGGGAAATAGGAATTTGGTGAAGATCGTTGCGTCACCGGCTTATAATTCAAGGGCGTGCCTCAAATAGGAAATGAAATGTTTATGGCCAAGTCTGGGCACTTTTGTAAAACCAAAAACAAAAAAGGGCTTTCACAACATATTTCCAGAAGAGTATTATGGTGGTATTCAAAATCGGAGAAGGGTCACTGGCCCATATGAGAGCGAGTAAAGGATGGCCAAAGAGCCAAAAATATGAGAGGAAATTAAATTTAACACTCCAGCATGAAACCCGAAAAGGTGGAAAACAATTTTAATTTCAGAAATTTCCCTTCCGTCTGGCTTACAATAAGAGCAGGGAACATGTTAACAGGCTTAATAGACAGGTGAAAAGACCGCATAAAGGAGGACCGGAGGGCATGTATTCAGCCAAACAATCCGTAATGAAGCCGAGGAAGAGGCTTCAGATAAATCACCCAAAAATATTATGCGATATATGTTTGCAGACATTCCAGAAGATTGATTCATTCAAGGCCCGAATTAACATATTATGCAAGTGGAGTGAGGCCAATGAGGCTGAGAGTCTCATTCGGCCGAATGTTGTCGGCCACAAAAAAGGAGGAAGAGAGGTTCATGAAGCCGGTTTGAAGCCATTTTGGCAAGTAAATGAAAGTCCGGAGGCTGTTCCTTCCTTCGCGCGACTCTTTTTCACAAGAATGCCCTGTGGGCATATGATTCGCGGACGGTTGGAACCAAGGAAATCTCCGGAAAATAATTTCTTCTTTTATATTCAAGGTGATTACGGTAGTTCTCCGAAGACCACCCTCCTCTTAAAGCCCTTCTTAACGAATGCTATCGATGGATTAAACCCGATAAGCAACATTCCCGGATGAATAACCAAACAACAACACTAAATACTTGGCATTAGACTCCGTGAATAATTAAGACGCCTTAGGGACTGAGCCCATTGTCATCCGCTGCATATAAAATCTCAAAAGGGTCTCAAAGGTTTTGGAAGTGCGTAATAATCCGCAAAACAAGTGTAAAATGCTTTACAACGCTTCTCTACTCAAAAGATAATGAAAGAAATGTAAACAAATCCACGGAGGACTACTAATCAGGGTGTAAAAGTGGAATAACAACAGGCCCCATGTCCTTTCTAATAAGTTAAGAGAGGCATTTCCATTAATTTGATAAAACTCTCCCGTTTTTGTTCCTTCAAAATGACTGATGCGAGACAAGAGCCCGAGTACCCCCAGGGCCATGAGATACGAGAGCCAACCAATTAAATATAGCACCCATAAGGAGAAAAGTAGACATTCCGTGCAGGAAATGTAACAAAGTCAAGATTAAGGGCCCGCCAACCCGAAGGCGGCTTATTTGACTTCGTGCACTTTTTCGCCAACACATTTATTTTCTATTCTTCTGTACATAATTCTACAGGTTCTTTATTCTCAATCTGACCAACTCATCCACTGACACCACACTCTGAGGTAAAGTAATGGGCATTCGATCATCGTAGAAAAGCGGGGTGTCTATGAACACCCAAATAGTCCCGATGATGGAAAGTAATTGGAAGAGCCACAAAAAGAAACGGTCCAGAACGGCCGAGGCGTACTTCCAGTCTTCTTCGGTCTGAAATGCCAAGTCATATTATACTTGATCCTCCAGTGAAACCACCCACTTCATGGTCGCATCTCTTCTTTCGAATCAACTGTGAGATAAAACCAACATTCTCCAGACATTTGAAGACTTGTTTAGAGTAGTACAAAGTCTTCAATCTGTCATCATGAGGTGCTTTCACCAGATCTCGGCACAATTGTTTGCTGAGAGTGGACATGGTTCCTCTTCTCTTCCGTTGCGCAGTCCCTCCGTCCTTGTTAAATAACATGCTCACTGTTTCCATATTACTTTTCTTGGTTGGCAATCGATCCCGATTCATTCCCAAAACCTTAGGAAGCCACTTTAATAGGAGATGTCGAGCTGTTGATGACATTGAATGGGTGGTCGGTTTCCGGTAATAAGTATTCAGAACCAGGACGGTGAAGGCGGAAGAGGCTGATACCATCAACATTGTGAACAAAAGATATTTGGAGATAAGGGGAAGAGTAGTGCCTGAGGCAGGCATCACTTCAGTCAAGATGAGGAAATAGAAGGCAACCGAGACCAGGATGGAGATCACTAATTGGATCTTCTCTCCAGATTCACAAGGAAGATAAAATACAAATGGGGTCAGACAAGCCATGAAAACATTGGGCATCAGTAGATTCACGGTGTAGAACAAAGGCTTCCGACGGAGAAGTAATTCAAACTAAAAAATGCAATAATCTTGTTAGTCCGGGCATACTGTAAGATCCACAAAATCGCCGCTTTCAGGGCAGCAACCAATGTAAACCTTAGATCGCCTGAGAGCCTTGATGGACATCACATCCCATTCCACCGACGGATAATAATCAGAGAGATCTATTCCTTGGTCCGAAGTCATTTCGTCATCAGAAATACGGATATCTGAATCATTGAAGAACCCACTGTTGTCAATGAATTTGAGGTCGACCAAACGCTTTGGGAAACTCCAGGAACCAAACTAGAACTATTTGTGTACACATTTTGAGTTACCTTCAGAAAACAACGCTGCTCATCAAAAGGAAACCACTGGACATCCATCTGGCAAAAGGTCCGAAAGAGTGCCGGAGGTTCCCAAACAATGTCTCCAGTATAATATACAGTGGCTTTAGTGCTGATTGTTATATTATTTTCAGCTTCGGCACTGGAACACAAAAGCTAAAAACCCGGCGTGATCTCACTTGTATAAAACAATATCTGGGACCCAGATAATCTCGTATGGGACGTGGAGAACATCAATCTGCCCATACTCCTTGGGATCCCAAGTTAGCCGGTAGTCCTTCCAGGTTTGCCTCAGCCAGACTGCACACATCATTATCTGGTTTATCTCATCCTTTAAGAAGCAAATCAAACAGCTTTTGTCCAACTTACTAGTTCAATAATTTGTGACAAACTCAGTCTAATGTGGACCACAGTAGAATTACGAAGTCCATCACTCGGTCTGAGGTGATTGTTGTAATCCACCATCAGATCATCAAAAAGACGGATCGAATCTTGAGTTGCAAGGACCCAGTGGAATAAAAGGTTAACCAAAAAAGCCGTCAGGAACATGAAGGGACTTCAGAACACCAAAACAAAGTCTCGTTTCAAAAAAGAATCCCACTTGTCCGACCCATAATCCAATAAAATTCAGACCTCAAATTTCCTGGAGTTTTTTCGTGGCTTTTCCGCACTCCCGGTCAAGCAGACGCCCTCCGGCGCAGCCTTCAAGAATCTTTTTGTTCTTCCTACCGGATCCACAAAAATGCCCCAGGGGTTTAAATTTTTGAAGGAAAACGTATAAAGTCAATACAGGACTTCACGAACGGCAAAGAAACAGGGGCCTGTTTCACTAACATAAATAAAATAAAACAGAAGTACAGGGTGTTCCAATCATCATGGAAAAAAAAATTATTCATTAATACTTTATGCTCAGTGGTCCAATCCGATTTTTTTTGCATTTTACAGACCTTGGAGGCTTTAGAATCAAGAAAAAATTTTTTCTTTTATCGGCGGAGACCGTAATCCGCCTTGAATTCGGCGTTTTTTTTCACAACTGCGGCTGTAAATTGTTGTATGTGTAAAGAAAATGGGCGGAAAAATACCCAGAAGATATAAAATGACATTTATTTCAAATTTTTGTGGTTTGGCGGAGACATTTCGGCGTACAATTTTCCTTCGACTTTAGAGGGCCAAACCTGGCTAAAACCTAAACGTAGGGTATCCCTAGTGGTATAGCGCCTAAATACGGCTTATTGTTTCATCGGCCGACTAGCAGATGAAACAACGGCAACTCGGCGGAAAAATCGGCGTTGAAAAACATGAACTCGTTTGAAAAATTATTTACAGCCTCATTTGTGAAAAAAACACTTCGCCGAATTCAAGGCGGATTACGGAAGTCTCCGCCGATAAAAGAATTTTTTTTGGATTCTAAAAACTCCAAGGTTTATCTGTGAAATGCAAAAAAAAATTTCGGATTGGGCCACCGAGCACAAAGTTATTAATAAATAGTTTTTTCCATAATTCTTGGAAAACCCTGTATAATAAATACAAGTAAAAAATGTCTCCGCTAAATCATAAAAACTTGAAATTAGTCTTATTATATAGGATGAAACAAAAAAGGAATGAAACAAAATTTTTGGTACTCTTTGATAGGGAGAAGAAGAAGACGTTGCAAAAATTTTTTCGATTTTTGTACTTTCGGCAAAAAACCGCGATTTTATGCCGAAAATTGGCGGTTTTCGGCCAGAACAAAGTAATCGTGAGAGGGAATGACATAATTCGCAAATAATATTTTATACAGCATTAAATTCCCTACAAAATAGGAACGTTCGTTTTTTCAAAAATATACGGTAAAGTCCAGTTCTGAGGCATCAGAAGTAATAAATACCATTTTTTAAATCAAATTTCCCGGCCTTTGTAAGCCGTTAAAATCCCTAAAATTTGCATAAACTCAGAGAGTGACATGTGTTTTATCGCTTTGATACTTTTCCACACTTTATAAGGCCATGTCTGAGGAGCCGCTAGCTGTAAAAAAAGCATTACAAAAAATTTTTTTTTGACACCGGATTTCGCTCACAAAAAAGTTCGGAATGTTGTGCGTCGCGACGCGTCGTATAATTATTCCAATTTATTACAATCAAAAAATCAAATAATAAAAAGTCCATCGTATAACATGTCACCCTTTATTTTGAATTTTTCAAAAATTTCTTCAAAAGGCGATTCTTCGGCCGAGGGGCCTCTTCTTTTTGGGGGTCTCCTCCACTCGGGGGCCTCTTCGGTCAAGGGGCCTCAATCCGCGGACATGTTTTCGCTTGTTCAGATTGTCTGCCTGAAAATGGAATGTAGTGTAGAACAAAAAACTCGGACTATCGTTCCGTACGATTTTTCACTTTGTGGGTGTTATGGTTGTTAGAAGATCAAAATTTTTTTGGCCATAACTTTCGAAACTATCAAATCTGGAGCAGACTTGAAAAGTATCTCTGGAAAGAAATCTCATGAAGAACATCTATCGATATCGATGAACACACATGAAAAAAGAGCTATAAGAACTTTTCAGCGGCGAATGATAATTGACAAGCGGGTGTTTAGCGAAGCTCTTCCTGCCTCCAGACATCTCTTCTGGATGTGTAGGAAATCTCCGATTCTTTTTTTTATTTTCCTTCTGATCCCCAATTTTTTTTCTATAAGTTCGACCAAAGCTCAGCTAGCGGAGCGGGATGAAGGCCACCATATAACCAAAGTGAATATATCGACTGAGAATCCTCAGGAGGAGACTGTTGAGCTGACAAAACACTTTAACGTCGATAGCAATACTGTTCAAGAAGTCAGCTTCCTACTGGACAAACTAAAGAGATTGGCTCACCATGATTACTTTGGGCCCAGAGGAGGGCATGATGTAAGTACAAAGAAAAGGCTCGCCTAATCTTATATTAGTTTGATGTAGATGCCCAGAAAAATACAAACACGGCTCCATTAGCTTCGTATCTTTTTGAAGGTGACATCTTTCTCAGTCATCAACAAGCTCATGCAATTCTCGCCAGATTTGAAAGGGAAAGATCCACAAGGTCCCTCAGTAGTGAGGATGGGGCCCTGTGGATCGAATTCCCCATCAGATATCGTTTTCATGATTCCCTAGGTACGTGAGTCTAATCCTGCAATGGCTCAGATCTTGTAACCGTTCAGAAAATAATTGCTGCCATCGAATACTGGGAATCCAACACCTGTATTACTTTTGAACATAATGATGATGTCGACAGTGGAGATTTTATTGAGTTCTTCAAGGGACAAGGATGCTATTCCATGATCGGGAAGTATGGGGGACGGCAAGGGATTTCTATCGGAGCGGGATGTGAAAGAGTAAGATTAAAAATTGTAATTTCTTTTCATCAATACGTGCATTAAACGTCTCATTGAACGATCTCATTTAAGCCTGGAGTTATTCAACACGAGATTGGACATGCCCTGGGACTATGGCATGAGCAATCAAGACCAGATGCAGATGAATACATAGAATTCGAAAAAGATTTCATTCTCCCAACATATATGAGTGACTTCCAACAACGAGGAAACGATGAGATTACAACCTTGGGTATCCCTTACGACTACGGATCTGTAATGCATTACGGCCCTACTGCTTTTTCCATAGATGGGAAAAGTTTTACATTGGTTACCAAGGAAAAATTGTACCAACATACGATCGGGCAACGCGAGAAACTGGCATTCTATGACATCGCTATCATCAACCGAGCTTATTGTAACGGTGAGCAATTCAAAGTGAGGGAAAATTAATTTTAGATCGGTGCGATAAACAAAGCAAACGAAATCGTTGTGCTAATGGTGGGTACCCTCATCCACAACAATGTGATAAATGCTTATGCCCTGAAGGCTATGGAGGAAAGAATTGCAAAGAAAATGAAAAATCTCTAAGTAAGTCTTTTTTGGCTCGCTGCGTCAGCCTCTGCTAGGGTCGGACATAAGGAAATTATTTTTTTTTTCAGTTGTCTATCTAAAATGTTGGTATAGGTCATTAAAACATGTTCCCAAAATTGTTTTGCGATTATGAAGGACGGTGACTTCAAAAATCCAATATTTGTAGGATTAATGTAACATAATTTTTCTGATCTCAGGTCAATAAAAATCGACCATAAAAAACCGAAACCCGGGTGGTCAGATTACTAGGTTTCCTCAAAATCCACTGCGCCATGAAACCTCAAATTTTAATTTACTTAAAAGTACATATACCTATACCAGAACTCTATGGTGGTTGAAAATCTGCAATAAAATCTTGTGGGATTTTTGGTTTGAAGAAGATCTGGTCGATTTTTATCGACCGGAGATCAGAAACATTATGTAACATTAATCCTAAAAATTTGAAATTGTGATTTTTGAAGTCACCGTCCTTCATAATCTACGGACAGTCGGTTTTGTGAAGTTTTCTTTATTGCAACGGGAGCAGCAGAGATCAGGAGGACGGTAACAGCTGTATGCAAATTTCCACCTTCCGGGTAGAATTCGGCAAACGAATGGAAGAAAGGTTTAGTGACCTATACCAACATTTTAGGCTACTTTAGAATAATTTTCTAAATATCCTCGTCTGACACAGCAAGCCGAAAATAGTCTTTTAATACAATACAAATGATACTATGTGTTTTAGACACAGAATGCGGCGGAATAATTCGGTTGGATGACGAGGAAATTGCGTTGGAATCACCGGGATATAAGGATCAAGAAGACTATGGGGAAAATCAGAAATGTAGTTGGATAATAAACACCTCCAGAAACAAAATAATCCAAGCAGAATTCGTAGAGGACTTTGGACTTTTTTGCAGCACAGTATGCTTGGATTATGTTGAAATTAAAATTTCTGACGACAAAAGGAAAACGGGAGCTAGATTTTGTTGCTATCATAAACCGGAAGAAATATTCACATCAGACACCAACCAAATGGTGGTCGTCTTCAGATCTCAGGTGTCTCAAGACGTTGGGTTCAAGATGAAACTCAAGGCCGGCAAGTGAATCACTAAAATCTAGAAAAACCTAAAATTTTCAGTCGATCGGTCTTCAATCGCGACAACAGAGGCTACCGTCACAACCACGAAAATCCCTACCACTGTCAGTGGAGTTGACATCTGGAGTGATTGGGGATCCTGGACGAAATGCTCCAGAAGTTGTGGTGGATGCGGGATTCGGTCACGAAAAAGAACATGCCAAACAACTACTTGCACGTAAGTGGGGACTCAGTTTTACCCCTACTTTCAGGGGCCGAAACCAAGAATTCTCAACTTGTAACATGCAAGCATGCCCTCAGGACAAAGGATGTGGCAAGACCATCATCATTTCAACAAAATGTGACATCACGGATCCGGTGTGCAATGCATTATCAAGGAGAGCCAAGGATTGTAATTCCAAGGCGTGCTGTCCCCCATTCTTACCCGAGAAAGGGATCTGCCAAAACATCGACAAGGAACCCATCCAATTCGGATAAATTGACTATTTGCAATTTATTGCTAAAGAATTTTAAACGTGAAGTAGGCTGGGAATGGTTACGATGAGATGCTTATGATTCTTGAAGAATTATGCCATCTGGGAAATGTTATGTACAACTGAGGTAGCTGATAAAAGCGGGTAAACATAATTATGTCGTTGGTTTTGTAAAAGTCGGTAGATTGTCGAAGGCATATCCCTCTCTTCCACATAATGTACAAGTAATATACACAATATGATAAAAGCCAGGAATGAAAAAGAGCATTCCAACCACAAAGAAGATCCACCCATGGACGTCTAAATTTGTAAACAAACGCGTTCTAGGTCTAAGAATATGGTACTTACCCATCTCATTAGGAACAAAAGTAACCAGTACACCAAAAGAAATCAGAGCAAAACCAACAATCGTCAAGATAATCGAACCTATTACGACCCGGACATTAGCACGAAGATACGGATTCTTGAACAAATACCTAAACTCATATCCGAACAGTATACCAAACCAACCGTGTCTCATTTTCGTTCTGTGAATTGGGAAGTCCATAATAAGACGAGCAATCACTGAAGTTGGAGAACATGACCTCGTTCGTGGGCCCGGAAACTCCCAATTCCACCGTGTTTGGGCTCGAATAAACTGGGTCCTGGGGGTTGTCGTTTTGCGATTCTTCCACTCGAATCAGCTTCAAGAATGATTCATTTTATTTATTCTTTGTTTTGTATACAAAACGAAAGCGAGCTATGAATTTACGTTGTATTAACCCTACCTGCTCGGCCGCTGACGCATTTCTTTGATGGCAGTTCAAAGACATTTGTTCAGTGGCCCATTAGATAATCTCAATATGTAGATCACGCACCAAAGCCATCAACAACGAAGATTTGTTTTTAATTTTTTCGCAGCTTGCGCCCATGATTCCTTCCAATAGCGGGCAGATTGGTCCCCAGGGGCCTGCGGGGCGGGGGTGGCATGGCAAACGATCCTCTTTTTGAAAATTTCAGGCCCGGGGAAGGGCTCGGCGAAACCCAGACCCGGCTCGGCCCGTTTCAAAATTTTTCAGGCCCGGCCCGGTAGAAATCTCTAATCGGTTCGCAATCGGTAAAGCCCGATTAGAACGCGAACTGAAAAATTTGCTTTAATCTACCCGTCTCTGTGGTGCTAAAATCTGATATGTACTATATTGTATGTTATAATTTGGGGAGACTGACTTTTCGGTCCCCCCTCTTTCGAGTGACGCCTTTTCGGGTGGGAGACTTTTCGGTCCCCGTCCTTTCGGCTGGCGCCTTTTTGGTCCTTGGGCTTTTTGGGCGGGGACTTTTCGGGTGATGAGTAAAAGACTTTAAAAGCAGATACTACTGATGACGCAATATTGTAAATAATTTAAAAAAATCTTTTTCATCCGTTTTTAGAGTTTTCGACAACGGAGAATTCAAATTCCCCAAAATCAGCATAAATGCTACTTCCAATGGCGTGGCATTTTAAACTTCCTAAAAATCGAGAATAAAGTCGGATTATGGGAGGATCGTTGATGGAAAAGGTGGAAAAAGCCGAGAGCAATACAAAGTCTTTGGAGTAGTTTCAAACATTGGTGGCCTCATAAACACATTTACGAGTTCGAGATGTCACATGGATTTCTTGGAACAGCCACTAATGAAGAAATTAAATCGTTGACAGTTTATTCTCCGTTCAGTGGCACTATCGCATTTTTGAAATTTTTACCCTTACTAGGGAAGTGCACTGCAGGTTGACGCCAAGTTTTTCCCTGATGTGTCAAGTTTCTCTCTCCTGAAAATAATTATTTTTATTTTCTTCACATATTGTGCAGCCTGTTTCTCCATGAAGATGGACTGAAAAGTGGTCAAGTAAGTTATTATTAGCAAGAGGAGGTGTTCTTCTTTCATTTTATTCCAAAAATGTTGATTTTGTTTCAGGGAAACATACAGAATTCATCCAATTCGCAGAGCTACTTTTTAATGACCATAGATAATGTAAGTCCACTTATTTCGTTTTTTCGACGTTGAGTTACAAATACAAGCTTATCTAAGACTTAGAGGAGACGTCACTCTTTCGGGTTGTTATGTTTTCCATGCATAAGATCCTTCAAATGTTTCGCTATAATCAGTTTAGGTAAAATTGACCAAAATAGGTGTCATGGAGAAGATAATAAAGGCGAAAAGGTCAGGAAAAAGGCGAAAAGAGGACATTTTGGAACTAATGGAGAGGCTGGAGATGTTCTAACAATCCAAAATAGGCCATGTGGAGACGGTTTTAAAGTTGGAAGTGGACGTCACGGAGAAGATAAAAATGTAAAAATTGGCAAGAATAGGGCCCCATATGTCGTCATTAAAGCAGGAAAAGACCAAACACGGCATGAAAGTCGCATTCAGAGCTTTGGTCAAGCTCCAGGGACATCTGAAATTCAGCAAGTTCAAAATGGTCAACAAAGACTTCATGGAGAAGATAGAAATGGACGCAGTGGACATGGTCGGCCCTCGTTTACACCCTCTGAATGGGGTAATCAAGTTTGGAATGAGATGTATTAGCCATTTGTTTGAATTTGCCGTGTGAATGTCTGTTGATTGAGTTATGTTATATTCGTTTTTTGTTGGAAAATATCGCATTTAAAACAATTTGCACTTGGCATCCATTATTCCTGACCTTCTTCAAGACTTATAACTTTATCAATGAACCTCTGAAAATCGACAGTCGCGTCTTACTGCTCGAATCACTGGCGTTGATCAAGGAACAATGTGGCTTTATCTCGTCAAAACACTAATCTGATTATAGCGAAACATTTGAAGGATCTTATGCATGGAAAACATAACAACCCGAAAGAGTGACGTCTCCTCTAAGTCTTAGATAAGCTTGTATTTGTAACTCCACGTCGAAAAAACGAAATAAGTGGACTTACATTATCTATGGTCATTAAAAAGTAGCTCTGCGAATTGGATGAATTCTGTATGTTTCCCTGAAACAAAATCAACATTTTTGGAATAAAATGAAAGAAGAACACCTCCTCTTGCTAATAATAACTTACTTGACCACTTTTCAGTCCATCTTCATGGAGAAACAGGCTGCACAATATGTGAAGAAAATAAAAATAATTATTTTCAGGAGAGAGAAACTTGACACATCAGGGAAAAACTTGGCGTCAACCTGCAGTGAAGTGTACAAACGAACCCTCGCCAAATCGCAAGTGTTATACACCATTGGAAAGCCCTTGAAAAATGGTGCAAGAAACCATTTTCATTTTTTGCAGAATGCCTCAGGGCAAAAAATTATAAATGGTTTATTTGTCCCTTAAGTAGTTACAATGTCTGCTGTGGGGCATAATAAATGTTATTTCAAAACGCTAAATGGTACGGAATGCTACTAGGTTGGCCTCAGGATCATTATGAAGTTTAGCGCTTGCCAGTAACTTTTACATATGATATTTACTGGTTCTAAATGCCCATAATGTGAAAAAACACTTTTCACTTTTTTTAATCTTGTAAAACATGTAAGTTTGATGGTTTTAACCGTAACCGACCGTCTTCCAGTAAAATTGAAGCGTTTGTAAAAGTTTAACGCAAATATTTTCCTAACTGTAAGAACGCAAAAATGATTTTGCCCAAGCTGGGAACCGAACCTGGCTTGCTTCGGCTTATCAGCCTGCTCAGTAACCACTACACTATTGAAGGAACCTTTTTCGAGGATCTTCAATGACATATGTCACTTATCATTTGTTGAGGGTTCGTATGTACACTTCGCTAGTTAGGGAATTTTGATGCTGGTTGCAAGGACCAAACTTTAGCTCCATTAATCTTAAAGATGGAGAAAGCTGACAGGGTGAAATTAGACAGTATGCTCAGTCAGCATGCAATTCCGCAGAAGATGGTATATCCTACTTGTTCCAGAAGATCCGCCTAAGGGCGATTTCTGAAATCCAAAGGCGGTCATTTTTCAGCTTTGATTAAAAGTTCAGTTCTGCATAAAAGTTGTTGAAAGTGACATGGTTGGCAAAATTCGCAGCGACGTAGCTGAAAAAAGCTTATATCGCGGCGACTTTTGAATTGCACAGTGCAAAAGGTCAAATCCAACGCGCGGAAAATTTGCGACGAAAAGTCTATGCACTTTCTGGAACGACTAGTACAACCCTTTTTTTGCGCGTCCCGACATTTCGGGTCAACGAAATTTCGGGTCAACGATACCGTTTAATATTTTCGCTCCAAGACAAGAAAAAAGAATTTTTTCGTGAATTTGAAAAAATTTTTGACAAGGAAAGTACTTTTATGGGGGCTCCTACTTTTTGACGGGACATACCTCAAAGAATCAGAAAAAATGTGCTGATCAAGAATATATAGATCTTAGCTGCCCATTTTAGGTTTTTAGGGGTGAAAACTCAATCGGAAGTTGACTTAAAGTCCTATATGAACCCCTTTTCGCTTAATTTTTCACAGGTTTACAATTTTTATTTTGGCTTAAAATGGTGTTTATTGAGTTTCTAAGACGTACTAAGTCAGCCTTGACCCAAAAATTTATTTTTCCGACCTTCAACTTCAAAAAAAGTTCATTCAGCCCAAAAGGGAAATCAAACCCGTGCGGCGTCCCCCTTCTTGATTCCCAGACTACGGCACTAACCACTCGGCCACACCGCCCTCTTCCGAAGGAAGAGACCGACTGCGCTTTTTATCGTTTCGAATGCCTGCGCCTTTTGTAGGAAATTAAGCCAGTTTTTGGGCATTTTGACCCCTAAAAACCTAAAATGGGCAGCTATGATTTATATATCCTTGATCAGCACATTTTTTCTGATTTTTTGAGATATGTCCCGTCAAAAAGTAGGAGCCCCCATAAAAGTACTTTCCTTATGAAATGTTTTTCGCTTCGGGACTTGGGGAAGAGGATTTTTTGAAGAATTTGAACAAATTTTTGAAATGTTTTCGCTTTTAGTTGCATACAATCATTACGACTATCTTTTTACTCCACTCTCTGGTACGAAAAGAAAATATTTTTTTGAGTATCCACCTGCCCTACGCCCCGTATCGACCGATTTTATGTTGACCCGAAAAGTCGGGACGCGAAAAGTTCACTTTGACATTCAATATGACAGAACAATTTAACATGAAGAAAATGACGGCAATTTGACAACGCAACAGATGCATCAAGTCGACGACTTAACAACCATATAACCAAGCTGATTTATATCTGGCGGCAAGGTCGGTATGCCGATGAATTTTTACGCCTGCTTAGCAAAAATAAATTTTTCTGGAGCTGAGACCTGCTATTTTCAACCGACGGAATTTCAAGCAAAATCTTGAATTGACCTTTCTATGTCTTCCCAAAGTCTTGAAGAATTATTTTCGGGCCGAAACCTCTGAAACTTAGAATTTTTTTTTGCCAAGTAGGCGTAAAAATCATCGGCATACCGACCTTGCCGCCAGATATAAATCACCTTGGTTATATTCTACATATAAGGATGGTGATATACAAATCAAATCGGGTTTCGTGGCCAGAAACCGCGATTTCTTGTCTGTTAGGCTTCTAGACAAGAAATGTGTAATTCTTGTCTGAAATTGCGTAACATTGCGCAATATTGCGCAAATTTCAGCTCTCTCCCCGTGAAGATTTTTTTCTTTTTTTCTCTGCTCAGACAAGAATTGCGCGTTTCTTGTCTAGAAGCCTAACAGACAAGAAATCGCGGTTTCTGGCCACGAAACCCGATTTGATTTGTATGTCACCATCCTTATATATTATAACAACTTTGAATAATCGTGAGAAATTCGATCCTCCATAAAAGTTAAAAATCATAATTCCCAATATTTCATATTTTTTGTTGAAATTTGCGTAGCCAGACCTTGGAATTCGCATTATTCGACAAAAATTCGGATATGAAAAAGTCCTGAACATATTCAAAGCGGTTGTTTCTTTAGTGGTGTGGCTCTTCACTGATAAATGGAGCTGTGGCACTTGCTTTGGCTCTTTTTATTAGCTGGGGGTTCAGCACCCACATCCCGAGGCCTACGCCGCAGTACTTTCCATGGAACCACTCCAAGGACGACTCAGAAGGGAACAGGATCTTCCTCTCATGGAACTGGGCCTGTGTGGAAAACTTCGTTCCCGACCACTGGCTCGCCCGTCAACACTTTTCCGTCCACGGCGACTTCTCACCAAAGCGTCACCTCCAAATCCAGCACCGGACCCGTGGTATCAACCACATCAGCCACATCGCGTCGTTCGACGTCACGTACGAAATCATCGACCCCGGATCCCACTCAATTTACAGTGCCCGACGTAAGTGCATGGCTGTGCTTTTAGTTTCTTTCTTGAAGAGTACGACTCCCCATTCCTCCACCGTCACTACCACGACCACTCATGTAACGCTAACTTCGACGACGACTACTCGAAGCCAACCGACAACTTCAAGAAGGCATACCACGACTACGAGCCCACATATGGTACGGCTTTTTTTATAACAAATATGCTTGGTTATAGGAGGAAGGGGAAAACGTCGTTATTATCTACATTGTGATAGGAGTTGTGATCGGGATCATCGCTTTGTGCGTCGTGGTTGGACTTGTTGTTTGGTGTTGTAAAAGAGGAAAGGAGCAGGGGGATAAGACGATGACTTCCGACACCAGCACTCATCAGGACACGAAGCCCTTGTTGGCGACCCCAGTGAACCAGTTTTCAAAAAGGAGGGCGAATTACGAAGACATGCCTGATTTGGTGGGACCCAATCATCTCGACGTCAACAAGATCCGATATCGAGGCCCCATGAAAATACCACAGGTCATCATCCCGGTTTTTGTAAGTCATTTACGGGGGAATTACTGATACCCGATCTGCCCCGTAGCCGAGATGTTTCATATGTCATCGGAAATTGAAAAAGCTCTTCTTCAACTTGAGAGTGATCGGGTCCAAGGAAACAATATTTTTGCAACATTATGCGTTTTACTGTCACGGTAAAAACTTTGATGTAAAATATCTCAAAACGCCTCCCTTTGATTTCCTTTATAATTTTGTGGTTTTAACATCCTCAACAAGCGTTTTGAGTGTTCTATAGTTTGTCAGAGGTCATCGATTTTTCTGATATCAACAACATCCTCAGGTCACAGTAACCAGGAATACGATAATTTTGAGGACCATAAATTTGCCAAAATTTATAAGACCTTTCAAGAGAGTGTGAACTGTCCGTGAGCTTTCAATCAACATGAGACCCCCAAATTTGGAAGGAGCGTTCAAAGCCACCATGTAAAATATTTTCTTTTTCGATGTAATTTTCGCGCCGCAAAAATTACCGTGGTCCCTTACCATTTTTTCTTCGACCCGTTGCATATAAAGCTGGTCATATAAGATCTCGGTATTTTTTTTCCCAAATCGCGATTTTCGGTGCACAAAAAAGTCGACGCCCAAATCGAAAAATTGGCGTCAACTTAATTTTTTCAGCACCGAATTCCGAAATGCGGTGCTGACTTAAGCACTTAAGTCTTCGGTACAGACTTAAGACTTTGTGCACTGATTTCGAAAAACAGAAAATTTTACCGAATTTCAGAATTCGGTGCCCAGAAAAAAATAAGTCGAGGCCAATTTTTCGATTTGGGCGTCGACTTTTTTGTGCACCGAAAATCGCGATTTGGGAAAAAAAAATCCGAGATCTTATATATGGCTCGGGACTTCTAAATCTCTCCGCAAGAGTCCATCCGAACCCTGGAAATTTAGTCCAAAGTTAAAAGTTGACAAAAAAGGAGGAGACGACAGAGAAAGGCAGAAATTCTTACAAAGAGAGAAATTGCGCAATGTTATGTCAGATTGCGCAACTTTTAACTTTGTACTAAATTTGCAGGGTTCGGATGGACTCTTGCGGAGAGATTTAGAAGTCCCGAGCCATATATGACCACCTTTATATTTAGTTCGAATTGTGAGTTTTCTCGTTTAAAATGACCGTTGACATGTGTTAACGGTCATTTTGCCGTTGACCCTGCGGATTTTGCCCAAAGTTAAAAGTTGCGCAATCTTACACACCGCTGCGCAATTTCTCTCTTTGTAAAAAATTTCTGCGTTTCTCTGTCGGCTCCTCCTCCTCCCCCCCCCCTTTTTTTTTGTGAACTTTTAACTTTGGACTAAATCCGCGGGGTTGGGATGGACTAGCGCGCTGAAATTTGTAAAGCACCTCCCATATATACATTATAAATAGTTCGTTTTATTTTGGGATCCCTTGAATATGAAAATGTCAATACCGTTCTACAAAGTGTAAAAAATTGTTTTTAAGTATACCGTTAAGTGTGCTGTACGTTTTCAGGATGAGCCCGACGACAATGACGTTTCAGATCCGAAACCAGATGAACACTTTGCGATAGATGAGAGTCTAAACGAAGTGATCGAGATAGGATCTGAAGTCGAAGTAGTGGTGGATGAACACGGAAATGTTGTTCGCCCTCCGAGGGCCCCCAGACCCGCAAATCCTCGCCCCGCCCGAGTCCGTCCTGGGGGCGAGAACCCCAATAATCTGAGACCAATCCGCGAGTAAGCCAGCCCAATCACCCCAAGGGATCGAATGCTAATTACGAAACATAAACTTTACTAACTATTTTCGTATTGCTCGTACGCATCAAATGCATCCGTTGATTTAGTTTTTAGAACCTTTTAGAATGACATAATTTGTACCAGAGTGCACTTGTTGTACGCTTCACAAAAATACAGATACTGTAAGTGTTGATGTGTAAGTTGAGGTAGTTTGCTTCGTGAATCAAATAAGGTTGAGCGGAAAGTTGAGCGTTAAAGAGGTCTTCATACCATTACATCATGACAGGAGGCGAAATCACTTCCCAATTCTTCCTAAAGGAGGGTTTTAGTTTGGATTCCGATTACCTGGTCGTGTTCGATTACCGTAGATAGTCTCTTCATGTTGATGGCATCAGAATCACTGGTGGATTGTCCCACCTCAAGGTTGTCATAGCTTCTGGTGGGGTCCTCGTCATCCTCATCGATCCCATCGGCCACCCAGGCCATTCCCTTCCAGACCTGATGCATAATATGAACTGCGGGAGCCAACATGGCTACTGTGGCGCGTGATTCGTTCCTGAAAAGAACTTGTCATATCGAGTGATATTCATTACATCCTATACTTAAAAGCGGGTCTGAAGACCGACCTGACGGGCAATTTCCCATCATCATTTGTGGTGCTGTGATGTGTGGCACTGGCTGTCTGCATGGCCATCATTCTCGACCGCAGACCTGTCATCTTAGGGCTGGATGTCCCATCCGGCGCAGGGTACATCTCCTAGAAGGGAATTGAATATAAATAGGGCTGCACTTACTTGTAACATAAGACAGAAATTAGAGTACCAGACCGGATTGGGACATGCATTTGGGTTGGCTATGCACAAGGCACATGCTAGCATTGTCCCTACAAAACAATTTTTGACGGCAGGAGTAGGCGTACAAATCGTCTTGGGAAGATAAAACATACCAACAATGCAAAGTAAGACAATATATAACCCGAAATTGTAGGCCTCCAAGTCGATAATGGCGATGGTCACACAAAAACACATGATCCCGAACAAGATCAGCACGGCGAGGCAAGCGTAGAACATGATGGCACCCCCGAGGTTACACTGAGCACATCCCCTTTCTTTTCTGGCAGCAAATCTCCAATTCAGATGGCCAGAAAGGACACAAAACCGGCTCTCAGCCGGAAGCCGATCTTCTCCGTCTTCCTCTGAATATCCAAGGAGGAAGCAGAAGATGTGTGAAGTGACAACAGTCCGTGATTAACTGCAAACAACTAAACCGTTGTCCATTTACAACAAGAACACGAACACAATCAACAAACAAGTGTCAAGCAGTCACTAGCAAGTCTTATACAAGTCATGCAATCCGTGGAGAAAAGTCTCCTGAAAAGAACATGTCCTCATTCCCCTATTAATACCCGTCATTCGAACAGCACTTAGCCTTATTGCATGACCCATTCCAAAGGATTGGACGCGGATTAAAGAGCCCATAACCCTGAGCGGAAGTGCGGATTATTAGATGAAAAGTCGGGCCAAGTGTAGAAAACAAAGGGCCGAGCTTAATTAACCCCAGGGCATCTTCGCGTGGAGGATTTGTTTTTTGGCCAAGCTTCACTCACTTGGCCATTCTCTCGCGCATAAACTCGGTTCGTCCCATCCTTTTTTGGGGCCTGGAGGCTAGGACGGGGACCGAAAACTGAAACCAAAACAGATTCCAGGTCACAATAAGTTGGGCGGCCTTTGCGGTAACGAAAAAGAAAGGATTCGAGATCCCTGGACTTGCAGAGATGGTTGGTTAATCACTTTAATTACTCTCGACATTCTTCTTCTTGTGCAAATTGAGTACCGAGCCAAGCATTAGGCAGTGAAACGGAATGCCAAATCGCGGATTTATAAAATTTAAATATTTTTCTATTATATTTTATTCAGGGGTGGCAAGCGGGGCCCTTTTGTTCCACTTTAGACCCGGGGCCCCGCGGGGTCGGGCCGGCAAAAATCAGGCCTGGCACGGTTAAGGCGCGAACTCCCAAATTTCCACTGATCTTACCGTCTCTGTGGTTCTAAAATCTGCTATGTGCAATATTATAAATATGTTCTAAGTTGGAACTTATATTATAACATATATGCAAAAAAGTACTATAAAGTAGCGAAAAAACTTCCGCGGCCTTTTTGTGATTGGGAACATCGCGTATCGATCGGAGTTTCTTATTGTACAAGCTAAATACATACCGAGTACTTGATTATCACGTGATTCTATCATACATATACCAGTACATGGTTAAACTTGGGCCATAACGAGGCGCGAGTAGTAAAGTAGTAAGCTTTTTTAGAACTTGAGATACTAAAAATACAATCCCATCAAAAAAATTTACCTGCGTGAAAACATTAAATGGCCTTTCAAGACAACCGGGACTGGAAATGACGCAGACCCGGCCCGCCTTAAAATTTGTCAGGCCCAGCCCGGTGGCCACCCTTGATTTTTTTGTTACATGGCGATGAAAGCTGACAAACAGTTAGGTTTGATATTAAACTAATTGCACGTATTTTAAGTATACATAAAGAATAATTCAATTCTGAATCCCCTTTCCTTACCCATCTAAATGTAAATTCATTCCTCAAGTATGACTCGAACGTCGACAGTCAGCGACGTTAAGAGCATTTTTGTTGCACAATGATTCCATTTTGGACCTGAGGGCTTTCCCAGAGACTTTAATTAAAACAACATTCGAGGCCAGCTTTAACGAAGCTAATCCGCCAAGGGCAGAAAAGAATTTATTTGAGGAGAGTAGAGAGATTCCAAGTCGGAACAAGAACCGTGGACGATCTGGACTCCAGAAGGTACGGAGGAAGTCGTTTCTCCAGGAAAAAGCGAGGGAATTCACTCTCCACCTTGGACTTGGTGATTCTGCAGAGAGGGCGCGGTTCGAAGGGATTCGGAATCTTGTGGATCATGACGTCGTCACAGCGGGGAGGCACCTCCGTCATCACCAGATCTCCTCGTGGATCGCAATCTATCAGAACTTGGCCAAATCGACTCAGAGCCGACTTTCTCACCTAATAACAGACATACAGAATACATACATAAGCCTTACCTTAACTTTGAAGAGTTTCAACTTCAACTTCTCTAAATCCAATGCGGCCAGTCTAAAAGTGGGACTAGGCCCAATTTCTGGGATCAGAGTGGGCCCCATCAGCCACAAATAGAAGTGCATAAACTTGGTAGCCATGTATCCCCCGTCATATTGGCCGAACCAAATAAAAAAGCGGCCGAATACGAAAAGAAATGCACTGAAAGGGTGACCACAATCCAAACTTATTTCACTTACTGGCACATAACAGTCGCCAGTATTTGGAGTTTCCATCTCCAATGACGGGGAGAGGCTGGGCTGACGAACGTTAGCCACATCGTCTTCCCTTTCTGAGCAATCATACATCCAAAATTGATGTTCATGTCTGGATGCAATGGCAGTCTAAAATAAATAATAAAACCCTTATTTCTGGTCTTACGCTTTGATCTCATGATTGTCAATTCCTCTGATATGGGGCTCAAAGCTGTTGGTCTTCGGATTGTAGATGAGACATCCGAGATGGGAACTGTCGAAGATCAGAGAAAACCCCTCTTTCTTTGCCAATAAGAAGTAAATGGAGTTGTTGTGGAGGAGAGGGACCGACTTCGGCCAGAGGTACAGCTCTTCTGGATGCATCTGAGCTTTCTGTTCGAGATCAATCATCTAGAAATTACATTAGATGTGATGGGGGAGACACGATTTCTTGTCTGGTTACTGTAGTTGCGCAATCCGGAAAACCTAGACGATTTGGCAAAACGACAACTGGGGAAAGTAACTCCCGCTTGTACGCTAGCCAAACCAATGCCTCCTCACAAAAATTCCATTAGTGTCTTTCGACTGACCTGCGTAATGGACGTTTTTGTCCCCAATAACTCTTTTTGAAAATCGTCGAACCAGCCAATGAGTTGAAATCACAGCCAAATTTTTTTAATGGCTAGCCAAAGTATCGTAATTGGTTTGAAGGCTCAAAGGGTTGGATCCAGGTTTTTACTAGCCATTTTAGTAATTTGGCTGTCATTTGCAACATTTTGACACCCATTCCAACTTTTTAGCTAGCTTTTTTGAGGCTACAACGTTTCTTTTTTGCATTTCCTGGGAAAAACCCAGGAATAAAAAATTGGAATTACAATCTAAATGTCTTGTGCATATACTTACTGGTCTGTCCAAATCAAAATCTTGAAACTGATCCTGATATTTGGGATCCGATGCGATCATTTTGATCTTGCAGACTTCCCCCAATTCTCTTGATGTTTTCCCAATAATGAGAACGTATCCATGAGAAACAGCCCCAACTCCAACACGAATTCCCATGGGTCCCTCGAACTTGACATGCCTAATGCAGTCACAGCACACTTCCAGCTTGATCTTGTCGATCTGCATTCGATACTGGACAAGTTCAGCCTTTCGATGGTCGTATGTTAGCATGACCGCCAAGTCTTTCGCAACGAAATAAAACTCCAGGACTTCATCAGCAAACTCACCCAGTTCCAGCTTGTAATTCTTGATCTATAACTTCATAAGGATAATTGCAATCTTTACCTTTTTCGTCTCTAAGTCTAACTCCAACAAAGCCAGTTTCCTTATTGCCCTAAGGTCGTTAGTGATGGAGAGTTCGTTGGTGGCTCCAATAATGTATATTCTCTTAAAGATTGTTCATCGAATACCGTTACCGTAACCCTACCTTCCCAGAGAGTGAAATACTGTAAGTAAAAAAGTTATATGGGATCATTTCCTGAGGCAGTCTCATATTCAGTGAGTAATTGGGAGTAATCCATGGTTCAGATGTCATCGGTTTGGCCCACCAATCCGAGGGGGAATCAGTTTTCGGAATAAATGATTTATTAATCTCACCAGGTTTATCTCCGAAGCAAATGGAATGACAAGATTTACCCAAAATAGAAGTTTGTCAAGGAAGAAAACATACAGGGAATATATATCTATTTACAATGAAGCTGCAGATCAAGTCTCCTCCTTACCCATTACGAAAAAAATCTCATTTTACATATTTCACGAGAATTGATTTTACCTAAAATATCGTAACGAATATGAAGGAGACAAGAATACAACTGTAGCAATCAGAAACAAGGAATTATGCCAAGTGAATACCCCAACTGACTTATTGCGTAATATGATTTGGCACTGTTTGAGTCTTTTATAGCTGATACCACTTTTTTTTCTCGTACTTCTCTACCAATTTCGATGATCTTGACTGTAAACTCATAGCGTTGTTGCGCAACTGTTCGGTCGCATCGATAGTTGCATTCAGCTTGTCACCGCGTTCGTTCAAATTCTAAAAAAAAAATTGAAAAATCAATATTGACATTTAACCAAAAAGAATGTGAAAACATTATTTCGTTAAAAAAGGGTTACCTGAATGGCCAAAGTGGCTGCCTGGCCGGCAGTCAATCCTTGTCGTTGAGCGTTTTCCATATTTACTTGAGACGACGTACTCGGGATCTGCTTGGCGACAGCTTTCACACTCGTTGTTGTAGTATTATTCGGTTTCTCCGCGACTGAAATCATTGATTGCAATAATTACATATACTATTTTTCATACAGATCGCATCCAAGTCGACGACCTCCTTTTGTCCACCAGAGAATAATGTGGATACTCCTTTGAAAAAGGAACTTTTTGGCGGTTCTGGCATATCACAAGGAACAAACAATTCTCCCGCACTGTCCTCCACGTGCCCTCTTGTTTCCGCACAAACCGTAAGTTTTTGCATCTGAAATAGCCAGCAAGTTCGTTAACAAGATAGGGGGATAACTGACTTCTGAGGGGGTCGCCATGTACATAACCAAGCCATGTTCGGAGAAGTCGGTTTTGCCGCAGATGCTGAAGATATTCGATAATAATTGGGGACAAGAACAAGATAAACAGCCCATCTTTTGGAGACACGGTTGCAGGAATAAAAAACTTACGGATCTTCAATTTCGACTGATCGTCGGAATATTTGGGCGGTGAATAGCATTCGTAAAGAAGGGAGACTGAATACGATAAGATGGCCCGACGCACTGAGACACAGCAGGGCTGGATAGCCTCGGATATGTGTGGACGTCGACTGTAACAGAGACATGACAACCGAGCAGAAAGAAAATCGGTAACATTACTAACTTTATTCTAACTGCAAGCCTTACTTTAACCAGGGGAATGTCAGCCCGATGGTGGAACATCTGACTGTAGCCAGGAAGAGCGATGGCTTTGATGTCTTGCTCGGAAACGAAGACCCCCAATTGCTGGAACTCCTCCGAAAGTGGGGCTCCATTGGATTCTGAGGTTTGGGCGAAGGTCGGAGTCATGCTCGGCTTCGTTCGGATTCGGTTCTGATATATTTTATCTCTATTTGCTGAATTCGGAGCCGAATCCTTCCCCGGATCTCGGTAACATTCTGCAGCCGCGCTAACAAGAGAAAAGTTTTTGTCCATAAAAACTATATCGATTATTTGTTCTTGCAGCTTTATGACCCCATTACAAGGGGCCACCACCACTGACTGGGTTAATCGATTAGCGGGAAGGATAAGATTGAAGGCGACAGTCACACCGCTGGACATCCCCAGCCATAGGCACGGCTCTTCACTGCTTTCTGCAACAGATTACATTTACGTAACCTTAAACAGACTTACGTCCTTTTTTGGCCGGTGAACTCATAAAACAGAGATTTGTAATGTAATCACTAGTCATATCTGACTTCTCTAACGACGAACACGATGGGGTGTGGGATAATAAACTTCCATTTCTCCCCGATTGTTCACCTGAATGCAGAAGCAAAATAAAGGAAGTGGTCAGAAATTAAAGGGGATAGGATTAGAGCGACAAAGGATGTTAATTACCGTTACAAGGCGCATCCAGATAGGCATCGTGAGTAGATACGGCAACTGATTGCGCCTTGGATAATACGGGCCGGGATCTGTCCGAAGATCGCTGCTTGAACTCGGTGTTCAATCTCATGAACGACTTCTGATTGCCCGAAAATTGGGGCGGGGTTTGAGTCGAATGGACCGCCTGAATAAAGCAAAGGGTTAACCGAGGATTAGAGTTAAAGAAAATACAGTGGAACCATTGATCAAGCGGACTGGTGAAGAAAAGCGGACAGTGCGGACATGACAGCGTTAGAAACATAAAGAGTGCAGACTTTGTTCCGACTGGATGTCGAATGATTTGGAATAGGCGAGTTGACGATCTGCTGTGTAGCCGATGGATAAACTGCGAGCCATCTTCTTGGTCAATCTTCTGACCAGACTTGGCTTCTTCTTCAGTTTTCTCTCCATCTCTGCCAAGGGCTCTTCTGTCAGATCAATGGAAGGTTCTTTTGCCATTAGCGAACCAATCGAAGACCCCGGCGACAGAGTACAAGTAGAAGTGGGAGAACTGCAGAGCTCCTGTTCCAGAATACAGTCGCCCTTCGAACTAAGGCTTCCCCAGGACAATTTTTTTCTCCGAAAGTCCATGTCGAAGGTGGTATGACGAGAAAGGGTCGAGGCCCGACCTTTCTTTTCATTCGACTTCACAACATTTTCAGACGGCAAATTAATCACGGCACTCTGTGAACAAAAGAAATGTAAAACTTATATACGCACCACAAGCAATCCTTAATTAATTAGAACCGTCAACTAACGCACTCACTTTCAACTGTCTACGTTTGCGTGAAAGCAACTGAAATGTCATGGGATTACGATAAGTGTTATGTTATAATAGGGAAAGCAGTTCTAATATCTTTCGAAAATTATCACCTCAGGCTGTTAAATGTGCAGTGATATTATTGTTATGCATAGCTAGTTATGATTCCCAAAATTCTGACGCTATCTACGTCATCCTTCCAAGCAAATAAAAACTAACCTCGGACGGCGAAACGTCTCCAAACAAGGAGAGATCCTTGTTGTACAACTCGGCGTTGCTCCAGGAATACACCAGACTGAGCGTCACAATATCAACCAGAGCAAGACCAGAGCCAGTGGCAATTGCAACCAGTGCATATTGAGAATTGAGAGTAATTGCCGTTACTTTCTCTGGAGACTGCGAATTGTTCCATGGAATTTGACAAACCAATTCTGGCTGCAATGCATACAAAATAAGAGAAAAGGACACAAATTGATTACTTGATATCCTGCAGGCCTTCTGAAGATTCCACTTCGCACCTTGACGGGTATTTGATCCAAAGAAACACTGGCCGCGGAGGTTTCGACACTTCCCAGGGAGTCTGATGACTCCGGAATATGCTCACTTTGTCTCTTCAGCTCGATGCGTGTCGTGTTTTCAGTTGAACCCTCGTTACTCCCGGTATTGGGGCTAGGACTAGCAGAAGGGACAGCTGATGATAACCGAGGCAATGTTAATACCTACAGGAATGGTACTTTTACCTGTATATTTTTACTTACCGAGATTTCTTGGGCGTTCTCGGTCTTCACGAATCTAAATAATGATACTTGGCCACTACTTGAAGCAACCAGTAATAGCCTCGATTGGACACACAATTCTATTTTCTGAACTGAAAAACTGACATGGCGGGCTTCGGCCGTTGCCTTCTCGAAATGGCGGCCAGTCTTCAGTTTATACAAGATCTGTAAATGCTCTCCACTGGCTTGCCAAAACTTGAGCGATCCGTCTTCATGACCCGTTATCACAATTTCCTCGTGACCCGTCGCACAATCTCTCCCGACACCTCCGTTTATTGGCCATGGCTGAAAAAAAACGAATCATGCACAACTAACAAGGGGTATACCCCAAGTGCGATTAAGATTTCTTCAAAATTTTTCGCACACTTCAGCCAGAGGCCACATCAATCCCTGGAGATCTTAGCTCGCGCTTTGCATGGGCAAATATTCAACAGCCGAGTGAGTACGCGGAGAGCGGTGTCAGAGAAAAACATGTTTTGGCCGTATCTTTGCCAGTTTCGAGCGAAAAACTGCTTTTTTTGGGGAAAATAATTTTACTCCCTGCGATATAAATAGGCAAAATTCGCCAAAATAGTGTCACATTTTTAAAAAAAATTCAGCCTAAAAATCTCGGCCGTTTCTGCAAAGAGTGAGCTAGGAGTCTCGCATATGTCTTATGTTAAGAAAAATTTGCGCCAAATTTCATCAAAAACCTTACCTTATCACTTAATCGGGCTCCTTGCTTTCTCTGATGCCTTCCAACCAAGGTCAGAGCTGCTGTTAAATCCAACGGACAATCCGAGACATACTTCAACAAAGTGACAGGACTCTCGTGTATGTCGGTCGAATATGGACTCTCGAAACAAGGATATCCACCGGCGTTCCCGCTCATATCCACGATCAGAAAATCGTTCTTAAGTAAAGCAGCGGTACCAAAAGGATGTTGGGGAGACGAATTGAATGGAGACGCCATCAAGGGGAACAACTGGATGATTGGATGATCCATTTCGAGGACGGTAATAGAGCCCTTCGATCTGAGGATTGTCATGGCTGGCAAAACGCCCTCATCAGTGGGCATCCCTCCAGCAAAGATAATCATTTGTTCCCCTTCAGCATTAACCGCCCAGTGAAGATGTGTGATGGGCCTGCAGGTCACATTGTCCCCGGCTGCATGGGGGATACTCTTCTGTTGGACTTCTCTCGGTTTCCTGATGTTCCAGACAGTTAAAGAGCCGTCTTTGTGCCCACACATGAATTGTTTACCATCCGAATTCCAGGATATACACTTCACAGGGGACCCATCGGCCGCAAATCTCTCACTTTCTCGTGTCACAATATTCCACAGAACAATCTGGCCTTTCTCAAACAAAATTAGAAGCCTAGACTGGTCATTTGGGCATATACCGAGGTCCTTCACAGCTCCCGGATGTATTCGACAACTCCTAGAAATTATAAAAAGACAATATATTCTGTACTTACAAATCGATGGCCTTATTCCACATGATCACATAAGAAGAAAGCTCGAAGTTGGCCAAACATAGGAAGTAAACATTGCCTTTATCGGTGCCGACATGAAGCCATTTGCTTTGGAATGACAGGTAGACACATGTAACCCGTTCCTTGGTCATCCTCAACGAATGAACAATCTCCGGCTTCTTCTGACGGTAATTCCAGAGATGGATTGTGTCATCTCTCAACGCCGTTATAAGTCCTCCCTATGAACAAAGTTACTGTTCAAAAGTTCTTAAAACTTACTTCATTTACAAGAAATTGTACATGCAGGACTGGCTCGTCTGAGTCGTGCTTGAGGCAATAGTCGACCCCAGGTTGTCCAAGCAACCTCACACAACCATGCCCAGCACCAATGGCGACCAAACGCTGCACAGGATCATAATCCAAGCATCTGGGGTCATCAGGAAACCCATGTCTGACGATCTAAACTCAGAACCGTCGCTTTCAACGCGGAACTCACCTCTGATAGACAAAAATTTTCGGAGGATAATGCCTCCTCCACATCATAATCTGTCCTGATATGTAAATTCTTGATGCCATCGATGGCGGAGGCGAGCTTTTTGCGGGCCTTTTCCATGGCTGAAGAACGGAACCATAAGAATCTTAATCATATTCGCGGCAAAGCCGGGAGACCATGGTTACAGAAGAGCCATAATCTGATCATCCGGAAAATGGGAGTCAAAACGGGAAGACGGAAGGATGGAATGGGACTCAAACTTAAACAGTTAAAGGCCTCCGGGATAGGAAACTCGACGCCCCACCGTGAGTTTTATTGGTTTGTCTCAGCGGCGAACACGGCACGGAAACCTAAGCTCTTTCCCTAATAGGAATTCCCACAAATGATCCTTTCCATCAAGGAAAATGTGTTCAAACAATCCCCTTTCAATTTATAATTCCCAATTTGAGGCACTCACGCGTTGCTCAACTGTCTAAATTGTTTGTTGCTATATCGAAAGTCAATTTATATTCAAAAAATGGAAATGAGAAACAATTTTTCAGTAAATAGTGCGTTGTTTTGGCGGAAGATTGCAACTTACTTGATCACTCTTATTGTTTTCCTACCCACTGAGCAGATGTTTGTACATTATCGCCTGCAAAGTAGTGGTTTATTCTCAATTTTCTGTTCTTTTTTATTCATTCGTAGCGACATAAACGCGTTAATGGCAGAAATGGAAAAAAACATCGCAAATGTCTCAATAAATGACTTCAAAAAAGCGGCGAAAGATGAGGAAAGCACTTCGAGAGACGAAGGGCGGAGGCACGCTTAATTCCACCTAGATTATAGGGTTTTGTGGAGCCCATAAACAGGCCGGACAAGAATGGAAGAAGGCCGGGAAAGAAGCCCCCCCTCTCCTTCCCGCACATAAACGGCTCAGACCTCTGGAGGTTGTGGCCTGGCCGGCATCGGTCTCTTCCTCCACCCTCCGCCCTGGTCTGGTGATGTCCAAGAGAATTCGGGCAGGACTGGCGCCAACCAGTTAGCATCTTTTTGGTATGCTTCTCTTATGGCTCTTGGCTCCAACGCCTAAAGAGACTCTTCCCATCCGCCTAAATCAAATAAATATCCGATAACAGAGCGGCCGCGGTGTTCTGGCCTTCCAGAAACGCTTCCACTTAATGCTCTTTCATGCATAAATTATTTATTTTGAGGGAAGTGTACACGTTTTTTGGAGTGAAGACTTCTATTATAACGTCGTATAGAACTAGACTGCAGGGTCGGTAAGATTCGAGTTAAAAGTATTAGTACGATTAATGGTTTTATCGAAAAGGAAAATAATATTCGTCATAAAAAAGTGTCGGGTTCCAGGAAAGGCAAAGACTGTTTTCCACATCCGCACAAAGTCTTTGTGATGGAGGCCTGCGGTCCTTTTACGCTTTGCTTCCACTTAAATTTTAGAGCACTGAACTCTTTGTAATTGGGGCTCAGTCGTATCTTATTGATTAATCCCATTGGGAACCAAAAGTTTCCATTTTTGAATGGCCCTCTCGACATAAAATTTTATTTATTTTTGTGCGCGGGGAATGTTTTTCATTCCATAAATGGAAACTCTTCGTTCCTTTCCCTCGTTCTTCCTTACTTATATGCATTAAGAACATCCACAATTGTTTTAATATTACTGCTCTTTATTTACATTCATTTGAGATGTACTCCTTGTAATACGAGATCTCCACTGATCTGTATCTTCTCTGCTGATCGAGGGTTTATCCTATGTTCGTATGTTCCTAAGAGACAATCGTCCACATAAATCAAGAACTTGGTCTCTTCGCAGTAGATAAGTAGATCAAAGTTTCGTTTTCTCTTGAAAGGGAATGGCTCCAATGTCAGATATTCCTCCTGTCCCCATTTTCCGTCAGTCTTGCTATTACAAACCAACTTCTGGAACACGATTATTATTAAAATCAAAGCGCCATCATTTAAAGATCGTCACCCCGGAGAACAACCGCACCTACCTTAACCGGAAACCGAGGATTCAACTGCAGAACCACGTCGGAGGCCGCGTAGAACTCTATGAAAAACTGCTTGGCCGTCTTTTTGACCAATGCAGAGACATACAACTTCCTTCCGGGGTAGAAATTGCCCGGTATATCTGCAGAATAGGGAACGTTCTGAAAGAGAAAACCAAAAGTATTTTGCCGGGGCCCTCCACCTTACATAATACATGCCTTCCCAAGAAGAACTGAACAATTCGATGTCCCCATTAATGTAGATGTGAGTGATCTTGATCAACGGCACGTAATGAGCGAATCGGGCCACCAATTTGTGGTCCACATACACCTCGAATTCGTCCTCATGGCATCGAACTCGGATGTCAAATTCATCTCCGCACTGCCATTTGTGTTTGACGGTCCCCTCCCGGCCCCATTCCCCATTAATGCAAGCATTTATGTGAATCTTTTTCCTTTCAATGTCCACTCTCACACATAAAAGCCGATCGTCCAGCACATCCACTTCCTCGTCGAATTCCACCCCTGGTCCATTAGTCAGATTAATCACAAAGTCTTGTCGTCCTAAACATTAAATGTTTTAAAATTTACAGCCGAACTTTAACACCCAAACTGCCACACCTGCTATTCTATGGCAATCGAGAGTGCACCAACCTTGACTTGATCCAGAAACATCTACTGGAGCTTCGATTTCTGGGGTATACTGTACTTTTTGTTTGGAAATTTTCAAAAGTTTTTAACCTGGTGGAAGCCTTGTTGAAGGATGGCGTCAGGGAATGTCATGAGCTATCTATTTATACGTATGTCCACCATGACGAACCTTGAAACCATAGAAATCGAATCAATTATGTATGTCTCCTAACCAAACCTCTCCTGGACTCTCGATTGCAATAAACTGGCCCGCAGGGCTTTTTGAGTGTTATGTTAAACAACTTACCGATTACAATTCCTCGGACGATCAGAGATTGCCCCGGCTGCAGCTGATTTCCTTCGAGTTTGGCTAAATAAGGGACTGGCTGAATTAAAATCATTATTTTAATATAAATCTATTCCAACATTAGATAAGAATGACTTACAAAACTGTTGTTTCTGCCCGTAATGGAGTCCTTTTTGGTGATCTTTTTCTTGTGCAATCCTAGGATCTTCCGCAGGACTGCGGACATTCTTCTCTGCATTGAAAAAGAGTAAACAATCACCGTAAAAGCAAAAGAATATAAAGGGAATGTGATGTTCAATCAGGTATAAAATCGATCGGAAACCTTAGGCCTTGACTAATTGCGCAACTAATTAATGGAGAAAAAGAAAAACAAAGCTTTTTTGAATGCAACGATGTAAATAAAAGTAAACTTAACGTTATAGATTTGATTAGGAGACATGTATAAAAGATTTGATTTTTATGGTTTCATGGTTTGTAATCGATCTCTGAATAATGGACAGGAATGAGAGGCCCGAGAAATAGACTCATTGCTGGGGAGGATTGAATTTAATCAAAATTAATTTTGTTTAAAAATACTGAACCCAAACGTCTATGAATGCCGTGAAAGGTCGAGTTGTTTTTGTACTTTGAAAAGTAAAACTAAAGATTGTGCAAGCCCCTCTTTTTCTGACCGCGTTTTCCGATGGCATCCGGCTTCAGAATATGATCGAATCCACAAAAAACCATGACTTTGATCTCCAGCTGGAAAAGTCGCTCCCCAAACTTATTGAAGAGGAGCCGAAAAAAAGGACGAAATTCGACGGGAACGGGTTTTGTGAAGCTGAACCCCTTCATTCCGCAGAGCCCCCTCCTTTTTTAAAATCTTTATAACAACTGATTTAACTGTACGACTACAAAATAACTTATTACTTAGTCAATAAATACGTCCCCTCGGGGCTTATTTCAGTGACGGGCAAGCGAACATAACATTACCTTGGTTTGTGCTTTGCTTAGTTTATCAGAATAGAAATTACTTCCAGAAAAATAAAGCTTAAAATTCAATATTAACTTAAAAAAACCTTGATTTGGCTAATTTGGGAGACCAGATATTAAACCTTTAAAAGCATACAAAGGATATTCGGAAAGCTCACAGATTAACATAATAAAGGGTAGAAGAACCGTTTTTTCCACTTTTTTGTCTCTCGAATCAAATTGCATTAAATTTTTTTAATGTAGTGTTTTTTTAAATGTTTCTTTTACAAAACTTATTGTAGATTAATTATGCAAATTTGTCAACATTACTTTTAAAAAAATAAAAATGCCTTTTTCTGCTGTTTATTTTGCCACCTCTTTTTAAAATTTTAACCCATTTTGCTCCAAAAAATTAAATTGAAATATCGGAAAATGGAACGTTGACCTTCAGCTAAGCAGGTCACCGTCCTGCGTGGATGTCCCGTCCATTTTCGCCTTTCATTGTTTCCTTTCCTTCTCCTGATATGGTCAACTTTTATTTGATCAACTTCTTCTTGGCCTCTACGGCCATTTTCTCAGCTATCGTTGCCTTAGGGCTTTTTGTTTATGTCATCTACAACCATTCTGACAGTGTGGTCAGTAAGTTCTTAATTAAATCCGTCTTCATGTTGAGTTGATTCAGCCCGAAGTGGAAGAAACGCTCAAATATCCGATATCAGATCACAGATCCCAATGGAGTCGATGGGATTGGAGAGTATGAGTAAGCCGAAAAGACAAGCAGAATACGACTTTGAGACCATCGAACAGCCTTCGTCGTCTACCACCGAATACAGCTCTTACGAGACCATCGAACCTCTGGCCGAGAAGATAATCGTCCATCCAGAATGTCATTCCTCTGACGGAAAATGCTGAAGAAAAGCATAAAATAAAAACTGATAAGATCTCGTAAGATTTATTTTTGTATTGTTACAGTATTTGAAATGAAAGCCAAATAATTAAATTAGGCCAGACCAGTGAGAGAAAAGACCCGTGTTTTTGAAAGAATTCTATTCCTAACAGACAATCTCGTTTTCCCCATCCTCAATTAGTCGCTGCGTCTGTTCGCTGGACCGAATCTCCCTCAGCTGGGCCTTCCTGGCCCCATTTTGAGGATCGGGAAGGGCGGGGGTGCCCAGGCCCGGATTCCTGGATTTGGTGGACGCTTTGCCTGAGGCAAGACGTCGTTTCGAATTCCATTTCCTTAGGGGTTGAGGACAGCAGAATCCAAAAGTTTCCAGAAACTCGCGACGGAATAGATTGGACATGGTGGAGTAGAGGATGAAGTTGACCGAGGAGTTGAGCAGGGACAGCAAGTCGAGGATGTTCCCCAGGTAATACATCGCAAATCTCATCTCGGGCTTGATCCCGATTGCGAAAACGAGGATCCCTGAAATACGAACATATTGCTGGTGGTTGTTTCCACTGAATTGTGTAACAAAAGGCCTAATTGCTCTATGTATATCAGCGCCCATTCATCGGGATTCATAACCAATGTATAAGAGTGAAGATACAAGATTTTTAGAGAAAACTAAACATTTTTCTGAATTTACTTTTAACAATAAAAGTGTATTTCTATGGGGTATGGAGTTATAGATCGAGACGTACATATATCAAAAAATCGCAAAACGTTTTTGCATTCAGGAAATGCAAAAATTAGCTGATCAATACTCTGTCGACAGAGAGCTCTGTCCGGAGTCGGACGATTGGGGCCCCAATCGTCAATTGGGGAAACCGAAAATTATTATTTTTCTTCGATGTGTGAAATTAGGATAATCGAAGCGCTGATTTCGAAAATGACATTCATTTTTTATCTTTACTTTTTTCCTTACGTTAAGTAGTACTGTAAAGTAGCATTTTTTGAATTTTTTTCATAAATAATCGAATTAGGGGTTTTCGATGGTGCTGATTTCGAAAATCTTATTCATTTTTTCGGATTTGAAAGCAGCACCACCGCGGAACTTGAAGTTTTTATAAGTGATTTTGAGTTTCCTGTGTTGGCGCTCAGAAAAGCAGTCAGAAAGAAGAAGATGGGCGGGTTTTTGCCTGAACGAAAGATTTTTCTCCGCCGACGCGGGAAGTAGTGTATTTGGCGGAGACTTTTAATAGCTTTTTGGGTCATCACACCGATCTTAAACGCTTTATTGTGATTTCTGATGGTTGAACAAAGGACATATGCTGATTTCTATGTTGATCAAGCGTTTGGCGAAGTTATGGCGGACACTTGCCATATCGGCGGAGCCCATAACTCAGCTGCGAACAAGAACTGGCCAAACACAATTTTTATGGGTTGGTTAGCATTCAGTTCTGCTGGTATCGTATGCCCTCCAAAATTTCGTCGCCAAGCCTTGGCAAAAGTTTAGCCATCGGCGAACCACGTGGTGCACCAAAAAACAACAAAATATTCTTCATTCAAATTTCCCTTTGCCCTGCTGTTTCCGCACGGTGCGCTCGGAGTTTATCGGTGTTGCAACGACTGCAGTGCACCGTGCAGTCGCTAAATACGATCGCATAGCGCTGTCTCCGGCCTTCTGATCCCAAGTGCAAAAAATCTGAGGACTTTCCGGAAGTTTCAGCATCACAATAAAGCGTTTAAAACTCAATTTCTGAGTCAGTGAATCTGCCGCCAGTTAGGCGTGGACATTCAAAAAAATCGATTTTGAGATTTTTGTTTTAAAATGACCGGGGGCATCCTACTAGCACATAACCATAACATTTTTGCCCAATTCTCCCGTTAACCTACTGTAATTTACAATAATATGATTTTACAGTAATCGGATATTACTCAAAAAGTACGCATCGTAATTGGCTGAAATCGGTACTATAAAGGTTTTGGCACCTTGGCATTACAATAGATGTCGAATTTTGGCTGTCGGGTTACTGTAACATAGTGAAACCTTGGTTCGGCCGCACAAAATCGGCCATAAAAAATTTGTTTCTGAAAACCCACAGCCAATTTTTGGATATGTTAATAAGAATTTTACGGAGATTCCGAAAATCGAATAACCGTCAGCTTAACGACAAAAAGAAAAATTTTACGGCCGATTTTTAACGGCCGAAACCTTGTTTTTCTATGTTACAGTAACTTTGGCTCCGAAAAATCGCTTTCGTTGAATTGAGTATGCTCGAAAACCCTATCTATTTTAGTTTTACCGTTTTTCTGCAACTGAGCTTGCTGGAAAATCTTATAAAAGCAAAACGCTCATTTTACCTTCAAAAAATACGTTAAAATTTGCATTACCGCCTTGGATATAGTCTTATATGGCTTAAATGTGTATAACAAACCCATCTGGGTCGATTTCCTAAGTTTCTATGCAGCCTCTCACATTTTTCGTCCAGTGGGAATCGAACCCGGGACCTTCAGATTACAAATTTTGACCAAAATCCACTATACCACGAAAATGGTGTTATGACTTTTTGCACTTTTTTTAAATGTTTCTATAGCAGAATTTTATGCTTATTAACATATCCAAAAATTGGCTGTGGGTTTTCAGAAACAAATTTTTTATGGCCGATTTTGTGCGGCCGAACCAAGGTTTCACTATGTTACAGTAACCCGACAGCCAAAATTCGACATCTATTGTAATGCCAAGGTGCCAAAACCTTTATAGTACCGATTTCAGCCAATTACGATGCGTACTTTTTGAGTAATATCCGATTACTGTAAAATCATATTATTGTAAATTACAGTAGGTTAACGGGAGAATTGGGCAAAAATGTTATGGTTATGTGCTAGTAGGATGCCCCCGGTCATTTTAAAACAAAAATCTCAAAATCGATTTTTTTGAATGTCCACGGCTGATACAGTGACTCAGAAATCGTGTTTTAAGATCAATGTGAAGACCAAAAAAGCGATTAGAAGTCTCCGCCGAATACACTACTCTTCGTGTCGGCGGAGGAAAATCTTTTTTCAGACAGAAAACCGCCCATCTTCTTCTTTTCACTGCAAAAAGAATTTTTTGGATATAAGGATGGTGACCTACAAATCAAGTCGGGTTTCGTGGCCAGAAACCGCCATTTCTTGTCTGTTAGGCCTAGACAAGAAATGCGCAATTCTTGTCTGAACAGAGAAAAAAATCTTCACGGGGAGAGACTAGAACTCTGGCCACGAAACCCGGTTTGATTTGTATGTCACCATCCGTATATCTTTGCTGAGCGCCAAGAAATCGACAAAAAGTTTCCGCGGAATTTCTTGAGACATCCTATACATATCAGGTTACTATGTAGTACCATAAAGAGAAAACATGAGCATGAGTTTCGAAATCAGCACCTTCGAAACTAAATCAATTGCGAAAAAGCCCAAAAAATTACTGCTTTGAAGTACCATTTCAGAAAAAGGTAACAGTCACTGAGGTGCTTGGCCATGTGCTTGGCAAGCGATTTTATGTTCAAAAGGACGGCTTCTCGCGCCTTTGGGTTATAATCGGCCTTTTATTCGTCTTTGGGTCATCTTTTTCGATTTACTTCCTTAATTAAAAAGATTCATGTCACAAATAGTCAGTTGTCAGAAATATTTTGACTTTTTTTCTGAAACCGTTGTATCCACACCCTTATGTGAAGGCTGCAGGTGTCTGAATACGAATTGAAACTGACATAGAGAGCTCAGTAATCGTTTCAGCCAGTCGGTAAAATAGATAAACCGCCAATGATTCAAGCCAAATAAGACTGACCTTGGGGGAGCTCTGTTATCAAGAACAAGGCGACGATCATGGTGAGCATGGCAGTTGTCCTTTCGGCTTGAGTCTTTCCGGTGCTCGCACTTGTTTTTCCACAATTACTGCCACTTGCACTTCCACTATTGTTGGCACATAGACGAGATCGTCGTTCTCGGGCTTCCACCAACATCCTCACCAGTAATGTCATAAACACCGTCAACAAGAGACAGGGAATCAGCTTCAACATTATCCCTGTAATGTTTGGGAAGGTGAAAAATGTATTCAACTTACCAGCCACCCAGAAACTAAATCTTTCCCAAGAACAATTCCAGAAGACGGGCTGCCCGATTGTGTACGAGTTTATGAGTTCATCTTCTTTGTAAAACTTGGCATAAGTGGATCCATTCTTGAGGCAATGATGAGGTACTTCTGCAGGTCCCTTGTCCTCAATCTCGTATCTCAACATATTTGGGGCAGCGCCCACCAACGAGAAGAGGAGAGCCAAGAACACCGAGATTATGGCCGATCGGTAGTTGTTCCATCGGCTTGACCCCGTGTTGGAGCTATCTCTTAGCACAAAGAACCGAAGAACAGCCATGTTCACGGTCAGCCAAAGGCTGGCCGAATGAACAAAGACCGAGAGCAGGGCGTAGACCAAGGTAAAGACCACCCAGCCATAGGTGTAGTAGATGGGATTACAATCTTCCACCTGCAATTCATTTTTAATGAACTTTTATGTTTTGTTTTTTAGCATGACATCTCTATTCGGAGTGAGTATAAGAACCGAAGATGAGTGAATTCAATGCCCCGGGGGCTCCCATGTATAGTAATCCCCAATTCCATTACCACTCCCTAATTAGCAACTTACTTGCTTGAAGACGAAGTACGAGGCCATTAGTGTCATGTCACAAATGGCTATAGCGACCAGAAACACATTAAAAGGATTCCTCCGCATCGCCGGTCGCATCAGAACAACGACGATGCAGATGTTGGAAAGGACCCCGAGGATACAAAGGAACTTGTAGATGAGAACATGGAACTGGTTGTAGAAGGAGAGGACGGGTTGGAGAAGCTGAAAGATTGTGTTCTGATTATGTCTGATATCCCTTCTTCAAGACACTCATTCGGCTACTTGAAGAATATTTTCCGCTTTTCAATTCGATGGGATTTCTGAAGCGTGTTTCCGTCCCTTAAAGAAGGGAAGTGCGGCTTGTAACCTGTGCGTCCATTTTATGTAACTCGACGTCATCGACAGCGGGACCGCCTCGGGGTATGCAATTAGAAGCCCAGATGAAGCTGATTATATTGGGAAGAAAGGGACCACGGCCTTTCATTAACTTGCCCTCGAGGGTATTTTAGTCCGCCCAAATATAAATCCACCAAAACTTTATCCCCGCAAGGCGCCCGAAGAAACGGTCAGCGCAATCTCGGCACAGAAATGAATCAAACAAAGTGATCGTGATAAAGTGCGCGTTTATTGGAAACAAGGCAGAATTATATAAGTATATATTTCATTTTTGTGCATTCTCGGGATGTTCTTTCTTTTCCGATGATACAAAAAAAATGATTAGATCTTTAAAAACCCCTGGAATTGCTTAAAAAAGTTGGAAGAAAGTAGAATTACTGTAAATGAAAGGGAAACTGACCTCTTCATACCGGATGATGGCCTGCTCGATCTTGTCTGGAGTCAGGTCCTTGCAAGTCCCCATGCCCATTCATTCATCTGCTCATCTAAATCTTCCAAAAATATCAAGTATAAGGTCAGCCCATGATTGGGTCATCGAGCGACACATAATTAAATGGAAATGGAAGAGAAGAGGGCTTACAAACTCGGCTCGGACCCTCAGGCATTGGAATCAAAGCCGGCCTTTACAACTCTATTTATTCACTTCTGAATAAGGTCGTGGGACAGTTGTCGGTCGAGAAACAAACGTCCTAATTATGACACAACTGTCCGTCTTAAGCGAGTGTTAAGGGGACGGCCCGATCTCTAAACGGCCTGAGGCGGAAATCGTGAAACAAATGTCTGGGTGTAATTTGAATAACCTCACATGATATGAACTAATATACAGGAAAAATAACCGCGCCATTATTAGTCCGTTCGTAAAGTCGCTGGAATGATTTCGACGACGTGCACTGTGCAAGAAAAGTTTGGGTGCACCTATTGCACGGCGCAAAAAGCCGAAAATTGCACAGTGCAAAGTGAACTTTTGTTTTCGCAGAGTGCATGTTTGCGAACGGACGACTATTGTCATTGAGTAGCTAAGGACCATCAAAAAACGAATCCTCACAAACAAATGAGTAAGTTTAGTGCTTTCGAAAATTATCAAAACGCGGTGACGAATGAGGAAATGACAGATGGACAGAAACAGAAGGCAAAAATGATCCGTTGGATATGTTGTCCAAGAAGAAATGATTGATCCGAAAGAGAAAGGCAACAAAATAACAAGAAATGGCAAGGTCACCAACGGAGTTCGGCTTCGAGCCCGGTGAAGTTAATACGGTATCAGCACGCGTTGGAGTGCACATGTGTAAATTTATATTTCATGCACTATACGAAGACCCGAATGAAACAAAATGGAGAATCGGCGGGGACCTGGCGGAGGAGGATCCCAAGTCGTATGTTTTGTATACCTGGTTCTGGTGGTTTACCAAAGACAGTCCTCAATATGAAGATGGAATTACCGTTCGGACTTGAGTTGCCCCGCCAGTCCTCGATACGAAGACAAAGTGTATAGTGACCACAAAAAATAATAGGTAAATGAATTACTGCAATAGTACCACACTTACAAATAATGTTCACAATGTATCCCAACAATCTGGAATTTGCTGGGCTCCGATTGTCGCCATATGGGCGATTTACAAAATAAGGAAAAGAGGAGGGTAAGTTACGTTGAAAACACATTAAGAGAAACGATTTGGTAAATCAGACAGTTAGCCATTAAGAAAGAAATTAACGTTGAGATTATTTTGATCTTTTTCAAAAATGGTGACCAAAGGCATCCAAAAGGAAAAGAAATTATGTCCTTAACTTCCGATTCTGAAAGTCCTTCCGATTCTGGATCCTACAATATAACAAAGGGCTGACGTTTTATAAAATGCTTCCGGCTTTCTAAATAAACATTCCGAAGATCTTCAGATACGAAATGTTGTAATCCAGATTGGAGGCCCTTCCATCTCCCGTAAACATAATTACCGTAACCACTCAACGACTGTCAGATGTCTCCGCGAGCCATAAAAACGATGAGTTATCTCCAAATTATGAGACAAACCCCGAGGCCCTTTCCTTTCGAGGTTTGGGGGATGGCTGAAGCAAGGGCCCAATCCAGCCGCGACAACCAACAAAGATGCCCTGAGGCAAGGCTTAGCTGGGAAAGTTTGGGACCGTGAACACGGTGGCCTAAGGCAATGCGGGGACTTTTTGGAAACTTGACTTGGAGGAACATAAGCCCGCCCCCCCCCCCCCTTTTTTTGGGATAGCCGCTGGTCTGCGTTTGACGGATTTTCCTTCTCGTTCTCGCCTTTTCCCTTCCCTTAAATACTAAAGAGGATGGCCTAGAAACAAGATTCGCTTTTGAATATTTCCTTTCATCTCCTTTTCGAATGACGGATATATTTCTCTCATCATCGGCCGTCCGTTTATTGTTTTGCTCAGTAATCTCCTTCCGCGAGTAAATACCTGCAATTTCTACGAAGCTGTCTTCTACGGCCATTACTGGACAAGTCCATAAATACAAGAACTCGCTTTAAGCAAGCTGGTAAAATTTGAAATAAAGATTCTTAGACAGCCATGTGATTGGTGCCCCCCCCCCCTCCCCCATTACCCCCACTTTGTAGTCATCATTTAGTTTGCAGCCCCACGAATACTACATAGTAATCAACCAAAGGAAGGGTTACGAGGTCAGCAGCATGTGTAATTACTTGTTCAAAATGATGGTAAACAAGTCGATCTACCATAAAAGACTAGCCGCTGTTCCCGCACTGTCTTTTTGTCAATGCCCTCAGGGCACAAAAAGCCAATTATGGTTGAGAATAAAGCTGTCGTGAACCGCGCTTAAACGCCGTCCAAATATTCTATTCAAACATACGAATTCATGAAGACGGACATCTCTGAAGGCCTTCAGGTGGTTTATCCAAACAAATAAACAATTATCAACAGATTGAGATAGGACGATGGTTACGAACACTAAAGGAGGGACGGTTGATCTACCTGTTTGGATAATTGTTGCTTGCCTTTTTACCCGTTGGATTTAATTATTGAAAACAACCGTAATTTTATATCCCCATGTCGGCCTTCTGCCCTCCTTTTAGCACACTTCCAACAACTTTTAAGAGGAAAAATAAAAAATTTACAACATGAGTATGGCCGAGCATAAACATCACACATGGCATGCTGATTGGATTCAGAGGAAAGGATTTGTTTTTGGGAGGCATGACCCCTTACGTAATACAATAATGAACATAATACAATAACAAAGGTCAAAAATCCTTTTAAAATCACTGAACATTTCAAAGATTGGACACTTGATGTAACCTCCTCGAAGCAATTCTTGTCATCATGAAACAACAGACTCCTCTTGGAAACTTCAACTCTTTTGTGGAAGTTTTAAGGCTCCCAGAACTCTTTTAATAAAGCTAATGGACCAGACAAGTTCCACTGCCCTTAAATGAAGGCCTTAAGACGGACTTGGCATCTTCCAGGATGTTAAAATAGTCCGACTCCTGACACTTAAAACTCCGAAATCGGAGCCGTCTTCTAATTAAAGGGAATTTGAAGCCCCGAAGTTGGGGAGACAAAACCCGGCACCGGAATTTCTCCAATTACAAGCTGATAGTTGCACATTTTTGAGTTGATCCCCGTTTTCTTTTGCAATTGAGAAAGAGAAATAATTCGGAAGTCGTTATCGGCCGGAATTGACACCATTTGTGTCGATTTAGGTGTGAAACCAGATTCTTTTTGGTTAATGAAACTTGGATATAAAAATTGAAGTGTTATCACAGATGCCGGATCATAAACACTTGCTTATTCTTTGTGCCAAAAGTTAAAAAAAGAAACAAATCTCATTAATCAAACTGTTTTCTGAGTGTCGGATAACATGCCTCTAATCCATTTATCAGCCTCTCCCTTCCCAGACCGGGCTGATTTCTTCTTTTTCATTTAAATGCAAATCCGCGATAACTCCCTGAAGCAATAATAAATACTCGGGAGGCCGATCATCGAATATAAATTCTCTGGTGGCGGAGAAGCGACTCCCTGATGCTTTGGTTCTTGTTGGTGGGATATGTGCCTGGAATGATGGCCAGTCTTTTGTATGTGGACAGTGATTCGAAGTGTGTCAGAGAACTATGCCCTGGGGCAGATTACTTTCATTATTACAACTGCAACGGAAGCAGATGTGATTTCCATCTTCAGGTATCATATTTTTTAGAATTGCGATTAATTATTATTTCAGCCGTGGTTGTTTGCAGTGGTTGCATTAATTGTAATATCATTCCTACTGTCAGTTGTGTGCACATTACTGAACTGCATTTGTTGCACAGACAGACGCTGAAGCCATGCCAATCACAATCTGATGCGGGTCTCTTACCATCTTTGGAACACAAATTATTACGACAATCTTTCGGCATATGAAAATAATTAATTCTCGTTTATAATGCAATTTATTCTTTTGGAAATTAAATTAACAATGATGCAATTAATATTCGCCAGGACTGTGGTCAGTTAGAGGAGATCTGGGTTCGTTGTTATTGGGTGGAGGAGAAGAGCCGGGCTCCGGGCCTGATTCAGGGAGGTCCCCCTCATTGGTGAGGTCGGCGGTGGTGTCGATGCACTCGTCGAATATCTTCCGCAATTCCTCTTCGGTCTTGGTCTTTCCTCTCTCTTGAACAGGGGATTTGAGTTGATTATTTCCTTCTTCTTCGTCATCTGTGGCCCACAATTGATTGGCCAAGTCTTCATTGGTGTCATCGCCAGATCTTTGGCCCCCTCCATCAGGCTCGACGATCTCACTGATCTCTTCTTCAGCCGAACGATCCCCATTTGGAAGAACTGGACTCTTGGGGACATCGCTTTCGTCTTCGTAATTCCGAGGAGCATCAGAATCACTGTCAGAGATGTCGACTCCAGCCATTTCAGCCAGAGTCTGGTCCCCTTCCCCTTGACCCAGGTTCTCATTTTCATCCTGCATATCTTGCAGTTCCTGTAGATATTGTTCATCACTGGGATCAAGTTCAGGTTCCACGAATTCGACTCCCTCTTTCTGGGCTGCTTCTCGGAGTAGATCCATCTGCATTTTCCTGTCCATTAATCTCTGTTGTCGTTCCCTTTCTTCTCTGATTGCTCTCAACTCCTCTTCTTCTTCCTGTTGTTTCAAGGCCATCTCATCTTCAAATTCGGCAAATATCTCCCTCAGTTTGGCGTTAGGGTCCAGCTTGTGTTTAATAAATATTAACGCCTCTTCTTCGTCGTTATATACACCCATCTGTTTTCTCAACGCTTGCGCATCAAACACGGTGAATCCCTGTAAAAATACTCACATTTATTTATATTAACTTACCTGCAATAACCAAAAATTGTGACTAAAATCATCGAAAGGAATGAAATACTGTTCTTCGTTGAACTCTCCGTATTCTGGAACCGTGTATACATAAGTGTTTCCTTCGTCGGTGGAGACTCCAAGATGAAGACCATCCGGGGAGAAACAAAGCGAGCATACCTGCAAAAAGAAATTAATAAAATGATTGTGACCCTACAGCTTCATTCTCATACTGGAATCTGTGCACAACTTCATCTCGTCCCAATTCCCAGATACAAACAGTGCTGTCGTCAGAAGTCGTCGCAAATCTTTCGCCATTTGATGCCGAACATAAAGCAATTTTATTTACAGATCCTTCGTGTGCGCAATAAGAACGTATCTTACTCCAGGTCGTTTCCGGTCCCAAATCCTCCCTAAAGCAGATATAAATTCACCAGAACCATTTACCAAGAATATAATTGGACTGCTCCGCGTTCCTCGGCCACTAAAAGTTGGTTGTCGGCAACAAATGCAATATCAGTAACACAACTAAAGCAACATTCGGTGGTTGAGATCAAGGTGAGGGTGTCACCGTCGTGTAGATGGACGGAGCCTTTGTCATCGCCAAAGGCAATAATACGACCATTTGAACTCTAAACATGTAAAATAAACCCTTGGAATTACATACCACAGTTAAGCAGGTAGGAATCGCATTCTCCGCGGTATCAACCACCAAAATTGGGTCTCCGTGAACTGAATAATGACCTAATTTCCCGTCGGATGTACCTAAAAAATAAACCTTCCACATATTAAAGATAACACACCATATAAAATCAACTCTCGTTCAGACAGATAACGAGAGAATAAGGCATTTGGAACTTCTATCCTCTTTAAGCTCAGTTGCTCCGTTCCTTCATCGTACGCCATTTGATAGATCGATGAAAAAGCAGTTGTTGCCAGAATAGCTGAGAAAAGTTCTTTTGCAAATTAGTACTTACTCAACTCATCGCCCCATCCATTTACCGAAACATCAAGCAAGGGACCATCAAAAGGTTCAATCGTTTTATTAAGTCCCATTTGGAAACTGTTATCATAATCCAGTCTAAAAAATATCAAAAAACCATTTGGCGACCCACATTGCCCATACTTGCATGGCATCATGTTTAAATGTAAGCATACCATGAAGGCCAGTCCTTGTGTCCCGAAGAAAGGCGGTCTGGATTACATATTTCCTTTCAGATCCGGTAGCTAAAATTTAAATATAATTTACCAATTGGAAAATAAAACTAACCATTCGTTCCTTTAAATACAAGTTTATAACTCTTGTCTAGTATCATCCTGTCAAAACTTATGGTAGTCAGATTCCGTATTTTATACTTTTTTCTCTCAAATATTCTCAAGCTGCGGCCGACTCTCCACAAAGTTGGACATTTTATACCATCGCATTGTATAAAATAGAAAAATAAAGCAAAACATCGATGTCTGAAACAATGCTTGATTGAGCTTGAATACTAAATTAGAAAAACATTAAAGTGCGTCCGACACTTTTGGAGGTTTCGTAACAACTTTAAACGTGAGTCAGCTACTTTAAATTGCATTCTTACTCTCTCTTTCTACCCTTTTTGTGAGATTTGATTCGAGCTATGAGTTCTTCCGAAACATTATTAAATGAAGCTTTGGCCTATTCGCAACAAGGTCTAATTTATCTTGATGAGGGAAACCAGGTAAGATCCCTTTGGGGATTATATTTTTTCATTAGGATGGAGCCAAGGCCATGCTCTCAATGGCTGAAAAAATACTCTCGATGATTGATGACACAAGCAAAGAAAATGAACGATATGATACCACATTGAATGTTGTAAATGCACTAAAAGAAAAGATAGGCTCTGACGTCTCCCTCAAACATAATGTGTCATGCGACTTCACAGAAACGCTAGATGCCGAGCTTCTCTTTTGGCTACCTGATGGCGTTCAATTGGTGACAATTAAAGTATGCCATTAACATAAGTTATAGCGTTTTTTAAGGGCGAAGAGACGGCCGCAGCTCCCTCTCCCCCAACCTCGTTAGCCATCTTCAGAGTAGAGTCTCCGCAGAAACAAAGCAAGATGTACCCAGATCTTAATGATTCAGTTCCACAAGCCATAATCCAAATTGGTCCTTGGGCATACCCCCTTATTCCGGATCAAAGCATCATCATGAAGAATGAACTTGGAGTTTATGTTGTCCCAAACCCTACCGATGAACTTCCTGGTACGTTTCTACAGGGCGTCTCAAGAATTGTGCTCTTTTTCATGTTCTGCAGTTTGACCTGCATTTTTAACTACCCCTTTCATTCGAAGGCATACGCCGAGGACTCCGCCGAACCAATAAAAAAGTTACTTTTTCACACAAAACCGCCAAACTACAAAAACAATGCCTGAAAAAATCTTGGGTTTAACTGTAAAACAAAAAAATTTACTCGCCGATGAAAACGGGCAAAATTCTTGAGACACGGTGTAGAATTTTCGTCAATAAAAATTTAAGTCATCCGCTTACAGATATGTGTGTTGGAATTATTTTGCCACGGGATTTGAAGGAGAGTTTGGAAAGGGATCTCGTCAAAGTGTTACAAGTGTATGCTACTGTCAGAGAAAGCGACGTTGTAAGCCAAATGACGCAGGAAAAGAGGGAGCGGACTAGTGAAAAGATAGCGGCATTCCTTCAGCAAAGTGGAGAGAAATTCGCCCTCAAGGTTCAGAAAGTTTCGATCTCAGCGGGAACATTAATAAACGATCAAGGGGAGAAGATGAGAGCAGGGATGACTCCAACGGAACGCCCCGTCAACATGAACCCAGTCATAAAATACGGCGTCTTGGTCGGTTATAAGGGAAGCAAAGCCTTTGCCAAATTGACAAGAGCGATATGTGAGTGGTTAACAAAACTAAAAGGTTCCTTTACAGTGGACAAAGTCGGAGAAGTTGGAGTCAATATCGGCCGAAAAGTCGCCAGTGGAATGAAAGGTCACAATGAAAAGGGAGCTGGTCGAGTGTTGAGCGGCTCAGCAAATATTATCGGCGGAGGAATAGCTGGTGTCAGTGTGGCTTGGATTGCCCTTGAAGAGGCATCCAAACAATTGTTCAAGAACTTCTCGGATGAGACCGTTCAAGTCGTTAAAGTTAAGTATGGAGATCAGGCATCCACTACATCACACCAAGCGCTGCATGCGGTCGGGCACACTACCTTGAGTGCTTTTCAATTATGGGATTTGGGGCCAAGATCAGTGGCCGGACGAATGGTCAGACATGCTGGAATCCAGGTAGTCAGAGATCTCGGTTCCGAAACTGACGCTAACAAAAACTCTGCCATACTAAAAATAGGCACCTCCAAAAAAAATTGATTTCGCTTAATACATACTAATAAAATTTTATCTACTTAACAAAGTGGCCGAGGTTAAAAATCCAGCATGAGATGGCTGTTTGTCGGGAGAAGCGATGAGAGCTGAGGTCTTCTTGTCGTTATATTGAGTTGCACTTTCATTCGCCGATATAATCTCGTTCTGGGCATTTCTTCTGATTGTTTTCCTGGACGATTTACTTTTTTCCATATCCGAAATGTCGTATATTATTGGCGTCTCAGCCTAAACATATATCATATCCATGCATAATGTTCCCACCTTATACGTAGTTCCAATCAACTCAATTGTTCTGATGTTGATGAAATCGTACTCGCTCAGGGTTGCACACAAATCTTGGGCCTGTTCAACACATGGGGAAAAGCTGACCAACCGGGAAACTCGAGAGCGATCAAAGGCGGCGATCGCATTGGCAACAGCCAAACAAGGAGCCGGGAGATCGAGGAACACTGCTGAACACTGCCCTTGAACTTGGAATCCAGCCTGGGTAACATCTCGCAGAGCCGGTATGATACGATCCGAAAAGCCATGAGCTTTGGCCTCGGTCTCAATCTTCTTGACCTGAGGCTCTTCAATGTCATGAGTGTAGACCTTCCCGTGGGCTCCCACAGCAACGGCCAGACCATGAGTTAGACTTCCCGAACCTGTTCCCGATTCGCAGACAATGTCACCAGGAACAATGTCAAGCAGGTTTATGATCATAGAAACCTCCTGGCCGTACAGAATCTGCGTGTGCCTCTTTAACACCTTTGTCCATATCGCTGGGAAAGGCCGCAAAGCATAGATTGAACCTGCAGTCGCCGACAATTTTGTGCCATATCTAAAAACGAAGACAGTATTAAAAACGCGTTTTCTTACAAATCATAGTTTGGCCCGGATTGTTAAAATAGGTATCTCAGAATTAAGCGAAAATTGGTCAAACACCACTGGACATAGAATATTCGCTTTTTTGTTTTTACTTTTTTTTTTTAAATAAAAACAGAAGAATTTAAAAAATTTTTCAGAAAACCTTTTATCTCCCGCTTTATATGACGGATTACTGCAATTTTTTCTCAAAAAATATGTCCTAAACAAGAAAACGAAGCGATATTTTAGAGTGAATCGAGTTTAGGTGTATGTTTTCGATTATGTAGAACATCCTTGTATTAGGTTGATGCAAAAGGAATTGCGGATTTTTTAATTTATTCGTATTTTTTTATAGAATAGCTCAATTCAAAAATGGAAAAAGGTATATAGTAGTAAATTTTAAGAGGATTTTTTCTGTATATATGCTATTCTTATAAAGGTTATCAAGCGTTACCATAAGTTACCATGAAAGTAACCTAAATATGTTAGTATATTTTAAACCAATTTTTTTACATATTTTTTTGCGGCTTTATCCATTTTTGAAAATATTTTGATAAAATACACTATATTCTATCAAAAAACAAAAAAAAACCCATTTTCGGCAAAGCGTTAAAACGCTATCCCAAAAATTCAATTTCAGCAAATTTTACAAATTGTGTCATATCTTTTTTTTAATAAGTCCAAAATAAAAAATTCTTTTTGCTTTCGATTAGTAACAACATTTTTAAGATTTTTGTGACAAAAAACATCAAAATCAAAAAATTTATTTTTTTGACATTTTTTTACCAAAAAATAAAATTCAAGATTTTGATGTCTTTTTTTCACGAAAGCCTTAAAAATGTTGTTACTAATCGAAAGCAAAAAGAATTTTTTATTTTGGACTTATTAAAAAAAAGATATGACACAATTTGTAAAATTTGCTGAAATTGAATTTTTGGGATAGCGTTTTAACGCTTTGCCAAAAATGGGGTTTTTTTTTGTTTTTTGATAGAATATAGTGTATTTTATCAAAATATTTTCAAAAATGGATAAAGCCGCAAAAAAATATGTAAAAAAATTGGTTTAAAATATACTAACATATTTAGGTTACTTTCATGGTAACTTATGGTAACGTTTGATAACCTTTATAAGAATAGCATATATACAGAAAAAATCCTCTTAAAATTTACTACTATATACCTTTTTCCATTTTTGAATTGAGCTATTCTATAAAAAAATACGAATAAATTAAAAAATCCGCAATTCCTTTTGCATCAACCTAATAATTATGACCAAAAACTAAAAATCACATCTAAGCCTAGAGGCAACAAACCATTTAGTGTCACCCATTTTTAAAACCTTCAAAACAACCCGTAATAACACTAAAAGAAAAGGAACTCAACAGAAGATAAAAATTACCGTTTTCCAATTAAAAACTCGTGTCTCAATGCCCCGGACTTCATGTTAATAGCCATTCCTCTCTTCACCGTTACAGCCACAATGTTATCAGGATCGCAGTAGATTAATACTTCGTCTCCTTCCTTGATGAAGTCATTATCGTTTACAAAATTTTGTACTAAAATTAAATATAGGACAATATAATTGCAATTTCATACCTAATAAATTACTGCGGATACGGACACTCATAATTAATTGAACTGAACTCCACCTTTGACCCCACCAATGTCAATCAAAACGGCTTTTCCTTTCTGTTCTAGAACAGTCAAAGCCTTTACAAGAACGTCTTGGTCGAGATTGTAGAAGGCTGTAAGTAAAATAAGTTGCGTAAATTTCTAAAAATTTCAAAGCTATCATAAAACAAATTACATTCGTTTCTGTTGCTTTCGTCCTCCACAATATCCGCAAAGGTGAGGACAGTACCAACTAATCCGCTGGACACACCCCAATCGTGTAAAAGTTGAGCCCACTCGTCTACTCTCCGCCAAAAAATGTGACAACGCTTTTTAGAAGAGTCTGTCCACTCAATGTGCTCTAAAGAATAATACTAGGCACAGAAAAAAATTACTTTGTTTTTCCAAATAGTCGAACACTGCCTGGATACCCTCCTCGTCGAGATTCCCTAAACTTTAAAATAGTTATACCAGTTACTCACGGCTCAGTTTAAGATTGCAAAAGAGTTCGCTTCTTCTGTATTCTACAACGTCGATGATAAAGATCTTGTTGAACTGACAATAATCAATTACTAACTGCCCCCAAGCCTGCAGTTGCTTCTCCCTGGTCAACAAGTTCGGTTGGATTCTAAATAAAAACATCAGAAAGCGATATAAAATTAATGGAATCATACAAGCACAACATTTAAAACTCACGTAAAAAAAGGAGGAAAATCGAAATGCCACGGCCACTGAAAACTCATATTTCACCTTCAATAGCCCATAACCTTAAAAATTAACGAGCGTTAGATATGAAAATTTGGATACATAACGTAAAAATTGTAACTAGCAATAAACCATACTACCACATTCATTATTATAGAAACCTCTTTTACAAAACAATTCTAAAGTCCTATCGGAAAAAAAATAATAATTATTTGATGTATCAGAACGCCACGAAACTCCTGATATTTGGCTCGGTCTTGCAGCGGAGGACGTGAATACGATAGAATTCTACGTTCGGTTTAGGCAGTTGGTGAAAATGAATTGAAAAATATTCTTTTTTGTTGAGTTTTAGCTCAACAAATGCTTCTGTACTTACGAGGGTTTACATTATTTTTCGTGTTTGATTTACGGCGACTTTAATTATTAATTTATTCTCCTTATTTTTAGTGGGTACGATGAAACTCAACATTGCTTACCCGGCCACCGGGTGTCAGAAATTGTATGAAGTTGACGACGAGAAGAAGCTCAGAATCTTTTACGAAAAGCGAATGGCACAAGAAGTCGAAGCTGATGCCCTCGGAGATGAGTGGAAGGTAAGATATATTCCATGCTTAGTTTTATTGTGAATTTAAGGGTTACATTCTTCGGATCACCGGTGGTAACGATAAACAAGGTTTCCCCATGAAGCAGGGTGTACTGACCAACGGCCGCGTTCGTCTCCTTCTCTCCAAGGGTCACTCTTGTTACCGTCAACGAAGAAAGGGAGAGCGAAAAAGAAAGTCTGTCAGAGGCTGTATTGTCGATGCCGCTCTTTCCGCTTTGTCTCTCATCATTGTCAAGAAGGGTAAGTTAAACTATATTACGGATTTGTGGTCTTTAGAAATGCAATTTATAGAGTTGGGTTACCTTCTCTTTATTGTTTTGCTATTTGCGATGCATTTTTGTTTTTAGGAGATGGCGAAATCGAAGGTCTTACGGACAAGACTATCGCTCGTGCCTGTGGTCCAAAGCGTGCCACCAAGATCCGTCGTCTGTTTAACCTGACTAAGGAAGATGATGTCCGAAAATACGTTCTGCGCAGAACCATCCAACCCAAAGAAGAAGGAAAGAAGGTTCACACCAAGGCCCCGAAAATTCAGAGACTTGTAACTCCCGCTCGTCTTCAACGAAAGAGAAGAATCGCCGCCCAGAAGGTTAAGAGACGCATCAAGAACCGCGAGGAAGCCGCTAACTACCAAAAGTTGTTGGCCAAGTACGCCAAGGAACGATTGGCTGAGAAGGCCGCTCGCCGTCGTTCATCAGCTTCTGCTTCCAAATCGGAAAGCAAGCACTCCGTGTCCAAGAAATAATACTATGATGTTAAGACTTTGTTTGTTGTTTCCATAAACATTTGTTTGAATTGTTGTGGAGTTGAAAGAAAAAGCCAAAGGCTTTTGGAATTCTAGTAATATCAGTCTGTCGGAAAAATAACGGCGGGTCGTCGCGCCTCGGAATCGCCCATCATCGCTTTGCGACTGCAAGCCGCGACTTGGGATTTGGTGCGCGATAGCGGCGAGGCGAGACATTTTGCTGCGACGACCCGCCGCACAGCGTTCTGTACTTTTTTGGAATGATTCCGACACCGATTTTTTCGAATTTTTCTAAAATATCCCGCATATACGCGGGTGTCGCGAGGGAATACTGTACGATTGACGTGTAAAATTTGCAGTGCTTATAGAGTAAAGAGAGATCTTTCCAACGACACAATTTACGTAAATTAATATGGAAAAAGAAATTTGTAATCAACGCTGAAAAATGACCGACTTTGGATTTTCGGCGCTAAAGATTGCCCTTAGGCAGATCTTTTAGAAGAAGTGGATGGTACCACCTTATGCGGAATTTAATTCTCTACAACATATCCAAAAACTACAAAATTTTACTGCTTTTCCGTCGAATTATGCCTCAAAAATGCAATTTTTGCACTAGTTTTACCAATATTTTTTAAATATTTGCACTTTAAGGGCATTATTACAAAAACAGAGTCGTACATATTGAAGCTTGCATGGTAGCTGGGGATACTGTTTAATTTTACCCTGTCATCTTTCTCCATCTTCAAGAACAACGGAGCTAAAGTTTGGTGCTTGGACCCAGCATAAAACTGCCCTAAGGGCGAATTTCAAAAATGCGATAGTGCCACTGAACATAGAATTTTTTGTACTACAGGTACGCCAAATTTGAGGAAAAAAATCAACGTTGGGAGTTTCCGGAATAGTTTGAAACATCGGAGCCTCATGAACACATTTACGCGTTCATGATGTTGCATGGATTTCTTGGAGCAGTCACAGAAGAAGGAATTGAATCATTGCCTTTTGAGCATGGCTGTTTGAACGCTTATTATACGTTAAGTGGCACTATCGCATTTTTGAAATTCGCCCTTAGGGCATTTTTATGCTGGGTCCAAACACCAAACTTTAGCTCCATTGTTCTTGAAGATGGAGAAAGATGACAGGGTAAAATTAAACAGTATGCTCAGCTACCATTATAGCTTCAATATGTACGACTCTGTTTTTGTAATAATGCCCTTAAAGTGCAAATATTTAAAAAATATTGGTAAAACTAGTGCAAAAATTGCATTTTTGAGGCATAATTCGACGGAAAAGCAGTAAAATTTTGAGTTTTTTGGATATGTTGTAGAGAATTAAATTCCGCATAAGGTGGTACCATCCAATTCTTCTAAAAGATCTGCCTAAGGGCAATCTTTAGCGCCGAAAATCCAAAGTCGGTCATTTTTCAGCGTTGATTACAAATTTCTTTTTCCATATTAATTTACGTAAGTTGTATCGTTGGAAAGATCTCTCTTTACTCTATAAGCACTGCAAATTTTACACGTCAATCATACAGTATTCCCTCGCGACACCCGCGTAAATGCGGGCTATTTTAGAAAAATTCGAAAAAATCGGTGTCGGAATCATTCCAATAAAGTACAGAACGCTGTGCGCCGTTTTTTTCGCGACAGACTGATAGAGTAGGGATGGATAGAAATTTTGTCGCTGTATTGAAATAGTCATAGAAGTTCTTTTATTTTTGCTGTCGGGTCGAATTGCGGTGCAAAAATGGGTTAGAAAACTCCAGCCATTTTTCAAAGTCTGCACTGCTTTTTCCCAAAATTTCCGCATCAGGACATTTCCGGAATTTGGACACTTCCGGAATGGCGGAATAGTGACACTTCCGGAATGGCGGAACAGTGACACTTCCGGAACCGGGGAAAAATCAAAGAAGAGGCTTAGACCTGCCATCTGAACCATCTGACTGGATTTATTGTTATTAATCTCAAAAATTTTGTTATTTTTTTTCTGATTGTTACTTTTTTCTTAAGTAGTAGTGTTAAAAAGTAATTTTTTGGAATGTTTCCAAAAATACTGGATTTAGGGGTTTTCGAGGGTGCTGATTTCGAAAATCATGTTAGCTTTCCTCTTCATAGTACTATCTGGTACTATACAGTACGAAGTGAAAATATGGCTTTCGGCGTTAATGGTGTTGTTTTGATGCTTGGTACTCCTCAAAAACACGTTTTAAATAATTGGTACTGTTTAGTACTGTCTGGTACTGTGTAGTACAAGGTAAAAATTTGGCCTTTAGGCGTTAGTGGTGTTGTTCTGTTCCTTAGTACTCCTATTTTCACCTTTTACTACATAGTACCAGACAGTACTAAACAGTACCAATTATTTAAAACGTGTTTTTGAGGAGTACCAAGCATCAAAACAACACCATTAACGCCAAAAGCCATATTTTCACTTCGTACTGTATAGTACCAGATAGTACTATGAAGAGGAAAGCTAACATGATTTTCGAAATCAGCACCCTCGAAAACCCCTAAATCCAGTATTTTTGGAAAAATCGCAAAAAATTACTTTTTAACACTACTACTTAAGAAAAAAGTAACAATCAGAAAAAAAAATAACAAAATTTTTGAGATTAATAACAATAAATCCAGTCAGATGGTTCAGACGGGAGGTCTAAGCCTCTTCTTTGATTTTTCCCCGGTTCCGGAAGTGTCACTGTTCCGCCATTCCGGAAGTGTCACTACTAGTCGCGACATAAAGTCCGTAGAATTTTTCGCGGCCCCCAAATTCCGTCGCGCTCCGAAATGTTGATTTGTCGCTGCGAAAAACGGGAATCGCGCGCGACAATAAGGCAAAATCAACAAAATTGCACAGTGCAAAATGTGTTTTCGGGTGAATGCACAGTGCAAAATGCTTTTTCGGGATTATGCACAGTGCAGAAAATTCTACGGACTTTATGTCGCGACTAGTATTCCGCCATTCCGGAAGTGTCCAAATTCCGGAAATGTCGTGGCGCCAAAATTTCGAGCTTTTTTGGCAATGAATTTTAAAATCGGCTTCATGGAAAGGGCTGCAGCGCTGAAGTTCGACCCAACAGCACAAGTAAAAGTCGAGAACTTCGTTTCTATGTGCAAATGTCGGATTCTATTTTTATTTGGTCGACAACCTCGAAATTGGGAGGTTCTTCGAAATTTTTACCAGTTGAATTTCTTCGAAATTTGACCCGCTTCTAACAATAACGAAAAATAGAAAGTTGAACAATCACGATAAATTTGGCATTTCATTTTTATACTGGAAAAATGAAAAGAATGTGTACATACTGATGCAGATAAACGTAATCTTGATACCGGAATGTCATGCCTATTAATTTAAAATCTGCTAGCTAACATACTCCTTCGTTACTCGAGCGCACTAACCACAACCTTCCTCGCAAATGACGAGGGAAGTCGTTCAAATCGCATATGACTTCAGCTTATATGTATTTTTCGGCCTGGGCCCTGGTTTTCGATAAAATCGACCATAATGAAAACGCTCAAAAGATCCTTTTGTCCGGGATGAGTTCGAGTCCCGCTGGGGCAAACCCATGTCCAAACTTGGGTTTGCCACTTACGTTCGCCCCCTGCCATTCAATACTTGTCTCATAGCTCAACACATTCGAACATGCAATTAATACTTTCAGTTAGGATTTATTATAACACCAAAACAAATGTTTAACAAGGAACAAAATATTTCGCCAAATTTACTTCTTCTTTCCACCAGTAGCCTTCTGAGCCGACTTGGTAACTTTACCGCCACCCTCGGACTTGTCGACTGCCTTGATGACACCAACGGCAACGGTTTGACGCATGTCACGGACGGCGAAACGACCAAGAGGAGCATAGTCGGTGAAGGCTTCAACACACATAGGCTTGGTAGGGATGAGCTCCACAATACCGGCATCCCCGGACTTCAAGGATTTTGGGTTGTCTTCGACCTTCTTTCCGGAACGACGGTCAACCTTCTCCTTGAGCTCAGCGAACTTGCAAGCAATATGGGCGGTGTGACAATCCAAAACGGGCGTGTATCCAGCGGCGATCTGTCCAGGGTGGTTCATGATGATAACCTGAGCGGTGAAAGAGCGAGCTTCCTTAGCGGGATCATTCTTGGAGTCAGAAGCAACGGAACCACGACGGATGTCCTTGACGGAGATGTTCTTTACGTTGAAACCAACGTTGTCACCAGGGACGGCTTCAGCCAAAGATTCGTGATGCATTTCAACGGACTTCACCTCAGTGGTAACTCCTTGTGGGGCGAAAGTAACGACCATACCGGGCTTGATGACACCGGTTTCGACACGACCGACTGGAACTGTTCCGATACCTAAAACACAGTAAAACTCTTTAAACTATAATACACACCTCCAATCTTGTACACGTCTTGGAGAGGCAGACGGAGAGGTCTGTCGGTGGGACGGCTTGGTGGGATAATAGCGTCAAGAGCCTCAAGAAGAGTTTTTCCAGAAGCGTTTCCTTCCTTGCGCTCAACAGCCCATCCCTTGAACCAAGGCATGTTGGCAGAAGCTTCCAACATGTTGTCCCCATTGAATCCAGAGATTGGAACGAAGGCAACAGCCTTTGGGTTATATCCGATCTTCTTGATGAAGTTGGAGACTTCGTTGACCACTTCGGTGTAACGGGCCTCAGAGAAAGGTGGTTCAGTGGAGTCCATTTTGTTGCAAGCAACGATGAGCTGCTTCACACCCAAGGTTTGAGCCAAGAGGGCGTGCTCACGAGTCTGGCCGTTTTTGGAGATACCAGCTTCAAATTCACCAGTACCGCAAGCAACGACCAAGACAGCACAATCAGCCTGAGAAGTACCTAAAAATTGATAAATTAGAAAACCTCCGAACAAAATTACCAGTGATCATGTTCTTGATAAAATCACGATGGCCAGGGGCATCGATGATGGTCACGTAGTACCTGGAAGTCTCGAACTTCCACAGAGCGATATCGATGGTAATACCACGTTCACGCTCAGCCTTCAGCTTGTCCAACACCCAGGCGTACTTGAAGGAACCTTTTCCCATTTCTTGGGCTTCCTTCTCGAACTTCTCGATGGTACGCTTGTCGATTCCACCACACTTGTAGATCAAGTGACCAGTAGTCGTCGATTTTCCAGAATCGACGTGGCCGATAACGACAATGTTGATGTGGACCTTTTCCTTACCCATGGCGGTAGTTGTAGTGCAACTTGTGTTTGCCTGAAAACCAAAAAGATGAACGTGTAATAGAAAAGAAGAGCGGTAAAAGTAGGCACGAATACAACGCGACTGAACATAACTATGGCACACCTCAAATAAAAAGCGAAAGCGCAGCTTTCCCTAATGCGAAGAAATGATTGAGGCACAAACCCACTCTCACTCCACATCAACAATTATCGTACCTTATTTGTTTTCGTGGTAAGACCAGTTTTCGCGTTTGAGTCCCTTTGAGAAGGCTGCGAATCATTTTATTTTTCAAACTGAGATTATTTTGGTTAGTTTGAACTTCCCGGAATCGTTCAAAAAAATGGTTGCGAACGAAAAATTTTTGGCGAGTCTATCTCAAAATTTTCTCGTCGTTGGGCTTTTCTTTCTCAAACTGCATTTTATTCAGTTTTTCTTCATATAATTTTCATGATCCCATCCATTGCAATTCTTATTATGGACCGATGTTGTGGCACAAGAAAGGGTCGTTGGAATTTAAGAAGGAATTTGTTTTTACTGAGACTTTGTATTAAAAAAGTTCGTTTTTTGCGTTTGGTTGCGCACCGGATACACGAAGATGAAATTCCACGGACAACGTAATGTCAAATCAAGGAAGCCGTCTGAGGGAGAGACGTGAAAGAAATAATTGCAGAAATCGGAGCCGCCCCCTCCGCTCTCTTTTAAAACTCGCCACATGTTTTTGCTCTAAAGGTGCTCCGAAGGCCGGGAGCAGCAGCAGTGGCTGAGAAAGTCGTGGTATGTCTGGCAGACAGAACAAACTTCATGCGAAGTAGTCGTTTGGTTTCCTTTTGTTCGAGAGGGAGTCTTCGGACATATTTTGGCTGATTCATTATTATTTACAAGACCTGTTCATTTACGGCGTCAGAAAAGCGGCCTCTTTTAAGGACCTAAGGGCATAAAGGGTGAACTCTCGAATGCGTGGAAACCGGTTCCATTTTTTGCGCGAGCGGAAGAAAGGTTGCGGGAAAAGCGGAGCGCTTAGAGGCCTTGTGATTACTTCAGTGCGTCTCTCACCCAGCGGTCTCGTTTTTTCGTATACTCAGCGGTTTTTTATCTTCTTTTTCTTTTTTTCGTTCGACTGTTGACGGCTGTCATTTCGGAGTTTTGTTCAGCTTATTTTTGAGCAATTAATGTTGCGTTAGTCCAAAGCGGTATACTTTTAATTTGCATTTCCAGCGTCGTTCGACGACATCTACTTGGCCATCGTCAGGGCTGTCTTTTAACTGATTTTTTTATGTCGGCCGATGTCCCTGATTTCTAAGACCGAGTCCTCAGACCATCCTTGTTTTATCAATTTTCGATGCCGAAACTTCTTATAAAGCTCTGTTGTTGTCTTAGGCCCCAGCAATGCAAAAGTAAGGTTTATTTGACCTATTTAGGTATTTTTTTATTATTATTCTCATTTCAGAGGTGAACTCGGAGTGTGAAAGACAGCCAAACGTTCAAAATGGGTCAAGTGGCACGGTGACCACTCCCACATCCATCATAACCCAAGCTACGAAGGAAGTTGACACATTTCCTGGTCCTATTATCAAGAAAACACAAAGTTTGGATGATTCCACCCAGAATAACAATGCCGGTATTGTTCAGGCTAATGGACAAAGCAATGACAATGTCCTTGTGGCTAGCAATCGAATCCAAAGGCCGCCGGTTAATCAAGTATGTTGATTTTGAATTTTTTTCTATTTTTGTTTAGATTACGTTACTCCCTCCGCTGCATCCATTAGAGTCCAAAAAGAAGTGTCTGATTGTTGATCTGGACGAAACCCTGGTTCATTCCTCTTTTAAGCCCGTAAAGAATGCCGACTTTGTGATTCCGGTAGAGATTGACAATGTGGTTCATCAAGTGCATGTTCTCAAAAGACCTCATACCGATACCTTCTTAGAACGTATCGGGGAATTATTCGAGTGTGTTCTTTTCACAGCTAGTCTTGACATGTATGCCGACCCTGTGGCTAATTTATTGGATCGAAAGGGTGTCTTCAAAGCGAGGCTATTCCGAGAAGCTTGTGTTTTCTTTGCCGGGAATTATGTTAAAGATCTAACACGGCTTGGAAGAGATCTGGATAAAGTCATTATCGTTGATAATTCTCCAATCAGTTATGCCTTTCATCCAGAGAATGCAGTAAGTTTTCCATTATTAAGTTATAGTCCCTTTCTTTATGGTGAAAAACGTATCCTAATGAGTTATAGAACGCAAATGAAATGCATATTGCTTGTTTAAGATGAATTTGCTTGAATTTGGCCCACTTTCGTCATCTCATTTTTTTGGACAATTTAGATTTTTTGCCACATGATCCGATTCGGGATTGTAGAATTTTTTTCGTTTACACTATTATTTTAACTCTAGATTGCGGTAAGAACCTGGTTTGACGATCCGAACGACACGGAGCTGCTGGACATGATACCCTTGCTCGAACAGCTGGCCCACACTGATGATATCTATGGTGTTCTTCGCAGTTCTTTCATGGGTGACAACTTTGCCAGAAACTACGAGTAACATCCAATATTGGCCTTTAAATTTGATTTGTACATATGACAAACGACCGAGTGCCTTACTTCAGCTCTTCTAACCCTCCATGTATACACATCCCAGTGCCTCTAATTGCTCAAAATCTTATAGTTTTCAGTCTTGGGATAATCGACAAGCTAGTCTCCAAACTTACCCGTTGTTAATGTCGTCGTTCTGGTCACCCTTTGTTATATTGTTTCTAAATCCCCATCTTTCCGAAGCTGTTATGAGCTCTTGTTTATTGTAAGGCCTAATTTTTTGTCTCTATTTCCTGATCCCGAGTAAGTATAACGAGTCTCCATGCCGTTTGAAAAATTGAGTGAATATTTATATCGTAAAGTTTTTTGTTTATATAAATCTGAATTCTAATTAGCTAGAGTTATTTTAATAGAAAGTTTATGCCGCAATATCGAGGAGTAACCTCAGTAACCCACTTTATTAGTGTGCAAAAGGAATTCGGAAATGAATAATAACAATCGTCTTTGTTAGAAGGCGTGCCTAGTCCTGAGATCCTCCAGTTTTCGAAGTATAAAAGCTGCCGGTCTGTCGAAGGCATGTGCGATTTCCCGTTGTTTCTCTGCACACAACATGCTAAATTGTTCACAAAGATCACCATCCACAACTGATTTTACAGGTGCATAATACGATCGATATGCCAGATGATCTCGGCCACACAATGGCGGGAACTCGACTCTCATATGCATTTCGATCGTTTGGAAGAATTCAAATTCCTAAAGAATCCCTTTCTTTGACTCGTGAATGACACTTACATCTCTTGAGAGAAAAGGCACAAGCATCCCCACACCTCCTCCAATTGTTGTATACAGCAATGCATCGTCAGCTCCAGGCACAAGACTGGTCTTCTGAAGTGTAGTGACCATGTCACCCACATAAAAGTTGGCCAAATATTCAACCTTCTGAGAGGCGCCGTTAAGATTTCCTCGATCCCAAAGCGCTTTTACACCAGTTGGATCTTCTTGTACTTCTTCGATTACATCCTTCGGCAATCTCACCTGAAAGCGTTAATTAACCAAACCTCATAAATAGCAACTTACAATTGCAATGCTTCCAAACTTATCTGCAATGGCTACTGTATCGTAATCAAGGATACAAGTAGAAGTTACATAACGCGGCACCGTTTCATCCGCAAAGACCACCAGTTGATTATCCTATAAATTAACGTATATTTCTTTGAAGAATTAGACATACATGTTTTTTGTAACGAAGAAAGTGAATGGATTCATTGACATCGCTGACCACAATCCGTTGTCCCATCGACTGAATGTCCACGACCAAATTGGGTATTTGCTGAAAGCATCAGCATTAATGGACACCTACTTTAGACTTTCACCGATATCGAGGATAACCCCGTCATGGGAGCATGTTGTTTGTGGTTATAGATGTAATAAAGAGTTGTTTAATAGTGTTTTCTCACGCAGTCTGAATACTATTTATACAAACAGCGCCAAGAGATAAAATCGCATCAACCAAGGCCGTCGACTTTCCGTTTAAAATTTATTCCTTTTCCGGCCTTCTTCTTAGAAGCCTCTGATTTCGATAACCTCGTTTTCTGGACGACAGTCAAAAGAAAGAATCAGAGTAACGAGATTACAATGAGTGAGATCGCACCCTGACCTCGTATTTACATTCGTTTCTGTGAACGTTTTTTAAGGCTCTTCATGTTCGCTCTTTCCACAAAATACGTTTCACATTCTAGATTTTGTTTTAGGTTATTAACGATATTAAAACTCAACGTATCGTCTGTGCAATTTTATGAATTTCGATAGTATTCCTCTTTCTACTCACTGACAAAGGATTTGGTATCGACACTATACAAAAGTTTACAGCATCGGATGTATAATGTAACTTTCTTCTAAAACGCAACTTTTTGAAAAATTTCTAGTCCATGACCGGGTAAAGCAAAAGAGATGGGTGCACCATTGGCATAAAGAGTAGTCCTCGTAGTATTCGTACAATTTTTTGTTTGTGCCCTTAGGGGCACAATGTAGTCCCTTTAAAAATTGAAAGAGGAAATGTCAAAAAAAAAAACGTGCCAAAAAATCATGCTTTTTCGCAAAAAAGTTGGTCTTTAGGTATAAGTCGGTAAAGGTTTACTGCCTTGTTTTTCTACAGGTACTATGCAGTACAGTAGTGTTACTATCAATTCCGCCGCGCGCACGTATGCATTGTGCGGGCCGAAAATTGCACTGTGCATTTGCGATTAGCGTACTAGTCTTTCCTTTTCTCGCGTAGACTTTTTGTCGCGAGTTCATTGTATCAGCCTGTCGGGAAAATAACGGCGGATCGTCGCGCCTCGGAATCGCCCATCATCACTTTGCGACTGCAAGCCGCGGCTGGGGATTTGGTGGGCGATAGCGGCGAGGCGAGACATTTTGCTGCGACGATCCGCCGTTATTTTCCCGACTATTTTTTCACGAAATCGATTTTTCCGGAATTTTTGGATTTTCCCTCATGGTATTTCAGTTCTGTTGAGTTTTGTGGCAAAGATATATGTTTGTATAGAGTTCGAAGTGCTCTCATTATTCATACCAGCGAAGACGACATAGTAACGAAAAGACAGCCTTCCCAAGAGAACATTAGTTTTGTTTTTATATAAAGTATAGTATTCGCCCAATACCGTACCGCTGGAATCTAAAAAAACCCATCAAAAATAAAATCAATGTAGGGTTTGTCATCGAATTTCGTTCACAAAATGGCACAGAATTTTGTAAAGTTCTCTGGGGAGTGTGGCTAGTTCGACACGTCTTTAACACCAATTAAACCTGCTGGCTTTATCCAATTTTTAAACGTCCCAATTTTCCGCATATTAATTCTGAATGATAAAGTGGGTTTTTATGTGTTCAGGAATTCGGCCTGTTCACGCTCGAAGCAGTTTAAGTGAACCTACTAAGGCCTTTGTGTAACTTCCTTAACCACTACATCTCTCAATTTACCCTCCTCTACTTGTGCTGCCATTAACTCGACAAAACATGGGCATCCTCTTGACATCTGTCAATCAAACAAACAAGTTCCATTTTTGTATGATCCTTTCTCCTTACGGCCTCTCCTTACAAATCGTGCAACGGGAACGTAAACATCATAACACTACACAGGTGAAATGTAAAGTAATTTGTCAAGCAGAACAAAACCGCCACTCCGTTTATATATGCCTTTGTCGGGAGTAACATTTAAACCTAAACTGTCTTGGCAGTATTCCTCTGAATTGCGCAAAAAGTTCTAAAACGAGCCTTTCAAATGAGAGCGGTATTCTGTCAAGCACTTCTGGACATGCAATTTTTATTCTCTTTCCTAACTTAGCGCAAAGATAGAAGACGTAGTAACATAGAGACGGGGGCTTTCAAAAACCAAGCTGTTTCTGGGTAAAAGCGTTTAAATTATTTATTATGGTATGGCATTCTTGCCGGTCTTTCGCATGAAAATTTTGATAGAAAAAGGGCATTCCAAATCCTGTTTCTGAAAAGTTGTCCATTGCTTTTTAAAAAGGAGATCTGTGACGCATTTGGTGTACACGAAACTCTTCAAAGATGATCTACTGATTTGGCAGAACATCTCAGAGAAACGGAAGACTGAAATAATTTCCCGTTTCCTTTTTAGCATATGGGGATGTGGAATAAAACGCGTCCACACTCCTCCGCTCCATTGAATACGCCCGCAGGAGGCCCAGCAGCCGGGCGGACCTCGGCGCCGCGCCGAGGCTCCACTTTCTTCGGGCAAAGAGCCTGCGGCCCTAATGCCAATGTCCACATGTCGGCTCACTCTCTCCATCTTTATGGCTGAACGACAGGCATCTCTATCCGTTCTCGTATTCCTTGTAGAACTACAAAAAGAAAGGGCCAGCAAGCAATCTTTTTTTTCCATTCGCGATTTAAATTAGTCCGGGCATCAATTAGTACCCGGAGGGTAACCAATACCTTGAAAAACGACAATTAATGTTAGTTTTTATTGTTACAGGAGCGCGTAAACCGACCCCGTTCCAGTTGGGCTCTTTTTTCGCTTCCATTTTCATGGCGCGGCCGAGAAATTTTAACGTTGACATGATAATCATATTTGGTTGATATCAGCGTGAAGCGAAGCAAACTTAAGTTGGTTCTCTTCAGTCGAGCTTTATTTATCCATACGTCCGGAAAGAGATCTACTTCTCATGTTTGTTAAAAGACGATTTTGGTCATTAGCCGCATTGTTTTGACAAAGATAAATTACTATAGTTATGTTTCATTGCATAATAAATAACCGTGTTAAAACTTGTCGCGAGTTAATCTCCAAACAATGTTATGACAATTCGGAAGGTTTATCGCCATCTGGCCGGACGGGAATAGGTATGTGTTGAATTGTTCAGAAAAAAGCCCAGGAGAACTCTTGGGCAACAATAGAATTCCGGGATCAGCATGTCCGAATATGAAAGGGCCGCCGGAAGTTTTCGGGGAAATAATCCATCGCTGCCGCGTAGCCCGAGACAAAAGTGTCGCTTTCCCTCCTCCCTGGAAAACCAGCAGGTGACAGGGTGCCGGCGTGAAACGCCGGTCCGACGGGTACTCAGCTCAAGCCAAAACGTTTGGCCCGTTCTTTTCTTAGCCAGCAGCAAGAAACGCTTCCTGAGGCCGCCTCTCGTTCCTTTTATATTATCTCCCCTTCGGTCTTGAATCACTAGGCTACCTACCGGACGAACGTATCGATCTTATTTATGACCGCGATTAATTAAAACTACTCGTGTGGCAGTAAACAAATCCTTCTTTAGATTGATTCGCCAATGCCACCAAACTCAGTAGTGGACCGGGGCTACTACAAGCTCTGAACCGAATGGCTCTATCAGGAGGAGCCCAAGGCGAAATGGAATCGATCGAAACTGGAAACTGGACGCGAAAAACGTTATTCACACATTCACCTTACGATGATGATATATGCACGTTTAAAAAATGGGCAGAACAACCCAACCAGCCGGGATTCTTTCGTATCTTCACAATCATCTCCGTTCTTACCATATTGGTGGTCCTGGTGGTTTTAGGAAACGCGTTAGTAATCGCTGCAGTTGTACTACGACGAAGACTTCGATCCGCAACAGGACTATTAATACTATCCTTGGCGGTGGCGGATCTTATGGTAGGGTGAAAAAAATTTCCAGATAAAACTTTACAGGTGGGTCTTGTGATTCTTCCCTTCAGCATCGCCAACGAAGTTCTGCATAGCTATTGGATATTCGGCGATACATGGTGCACGATGTGGCTTACCATGGATATTTGGATGTGCACGGCATCCATCTACAATCTCGTTGCCATCTCAATCGACAGATATATTGCCATCATCAAGCCTTTGAATTATCCAATGCTAATTACAAAGTTCCGCGCCAGATGCATAGTGGCGATTGTTTGGATAGGATCTTTCATTATATGTTCTCCCAGCTTTCTTCTGGCCTCTTCCGAGAAGAAAGCAGCAGGAAAAGATAGCTGCAGATGTACTCCGGCAAACTCAGGGATGGCCTATATAGTATTCAGTGCATCTTCCAGCTTCTACATTCCAATGATAGTGGTAATATTCGTGTATGTAAGGATATATATAGCAGCCTGTGCGGCGACAAAAAGTGTTTACTCGGGAATGATGCAGGTACGGCCCGTAAACATTTCTGCCAAAGCTTAATTGGGTCTCTTCAGGTAACAGCCACGGCAAACAAGAATCCGAAGAACCTTCTCATGCAGAATCCATCAGCTTTATCCCGTGGCGAAAATGCCCCCATTCTCCGAATCCATCGCGGTTCAACTATAAAGACTCCGAAAACATATTCCGACATCAGGCAAGTCAAAAAAAAAAACCATTCTTGACGCCATTATTCAGGTATTCCGCATCCACTCAAAAACCCTTATTATGCAGTACACCCCCATGTGGGCATCCGCCCGGATACAACAACAATATTAATGGAAGTACTCCTAGCTTGCAATTATCTAAAGCCAGCCCAATTCCAAAACGAGGAAGCCATGAAGAATTGACATCAGACAAGTGTCGAAGCGCATGTTCCACACCTACCATCACTGCCAAGGATAATAAAATTTGTGATACAAAGTCGGTGGCTAATCTGTGCTTTGACAACAGGTTTGTCTAAGAATTTAGATCAACCCTCACCGTATTTTAGACCGAAACCGGAAGTCCATATCGAGAGGGATGTCCATTCAATGCCTGCGGACAGTGGCGAAGATCACGCAAACGTTGGTATTGTAATCAACGGGGCCAATAAAGCAAAATCACTTAAGGAAACAAATGGGAATACTCCCACAAAACCGAAGAAACGTACAAATTACGGCGTAAATATGCTATCCAAAATTATGCGTCGGGGCCCACGGAAGCGCGCCGGGTGCGCATATGAGAAACGACTATCCTTGGAAATCAAAGCAGCGAAAACTGTGGCCATTGTGACAGGATGTTTCATTTTCTGCTGGCTGGGATTCAGCATTCTCTACGGGTTTTCTATCCAGACCAACGAGGTGGTCTGGTCAATTCTTTTCTGGCTTGGATATTTAAATTCCGCCCTGAATCCGGTTATTTACACGGTGTTTAATCGAGAATTCCGAACTTGTTTCAAACGCCTGCTCACTTGTAACAACATGCTTTTTGGTTCTAGATCTCAAACTCAAAACGCGGTGAGGTCACATTTCTTCATCTAAAACTTTTTTTAGTACAATTCATATAATTCCACTCTGCGACCCGGGAAACCTCATGGCTACAGTTCAGTGGTGTCAGCACCGCCCTATCTACTCCCCACTCGGTCTACCCCACCCAATCCCAACGAAGATACGAGGTGAAACTGGTGCCTACTTGTTGCTTTGTTCTTATTTTTGTATTTAAATGTTGATGTGTATTATGTGGTAATTTAGTAAACATAAATTCACCCTACCTTATTCTCGCATTTTGCCAATAATTTTCGCTTTCCAAAATCAAACAGTCGAAGTCTGTTCCCAATTCCAGCCAAAGCCAACCCTCTAAAGTCGTGAATCGCGTTCACAACCTAAAAAAAGCTTTTTATTTTAACCTTTCGAAAATCAAATACCTCATTAGTTGGTGTCCTGTGAATAAAGTCGAATCTGTGGCCTTTCGCAGATAGAAGGAATGTATAGATACAACCACCAGCATGCTTACGCGGACGCAATTGAAGACCAACACCACATCCAACAAGAACAAAAGTGGCATCTCCCTGGCTTCTGAACTGAACCAATTCAACACTAAAAAGGGTGTCATTAGTCGCGCGGATCAACCTCCCCAAAACACTAATTATGTTTACTGACCTGAAAGCGGCTTCACCTTCTGGAAGCTCGTAATTGCAAATAGTTGCCCCGTTTTTAGCGCTGACCATCCGAACCGCCGAAGCCCAGGCACCGGGATGAGCCGATGGCGCTCCAAAGGTTGACTCGTCCGGTTCGTAATTCGTGAGTTGATTGGCCATTTCCTCAGCCATTTCGCGTTCCTCATCAGACTGAGCTAATTTCCGCACTTCCTAATAAATACAGTACGCTCAAGTGAGTTAAGACCATACCTTTGCCAATTCTTCCCTTCTTCTTCGCTTTGCCTTCTCCGTGAATGCTGCGTGGTCAGTCTCGATAATTATAACGTTCCCCGAGGGCTTATGGCAAACAAACCGCCGAGGTGTGTACTTTAAAGGAAACTTCATTTGATTGAACACGGTGCCGAGCTTCTCAAGAGCCAGGATCCTGCAAGAAAAAGAAAGAAATACAGTAAGCCACTTTTTTCATGGAATGATGGAGCCAATAAGACCGTAGCTAGCCTAACGTTACAACAAATAGAGGAGGCTGCACTAAGCAATTGTACAAAAAGGAAAAAAATCCCTGGTCCCAATAAACGTTTCAAAAAAGAGTAAATCACACACCTCAATGCTCTTTCAGTAATGGCAACGATTCCCTCAACGCATTGTTCGGAAGAAAAGCAGGCCGCATATTCTAGAGGCATGTAACTGAGGGGTGTCAGATGAAACCGGCTCTGGTAGTTGTAGAAGAGCCAGGCACGACTCGAACAAGCAAACAACTGAAAATTGAAATTTTAGTGATCAATTAAAAAAAAACTTTTACAAATAAAAAGTATTACCGCATCCTTCCCTTGGATTCTAACTGGAAACACTTTTACTGGTTTGGCACCGAGATAACGAGTTCGGTTGTCGGACAAGTCGCCAGTAACCTGATCCAAAGTAATTCGAAGCAAACATCCATTCTGGAGGCCTACATTCAAATGCAAAACACTTGAATTGGATCCCTCGGCTGTAGTTTCCATTATCATCAAACTCTCTGGCTCAGATGGTAAGTTCTCCATGCTAAATAAAAAAAAATCATTTTAAAAGCAGAAGGAATCTGACAAGCAATATGTGTTTCTCACCTTAATGGGGCCAAACAATCAGCTGGGTCCAGAGATATCACTCTGACCGTCCTGTCAGCTAATCCCACACACAAAAACCTGGAACGAAGTTCTCCATCGGGGACGTCAGCCATACCAAGGCATAGGACTTCGGAAGTCATCTCCCTACGTTCTGAATATTCCCTAAGTTGATTTGACACATCTAATTCGAAATAGACAATTTCACCACCATTTAGAGAGATGACAACTTGTCTCCGATTCAGAGCACATTTGGTGATGACCCTTCTCGCCGGGGTCCTCCATTCATTGATACGTTTGTCTGGTTTGATGTGACGAATACCGTTGGGATAAACCTAAATAAAATTTAGGATCAGAAGGAGTTGAAACATAAGAACCTACTTGAATCGTAGAATCGTCTCCAATAAGTCCGCATGATAAAGTAGGGCTAGTCGATAAGAAACCTGAATCCGAAATTTCTTCCACAGTCTCACCAATTCCAAGTACTAAGGTCGCATTCACAAAGGATACGACAATTTGCGAATGGAAGGGATCTAAAAAGAAAACTGAAATCTCACTAATCCTCCACTCACCATCCACATTTTTCTTCACTGTCCAAACTCCGGTCGGATTAGCGGGCAACTCGGAAACAGCCATTTCCAAAACTTCCAATCCGTTTCTTAACATCCTTAGAGTGGAACGTGGCCCCCTGCCGCACAAAGCGTACAGTTGCGGAGCTCCGTCATTAACCATGTCTTCAACCTGAAATCATAAAGAAAACGGAAAATCCAATAAAATACCTTGGTCTTAACGACTGGACAGAGATTATCCATCTGATCAACTAAAATCAAGTTCTGCAATGGCTGGCAATCATAGAAGTGAGCCTCTCCTTCACTCAACGGAACCTTTGAAGAAAACTCAGGTTGACCATCGTTATCTCCAAGTCGGGCAATTTGATATAAATGACTGAAACATTAAAACTAATGTAAAATGTACTTACAGGGGAAGTACCCCAAGTGCGACGCTCAGATTTTCTTTAAATTTTGCACACAGGTCGGGAATAGACTAAATATCAATTCCTGAAAGTTTTAGCTCGCACTTTGCGGGCGCCACCGAGATATCGGACAATTTATGCCGCCGAGAGAGCACGCGAAACGTGGAGAGCGGTTAGAGAGAAAAACGCTTTTTGGCCATAACTTTGGCAGTCTCGTGCGGAAAAATTTGATTTTTTGTAAAAACATTATCCTTTACGGTAGAAACAGGCATGAAACTTTTCGTGCCGAAATTCGGCAAAAAGTCCTAAATTTTCGACGGCTTTCGATCTAAAAATCTCGGTTGTTTCTGCAAAACGCGAGCTAGGATTCTCGCATATATCTTAGAAAAAATTGTTCTAAATTTGTGCCAAGTTTCATCAAAATCTGAGCGTCGCACTTGGGGTACTTCCCCTGTTAGTTAGTTAAAGGCATAATACTACTTACTGATTCCCAAACTCGCTAGCCACAAACAGAAATCCCGACCTCAGAATACACAAGCTGTTGGCTGGGGGGACTGTGTCAAAATACTTGATTCTCATTTCCGTTACAACATCACCTTCAGAAACAATATTAACTTTGAAAAGATCTCCATTCTCAGTCTGGACAATGAAGAAGAAGAGGGATTTTGTCTTGTGAGTAGCCGAGGCTATGATTAACATTGCTTTCCCACTGTCGTCCAATTCGTTCTAAACTCGAAGAGTTAACTCAATTTAATCACCTACCCTTCGACGTGGTATTGAACAGATGACATCAGGTTGATCACCCAAATTCTTATAAACCAAAAACCCCTCACAACAGCAGATCACACCACTAGGCCCATCATTACCTCCGGGCACAGAAATCAAATGGTTACCAAATTCTTTAAGGGGTTCAGCGTATTTTCTAACTACATGGTTAAGACCGAGATCGAGCTCGTAAAAAGTTAAAGTCTGCTTGGTTTTCTTGACCGCTTCTCCTGTGTGATCATGATCAGCATCCTTCAACATAGCGTTGATTACATACCAGGATAAACTTAAAACTAACCTCATAGTCGGCTTCCAAGCATGCAAATGTTGGGTTTTCAAATCCAACATCAATTCCGGTAACGGCGAAGCAGATGTTACTATTCTTGTTAGCTTCCAATGGAGAACTTATCGTCAGGTTGGCATGAGCGTCCCTATTCATAATATAGACCAATTTCTGTTTCTCCACTGCCCCAATCAAAACAGCACGTCCCTTGGGATCTACTGCCAAATACTGACCAGCAACCACTCTTCTGACTCCAGTCTTGCCATAAGTTTCTTGATGTACGCGCTCGAAACATTTCTTGTCACCGTTGTATTCCAGGACTACTATTCGTCCAGAGTCCGTCCCGACAACAATGTAATCTAAAAAAGATGCAAAAAAAACGAATATGATACCTTTGCTGCTCCCAGTAAGTCTAAATGCTAGAAGGGATCGAATAATACCAAACACATCATGACTGCAAACAACAGACATCTTCCCTTGCTTATTGTCGCATTGTACTAGTTGGAGAGCTGTTCCTCGAGCAACACATATTTCCTAAAGATAAAACATTATACCTGAAGATGGAAATTACCTGGGTTTTGTGATTGCCAGCAAAACATCCATGAACAGCTGAATTAATGCTAGTGTTGTTCTGAAGAGTGATGTTGTACAACAACATCTAATCTAAAAAAAACGCTAAAAAAATTACGAAACACGACAAGAGTATTAGATGGAAACGGCTTAAACACACAACTTCACCGTTGTCTTTACGACGGAGGATGTTAAAAAAACTTATTCAATTGTCTAGATCTAAAGCTAAATTTTCTTACTGATTTTTTTAGAAAATTCGACGCGAAATAATTGGCTTCATGGAAATTGGAAACAGTGAAACAGAAATAAATTGGACAGTGTGGAAATTGGACAGAGGGAAATTGGACAAACTTTTTTCAATCGTACGAAATTTCAGTATATAATTATTTCTTGCAATTCCACACTCTGTAGAATTTATTTCTGTCGAGTTTCACTCTATCCAATTCACATTCGGTCCAAATAGAAGAAAAGCCGCGGTTGAGATGGGCTCCAGGGCTGCGCCCGCGACTTGCAATTTGCTGGGGACATCTTATACAAAAAATAAGACCAAATTTTGTAATAATTGCCTCAGGGCTCTAATAATTCATACACAGAATGGGTTCGTGTGCAAAACCCCACGGAGTACAAAGACAAAACTTCTCTGTTTTACGTTTTCGACCCCGAGGAATATTTTCATAAGTGACGCTTTTCCCGTAGGATAAAACTTTTATTTTTGGTCATCACACCGATCTTAAACACTTGTATGATGCTGAAACTATCGGAAAGTCTTCAAATTTGCGCACAAGGGATCAGAAGGCCGGCGACAGCGCTACATTGAGCATTTAGCGACCTCACGATGCAATGCAGTCGCTGCATCACCGATAAAGTCCAAGCGCGCCGTGCGAACATTTTTGAAAAAGAAAATGTAATGCTTTGTGTATGTTGTGCGACCCTCACACAGTATTTTTACTGGGAGATTCAGAAAATTTGGGCCTGAGCATACATTAAAATATTCAAAACCGATTGCTACAGTAACAGCAAGATCACCGATTTCTTAAATTTTTTGTAACATTACCACGGTTTAGAGTCGTGTGTGCCATACGACGTTGGATTTTTTCAAACTCGGACGTCAGCGTTACAATAAAGTTTTGATGTACGGTATGATCAACATTCAACGTATGATAACTCCAACCCCCCCCCCTTATTTTCGCGCATTTTTGATATGTTGTTACATCTACATATGTCAAAGCATTTTTAAGAGGGTTCAAAAGTTGAGGCAAGTTCTCTGTAAAAAAGTTTTATTCAAAATGGAGCCTTGATATTTTTCAAAGTAGTAGAAGGCTACTATGGGAAAAGTGTCACTTATGAAAATATTCCTCGGGGTCGAAAACGTAAAACAGCGAAGTTTTGTCCTTTTACTCCTTGGTGTTTTTACACACGAACCCAATCTTTCTGAAAATTATATCTACCGTAATTCCCATATACGTTAATTTCCAAAACTAAAAATTCGTGCTGATGTTTAGCTATCCTAGTACAACAACAACTATGCAAAATATCAAAGTTGACTTTCTCAAAGATTAAAATTTAATTTTACAATTTTTTTAGATTTTTTCGCAACCTTTTTTTCCAAAAATGTTGTAGGTCCAAAAATCTTTAACGGCCTGAATTCTCACAGCCAGCTGAAAACTGCGTGTTGACCGTTTATTAAGATACTAAGGGGAACCTAGAGAAGCGAAAACGCTGATATTATTCTGTTAATTCGCAACGTGATCCACAAGAGACGTACCCGCATAGTTCTGGATTTTTGGGATGATCGGGTTTCAAAACTCGCAGGGCGGCCTGGCTTGTGCTAATAACGGCAAAAAGTGATTCCTGTAAGACATCTAACATTGCTTTACATGGGTCAGCAGTTGATTTGATTGTAACTTGCGTTGGCCATGTACTGGGCTTATAAAAGTTTAGCCGGCTGTACCCAGATATTCTCTGACCATGGTCTGCAGAAAAATTTTACTTTTTTGTTGGCATTCTTCAACAAGCCCCACAACTAAATACACCTGGAAACTTAATCCGCAACATCTAATCGTCAAGCCCATCGTTTGAATTTCCAGTTGTAAGCAAATTTTGGCTGATTTCATCGCGTCCCGACATTTCGGGTCAGGGACAACTCGGGTCGCGACACTTCGGGTCAACGACACCTCGGGTCAACGACATTTCGGGTCAACGATACCGTTTAATATTTAAATGTTTTCGCTTCGGGATGTGGGAAAAGGGATTTTTTGAAGAGTTTGAAAAAATTTTTGAAATTTTTTCGCTTCGAGACTGGGGAAAAAGGATTTTTTTGGAGAATTGAGGTTTATTTCTTAATTTTTTAGGAAAATAGTGTATTAGGTTGTCCAACAAATAATGAGCCTCTGTGAGAGGGGCAAGGTTTAAAGTCTCTAAAAAAGGCAAGCGACGATGGAATTTCGAAATATTATAACATTTTGTAGCTGAGTTCTCAGGCTTTCGTTTGATGTATCGTTTGCCATATTGGGACCAAATTACAGTAATTTAGCCCTAATCCAAAAAAAGCGCTGCAGCGCGCTGTCATCTTTTACGGGCAAAAACAGGATGCTAAAGTTTCAGAGGCTACGCAAAGTATCAACGCTATGTTCGACTAGTTTATTCTGAGTCTGAACACGGTGAAACGATGGTTTTAAAAATTACGACTTGACGGCAAGGGACCCAAAGATAAAGTACGGAATCCAAACTTTATCAATTTACCCTGAGGTCGTTGGTTGACGAACGTCCTAGAATCAACATCCAACGCGTCTCTGACATCGTCTGGCTGTTGAAATAATCGGCGGCTAACCATTCGATGTCGATGGAATTCAAAAAATGCTCGGCAACTTTTTCCTATATTATTGGATCAAAGCAAAGGGTGGAAGCATTACATTTCTCGCGTTTGCGTGCCGTTTTCTGGATCGAATCGTTGCCTCTGATGAAAAGAGGACCTACTGGGACAGACCAGATATGCTGAACGGAGTCCTCCGAGGGTATCACTGCAGCACCTGTCAAAGCCCGAGTCCCCCCAAAACAAGGTGATGACTAGTTCTTGATGGTGCAGCATGGGAATAGTGCAATACAGCTTCTTGAAAGCTTGCCAAGATGTAAATACCATCCCCTACTGTATCCAGACAGACAGTTTGTGGCTGCGTCACACGGAATCTCCCCTTTGAAAGATGACCCTCCAGAAGCCGATTTAATAGAGATACGAGACTGTACCTCGTCCAGCCTATTTGTCAAAGCTGGCCTATACACGTTACCATCAATTCAAGAATCTAGCACGTTTCATCAGTGGTAGGGAATTCGACAATCAAGACGCCCTTGAAAAGGCCTTCAAAAGTTTCATCGGCTCCAGAAGCCGGGGTTCCTAAGCTACGTACATAAAAAAGTTTTAGGCACGTTGTAACAAGCGTGATAAAGCATATGATAATTATTTTGATTAAATAGATCGCAGTTATTACGGTAAATTTTGCCGAAAAAAATAAATTTTTCGAAGAGGGTCATTATTTGTTGGACAACCTAATATAAGCGACAAGCAAATAAGAAAATCGTGTCCATTGTTCATGTTTTTAACTGGAAGCACGGGATTTAAACACAGACAGTGCCAGAGAATGGAGTAAGAAGATAGTCGTAATGATTGCATGCACATAACGATTTTTCTTATTTGCTCGTCGCTTATAAACACAATTTTCCTAAAAAAATTTAAAAATAAACCTCAATTACACCTAAAATAACATTTATCTAAAAAATTCCAAAAATGACATTCGTACCTTATGTAAAATAAAATTGTAACATTCAGAACGACCCTCCAAAAAATTCTTTTTTCCAATTCTCGAAGCGAAAAAATTTCAAAATTTTGTTCAAGTTCTCCAAAAAATTCCTTTTCCCAAGTCCCGAAGCGAAGGTTACCCCACCGGATAGGTTACCCCACGGATAGGTTACCCCACCGGATAGGTTACTCCACGGATAGGTTACCCCTTACCAAAAAAAAGAAAAAAATTTTTTTTGAAATGTTTTCGCTTCGGGAGTTGAAAAAAAGGATTTTTTGTGAAAATTGAAAAAATTTTGAAATGTTTTCGCTTCGGGAGTTTAATAAGAAGGATTTTTTGCGAAAATTGAAAAAAATTTGAAAGGTTTTCGAGCTGACTGAGTATGAACTGACTGAATATGAAAACTGGGTTTCTGTTACCTTACTGCCTTTAGGGATTCTTTTTGAAAATTTTTCGACTTATAACACTTTTAGACGTTAATGGTGTTGTTTTGGTGCCTAGTACTGCTTAAAAAACACATTTTTAACACTTGGTACTAAATAGTACTACCTGGTACTATTTAGTACGAGGTGCAAATTTGGCCGTAAGGCGGTAATGGCGTTGGTTTGGTGCTTAGTAGAGCCCAAAAACACGTGGTACTATATAGTACCAGGTGGTACCATTGGTTTTAGAAAAAATTTTAGTGCTGCCGGCACCACAGTTAATATTCAGTCAGACACCCTTTTTTCTACTTCCGATGCGAAAACATTTCAAAATTTTGTTGAATTTTCCAAAAAATCTTTTTTTCCCAGTCCCGAAGCGAAAACACTTCAAATTTTTTTCAAATTTCACAAAAAATCCTTTTTTTCCAACTCCCGAAGCGAAAACATTTGAAAATTTTTTCAAATTTCACAAAAAGTCCTTTTTTTTCAAGTCCCGAAGCGAAAACATTTCAAAAAAAAATTTTTTTTAGGTAACCTATCCTCGGGGTAACCTATCCTCCGAGGTAACCTATCCGTGGGGTAACCTATCCTCCGAGGTTACCTATCCGAAACTTGGGGTAACCTATCCGGTGGGGTAACCTATCCGCTGGGGTAACCTATTTGTTAGGGGTAACCTATCCTCCGAGAACGGTGCAAGAGGTATAGTTTTATTGCAGTGAATTATTATAATAAATATTCAAAAAAGGTTAGTTGCCAAAAAGATCGTTTTGATGTTGAAGTCGTCAGCCGCCATATTCCTGTTAATTTCGTATCATTATGCGAATTATCGGTTTTAGAAATCCATCAAAATCTGGGCATTCGATCTATCCGGCTTTAATTTCTTTGACAAGGAAAACTTTGGTTCTCCTGAAAAAATATATCCATAATGCTTGATGGCTGCGCTAAGTTTGAGTTTTAAGGGTAGGAGGGATCGGTAAAACCACGCATCCTGGTTTTTCTGGAGACATAAACCATTTTAAAGAGTGTAAAAACTGGTCTCGGATCACATTTTATTAGCTGCTATTTTTTGCTCTACACCCTAGATTGAAATCCAACGGCCAGTTGGATTTCACGACCGTTCGCTTCTGAGAGGCTAACAAGATTGAAATACTTTTCACATGTCTAATAAAAGATCTGGTTCACCTCTACCGTCTTACCCCACTAGGCCACCGAAACACTGCTCCGCTGTGCTATGGAAACCGGTCGTGATTGGCCCGGTTTTTCCCCACGCCGGTTTTGTCCCCAGGCCGTTTTTGTCCCCAATATTTTGTGTGACCACTCTCGTACCCTCTTGGATGCAAAAGATGGTTGAGTATTTTGGCCGCCCCTCAAAGGCGCGACCTAAAACTTTCAGGAAATAAGGCCTATGTCCCGCCCGTGTGCAAAATTTAAACAAAATCTGAGCGTTGCACTAGGGGTATATATATATGGGAGGTGCTTTATAAATTTCAGCGCACTTGTCTGTTCGACCCCTGCGGATTTCGTCCAAAGTTAACTTTGGACGAAATTCGCCCAATCTCGTCCAAAAATTTCATGGACTTTTTGCCGGATCCAAAGTGTGGACTAAATCTGCCGGTATTAGTCCAGGCAAATTTGTTCCCGTGGACTTTTGCTTTTTCGTCCATCTAGATAGACGAAGTCCACTCCGTGGACTAAGTCCAAAGTTTGGATTTTTTTACATTTTTGGTTGGAAGATCAAAATTTGACTTTTGAAATCTGTGTATGTTGTACTAGGTATTATACATATTTTTTGGGGCGGAGGGGGTGGAAAAAAGTGGTGAGGGGGGACCAAGAACAAATTTTTCCTCTAGGAAGCGAAATTTTTACAGGACTGCCTGTGCATCCTATTTATTATATTGTACTAGGTATTATACAGATTTTTTGGGGCGGAGGGGGTGCAAAAAAGTGGTAAAAGGGGACCGAGGCCAAATTTTTGCTGTAAGAAGCGAAATCTTTTACAGAGCTGCCAGTTCAGGCATTTTAGTATATTGTACTAGGTATTTTTACGAGTTATTGGTTGAATTCAGCTAGTTCTCAAGACGAAACCGTCTATTTGATCATACTGATTTATTTTTGACATCCTAAATGTTCTTTAGGATGTCAAAACAGCCAATGTACTCTAGAAAAAAACCAACTGCGAGTAAGGGGCCGACAAGAAACAAAAATTAACGATGTAAAACATCGTTGACTCCGCGCATATAGCTAAAAAAACACGTGAAGACTGTAAAATACAGCCGTAATCAAGTTAAAAGCCAGGAGAACAAAGAAATACATGAAGAAAAACTTGGTAACAAAAAATTTTGACAGTGAAATCTGTCAAATCACAGGGCGCAAATTGCGGAGCCTAGCGTAGTCCCGAAAATATGTCAGGATGACACCCGTTTAAAACGCGGCAGTCTATTAAAAACGGTTGTAAATGACTACCAGCACTCCCTAGTGTACTCTGAAAAAGACACCAGGTTCAAAACTTTCGCTCATCCAAACTATGAAGTTTGGATGATGCATTTTCTGAATTTTTTTGGCGGCGAGAAAAATAAATTTTTCGTCACAAATAAGTTTTCTTCATGGGTAATGTTTTTTTCTGGCTTATAATTATGACCACGGCTGTATTTTACAGTCTTCACGTGTTTTACCTATTTGCGCGGAGTCAACGATGCTTTACATCGTTGATTTTTGTTTCTTGTCGGCCCCTTACTGGCAGTTGGTTTTTTTTTCTTGAGTTTGCGCTAACATTGGCTACTTTGACATGCTAAAGCACATTTAGGATGTCAAAAATAAATCGGTATGTTCAAATAGACGGTTTCGTCTTGAGAACAAGCTGAATTCGGCCAATGACTCTTTAAAATACCTAGTACAATATAAGAAAATGCCTGAACTGGCAGTTCTGTAAAACATTTCGTTTCTTATAGCAAAAATTTGTCCTTGGTCCCCCCTTACCACTTTTTTCCACCCCTCCGCCCCAAAAATCTCAACAGTAACCTTAAAATGTAAAAATACGGGGTGTGACTTCAAATCCCAGAATATTACTATTTTGGACTAAAAATGGCGGATTTAGTCCAAAGTTAACTTTGGATCGAAAACAGCAAATTCAGTTCAAGTCCATGTGATTAGTCCAAGGGTAGGATAAATTCAATTTATCCAAGGAGAGGGGTCCCAAATGGACTTGGTCCATTTGAGGCCCGAAATTTTGAAAAATTCGTCAAGTGGGTGGATTTTTTGATTTCGTCCAGACAAAAAAAAATTTCGTCCACTCTTAGGACGAGATTGAGCGAATTTCGTCCAAAGTTAGCTTTGGACGAAATCCGCAGGGGTCGAACAGACAAGTGCGCTGAAATTTATAAAGCACCTCCCATATATGGGAAGCGCTTTATAAATTTCAGCGCGCTAGTCCATCCGAACCCTGCGGATTTAGTCCAAAGTTAAAAGTTGCGCAATTTCTCTCTTTGTAAAAATTTCTGCGTCTCTCTGTCGGCTCCTCCTCCCTCCCCCTTTTTTGTGAACTTTCGTTGTCAATCATGGAAATTAAAGCTTTTTTGTGACACCGGCGACAAATGTGTCAGGACTTTATGGCGCGACTAAGTATAGTAGTAATTTTTTGAATTTTTTCACGAATACTCGATTTGGGGGTTTTCGATGGTGTTGCTTTCAAATCAGAAAAAATGAATAAGATTTTCGAAATCAGCACCCTAGAAAACCCCTAAATCGAGTATTTCGAGAAAAAAATTTAAAAATTACTATTAACAGTACTAACTAAGAAAAAAGTAAACACAGAAAAAATGGATGTCATTTTCGAAATCCTCGGAATTGGTTACCTTACTACCCACTATTTCCCGGTTGGGGGTCTCTTTCGATGGGGCTTTCAAAATTTTTCAGAACGACCTACAACGTTCTTAGGTCCGAAAGAAAAAAGAAACCGCACTATGCAAAAGTGTCGGGACTTCGTGTCGCGACTAGTACAAAGACTGTTTTGATATTTGATACTATCGGAAAAATAAATAGCAAGAATAAAACATGAAACTTACGCGGAGCATGAAACTGCCTTCCCACCATGTAATGTACAACTTCAACAATGGAAGCACGGTCTGCTGTGCATATTTCAAAGTACCGAACTAAATTTATAAACATCAATCGCAACTTTTCATTTTGGGCAGATCCAGATATTGCAACCGGGCTGAGCTTTTTGCTTCTGGGTAACGAAGCCCGGCCAAACATTGACTAGCCAATCTACCTTTTGGGCTAACCATATACGGGCGCCGCGACATTTGCAGGAAACCACTTTGCTGGCAGCATGCGACATTTGCGGGCAGCCGACACTTGTCAAAAAATTTTGCATCATGGCTATGAATTTGATCTTTACCCGATCTCCCCCAAATGAAAGCTGCCCCAGATAAAGGGTAGGCCATGTAAAAATTGGAGATAAACTCACCCTTTTCACGCGTAGCCCATTGCTGTATCGTTTCCGAGTTGATTCGCTTCGCATCTGCATCTGCCATTGTCCCAATGAGAACTATTTGAGACTAAATACTCATACTTTTCTAGCGTTACAACTCACATCTTTCTTTTCTTTAAGCACATTTTTATCCAGGTACTTCTTTAAGGAATCTACCACTTCAAATGATTCATAATTTAAAAGAGAGAAAACCAATACAAACCAATCTGTTATTTGAACCAACGACCTCTTTAACTCCATGTTATCCTTCGTAATCCCAGCCGTGTCATAAAAAGTTACATGTTCGAGAGGTTTTTCGGCGGTATCGAGTCCGGTCTGTATAAGATACGTATCTTCAATTGTCGGGATGTAAGGACGGGAAAGGATGTTCTCGGTCATATTCAAAGTCAGCAGCATACTCGTCTTTCCACATCGTGGGGCTCCCAAACAAAGGCAGCGCATAAGCTGAACGGATATACACAACCGTTATAACAACACTATACAACCAACCTTTTTCATTAAACGATTTTTGTCAAGAAAAGAGAAAGTCTTGACCCACTTGGAAGAGAATGAAAGGAGGGAGCCTTTCCGCTCGCCGAATGTCTTCAGAAACTCTGCGAAAGAATTTGCATTGGAAGAAAGCTAATATCGTGTTACGGATCGATGGAAGACAATCTCGTTCAGGAATGGAAGTTCTCAGATTTATTCATTTTAATACGTTGTTCAAATAGTTGGCCATGCATTTCTGTGATAAGAAGTTATGCTTCTTCTGCAGCCGGTTCATCTGGAACATGACGTCATTCTCAATAAATTCCTGTTCGTGTCCTAAATCGTCAACCATCCATCTTGCAAACATCAAGAAATAAAATATGATTATTACTGACACAATACGCAATGGTAGAACTGAGATGAAAAACATCGGTTGTTCATATAGTAAGAAGGCGATCCTAAGAGAGTTAAACGACTTAAACAATACACTTACGGTACACTAAAAGCGTAGTACAAGGACGTCACGCCGGATATTGCGATGCCGAAAGAAGAAATCAGGAGAGGAAACACCCAGAAACCATTGCAAATCCACCAACCGTAACCCCCTAACCAAATAGTCACCAAATGAAGCAGGATTGGGATAAGAGTCAAGTAACTCCGAGATGAAAAGGCTTCGATTCCATTGTTGGCTCCAAAGTTATAACAAACCAATAAGATTTTTGCACTCGAGAATACCCACAGTAGCTCGAAGGCCAACACTCCGACCATCAACACCCCAACCTAAACACAATATTACCAATTTAAGATGACCTACATGAAGTTTGAAGAAGGAGAATTTTTGAAAATTGGGATTTCCTTCTGAACCATATGTGAAGAAAACCATAACTCACCGTTCGATGAGATTCAAACACAACCAACTCAAGAAAATACGGTAGCTTTATTTCGTCTATTGGAAATAAAAGTTTCAAACCCTAACAATAAAAAGATTTTAAACTTCGAAACCATGACTTCGCATGCATGCTTTATGAGCTTCTATGAATTCTCCGCAGTTTTCTTCGCCATTGATAACAATACATTCATCACGTACCTAAATTAACATTATTTGGTGCAGGCTGGCAATCCTATCCAACCCCCCAAAGTAACGTAAACTCACTCGTTTGGTTTCTGGACAAGCGCAACAAGGCTTGAGCTTCTGTTGCTGTTTAGGAACTTCCCTCTCTGTCGTTCCCCAACCAAACCATTTTAAGAACGACGACATCTAAAGAATACGAGTCGCGCTTGCCGTAAAAAAATAAAAGGAAAAAAACCGAACGATTGCGCCTGAGAGTAAAAAAAATTATAATTTATTAGTGAACAATCGAGTATAATATGCAAAAAACGAAAATAAATGTATTTACTCTTCACTGGAGCATATATTCGACAGCAATCATGTTATTCTCCACAAGTGTCTGATTCAACGTGGCCTTGGCTCTTTCGGCATCTTGAACGTGAAGGAATCGAACTTTTGCCACACCCGAGCTGACCAATTCCACGGATTCAAAATCTCCAAACTGCCTTACTCTTTGAGCGATGACATCCCATGTGTAGTCATGAGGCAGCTAGAAAAAAATTGAATAATAAGAAGAACATGTATGAAATGTTTTACATTTTTGATGAGAATGACTCGGGTAGGAGCGTCGTATGACGGCAAGTATCCTTGGCCAGATCTAACCGTAGTGTTTGATTGGAAACTATTCTGGGCTAGCTGGGCAGATCTCCTATCAAATCCCCCAGAAAAGCCAGTTTGGGATGGGAATGGGGATGGAACTTGTTCTTTAACAAATGATGCCTGTGTTCCAAACAACGCATTGGATGGGGAGATTTGTCTTTGAGCCGATGAGCTAAAGCTTTGGTTAATGCCTGAGTTAAGAAGTTGTGATTGATATACTGGACCACTATCAAACACAGACGGCTGGCTGAATGGGAAGTTAGATTGAGGTTGATTAAGGATTCCGCTTCCGTTGCTCGAAAAAGGTCCAATATGTGTTTGCCCATTAGAACCCATCTGTCCAATGACTGAAGCGATGTCGCTCAACGGACTCCCGTTAGCCCCCAAGCCCATACCGACACTTTTCAGACCATTAGGTAATCCGTTTCGATCACGGTCTGGATCTTTCTCAAACCGGTCCATTTTTACCGTTATCGTACGATCAAAAAGACGTTGATTGTTCAGCATGGAAATGGCCTGAACTGCTTCGATTGGATGCGAGTATTCAACAATTGCCATGCCTTTGGACTTTCCCTCCTTGTCTAACTGAAGATCAAACCAAACGATCTTCCCGGCCATAGCAAACACATCATACAACTTTCCGACTCCGCAGCTGTAGGAGATCTAAACGAAAATGGCACAATGTCGTCTAACTTACATTCGTAATAAAAACTCGATTAACTAGAGGAGGCTTTAGATTCAAACTGTCCAAAAACGAAGAACTCAATCCAAAAGTCTCAGCAGGAGTTCTCAAAGGAGGGGAGGAACGGCGATCTCTGGATACTGGAACTCTGTCACGTTTGTTGTTGTCTTTTAAGAAGTCAATTCCCGATTCCTCCTTGATCTTACGGAAGAATGCTTGCGGATCCTAAAACAACACCTAAGGTGGATTGACAAGAAGAATCATAAGAATCTCGATAGAAAAAGCTCAAAGGAATAAAACAACGAATCTGGTGGATCCATGATTTCCCTATTAAAACTCTGGCCATCGAGAAGAACTTATATGCGCCTATGACAATGACCGGAAAATACAAACTCCGTACTCTGATTTCCTTTGCAGATATAACTCGACCACGAATATTCTCTCTGTGGAGGACTTCAATTGTTTTCTGAGCCGATTCCTTGCTTGTGAATTCGACTACCGCGACACCTTTCGATTTGCCATCCTTGTTTTTCAAGAGTTCGACAAATTGTACCTGCAATGACCAAAAACGTCAAGAAATCAGCGAGGCTTCTCTCTAGGCATGACGCTAACTTTCACCAAAACACACCTCTCCACCTTTATCCCTGATAACGTCTTTCAGATCCATCCATGACATATCATATGCCAGGTTTGTAAAGTATACCATCTTATCGCTATGAGGATCAAACCTACCGCCTGAAAACGAAGTCATGTAACGAAACCACGGAAAACCTTTGACTTTTACCGACAATTAGCCTTTAGCTGATACCAACCGAAACCAAAATGGAGAACGAGACAATCACAATTGATGATACTCAAGGAAAGAACTACAAAACCGTGAAGCTAACATACCCTGCCCGAATGAGCCTCCCTTGCGTCGATCATCTCGTCCAAGCGGACTACGAGAACGGTCTCGCATTGTTCTAAACAATAACAATATAAATACAACAAAACAAATGCAATACACGGCAATGAGGTGTCGACGGCCCAGAATTAAAAAAAACAAATTTTCTCCCGCAAATTTGCAGCAAACTCTGAAACCAAGCAAGAAAACTCAGAAAGCCAACAGTGGGAATTCGTGGCGAGACATTATAAAGAATGCCGCTTGAGCGCAGAGAAAATTTCTAGGAAAATTTTGCCCGTTTGCAAGCGGGCACGCGTTTGATTTTCCAAGGAAGTGAGTGACCACCGGTGGTCACCACTGTCAAAGTGAGTTCCATCTTCACTCAGCGTGGAGGTCGTGCGTTGATCCTCAGTCTGTTCTATTAGGCGTTTGGTGTGTCTCTCCACCTTGGAACATTTATTTTTGGACCGCCTTTTCCCGCGTTTTACTTATTTTCACTGGCGTTCGCTTGGTTTATTTTTCTGTTCTTACAAGTCCTCAGTTTGTTTTTTTTCTATATATATATATTCGATCTTGCATTCCAGGAGATATGGCTGCTTCTACTATGAAGGAATATATTGACAAACAACTGGAAAAGAGTCCTGCCGACGAAATTACTGAGCTTTTATTGGATAACATTCAATCTACAAAACTCAGTGGTTTGGAAGGGCACAACTTTGCAAATTTGAACCACCTTTCACTGATTGGATGTGGTCTGCAATCTTTTGAAGGGCTACCGTGTATTCCATCGGTCAAAGTTGTCGATGCTTCTGAAAATAAGATTTCCGATCTTTCTCCGTTGGTTGAGAAATGCCCGAGTCTATATCATCTGAATCTGTGCGGTAACAATATTGAGGTAACTTTTTTAATAGGAAGTTTTCATACAATATAAGTTTTTAACTTTTGTATTATACTACTATATTTAAATTCTTGTAGAAAATCGAACAGTTAAAGCCTCTCGCTGAGCTGAAAAACCTGCAAGTGCTTGATGTTTTTGATTGTCCATTAGCGGAAGAAGAAGATTACCGAGACAAGATTTTTGCTACAATCCCTTCCCTTCAGTATCTTGATGGATTTGATGTGAATAACGAAGAGCTCGAGGACCTGGAAGAATTTGGGGGTGAAGATGCCGAAGAGCACGACCATGAAGATCTCGATGATGAGGAAGAAGAGGAGGAGGATGAAGCAGAGGAGGTTGGACTTGATTATCTTAACTCGTCAAGTGCTTTGAAAGATGACGATTCCGAAGATTATATAGCCGAAAAGAAGAACGGTCTGAAGCGGAAAGCCGATGCTGAAGCTGGAGATGATGTTCCGTTGAAGAAGTAATCTTGTATATGTTGCCGTTACTTTATTAACTTTACAGTTTGTTTTGAGGCATCTCTGGCTCGTTCAGAGCAAAAAGGAATGGTTTAACTTATTTTACGTTTTATACCCTTTTAATAAATTTGTCGGGTTTTGTTTGGGTCTAAATTGATTTGTCAGTGGTTTTTTGACCATTCATTATTGAAAACATCAAAATCGCGTTCACTGAAGATTATGTATTATTTCGGAAAGACTGAAATCAACGTTTCTAGGAATGGGACGAACTAGATTTTCGGAAGCGGGGCCTCGACGACCTGGGAAAAACTCCAAGGCCGCAGCTGCAGCCTTTACTGCGAAGAATGGGTTTGATGGACTTCCAGAAGCTCCATGGAGGAAGACACCATCAATATTCAAGCAACCTGTCACTTTGGTCCACACAACTTCAAAGAGCACGCAGAGGATTCCCGAGAAGAAGTGTAATCAGATACAGGAAAAGCTAGGAAAGCCTCAACAGGTTTGCTATCTTTGTAAATCATGGTTTATTATTAGATTTTCTGGGCAAAAAGACTGGAAGGATTAAAGGCGATGGTACCTGTTCATTTCCCTTCGGGAATATACTATACTCCGGAAGATGAAGAATACATTGAACAACGGTTAAACTTGGCAAACAAGATCGAATGTGCTGTTAATGTTTTATCGGAAGGCGCGGCCACAGCTTCATTTTGCTCCGCCTTACATCTTTCTAATGGCCTACCGATCACTGGCAATTCCAAAACGCCGGGAACGAACCCACTTGTCGGGATCAATCTAAATCAGCCGTTTGTTACTGTAAGTGACGATAGTATATTAAAATATTTTCAATTTAGATACCTGAGATCTCAGATCACGATATTCAAGTGCAAGAAAAAAGAGTGGTGGATGCCAGGAAAAGGCTGCAGGAACTTCGAAAGAGTTTCTTAGCATGATGTATATAAATCCTTAATAAATTTTGACAATTAATGGGGAAGTAAATAAAATTTGGAATGTGAATAGTAGTGGTCTAAAATTATTTGATTATTATTATTGTTTGCTTTCTCTACGCGGACAAGTGTAGATGACATTATCATTGGAACACCAATCTGGGATTCTTTCCAAATTGCTCTCATGTGGAGTTTCGCTGTTAGCTGAGGTGTTTCGGTTGCGAACAACCCTACCAGAAGATATATCCGACGTATCCAAAAGCAGATTCAAATCTATTCTCCTCGAGTTTTCTTACTTTGAAACACCAATCGAGTTCGATCAGAAGATCGAGGATAATGTCGGGTTGAAGGATTTGGACGAGGAGTTCACGGAGCTGCACCGCGGCTATGTTTTAGACTTTTCCAAGTTTATGCATCGTCTTTGCAGTTTTATTTTTGAGTTTGCGGAGTAAGTAACCATTTGTTTTGCAACCAAATGCTGCAATTTAGATACACGCAGAAGTATGCTACAGTTGATGTTCTACTTGACACTGAGTGGAATAAGATTCATTCCCAGAGAGCAGATGTGTTGTACCATCTTGGAATCATCCTGATCTTCTTGGATGAGAAGTTTTTAGCTAGCTCTAGAGAAGCTTTGTTCGTAGCTGGTCAACGATTGGGGTAAGGGTAATTCCTCTAACTTATACCAAAACGGAAGTATTTTGGAATTGGAAAAAGAAGCTAGAAACAGGATAACACATTATAAACATTCAGGAACGTTTGATTTATTTTCGGTTACAGGGATAAGTTTGCGTCAACTCATTTCGAAACTTCAATATCGTTACTGCGTGAAAGAAAAGATGTTTTCGAAAATTGCTTTGTTCATCTTGGAGTTGATCGAAAGTTCGCTGAGAATGTCTTGGAGTATGTCCGAACGTTCAGTCTTATACAGGTAATCCAAATTAGTCGACTTATAGTAATCCCATAGACTCAAGACGTTGGTATGTCCAGCAGAAAGTCATCCTTGGTGTATATAGCATTATGGTTCATCCCCAATGTACTTAGAGACGAGGGACCGTTGATGCGAACTTTAGTCGACGCTTTTTTTGGCGACCAGTGGATTCTGCCTCTTCATTTTGAGTTGACTGCAAATGTTTTACAGAAATGGAAAAACTATAAACCTGCCATACTTGCCTTGCGTGGTGTTTTGAGACAAGAGCACGTTGCTTCGATCGTCCAGCAGAAGATTGAAATCCTCAAATCCAACAAATTACCTTCAGGATTACTGTCACTGGAAGAGTTTGAGTATTACAAGAAGACACTGGTTGTATGTAATAGTGCATTAAAATGGATTATATTGCATTTTGGAGGTATGTCAGTAATCCGATCGACTCAGTTTGCAGATCTTGAGAGATTCAAGAAAATATCGATTCTTTTTGATCCTTTTAAATACCTGCTCACCTTAATTAAGTTTGAGTATAAATTTAAACAAGTAAGTTTTGTTCCTTTTACCCAATGTCATCTGATTTTAGTCAGCCTTGTTTACCATTAAAAACAAAACAGCTCAAGCCGATAAGTTGAAGGAACGTATTTCGTCGTCGATAGATCAGGTTGTCCATATACTTGACCGATCCCAGGAAAGTTGGAAAACCAAGGTTAGCGCTTGGTTGGGAAAGATTAATGACAAACTCTCTGCGATTGGGGTTGTCAATCCCAAAAGTGTTAATGTAATTGAAAGTGTCAAGTTAAAACTTGAAGAGGTAACTCCATCATCTTCTTCTCATCCTTTTTTTTTGAAGATAAGCGAGATCACTTCCGATGATCAACGAGTCATCAATCAGTATCTGGAAGTGATTCTCAAGAATCTGGACTCTCTCAAAACCGTTATTCTTCTAAATTTTGATTTTTTAAATACACTGGACACACAATGCGATGCTGATTATCTTTGGAATTGTATCTCTGGTTGGGTTCCAAAACTGGAAAGTCTTTTACAGTCAGAGCCAGTGATGGTTAAGTACTTCTTCTTCAAACTGAAGTCGCCAATTGAAGTAAAAGTTGCTGGAATGTCGACAGAGAAAAGCGAAGCCATAGCGGTATTTTACCACAAAATTCTGGAAACCTATCTTAAACGAATCGTCCAAGTAGGTTATACCATTTATGTATTTAATATCACTGGTTTTCTTGTAGGCGATTCCTAGAGGTGTCTTCGTTGAACTGGAGGAATTGCAATCACTGCTTATTGATGATGAGTATTGTTTTATTGAAAAGTCGAAGGTGAAGAATATTATTCAATCAGAAAGACGAAGAAGACTGGCCGAAAAGACGTGTAAAATAAGCAAGCTTTCATTAGGTAGGACGTACTTCACTTACAGGGTGGCACAAAAAATCGAAACTCATATTTCATTTAAGCATCACAATTTAAACGAAGTAACGATCCATATCAGTAACATTGAACATTGTTAATAACATGTTCGGCCAATTTGAAAATAGCGCCAAACGTGACTTACAATTTTGAGCGAAACGCCGCAGCTTTTTTCGGAAATCAGTCTTGTTCTTAGCACAACGGTAACTTACTATAGCGAATAGAAATAGGATTCGGAAAATTCGGGTGTATTCGCCACGTGGGTATATACCAGAAATCTCGGGTATTTATAAAATTAGTCTAAAATAGTACCAATATGAAGTCATTTGTAACAGTGTTCTGAACGATTCAACCAAGGAAAGTTGCAGGGTGGGTGATTCTCCAACTTTTATAAAGAAACAATTCTTGAAAATTCTTTGTCATTAGTGTTAATAGTACACATTTGAATTCTCCATTGCCGAAACCCCCAAAAACGGATGAAAAAAGTTTTTTAAAAATTATTTGCAATATTGCATCATCAGTAGTATCTGCTGATTTTACAATTTTTTACTCATAACCCGAAAAGCCCACACCCGAAAAACCCAGGGACCGAAAAGGCGCAAGCCGGAGGGCGTGGTACGAAAGGACGCCATTCAGATTTCGCTTCGCTCGCTTTTTGATGACCTAAAGGTTGGTAGAAGTGTTCAAGGTGCAGTTTCCGTCGACAACGAACCTGTCTGCGTGCCATCGCAGACAGGTTCGTTGAATTGCTCGGTGGCTTTTGACACATCAGATTTTGCTACACCGATCAATTTATCAACTTCACACTGTCCATTTTCTTGCCGGAACGGGTCCGAAATCGAGGTCCCCCAGTTTGACATTCAAAACAAATATGATAGCCAATCGATATCGGCATGAAAATCAAAGGCCTAGAACAGAAAACCATGTAGAAGTTAAGGGTAGAAAAATCATTTGGCTACACAGGGAACTCAAAATCACTTATAAAAACTTTTATTTACTTATAGGTAAAAATATTTCCCAAAAATTCACTTATAGGTGAAAAAAAGGCGGAGCCTATTTTGATTTACTTATAAGAAATTTTATTTACTTATAAGAACTTTTATTTACCTATAATTACCAATAAGGACTCCGAAAAGAAAACAGTTGAGCGCCAAAGACGCTTTTGGCTTTTTGAACGCATGGGCGAGACTTAGAAATTCTAAGTTTTTCGGAGCAGTACTGGTCAATGAAGGTGCGTAAGGGTATTTATACCTTGGATGGAACAAGGTAAGGTACTTTTAGTGCATTTTGTCTTTCAGAACTGTAAAAAGTGGATAGATAATAAATCCGGAACATAAGAAACTTCTCGAATAGAACGCATGTCAGCATCAGGCAGCCTCGGAAGATCTAAGAACAAGCATAATCAACCAAGAATTCAGATGAAGAACCCTTTCCTCAATTTTGGTAGGTTTTTTTAAACTACTTCCACATTTCAGAAGGCCAGAAACTTTTCAAGACATGGTTTTCTTATGTTGTACTAGGTCCAGGTGAACCCTCAGATACTCACAAAATGTTCATGGAGGAAGTAAATGGACAACGTGCGCACAATGTCTGGAAAAAATGGCTATCGGATGCCCCAGGTATGTTGATAGTATTCACCTGGACCTAGTACGACATAAAAAACTTGATGTCTCGAAATCTCATTGCCAAATGCTGAACCTCAAATTAATTTTTTGGGATGGAAAAGCGTAGAAAAAAACAGTTAAAAAAGGGCTTATAGTTCAGTTATCTTTCTTTATCTTGACTATTTTCAGTAAATCCAACCCATCGCAGATCCCTCACAAAAACAATCATGCCCCGTCAGGACAAATGACAGATGGAAGCTAACCCGGAGCATAGAAGATGCGCTAACCAAATATCCCGGTAATACATCAGATTCAAGTTGTTTTTTCGTTGTTTGAATAAATTTATATCTATCCTGCACTGTGGATAATTTTCTGTTACCTATAAGTATTTATAATTACCTATAAGTGAATTTCCCAAACGGCGAAAATAAAAATTACCTATAAGTGATTTGAAAATCACTTATAAGAACTTTTATTTACTTATAAAAACTTGAAGTTTTTATAAGTAAATAAAAGTTTTTATAAGTGATTTTGAGTTCCCTGTGTACACTTAAAGGTTTTTGCGGCAGGACCAACGAAAAAAGTTTCCATTTTTTGTGCCACTCTGCATGTTATAAACCTGGCTCTTTACAACAGGTATCTCAAACATGTGTCTGAGCAAGTTGGGACAAGTTGAAATAACGCCAGGAAACATGTTATACGACGGGTTAAAACAAGAATTGCGTTTAAAATTAAAACATGTCTTCTCTGGCGTCATCCCTACCAATATCTTTTTTAATGTGCTAAAACAACAACGTGAGGAATTGGATAAATTAAGAAAGACGTTCTTATTTGTGTGTCAGCAGATCGGGATAAATGGAGTTCAAGTATGGCAGACCGAACTCTCCACAATTACCATAGACGCCCTTAATTCATGCTTTTCAGTGGGTCATCATAATCGTGTATCATAATATTATTTTTAAGAGATTCACGTCCGAAAAACAGAGTGTCCCACTGAAGTCCACTGCATTTAACGCCTTTATATTAAAGATGCTCCAATTCACGGACCCGACGTAAGCAAACCTATGATTTTATTCACACTTGTTTTACAAGGAAAGTACTTTTATGGGGGCTCCTACTTTTTGACGGGACATACCTCAAAAAATCAGAAAAAATGTGCTGATCATGAATATATAAATCTTAGCTGCCCATTTTAGGTTTTTAGGGGTGAAAATGCCCAAAAACTGGCTCAATTTCCCTACAAAAGGCGCATGCATTCGAAACGATAAAAAGCGCAGTCGGTCTCTTCCTTCGTAAGAGGGCGGTGTGGCCGAGTGGTTAGTGCCGTAGTCTGGGAATCAAGAGGGGGGATGCCGCACGGGTTCGATTTCCCTTTTGGGCTGAATCAACTTTTTTTGAAGTTGAAGGTCGGAAAAATAAATTTTTGGGCCAAGACTGATTTATTACGTCTTAGAAACTCAATAAACATCATTTTAAGCCAAAATAAAAATTGTAAACCCGTGAAAAATTAGGCGAAAAGGGGTTCATATAGGACTTTAAGTCAACTTCCGATTGAGTTTTCACCCCTAAAAACCCAAAATGGGCAGCTAAGATTTATGTATCCTTGATCAGCACATTTTTTCTGATTTTTTGAGATATGTCCCGTCAAAAAGTAGGAGCCCCCATAAAAGTACTTTCCTTGTTAGAAGTACCGTATTCTCTTTGAAATCTCTGGAATGGTGGAATCAAACAAAGAGCAAGTTGGAATACTCAACTACCATACTGCTAATTTCTCACCAATGGATTCCGAGTTTCTTTTTAATCGGAATTCGACGAATTATTCAAAAAATGTTGGTTAATGAGATTAATAACTTCGGGGTTCTGCTAATGAGGCATCAAAACATTGGATCTGTTGATCAGATTGGCTCTATTGATCAGCTCACAAAAACTCCGGAGTTTTCAAAGTTTTACAGCGCTTGTTTGCCACTGATAAGTAAAGTAAGCATCACCCTAAGTCATTGCATCTTCGTTAAGATTGGACAATATGCAGTCCTCGACGACGCTTTGAGTATTTCCATTGCCGAAAGCTCAATTTCTGAGGTCAGTTTGTTAAGAAAAGCTGCAAAGACAGCATTGGAGTAAGTTGACACGATTCAGTTAACATTATCCTCAGTTATTCTCAATTACAAGAGACTAAAAGTGGAGTTGAATCTATGGAAATCCCGAGGCAGCTAGAGGCTATTCTCGAAAAAACTGGTTTGGTGGATTATAGCCATCTGGTGGTCCCTCTTCCACCTTTCAGTAAATCCCGGAACTCTCTAATCATTTTCTCCATCCTCTCACAATGTCTCTCTACTAACGGTAAGTTCATGTAAAACATATTACTTCTCCTTTCAGCCATTACAACTAAAAAGAGTGAATTCATGGACCCTTTTTCCATTGTCAAGGGTATTGAAAAGATAAAAACTTGTTTTGAACTCGACTACCAATTCGAGTATCCATTGTCGATTATAAGCGGAGACTCAGCTGGCTATCTAGTAGCCAGAAGACTCAAGATTGATAACATTAACCATCCTTTCAAGAATGTAAGGTTAAGGTAACAATTATAATCAAAAAATACTATTTCAGGTCCCAGAGCCCTTCAAGAAATAAAGAAATATAATCAAATTTTAATATAAATAACTTATTTAAACAGCGATCGAGTCTGGATCCACATTGTATTCGATTTTGATTCTTTTTGCCATTGCCTTAAGTTCGGCCTCGGCGCTTTGGATGGCATTATCTAATTTGATATTTTTGTTAACGAGAACTATCCATTGTGAACCCATATGTAACAATTGTGACCTAACGTCTTCTTGTCGTCTCTTCCTTCTGGAATGAGTTTCGAACAACTGTGATCTCAATTTAAACACGGTCTGTTCTTCTCGATCAGCCAACGTTTGCAGAGTTTTATTCATCTTGACCAAGGTTGGTCCTCCATGAGTTTGCATTAATTCCAAGTTTAATCTTTTCAGTTTCATATTTTCAATTTGGGCATCACAATTACCAATCGCCTAGAGAAGAAATCATAAAATTGAACTTTTACCTACATTTACCCAGGTTTGACGATCAGCGCTCGTGGAAGGAGCGGGTACCATATACCTACTCATATCGAACTCAGGCATCGGCTAAAAAAATCGTTGGAATTTTTTGTATAAAAACAATTGTTCACTGCAGAAATACATACTTTTGCCTCATTAATCCTCTGGAATTCTTGTTGTAAAAGAGGGGTAAGAAACTTGTCATATTGAGGTTTTGGAAACTTCTTTAAATAATCCTTCGTCATTGGATACCTCTTTTGTTCCTCTTCTACCATACTGAGTGCAAACTTTCGGTGAGAATCGTCGTATTCGGCATCGTCAATGTAAGGAAGGGCATCCAAAATGAAATCATCAGAAGCCTTTGTTGAAGGCAAAGCGAGTTGAGCCATAGTAACAATTAATTGTTTTCAGAACAAAAAATAGTAGAGAATGCAAGAACGCAGAAATTTTACATATCGTTTTTTAAAATCAATGCTGAGTGAACGAAATGCCACAAAAATTGTCATCAACTAAAAATTCGGTGAATTAATTTTATTCTTGGTTCGGTCGATTCGAAAAGAAAATGCCCCCAAATGCTAGTTCCGGTACGGCTGACACGAGCGACAAGCCAAAGAAGGTACCATCACAAGCAAATGAAGTACACTGTGCCAGTTCAGTCCAGCTCAACCTTCCGGTGAAAAAGGTAACAGTTACATTTCTAAGATTAGTATAATATTTTTAGGTGGTTGTTCACCCACTTGTATTATTGAGTGTTGTCGACCATTTTAATCGTGTTAGCAAGACCCAGAGTGTTAAGAGAGTTGTCGGTGTTCTTCTGGGATCTATGAAACCTGACAAAACTCTCGATGTAGCCAACAGCTTTGCAGGTACGAGTAAAAAAACCCCATGTTTTATTTTTAGTGCCTTTTGATGAGGACGAGAAGGATAAAGACACTTGGTTTTTGGACAAAGATTACCTGGAAAATATGTACGGCATGTTCTTCAAAGTGGCTGCCAAAGAGAAGGTTGTGGGTTGGTATCATACTGGACCAAAGCTTTGCAAGGTATAATTGTTGAGCAAATTTTCATTTGTTTAGAATGATGTTCACATAAATGGATTGCTGAAACAATTCACTCCGAATCCTGTCTTGGTTGTTATTCAAGCCGTTCCAAAAGATCTGGGTCTTCCAACTGAAGCTTATATTGAGGTTCAAGAAGTTCACGATGATGGAACTCCTCCAATCAAAACTTTTGAGCACATTCCCAGTGAGATTGGTGCTGAAGAGGCTGAAGAAGTTGGTGTAGAGCATCTTTTGAGGCATGTTTTGTCAAGGAATAATAGGATTATGTTTAACGTTTCAGAGATATCAAGGATCAAACTGCCGGAACCTTGTCCCAGCGTGTAACAGATCAATTGATGGGTCTCAGAGGTCTGAGCCAGCAATTGGCTGAGATTCAGAGATACCTGAAGGATGTAACAAAAGGAGAACTCCCAGTCAATCATTCTGTCATTTATTACATTCAGGAAATGCTGAATCTCCTTCCTGACGTTACAAAACCAGATTTTGTGGATTCTCACAACGTCCAGACCAATGATGAGTTGATGTGTGTTTATCTTGGATCTTTAGTTCGAACTGTCATCGCTCTGCACAACCTTATTGATAACAAACTGGCCCTCCAGAATGCAACTAGTAACGTGTGAACTTGTAATGTCTAAAATTAAAATAAGTTATGGATAATTGTATCTTTGGGAGATAAATTGTTTCCGCTCACAGGTGTTTAATTTGCATATTACTCATGGCAAGCGACGCGCAGCACCTATTCCACTCGCTCTCGTTTCCTTGTTTGCTAAGTCCGCTTTCGAGAGCTCCTACAAAGCCATCCGTTTGACCCTGCGCGACCTGTCCGAGCCTCGTCTTTGCTCGTTTCCCTCCCTCGGCCCTATTTTGGATCCGTTCCCAATTTCCGCCGTGTCTGATAAGGGTTGATTCATTCAACCCAAGAGAAAGAGTGTCCAGATGGATCGAACAATTTTGCTCTTCGGATTATTTCATGGAATCTCGTCCAATTTGTGGTCAGAGACAGCCAGAATGGCGGATCTCCAGCAGGTAGGCAGTTAATTGTTGGTTAGAAGTGTAAGAAGTAACAACTGATGACATACGTTGTGTTTAGTGGAGAATGTTGTGTGACCGATATCAAGTGTCCAGAGCTTATATGGAAGACTCGAATGCCAGAGTGTCGGTATTCGCACCTGTTAATGATGTCTTCCTTTACAATCCAGACCTGAGAGCCATGGATCAGAAGGAGACGCTGAGTCATATAATAGATACCCAGGTGGTGGAAATCAGTGAGGGAAAGCGGTGGGAAAAACAAACTTTGATCCGCAGTACTATTAACAGTGGTTACGTTTATATTACGCAATTTGAAAACAATCCTGGAAACTTTGTAAGTGGAATGAAGTCGATCATCATTTACATATTTACTTGGTTAATTCAAGCAACATTTGCGGGCAGCTGAGTTTTGAAAACCATCCGACGATCATAACCGGGGAAACAAATGCCTTGTGTTTTAAAACTGAAGGCTATTTGCTTCCGCGGGAGGTGAGCCTGGATAACGCCGATCACGTGTTCACCGTGCCGCATTCGTTCGCTAAAGCATCATTAATCTCACGAATGCCACTGGTTCTAACCTACACAGTGGCTGTCTCCTAGCTTGTACATGGGCGAGAAAAGGCTGCCCGGAAATGTCGGTGTTGCCAGCAAAAATTTTGCCCACAAATTGGCTGCTCACAAGCGTCGCGACGCTGAAATGGCCGGCGAAAACACTGGATTAGCTTTTTGAGCGATTTGAAAGAGTTGGGTGCTAATCCAACTACTTGGCCAACCATTTATGCCTTTTTCTTTTTTTTATTCAACTTTTTTTGGCTAGCCGTTAATAAGACTTTTGTCCCAACACTTTTTGTCCCCAATGATTATTTTTGAAAGTTATTTGACCAGCTAGCCAATGAGTTGAAATCACATCCAAATTTTTTAATGTCTAGCCAAAACCTAGATTGGTTAGCGAAAGTGCCAGAATAGCTGTGCAGCCTCGAAAAAAGCTAGTCAAAGGGTTGGATCCAGGTTTTTACTAGCCATTTTAATAATTTGGCTGTCATTTGCAACTTTTTGACACCCATTCCAACTTTTTTTTTGAGGCTATCAAACGTCATTCTGACAATTTGGCAAGTTGATCTAGATCTTCGGCTAGCTGGTCAAATAACTTTCAAAAATAATTATTAGGGACAAAACTGTTCTGGGGACAAAAAAGTCCAAAAAAGTGGGGGCAAACCCGTCCTGGGGGCAAAACCGGGGCCCAATCGTCACGGCCCTTAAGTTAGCAAATTATTTAAGACGGTGGGTCATAATCGCAGGGAGTCCTGTCAGTGTGTCTTAAATTCCTTCCATAGATATTTGCAGTCCTATTTCGTCAATGCGGGTCGCTTGTGCAATCATGAAGCAAATCAGTGGGGTATTATCAGCGGGGAGCAATATCTCTACAAGATATGCACTCCCATGGGCCACCGTCCATACATGGGGACAGCACTTTCGTTTATCAGAGATGATGACAATACCATATTTGTGGATCGACAGTACGACAACCGTGATATCACGTATGTAGCCGCATTTTTAAACAGTCTTGCCCATTAAATATCAGTCTGTCGGAAAATAATTTGGATTCGTCGCGCCTTGAAATCGCCCGTCATCGCTCTACGACGGCTAGCCGCGGCTGGAGATTTGGTGCGCGACTGCGACGAGGCGAGACATTTTGTTGCGACAAATCCACCTTATTTTCCCGACGTACAGGATAAACTAAATATTATTTTTAAAGAGAACTCCGTGATGTTCTGAATCGGGTACCGGACATTGCTTTGGTGATATTCGGGAGTTCCGCGTGGAATGGCTTTCATACCTTCTTCTTGCCGAGCAATAAGGCCTTTGCCAAGGTCATCGACCGGAATAGAATTGACCGAGAAGTCCTCTTGGCCCATGTCACCGGTATGAACAGAGTTCTGTTCACCTGGCCTTGGCTCTATGATGGGGGCGTCCACTTTTATCCCTCTGTCAGATTCTCCTCCAACATCATCGAGGACAATTTTAAAGTAAAGCTGACTATGAGGAATATAACTGATCACAGAACCGGACGGTGGGATCGTGAGTAACACTGATTAGGAAAAATGTATTTCAGTATATGTGGTATCCGAAGTGTACGAACGGTATTCTCACTTCCGAAGAGGTGCCGTCTGGGCGAAGATCTTGGTCCCAAACATTCCGGTTCAGAACGGCGTCGCCCATGTCATTGACAATGTTTTGGGGATCGTCTCCATGACAATCGATCAGATGTTGATGGATAATTATCGTTGTACAACTCTGATGAGATACATCAACACTATCGGTCAGCTGGTCAGAAATTATTTTTCGGCCACGGGAGGTCTTGTCACCTTCTTTGCCCCTTGGAATGAGGCGTTTGAAAGGATCCCAGAGGCCATCGAAAGGAGACTTCTGCGAGATCGTATCTGGCTAGAGCAAGTACTGAAGTTGCATATTGTACCAGCCAAAGAGTTGACAACCGATGAGATTACGAACGAAACCATCGTATCCACAATCGATAATATGCGGCATCTCTACTTTATACGGGGAGAATGGCCCAAAAACAATATCAGTAAGTCTCAAAGAGAAAATGAAAACCCAAAGAAGCACTTTCAACTGGTAGTATGGGCAGAAAAAACTATTTTTATTAACAAGGGAAGCACTGCAAGTGCGACGCTCATATTTTGATGAAACTTGGCACAAATTTAGAACAATTTTTTTCTAAGGTATATCCGAGTATCCTAGCCCGCGCTTTGCAGAAACAATCGAGATTTTTAGATTGAAAGTCGGCGAAAATTTAGGACTTTTTGCCGAATTTCGGCACAAAAAATATCATGTCTATTTCTACCGTAAAGGATAATGTTTCTACAAAAAATCAATTTTTTCCGCACGAAACTGCCAAAGTTACGACCAAAAAGCGTTTTTTTTTTCTGACCGCTCTCCACGTTTAGCGTGCTCTCTCGGCGGCAAAAACCGTTCGATATCTCGGCGGCGCCCGCAAAGCGCGAGGTAAAACTTTCAGGAATTGATACTTAGTCCATACCCGACGTGTGCGCAAAATTTAAAGAAAATCTGAGTGTCGCACTTGGAGTACTTCCCCTGTAAGAAAAGAAGTAAAAATCAGTGAAAACGAACATGATTTTCAAAATCAGCACTACCGAATTACTATAGGGCTGCCCAATAAATAATGTATCTCTTTGAAAAATTCACTTATACGACAAGATTTACCGTAGTAACAGCGATCTACAGGGTGCGGCAATTTTTCCGCATCAGGACAATTCCGGAATTTGGACACTTCCGGAATGGCGGAACAGTGACACTTCCGGAACCGGGGAAAAATCAAAGAAGAGGCTTAGACCTGCCATCTGAACCATCTGACTGGATTTATTGTTATTAATCTCAAAAATTTTGTTATTTTTTTTTTATTGTTACTTTTTTCTTAAAAGTAGTGTTAAAAAGTAATTTTTCGAATTTTTTCTAAAAATACTCGATTTAGGGGTTTTCGAGGTTGCTGATTTCGAACATCGGGTTCATTTTTTCTGAACTTTACTAGTTTTCCTTAAGTAGTAGTGTTAAAAAGTAATTTTTTGAAATTTTTCTAAAAATACTGGATTTAGGGGTTTTCGAGGTTGCTTATTTCGAAAATCATGTTTATTTTTTCTGATTGTTACTTTTTTCTTATGTAGTAATGTTAAAAAGTAATTTTTTGAAAGTTTTCTAAAAATACTGGATTTACAAGGGATCGGCAAATAGTTGTAACCTGCTTTCTTAACGAAACCTATATAATTTGAAAGAGCATTAAAAATAGTGCACAGCGCAAAAAAAATAGCTGCCTAAATTACCTTAGGGCATAGATACGACAGCTTTTTGAAAGGGGTTATATGCGGCCAAAACGCCGGTTCCTTATATTACAGTAATCCTGGCGGTTTGAAATCGTCTTTATTAATTTCCTGGTATCCAAAAACGTCTATCACGGTCGTTTTATGGCTTTACCAATCCTCGGTTATATGTTATTAGACATTACTGCTAGTTACAGTAAATTGTAAATAAAACTAGGTTAAAGGGAAAATTGGAGCAAAAAGCTTTGGCAATACATTTATATGATCGTCGTGGTCATTCACAAACGAAAATTTCAAAATCGAAAATTTCTTATGTCCTAGCCTTACCAATGGTTGGTCCAGTGTGTCAGCAATAGTGTCTTTGGCCGATTTTACAATTTTATCTTCGTATTTTTTTGATAAAATGTATATTTATAGGCCCTTGTAAGTTGAATTATCCTCCAGTAATCATAATCGGTCAGGTTACTGGCACAACACCCTTGTAATTATACGATAGTGACATACCCACTCTCATCACCATCAAATTTGTGGCCGTTTCAAAAAAATTCAAAAACTCAGAAAAATTGCGTAACCATGGATTTTGTCTGCGGAGGAACAAAAATTATTAAAAAATGTCAACATACCATGGTTTTGGGGCATATAAGAGACGAAACGCAAAATATTTAGAGAGACCGGATTCGAAACCAGGACTCGCTGCGCCGAAAGTGGGCTCACTACCACTCGGCCAACTGGACACAACTCTGTTGCCATTCCGAGAGCTTATAAAGCGAGGCGGAAATTAGGCTAAAATCTGTATTTTGGCCATAACTTTGTCCAAAGTGAATTTAGGCAGCTAGTTCTTTTTGCGCTGTGAACTATTTTTAATCCTCTTTCAAATGATATAGGCTTCGTTAAGAAAGCAGGTTACAACTATTTGCCGATCCCTTGTTAGGGGTTTTCGAGGTTGCTTATTTCGAAAATCATGTTCATTTTTTTAGTTTTTGACGGTTTTTATATATTTGTTCGTATTGTCCATGACGATTTTATCTTGACTAGGACGAATTCGGCGCCGTAAAAACTGTTGAGATGTTGCAAAGATAATATCACTGTGAAAGACATATAATGACTGAAGATTGAGATCTCTGAATTGTAATTTTCGAAGGGGTCGGCCATCGGATTTTGACGATCAGGCACGTCTGGCAGTCGTGGAAGACGACGAAAGAAGCTTGACAAAACACGACACGAATGCTGGCTGACCCCTTCGCAATGAAAACGATTTTCGTAATCAGCACCCTCGATCGAGTATTTTTAGAAAAAATCCGAAAAATTACTTTTTAACACTACTAGTTAATCAAAAAAGTCAAAATCATAAAAAACGAGCATCATTTTCGAAATCAGCAACCTCGAAAACCCCTAAATCGAGTATTTTTAGAAAAAATTCGATAAATTACTTTTTAACACTACTCCTTAAGAAAAAAGTAACAATAAAAAAAAATAACAAAATTTTTGAGATTAGTAACAATAAATCCAGTCAGATGGTTCAGATGGCAGGTCTAAGCCTCTTCTTTGATTTTTCCCCGGTTCCGGAAGTGTCACTGTTCCGCCATTCCGGAAGTGTCCAAATTCCGGAATTGTCCTGATGCGGAAAAAAGTAACAATCAGAAAAAATTAACATCATTTTCGAAATCCCCGTCATCGATTACCTCTATATCCAACATTTCTTACTCGGGGGTTCCTCTCAACAAGGGGTTCCTCTCGACGAGGGGTTCCTTTCGATGGCATTCCACACACAGTCTTATTGACGAAAAATGCTGAACATTTTATACCAAAAATTGGAAACACAAATTTTCTACCGTAATCCGCTTATTGAAACGCCGCACGAGTTCGATTTCCCTTTTAGGCCGAATCAACTTTTTTGCACCAAGACTGATTTATAACGTCTTAGAAACTCAAGAAACATTATTTCAAGCTAACAAGGAAAGTACCCGAAGTGCTACGCTCAGATTTTTATAACTTCCGATTGATTTTCACTCCTAAAACCCAAAATTGGGCAGCTAACTTTTGCATATTCTTAATCAGTACAATTTCTCGGATTTTTTGACACATGTCCCGTCGAAAAGTAGGAGCCCCCATAAATGTACTTTCCTTGTCAAAATTATTTTTTTCAGCTTACTATGTTGTGGGAGGAGGAGTTAAAACAGCCATCCAAATGGATAACATAGCGGCCACCAATGGCATCATCCATTACATTGACCGAGTTTTGGGAGTCCCTTATCAATCTCTCTGGGAAATTATGAGAAATGAATCCAGGTTACAGTAAGCCCAAATCCTTGATACGCAGCTCTTCTAGAATCAGCAAAAGTCATCTGGAGAATCTCCAGCTGAGATATTCCCTCGACCCTTGGCAAGTCCTGACTCCCGAGCAGAACTTTACGGTTTTTATGCCAACAGATGAAGCCTGGGAGAAGGTAGCACCCGCGTTGCGCAACAGGATGACTGACGGGAACCATTGGCAGGCCTTACAGTATGTCTACAAAAGACATCTAGTGCAAGGCCAAGCTCTCATGTACACTGATCTTAGGGAGAGGACTTATATCATGATGAATGACGAGAAGGTTGTTATTCGAAGGAGAGGCCGCTGTAAGCATGTTTGGCTTTTCTGTGACTGCTATCTTCAGCAATACTTTGAAAATTTTTTAGATTTTGAATTGTATTGGCCCAGAGGAAATCGCGTTGCTCGTGTAATCGAAGGCGGCGAAATTGCGGGGATTAATGGCTTCATGCATATGATAGACAACGTCCTCATCTACGAACCCGATCTCCGGGCAGCAACCGAAGCGATGGCTCCCTTAATGCTCATTAACTCTATTTCGTTGATATCTCTTTGGCTCTGCTGGAAGTGGATGTTCGGATATCGCTTGGCATTGTGGCTTTCACTGATGCGATATACTCTTACAGTAGAATTTTTAATATAGCAAATCTTAATCGCCATCCGGTTCGTGTGCATAGTAAAACGTTTCAAATTTTGTTATTTAATTGGCTCACTGTATATTATAACATTTTAATCCAATCACATGTTAAGTTGGGAAGGCCACAAAGAAAAGCCAACAGTAGTATATAATAGGCGTACCTAGAACAGCCTCAATTTTCACCCACCACCCGCCAAACCATTATACTGCCCGACAATTAAAAGTGAAGTCTCGATTCTGAGCCCGATATTGCCCTGAGGCATAAGGTGTTCCCCCAGGCCTCTTCGGTACCCTATGCCGATACACAGTGCAAATTTTCATACATGTGCACTTTAAACGCACTGTGCAACGGGCGATTGAAAAATTTTTGGGCGACAATTAAAAGTGAAGTTTTTAATTTTTGGACTTACCTGACCTTTTGAGGGATCTGTTGGGACGGAAACCGTGCAGAGACATAGTCAAGGTTACATTGATGAGCCCTAGACACGATTTACGAAAATTGTCCGAATTTTATGGTACCATTTCCCGGCATCAAGACGCGGGGTTTAGGTGCCACAAAACGGGGCCTTTAGGCACAATTTGTTGTAAGACTGGTAATTTTATGATGCTGAGTGCATCTTGTGACATTGTTCGTCCGAATAATGCTGCGTGTATGTCAAGTTTTGGTGCGCTTCAAAGCGTTCTTGTTGATATGGATAACGGCTAGGTGCCTATTTTGACTTATACCGTAGCAGGAACCAGTACCCCTCTCGGTTTGATAGTAGGATCGGGGTGGATAGACATCCTTCTTTCCTAAAAACTTTACTTTTTATGTTATCGCTCCTTTTAGATACAAAAATAGCGGGTATCACAACGGTTTCCTAGAGTTGCTGAAATTTACCGTCCATAACCGAGTGTAACGCCATGGTTTGGGTTTTAATGGCCCAAAACCCCTTCACATGATTTTTTTGGACATAAATTAGTCAAAAACAACATCATTAATTTTAATTTCGCTGCATCGAGTTATGCGAAAAATGCTTATATACCAAGTTAAGTTAAGTGTATGGTAAAAACGGGGTAAGTACGCACCTCCAAGTAAACAACGCTGTTTTTAGCTGCTAAGAGGGTGATCGAAAAGTACAAGACAAAATTTGCGCTGATTCTGCATCTCATCTTTCGAAATTGCATCGATATTCTCCTTGACTAGCACCGTTGTCGATAAGCACGCTTTGAAGCGGGCCAAAATTTGACATACTCGCAGCATTATTTGGACGAACAATGTCACAAGATGCACTCAGCATCAAAAAATTACCAGTCTTACAACAAATTGTGCCTAAAGGCCTCGTTTTGTGGCACCTAAACCCCGCGTCTTGATGCCGGGAAATGGTACCATAAAATTCGGACAATTTTCGTAAATCGTGTCTAGGGCTCATCACTGTAACCTTGACTATGTCTCTGCACGGTTTCCGTCCCAACAGATCCCTCGAAAGGTCAGGTAAGTCCAAAAATTAAAAACTTCACTTTTAATTGTCGCCCACAAATTTTTCAATCGCCCGTTGCACAGTGCGTTTAAAGTGCACATGTATGAAAATTTGCACTGTGTATCGGCATAGGGTACCGAAGAGGCCTGGGGGAACACCTTATGCCTCAGGGCAATATCGGGCTCAGAATCGAGACTTCACTTTTAATTGTCGGGCAGTATACATCAATTTTAAAGCATAAATTAATGAAAAAAGGGCTGAAATTAACAAATTATCACACAAATTACTAGGACGATTTTAATTCACCTCCGGATCTGTGACAATCCAGATATCCTTACCACCCCGATAATGAAAAACATGGTATAAATACTTAGAAATAGAAAATTGGGGATTTATATCAAGCATATTGCACTGCAGGTTGACGCCAAGTTTTTCCCTGATGTGTCAAGTTTCTCTCTCCTGAAAATAATTATTTTTATTTTCTTCACATATTGTGCAGCCTGTTTCTCCATGAAGATGGACTGAAAAGTGGTCAAGTAAGTTATTATTAGCAAGAGGAGGTGTTCTTCTTTCATTTTATTCCAAAAATGTTGATTTTGTTTCAGGGAAACATACAGAATTCATCCAATTCGCAGAGCTACTTTTTAATGACCATAGATAATGTAAGTCCACTTATTTCGTTTTTTCGACGTGGAGTTACAAATACAAGCTTATCTAAGACTTAGAGGAGACGTCACTCTTTCGGGTTGTTATGTTTTCCATGCATAAGATCCTTCAAATGTTTCGCTATAATCAGATTAGTGTTTTGACGAGATAAAGCCACATTGTTCCTTGATCAACGCCAGTGATTCGAGCAGTAAGACGCGACTGTCGATTTTCAGAGGTTCATTGATAAAGTTATAAGTCTTGAAGAAGGTCAGGAATAATGGATGCCAAGTGCAAATTGTTTTAAATGCGATATTTTCCAACAAAAAACGAATATAACATAACTCAATCAACAGACATTCACACGGCAAATTCAAACAAATGGCTAATACATCTCATTCCAAACTTGATTACCCCATTCAGAGGGTGTAAACGAGGGCCGACCATGTCCACTGCGTCCATTTCTATCTTCTCCATGAAGTCTTTGTTGACCATTTTGAACTTGCTGAATTTCAGATGTCCCTGGAGCTTGACCAAAGCTCTGAATGCGACTTTCATGCCGTGTTTGGTCTTTTCCTGCTTTAATGACGACATATGGGGCCCTATTCTTGCCAATTTTTACATTTTTATCTTCTCCGTGACGTCCACTTCCAACTTTAAAACCGTCTCCACATGGCCTATTTTGGATTGTTAGAACATCTCCAGCCTCTCCATTAGTTCCAAAATGTCCTCTTTTCGCCTTTTTCCTGACCTTTTCGCCTTTATTATCTTCTCCATGACACCTATTTTGGTCAATTTTACCTAAACTGATTATAGCGAAACATTTGAAGGATCTTATGCATGGAAAACATAACAACCCGAAAGAGTGACGTCTCCTCTAAGTCTTAGATAAGCTTGTATTTGTAACTCAACGTCGAAAAAACGAAATAAGTGGACTTACATTATCTATGGTCATTAAAAAGTAGCTCTGCGAATTGGATGAATTCTGTATGTTTCCCTGAAACAAAATCAACATTTTTGGAATAAAATGAAAGAAGAACACCTCCTCTTGCTAATAATAACTTACTTGACCACTTTTCAGTCCATCTTCATGGAGAAACAGGCTGCACAATATGTGAAGAAAATAAAAATAATTATTTTCAGGAGAGAGAAACTTGACACATCAGGGAAAAACTTGGCGTCAACCTGCAGTGTATTGTATAATAGAAAAAATCCTTAAATTAAATAAAGAATAATATAACCAAGGTGATTTATATCTGGCGGCATGGTTGGTATGCGGACGATTTTTTTCGCATACAAAAAGAGTTCGGTAGGCCATAATGTAGGCAACGAAAAAATTCATGACTACTTATTTTCGATTTCAGAGGGCCTAAAAATGGCCTACTATAAGTAGGTAAGATTTTTTTCCTGAAACATGCATTTGTGAACAAAAAATTTATATATGCGAAAAAAATTTACGGCAGTTACAACAAAAATTTCATATGTGTCTCAAACCATGAACAGCCTAAATTTTAGTGATGTATGCAAAAAAAATATGAAACCACTTATCTCCCCTCATCTCAAAAATTTCGTATGTGTCTCAAACCATGAACAGCCTAAATATTAGAGATGTATGCAAAATAAAAAATGAGACCACTTATCACAAAAATTTCTTAGGTGACTCAAAGCTGGAAAGCCTACAAAAAGTAAAATTTTAGGGTGTATGCAAACAAACGAATGAGATTACATAGGGCAATTTAAATTTTATTTTTTTTTTTTTTATTTTTGAACCGCTCTAACTGTATTGTTGGACTAGACTATACCTATGCTGATTTGTTACAAGGAAGCAATCCGTCCGACCGTCTCAAAATTGCAGAGGAATCAATGAATAAATGGGGTTTGATAGCCAAAGCAGACGAGGTTTTAAAATCTTTCAACGAAGATAAGAAGACTTTTGGTCGAGTAGATTTGGAATTTGCTAAGGAAACAGAAGATTTGAACACGTACGTTAAGGATTTAAAAGTCAACCTCATGGATCTCTTCGAGAGTAAAGTAAGCTTGAAGTCTTTAATGTTGTGGATTAACGTTGTATTTTTAGAATGTCCCGCCTCGAGTCAAGGACCATACGGAAACAATCTTGTCTAAATAAGGAAAAATATTGTGTTGTTGTTAAACTTGAGTTGTTGGTTATTATTTCTGTAAATAAACGATATAATTTTTGGAATTGTCCTAGAAAATCATTGCGAAATTACACTATTTTTCAGCAATGGGAAGGCTATAGTATATTGGTATGTGGTTCTGGAGGGTTAGACCTTTTTATTAATTTATGCTCTAAAATTGATGTAATGGTTTGGCGGGTGGTGGGTGAAAATTGAGGCTGTCCTAGGTATTATATACTACTGCCAACATATAAGGCCATTTGAAGAGATTGACAAGACCATCATTCGATTGGCCCTTAGGGGATTTATTTTTGTTCAACAGTGCCGCTTTAAGGCCGTTGGCCCCTCAGGGTTTTAAATCGGCGTTTTCCGAGCTGAGAAACTTTTTTGCTCGGAAGGATTCTTACTTAGGCAATTCACTGCGGGTCAACAGACAAGTCACCAACCATGGTAAGTAGTCTTTATGGTATTACCATAGCATGCTTAACTTCCACAGTAACTCACTTAATTCCTCTTTAAGTACTTCTGGGCTGAGAAGATGGTCTCTGACAACAAGTCCTCCAACAAGCACAATAAGGGGGGCTCGGCACAGAAGCGACATTCTTTGAGGCCATCAGCTGAGCAGTCTGAAGCCGCGGCCATCGCCAGAGATCGAGCGGCCGCTAAGGCGATCAGAGGACCAACTTCGGGGAGTGGCATTTTGATCAACATAATTCGGGCCTTGTCAGCCAGGGCTCTATTTATATTCCATTCTGTAGCAACCATCTGGGCTGCTGTGAATGTTCAAGGGGAAAATTCGATATGGGGATTTGCTCTGATATCAGTCAGTATTGTAGTTGAGGGCGGACATACTATACTGATGAGGGTGGGGGATGAGAGAAAGTGGTTCTCTCCAAGCATCTTACTCTACATTCTTGCAACGGCCCCTCCGATATGGCTACTCGAAACCAAACTTTGTCAATGGAGGCAAACAAATGGTAGGCCACAAATCAACAAAGTTTCATACAAATGTAATTACTACAATTATAGACCAAAGACTAGATAAGATGTTTGAATATCAGATCTTAGAACAGCTCTTACTGGTCGTACTAATAGTAGGAAGATGGTTGCTGCCTAAGGGAGACATAAGTAGAGAACAATTGTCACAGATTTTGCTGGCCTACCTTGTAAGGAACAGTCTATTATTAAAGTATTTGTAGGCGATCTCGTCTGATATTGTGGAATTCTTTGATGTTTTCAAAGAAAGGACTGTTTACTTTAACTTGAATCTTCAGAAGCTGGTTCTCTCCGCTTGGACAGTAAGTCAATTAATTCCAAAAGAAAACATTGGTACTGTAATAATTTAAGCTCTCTCTGTTGCAATTCCCTTTCATTTTGACTGTTAGCCGTGCTCGCAAGATGAGAGTGGCGATTACCGATGACACCGCCATTACCACTAAATCGAGGACCATGTCACAAGTAGGTTCCTGTTCTTCCAGAACCTCTAATCTCCCTTCCAGATCCTATACGACGTTGATATCTGGGCAATCATTGTAGCCAGCTGTTTGCAAGACATACCATTCTTCCTTGTCCGTGTATATCTTATTCTTCAATACAAACTGATCACCTACACGATGATTTTTTTTCTCTCTAAGAATGCATTAATCATCGCTCTGCAGTTTTACCGAGCTGTTATTATCTTCAATGATCGTTATTTACATCCTCGAACAGAGTCCCGTGCGTCACTTGTGATGGAACAAATGAGACGTCCCACCCTGACTAAGGACAACAGCGATCTCCCATCCCCACAACAACCATCTACGGCCGGAGATGAGAAAAAGAAAAGCGATCGAAGAACAAAATCCAGGAAAAGTGTACCCTCCGAAAGCGGTTCGACTGAAAAATTAAAGTCTGTCAATAGACGGGCATCCACTGCCCCTCATGTCCATCACATCAACGTGAAAGTGCTCCGATCAGACGACGAGACTAGTGAGAAGCGCCCGACATCTGCTTTTGATAAATACATTGACTAAGGAATTATATAAATCCTCATTTAAGCTCAGGCATCGGTCAAGGTTGATGATATTGTTCATGGTTAAGACCCGGCCAAAATCTCTTTTGCGACGAAAGGAGAAATATTGCGTAAAATGAAGAGATTTCCTATCTCGAAACTGACTCATTTTATTTTTTTCGTTTTAGGCCCAAAAGATCCGCCTTGTTCCAGGCTATGTTTCCATGAATCCTCAAATAGGGGCGAGGGAAACTCTTGAGAGTAATAACCATTCTATCCCATCTTCCATGTGTAATCAGGATATCTTTGGAGCAAACAATTATCTTTGAGCTAAAACAGAATTTTCCCGTTATTTTCCCGACAGACATACTCACGTGGTGAATATACCCGAATTTTCCGAACCTAATTTCGAATTCCCGAAAATTATTATCTTCTGGTTGGGTCCCGCAAGGAAGTTGGCATTTGCAAATACCGTAATATAATTCTTTTCTCAAAAATTTTGTTCCTTTCGTTTTTTTGTGTTCTTCGCGTTAATTCTTTTTTATTGTTTTACCTTTGGTTGTATAATATTGGGTTTACAGGTTCACCATGGTTGCCGGAAAGAAAGCCCCAGCTCCTAAAGCTGCTAAAGACGTGAAGGGAGCCGCCAAGACCCCTGCTCCAGCTGCCAAGTCAGCTCCCAAACCAACTCCCGTTGAGGTCAAGGCCCCAGCCCCTAAACCAGCTGCCCCCAAGCCTGCCGCGGCCCCCAAGCCTGCCGCTGCCCCAAAGGCTGTCGCCCCTAAGGCCATCCAGAAGCCAAAGGTCCAGAAGAAGAAGACCGGTGGAAAGAAGAAGAAGCAGGTCGTCAAGTACGTCATTGAGTGCAAGAACCCCGTAGAAGATGGTATCCTAAAGACTGCTGCCTTTGTAAGTGCCTCCTTCTTATCTCGTTATTAGGGTTGAGAGACCTACCTACCTCCAAATGGGTTTAGAGATACCTTCTCTAATAAATCCCGTTTGATTTTAGGAAGAGTTCTTGAAGGACCGTGTAAAGGTAAATGGAAAGACCGGACAATTGGCCCAGAACGGTGTTTCCATCACCTCGACCAAGACTGCCGTCACATTGACTTCTGATGGGGATTTCTCGAAGAGGTATCTGAAGTATCTTTCTAAGAAGTACCTGAAGAAGAACTCTCTTCGAGATTGGCTCCGTGTTGTTGCTTCAAGCAAAGACACCTATGAACTCCGATACTTCCAGATCAACCAAGATGAGGAATTGGAAGGTGATGAGTAAAATTTCGATATTTTTGTTGTTTGTTACTTCATAAACTTGATTATGTTGCGTCTTTGGCATTTATCAGAGGTCACTGTCGGGGATCCGTGCTCAACGGTGGCGAATGTATTTTTGTGGTGGTCGCAGGATTGGGCGGGCTAAAGGCCGTGTTTTTAGTTACCTCTTGTGATGAGTGATGTTCCGCCAGTGGATTGTCTTGACCTCAGTGACTTCCAGGTATATAAAAATTAATTCTTAGATTGTCCGTCTTTAGAGGGTGATCAACAAGTTACGAGACCTCGAGGACAAGGTATCATTGAGGTTGAATTGTGAGCTCCCGACCTATTCCTTCCCGAAAAATGCCAAAGAAATTTGCGAACGATTTCAGAAGGAATTGGCGGAGATCCGACGCCAGAGATTAAATGTCATGTACAATTGTTTGCGAGAAAATCAACAGTTTGTTAACCTTAGGAAAGACAAGGAGGAGGGACAGCCATTGTTGACTACAATCATGGGTAATCTCAGATTCATTAGGAACGAGGAAACCGTAGATGAAATCATCAGAGCTCAGACCGATCAAACTGCCAATGAGCGATGCAAGAAGGCCGAACTCAACCCATAGATTTGACTAGTTGCCAATTTAACAGTTTTTGTATAATTTATTGTTATATAAAACGAGAAGACTTCATAAACTTGATATTAGCCAAATTCGCATTAAATACGGTATAAACAATCACAGGTTATGAAGCTTTCCCATTGGTTACTTCCGATCCCTTGGTGCCATTCGTGTGGTCGATCCGTTGGGATTTTGAGGAAACTGGGAAACTATTAGTCTCCGTCTTAAATTGTAGATGCTTTATGGCTTCCATCTGATTATCAAGAAAGCTGAATTTCTCACTGAGTAGCGCACTCTTTGCTTCAGCGGTGAAGAGTAATGACTGTACTGATATTATAGAGGTTTCTAATTCCATTAAAGCCATTCTAGACTTGTGTAGCTTCTCCTGGGTCCTCTTAAGTTCTAACTGTGATGACTCTGCTCCGAGACTTTTCCTTAATGACGAGCAATTACTCGGTTTGTAGAAAAGATGGTACTTCGCTTCATCAAATGGTCGGACAGAGGGAACTGGTATATGAATGCTAGACTAAAAGCAAATATTGCACTTTATGAAAGCGTTACCTTGGCCTCTTTGCTATCTTGGGGCGGACTTGTGGCAACGTCCATAGGTTCGTCGCATCTTGAAGTCAAAGCTTCTTGTGGTAATACCGGGGGCGGAGGTGCTTGTGGTAATAACGGGCTTGCAGTTGGAATAGATGTTTGTGATGGTAAGTGAGGCAACCCTTGAGTGGGAACATCTTTTGGAGAATCTTTGTCTGCGGGTATAAAAGGTCTCTTTATAGGGGGACCTTCCAATCCCGTAGATTCCTCCCTCTCTCGAACTTTTGAGGGATTGTAACTGTTTCTTCCTTGAAAGGGTGATTGGAGGCTTCCTGCGCTTTCCTTGGATGCATTGTGATGATAGCTTGTTGACGGTTTTGCGTTATCTAAAAAATAAATATATGAAAAAGAAATATGTCATTAATTTATGTGAAGGGTACTTACCATGTGTTAGGGGTTGTCTATGCCGATCTTTCTCCTCTGTTATTTTCTTCTCGTATTCTCTCCACACACTTGGTTTTTCCCACTGGGAAATTTCGGTTTCGTGATTGTAATAATACTTTTTGCCGCTAGAGCTGGTCTGCTCGCTCCATGGCCCGACCTCACGAAGCTTACCAGAGGAGCGTTCTTTCATTTTCCGAATAGAAATTAAATTATAATTCTTTAAAACATTATACCGACGTTTGTGCAAAATTATTTTCGTATGGCTTTACTTTCTTCGGGCGCACGTCGCGGGTCGTTTGGTTACGTTTGTATTGATTTTCCTTTGACGTACAAATGCAACTTCGCACCTGTTTTTTAGATTTATTGTGCAAATCGGGGCCATTATATGTATATATATAGGGAATAAAATATCAATTATTATATTCCTTCAGACTTGCAACAACTTAGAAACATGTTATTCTTTAGATCTCACCGTGGGTGAAAGGAAGAACCCTTCCAAAGTCTTGTCCATGTTTCCGAAAATCTAAAATAAGTTACGCAGTTGTTGCTGAATCCCACCTTTTTCCTGTCGGTTTTCACATACTGGTCTTCTCGTAGAGGGCAGTTGATGGACTCTTCTGTCATACTGAACAAGGGTTCAACTGCCTAGATAGGAATAATCGTAAATATTTCAACAATATTAAACTTACCTCGGCATTTCTTTTGAATATCTTGTTTGCGAGATGAACATCTTCTTCTAGCATCTTCACTTCGGTTTCGTTGATAAACTTTAGCCCAGAGATCTTTTCCAATGTGTTTAATTGTTTCTCGGTCAACTAAATTTTTTTTAAACCTTACTCAACGCTTACTTTCACACTTGTTGTTTTTGCAACAGCAGAAATGGAGAGATTTGGAAACATTTTTTTCGAATTTGAACATCGAAAAACAAACAGTTTGGTGCACGGCAAGATAGACATCATCGAGTTTTACAAAATTTCTGTTCAATAGCTATAGATGCTCTAAAAAAGATTTTGTTTGTCTGATAAATCAATATTGTAAACGCAACATTTTTATTTTTTTTATAAAAAAAGTTTTTTATAAAAAAACAGGGGTGGCAAACGGGCCTCTTTTTCCAAATTTCAGGCCCGGGGCCCGGCCCGGCAAAATCCCAGGCCCGGCCCGGCACGGTTCAAAATTTTGCAGGCCCGGCCGGGCCGGGCCTGAAAATGGCTCAGGCCCGCGGCCCGGTAAAAAGCAGGCCCGGCTCAAAATTTGTCAGGCCCGGCCCGATCGGGCCTAAACGGGCCGGGCCTGGCCGGCCCGGCCCGGTGGCCACCCCTGTGAAACCGTTAATCCGATTGGAATTTACCCACGGGCTCGATCCTTCTTGGCACAGAACTCTTTTTTAACATCGGAACAATACATAGGTTTAGTCTTAATCCAATTTGATATTTTACGGCTTGTCAAGACACCAGAGTTCCTTTTAGCTCAAAACAAAATTTTTTTTAGTCAAAAAGCACTTGCATGGTGTTGCGAGATATGTTCTGAGTGGTTTTTCCCCCTTACAAACCAAAATTGGGCAGGGAATTTTTACATATTCTTGTTCAGCATAATTTTGCGGATTTTTGATATATATCTCGCCCTGTAATTCCATACCCCATATAAATGCTTTCCTAGTTAAATTAATTTTGCATTTCCAATCTGAATAATCTAGTCTAGGAGTATAAATAATTGTAGCAAGTGCCGAGGATGGATCCTAAGAACAAAGAAGTGTTAATTGGTCTTGTCGAGAAGTCTCCCGTCATTGAATATGCGGAGCTTCACAAGGCCTTTGGCACCGACAAAGACCGAGTGATGGAAAACATTATTGTGGAAGCGATCTACGAAGGAGCCATACTGGTAAGACTACATTTTTTCTGGTTTATTCTTTAGGGGCAACTTGATCCAAAAAATAGAGTCCTCGAGGTTCAAGACTGGCAAGCCACTGTCCCATCGAATGTGAACGCTCTGAGAGACGTGTTGTCTGAATGGAGGGATCATTGTAAAGGCCTTTTGCGAACATTAGAAGAAGTTGCGAACAGGTAAATTAACTGCAAACACACCGAATGAGACCGGGTAATGATCGAACTTCGTAGCCAATGAACGTTACAAAAACTTTTTGAGTAGCTAGCGAGAGATTTTTTTGCCGTTTGGCTGGCTAAAACATTGGATTGGTTAGCCAGTGTTAGAACCGCTGTGGAGTCTCGAAAAAATAACCAAAGGGGGTTCGAGTATGCTAGATTTAAAAAGTTGGGATGGCTGTAAAATGATTGGCATGTCGACTAAATGGCGGGCCCACACTTGCGGGCAACCACCTTGCGGGCAGCTTGAAATACCACGGATATTCTGCGGACATGTTATGAAATCAGCCAAAATTTGCTTACAACTGGAAATTCATACGATGGTCTTCACGATTAGATGTTGCGTATTAAGTTTCCAGGTGTATAAGTGGCTTGAATAGCCATCATAAGCTTATTCAGGCATTTTTTACCATTTTTTGAAAACAAACTCCCATAACTTTGAAAGCAGTGGATGAATTTAATGGATTTGTGTACTTATCCGTACCAGGGAGTTGTCAATGTAAAATTTCTATCGTACTACGTAGATTACGGCAGGAAAATCGTAATTCTAATCAAAAAAAAATTGGCTGCCCGCAGAGAGGTTGCCCGCAAGTGTCGCGACGCCCGACTAAATTCGATGGCTTGCCATTTGTGGAATCCCAACAAAGATTTTGCTGTATTTACACGATTGATCCTTTTGTATTTAGAGCCAACGAAGACGCTCACAAATTGAAAGAAGATGACGAAAGGATGGAGAAACTAATTGAGAGCAAGAGAGAGGAGCTGGACCATATTGGCCGAAATCCCCGTCACGACGACCGTATGGCCAGAGCGTTCAAACGGACAAAGAATTTGCCTGCGAATGGTAAACGAGGACATTAAAGGCGATATTTGCAAGGATACTCAACCGCACGTTTATATTCTCCATAGGCGTTTCTTCAGAGCGGGTTATAAAAGGTGTCAGGCACTCTACTCACCTAATTTTATTATTTTATTTTCAATAAAAAATAAACAACAAACTTAGCGAATATTATAGCAAACAAAACATTAGGTCCGGAGCGACATAAGGACACGTGAGTGGGCCTTGAGGTCTTCAATAACATATTCATGAAGGTATAAGGTGAGTTTTATGGTTAACGAACGGAATTACGAAGAGCAAATCTTATAGTGGAATTTGGAGTCGATGAATTTTCTGAGTTCAGGGCAATTAAAGACCACAGGGCCATGGAAGGGAATCCTAACTTCAGCCTCGTCCTCCAAGCGGAGCAACTTCTCGAAGTCAACAATCCTTGAAGCCTCCGAATTTCCTTGCCGGAAGCATTCGATATGGTAATGACCTGCGTTATGTGTCGGCGAGATCTTCACCGAGTACTTAGAAACCCTAAAAGTCAACACATTAAGTATGATCCAAGGTACTAGTATTTATGTCCAGAAAGCGTGTAGCAATCTTTTCCGTCTTTTACTGCGGCTAGCCGTCGCAAAGCGATGATGGGCGATTTTTTTCAATCTGACGTCGAATTGCCGTCACTTGCGTCACTTTGGTTAAATTGTAAATTTTGATATGACTAGAAAGCATTCAAATGCGAGTTTAACATGGACTACGATGAATAATACCGTCTATACATATGAGTCGTAACTAGTTTTACTGCTTATTTCATCCGTCGTTTTGCCAAGAAGGGGCAACTTAGTTCAACTTGAAATTGAAATGACAGAACAATTTGACATGGCAAAAATGACTGCAATTTGACAACGTGACTGACGCATCAAATTGACGAATAAACAAACCTAAGATTAGGCCAATTTTATAGATACCCGAAATTCCGGGTATTTACCCGGGAATATCCCTTTTTCTCTCTAGTTTCAGACAATGAAATGCACGAGCCTTATATTCCAATTGCACAGTGCGGAAAGCTTCGCGAACAAAAGTCTATGAATTTTATGGAAAATCTAGGATAACCGGCCATCATAATAAACCAAAAAGTGGGAAACGCCTGGAAAATGAACAGCACAAAAACTCACTGCTTAGGTGTTGTAGGGTCGTCCAGAAAAAGAAGTTTTTTGCGGATAAGTTTATCTGCGTTCAAGAGAATTCCCTCCTTTTTCTCAAAAGCTTTTTCTTTCTTCTTAATGAACTTCTTCACTTTTGTACTCTCCTGTTGAGACGGTGAGATCGATGGGATGCTTAAAATACACAATACTCGAACTCAAACTTCTTGCATACCCTCCAATAATGCTCTTAATACATCCGCTCTCATACGCCTCAAACAGTTCCATTTGTGCTTGCATTTCTTTCTTGGTCCTTTCACTGTAGCCGAGAACATTCTGGAGATCTCTGATTTGGACCAACCGGCTCTCACGGCGTTCCCTGTCATTCCTAATGTCCTAAACCAGCAGTTGTAAATTTCATGGGCACTTACTTGACCAATGGCGCGAAGGATTTCGGAAAAGTCGGATGAAGCGTTAATAATTCCTTGCTTTGAAAGTAAGGTCAGATTCATGGCCAGCCTGGCTTGAAGAGCGTGTGCTTCCTCCAGATTCTCATCGCTGACCCCTTTGAGAGTACAATTCTCGATCAATTCTTTCACCGAATCGCCCGACAAGCTCAATCTCAAGAGCTTCACAACCAAAAGCTTGGTTCTGAAAGCTGATTATTAAAACGCAATTCTCCCTACTCCAGCTTCACATCCCCGGCAAGCCGATCGTCATTCAGCCGTGCTTCTGGAAGTGCTCTAAGATGTAAGTCAATCACATTTGGAAGATGTTCGAGGGTTTCTGTACAGGGAGGACGAAGATCTTTGAATAAAGAAAATAGCTGGCTCTCCCTGTCCGCTTCAAAGTCATCAGCATGAACAGCCAGTTTATCGGCCAAGAATGAGAGCGACGTTTTTTGGACCTTGATGGTAGTGGATGGAAGTTCAAGAAGTTGTGCGTAGTGGCCAAGCCCATACAGAAGGACAGGAGGTTTGTCTTTATTCCGTAGCAAATGAGTTTGTGCGACGTCTCTATAAAGTAATGGGGGTTACTGCCCTTAGGGGGGCGCCCTTACGGGGAACGTACGGAGTGGGAACGTAGGTGGCCTTTACGGGGTCAAGGCAAATCTTGGGTTGCCGGGTCCCGGGGCATAAATAATTTTATTTTTTCAACTACTGACTACTTTTTATCAGTCGGTCGGGAAAATAACGGCGGGTCGTCGGAGCAAAACGTCTCGCCTCGTCGAAAAAAGGGGTGCAGTCGTGCACCAAAGTCCCAGCCAGAGATTGCCACGGCTCCGGAGCCGGCTCTTGGCTCCGGCTCTCAGCGGCTCCGGCTCCGTGCCGGGAGCCAGAGCCGGAAATTTTGGGGTCGGCTCCGGCTCCCGAACCCAAAGCCGGAGCCAGGCTTCCCAGCGGTCGTAAAAGTAAAAATTTCGTGATCTTGTTAAACCAAATTGCTTGAAAAAAACACTGCGGAGGATGTGACTTGACTGCAAAAAAGTTGGCTGTATGATATCTGGCACTAATAGCTTTTACTTTTGGAAAAATATTTAAAAAAAAACATATTGCATAGGAGCCGGGATTCGGAGCCGGAGGCCTATTTAAATTTTGCACGGAGCCAAGAGCCGGAGCCAAAATTTTGACCGTGGCAATCTCTGGTCCCAGCTGCGGCTTGCCGTTGCAAATAAGCATGGATGCAAACCGGGCCAGCCTGGCCCGGGCTTGGAAAATTTTGAAAGCCCGGCCCGGAAAACTTTGATACTAGGTTGGGAATAGACTTGGCTCTCGGGCCGGCCCGGCCCGAAAATTGAGAAGAAGTAAAAAACCTTAATTCGCTATTAGATGTGATATATTTTTCTTTACTATAACAACTAACAGTACATTTTTAAAGCAAAAAATTACTTATCAACGCATTGCCTTTCTAAAATTAATCAAAAAATTCCCGAGATCCGTTTTCAGACTACTAAAAATTGCCCCAAGATCAATGTTATAGAAGCAAAGGTGGAACCACGTTTATCAAGGTTTTCAACTTCCAGATGATAGTGTTGCTTCACACGACTTCTTAATTGTGTTTTTAAGGATGTTGGTTACGTTTATTTTGAGTGTTTGTTCAAAAAATTACTACAAACACTAATATACATTAGTACTTAATAGATTTTACTAGTAAAATTACTTATTATTAGCTATTTTTGAATACTTCCTTGCTTTATTTTTATAAAATTATGCTTACTGTGAGAAAAATATAAACCCCATTCCTAGCTTTGCGTTTTAATTTTATTGGCAGCCCAACTTTTCACTTTGAAATTCAGAATTTTAATTTTGCCGGGCCGGCCCGGGCCGAAAGTTGCGGCCCGGAACAGGTCGGCCCGGCCCGTTTCAATTTTGCTTTGGCCCGGCCCGGCCCGAACACCGGCCCAGCCCGGCAGCCAAGTCTAGTTGGGAAGAAAGAAAGTGGGAAATGAAAAGAAAATTATGGCAAATTTTCGCAAAATGTAAACAAGAGTTTAGCAAACGCTGTGGAAGTACCTCAGAGTTTTCAACCATCTATTTTTTTCAAAAATTTTACAATATTACGTCATAAAAATAAGTCAGTAATTGAAAAAACAAAATTATTTATGCTCCGGGACCCGGAATTTGCCTTGACCCCGTAAGGGCTCACCCCTACGTTCTCACCCCGTACGTTCTAACCCCGTAAGGGCGACCCCGTAAGGGTAACGTCAGACATAAAACAAAAATAACTCACTGGAAAGCCTGCCCAATTTTTTCTAAATCATCTTGATAATCCGAGAGCCCAGGGAGACCAACCTGAAAGAGATGCAAGCCCAAGAAAACGTTTCTTACATTTACTTCGAAAACAGATGCAAAGAGAACCTGCTGAACAAGGCCTAAGAATTCCTTGTGTTTCTCATCCAACTTAACATCGCATCCCAGCAGTTCGGCAGTTAATCTTTCAATTCGTAAATAAGGACCCAATCCCAATTCGTAGACCAAGGTCCTTTCGTGAAGCAAAACCTTACGATGATCCATATCACTAAAGGTAACTAATTCTTCTTCCACCGTTCTTAGCAAGAAATCATGTGCAATCCTGAAGCACAAATATACATGCATAAAGTCAATAGTCTTACGGCAATTCCACATCGCTAGCAAAAACGAATGCAATTTTTGAAGCCCATTTTATGACCAATCTGACAGAATCAGACACTTTCTGTTTCATTAACTCATCGATGTTATGGAGTCCACGAGCTACAATATCTCGCATCAGAAGAAGTCCTGCACTGACCTCAAGGGAAAACTGAATAGATGCCATCTCTTTGAGAGCTTCACGAAGTGCCTGCGTTGAGCGAATACGGAAACATTCTGTACTCCTAAATACAAACTACCTCTCAAAAAAATTTACTTACCAAATGACGTCACTCATAAAATCGGAGTAAATGAAATAATCAGGATCAAAGCTGAACTTTTCTCTACGGCTTTGGATATGGAAGGACAACAGATTACCGATGAAAATCATCATTGACAATTCTTCCATTGGAGTCCTGCCATAATTATAGAGCTGGCCAAAGTGTTTGAAGAAGTTCTTGCTGGGATTGTGAGTAAGCACGGATTTCACAAAATGAGCCATTCTTCCGCTGTTAACCCTCAAGTAATACAAGAGAGTGCTGAGGGAATCGAAAAATTTCTTTTCATCACTTCTTTCCTTGGCTTTCTCATTCGCCTGAACCACGTCTTCTTTTTGTTTTTTGGCCGATTTTGGATCCGGGGTATGCTAAACTGTGTTTATCTCCAGCATTAATCGAACATACATTCAAACTTCTGAAGTTCTTAAGCAGTAAACCAATGTTCAACTCTGTATCTCGAAGTCTCCGATCCATGTCCATGTTCTGCTCGATTACCTTGCGGGCCTGGGACTTAAGGTCCTCCAATACTAAAACCCCGTATTTATCTAAACATTAACTTACAAATCTCTTCATCGTAAATATTCGAATTCTTTTGAAGAACGCTAATAAGTTTCCTAACAGATTTTAGAGCGGGAACCGAGGCATTCACTGCAATATTACGACATTAAACACGGATTCACAGCCTACTCAGATCATAAAGCACTTCGTTGTCGCCCAATGTCTTTAGGGCTTGCGTGACAGGGGTTTCCATCAGGATATTCTCATCCTCCAATCGTTTTTGGGCCTTGCCCACACATCTCTGCACATGGCAAATATATAATTTACGAAAGTATAGGTTTCATAAACACGGCATGAGAAGAGATATTACCTGAAAATCTGTCACATCCAATGGCCAAGTCTGAGGATTGCTATTGGAACTGGAAGAAGGAAGAATCCTCAGCTCTTCGTTCCCATTCTCATCTACCTGTTCGACTTTGAATTCTCCAAATTCGAATTCGTGTTTCATACAGTATAATCGTTTCTGTTTCTTTCCATCCGATTTCCTGATGAGTTCAGCATCCATACAATTGAACAGATTATGTAATTGATCTGGCTTCACTGGCTCTTCAATCAAGACGGAGATGTCTTCAACTATCTTATCAAAGTCCTTGCGGTTATTTGTCAACAAACCCTCATTCAAGGCGAACACTGAAAATAAAAATTGGGCCTCAAAAGAGGAAAAGAAAACAAATTTAACAAAATTAAAATTACTGCGGAGGGCGACTTTCTTCTCGGTCTCCACCTTCCAATTTACTTCCTTCACGACATCTGCGAGATGCAAGAAGACATGCTCAAGGAGAAGATCGTCCTCATGAAAAATATAATTCAAATAGAAATCCTCGTTCCGTTCATCAAACTGCCCGGAAGATCGTCTCAAAATGGACAATAAAACGTTGCCATCTTTCTCAAACACGGCCGTCCGGACTGAAAAAAAGATGAGAAAAATCTGTAAGGAAGTAACATCCAGACAACTCAACTCTCAAAAATATTGTATGATTGTTACAACACTTGTCATCAGCTGAAATATACCACAAACCCCCACAATTTGATATAAACTTACAGTAAAACAAATCTGCTTGAAAAACAAGTTCGTCAAGACCAAAGCCATAAAGCAAAGGTGCGTCGACATTCGAGTAATACTGGATTAAGTTTTCAGCATAGCGTTCGGAAAATTCTGGAGTAACAATTGGCTTCAGTTGCAGATTCGGATCCCGCAGGGCTTCGTAAATCCGGACAGGATGTTTACCTAACGTAGCTTCGCGAAGGTCGGCGGCAGCATTGACTACTTGAAAAGAATATACTATTAGAAACGGAACCTTTCATTGGCCAAATAAAATGACGTCACCGAAAGGCCATGCACACAAGAAAGGTCTCATTTTTTGTCCCATGCGCAAAGCGCAAGCTTCTTTTAAGCAAAATAAAGTTTTACCAGCTACAACGCGTTCAATGCTTGCTATATCCAACTCTTCCTTCTCCGAGAGAATTCGAAGTTCATTCAGATAGACTTGCAGGTAGGCCTCCAAGACCCGGCCGTCACAGATATCCAGACTGAGAATAACGTGCGCCAGCTCCTTAAGGTCCACTTCTTTTACCAATAACAGAGTGTGAAGTTTCTCGAGACCGTTGCGTCTATTCACTTCGTCAATCGCTCTTTGAACATCATCCAATCCAATATCACCCGCATTCATACTCAACATTGTCGATAAAACCTCAAAATATTGCGACATATAATCCTGATCAACATGAACTATGAAATTGTTGGAAGTGAAAAGTCTTATAAATCCCTCCAAATCCTGAAATATATTACTCAAAGTTGATAGAATAAGGTAATCCTACATTTTCCAAAATACAAGCCCGCAAGTTTTTTAAAATCATTTCCACTGAAGGTTCATCTGGCAAAGCAATGGCCTGAGCTGCAGTGGGACCAAGTGCAAAGTTTCCATTTGCCAGGCCGACTTTTGAGCCAAGAATTTTATAGGTTTCTTCTGAAAAAAATTAAATTAATCAATTTCCTCATACGAACTCACCAGTAAAACGAACGTTTCCCGTCTGATCTCTAATCGGAGGAGACTTCCGAAGTCTGTACAATTGATTGGCCAGAGTCACCAAAGCGAGAACGGTCTTGATATTCCGTCCAGCATAGACATCGACTGGGTCTGGGAGGACAATCTAAAAAAAGAAATACCCCGAAATTAAAAACGTTCAAACAGTTGTTTATTACAAAAACGTACATCCTTGATACGCACAGATAAGCACGCTTTTCGCCAGAGATTTATGTTGTCCGTGTGTCGATAATGAAATCCTTCGTCGTGAAGACGGCTCTAAAATATGGTCAAATGTCCTGAATGTCAACCAACCTCATCCAAGTCAAAAATCTTCTCCAATGGGACTAAATCGGGCGCAAAGTAATTGGCAATTTTAGCCAACAAAACTCCGCTCCTCAAGGCCTCTTCCAGCTCGATGGGAGAGGGCACATCCGCTTCGGTCAGGCATTCAGCCAGCCAACTGGAATAACACAATGTTACGTAGGAAAAGCAAAGAGTTATGCAAAAAAATTGGTCTAACGCCTTCGGTAAACCAAAAATTTTGTCGAAAAATTACGTCCCAACTCTTACCTTCTAACTTCATAGAGACGATAAACATATAGCCTGATATTTCTGCGCCGTCTCTCTTCGTCCAGATCAGCTGCTTCATCCTGAGTACTGGGCTCCAGATTTGTGGCCTTTCTAGTCATTGGTCGTCGAAATGACGGACGTCTAAACAAGCATGTTACCCATAAAAAGTGGATTCCACTTTGATTTACCGGAACGAGATAGTCCTTGAGACTCGACGTCGAAGGGCCCGGCCAAGATCTAACATTGTATGAGGACAACAAAAACAACCACTTCACAGCCAAAATTTTGCAGAGTTTGTTTTCACAAAATTTTAAAAAACAAAAAACGCCGTACTGAGATTTTCGTGGTGGGAGTCAAAACAAAATGCAAAAATCAAAAAATTTAAAAAATCTTATCAAAAATACAACAACGACCCTTTGCGAATCCGCTTCTGCTTACTATAAAAAGGGGTTTACGCAACAAATCGCTCTGCAATTCCGATTCCGTATATATCGTCACGGTGCTTGAGTTCTCACGGTAAGAGGCGAAAGTGGTGGGAATCTTATTAAAAACAGTCGAAACCGTCCCCTCAGGAGCTCGAAAAAAGAGGAAAACTAATTGAAATCACTTGCTCCAAAATATTTTCCCTCGAATCCAAAGCCGATTAATTTTATTGCGCAAGACAGAAAAATTCTTAACACAACAGGGCCCTTTCATCTGATAACAATGTTTTCCTTTGTGTATTCACCAAATAAAACGGATCTCCCTCAATATAAACAGCCGGCGTTTGGACAAAGTGGACAAATCAAACCTTTTTTGTGATTTTTTATGGTAAAGTTAATTCAGCTTCAGGGTAGATTAGGGGACGAAATGAGTGTTCGAGTTTACTTTGTTATATGTAAACATCCAAACAAAAGTTGAGAACGATAGGTTAAAGCCGTCCGGGAGGAAGGCAAACGCTGCACTGTTACCTAAATATAATCATCATAGATAAATTGTGTCTTTAATTTGTTCACATAAGAGATGTTTGTTTTTTATTTTACTTTTTCTGGTTTGCAATGTAATGTAATTCGGGTGTACGGTACTTAGAATGTAAGTCTGGCCTTCGCACTGGTTATTAGCCTTATGAGTAACACTTTAAGTATTCCCACATGCCAGATTGGACCGAAATCAGTAGTTTGATAATAAATAAACAGAATAAAAAATTGTCCGAGCACACCTGGAAGTACATAATTACGGCAAAGCATTTTGATATTTCGGGAATAATTAATAAAGCAGCTCATATTATTATTAAATGAAACGTCAAAACTTTGCGAACCGTTTGGAGACGATGAGCAGTCCAACTTTACGTTCTTGGCATGGAATAGAGCAACGGATGTTTTCCCGAAAGCAGTAAGTCTTCGTATCTCATACGAAGAAGATAAGTATGGTGGGAGTTTAATTAGATACTGACATAACTTCTACAAACAAAGAAGTGAGGACAGTCTTCTGATTACCCTAAATTGATTTCGCCTACACTTTTTACGTCACATCCGATTGCGTGAGCACTGATCTTTGCCGAGCTCCGATCATTTTTTGTAAAAGCGTTTGCGATTTAAAATTTTGAGCCTCTCCCACTTTTTCTACGTGAAGAAGCACTGTTATCTGTGTTTAATTGATACCCCATCAGTTTTGACCGACTCGGATTACTGTATGTCTAACATTCAAAGTACCATAACTCCAAAACCCCCCCCCTTTTATTTTCCTAAATTTTTGATATGTTGTTACACATATGACAAGGTGTTTTTGAAAGGTTTCAAAAGTTGAGACAAGTTGAATACCGGAAAGTTATATTGAACATGGTATCTTGGCATTTCTCAAACCGGTCGAAGGCTACATCCTAGAACAAAACCGTTAATTACAAAAATGTTTCCCATGGTCGAAAACGTATTTTGGCAATGTTTGCGGGTCTTCTACACCGATTTTGAAAAAGGTGATTTTTTGATATACCGTACCGGCAACATTCAAAGTACGATAACTCCAAAACCCCCCCCTTTTATTTTCGCGCATTTTTGATATGTTGTTACATACATGTCAGAGTGTTTTTAAGAGGTTTCAAAAGTTGAGACAAGTTCTCTGCAAAAAAGTTACATTCAATATGGTACCTTGGTATTTTTCAAAGTAGTCGAAGGTAACATCCTACGGCAAAGTTGTCAATTATGAAAATGTTCCTCATGGTCAGAAACGTAAAACAGCGGAGTTTTGTGCTGTTACTCCTTGGGGTTTTTACACACGAACCCAATCTATCTGAAAATTGTACCTACCGTAACCCCCGTATACGGTAATTTCCGAAACTAAAATTTCGTGCTGACGCTCAGCTATCATTGTACAACAGCTATGCAAAATATCAAAAGATTCTGAGTTGGTCGTTTTCTCGAAATGTCCGGGCCATCCTTCGAGTTGTGAAAAACTCTCTTTTAACCCTTTCCGGACGAGTCGGCACGTATATATTAAAATGAAAGAGGGTACCCTACTGAGTAACGGCATAATAGTGGTTCAGCCCATCGAAGCGTTATTTGGGACTTATGACAAAAAATGTCCTTAAAAGTACCCCCACTTGACATATCACTTTTAAAATTTTTGCGACAAGCTGTAAATCGGAAACTACCCCTAAATTAAAGTCGAGGAGTCCTAGTATTGTTACATCCAAGAACTGTCCAAATCGGAGCACTATAGGATTTGTTATCGATTTTTGGAAATTGAATTTTTAATTTTGGTCAATTTTGGGCCTAAAATCAAGTATATCTTCCGCCGGTATCAACCATTTCGGTCCAAACGTGGTTTTTCCGAATCTATTGTGATCCTACCTTCTTACTAGAACATTTCCACAAAAAACCTATGAGGCATATTTCTGTAAAACGCGGAAATGTTGAAAGTGTAAAGGTTTGATCGTATAAAATGTCGCCGCGAGCCGCGAAGGGACGGGCGCAGCTCGAAACGAGAAAATAATAATTTTTTCTTCAAGAAATATTATTTTGGTGTCGAAAAGCTGATTTCAACACGAAATACAGGCAGAAATAGCACGCAAACATTACCTAAATGCCATTTTTATATTTTTACTCTGTTTTCAGGCAATTTCAATCGAGTTTAATTTGGTTTCACGCTAAAATCAAACTTCTGGAAAAATTTTAAAATATTTTCTCGTTTCGAGCTGCGCCCGTCCCTCCGCGGCTCGCGGCGACATTTTATACGATCAAACCTTTACACTTTCAACATTTCCGCGTTTTACAGAAATATGCCTCATAGGTTTTTTGTGGAAATGTTCTAGTAAGAAGGTAGGATCACAATAGATTCGGAAAAACCACGTTTGGACCGAAATGGTTGATTCCGGCGGAAGATATACTTGATTTTAGGTCCAAAATTGACCAAAATTAAAAATTCAATTTCCAAAAATCGATAACAAATCCTATGGTGCTCCGATTTGGACAGTTCTTGGATGTAACAATACTAAGACTCCTCGACTTTAATTTATGAGTAGTTTCCGTTTTACAGCTTGTCGCAAAAATTTTAAAAGTGATATGTCAAGTAGGGGTACTTTTTAGGACATTTTTTGTCATAAGTCCCAAATAACGCTTCGATGGGCTGAACCACTATTATGCCGTTACTCAGTAGGGTACCCTCTTTCATTTTAATATATACGTGCCGACTCGTCCGGAAAGGGTTAAACACTCACTACTAAACTTAGATGATTCATTTATTAATTAAAACGTAACAGAGAGATGAGAATGGGAACTGTGATGAACAACAGAAACAATTAACAACAACAATTGGAGTGATCTTCTTTACTCCTCGTCGGAGCTTTCAGAAGAAGATTCCTTGGCCTTTTTCTTGGATTTCTTTTCTTTCTTGGGGACTTCTACTTCTTCCATCTCAACATCCTGAGTTGCACCATTTCCATTCGCGTTCTTCAAGTCAACGTAACCAGTTTTCCAATCAGCTGGTGTCTTTTCATTGGGTTTTCCGAATTTGTCCAAAAGACCTTGTTGAATAAGCGCCTTCTTCTTCGAGGCAACTGGGCCCAAACCCCATTTGCGAGAGTAGGTGTCTCTTTCCATGATCACCCTCTTGATCTTGGCTACAATTCCGTGATCAGTGCTGGCCATGGTTGAAGTTGTCATCGCGGCCAAAGCTAAAGATAACGATAAAAATAAAACAGCTAATGTAAATTACAATTTATAGAACAGATGTTATAAACTCACCAATGGCAATAGCTTCGCCCTTTGTAGTAATTATAACAATCTCTTGTCCAAGCTCAATTCCATCTTCATAACGGAGAACTCCGGGAAGAAGAATCTTGGCTCCATAACAAACTGCATTGACCTAAACGAACAAATAAAAACATTTGAGATCCATCTTACCGAGCTGTCCTTCATAACGATCCTTTTATGTTGTGTGAGGAGGGCTTCCAAAGGCCTGACAACGCATCTCAGATAATCTTCGTCCTTGTAATGATCATAGGCAAATTGAGCATCAATCAGATCGTGCAGAGTAACCATGTTCGCATTTTCATCCGATACTCCAGAACGAACACGACGAAGTTCCTGCATTTGACCCCCCACACCGAGCAAAAGACCAAGATGAACACAATGAGTACGAACATAAGTACCGGCTTCACAAGACATCCAGTAGACTCCCATTCCGTTCGATTTATCGTACTCAAAAAGCTTTGTTTCATAAACTGTACGGACACGGAGTTGACGCTTGACAGCCGAAATCAACGGTGGACGTTGGAATTGGGCACCAGTCAACTAAAACAAAACAAATTTAGCATATTCTTACTGGTCGTTTTGTAAACTTAAAAAGAACAAAGAAATGCATTCACCTTCTGAAGAGTTTGCTTAATTTGGGCTTCGTTCTCAACAGGAGTGTGAAGTTTGAAAACGGCAACATACTCCTTTCCAGAGCCTTGCTGGGACTTGGCAAGTCTAGTAGCCCTGTCAATGCAAACAACTAGACATCCAGACACGGCTGGATCAAGAGTTCCGCTGTGGCCGGTTTTGTTGACTCGGAGGATTCTCTTAACCCATGCTACGACTTCGTGACTGGAAGGATTCGAAGGCTTGTCCAAATTAATATATCCACTGGCCACATAATCAGCAATTGGTCTCTTCAGAGGACTGCAACCTTCTTCTAAGGGAGTATAGTGTCCAGTCCTCAAGTTGAGTTTGTCAAAATTCTAAATTTTCAAACTGGTTTATTTTCAGAAAACAAAAATACAGTCGTAAAAATTATAAAGATACAAACCTTCAACAAGAGAGGCCATTTTTTGGCGTTTAGCTTTTCCGTCTCTCCTGATGGCAGAATTTGATCCTGGGATTTGTCCTTCTTCCCCATCGGCGCAGTTTTCTGTCCAGGCGACGGAAAAAATTCTAAAAACGAGAAAAATGGAGGAGAATCCCACGAAACGCCGCTTTGGCGTTTCGTTTCAGATTTAGGACGAAGTGTCAATATTGATTGGGGAGATGTTACGATTAGTTTTTCATTTTGTCGATGTAAAATCTGTTACTCCATTGTTTTATTTATTCTTATAAAGGTCATACGAAGTCTGCACGGAGATCTACGGTTTGAGTAATGGTAGAACCAGTTGTATAATGAATAATTCATGTACATCTCCGGATGTTACTTATCTCACAAAGGGACTTGGACGGGACAACAACGCGGAACGAGATCCTGAAAGGGTTGGATTTTCTCTAATCTCTGTCGAGTCACAAGGCCAACATGTCGGCTGTTTACCAACATAAAATATTGGATTAGGGACTTACTTAGGTGAATCTCCACTCAAAATAGGAGCCGACGATGAATATTATTAACGAATGGGGAAATTGGTCGGATTATCATTTTTTCCCGTAATTCATGACAATATTTATATACGTCTCAGTAGATGCATCGATTCTTTTTCATACTCTTTGGATCGGCAACGGAGCATTATGAGCAGATGCCACCATACAGGGCCGATTCTTCTTATAAACATCATTAAAATTGAAAAATAAATACTTCCTAGAGTACTAGTCGCGCCATGAAGTCCGTAGAGTTTTTTCGGCAACGTCGCAAGGTGCGCTCGCAGAAAAGTGCATGTCGCTAGTGCAAAAACGGGAAGTCGCAGCAGCGCGAAAAGAAAACGCACTGTGCAAAATTTTATGGACTTTATGGCGCGTCGCGACGTAATAAGAACGTATATGCGTTTCAAAACCCCTGAGAATACGTCATTATTTATGGAAATGGACGTGAACAACAACTTTTTTGACCTAAAACTTGTTCTGTTCTCGGAACGCCGGTATGTTTTGACCTGAATTATCAATAACAATTCGCTAAACTTTTGCTTTACTTGCGCACAAACAACAGATCAATTATTGTGGGTGTTTCGAAAAGATTGAATTTGGTTTTTCCTACATTGTTTTTGCAATCCTTAGGCCTTGCGTAGTATTAAAATTTGCGTTTTTCTGTGTTTCCGACGTTTATCTATCTTATTTTAGGGAGTAATTTGAGGCTAGGGACATTGAATTTGGGGACGGCACATCCAGAAAAATTTCCGTCGGCTTAGCTGGTACATTGCACTTACATATTTACATGTCTTCGGAAGCGTGGGTTTCGACCGAAAACATGGATTATTGTAAAATTTATATATGAAATAAGGGTTTTCTGATTGTTTGGTTCACATAATAGATATAATAATAATTCGGAAAAATGGGTCACACTTACAGGGGAAGTACTCCAAGTGCGACGCTCAGATTTTGATGAAACTTGGCACAAATTTAGAATAATTTTTTATAAGATATATGCGAGAATCCTAGCTCGCGCTTTGCAGAAACAACCGAGATTTTTAGAACGAAAGTCGGCCAAAATTTAGGACTTTTTGCCGAATTTCGGCACAAAAAGTTTCATGCCTATTTCTACCGTAAAGATAATGTTTCTACAAAAAATCAAATTTTTCCGCACAAAACTACCAAAGTTATGGCCAAAAAGCGGTTTTCTCTCTGACCACTCTCCACGTTTAGCGTGCTCTCTCGGCGGCAAAAATCGTTCGATGTCTCGGCGGCGCCCGCAAAGCGCGAGCTAAAACTTTCAGGAATTGATATTTAGTATATGCCCGACGTGTGTGCAAAATTTAAAGAAAATCTGAGCGTCGCACTTGGAGTACTTCCCTTGTTAGTGTTAACGATGTCTTAAATGGGCTACGTACAATCATTGTGTTGGCATTGTAAGTGGGTTACGTGTTTTAAAAGATTTTATCAACAACAGTTAATTTAACTGGTGCGTTCTGCAGTTTCTTGGACCTCCTTTGTTACGCAATCTGAGTCAAGAACTTCGCATTTCTTGTCTACAGGGGCCAGAGACGAAAGGAATCCGGATTTCTGAGGTCAGAAAAAACGTATAACGCACGCGCTTTATATCTTGAGTTGGTTATCCTGTTCTTCATCTATTTCTACGTGCCCTTGAATACCCTCAGACGGGATCAGATTAAGTTGTGATGTCCTCTAATCGGCTTTTAATACACTTGTTTGTACGTTTCGAGAGATTAATCATGTTATCGAGGGGATTGTGACTACTGTATGTCACTTTTCTCTGCAACAACATATTTCCCCAATTAATCCGACCAAGTTAAACACAACAAAACTCTTTTTAATTCCTATACATAATCAATGGGACCAAGTGAGCACAAAAGTATATAAGTATATGCTGGCTGTGCAAGGCTGCATATCAGTTTCTGTGGAGGCCAGAGCAGCATTTACACCATCACGAATGGAGTTTTAATATTCCCCCGCGATAAACAAACAATCCCAACCTTTAAGGGTATGCATAATAACTATGCACATCAGTCAAATATCTGCTCTTCTTATCACCAATTTAACCGACCGTCATTTGGCGAAAATTGATCCCCACGTGCGGGCAGTGTAATGTAATTTATTTGATAAAAATTGAAGAAAAAAAGGATGTATATTCGAAGTACATTTAGAATATTCAAATGAAACACACGACAGGCACAATGATTTCCCGTTTTGTCCGCAAAATACTAAAGTTAATCAACAAAAAGTTTCTAAACTAATGAATACTTTGTTTGATAAAGAAAAATAAAGGAAAAAAAAAGTGATTCACTATAAAAATCTAATTCAATCATTAGATCATGGATTAAAATTAAAGAAAATACATAGAATCTTGACATTTAAGGAAACTAATTGGATGGAAACGTACATCATGTTGAATACAAATTTGAGAAAGAAAGCCAAAGACAAAATCTTTTTATTGTGGATTTCTTCGTTATCGGGAAGCCATTGACTAGTGTAAAGGACCTTCACGAAAGCGTGCGCATGGCAAATAAATTCAAGTAAGTCATTCATTTATTTGCGGTAATACTACTTATATACTAATTTCAGTCAGACTCTGGGTACTTTCGACGAACGGCTCAAAATATCTGTGGACTATTTAAAGGATTCAAATTTTTCGACTATTTTTGAAAGCTCCGTAGAATCCTTTTTTCAAACCCAAACGCCTGTGTTCGACAAGAGTCTTTTGGTTTTCGACAAACTTCAAAAGACGAATGATCTCAAGGAATATGTCTCCAATGTGCGTAAAAACATCAAATTATTTGACGTTTACTCTTTTAACGAATAATAAAAAGTTTTTTTGGGGGTGTCCCAGGTTTTTTTGAAAATTGTCTGGTTCGATAATTTGGGTAATTTTGACGATTTGAAGGGTAAAAATTGGTGGAGGGTGGCGGGGGAGTTTGGGTTGTCCCAGATCTGGGCTGAATAATTTAAGATATTGATTTTATAGAATATTTTTGTGAAAATGTATGCTTTTTAACTGTTTGTAGTTGATTTATTGAGATGTGGAATCGACGGGTGGTGGGGGAAAATTTAAGGTGAGCCAGAAAAGCCTATTATATATACTACTAAGGGTGCAAGTCATCTATCGACTTGTGATCGGAGTCGGCAGAAAGTGCTGTAATTTCGTAGAAAAACCAAGAATTGCATCCGGACCTTTCCAGATCACTTTATCTTTACTGTTGATCCTCCCTTCTGTGCTGCATCAGCAAAAAAGAGACAGATTGTGGTCTTGACGTTCAGAGAAGTCAAGTGATTGGTTCCAAATATTATCTTTATTAACGCAAAAAATTTAATTCCCATAAAAGGAATTCCTGGTACCATAATTGATAAGTTTTGGAGACGAATTTACAACCTCCAGACAACGAGCTTGTACTTCTAAAGTAAATGTATTTACTGCTTCGTTGCATCATCGGACACCGGAAACAAACCGTTCTTCTTTTCTATTTCAAACATTTACTACAATATAAAATAGACACTACGAAGCAGAGCTGTTCCTCGCACTAACCAGATTACCTGCTCCGGCGTCGGATTCTGCGATACTTTCGATTCATTTTTCTCATCGGTTTTGGCATTTTATGACGCAATCTCTCACCAATTCAATTATTGTAAGAAAAGAACGGACCCCAAATGCATATGAAATGCAACTGATCGGACGATCAAAGTACCGTTACACTCGGGCCGCCTTGGCGAGTAGCCAATTCAAGTTCAAAGTCTTCTTTCGAGGGGTGCAAATCGAGTAAAGTAACCCAAAAAATAAGTAATAAAAATTTATTTTAATAAATAATTTATATTTATAAATACAATAAGTATATACATTTTGTATATAGCATAAATTAAGTAACCGTATCGTTTCACTGATAGTTGAGGCCCATTCGGAGAAGGCACTGAGATCGGGAAGGCGCTTACTGACAGAGTTACTTCGTCATTTGGAGCAAGAAATGGGGGTAGAACAAGGCTTAGCGTCGTCGCAAAGAAACCATCTTGGTCTGACGTTGATGGACTGACTGCATGGAAGCTACATCATCGACTGAGATCAGGATGTGGATCATGGTGGAGGCAAGGGAATCGGTAGATCAAAGCTATCAACAAAACCGATGGAATTAATCGACGGAATGAGCGAAAAAGGGATTGGACTCGTGCAGAGAATATGGCCAGAAGAACGGGCCAAACCCCTTTTATACTCCCGCCGGGCACGCCTTTGAAAGGGGGATTAATAATTCTGGCCACGCCCTCCCGGGTTTAGCATTTTGGGACAAGAAACCAAGACGGTGGAATCCCCTTAGGGCAGCGAATTTCAAAACTTGAAAATAATTCTTGGACTCAAATCAAAGATCGAGTATGGGGTCTTAATCTTAGGTTAATCAAGTTTCCAAATAAGACAAGTAAGATGTCCTTGGATTGTAAAATGAGAAGCTCTTTGAAGAACTTGCAATTAGCTGATGATGGCGACTGATCCGCTTATATATCTTCTCTCATGATTGTACAGTACCCGGAACATATAAACATTTCACGGAAGTTATCGACCAGTGACTAATTGATACGGTAATAAGATTTGGAAATTTATTTTTTCCGATTTTTAATCAAGATAGTGCATCTGTTTACACTTTTTTATTTACAATTGTTTTTTTTTGTTTTGTAAGTGTTTAACTGTAATCTGTTATTCGTTTCATTTTCAGTTTATAATTGTAAGTTTTACACTTGAGACAGAGCATAATTTGTAGAAAAAATTCAAAAGTGATGGCAAGCAAAGTACAAGCCGCAGTAATTTATAACATGCCCAAATATATAATTTTAAGCATCCGGAAACGATTAAAATACATGCAGACTAATAAAGACCATTTCATTAGTCATCTGGCCATCTATTCCTGGTCATGTCGTGGAATCCCTCTGCAATTTGTTACGTGTAAATTCATTTATTTTATTTTACACCAACCAAACCTCGTGTCCCAAACTTTGGAAATGTTATGTTGGGGGGATGTGGGCTCAAGGCGATTAGTTTTTTGAACGAAAAATGCCAAAGGTAAATACATTAGATACGGTATTTTTGGTCACCGGGAGATCAGGAAATGAGTGGTAAGGATACTGTAACCTAATATGAAACTACGATGGACCCATAAATCGGGTCTGGACACCAATAAAAGTTTTGTAACTGGTTATCCCAATTATACCAGATAATCAAAATTCAAACTTATTCAGAACTTGAGAGAAACGAAAAGAAACTTCCAATTTGAATAAATAATATTTATTATCATAACTTATCGATGAATGAGATCTGTCAAGAAGAATACAAATCAAATGGTCATCGTCCTCCGCAACGGCCGTCTTCTTTTATTGCAATTGGTACATTTAACCTCTCCATCCGTGTGAATCAAGATGTGAAACATGACTTCTTAGCACCACCAATAGGCACTTACAGTTACTGTTTAGAGACGAGAGTTCGAAGAACGCAAAGCAGTAGCTGAATAGTAGAGCTTATGTATTTCTCACCCGTTTTCTCTTGGCCATCTTTTAGGCCGACTCCGCCCCTTTTCCGGATATTTTCTTTTTTAATCGCCGTCTCTGACTGTAATTAATTGTAACACCTAAATAGACAATTCATAAAGATATGGCTACTAATTGACATTAATTAAATATTATATAATCAGCATTTCTTTATTATTCTGGAAAGGTTGGGAAAGGATTAAACCGGGATTTAAAGGCCAGTTTGTAACAAAAGCTAAAGAAAATCACCGTTAAAGACGAAGCTGAGTCAAGAAATTGAGAAAAAACTACTCATCCTATTCTTCTCATAGCTCTACGGATTGTAATTTTTGTAATTAAGATAAAATTAGACTTCATGTCCGTCAATTATGGGCGTATTTCTGAAAATCCTTGCAGTGTTGAGGATATCTGAAAATTTCAGAAAAATGCCCACAACGGTTTCTGCCCATTACGGACCGTTGCCTTAGGCTAATATTTAAGAAACTTTTCTTCATGACAATTTATGCATATATGTACATATATGTCTTGTCTAAATTTGATGTTATCAGCTGGTATGATTTATTAGACAACCTGCCCATATTTTCGCCCCGATATCCGCGGTTCGAGCGGATATCTCGTCAGAGTTCGCTGCCGGCAACGACACCAGGGGTCGAGCCCCAGGGCGTTGGAGAGGGGTGATGTTCTACTAGGGAATGTATTATTTGAACGAACAATAAATGTAAAACCAAGCCTTGGCTAAGGTCACTGGGAATGGGACCCCGTAGGCCAGCAGGTCTGACTTGCGGACTGGAGTAGCAGCAAAGCGCCTTGGCTCTCCCCTCCTACAAATATAAATTAAAATAAATTATGCAGTCAAGCAAAGTCAACCTGAATTGTACAAGGCGCCTTAATTGAGGTTATAGAAATCTGAGAAAAGCGTCAAATTCCATTTAGAGGGAATCCATCGAGACTCCCCACCATTTCTAATCAAAAGACTAAACTAAAGTCACCCATGCAAAGTGAGTGCAATTAACGCAGATTCACTCCCCCACCCTCACCACACAAGTCCAAGAACACATTCATGATACTATTTCCAGCTAATTGGCATACCTTTATGTGGGTTTTATTTTGTATTCAGTTAAATAAAATACTTTATTCAACTCTTCGATATGTTTCTAAAATAAGGTTGTTTGTAGACGGAGAAGACTGGATATGTATCTAGAGAATGTGCAGCAGAAAAAGCGCAGATAATCCAAGTAATCTCAGATTGTAACATTTTCCTGAACTTTTGGAGGGAAGAACAAGAAAACTGAATGTCACAGATGCATTCTAACGCGTCAAAACCCTCTCTCGGAATTCAAATCTGCTAATAGTCAATCCCTGCACCTTCATTAAGAGTTTATTTCATTACAATATCCTTTATCTTAATTTAAGTGTAATTGTTTTGGACTCAGGTTGATGGAGAAACCGGTAAGAGACAGTAATATGAAATAAAAATACAATACAAGTAAAAATACAAGTTCTGGAATCATCTGCATTCAATTCATTTCGTAGACAGTAATATTATAATTTTTTTTTTTAAAAAAAAAGTAAAAACAGAAAAATTTCAAAAATTTTTCAGAAAATCTTTTATCTCCCGCTTTATATTCAAATTACTTTTGCATTCAAAAAATTTAAAAAAAAGTCGAGTTTTGTCATAAAAAATCAATAAATGTTGACATTTTGTCATAATTTGTTTTTTGCCTCTCAAAACTTGGCTGTAAGGTTGAAATTTACTTGTCCGGAGTCGGGAAATAAACGGGGAAAAATTGAAAATCTGACTGCCAACTATTGGATTGCTAAACTTTTTGGTTGTTAAAGTACTAGTTTTGTTTGTTGTAGTTGGGAAAATAGAGAATATCACTCCAAACATGATTAGGTTAATGAATAACTTGCCACTTATTCATTAACGACTTCATATTGGTACTATATTGGACTAATTTAGGCTAATTTTATAAATACCCGAATATACCCGAGATTTCGGGTATATACCCGGGTATATACCCGCGTGGTGAATTTACCCGAATTTTCCGAACCCTACTTGAGCGTACCGGTAAAATTTCAGCACGAATCCCTAGTAATAGCACTGCCGTATTATTTTTCGACTGTTAAAATTACAAAAGTTGGGTTTGAATGACGCAACGGTGTCTGGTCACATGAAACTTGCTTTACATTTGGCCATTTAATCGTTTTAGAGCCATAAACAAGGGTGGATTTGAGCGAAGAAAGCTGCTTATCTCACATATGTTAATTTATATTGAGTAAGTTTTGCGCAGAGATGTCTGT